TTCACAATTAAACCCAAAACCTGTTCCTCCTTAATCTCATCATTTCCTGCTGCTTGTCCTGCTGCTTGCCTCTTAACCGGCTGTGCCATCGCCGCCTCTTTCTGGGCGACTTCCTCTACCCATCGCTTGTCCCTGAGTAGCATATGACTGGGTGAATCAAATCTAAATCTTGAAATAATTCTTTCAAAATAACCATACATTTTAATTTTTTTATGATAAGCATACATTTCCTTAATCTTTTATGATAAGCTTGGACTTTACCCTATAAAGCAAAATTGCGGGGTAAAAAATTGTGAGGGTAAAATTGCGGGGTAAAATAATCAAAATTTCAATTCGCAATTCTTGATGCTTTATTAAAAATTTATACATCATTCTTCTACATCTTATATATTATATATAAACAATAGATATATGCAGACTTTCATTATTATGGCTTTTTTTATTCATTTTATAACATTCCTATAACCATCACTCCCAATAATATTATTTTTACTATCTCTGGAACTCTCATTTTCATTCCTTCATTCTGTTTCGCTTTTTCCTCTTTCTCTTCCTCTTTTTGTGTTTCTGTTTCTTTACTTGAATCACTCGTACATCTCGTAGGTTTGCATTTTCGCATCGACGTCAATGTCACCGTAGATGTCACTGTAGATGTACTTGTCATCGTACTCGTATGCAACGATGTACTCGTCATCCATATATCTGTTGTTTGAGGAAATGCACATTGTTCTGTTACTTTCCCTCCATGTATTGACTTTGTAGCTGTTGTAGTCGTTGTCGTAGTCGTTGTTGTAGTCGTTGTTGTAGTCGTTGTTGTAGCCGCTGTAATCATTGTTGTAGTCATTATCTCTCTCATTATTAATGACACCGTATGATATGGTGTAACTTTTAATCCTTCTATTCCTTCACACAACTTATCTATTTCTGTACAGACCGCATCACACTTCGGGCAATCCTTTCTAAACCCGCACTCTCCTTTCAAACCTTTACATTTCTCTTTCAATCCTAAATACAATTCCAATGCTTTTGCCGTTTCATCAAATGCCTTCTTTTCTGCTTCTGATACTTCTCCACTTACAAATGTTCTTCGAACAAGTATAACATTACTCGTGTTTGCCCCTCCACTTGGTGTTGATCCTCCTGGCACTGCTGGTGCTGGTGCTCCTCCTGGTGGTGCCGCTGGTTCAGTTGCACTGGTATTCTGCACCTTTGATCCTGCATCTTGTCCATCTTTCCCAAGTCTTGATAATAGTAACTTAACTTCCTCCGAAAATTTTTCTGATTCCTGTTTCACTTTTTCGTATTCATCTTTCTTCTTCTTTAATTCATCTTTCTCTTTACCCAGTTCACTTTCTAAGGTTGGACATTTTTCTTTTACTTTTTCAACCAACTTTTTGCAAACTTTTTCCTCAACATCCTTATCTTTATCAGTATTACAAAAACTATTGAATTTCTGATTCCCTGAATTTTTCCGCTCACTACAATGCTTTCCCAATGCTTTTTTACATTCATCATCTTTGCCTAAACTACCTTTCAATTCATGCGTCAACTCATCCTCCAATTTCAACTTTTCAAAGAATGGTCTGCAATTCTCTTTCAGTTGTAAACAGACTCCTTTTTCATTCCCATTGTCTCCTTTTTTCAACTTATCTGGGCAATTTTCCATAAGTTCATCACAATATGGATCCCATAATATGCAGATTTCTTCAACCAATGTTTCATTCCCATTTTTACTTTTATTTAGAATATCATGTTTTTCTATGTTGTTTTTAAAAGCATTACAATGGTTTTCAACTTCTGAAACCATAAATTTACATGTTTCTTCTGGTAAAGCACATGAAACACCAAATGCATTAGTTCCTCTTTTAAACAATCTATCACATTTTTCCTTCAAAGCTTTCATACAATTTTGAATATTCGTTAACGAATCACTTTTATCTTTTAAAAAATCATATTTTAGTTCTTTTGTAACTTCCAAATATTTACAACGCTTTTTTAATGTAACACACTTTACATTATTTGAACCTAAATCCTTTAAAATACCTTCACATTCCTTTTTCAATTCAACACAGTCCTCTTCTTTAGGAAAATCCCGTGCTTGATCCAAAGCTTGTTCTAAGTCTTTCGATAGAGTAAAAATAATTTCTTCAAGTCTAAGACATATTTCTTTTGGTCGAAGGCATATTAAAAAGTTCTTAATATTACTATTTGCAAGTGCTACACATTTCTCCATTACTATTTTTTGACATATTTTAAGCTTTTCATCTTTCGATTTTAAATTGTATTGTTCTTCGACCAATTTACTTTCAATTAACTTAATAAATGATTGTTCTTGTAGCTTTTTACTATTTGCTTGATTTACATTTCTACATCCTTCAAGAAACATGTTTTTGCATGAACCCGCAATATAAAAACAGTTTGTATTAAAATTTGAAAATTCTCTGCTATTTAATGATGTTGAAAGCCTATCCCAAGGGATTTCATTCCCCAATATATCATCTTGAAAATGTGTAGAAAATCCAGCTAGATAAAGCGTCATTTTAAACTTTCTACATTTATATGTTATTTCTGATGCATCTTTGCATCTTTTCTCTATGTTATCTTGACATAATTCTTTAAGTTCAGGACTCAGAAATTTAAAAAAATCACAGCTTTTGTTCAATACATTCTTGCATTTACTTTCTGAAAAACCTGGGTGTATGTTAGACATATAGATTAAGATGTTGTCCAGTGTTGTTTCCAAATTTTCAATATATATTCCTTTATCTTTCATTTTTTTATAAAAATCTTCCAGTTCAATCTTTAACAACGTTGTTTCTGGCTTAATTGGATTATAATCTTTTCCTGGAAGCTTATATGTAATATTCTTTTTCTCGCATAACACCTTCAATTCATTACACTTTTTTTCACATTTATTTTTGAGAAAATAACAGCTTTTGAGTTTTTCGTAACATTGTTCTTGCAATTCGTTATCATTAAGGTTAATATTTAAAGAATTGCATGAATAATTAATATATTTATTTAATTCTTTAAAAGATCTTTCAATTTGAAAACATCCAAAGATGAAATTAATGCCTTGTTGAACCAATATTGGACATATTTCTTTCATTTTTTTCTTTAAAATCATCATAATTAGCAATACTATCACCGACTACATGAAGAATAACTTCATTCATCAGTTTTAAATGCTCATTTTTTCGATAATAATATTCTAAAAAATAACAATATTCTAAAATATTTTTATTTAAATCAGATAAAAACAAACATCTTAGAATGTTTTTATTGGCATTTATATTATCTATATATTTTTGTGATTGTATATAAAGTTCATCAGAAAGTTGGTCTAGATTTTTTTGAATATTTGGTTTTAGGTCTTTGCATTTTTGTCCTTTATCATTACTATTACAAATTTCCTTAATATTAGTATCCACTTTATTTAATTCTGGATCTATATCTTTTAATTCTTCACAATATTCCTCAAGTTTCGCTTTGCATTTGTTTTCATCATTATAATCTTTTTTTAAAATAAAAGTATAAATATCTTCTTTAATAATAAAATCTTTAAACGACGGATTTACTGCATTTTTCTGAGAGCTTCTAATACTTAAGTCTACGTTTTGATTTCCATATATAAGAGCTAAAAATAATTAAAAATGAAAATAATCAAAAAATATAATTACCAATTAAATTTAATATTGCTATCAGTATAATTTTATTAATCATAGAAAAAAAGTATCTTCTATAGCTTTTTTCCCCTAAATATATAATATAAATATTCGCAATATGCTTTTAACTGAAATTCGTGAAATTTAATGCTTATTTTAAATGGTTATCAAAAAGATACAAAATTTTACGATTTTGATAAACCCTAAAAAAATATAGGAGAAACCGTTAAAAATAAAAATCATTACAACTCTTGATTATAAATTTTAAATTTTTATTTTTCTTATTTTTTTCTATATTCTTTCTCATTTTATTCAATAATCTTTTATAAAATAATATATATATACATTTTGTTTTATTTATTAACTTTTGAATTTTTTTACAATTCATTCATATTTTTATACCTTTTTTAATACTATAATTATCATTCTTAAATTCAACGTTTTTCTTATTTTTGACATTTCTTCATTTGAATAACTAATTTTTAAATCTTTTTTAATTACTACATTGTTTTCAGTATTTGTTTATAATCAAACCCTTTTTTGATCTTCACTTTTAATCAAAAAATGCTTCGCTAATAATCTTTGGTATGCACCTCTGATTTCATTCTATATATTTTCCTGTCCATTTTTATTTATACTACTTAAATTTTTCCAAAAAGTTTATCTCGTGGTTCATCTATGACCAATAATCATTATATTTTGCAGGGCCTATACCAAAATGCAGCACAATTGCGCAAAAAAACGTAAAAGTGCAGTCTTGACAATTACATAAATCAAACAAAAATAGAAAAATAATATCCAGTTACAAGGATAAATGTTAGGCAAAGGAGAAATGTTGGCTGCGAACAGCAACTTTATCACAATGCAATAAAAATTAACGAAAAGTCTGACTGACCTTAACTCTATACGATGCTGAATAAGAGTATTTTGGAAATAATTAATAAACTTAGTGATTTATTTTTAATAAAAATTATTACTTTCTAGATAAAATTAAATTTTTCTATATCTAAACTATCCATATTCCTAAAATTACTCCTACAATTATGCAAGCAAGCTCTATTTCTTTTAATTTTTCCATTCTAGTCCCATGATTTTTATTGCTCCCCTTCACGGTGTCATTTTTATTGTGTTCATGAGTCTTATCATCATGACCGTTATCGTCCTTATGAGTGTCTGCACGTGTATCTAAATTACTTAATGTTTCTGAAGCGTGATCTTTGTCATCTTTTCCTGACAATAGAGATGATGCAGTTAAAGTTGATTCAGACTTTTGTTCTGTTAGATACGAGGCATCACCTATTAAAGATCTTACCAATGCCCTATGTTTAACTACAGAAGGGCCATCGCTGCCCACAGATGTTACGACACTATAACCACACTTGTCCGATAAAGTTACTGAAGGATAATTACAATTTGCAGTTACTATAATAGTTGCAGAATATTTGCATCCTGGCTTAGAATGGCAACATCCTGCTTCCGAAACACCACATTCATTTGTAGTCGCTGGAACATTGCATTCACTTGTAACCGTTGGAACATTGCATTCACTTGTAACCGTTTGAACTTCACAAACAGATGAGGTGTCTGGAACAGCTGGAGAAGAGGCAGGCGTAGTTTCTAGATCCGTTGATGAACACTTTGTATAATGAGGTTTCTGTTTACAACATTTTGTTACGACGGCTGCTTCTGTATGAGTAAAATATACGGTTTTCGTTTCATAGAGAGTTTCATCAACTATACGCGTGTGGACATTTTCAACGCCACTAGAAGAAGAACTAGGCCTGAAAGTGACACGGTCCTGAACTGGTGATTTACGAGTAAGATATGAACCCCTTAAATATTGTTTTCCTGATACATCTTCCCCAAAATATTCGGAGAAATCTTCAATATCGCCAACAGGTATCCCTCTAAGTCTTGCGGAGTCATATGGAGATGCAATATTAGAATTTAATTCATCTGCGTCACTTAAAAAAGAATCTGAAACATCTTCCGCAAATTCTATATATTAAAAAAAAAAAATAGAAAAAAAAAAATACCTGAAATCTGCACTTTTCCTGAGAGAACATGTATTATCCCAAAAAAAACTACAAGTATCGGTATTTTCATTGAGAATAATAAGTGAAAAATAAATTTGTAACTTTAATTAAAAACTTGTTTTTATAGGAAAAAAAAACTTGAGCGAAAAGTTAATGTCACGCGATTTTAAAAAAAAAATAATGTAGATGATAAAATCTAATAATAAATAAATAAATAAATTATTATTATATTATTATTATTATTATTATTATTATTATTATTATTATTATTATTATACATTAATATATCTTTTTATATATATCTATGTGAAATTTAAAATGAATATTTTTAAAATTATTAAAAAATTTCAAAAAATTATATAATGATACCTAATATTATCTTTTATATTTTTATTATGTTGATGTTAATTGATATCTAGTCTTTTATGAATAATTTTACTTTTTTATTGATTTGAAAAAAATTAAATGTATAATATATATTATTAGGGTTAAGAAAAAAGGTTAAAATTTAAATTCTTATCAATCTTTCGATCATTTTTGGAATTTTTGTATAAAAACGAATGTTTTGGAGTTTTAAATTTAATTATTGAATTTGATAGAAGATGGCACAAGAACTAAATATTGAGAAGACAAGCTCTTCGGAGCATCCGGTGAAAGATAGATTATATGGTGAAAAAAATCCTTTTGAAGATGAATCAAATGGGATTAAATATAGAACTATGACATGGATACATACTGGGATACTGATGACTGCCGAAACAATTTCTCTTGGTGTCTTGTCCCTTCCATCTATGTATGCAACTCTTGGTATTAATCTTGGACTTTTTTTTGTTTTATTGCTTGGTATTGTAGCAACATATACGGGTTATGTTCTTGGTCAGTTTAAAGCCAGATATCCTTTTGTCTATAATATGTCCGATGTTGCATACATAATGTGTGGTCCTATAGGACGTAAGATTATGGGGGTTTGTCAAATAGTCTTTTTAATTTCTTCTATGGGGTCTCATGTTCTTACTGGTGGAATTGTATTTAATACGATTACTAATCATGCTGCTTGCACTATTGTCTTCTCTCTTGCAACGGCATTTATATGTATGCTTTTTACTCTTCCGCGTACTTTTAAATTTGTTTCATATTATTCTGTCGCTTCATTTGCTAGTATTATGATCTCATTATATCTTATTGTGTTTGCTGTTTCCGTTGGTAAACGTCCTGCTGATATTACTTTTGGGATTCCAAAAGATACTACTTTTCTTAGGGCCTTTAGTAGTATTACAAATATTATATTTGCATATGGCGGCCACGTCATTTTCTTTAGTTTAATATCGGAAATGAAGAATCCATCAGATTATGTAAAATCATTATATATGCTTCAGATATGTGATATATTTGTTTATTTGTCTGTCGTCATAATATATATTTATGTTGGTGATAAAGAATTTAAGAGGCTTAGTTATGTTACAGCATTAAGTGCAGCTTCTCCTGTTATTAGGAAAGTCGCATATGGCATTTCTATTCCTACTGTTATTATCGCTGGATCTATTAATGCACATGTTTCAGCAAAATATATTATGGTTTATATTAGTAAATGGTGTAAAGATTTGTTATATTTGAGAAACTATAAATTTACACTTATTTGGGTTTCTGTCTGTTCTAGTATTTGGCTTGTATCATGGTTTATTGCGGAAATTGTTCCTATTTATAATGATCTTCTTGGTCTCATTGGAAGTTTATTTATATCCTGGTTTACTTATGGCACAGGAGGTATATTTTGGCTTTATCTTGAAAAAGGAAGATATTTTGTTTCCAAGAAAAGTACCTTTTTATTTGTCGTTAATACATTGATAGTTGTCTTAAGTTTTTTTACGATGTGTTTAGGTGTATATTCTAATGCTGTTGCGATTCATAACAATCGTGTAATAAAAGGTATTTTCTCATGTGCTTGAGTAGATTTTTATTTTTATCTGTATATATATATATATATAACTTTGCTTATATACATATATATCATGTATATTTTATTTACTTAAAAACTTTGTTTTATATATTTTTTGAAATTTATAAACATAATATTGTAAATATCTTTATCGTAACATTTATGGATTTATGATAATTTAAGTATTCTGATGTCTACATATTTATATGAAATTTGATATATCATTTTATTAAATATTTTGATTTAAAATATATTTAACATTTAACTTGAGCGAATATTTTGATAAAAAACCGAAATGTTTATATCTGAAAAAATACTTTTAAAATATATGATATGAATGATGTATTTTTAGTTAAAACCAAAATATAAAACTAAATTTTTTATTTTATATAAATTGTCTGATGAGAAAAATGATTATTGAAAGTTCTATTTTAAATATGTATATTGGGACAAGATATAATTAATAAATCAAAAGAAATCATTTAAATTTTAAATTATTTTTTAGTTTTGATGTTCTAATGTATAATAATGTGGACTAAATAAAATTATCAAAATAATGTTCAAATATATAGATAAACTTACGCTAACTCAAGTAACCATTCTCTTTTAATAGTAGTAATATCTCGCATAAATATTTTTTTTTTTGTCTCTAAAACTTCATTAAATATAACCCAATCAGTTTTACGATTAAACATTATTGAGCTAGGATGAACATAAAGGATCTAAACATTAGAGATAATTATAAATTAAATCTCTATTACCGCATTTCCCTTTACAAGACGAAATGATCCATCTGTCTGCATTTTAGCTGCATGAGAAAAATAACCACTAACTAAACATTTTCGAATATTGTCGGTGCCACTTTTAGGATCAGCTGACTTTATTGGGATTTTAAACCGTTCCAAATATCTGCGAAGTTGAGCTCTTATGCTTACCGCTCTTGATAAGGCTTTAAAATTAAGAAAATGTTCATGACACCATTTAGAAGATTTTTCTCCTTTCGTAGTGAATGCATGAAATACTAAATAAAATGAATAATGTTAACCAGATATATGATAATTTTTACTGTTCATTAAAGTAATGTGATCCCCTTCTTCTACCGAAAACTTTTTTCTAGCTGCTTCAAAGGATTTTTTGTTTTCTTGAGGTAAAAAAACATTCTGAACAGATATCATAGCAGCAATTGTAAGAATTTGCTCTCCACATGAAAATTTGTTTGACATTAATAGCTAAATAATTAATTCATATATGTTATTTTCAAAAGCCAAAAAATACCATTTTAGCCATTTTTGGATTAATAGGGAATTCTGCCATTCTCATCCCTAAAGGGCTAGTTAATTTCCCGTATTCATCTAATGAACCTAAAGAAAATAAAAGCTATTTGTAGTTAAATTAAATTTTGAAATCATATTGTTAAACCTCTAACGATTGAATCACCATTTCTGAAGGAGGATTAGTTATATAGTCAAATCTTGCAATATTATCAATTCCGAGGGCTTTTAACTGCAAAATTAATCCTGTTAAATCACTTCTTTGAATTTCAGGAATATTTGTTTCTTTCAAAGCAAGAAAGCTTGAATTATCATATAATCTAAAACATTTCCCTGGTCGTGTTCTTCCGGCACGTCCTGCACGCTGAAATGCGGATGTTTTACTAATAGGTGCAATTATAAGGGATTCAAAATTTGTATGTGTGTTAAATACTCGTAACTAAAATGGATTAAAATTTCCTTTATATAAAAAATGTATACTTTAACAAATCCTGAATCTATAACATAAACAATTCCATCTATGGTAACACCTGTCTCTGAAATATTGGTACTGATAATTACTTTTCGTGTACCTTGAGGAGCTGGAGCAAATATTTCTATTTGTCTTTCACTTGATAAGCCGGAATATAAAGGAAGTGCTAATATTCTTCGGTTATTATTTGAAAGTAAACGATCGGATTGTTCAATTATTTTGGAAATACAGATATCGATTTCTTCTTTTCCTGTAAGAAATACAAGAATATCTCCATCTTTTTCCTATATCAATTAGTTATTTCTTTAGGAAAAGATATTAGCAATAATACTTTTGAATTAATTTCAAAAATTGTCTCTACAGATTTTTCAATGTAATTAGAGGTAGGTTCTGATAAATATAAAATGTCCACAGGATACATTCTTCCTTCTATAGAAATAATTTTAGCTGTGTCATTATTTTCTTTATTAAAATAAGACAGCAGTTCATCTGCATTTAATGTAGCACTTGATATAATTATTTTTAGTGTTTTTCTCCTTTTTTGAATTCTTTAAAATAATAAGATGATTATTATATAGTTAAAAATTAGATTACTTTTTTAATATGCCTAATAAAATATCTGTATACAGAGATCTTTCATGAACTTCATCTAGCATTATTACACTGTAATGGGAAAGTAGTGGGTCAATTAATGTTTCTCTTACGAGCATGCCATCGGTCATGTATTTAATTTTTGTTTTTTCTGAAGTGACATCTTCAAAGCGAATTGAATATCCAACCTATATTATTAAACATAATCCCATTTAATATATTTAAATAGACTTCATCTCCTAATGGACATCCAACTTCTTCTGCAACTCTTATTGCAACAGTTGCTGCAGAAATCCTTCTAGGCTAGTTATATTTTTAATATAGAAAAATAAATCTAAGTAAATGTTTTCTACCTGCGTACATGCAATTACGTTTCCATTATCAGCCCATCCTGCTTCTTTTAAGTATTGAGGGAGCTCTATAAATTGATTAATAAATACAAATATCTATATTATAAATGTTACGTGTAGTTTTTCCTGATCCTGTTTCCCCAACAATTATTGTAACAGGAGTTTTTTCAATTAAATAAAGTAATATGTTTTCTAAATGTTTCATTGGTTTTAAAAATTTAAATATGAAAATGATTTATTTATACTATGATGATAAATAGGAAGAAGTTCACGTTGCCGTTTAATTGATAAAGATGTAAGCTTATTTATTATAGGGATATCCCCTTCATCAATCTCATTTTCTGAAGCTTTATCTAATGCTGATCCTCCAAATGTCATTAAAAATTATTTTTAATCGTTTAAAATTCTAAACGATTATTTAATTAAAATTTATAGTAAAATCTTGAAAATATCTTTACTTTTTTTGTATTTATAGAAGTTATAAACTAATATGTTTAAAATTGAATTATAAAATATACCTTAATTCCACAAATTAGAATTAAAATTTGCTTTAAAAATTATATAATAGTATATTTATAAATACTGTTATATTAATTTTACTATATCTCATAGATTTATTCATTTTTGGACTAAATATTTGAATGATTAAGTTTAAAATAATTAAAATTGATAATTATATGGTTTAAGTTTATCAATATTTATCTTAGTATGATGATATATTACTTTGAACAATTATAAAATTAATTTTTTTATATTGCTAAAAATCATAATTTTTAAGATTTATTCTTAGTATAATTATTTAAATAATGTAATTTATAAAAAATATTTGCCTATAAATTAAATTATATGTGATTTTTAATAATTATTTGAAATAGTTATGTCTTGAAATTTAAATAATTCCTATAATCATTTTGATAATATATTTATACTGATTTCATATATTTAATTAATTATAATTTTAATTCAAATGATCTTTTAATTTCTTTAGAGCTCTTTGGATGTTTTATAATGTTTTTTTTTTCATTATTTGCTTGTATAATTTTAACATTACTTTTTTTTAATGTTTTAATAATTTCTCCGGCCAGCTTATTGGTTTGATTCAATAATTTATGTTTTTTTCTAGATTTAAGGTATTTCCGAGTTTTATTTTTTTCTTCCCTAGTCATTTCATTTTTTGCAATTATTATGCCAGATCTTTTTAGAATTTCCCCTTTAACCTTTTTTGATCCGGTAATGTATATTTCATGGGGTGCTAACATATCATTTGTAGCCAATGATGAAGGCTGAGCTTCTTCCATAATAATTGTTGAAACGTTAGAAATAATATTAAGTGTAGGTTTTGCCTAAATTTTATAAGAAATGAATATTTAATGTAATTCAGGTAATAGTTACGAGTTTTGGTTTATGATATAAACTACTTAATGAATTAAGTTTATTCATTGCTTTTTTAAAAAGTTCTTCGATTTCATTATGTTCTTTAATTAGTTTTTCATCCTTCTTTCCTATATAATTAGGGTCTGTTTTTTTATTATATTCGTCTTCATAAATCTCTGCTAAGCTTTTTTTGTTTTTTTCATCATCAATTTCAAATAATTTGCTAGGATGGAATGTTTTTTTCTTTTTAGAATATATTTTTTGAATATCATTAAAGTTAGAATCAATAATTCTTTTTTTAATTATTTCCTCAAGATTTAAGATATCCTGTTTAGTTATCACTGGTTCTGGTCTTGTTTCCCTTTCAAATTCTATATCTTCTTCGAGCAAAGAATTTATAAATCTATCTTTAGCCTTTACTTCTCCCATTAACGTCCAATCCTTTTTTGCTATATTTTCCATTTCTAGTTTTTTTATCTCCTCAGATAATATTTTCTGAGTTTTCATATATTTTGATTTATTTGAAATTTTATGTTCTTTAATTTCCTCATTGCTATTTGCAAATAAATCTTGCTGTACTTTGGACATGATATTTTCATGGTTTTCTTTTATATTAGCATCTTTTTCAAAATTGCCATCATTATGCTTTTGATTCTTTGGTGTTTTTTGTATATTAGACAATTCATCGCTTTTTTTTTTTATTGAAGGAAGAAAAAAATTAGCATATTTAATTTCATTAGTATTTTCAAATCCTTTATCTGAATATTCACTGCTTACTTCACTTTCACTTAAATTCGAAAGATAATACACATCGTTATTTTTTTCATCTAAAAGGTTATCTATTTTTTCCAATTTTTTTATTTTATTGTTAAAATTGTTAGTAGAAATGGGTAAATTATTTAGTCCGAGTACTTTTTCTTTAAAAATATTTTTATCTTCCTAAATATTTTAAGATAATTAATAATTGATAGTAGTAATTTTTACTTTTGAAATATATTCATCATTAATTGGTAGTATATTGCTTTTATATGCAATTATATCTATAGAATTTTCCTGGCATTTTTCTTTATTAAGTCCTTTAGGACTGTCTACATCCTCTTTGGCTGTATCTATTTCTCTTTTTGTCTTATATTTTAATTTTTTTTTGAGGTTTACTTGATTTTTCAAAATAATTTTTAATTTTTCAAGCAACCTATCAATTAATTCATTCGTAATAAGCCTAACTTCTTCGAATATTTGATTTCCATCCAATCCATTAAGGTATAAGTCATCAAAAATACTATTTTGTTTAATTATAGGATCAAGTAATTTTTTTACTTGAAAAAGAATAGTAGAATGAAGTTTATTTGATGGTTTTAAAAACTGCTTTGGATCATGTAATAAAACATCAAGCTGCGTATACATTTCGTGTTCAATCATATTTCTCTATTTTGTATTATAATTATGTTTTAAATGTTTTTTTAAAAAAAAATCGAATTTTAATAAATTTTGAATTTAAAAATGAATTTTCATTAAAAAAATCTTTATAATTATTGCTAAAAATTTAATTAGTTTTGAAAGTTTGTTAATGTTAATTAATTCTGTATATTTATGAAATTTCAAAGTTATAATATTTTCTGCTATAAACGTAGATAATGATGTTTCATTTTGTCTAGATTAATACGTTAAGAATTTTATACATCATTTGATTTGAAAAAGCAAATATATTAATGAAATAATATTTATATCAGGTATTATTTTAGTTCAAAATAATGGATTTTTTTAATATATTTTTTATAATTTTTATTTAAATTATTAAAAACGTTCAAAACTTGTTAATTTTTGTAGACATATTATGTTGTGTTTTAAATAATATTTGTATAATCTTCTTTATGAAATTATATACTTATATAAAAAGCTAATAATGTTAATATAAAGTTTATAAAATATATGTTTTTGTTATTTTTATAATTAATTTTTACAAATATAAATGATTTAAATTTAAAATTACTAGATTTTTTCATTAGTGAATCATTTTTTAAAAATTCTTTTAAAAAAATTGTTACGATTTAATCATTTTTTAAATATTACCTTTAAAACATTCTGTTTATTTGGGTGCATTTATGATCTTTCATACATTTTAAAAGTAGTTTAATCAGTATTTCAATTTAGGAAGAATATTATAATATTTACTATAAACATTTTTATATATTTTTAAACTGATCATTTCTATTTAATGAGTTTTAGAAATCTTAAAAAGCTTGAAAGACTTCAGGATAGCTCTTCAGCTTGCTTTATTGATGATGGTTTGGGTAATGAAATAGTCTTGGATTATGATGATAATGATTTAAATCTATTATCTTCAAATAATTGCAATCGTTTTTCTATAGTAAAGTATTAAAATTTATTAAACGTTTTCTTATAAATATAAGCTTGATACCAATGTTGAAATCGATCAAGATACTGCATCAGAAAGTGACAATAAAATTGTTAAATATAATGTATGTGTTTTAATATTATATAATACAATGGGTAATTTATTAGAACGGAAATAATGTGCATCTTAAAAAATGTATAATCAAAAAAAAAAAAAATAAATCGAAAATCATTAACAAAGATTCATATGGAGTTGATGACAATTGCACTTTTTTGATATTTCATGAAATTGAAAGTATTAATGAAATTTCTAACAAGTATAATTCATTATCAAAATCGATAACAGAGAATTTTGAAAATAAATTGCAACAAAGACAACTGAATCTTCTAAGTATAAATCTGCATTTTCTAGATTCAAATATGGAAATGAAAACTCTTTTTGGAAAAAAGGCTGTAGATGATAATAATTCTAGAAAAAAATCAAAAAAACATAAAGCTAGTTTTAAAACTAGTAAATTTAGTAAATCACCTCTAATGTGTTTTAAAGAGTCATGGCCTCCACTACTTAATACTGGTATATCAATGGATATCATTGATTATATTGATGGTAATTTAAAATTTTGATTTTTTTATCTAATATTTGATCTTATAGGTATTGGATATTTCAAGTTTACTTTTTCCAAAACATATCAAGATATTCAGCGGCAATTTTTGAATGCCGTTCATTCTTTTGATCCAAATAATCTTTTAATGTTATTACAATATAACCGTTGCTTTTATAATCTATTATATTTAGCATTTTTAAAGTTGACTTATTATAGCATATCATGTTGATACATTGCTTCAAGTGTCAGAAATCTTAAAACTGGAGGGAAATCATCAGGATTCTATAGACTTGATTGGTTAAATATTTAATTTTTAATTAGTGGCCTAATTATTATAGAGCGTGCATTATATTCTCTTGGACGTGGATTTCATCCAACATTTAATATATCTACAGGTTATGTTCGTCTTCCTTTTAAATATTCTGAAAACCGTTCTATGTATCTTGCATTATATCGATATATTCATAATTTAGAAAAAAAAGGTTGCTGGAGGACTGCTTTTGAATTTAATAAACTTCTACTTAGGCACTTTTTTGTTTTTTTTTTCATTTGTTATTTTTTATTGATTAATATAGTTTAAGTCCTTTAGAAGATAAGGATTGTTACGGTGCTCTTTTGACTATAGATTTTTTTGCTCTAATGGCAAAGGAATATGATTATATTATTGAATTATCGGAATGGTATGATCAAGAATACTTAAAGAGGCTTCCTTCCTTTGCATTTTCGTATGCACTAGCTCTTTTTCACAAAGAAAATATAGATGATTTACATATTAATTCTAAAGAAAAAATTGTTGTTGCTGCTTGCACATTTCCATGGGTTATTAAGCCACTTTTTTTGTTACTAGAACTAAATATTCCTGATGGCTATGAATTAATTAATCCACCCACAGATCTTGATGCTCTTTATATGGATATTTATTTATCCCGAGTAAAAGATATTTGGAATACTTCTAAGCATATAAGTTTTTTATGTTCTGTATTTCTAGAACCTCCTTTAGTTGATAAAAATATAAAGAACCTTGATTATTCAATCCCTGCAGGAGTCTTGAGATATGTTTTACTTTCAGGAAATAGGAATTTTATTCAATATTTGCCTTCGTCAATTACATCTCAACCAATTATGGAATATGATCTTTTTCCTCCTGACAATTTTACAACATTTATAGACTCATCTACATTTGATTCAGAAAATAATTTAACTGTTTAAAACAATTAGATATTTATTTAAAATTCTATTATTAAAATTTTTAAAACTAGAAATATAAAAATATATAATTCTGGAATTATTGTAGAATTGAATATTGAGGAAGATACCTTTCCAATAAGAATTAGTGTTTATTTAAATGAGAATTCATAAAGGAATAACAACTTTATTGAACTTTTTGAGGATTAATTAAATCTAGGATATTAAAATTTCAAAGCTGAAAAATTGAACATATCTAATGTATAACTTTTCTCAATTTGTATTACTTGTATTGAGTTTTATAATTCAATAAAAACAAAATGCTAGCATATTATTGGAAACTATGCAGAACACTTTAAAGATTAATAAAGAAAAAAAACAGTTTAAATACTACCATTTCGCAAGATTCCGGGTTTTGAATAGAGCAGGAAATTGTCCTTTCACTATATATGTCATTTTCAGATTCTTCATATTGTTTCATTTTTATATTTTCCTTATGTAATTTATCTATTTTCTTTATATTTTGACCATTAGATGCTATATCTTCAGAGCGAGTCTCCTTTTCTAATGACTCAACCAAAGGATTTACATTAGCTGCATGTTTTAAAGTAGATGAAAGCTTTTTAGAAGTTGTCTCATCAACTTCCTCAAGAGCCTTACGATCCACGGTGAACTATATTTTTAAACAAAATTTAAAGAAAAAGTAATAATCACCTGAATTGGCGCACTTGCTGCTTGTGTTCGAAGATAGTACATTCCAGTTTTTAACCCTTTTCTCCATCCCCAAAAATGCATACCAGTAACTTTCAAAAGTTAACAAGAAATTTAACAATACAAAGCATACTTTTCCCAAAAGATGGATCACAAATATGGATGTTTAAACTCTGACTTTGATCAATAAATGCTCCACGATCAGCTGCATAATCAATAATAGTCTAATATATTAGTATAATTTTTTGTAATATAAAATACCTTTTGAGATAGCTCCCAAACAGTTTTATATAATGCTTTAATATCTGGTGGAATATTGGGTATATTTTGAATGGAACCATTATTTGCAATAATTCTGTTTCTCATATTATCATTCCATAATCCCAAATCAACTAAATCCTTAAGCAACCATGGATTTACCACTTGAAATTCTCCTGCAAGAACTCGTCGAGAATATATATTACTGGTATAAGGTTCAAAGCATTCATTAAAACCAAGAATTTGAGACGTACTCGCAGTAGGCATTGGTGCTACGAGAAGAGAATTGCGAAGACCATATTGTGCGATATTGGATTTTAATTTTTCCCAATCCCATAAGTCTGTAGGAATTACATTCCACATATCATATTGTAAAATACCCTGAGATGCAGGGGATCCTTCGTATGTCTCATATGGACCTTCTTCTTGTGCCATTTCACACGATGCTTCTAAAGCAGCATGATATATTGTTTCAAATATCTTAATATTGAGCTCTCTTGCTTGAGGCGAATCAAATGGCATCCTAAGAGCCAAGAAAGCATCCGCAAGCCCTGTCTTTTTTAATAGAAAAACAATTTACAATTTTTTAAACCTTGAACGCCAATGCCTATAGGGCGATGTCTTTTGTTCGATCGTCTAGCTTCCTCAACAGGATAATAATTAACATCAATAATTTTGTTTAAATTTCTTGCGACAACCTTTGTAACATCATGTAATTTTTGAAAATCATAGGTATTTTTATCAACAAAAGTTGGTAATGCAACACTTGCAATATTGCAAACTGCTACTTCATCAGGAGAAGAATACTCAATAATTTCTGTGCATAGATTGGAACATTTAATTGTCCCAAGATTTTTTTGATTTGATTTACGGTTACAAGCATCTTTGTAGAGCATAAAAGGATTACCTGTTTCTATTTGAGACTCTAAGATTGCATACCATAATTTCTGTGCTTTGACAACTCGAGTTGCTCGTTTTTCCTGCTCATATCTTTCATATAAAGCCTTTTTAAACGTCAGCAATGATAGATATAAAGTAATAGAGAGATACGTCAAATTCCGTTCCATAAACATCATCCAGACCAGGCGCTTCATTAGGGCAAAATAGACTCCAATCTTGATTTGCTTCTACACGTTTCATAAACAAGTCGGGTATCCATAAACCATAAAAAAGATCTCTTGCACGAACTTCTTCTTTACCGTGATTCTTACGAAGATCCAGAAAGCCGAATATATCAGCATGCCAGGGCTCTATATAAATAGCAAATGCGCCAGGGCGTTTGTTCCCCCCTTGATCGACATATCGAGCAGTATTATTAAATACTCTGAGCATAGGAATAATACCATTAGATGTACCATTAGTCCCAGAAATATAGCTTCCTGTAGCACGAATACAGTGAACATTTAATCCAATTCCACCTGCTGTTTTACTAATCATGGCACATGTTTTGAGCGTATCATAAATCCCTTCAATGGAATCTTCCTTCATTGTTACTAGGAAGCAGGATGAAAGCTGGGGATTCGGGGTTCCTGCATTAAACAATGTAGGAGAAGCATGAGTCATATATTTCGCTGACATAAGATTATACGTTTCAATGGCTTTTTCAACATCATCTCCATGAATACCGACCGCAACACGCATTATCATATGTTGAGGCCTTTCCGCCACTCTTCCATCAATACGGAGAAGATAACTCCGCTCCAATGTTTTAAATCCAAAGTAATTATATGTAAAATCACGATCATAAATAATTGCACTGTCTAGTTCATTTGCATGTTTCATTACTGTTTCATATGTTTTTAAAGAAATCATAGGTGATGGCTTATTATTTTTCGGGTTAACATAATGATATAAGTCTGAAATAACATGAGAAAATGTTTTTTTCGTTTGCTTATGAAGATTAGATATTGCAATACGTGCTGCCAAAATAGCATAATCAGGATGCTATTTTTCTTTTAAAAAATTCACTTTTTTCAATTAATCGAAATACCTTCGTCGTCATATATGCTGCTGTTTCTGCTGCTAAGTTATCAAGCTCTATTGTTGTTACACCCTGATATACACCAGAAATGACCTTCATAGTAATTGATGCTGCATCCACATGCTCCATATCTAAGCCATAACATAAGCGAGAAACCCTTGCTGTTATCTGTTTTTCTATTAATTTTTATTCTTGCATATATTTTTAAAAATATACTTTATCAAAAGCAACACGTTCTTTTCGTCCATCTAAAATGACATTAAAAATCTTTATCTAAATAAGCATTTCTACCTCTTTTATAAACGAACATCTTTCTACTTTTTAGAAAAATTGAGTTAATTCTTTAGAAAAAAGTTAAAATTGTTAGTTGATTAATACTTGAATTTTACGTGTATTTTCGTGTTAAATTGACTAGGTTTTACGGTCACGTGAATCATTGCTAAATTTATTTATACTAAGCGAGAATAGTTATTAATAAGAATATATCTTAGATTTAAAATATTGGCATAGTTTTGATTAATTTAAGGTGTTTCTATCTCTATGGAAAGCTATTATTATAAGGATAATCAATTTTTATTTGAATCAGAGGAAAAATAAGCTGAAAATTTAGTAAAGTTTTTTTGCATTAAGAATGGCACAGAGTCAGCTTTTTAAAGTTTCTGGAAAACGATTTACGCAGATTCTGAGTGTAACCATGCTAGTTACTATGTCAGTTTACTGCTTCAGAAAAGAATATATTAGTGCAGATCCTTTAAAAATTGGTATTCCGAATCCTAACATGTTTTCAAAAATTTTGTCCCGTGAAGAGCAAATAGAGAAACTTAAATCTCATCCTAAGAATGATGGTAATGAATATGATCTTTTGGTGATTGGAGGAGGTGCTACGGGAGCAGGGTGTGCATTAGATGCTGCTAGTAGGGGATTAAAAGTAGCCTTAGTTGAAAAATATGATTTCTCTAGTGGAACAAGCAGCAAAAGCACGAAATTAATACATGGGGGTATACGATATTTGGAAAAAGCGTTTACGGTATGATTTTTTATATTTAAATTTTAAATTGAATTAAATATTAATATTCAATTAATATATTTAAAAAATGCCTTGTTTTTAAATAAGATAGATTTAATTTTTTCTAATATGTTATTAGACATTAGATTGGGACCAATATGCTCTTGTTCAAGAAGCTTTGCATGAAAGATCAATTTTTTTATATAATGCACCGCACTTAGCATTTATTTCTCCAATAATGATTCCTATTTATAAGTATATATAAAATTTTTTGTTTATGTTTAACTGGTTTAGATGGTGGAAAGTCCCTTATTTTTGGGTAGGAGTTAAAATATATGATTTTCTAGCTGGTGATAAAAATACGAAATCGTCTTATTTCTTAACTAAAGCGAAGACTTTGGAAAATTTTCCTATGTTAAGAACTAATGATTTGGTTGGAGCTTTAGTATATTATGATGGTCAGCATAATGATTCACGTATGAATATTGGTTTAATATTAACCTCCGTATTATATGGAGCAAATGTTGCAAATTATGTTGAGGTTTTTGAATTCAAAAAAAATGAAAATGGGAAGATTTGTGGGGCAGTAGTTAGAGATTGTTTAACTGGGGATACATGGACAATTGCAGCTAAAGTTTAATATCTTTGTTTATTTAAAATATTTTTGACTTTAATAGGGAGTAATAAATGCTACAGGACCTTTTGCAGATATTTTAAGAAATCTTGATTCTTCATTAACCCCAAAAATGCTATCTTTATCATCCGGGACGCATATAATTCTTCCTGGATATTATTCTTCGCCTAATATTGGATTTATTGATCCTAGTACATCTGATGGACGTGTGATTTTTTTTTTACCATGGTATTATTATATGGATATTATATATATATATGTTTTTTGACATTGTTTAGGCAAGGAAATACTCTTATTGGAACTACTGATTCTCCTACTAAAATTTCATTCGATCCTACTCCTAAAGAAGAGGAGATTTCTTGGATTTTGTCTGAGGTTAAAAAATACCTCAGTCCTGAATTTATTGTTAGGAGAGAGGATGTGCTTGCTGCTTGGTCTGGTATTAGACCTTTGGTTCATAAACCTGGCTCAAAAGATACAAGGAGTTTAATAAGAAGTCATATAATAGACGTCAGTGATAGCGGGCTTTTAACTATTTCTGGTGGAAAATGGACAACATATAGACGAATGGTAAATTTATTCGTTTATATGTTCATTTATTTAATATAGTTGATAGGCAGAGGATACTATTGATAGGGCTATTAAGGAATTTAATCTTAAGCCTTCTTCCGCTAAATGTTTAACACAAAATGTTCAATTAATAGGGGCATCTGGATGGAGTGATACACTTTATGTTTCTTTAATCCGTCAATTTGGAATTGATTTAGATATTTCAAAATATTTGTCTGAAAATTATGGCGATCGTGCTTCTTCTGTTCTTAATATGTCAAAGTTGACAGGAAAAAGAGGACATGTTAGAGGAATTAGGTTAAGTGATAAATATCCTTTTATTGATGGAGAAGTTCGTTATGCAGTTAGAATGGAATATGCTCAAACATGTTCGGATGTTTTAGCAAGACGAACGAGGTATGTTTTTTTAAACAATATTAAATAAATTGAACAAGTTTAGGTTAGCATTTTTAGATGTTCTAGCTTCATTAGATGCCCTTCCTAAAGTTATTGATATTATGTCTGAAGAATTAAATTGGTCCGAAACACGTAAAGAACTTGAATGGAAAAATACAATTGAATTTTTATGTTCTATGGGTCTTTCTGAAACAATGAGAAATTTAACAAGAGCTGATGTTGAAAATGGTAATTTTTAGGAATATAAATAGTATTAATTATTTTTATTCGAAGAGCATAATACTTAAAAAGTATGATGAAAATAAGTAATTTGTAGTAAATTCTATTATATAATGACATAGTTTTCATTTTTATAATATCCGGGTATGATTTAAAATGCGATTTTGTAAAATTTATTTATATTCACTATAACTTATTTATTTTTTTTAGTTTATTTTTATTAACATTTTAAGTAATTGCTCCTGAATACTAATTTTTATATTATAAAATATTTTATAATTTTTTAAATTATATTGATTTAAAATATTAATACTTTAAAAAAGTGTTCAGAAATTGTAGTCTAAGATAAAATATGTTGAATTTAAAATATTATCCTTAAAAATAAAATATGTAATGCTTTAATTAAAAATATTCAAAAATGTCTAGTATTTTAATTTGTAAGTTAAATCTATATAATAAACATATCAAAATAATCTAAATTATATTATATTTAAAGTAAGATTATATTAAAACATATAACACTGGAAATTAATATATTTTTACTTTATTTCAGTATAAGATATGCAATATTAAGCTAAATGCTGGTTGATTTAAAATACAAAGAGAAAATGATGAATTTATTGTAAGAAAAGATTGCATTTTATTTCAGTTTATTGATAAAATTCTATTATTTTATTAGATTTTATGAAAATAAAAATATTTTGGATTAACCTGAAAAAAGGTTTTAAATTGTTTTGCATTTAATTGTTTAAGTGCTTCAACATACTCTTTAGCGATTTCCTGAGGGATGTTTACTGATGGAAAATATATGTTATACAAATATCTTTCAAATTCTATTTCTTTTTTTTTAAATATTGTAAATTGAAGATTTGATATTTCACTTAATACCTAAAAAAATAAAAAAAACTCTTAAGTTAATCTAAACCTACTATAATGGCCTGAGTATCTCTTGGATTAAATGATTGCTTTGAAGGGACTTCAAAACAAAGAGAAGAAAGAGAATGAAATATAAATTGATCAAATCCGGGAACAATTTTTCTAGTTTTAATATCACTAATATGAGATTGATCAGATGCCCATGCATTAACCATTTTATTTAAAATAGAAAAAGCGATTTTTTCTGTAGAAGGATCCGATATGTCCGCAGCAAAGTGGATAATACTTCGAAGGAAAGTCTCAAAATTTGGTTGATTAACTTTAAAAATCAATAAAAAGATATTAAAATACTAAAAACTTACTATCACTTACACAAACAGTATCTAAATCATTATTCATTAATGCAAGAACAAATTCGAGGTACTTTTTTCTGAGATCATTATGAATAATAATGTCATCTGTTCCTTCAGTAGACTCATTAAGAGATTGGAAAATTCTATTTAAAAGAGGCATAAATAAACTATTTAATATATCATATATATTTGACTAATTAAGTGTTAGTTATTAAAGATTTTTATATTTCAAAACCTTAAATTTATGAACAAGGAGACCAATAAATGGAAGGAAATCTATTAATTCAGGTGTTTTACTTTCCGATAATAATCCGTTTATTAAACGTGGAAATTTAGGCAATACCTCTAAATCGAGTATGTTTGTTAATCGTGCAAAAGAGAAACGTGCCTGTTATATAATAATTAAAAAAAAAATAACATATAATATGATATTAACAGCTTCTCTTATTATTTCTTTATGTTTTAATGTTTCTAGAGCAACGAGTATAACCTCACTTGCTTGTAAAAAAGTTTTTGAAATAGAATCTATAGCGGGAAATTCACGAGATATATCAGGAAACCCCTTTGAAAAATTGCCAATTGCCATAATAATATGATAAATATATAAAACATTAATATCATTATCTCTATCACTAGAAAGATATTTTTGAAAATCTGAAAAAAGAGGCTCAAGAATAGACTATTGTAAAAATTAGACTTTATGAAAAAATATAGAAGGATTAAACATAGGTCAAAGATATTTTTTTTTCTTTACTTATTGTGTTTGTAGATATAAGTAACCCTGCTGCTTCAAAAAGATAAAATGTGCTTTCAAATAAACCTTTAATAGGAGTGATATCAGTATTAATACCATTGTTGATATTAGTTTCTGGTATAGGTTCTAGTTTTATTGTTAGCAAATCGCGAATAGCTTCTAATGTAGTTTCTGAGAAATTTTCTATCCTATTTGAAAGAAGACGAAGATACTTCAAAAATAAATAAGGTGCTCTTTTTTTTATATGAGTATTATGATGACGGAGTCCACGATGATCAAGCATAGTTTCAAGAACTTTAGGAATAAGTGAAGGCTGATATTCAAAAAATGATGCGTATCTAACAGTAATTTCTAAATAATGAAGTTGAATAGATGGATGAGGATAAGACGATACTTCTGAATTTATTATTATTCCAAGTAATTGTCCTAATACAGTAGGCGAGTCATTATCATTATTATCTATATATGCGAGAACTTTTGTATATTTAGATTAGAAATATTAAATTTGGTCATTGATATACCTTTTAAACCTTCTCCAAATGAAAACACTTCATACAAAATAAGCTCTAAATGTCTCCAATTTGCTTCTGAAAATGCTTTTTCTAACCCATTTGTGACTAGATGTAGAATGCAATTACAATAAAGATTATAATCAATAGAACTTATCATATCTTGAAAAGTACGAAGTTTTTTTCTCATTTCTAGAAATTCAATATATTCATCTGTTTTTTTATCATTTAACCAATCTAAAGATTCATCGTATTTTGTTTTCATAATCAAGGCATTTAAAATAGATTCTAATAAATTTTTTCGAGAAGACTCTATTTGTCCTATTTTCTTTTGTTTTCGGAACTAATATTAATTAGAAACATAAATATTAAGTTAATTTTGACCAAAGCCAATAATTCTGTTAATGCAGGAAAAACTGCCGATGATGTCTCATCATATTCATCAGAAAGAAATCGTAAAAGAAAAGGAACTGTGTTAAAAAGAAGAGAATCTACTCTTAAATAAGCCTCTTTCGATAATGAATTCTATTATTAATGGTTAGTGTGTATTTATTTAATAAAATTATTCACATCGCTAAATATGTAAATAAGTTCAATAATTTGAGAATTGATAAGTTTTGCAAGATTTTCAGTAAAATCCGCATCTTCGCTTAAATCCAGTTTACTTGTGTGATCTACAATATTAAGTAAAAATATAAGCTCAAGCTTATCGAGATATTTCATTTTTTTGCTGATAATTTCAACTAAAGTTTCACATGCTATATTACGAAGTTGTTTATCACCCAAAAGTCCAAAAACAAAACTCATGTACGAATTATTAACAATCAAAGATATATCAATCCATGCTAGTCTGGTAAATTTATTTGATTTACTTATTTTTTTAAATTAACTTACAAATATATTTACCTACTACTTTCATACAAAGTTCGACGATATTTTTATTTATTTGTTGATATTCAATCATAAGTCTATACCATGAGTCTGCTAAACGATGCATATCATTTTGACGAATTTTGTTTTTAAGGGTATTGTTTCTATGAATCTCATCAAGCTTTCTAGGAATATGTTGATCAGCAATTTCTTCATGAATAGAAAGAAGAATTTTAAGATAGAATTCAGCAGCTTCTGGGCAAGTTTTTCCATTTTGTGATGAAGAATCTTGTATAAGAGAAAGAATATCCGAAAAAAAAGATGACCAAGATGTAGTATATAATGTAATGAATATAAGAGAAAAAAAATGTGAAAGTTTATTACGCAAAACTAAGATAGTTATAAAAAATGTTATAAATTGGAAGTTTTACAAGGAGGATCCATAGTTTTTAGTCTTATTGACGAAAACTCTTGTGTAATCCATTCAAATATTTGGTTTTTTATAAAATCTAGAGATTCTGGTGTTAATTCATTAACCCTGTTATTAAATATAAATTTTTGAAAATAAAATTAAAAAAAAATTAATACCTTGATTTAATGGCATACTCCAGAACTTGCAAAGCAAAGAGTCTCGTTTCTTCTGATCTATTTAGAAAAAATATTAATTATATTGATTATGTAATTACAAAAAAATTACTTTTTAGGTATTTTTGTAAAAAGAGTAAGACATATTTGCCATCCTTCTGGACAATTTTTTATTTGATCACAAAATGCAATTGCCTAGTCTTAATTAATATAATAGTAATAGTTATAGCATTCCATAAGAGCTTGTTGTTTTAAAGAAAGATCTACGTCTGGTTGAAATACTATATTAATTGCTTGATCAATACTCTCTTCCATTTAAACTTTTTTAGTATATTTTTTTATATATTTTCTGCCAATTTATTTAATATTTTAATTTCTTTTAAATAGTTTTGATATAATATTTAAATGAAATTTGATATCTATCTATATCTATTTATTTATATATATAGATATATAGATAGATAACGCTGAATATGGGCTCAAATAAATGTATTTAAGTATTTATATTTCTTATTAAAAATATTGTCTTCCAAAAAATATTTCAAAAACTAAAAGGTTTTTTCTAGTGATTTTTAGACGTTTCGGAAAATCAGGGTTCAAAACAATAAAATTTAATGATTAAAAATCAATAAAAATAATTAAATAAAAGGGATTTTTATAGGGTTATTGTATTCAAGCATTATAAGTTCTTTTTGTTATTTATTTTATTTTGGATTGATATTAGATATAAAGTTTTAAATTAATATTGTATATATTTACTTTCGAAAAAATTTTGGAGGTGATAAATATGGAAACAGGAAAAAATTCTCAGGATTCTTCTCAATGCTTAAAGAAAGGATTACGTGCACAACGCCTGCAAGATCTTCTAGACAAATCATTATCACAAACTGTTAAAGCATGTAGGTAAGATTAGCAAATAAAGATAATATTTAAATGTTTATATAAATAGTTATGAACAGATTGCAAAATGCTTCCCAACGTTAGCTAAAAACTCACCTGAAATCCTGAAGAATGCGCATGAGCAGGTTATTTCATTTTTGAAAAGTTCATGTGATGTATTTTATGAAATGATGATTAAGGAATTTTATTTACTAAGAATAGAGAGAGTTTTCAGCTATTTTTAAGGAAAGAGATGTTGTTTCTAGGTTAAATGAGCTTGATGGAATTATAACAGATGCAAAATCTCGTCAGGAAAGAGGAGATCCGTCAACTGTTTTGTAAGGATACTTAGTTTTAAATTATAGTAAAATTGAGTGTTGCAGATCTGCTTTTCTATCTCCAGAGAACATTATCAACTCGTATCTCTATCCTCTTATGATAAAAGAACATTCGGTTTTAAAAAATCAATTAGAAACTGTATATTTTACATTTTTATTTTATAATTAATATTGACTGTATTTTTAGATACAAATGCAAAATGCTGATTTTTATGAAAAAATATCTTCTCAACGTGAAGAAATAATCCAATTGATTACTTTTATGAAGAAAACAATTGAAGAATTAGATCTTGCTGTACAACGTTCTATTCAAACACCCATACAGACTCTTCAAGCACAAATGGATGAAATAGTGCCAATTCTTCAAGCGGGATTATAGTTTTTTATCAATAATATTGTTGCTTTTTTATTATTTTAATACTTTTTCATGTTCGGTTTAAATGATCTTCTCGTATAACATTATAAACTTATGTATATATCTGCGTAGTATTTGGTAAATGATTTTCTATCTATAATTTTTATTATCTATTTTTTTGTTTTTTTTTTCATATTTTTATAACTGTTTATTGGTTTTGCTCGATGACATGTCAAAATCATAAATGAGACTAGTTTCATTGAAAACCTTTCATGTCATCTTTAATAAAGTCTCATATATCCCAGGTAAATTTTTCAAATTACTACTATAAGTCCGGTACTAATACTAGAATTAGGAGCTTCTCGTCCATTCTGAAATTTCATCTTTAGCTTCTACATCATCAAAAGATCAGTTTTTGCAAAAAGTAGAGGAGCTTTTGTTTCTTAATGCTGCTCATATGGAATGCCAACGCTTTAAACTATCTGAGAGTAAATCAAATGAAATGTATGAATTAAGTTTTAGAGCACGCTTGGAGCGCGCAGAAAAAAGACGTTATGTGGGACAGGATGCTGAATCAAAGTGCAAGAAATACAATAAGATCATATAAGAATAGTATAGCTATAAATTTTTGTCGCTATATTATATATTACAGATTTTATCTTTTAGAAGATAACTTTTTTAATTTGTTTTTTTAATGTTTTTTTGATATTCATGATGCTTTATAGTGTTCTAATTATATTCAAAACGTTTTATTTTTTTCACAATGCATTAGTCTTCACATATTTTTATTCATAAATCAACTATTCATATCCCTTTCTCATCCTTGTTTTTAATCTTGTTATATAACTGTCTTAAGGGTTTCATATAGAATGATTATTTTTAGGGTTAACCCTCACTTTTTAGTAATGATTTTTTAATTGAAATATAATTTAAAATATACAAAAATTTATAAGATATTCTAATAAAAAGAGATCAACATGGAAAAGCTCTCCCTGGATGAGATTGGATGGTTTTTTGTTCAAGAATACTATACATTTTTAAATAAAGAGCCTAGAAGACTTCATGTAAGTGATTTTTCAAAAAAAAGGTAGCTAAATAATTATTTATTGTTTCTAGTGTTTTTATACTAAGAAAAGTACATTTGTTCATGGAAATGAGGGTGAGATTGTTAAACCATGTTCTGGACAGCAGGTATGTATTTCTAAATCCATAGAATAAATGAAATATATTATAAAAGTTGTTGCTTATTATTTAAACCGTTTCTTGTGTTATATATAGTCTTGATTTAACATATGTGTTTTTTAGGAGATTCATAAAAAAATTCTTGAGCTTGGATTCTCTGATTGTAAAGTTCTTGTTTCCAATGTTGATTCTCAGGCATCGGCTAGTGGTGGAATTGTGATTCAAGTTTTGGGTGAAATGAGTAATTGTGATGGGCCTAGTCGAAAATTTGCTCAAACATTTTTTTTGGCAGAACAGCCTAATGGATATTTTGTTCTTAATGATATTTTTCGATATCTTAAGGAAGATATAGATATTGAATTATGTGATGGGGAATGTCATTCTTATTCTTTAGATTTTAGGAATGATATGTTGCCATCTTGTCTTGAAATTAATGATAAAACGCCTCTTATACCAGAAGAAAAATTTGCAAATGTCTCCATTCTTTCTCATGATAATAATCCTAATTTTCAATCTAATCAACTTTGTACAATTACTGAGCCATCGCAGGAACTCACTTCTGTTGTTTCTACAACTGATGGTCATCATGAAATTTCTTATGAAAAGCCGTCTTTAGCTTCTTCATCTGAGAAAATATCTTCAATTGAGCATATACCTGGTTATCTACAAAACAGTACTTTTAACACTCTAGAATCTCAGTCTGCTATGTATGAATCGTCAACAATATCTAGACCTAAGACCTGGGCAAATCTTTTTGATAAACCTCCTATCCATGAAAACAAAAAAGTATCTTCTGTAGTCAAGCCAATAATTACTTATCCACAACCTACTTTGCCTCTTGAACGTGTTCCTGCTGGTTCTATTTCAGGTAATTTTTTTTATTATAATTCTTGATTTTTATTTTTTGTAAGTTTTTGTAAAAAATGTTAAGGATAGAATTTCTGAAGAAGATTTAAGACATGCTTTATCTAAGTTTGGGGTTGTTCATTATATCGAACTTAAAAGAGAGAAGGTTAGGTTATATATATATATATACGTATATATTGATGTTAATAGAATTGTGCTCTTGTTTATTTTGAAACAGCTGCAGCAGTTGCTTCTGCAATTGCTGCAAGTTCAGTAAAAATTAATAAGGATACGGTATTAATTGAAGAAAGAAGGAATAACTATGATAGAAGTAGAAATATTAATGGAGAGCGTCGTATTAATGGACGAGAGTATACAAAATATGGTGATGAAAAAAGAATAGGTAATGATAGACGTGGATATTTAAATAAAGATAAGAGGACATGATAAAAGATAATTGGTTTTTGTGTATGTTGTGAACTACTATACATACCAATATATATTATCTTAATCTATAATAAGAAATATAATATATATATATTCTCTTTTTCGCGTATTATATATTTTTATGTTACTAACCTTGTATATAATTATCAAAACTGAATTTTTTTATATAGCAATATTTTTATTTATAAGTTTTGTAATCTAAATTAAATTATCTTTAGAATAATTTATTAATTTCTGAATAATATATAATGATTAAATAATCATTAGATTTAGCTTAATACATGATTTTATTTCTCTATATGTTTTTTTAATAGAATTTTATTTAAAAGTATTGTTTTATAAACGCGCGTTTTTTATTTTTATAAATATATATCTTACAATAGCTAAGTACTAGTATTTATATATATTATAAAGGTTTATTTATCTCTTTGTTTACATGTTATCAGACATACGACTATTTATTAAATACATAAATAAATGTTATATTTATATATATTATTATTGGCATTGATACATTAATTTCTATAAAGCTAAAAAAAAGTATTTTTAATGTTTATCCTTTATTTTCTTTAGTTTTTAAATTATTTTTTTTTATCTTTTTTTTTCTAGCCTTATGGTTATCTAGATTGCTAGATGTTTCGAGCAAGTTCTAACCTAACCGACTTGTATGGGTCCTTAGAGAAAGTTATAAAAAGGACGCGGAGAACTGAAAATGAATTCGATAAAGACAATATAGAAAAAATTGGGAAGAGCAATGGCACAAGTTGAAGAGTTTCAGTTTCAGGCAGAGATTTCTCAGTTAATGAGCTTGGTATGTTAAATAGATTAGTGAATGTGAGTCGTTTTAAGATATTAATTGATATTAGATCATTAACACAGTATATTCGAACAAAGAAATCTTTTTGCGTGAACTCATCTCCAATGCATCGGATGCGTTAGATAAGATTAGATATCAATCTCTTTCAAATCCATCTGTACTTGATTCTGAAAAGGATCTTTTCATTCGCTTAATTCCAAATAAAGATACTAAGGTCCTATGTATTCGCGATTCAGGCATTGGTATGACGAAGGCGGATCTTGTTAATAATCTTGGGACTATTGCTAAGTCTGGAACAAAGGCATTTATGGAAGCTGCTATGAGTGGTGTTGATATTTCTATGATTGGTCAATTTGGCGTTGGGTTTTATTCTGCATACCTTGTTGCCGATAAGGTTCAGGTTATTTCGAAGCATAATGATGATGAGCAGTATATTTGGGAGTCTTCTGCTGGTGGAAGTTTTACAATAAGATGTGATACCGAAAATCCACCCCTTGGCCGTGGAACAGAGATTCGCCTTTTCATGAAAGAGGATCAAGTGGAATATCTTGAGGAAAGAAGAATTAAGGATATTGTCAAAAAGCATTCTGAATTTATCAGTCATCCTATTGGTCTTGTTCTTACAAAAGAGGTTGAAAAGGAAGTTTCTGATGATGATGTTGATGATATTGATGTTGATGCTGATGGCGATAAGACTACTAAAATTGAGGAAGTAGATGATGAGTCTGAAAAGAAGGAGAAAAAGGTTAAGAAGATCAAGGAATCAAAGCAGGATCTCGAGGAACTCAATAAGACTAAGCCTTTATGGACACGTAACCCTTCTGATATTAGTACAGAGGAATATGCAGCTTTTTATAAGGCATTATCAAACGATTGGGAAGATCATCTTGCTGTTAAGCATTTTTCGGTTGAAGGCCAGCTTGAATTCCGTGCTATTCTTTTTGTTCCCAGGAGGGCACCATTTGATCTTTTCGAGTCTAAGAAAAAGAAGAATAATATCAAGTTATATGTTCGACGTGTCTTTATTACTGATGATTGTGAGGAGCTAATTCCGGAATGGCTTTCTTTTATTAAGGGTATAGTCGATTCCGAAGATCTTCCTCTTAATTTATCTCGTGAAATGCTTCAACAGAATAAGATTCTTAAGGTTATTCGCAAAAATCTTGTTAGGCGTGTTTTGGATCTTATAGGTGAAATCTCTGAAGATAAAGAGAATTTTGCCAAGTTTTACGAAGCATTTGCGAAAAATCTTAAATTGGGTATTCATGAAGATTCTCAAAATCGTGCAAGACTTGCCACTTTTCTTAGGTTCCCTTCTACCAAGTCTGGTGATGAGCCAACGTCATTGAATGATTATATTACAAGAATGCCCGAAGTTCAAAAGAACATTTATTTTATTACTGGCGAGTCTTTAACTTCTGTGTCATCTTCTCCATTTTTGGAGATTTTTAAGCAAAAATCTTTTGAGGTTTTGTTCATGGTGGATCCTATCGATGAATATGCAGTTACTCAATTGAAAGAATATGAAGGGAAAAAGCTTGCTAATATTACTAAAGAAGGGTTGGAGATTGAGGAAACGGAGGAGGAGAAGAAGGCACGTGAAGAAGAAACCAAGCAATATAATGAGTTATTGACACACGTTAAAGATATTTTGGGCGATAAAGTCGAAAAAGTTGTTTTGTCCAATCGTATTACTGATAGTCCTTGCGTTTTAGCTACAGGACAGTTTGGTTGGAGTGCAAATATGGAACGAATTATGAAAAGTCAGGCTCTTCGGGATCCAAGCATGTCTTCTTATATGGCATCCAAAAAAACAATGGAGCTTAATGCTAGTCATCCTATTATCAAGGAGCTGAAACTCAAGGTTGCTGCTGATAAGAATGATAAGACGGTCAAAGATCTCGTGGTTTTGTTATTCGAGACATCTCTTCTTACATCTGGATTTTCTCTTGATGAACCTTCAAACTTTGCTTCTCGTATTGTCCGATTAATTTGTGTTGGATTAGGCATTGATGATTATGTCGAGATTAAGGATGAAGAGATGCCTGCTCTTGAAGATGCTGCTGCTAATACTACTTGCAACTTGGAAGAAATTGACTAAGTCGAATCAGAATTCTGTAAAGATTGCTCTTTTTTTTGCTGTTAAGAGTATTCTTTGATTACAAAGATGTGCATAATTTTATCGAGTTTTAAAAATTACTATTTTAGCTTATAGATTTTGGTAAATTTTTATAGATTAGAAAATATATTTCATCACTATATTTTTGATATTTTTATATTATACTTTTGCTTCAGAAATCTGATTCTTTTTAATGTGTTTTTAAATGAGGTTTTTATTTATTTTTCTTGATCTTTTGAAAATATTAGTTTTAAAATTTGAAATACTTAATACAAAATTATGTATTTTATTAAATTACTGGATAATATGGAGTTTCCAGATCTTGATGCAGATGCCAGGATTCAGTCCACAAATGATGAGGCATTGAGTAGTAAATGGTAGGTTGGCTTATACATTTTAAATGTTTAGTTGCATTATAAAATTTAATTAATATTTTAGGTCTGCTGTACAAGCGGGATATTTTAATGATCCTTTTATTAAATATATGATAAAAGATAAAATAAAAGTAAAAAAGTCGCCAATTATCAATAGGGGTATTATCAGAGTAATTTATAGTAGTATTTTTGGTTAATTTTTTTAGGTACTTATATAAGAACAATGGTTATTGATAAATTTATAAATTCGTTTTTACAATTTGTAAATCCTTTAGAAAAAAAACAAATTATTTCTTTTGGTGCTGGATCAGATACAAGATATTTTAATATTATGGTAATTTTTGTATTCTTTAGGAATATAATTGAAGAGTATAAAGTCGACTTTAGGAAAAACTGCAAACTTTATTTTTCATGAATTGGATTTTTTTGCGGTTACTCAACGCAAAGTATCTATTATTTCTAAAACTCAAGTACTTCTTGATATTATTAAATCATCTTGCGATACTCCTGATGATTTAGAAATAAGTATAGAAATACTGAAAGAGAAAAAGGATTCTAATTTCAAAAGATTTGCATGAAGGGACTATATTGTCTCCGAGTTATTGTATTCATCCAATTGATCTGAGAACTCTTACATCAATACCTTTACCTTCTAAAATCGATGATAATCTTCCAACGCTTATATTATCTGAATGTTGTCTCGTATATCTTGAGCCTCAGGAGGCAGATCAATTGGTGCAATGGTCTGTAAACACATTTTCTTCTAAAGGGTTGGGAATTGTTATATATGAACCTATTAAAAATTTTGATTTATTTGGTAAAATGATGGTTAAAAATCTTGCAGTAAGTTTTTATTTTTATTTTTAATATATTCTCAAGAATTTAGTCTAGAGGGATTAGTTTTAAAACTTTAGATAAGTATTCGACAATAGAAAAGCAATGTATTAGACTTTTTGACCTTGGATTTACTGATTATCAAAATGCAGTTACTATAAAACAAATTTATGATGAATGGTTTGATCATTATGATAAAATGAGGTAATTTATATATATATATATATATTAAATGCAATAATCTGTTAAGAATTTCAAAAGTAGAACTTTTGGATGAAATAGAAGAATGGGATTTGCTTGCAAGTCATTATTGTGTTGCTTGGGGATGGAAAGATGAACATGGAAATGGCTATTTTAAAGAATGGTGTAAATTCTAATTTAGTGTCTCCGTTTAATTATTAAATTGAATGTTTGATGCTTATATTTATTAAATTTATTTATATCTTAAAAATTTAGAAAATAGTAAATATTGGATTCTTGATATTGATCTTTGTTGCTTTTTAAGTTCATCGAATATAAATAATATATAGTTTTATATAAAAATCTTACAGAATACAAATTTTTATAAATCTAAGTCTATACTTTGATATTTTGGATCATTGTATAATATTTAGTGTTTAAGATCTTAATTTTTAAAAAAATATTTTAATGATATATAAATTAGGTCTTTGCACTTTTTTCAATTTATTTAATTTTGTTTAAAGTTTAAATTTTTAATAATAGCATTATTGTATATACTTAATATTTTTTGAAATTGAATTCACAAGACGTTATTATTAATAATATTTTGTAATAGATAATGGATGAAGATAAAGAATTTGTTGGATTTTTGTATGAGAATTGTTATAGTTATGATTTTGAATGGTCTGATGGTAATGATAAGTGTAAAAAAGAAATGACAGAAGATACGTTTTTGGAGCAAAAAAAAACATGGAAACCGAAAATTGAAGATAAATATGTAAGATATCTTATTAAATGACATTTTAGATGATTTATGATGTATTAGATTCTTTCAAAAACACCTAATCCTATTCCTCGGCCTGCTGATAAATTTTCTCTAGCAATATTGAAATCAGCTGCTGAAGAGCAATATTATTTAAGAAATTATCAAAAATCACTTGATTATGTTAATGATCTTTTGAAACCTAAGGATTCTAATCTTAAAGAAGATTATGAACTTTGTGAAAAAGAGAAAAAACAAATGAATTATTTAAGAAATAAGTGTCTTGAAAAGTTATTAACTTAACTTTTATGATAAGTTTAACTATGGAATTAATTTAATTTTTAAAATGACATTTCTGTATGTTTTTATAATATTGGACAATGCTTTATAATTATTATATAATAATGATTTTATATGGTAAAATAAACTGTTTTTATCATTTTTTTATAATTGAATTTATAGAATTTGATATAAGTTTATTTTTTTAATAAAGTATTCTTTATAGAAATTAACTCTAAATACATGCTATATTTGTCAATGATAATCAATAAATATATTATTTATGGCTTTTTATAATTGTTTTTTAGAATTTTTTGTTTGTATATTAGAAATAACAAAGCAATTATTTTCAAGAATTTAATATATTGTATTTCTTTTTAGTTAACAATATAATTTTTTATTTTTAAATTGATAATTTTATAGTGCAGATATAATTATTGATTTTTTTTTATAATTTCTTTATATTAATATCTAATTAATAATTATAGTTATTTTTAAAATTATATTTAATGATTGTGTGTTAAAATAATTAGATATAAGATAATTTTCTGTTAGATAATAATTTTGTTTTACATTATTTTTTAAATAAAATAGACTAATTTATTGTTTAGATTTTATTTAAATAATATATTTTTGGAGAAATTATTTATATTATGATTTATAATGTAAATAGTTTTAAATTATTGATTTACTATTAGAAAATATTACATGATAATAAAAATGAAAACCTTTTATTTTAAATTTTGGTAATAAGCTATTTTTTTTATGTTTTTTAAAAGATGGAATTAATGATTTTGTACTAATGAAATTTTTGGTTTTTTTTTCTAAATTTTAAAATAGTATTTTTTGGAAAAATATGTCTTAATATTAAATTTTGTATAAAAATACTAATTATATTTGACATTGATTAAAATACCGATTAATTTTTATAAATTGTTGAATATTTTATTAGTTTATAATGAAAATCATGGTTATTTTTATAGATAAATTAATATAATTTTAATAAGTAGAGTATTAAAATCATCAGATTTAAGATTTTAATTACAAAATATGCTATGAATATTTTTTAAATAGTTATGCAATTAAAATCTATATTCATAATTTTTATATCTATTTGTAATTATGAAGATACTGTATCATATGTTTTTTTTTGAAAAGTTAAATCTATTTTATTAAAAATAAGATTTAAAGTTTGTATAATTTAAATATAATGTAAAATTCAGAATTTAATATTTAAAAAATAAATTCTAAATATTTTCATTAATAATATAATTGAAAAACATGTTTAAATCTTTTTTTATATTTAAAAATGCGAATAATTTCTATTTTTAAAAGTTAGCTATTTTTACTAAAGACATTAATAAAATTAAAGATTTTAGTTAGATATAAATAGAATTAGATAAATTTAAAATGACTAAAAATTCTATTCTATTTTATTATTTAAAACCGCTTTTTTTTGAATTAAGTATACTTAGAATAAATCATTTAAAGTAGCTTATTGTACATTTTGTTTAAATATTTTGAATACAATTTCTATAGATATGGAATCTAGAAAAAAGTATTTAATTGTTTTAAATTACTATATCAGAATGATAGCTTTTTATATGTCTTTTTAGATCATACTCCCTTAAAAACTGCCATTTACATCCTTGAACAAGGCATGAAATGTCTCTACCGCTCTCTGAATAATCAAATCCTGTTAAAAGACTTACGGGCCCAACTTTAGCTGCTACTTTTGAACGTATTTTTTTTATATAATTTTCTTCGGATTGATTATGAAGATATAATTTGTGTGCTATCAATAATTTTTTGTATCCAAATTTCATGCCACAGTTATCGATATTACATACAAATTCTTTCTTTTGTTCATGAACAATTTCGATATGTTTTTGGAGGGCAAAAGACTATGATTTTTAATAATAATATGCAAAACATAGAAAAATATTACCCTTGTAAAGCTTTTCTGACAATTATTTATAGAACAATGATATAATCTCCTTTCTTCCAAACTTTTTTCATGAACTTGTAAATGAAGTTTTAATTGAGTATTTGTCGAAAATTTCTTATTGCATACTTTACATATTACACAATGATCATTTTTTAAGTGTTTTTGTAATAATGACAATTTCGAAAACCCTTCTTTTTGGTTGCAATCTTCTATTTCACAAAAATAGCTTGGAATTGGTACATGAATACGAGATATGTGGGAGTTAAGTTTAGATCCTGTATCAAAAGATTTTTTGCATTGATCATATTCACAAAGAAATGGTTTTTTATGAGTATGTGTATTAGCAATATGGATTAAAAGTTGATGGTGTTTATGAAATTCCGCCGTACATGGTGGATATTTAGTACACTAACTGAATTAATGAATCTTTAAAAAAAATAAACAAACACCTTATAAGGGGTTTCCCTAAGATGAATTGCTTCATGTCTTTTTAAATGTTGATTTGTATTAAATCTTGCTATACAGTCTTTAAATCTACAAAAATATGGCCTTTCATTAATATGAGAATGAATATGTGCCTTTAAATGTGATTTTCTAAAAAATGCTTTTTCACATCCTTTATAATTACAGACAAATGGTCGCTTTACTCTTTTAATTACTGTATATAATATTTATTTTATATATTACCTCTCCCGTATGAGATCTTATATGTTCCTCGATACGACATGGCTTAGAATAAGCCTTATTACATCCTTCGAATGTACATTTATAAATCTTTTTTTGTCTTTTTTTTTTTTCAAAATCTTCTTCAATTGTTCTCTTAGTAATTTTCGTATTTTCTTCTTCTAAGTCTTTAATAAAATTTGTATTTAAAAACATTTATTATAATTTTTCTATTTTATTTTATTGTACTTTTTATTTTTTAACTTAAATATTTTTACGGCTAATATTTTTCCGGATATCATGTCTTTTTGTTAAAAAATCGTTTAAAAATGTCGGATTATGGGGGGGATGATGGGAATAGGTATATTTGTCTTATAGTTGCATTAGAATATATTGATTATTCTTTTCTAGATATGATTTTGATGAACCAACATTGGATGATGATGACTTTTTACCATTACCAGAAGAAGGAATTGATGAGAATTTAGATGAAATAAATGAAGAGGAAATAGGCGGTTCTAGAGGATTAAATGGATTAGGACAAGATGTGGATATGATGGAGAGTAATGAGTCAAAAGCTCGATTCTCGGGAAGTCGAGGAAAAGGAAAGGCAGTTCTTCCTGAAAATAGAGTGACAACGCCATATATGACAAAATATGAAAAGGCAAGAATTTTGGGTACACGTTCACTTCAAATAAGGCAAATAAGATAAACTTAAAGAAGGGATCTTATAGATTAATAAATGTATAGTATGAACGCACCAGTATTGGTAGATTTAGAAGGAGAAACGGATCCTTTACAGATCGCTATGAAAGAATTAAGCCAAAAAAAAATTCCACTACTTGTTCGAAGATATCTTCCAGATGGGAGTTATGAAGATTGGGCTGTAAGCGAATTGATTACTGAGTGAATAATAATATTTTTTTAAGAAAAAACAGGATGTATTATAGATAAGAATTAAAAATAAGATTGTGTATATAAATAGAAGAAATATATAGTTATAATTATGTATATAGGTAAAAGAGATATACAATTATGATTTTGATTAGGTTAAAAATTTTTCTCTTCTGATCCTGCAAGAGCATCTACTAGATCTTGATATTGAACAAAATTTCCGTTTACAAACTTCTTAAGAGCATTATCTACTTGATGTTCCGACATTCTTGAGCCCATAGTCATAAGAGCATCTTTTAAGTCATAAAAGTTCACTTTTCCAGAGTTATCTTCATCAAAAGTTTGAAATGCCTTCATAATCTCTTCTCTTGGAGATATTTCTGAAAGATATGTTGAAAAAAAGGTAAGATAGGCTGCGAAATTCAAAGGACTTGGTATAAGACTTAACATATAAGAAAGATCTGATGATGTTGGATTTTGACCTTTAAATCCCTTAGTTTTAAAAAAATCCTATCTATATAAATATTACCTAAAGAAACAAGCATTGCTTCAAGGTCTTCTTTGCTAATTATACCATTTCCATCTTTATCTAATAAAGCAAACGATTCTTTAAATTCTAAATAATATTAATTAAAAAAATAAAATATACAACTATTTTTCTATTACCATTGACTTGTGTTGATGTCAGTTGTGTAAATAGACCCGATGATGAACGTGTTTTTAATTGATGAGTTGGTGAGTTACAATAATCATTTGAATATGATTTTCGTAAAGCTTCTTTATTTTCCTATAGATTATTACTCTAATATTTTTGACTGCCCCCATATTAAATACCATTATTTTTCTTCAAATTTAAACTATTTGTTTTTAAAGTTTATAGTTATTTATATTGGGCTTTATGAAATGTTAACGTTTTGTAATTTTTTAATGTTTTGAAAATAACAAAATGAGTAAATGGAAGTTTCCTAGTACTTTAGGATTTAATTTAAGCTTTTATAACTATAAAATGAGTATATTTTGTTTTCATAAAACTTCAGATCTTAGAATAAAACGATATAATAAGTGGGTTAGATTTATGACGACTCGTTCTACTATTAGTAAGAAAGAGACAAAATTAATAAAAAAATCTTTTAACTCAAACATTATATTCATTGTGCTTCTTATTATTCTGGGATCTCAGGCGAATAATATTTTATCTATTAAGCAGGAATTTAATGAATTTGAAACACAGATTGATGCTAAAATATCTCACTTACGAGATCTTATTGATCGGATTCAAAGAGGAGAGAATCTAGATATTTCTAAGGAACTTGGTACAGGGATTGAGGAAAAGGAAAAGGAATGGTCTAAAGGTAAAATTTTATGTTTTGTAGAAAATGAATTTATTTTTTATTAAGTTATAGAACAAGTAATTAATGAAGATGATCAATGGGAACAAATTAAAATAAGAAAGAGGGAAAAGGGTTGATTATAATATTAAAAATATAGGATTTTTTTATGTATATATTTTAGTTATTTAACTATTGTTAGTTGGATGTTTTACAAATAATTGGGATTTGAGATGCTTTTGTGAAGTATTTTTAAAGTTGAGAATCATTTATAGTTGTTAATTTTATAATATTTTTGTTTAATATTCGTTCATGGTTGATATTATAAAATATATAGGAATTTTTGAAAAGTTGTGTTTATAATATTTGGAAAATAGTATTTAAAAAGGTTATATACGAGTTAATATTATATTTTGCAAATTTTATTTATTGAATAGATATTAATATATAGAAAAAAATGTTATTAATTTGAAATATAAAAATCAATTATTAAAGATAATTGTGCTATTGTAAAAGTATGTATTTATGGCGTATTTAACATTTTGGATATATTTTTTGCAAGTATTGATTATTAAAATAAGTATGTATATTAATTTTTTGTTAGTGTAAAATTCATAAATAAAATCAGATATAAAGATATTGATATAAAGTAAGAATATGTAAAAAAGTTAATTGCAGAATTTAATGTAGTCTTGAGAAAAACTCTATATCTTACTATGTAGTTGAGTATTTAAGAAAAATGAATGTGGATAATAAGTATAAATACAAAAAATATATATAAATAAAAGTGTTGGCAGAACTGATTCTAACCTTTTAAAAGATCGAGGCCAGTGCCCAGTATGTGCCATATCCTATATGCAGGTATAAATACATATAAACTATATTATAGATGTAGAAATGTATAAAAGATGTAGTTTTCAAATACCATGCATTCTGACTGATGATTTTAAATTCACTACTCTTTATAAATTACCAGGGTTAAGATAGGGTTTTTGCAATAGGGTTGAATAAAATATTATCTTTTATAGAAAAAAAGAATTTAGATTCAGGATATTTTGTGTTATGTAATGAGAAATAATGGATTGTTTTTTAGTAATTTATTAGAAAGAAAGTGAAATATTAAAATATTAAGATATATATTTTTAAAATTTTAAATATTGGAAATTTTGATTTTTATTAGAATATATGAGAATAACATATAAATGTTTTGAATTACCAGTTCTTTTTAATAATATCTATAATTTTAGATATGTTACTCATATATTTAATTATTTAAAAATATAGACTTTTAGGATGGATTTTAAAAATATAATATTTATCAATGATTAATATTATAAAAAAAGTATAAATTTATAGAAATTTATAAGTTTTATAAGTAAAATATCTTATAGGACTTCATATCTTTTATTTAAAATAAATATCTTAAATTATTACCTATATTTTGATACATATAAAAACATGTTTTAATTATATAGATATCCAAAAATAAATATGATATATAGATATTGTTCTAGAATAAATATATAATTTAATCAAATGATCCGAGTAAATTGAATTTTTTTAAAAATACTATAAATCTTTTTAGAATGATGTTTTTATGAACAATCTGCTTATGTAAAAAAATAGATAATATGTTTAATAAATTACAAAAAAATCTTCAATTAAATATATATAAATTGTATTTAGAAACCAAAGAAAAATATTATAATAAATATTGATAAAAAGATATTTTTTAAGATAAATCGTAGATGAAAAGTTCATCGGAACTAAAATGGGTGAATCACAGAGAAGAGTTTCCATGTTAGAAAAACCACAAGGTAAGATAATAATATTCGAAAATAATAGATATAGATAGAAAAGAAAGCTTTGAGATTTTATAGTTTTTATTATTGTATTTCTAAATGGTTTTAGGTGTCAATCTTTATGCCCGTTATGCCTTTTCTGGGGCAGTATGTTGTGCTATAACACATGGAGCTCTTACACCCGTTGATGTGTATAAGTTTTTTAAATATAGACGGCTATGTTTGACTTTTCTATTAGTGTTAAAACCCGAATTCAACTTGAACCAACTGTTTATAAAAATATGTTTGATGGGTTTCGACAAATTGTTCGTAATGAAGGGGCTGGCGCTCTTCTTACTGGCTTTGGTCCAACAGCAACTGGTTATTTCCTTCAGGGAGGTTTTAAGTTTGGTGGCTATGAATTTTGGAAGCAGTACGCCATTAATTTTTTTGTATGTTTTTTTTTTCATAAATCTTTCTCTTTTAATTGATTTAGGGAATTGAAACTGCTACAAAGAATCGTACTGCTATATATCTTGGATCATCTGCAATTGCTGAGTTTTTTGCTGATGTTGCTCTTTGTCCACTTGAAGCAACTCGTATTCGTCTTGTTTCACAACCTAAGTTTGCAACTGGTCTTGTTTCCGGATTCCTTAAAATTTTAAAAAATGAAGGTGTTTCGGCTTTTTATAGTGGATTTGGCCCTATTTTATTTAAACAAATTCCATACACTATGGTATGGCTTATAAAATAGATAAAGACCTTATTTACTTTATAGGCTAAATTTGTCGTTTATGAACGTGCAGCTGAAATGATTTATTCCTGTATACCAACTCCTAAAAATTTACTCTCTTCTGGTTCCAATACTTCTATTAATCTTGCATCTGGGTTGGCTGCTGGCATTGCTGGTTTGTTCTGATTTTATAAATTTAATTATCTTACGTCTTATTAGCGGCTATTATTTCTCAGCCTGCTGATACTCTTCGTTTGGTTCCTTTTGTATTTGCTAATATTAACTAATTTATTTAGTTTCAAAAATTAATAAGGTTCAAGCATTGCCTGGAGAAACCACTGTATCTCGTCTCTTCAAATATGCAAAAGAGCTTGGAATTCGTGGCTCATTTACTGGTCTTGGTGCTCGTGTTGTTATGGGTAATTTTTTTTATTTTTTTGATATTCTCTTATAGATATAGTTGGAATTCTTACTTCTGGTCAGTTTGCAATTTACGGTGATATTAAAAAGGTTTTTTTCATTGTTTTTTTTATCTTTTATAATTTAAATTTTAGGCTATTGGTGCCACTGGGGGTGTTGAAATATATCCCTCAAAGTAATAATGTATTTTTAATTGCTTTTTTAAGATTAATTCTACTTTTTGTACTAAGTAATGTGTTTTTAACTGATAAAAAGTACATGTTTTTTTATTATAAAAAAAATTATTCTTAACATATAATGATATCTTTTCTCATAAATCTATCGATCATCTAACTTCTTAACTGGAGGCTTGTTTTTGTATTATTTCTTCCAGATGAATATTTCTACTTAATATGAGATGATATTATAGCTAAGATGGATAAAACACAGGAAAATGAGAAGTGTCGCGTTGGATTTTCAATATCTCCATTTGATGACGAACATGCAAATCCGTTTGCAGATGCTGTTTCTCTTGGAAGAAAACTATCAGATGAGTTGGAGAATATAGAGAAATTGAGGACTTCTACATATAGTAATTCTCTTAAAATTTTATATGTTATTGAAATGTTTATAATACATTTTTAGGTGAGAAATCAGATCAAGATGTATCTTCTAAGCCATGGTTTACACCAAATAAATCACAACTTAATGTATCTTCTTTTCGTAGTTATAGTACCTGTCGTAGTCCTAAATCATGTCTACAAAATGTTGAACTGGATTATGATCCATTAAGTTACCTGGATGATACTGGTTCTACAAATTTAAATTTTTCAAATGATACCACTCATATATCATCTTTAACTGTTTTAAATGAGAAATCTCCTTTAATTGATAAACTGAAAAACATTGGTTTAGATGGTAATAGAGATCAAAAAATATATGAATTATCAAAAAGTACTTTATCTAATATTTTGAAAGAGCCACTTCATACATCTTCTGAGCAAAGTAATAAGGTTGTATTTACAGTTTCTGTGGGTGATCCTCGTATTGTTGGTGATATTGCTTCTGCTCATACTGTATATAAAATATTTACATGTGTATGTGATGCTATTTTTAAATAATAAATATATTTTTCTAATTTATTTTTTAGATAACATCTAATGCATCTAAACCTATTGAATATATTGTTAATAGACGTTATAAAGATTTCCTTTGGCTTTATAATTCTCTTCATTCGAATAATCCTGGTGTTATTGTTCCTTCTCCTCCTGAAAAACAAGCTGTTGGTATAAACTAGTTTTTCTTTATTTAAAAATTATATTAAGTTTTTTAGGCCGATTTCAGGAAAATTTTATTGAATTTAGGAGGCATGCTTTTGAACGTATGCTTAGAAAAATTGTTGCTCATCCTATTTTGCAAAATGATGCATGTGTTAAAATGTTTTTGGAATCTGATACATTTGCTGCAGATGTATATTTTATTGAAATACATTTACTTGAAGATAATTATTTTTTATAGATTAAAGTTAAAGAGAAAGTCCCTGTTCATGAAAGTAAAGGATTTATTAGCTCTATTGGCGAAGTTTTTACTAGAGGTGCATTTAGTGGGAAATATGTAGAACAAGACAATGTAAGTTAAAAGTTTAAATTATTTTTTAATCTAATTTTTAGTGGTTTAATGAGCAAAAGCAGATATTTGATTTATTAGATATTCAATTTAAAGGGATGTCCAAAGCTATTGATACTGTCGTTAGGCAGAAAAAAGGTTCAAATTTTTATGAATGATGTTTTATTGTCTTATTCTATTAGATCTTGCACAAACAACAGGAGATTTTGGACTTGCTTTGTCAAATTTATCTAATATAGAGTTGGATGAATCTTTATCTCTTGCTTTGATATCTTTCTCTGATCTTCAGATAAGGATAAAGGAATTTTATGAGCGTCAAGCTCAGCAAGATATTTTAATTCTTGGGTCTATGGTTGATGAATATATTAGACTTATTGGCAGTGCTAAACATGCATTTTCTTTAAGACAGAAAGCATATCTAAATTGGCAAGCTGCAGAATCTAGTTTAGCTAAATGTCGATTTGAAAAAACTAAAGGTCAAGGGAAATTTCAACAAAGTTCATCTGAATCTTCTATTAATATTTTAGATGCCGAAAAACGTTGTGATCAATTAAAATGTGATTTTGATAATATTAGTAATATTTTGAAAGAAGAAATTGAGAGGTTTGAAATAGGAAAAATAGAAGATTTTCGTGGTAGTGTAGAAACTTTTTTGGAGTCGGTAATCGAAGCACAAAAAGAGGTATATTTTTAAGTTGTTTTTAATAGAATTTTTATTAATCTTTTTTAGCTTATTGAATTGTGGGAAACCTATTTGACTGAATTGGAGAAAAAAACTGAAGTATCTAATGACTGACTTCATTTTAATAATATTTGACTATTATTCATATTTAGCAGGATTAAGCGCGGCTATATTATTTGATAATATACATTTTTTTAGAATTAAATATAATATATTTGATTGCAAGATCTTTGAATTTTATGATTATATATATATTTGTATTTTAAAATAGATATTAGAAATGTACTGTATTATGTAATGTTGTACTTTGTTCCAAACCTTTGTTTGAATTTCGAAAGCCTACTCTCATTGTCGTTTTCATCGATTTGTTGTTTTTTATTTGGATTCCATAATGGATGGTTTCGTTGATCTTTTGTAATCCAAATAACAGGTTTTGGAGATGTGGTAGGTATTGTAAATGTACTCTTGTCTGATAATACAACTATTTGCTGAAATTGTCTAGGTCTTGCTAGCCTTTGAGCAATATTTCTTGCTCCATATTTATTTATTTGCTGGATTTCTTTATACTTAAAATATTTATATCTGCTTATGTTCATTTTCCTATTAATAAATGATTATAAATATTATTTTTCCTGTAATATTTCGTACATACTTTTAAATATAAATATTTCTCAAATGTTATAAAAATATGTATTTTTTTAGTTTTATATCTTTTTATACTTAAGTTTAAATATTTAAAGAATAAAGTTACTGGAAAAATCAAATAATAAATTGAAAATATTTATTAAATATTTATATATACTTCTATTTTCTATTGGGATACTAATATACCCATAATTTTGAAATTTACATTATTAATGTTTTTAAAGTTTAAATATCTATTAATTTTTTAATATTTATATTAATAATAATATACCTTCTATAAAAAATTCCTTGTATTTCATTAGATAAATAATTCTCTATGTTTTTGTGAAATACTATGTCATTGAAATAAAATTAACTTGAATTTCCCAAAATAATGTAATATTTATATAAAAATATGTAACTTAATCCTTTTTAATTATTCTAAAATCCCCTTGACAATATGATAATGACATCTTTTGAAATACATCTTTATTTTCCACATATTCAACTGTTCCAAACCAAATTTTATGATCACCAATTTTTATTGTTTTGTTTGTATTACAATAAAGGATTCCAAGAGCTCCTGATAAAATTGGCAATTTATTTAATGATATCTGATAATGGCTTTCTGAAATATTAGACATTTTATTTTTATTAAATATATCACTTTGTGCATATTTCTGTGCAAGTTTTATTTGATCACAATGAGATTTTAATATATGAACTGCAAATTTCCTGGATTTTCGAAGAAGAAGTGCCATACGTGATGGCAACTTTATGCTGAAGGAAACAATAGGCATAGGATTTAGAGAAATAGATGAAAATGATGAAACTGTTATAGCTCGGCCCAAGCCGTTCATCTTAGGATCACACGTTGTAATAATAACAACTGGCTGAACAAGACATTTCATTAGATTTAGATAATTCTTTTGAATTTCTGAAATTGAGGTCTTTGGAAATACTGTTTTTTCTTGACATGTTGATTTCAGCCGGAAAAAGTTTAAATAGGACCTATTTTTTTTTATATATAAGATATTAACTTCTTTTCCAGGTATTTTTCCTCGATTTTTAGGTGCAAAAAAGCTTTTTTGGAGACTTCTATGCAGAAATTCTGATAACATCGGTTTTTTTAATGTTTAAAAAATATTTAGAACGAGATATAAATTCATGAAAATATCAAGAATAAGCACCTTTAGTGGCTATAACGTATGTTTAAAGCTTAAGGTTTACGAGTATATTGATAAACTGGTACCTTTGTTGAAAGAACCTGCTCTAAATAACTGTCAAAAATCGTTTATTTTAAATAAGAATTTAAGGATTAAGAAACCTAAAATTAAGAAGAAACGTCTGCAAGATGAAATATTAGACAAGGATTCTGATAGATGGAATAGAATTCTTAGAGAAAATCCATATGGTATTTTTTTATTTGAAATATATTTGTTTATAATGACTAATTAATAAAGTTAAATTACTTATATCACCCATTCGTAGGGATATATTGACAGATGTACGATTACCATCAGGTATTTTTCATGTTTTGTTTTATTGTGGTTGATAATTTAGCATTTTTTCTAAGTTTTTTGGCATGTAAAGATCCCCAAACGAATAAAATATGGATTTTACCAAATGGATTAAAACATAAGGTAGTAAGAAAGGTGGGACAGAGTCGATGGATGATTTGTAATAAAAGACATATAAATTTTGTAGGAAAGAAATATTGGAGACGTATACTTCCTGATTTTGCACCAGAAGATGCAATATGGAGAAGTGATATGGATGATTTTGTTTTAACAGAACTTCGAAAAAGGGTAATAATGGAGCTAAAAAATGTCCAAAACAGTTTTTTAAATATGCTGTTAATAAATGGGACATTTGTTCAAGATATAAAAAAAGGAAAATTGGAAAAAAAAATTGGATGTATTATACACAAATTTGATGATGACAGAATTTGGTATTTAGAAAATATATGTAATCAAGAGTTTAAAGTGCCAGTTATTAATGTTTCTATATTATTTGATCCTGACAATAATGAGAATGAATGGGTGAAGACTCTTGTGTTTGAAAAAAGTACCGCTATTCCATTGGAAATAAATACTGTAAATGCAATTTTTTGGATTTGGAAGCTTCGTGCCTATTTCTAGTATGATGAATGATGTAGAATCATATTATATGCTATATCTATAACATATTTACTTCGCCGATACTTTCATATATTAGTCCATTTTGTGTCTTACGTGCACCCATTTTAAAAATACATATTTTATCAACTGTAACGTCTCCAAAAAGAAAATGGGAAGGAAATTTTTCCATAAGAAATGATGCATTAATTGATTTTTTTTCTTTTGCATAACTTTTCTCATAGCGAGTATTTAAAATTGTTGAATGAAGCTATATTATTAGTTCTATAATATTAAATAATATAAATATACCACTAAAAGATTAGAGTCACTAAATTTTGCATCAACAAATTTTTTCATAAGAAATTCTTTTACAAATCAACAATGAATCCTTAAACTTTCTATAATTTACCACAGAGAGGAAAAAGTGCTGGAGATGATTCTTTAAGGCTAGGTTTTAAATATACCACTCTGCAATTTGTAGGCTCCTCGGGAAATGTACCTAATCCTCTGAATCGTATGTGAATTTTCTTATTATTTGAAAACTTTGATACTTCATCTTTTAATGAATATAAAAGAGAAAGAGAGCTTTCTATTTCTTTATCTGAGGGAAGTCGAAGAGTACAAATTGTCAAATGTGCAAGTAAATAGTCTCTGAATATTGATAATGGTACTTCATTAATGAGTAACTTTTTTATTTCTGCTATTGATTTTTCAAGAGATTTTGATCTTAGTGGGAGTGCAAGAAAATGTGTAGGATATCCAGTCTTCAATAATTGTAGCAATTTAAGTAGAAATGATATAATTTACCCTTTTTTTGAAATTTTCGCGAAATTTTTTAGTATTTAAAGATTTTTCTTCTATTTGTTTGTCAAAATGTATTGCAGAGTAAGCTTTTCTAAGATATTAAATTATATCTTTACTTATCTATAAATATATTTTTATTATTTAATATAAAATATAGGAAGTATACCTTTGTTTAAATTTTTCATAGATGTTTTTTGTATTATCTAAGCTTATGTTTTATCAATAATTTCAAGGTCCTTTTAAATTGTTTTTAATGATTTTTAGAATAAATAGTGATGTTATTCAAATATCAAAAATATTATATAATAAAACTTAGTGATAATGTTATATTTTTATAAAAAATAATTATAAACAATTATGATATTGATTTATATTTTGTATTTTTGTTGGAAAACAAGTTTTATTAAAAAAGTATATTATTTTTCGGAAATATTTAAGTCGCAAGTGGATAAAAATTATTTTATGATTTTATTGTAATATTTGAATACAACTTACGACAGATTTCATAAATTTTATTTAATGATCCAAACAACTTATATGATTAAATATATTTTCAAAAAATTTTGAGAATTTTATTTTAAATTTTGAAAAAATCCTAAATAATCTGATTGTATCTATTTTTAGATAAAGAAATATGTTAATCAATAAATGTTAGTATCGTGGGTATTTTAATATCCTATAGATGATATTTGCTTTTAATATCTTTGTTTTTTATGATATTATTTATAAAAATAATTTGTAACTTTTAAATAATTTTTTTAAAGTGATTCTTTAAAATGTATAGAGATAAAAAATAATAAAATTGTTGATCCCTTTTTATTAATTTTTTCGTAATTTGGATTTTTTAGAAAGAATTCTTGAAAATGCAAGTTTTTGAAATTTATTTAAATCATTAATAAAATGTCGACCAGCCTAAATATATTACTTTTGGAAGTATAAATATATTAGATTTACTATGTGAGAATCAAGCCGCTCTAAAAGTTCTGCTACGGCAAACTGTACTTTTGGATTTGGATGAAATAATCCAGCAGCGATTGGTGTTAAACCCCCCTGTAATCGTGGAAGATAACAAAGTAACTTCAATTATTTTTAATTTATACGAATTTACATAATATTATTCTTACTTGACTTAGTTCATCTATAGTACGGACATTATCATTTAATGTTATATAGATGGCTTCTGCATCTTCGTAAGATATGTTTCGTAGAATTTTTAGTCGATTCAATTGATGTTGTAAGCAAAATTTTTTTTCAATAGGTATATTATTAAATACAATAAGATCCTGCAAATGTTAGTTAAAGTATTGGAGGAGTTATTTCTTTGCCTCTATATAATATTCGTAAGAAGTTGTGTTTCTCCATCCTTCAAATCGTGGCATGTTTAGATATAAATCGCGCATTTTTTGTGCTTCATTTTGCCAAACCCATCCTGTACCTGGAATAATGAAATTTTTCGCATTTGGATTGGATAATCGAGAAAAACCATAAACAAGCGTTTCATACGTAGATGCCATTTTAGTGAATCTTAATACCCAATCCCTCCATTTTGATCGTACGGAATATTCTCCATATTTACAAGATATGATATTTTTCATCTGAAAAGTAAATTATTTTAAAAAGAAAGTTATTTTATACTTCATCAATAAATATTGTGTCCATATCATTTCGTTGATATTCATTTGCATAATCACAGAAAAAATCCCCTAAATAGCTTGGTATATTTGCTGGAGATATACATGATGATATTTTTATTTTTCCTGTATCAATATCGCAAAGAATATCCCACCATTCTGGATGTCGTTCAAAAGTAGGATTTGTAACGCCTGCTATATATCCAGAACTAAAGAGTATTAGTCATGAATTAATATACATAGTAGATACATAGTAAGTAGGTAATCTATTTTTGAAAGATCTGTATAAGGAAATGTTCTTTCCAAAAATCCTCGTAGTACTCCTAAACCACTAGCCATAGCAGATGAAGCTAAAACATATTTTGCAACATCACCAGCAGATTGCCCATGCCCTAGAAATACAATTCTTTTTTGAGTAAGCAAAGCATTCATTAAAACAATAATTGGATGAGTATGAGAGCCGATGGTAGTAAGATGAGCATGTAATGGAAATGATTTTGTAGGTAATTGCGGGAATGCTTGGAATAGATTTATAAGAGAAAACTGCTGCAATTAGTTTTTTTTTGATAAAAGTTTGTCTTTACATCACCGACAGCTTCTGGCAAAATATCTAAAGGTATTTTCACAGGAATTTGCACGCCAAGATAAACTATGCTTGTTTCATATTCATGACAATCTTGAATAGATTCCTTCGTGTTCGTATCTATAAATTTTCGTTATATTTTTTTCATATTCAAAAATTAATTACTTGGAAATTTTTCATGATAAATAGTTTTATAGTCATTGTTCCCAAGAATAATACGTTCCCAAAAATTTAGTTTAGGCATCATTTTTAAGTCCATAGAGTTTACTGAATTGAAAATATGTTCTAATGTCGTTTTCTTTGGATGTTCAAGATATTTTTTAAGAGCAAGAAGTAAAATTGGCTTTTTTTGTTAAATAATATTTAAAAATAAGGAATTATAATAGACCTTATAAATATGCAAAAATGAATGCCTAGTACATATTGCCATTGCTTTTACAAGAGCTCCTCTAGTTTTTACATTTTAAGGTAGGAATAAGCAATTAGATAGTATATACCGTTTGGCATCCGGGTCATGCTTTGTATTTACCAAGTTTAAAACATACATTAATTTTGGCTCGCTGTTTTCCTGATTCTCTAAAACTTCGTGAAGGTCATTGTGATTTTTTTTTAGTGTATTAGTATCCCTATGTAGAAAAAATATTGTCCAGTCTTCTGACCTCATATGAGCTTGATCTGGAAGCATCAATTCTGCCAACAGTCTTAACCAAAATTAAAATTTTCTATTTTCTCTTATTTTTATTTTATACTTTGTGTCACTCCCTATAGTATGTGGATATTGTTGAGAAATTGTAGGACCTTGATCAATATCAAATTCTGCTACTAAAATATAATCCACATGATGATATGGCATGTTGGATAAAAATAGTTATTCTTAATAAGTTTTCATAAATTAGTGTCTTTTTAATAATTCTAAATATATTATTTACCTATGTTTATGATTTTAAATTTTAATAATATTTTTATAGTTTATGATTGTATTTGACTACTGATTTTCGAGCAGCCTTTAGACTGAAAAATAAGAGTCTAAATAATTTATTATTTTTATATTACTGAGTGAAGAGAGGATTAACAGGAAGAAGAAGGGTTCTATGTCATTTTTTGTGTTGAAGAAATCATTGGATACTCTTTTATATAAGTTTTCATCTTTAGAAACATGTTCACCGGCAACATTACAAGAAATTACAAAAATACTGACGGAAGACTCGGTTTTAAGGCCAATATCAGAGAATAGCAGGGGTGGTTTGATGAGTTCTGGAAAATCTGATAGGAATTTTTCTAAAGTTAAGAAAGAAAATAAGGTGTTTACTTTAAAAAATGATATAGTCGATAGGCCTGAATTTGCTATAAAAGTGTTTAATGAATGTTTAAAAGTGTTGTCCCAAATAGTTAAAAAGTCGGTTGATTGTAGAAAAGATTTTAGAGGATTAGAAAGTAAAAAGAATATACATTATAGTAATGGCTCGAATTATATTGGGTTAGCAAAACAGATTGTCAATTGTTTATTATTATCTTTTAAAATTATTAGAGAAAACTCTAGCAAACTTAATATAAAACAGCTAGGGGTTTGTAAAGCGCATGCTAATATAATTAATAGACTTATTGATTTGGAAATGGTATATAGATTATAATTGGTATAATTTATATTTATTTTTATAGATTTCAATGGCATTTGAAGAGCTTATTTCTTTGCGTAATGATTTAGAATGTTATATAAGGCTTATTGTAGAGCAAGGTTTTTGGGCAAAGTCTTCTAAGCAAAATAAATTAAAAATAAATGAAACAAATAAAGCTATACATGAAATAGTTGCATGGCTTATAAATATTGAATCTCCTGTTGATTCTTTGGAAGAAGATGTGGTGAATTTTATTGTTGGATTTCAGTTGATGGCTTTAAGATTTGCTTCACGGCATCAAGATATGACTCTTGATGAGGTATTTATTTTTTTTCTTATTTCCTTTGAATTTATATTTTTTAAGTCGCTATTAAATTCTTTCAAATCATGTTTTGGTCCAATGGCATTTTTTAGAAGATTAAATCAATTAAATCCAAAATTAGGAAAAAATCAGGCTAATCTTTTATATCGTGTCGTTTTAAAATTATGTTCATCTCATTTTTCATATATTTCTTTTCAGTTTCAGCTTTGTACCATTGAATGTTTAGATGAGGAAAATATAAGTAATAATGATAATATTATGGATGGAATATTAAGGGTTATTATACACTTATCCAAGATAAATGATTCCCTTGTCTCTTATTCCTTTTGCAAGGAAGCGGTAGAAGATTTTTTAAATTTTACTTGTAGTGGTATACTTTCGAGAACAGCTTTTATTAATCTTATTTTTTATATGTCTTTTTATGCTGAACAAGTATGCGTTTTTTTCTTTTTACTTTATATTTAGTTTCTAATGAATTTTATAGATAAGAAACTATAGTGATGTTTTAAATTGGAACATGTTATTAATTAATAAGTTTGGCCAAAACGATATTATTTCTATTTCATTGAGTTTTCATAATGCATTTTTTGAACTTTCCGGATTATTTTCAATTGGTATGTTTTTAAAAATAATTGATTTTGATTAATTCAGCTGCAGAAAATGGCAGTTATTTAAAAACTGCAAAAGAGAATTTAAGTAAACTTTTATCTATGGATGAAGATATTCAAAATGCTTCTGAAGGAGAATTAATTAAATTAGTTAAAAGTTTAGACAGGTTACGTCGTTCTTGTATTTCAATAATAGATAATTCTACTTCACATTCTCAGTTTTGCCGTTCTTGCCTTGAAATAATGCTGGAATTTGTTCGTAAATATAATGTTAATAATGTAAGATCCTTTATATGTTTATATATACATATATATAATTTATATAGATAGGAGAAAAGGAGTGTTTTAAAGTTTTAGGCTTTAATATTTTAACTAGTATTATATCTTTTGTTAAAACAGACCTGACATGCTCTCCTCCTGATAAGGTTGATCACTTAATTCATCTTTTAGGTATTTCTTTGGAGTTTGCAAAGTCAGTAAATGATATTTCGGCTATAATATCTATATCAAATGTTTTTTGGAATTTTGGAATAACATTACATCAAAATGGGGATAATGCTATTGATCCTATTCAGCGTAGCATTTTGGCTCTTGAAAGTATTAATTTTTCTAATTTAGATATGGATCACTATATTGGTCGTTATGAGTTGTTAATAAAATGTTATTCATTAATTAAAGATTATGAGGTAGTAGAGCTAAAAAAAGAAAGTTTCATTAATAAAATTAGAATTCTATAAATTATTGTTTTAAAGCTATGGATATCCTTTTTAAAAGTGGCATTATTTCACAAATAGCTTCTGAATGTAATTCTGCAATGTTATCCGACGTTTTTAAAGAACATCGGCATGTAGCAAGAATTATAACTTCTATTGTTCAGAATGCAATAGTAGGCGAATGTTGGTCTGAAAGATGCTTATTGAAGTATCTAAATATTTATGAAAGAGGTCCGCTTTTAGAATGGCAGCTTCAAGTTGTTCTTGGGCTTCAATATAAATATGATATTTCTAAACAGCTATATATTCTTCAAAATAATCTTATGGATATTTACAATGAAAATTTCCCTGTTCGTAGAACGAGGTATTTTATGTTTTTTTTTGTATTTATTTTTGTGATAATTTGAGTTAGAGTACTATTGCAAATATATCAATGTTTGGAAAATATTACAAGTGAGATGAATGATGCTTTCGAAGAACTTTTTAGGAAGGGCATTTCTGATTTGATGGATAATGTATAATGTTTTATTTAAATTTAATTTATGTAACTTTTTTAGAACCTTTTGGAAGATATTAGCTTTGAATCTTTTAGATATAATTATATAGCACTCTCTCGATCCTTTTTGGCTTTAAAGTTGTTTTTGAATCAAAAACAATGGCAGGATGATATGAAAGCTGCATTCAAAATTTGGAAAATGCTATTTGATGATATTGAGCATTCAAAAACTCAAAAAACATTAGGAATATGTATAGACAATCCGCTTAATCTTCTTTGTCACTTTGGTATATTTAAAAAAAATGAAAATATTTTTTGAATAATGTATTTAGAAATGTTGACCGATTTTTTTCTTGTTAAAGGGCTTCCATTAAATAGATTGGCTGTTTTGAAATTGAGATTAAGACTTTGTCTATTATCTCCTGAATTGAGGGGTCCAGGAGGTTTGTTTTAGTTTTATTATTTTCGTTCCTAAATATATTTAGAATTGACTAGAATATATGCTATGTTAGGTTTACAATATCTTTATCTTGGTTATACTGGTAAAGCAGGAATGATATTTGCTACTGCTCAAAATTATAATCAAAAAATGAGTCTTGATATCAAAAGTTTAGTTGAATTTGAAATCGCTTATATTGAATATTTGTCTACTGTTGGTTGTGCTTCATCAAGGTATTTTAAAGGAATATATATATATATATATATTTATTGTTATAGTTGGAATTCTTTTATAAAAGTTGCTAAAATAGTAAATGGAAATTTTCAAATATGGAATACAGGAATACAAGTACCTTTAGATCAGAGAATTGAGTGGTATAGTTTAGTAGCAAGTGGTTCTTTTGTTTATGCTTTGATTATGTTGGAAAAAGTATATAGTTTTATACAATTTTCTATTATTTATTTGTTTTTAGGGGGCAATTTTTGATGCTTTTCATTACGTAGAAAATTCTTATCGTCTTTATAAGCGTATTATAAAAAAACGCTGTTAAGCATTTTAATAAAGATATATCTTTGTTAAATAAGGAGAATATAGTTTCAACTTGTAACGATAATTGTAAAAAACCGGCTTTTTTTGAACTTGGAAGATCTCATTGGAAAATATTGAATGTAATGTTTTATTATATTACGAGATTCTTGTTGACATTACTATAAGAATTTTATTTCTTGTTTATTGTTGTTAGCAAAACTTTATGAAATTCAAGGATCTGCGCTTGATTCTGAATATTTCTATTCTCAAGCTTTAGAGGTTGCTGAAAATATTAATTCATATTTAGCAACTGCAACGGTTTTGGTAATGTTAGGCAATTTATATGTAAAAACTGGAAAGTTTGAAAAGGGGCAAGAGAATTTTGATAAAGCAAAATATTTTTTTTCTCAAATTGAAAATATTAAAGAGTCCGTATCACTTTTATTTGCACAAGCAAATCTTCAGAGCCGGCAAAAGCTTTGGTGTTTAGAACTTGAGTCATATCTTTTAGCTGAAAAACTATTAAAAGAGCTTATGAGTCCAGAATTCATAATAAAATTGGATGAAATTGCAATGGAAAATGTTGTTACAGGGTATTAATCAAATTTAAATGTTTTTAGTCTTATCTTTTTAAGAATTGAAACAATGACATTATCATCACCATCGAATTTAATAGATAGCAAAAAACCGTCATTTAATAAACGTAAGTTACTAATTATTTGTATTTTTTCTGAAATCTGAGTTAGTCTCTACGCAATGTGAATGCATAGTATTGTCACGTCTTAAAGGGAAAATAATGACTTCTAAGGGTATATTTTTAATAGATTAAAATTTATTCTTATTCAATAAAGGATATAATTTTGCATTACAGGGGAAAATTATAGATGGAAAGAAATTTTTGAAAGAATCTGTTCTTATAGAATGTGATATGGATGATTTAGTAATGTTTTTTATTTATTTATCTATCTAACTTTTAAAAAGATTATACATAGGCTTTATCAATCAAAAGTTTGTTTTTTAGAGGCAGAAGTTCTTCTTCAAAATGATCCTATTTATGGTGTTCTTCAAGATTCTGGTCTATAAAAACTTAAATAGTTTTCTTATTAAATATTTTTTAGTGATTTCTGTACCAAATATATACATGCATCGAGCTTCTGATAAATCTGTTACAAATAAAACTAAGACAAGATTAGATGTATCAAAACCGGGTTTAAATGGCTCAAGGGGAAGAATTCTAAGTCTTTTAGAAGAAACTAAAAAGAATATTATTGAAATTTTTAACGAAGCTTTAAATTATGGACAAAGTACATTAGTTAGACAATTGGCACAAATGATGGCATCAGCAACGATTTTACAATCTGCTCTTTATATCCCGGGTGATAATAATCAAATAAGGTCTATTGTTCCATCATATTTTCTTGGTAATATTTTTTTCTATTTAATAATATTTTTAATATTTTTAGAAATTTCTAAAATGATTTCTTTTCAAAGAGAACGCGCATTTCTTCGGAAAAATACTAAGTTAGAAAATAATGAAAATCAGGATGTTCAATGGCCTTTAATTTTAGAAGAATTTCAGGATAATATTAGTTTGGACCATAAAATTATTTCATCTGAATTATTTTCTGAATTATTTTTTTGTGATATATCACAATTCCAGCACGAATTTATAGATAAAATTCCTCATTCGTGGACAATTCTTACTATAGGAGTAGGAGAATCTAAAAATGACTTATATATTACTAGATTACAGAGACAATTGAGTCCGTTAGTCTTACGTTTACCTCTTAATCGTAGTAATTCCAGAGATGCTGATCAAGATACATTAACATATGATAATGTTTTTAATGAATTAAATGAAATTATTTTTCGAAGTAATGAAACTGCTCAAATAGCAAAAAATATTAGTACTAGTGCTCATAAAGTTGTGTGGTGGAAGGAACGACAAGAGCTTGATGCAAAATTAAAGCAATTACTTATAAATGTTGAGCATTGTTGGCTTGGAGGATTCAAGGTATTTTGTATTAGCATTAGTTTAATTTATAATTTTAATTTATAGGGCATATTTTTTCAATCAAATATTAATCAAGGAAGTTTTGTGAGATTTAAGATTTCTGTAAATAAAATTATTGCAAAACATGTGTTTTCTCGGAAGATTTTTCGAAAGAATAAAAATGTAGTTACTTTTGAGATAGAATCAAGACTTCTTGAATTATTTGTGAAGTTGGATCTTAATGATTCAAAGATTGATGAATATTTGGAGGATCTTATATATTTTATATTAGATATTTTTCAGTTTCATGGTGAAACTGTTGCTTATGATGAAATTGATATTGATCAGGTTTTAAAAATACATATAATTTTAAATTATTTAATAATTTTTATTAGATGGTTGTTGATTTTCAAGAAGCCATTAGTAATTATAATAAGGAATCTGCAGTTTTATTAGAGAAAGAACAGCAACATTTGATTTTGGTTTTAGATAAATCAATTCAGTCTTTTCCCTGGGAATCTTTACCTTGTCTTCGGAAACTTTCTATATCACGAGTCCCTTCTTTATATTGCATTTACGATAGATTAAATTCGGCTAAATTTGATGCATATCAAAAAGTTAATCGGAATAATGGATGCTATATCCTTAATCCTTCTTGTGACTTGATTAATACGCAAAATAACTTTGAAATTTTACTTAAAAATCTTGAAGGTTGGGAAGGAATTGTAGGAAGAGAGCCTGATGAATCGGAACTACAGTCATTTTTAACTTCTTTTGAAATTTTCTTATATTTTGGACATGGAGGAGGCGAACAATATATTAGAAAAAATACAGTTAAAAGGCTGCCTAGATGTGCTGTTTCTTTTTTGATGGGATGCAGTAGTGGGTTACTTAAAGATATGGGAGATTTCGAGCCTATAGGAATGGCTATTAGCTACCTTTTGGCAGGATGTCCTGCACTAGTTGCAAATTTATGGGATGTAACTGATAAAGATATTGATCGATTTAGTACTAGTGTTTTAAAACACTGGGGATTGATTTCTAATGATTTAAAGAATCAAGATCAAACTGCTCCAAAAATAGGAAATTCTCTTGTCGATGCAATTGCTTTTTCTCGTGATCAATGTGTATTAAAATATTTGAATGGAGCTGCTCCTGTGATATATGGTATCCCCATATATCTTGAATAAATATCTTTGTATTCTAATTCTTTGGCATCATACATATTACATAAAATAATGGACATATTATTAAAGCTTATAATACGTACTCAATTGCAATATATGTAATTCTTAACAAAAGCTAAATAAACAATTACAGTCAAAACACAAGAATTGCAACATAAGCTGCAAACTAATATTCCTATTTTTACTTGCTAGATGACGAATATTCTAATAAGGCTTAATATATAAAAACAAAAACGTATCCAATTACTTGTTACAGCCTTTGTCCCTTCAGACACTGCATGTTTCGCAAGTTCACCTGGAAGTATCAAACGAACAGATGTTTGAATTTCGCGTGAAGAAATAGTCGATTTTTTATTATAAGAAGCAAGTTTTGAAGCCTCAGAAGCGATACGTTCAAAAATATCTAAAAAATCAAAAATACTATCAAAACACCTTTAACATTACCATTTACAAAGCTATTAAGAATAGACATTGCTCTATTAGATATACCCGTGTCTGGATGAACTTGCTTAAGCACTAAAACGCGTAAATTCTTTCGAAATATTACCAAATATCCAACTCACCCTTGTAAATATATGATGAATATGTTTCTTTACGTGATCTCATTTTTTTTTTCTTGTCTGATGATCTTTTTCCTACATCCTTCCTATCTAAAGGTGATTTTCCCGCTGGCATTTTAGATGCTAGCTTCTTCTCTGCAACTTTGGGTGCCATATTTCTTGTTTAACTTTTCTTTGATTCGAATCTTAAGATTTTTCTTTTTATCTGTTTTTTGATCTACGCGTCTCTCCTTTTATCTTTTTTTAAACCCTAACATTCCTTTCTTAATTACATACCCTAAGTTATGTTGGGGTTTATGACCTGTATAGTGTTTGTGTAGGTTAGGGTATATACCTTGTTTCGTTAGTGTGTATACTGGTTTGTGAGGGTTTAGACCTACATTTAGTTAGGCTTTTTCTTTGGGTTAGCGTTATTTTAGGGTTGCCTCCAAGATGATATAGGGGTTAACCCCCTGCCCTTTAAAGGATTAAGACCTATATTTTATTAGGGCTTTTATTTAGGTTGTAGATCTTTGACATATGTTGTTCTAGGGTTTTATCCTATATTTTTTTAAATTTAGTATACATTTATAGTATTTTATATCTTCATTTGAATCTTGTATATTTTAAGTTGAAATACCTATTTATAAGGGTTTTTTCTATTGAAAAAATGTCTTTTTTTATTTTTTTTTTGGATACTTTTGACAACATAAATATATTTGATTTTTTTTTTAAAAAAAATTAACTTTATAATTTAATAATTTTCTTAATAAATGTTATTAATCCTTCTTGTTTGCTTATATCTTTTTAATCTTTGATTCTCATTCTTATTTATTTTCTTTGTCGATATTTATGGATTCAGACGTTTCGGTCATTTTAATCAAAAAAAAAAAAGCATATCTCATGCAAAGGGTAAGCTTAATGGTTGAAGCATTTATATGAGTTGTAAAGATAGAAGAGAAAGAGTTATAGGAAAATAAGAGGAAATAAGTAAAGAATAAGTAAGAAATAAGCAAAAAAATAAGTAAGAAATAGGTAGGAAACAAGTAATAATAGAGGGATTTGTCAGTGTACTTGTTAAGAAATTTGTATTGTAGTTGGTCTCTTTTTTAGGGGATTTTAAAATATATAAATATATGTTTGAGGTGGAGTTTGATAAACGTCTTAGAAGTGCATCTCAAGGAAATCGGTTAAATGAAGATGGACAGGAGGGTTTAAGAGGGTCACCAAGTCGGCGTCGAATAAAAGTTGGATATGGAGATCGGTAAGTAAAGATTTTTTAAAAAAAAAGAAAGAAATTTATATGATTTAGCTTTATTCCTAGTAGAGATGGGATTGATTTACAAGCAAGCTTTAATTTAGCAGATAATAGTTCAGAAATATCGAAAGCTAAACGTAAAACAGGAAATGAAGTGGATGCTCAGAGACGTTGGTTTTATGATATAAAAGTGGTAGAAAATACTTATATTTGATTAGTGGAGGAATCTAATAAGATATTTTTACATCTTCTTCGTTTTGAACTTTTTGGATCAACTATTTTAAATTCGTTTTCTAATTTACCATCATCCGATTTATTTGTAGGTTCTCGAACTCCACCTCCTCAGAAAACTCCAATCAATCGACCTGTGACACCTTCTACGCCACCAAGGAATTTGTTTTCATATATATCTCCACAAAATAGGACGCCTACAAGTGGAACTCGGACTTCAGGTAGTGGAGGAAGAAATTGTATTGATGATCCAACTCGTGAAATATATTCATTATCTCCTGTTCGGTTTGATTCTCAAAGATTGCTTCTTTCTCCCAGGAAGCAGCCTCGTGCTATTCCGAAAGTTCCATTTAAAGTTTTAGATGCACCTGAATTACATGATGATTTTTATTTAAATTTAGTCGATTGGGGCTGTAATAATATTTTAGGCGTGGGACTTGGGACATGTGTTTACTTGTGGAGTGCTCATTCTGGAAAGGTTACAAAGTTATGTGATCTGGGACCAAATGATTCTGTTACTAGTGTTTGTTGGATTCAAAGAGTAATCTTTTTTAAAAAAAAAAATAAATATTCTTATGTTTTTAGGGTTCTCATGTTGCTCTTGGAACTAATAAGGGATTAGTGCACATATGGGATGCTGAGCAATGCAAACGCACAAGAACAATGCTGGGTCATACTTCCAGAGTCGGTATATTTATTGGTTTTTTTGTGTATATTTTTGTAATGAAATTTAGGATCGCTTGCTTGGAATGAGCATATTCTTACTTCAGGAGGAAGAGATCATCAAATTTTTCATCGGGATGTAAGGGTTCCTGAGCATCATATTAAGCAACTCAGTGCACATAAACAAGAAGTATGTGGGCTGAAGTGGAATTGTGAGGATGGACAACTTGCTTCTGGTGGGAATGATAATAAGTTGATTGTGTGGGATCGTTTGAATGAAACACCTTTATATAAATTTTCAGAGCATACTGCTGCTGTTAAAGCTATTGCATGGAATCCTCATCAGCATGGTATTCTTGCTAGTGGCGGTGGCACTGCTGATAGAACTATAAAATTCTGGAATACCCTTAATGGACAGCAAATTTCGGAAATAGATACGGGATCTCAAGTATGCAATCTTGCTTGGTCTAAAAATTCTAATGAGATTGTTTCTACTCATGGATATTCGGAAAATCAAGTAATAGTGTGGAAATATCCATCTATGTCTCAAGTCGCTGCTTTGACTGGACATACATATCGAGTTTTATATTTAGCAATGTCGCCTGATGGTCAAACTATAGTTACAGGTGCGGGTGATGAAACTTTGCGATTCTGGAATGTTTTTTCCAAAAACAAAAATGATTCAGATCGTGATTCATTGTTAGATCCTTTTACGAAGATAAGATAGATTTATGTATGAGAATTTTATTGAGGATATTACATTTTGGGATTGTTATATTAATAATGTATTATTGGGACATTTATGTTGATGTATAAACTTAAATTGCATTTTGTGGATGTATTTTAATAAATTGTTAAAGTATTTAAAATGACGATTAAAATAACACTTTATTTTATATTATGGCTTTTAGTTATTTTTAAATATTAAGCATGGAATGGTATACAATAATAATAAAACATCAATAATACAATTTTGTAAAGTAAGGGAAATTAAAATTTACCTAAATTTCGTGCTTCTTTTATCTACATACAAAAGATTAGTAATTAAATAATAAAAGTTTTATTTACTTGATCAAAACTTTTAAGGAGCTTGCGTCGTGCACCAAGAGCTGCAACTCCTTTCATTTCTAGTTGCTCATCTGTCATTTCAATAAGTTCTTTCCAATTCATATCTCCTAGATTATCAGAGTATTTATGGAGTCTTAAGCCTCTTAACCAAGCAGGGATATCATTTAATAATAAATCGTTAACAGGGTTTTCTGGAGGTTTAGAGGTAAGTCGTCTTCCTTTCCTATTTGTTATGATTGCGTCTGAATTATCTGATATATATTCTTCCGTCGCCAATAATGGCGATGACGCATCAAAGGGTGCAAGATATCCATTAGAATGAGAAGATACGGGCATGTGCCATCCAGATTGTTCTGAAAATCCGGGAGGAATAGATGATTCAGATTTTGGTGATATTTTTCGTGATAATAAAGGAGAAGAAATACTACGTTGTGATGACATTTGCATTAAATGTCCATGTTCCGTATACATCAAGACATTAGTTGGATGCTGATTAAAACCATTCTTATCAGCTGTAGATGATAATAAGGTACTTTTTCCTCTATGGTACTTCTTTACATCTGTATCAAGAATAATAGGATCATTATTCTGCATGCTCAATGATAAAGATGATAATTTAGAAGTCGCAGCTTTAAGATCATTACTTTGTGAAGGCGTTTGAGAAAACATTGGAACTAAAGGTGTGTTAACCATAGATGCCCAATTTCCTCCAGGACTGAAAGGAGAAAATTCTCCATAATCAGGATTAGATGATGGATTATGAGTAGCTAGTGAATTCAACTGCTGTGTGTCCTGATTTTTCTCAATATCCGCTGATTTGGGGCGATTAAATCCTAATGGAGTATTTTCAGAAATCTTATTTAAAGGTTGAGACCATAAAGGAGATGGACAAACGTCGTGTTTTAACATTATTGGGCTATTATTGTTGCGTATTGGGATTGTATCCTGATTATGTGTATCAGTGAAAACGCTAGTATTACAATTAGTGTTTAATCTTGTTTTTTGATTAGCCAAAGCCGACGATGTATTTGGAAACATTGTGTTAACTGCTTTTGCATCTAAATAAGATCCATTTTGAATTTGCGAGGATGAATGATTGATGGACGGAGAAAGAAGCTTCATAATGGTACCATTCTTTCTATCATGATTAATTTGACTCATCGTTCCTGACAAATTATTTTGCATTGAGTCTTATGTGGTTAAAACATGCTTCGTATTTGTTATTAATATATACCTTTATCAAGATTCGTTGGAGACAAAAAGGCATTCATTGGATCGCTATGAGCCATTTGTTGTAGAATAGTAATAAAAAAACGGACCTGTACTTGAGTAGTTTGATGCAAAAGGGCATACAGCGCTGCTGTACGTTCTGCTTCTGAAAGAACGCGGAACCATTGTTCTATTGCTCTTAATTCTTCTTTAAAGTTTTGATCTAATGATGCGGATGCCATCTCTTCTAGAGTATTTTCATAGCTTTGTAAATCCTCAAGCCATTTATCAAAAGCTGCAACTATATAATTATGAAAATTTAAAAAAATAAAAAAAAAAATATTCTACCTTCTGGCATTTGTGTCTTCTGCGGAGTTCGAAGAAAAACTTCTGAGGTTGGACGGTTATTGCGGCCAGAAAGAGGCGAATTAAAGTTCGATAAATCAAATGATGTTCTTATTTGATAATTTCGCTGTATTTTCGATGATAGATGTTTTAATGATGATTTATCATGTTCTAATGTTGGTGTAACCGACATCATACTAGTTTCTTATTCGTGTTCAACACGTATAAAATTTCAAGTATATACTTCTTATTATTTAACTTTAGATCTTTTCTATTTCTAAAAAACTTTCAAAAGGTTCTAAATTTAGATCTAATTTCATTAGTTTTTTAAATTTCTAAAAAAAAACTACTCTAATAAGTCCCTATTATGAAAATCTTCTTTTCAGGTCTGATTATTTGTCTTGTTTTTTTCTCTTATTCTTTATATTATTTTATAAATTATTCTTAAGTTTCCAAAAGGGGGGAGGTTGGGGAAGTACGATGGTTTTCTTAGTTGACCTCCGCCTAATATAAAATTAGAGTTAAAAACAAAAATGAAGGAAATATTGTAAATAATTATGTTGTTTTATTCTGTTTTTAGTATTTTTTCACTTTTGGGGGGGTTTTTAAAGTTTTTTTTTAAGAATTTTAGTATAAGATTGAAGTGAAACTAATAAAAAATGAATAAGAAACAAAATGTAGATGGCAAATATTGGCGTATGTTACATGATGATGAGATCTCGAATGTTGAATTGCAGGGGGGAGTTAATTCAGTTTCAAGAGAATTTGAAGCTCCATGTATTGATCTTGGTGATAAAGGGTTATGGTCAGATGATGAAAATGTGGATAATAAAGATTTAAGGTATAGGAATGTTGAAAATAATAAAGGTTGGATGCATGGTACGGTAAAAAATTTGAAGGAAGATATGATGTATGAGGCATCGAAGTTTCAGGAGGATCTTAGGATAGCTTCTGGGTTTAAAAAAAATAAAGGAAGATCAAAGGTTATTTATTGTATAATTTTGGAAAGTGTTTTTTAAAGTATTTTGAAGGGACGTAGAGGTGTAGCAGATATGGAGCCATCAGAAGAAGTTAAATGTTTACTTGGATATGCAAATCAAGCGTTTGCGTCAGGGGATTTTTCGGAGGCTTTAAAAACTCTTCAGGAAATTATTCGTATTGATTCTAATGTCTTTGCTGCTTGGCAAACTCTTGGTGAAGTTCATCGTGAAAGGGGAAATATAGATAAATGTCTTGGTGCATGGATTAGTGCAGCTCATCTTAAACCTAAAGATGCTGATCTTTGGTTAACATGTGCAAAATTGAGTCAGGATGCTCAACTTTGGGATCAAGCAGATTATTGTTATAATAGAGCTATTCATGCTCGTCCAGCAGATGTTGATGCTATATGGGATCGAGCTGTCTTGGCACGTGATAGAGGAAGAACAAAAAAGGTTTGATATTAAGTTTTTTTTTTTTCTTATATGTCATAGGCAATCGATTGTTTTAAGAGTTTGCTTGGTATTGTTCCAAATGATATGTCTGTAATTCGTCAATTGGCTAGACTATATTTTCAAACATCTCAAGTTTCTGAAGGAATAGCACTTTATGAAAAGGCTGTAGAATATTATTTATGTTTTCCTGCTCCATTTAAGGATAAATGCGGTCTTAATTGGAATGAATTGCATATTATGTCTGAACTTTATATAGCTGATAAACGGTGGAAACAGTGTGTATATAATGTAAAATATATAGCAAGATGGTTACGTGGCAGAAAATCAGAAGATTTTTGGGATAACTATTCCGATGACAGGGAATGGGATAATGATGATGAAAGACGAAAGACTGTTCTACATTCTTTTAGCGAAGACAAAACACTTTATAATATGCCTATGGAATTAAGGGTTAAATTGGGAATATGTAGAATACATATGGGTGATATAGGTGAAGGGCTACGGCATTTTGAAGTATTAGATAGTAATCATGATCTTGAGAAAAATACCGATTTAATTTTTGATGCTGCTAATGCATTAACTGAGAAGAAACTTTATTATGAAGCTCTTCGTTTTTATTCTCGTTTAATTGAATGTGATACAGTTGGTTTATATGATTCATATTTCTGTATTTTTAAGATTAATCTAGGTAAATGGACCAGAGTTATGTTTTTCCATGGGAAAGTGTTATAGAGCAATAAACGATTTAGAAGCTGCAGAGGAATGCTTTAAGGAGATTTCCTCTAATAGTGAAAAGCATATAGAATCTCTTGTTCAGTTAGCAGATATATACCAAATTACTGGTCGTAGAGAGGAAGCTCTTGATGTAGTGAATAAAGGTATATAGGAAAAAAATATTATATTATTTAATTATTTATAGTCATTCGTTACCAACAAAATGAAAATTCTACTGTTGCTGAAGTTCAAGAAGAGTCTCAGAATATAACTCCTAGGTCTACTTTTATTATAGATACCAAAATTCCAAAAGATAGGATATCTAAAAAGATTTCCCTAAAGCCTTCATTAAATGAAAGAATTGCTATTGAAATGCGAAGAACCGAGCATATATTATTTAAGTGGCAGAAATTAAATATAGTTCGTGACAAGATGTTGCAGGGTGACCCTCATGCTGTAAATGAATGGTTGGATACTGCCGGTGATATGGTGGACGAGTTTCGCAATGTACGTGGGTTTTATCCATCAGAAAAATCAACGAAATTTAAGGGTGTTATTTCTGTGGCAAAACGTCGAATGCAAAAAATGGAAATAAATCAAAAACTAAAAGTTATGGCTAATAGGCTCCAAGAATCATTAGGTAGGTAATTAAAATTGATAATATTAAAATACAATTTTTGGAGAATTTAGTGATGATGAATCTTATCGAGAAAATACTGTAAATAATGATGTAAATGAATTTCGAGGTTTAACTTTTGATACTTGGTTTTATATTTTTATGCAGGTATATATTATATATGCGAGCGTGAAGAAAGATTCTAAATTATAAGTATGCTATATGTTTAACGAAACATGACGATTTTCTTGACGCTTTAGAGGTAATTAAAGCTGCTATGTCTGCTAATGTATTTTATCAAAGTCATGAGCGCTTAAATAAAATGCATGTTACTCGACTTGGTATGTGTTTGTCTTCATTTTAAATTATTCACACTGAATATAGCATGTTCTTTTTGGTCTAAACAATATTCTATTGTAGCAGAAGAATGCAGATATTTTTCGAATTTGTATAAATTTAGATCAGACGGATACCGTTTGTATTTTGTGGCTATGCCAACTGGTGAAGCAATGTTGCATTATTCAGCAAATTCCGCTTTACAGAAATATCTTTTGCGTCAAATAAAAAGTATTGATTCTGCAATGTCTGAAAAGAATAAGGACTCTCTCTCAATAAATAAAAATGAAAATGATAGTTATATTCCGACACACTATAACGTTGTACTGCTTGTTTCTTATGGTCACGTAATGATTTGTTCTAGAAGTTATGTTCAAGCTTTAAGTATGTTTTTTAATAAATATTAATAGATTATTTATTTATTGTTATTATAGATTATTATGGGCGTGCTTATGCTTTAGCTCCATTAGATCCATTAATTTCTTTGTCAATTGGAATGGCATATTTGCATAGAGCTATGCAACGCCAGTCAAATAATCGACAATATCAAATACTTCAAGGGATGACTTTTCTTTTTCGATATTATGAACTTAGAAAGTCTATGGGCGTCTATGAACATCAAGAAGCTGAATTCAATATTGCACGTGCATTCCATCAGCTAGGTTTGTTTAGTATTCTGTTTACTGGAATTGATATAATCTAATTATTGAGTTCTAGGTCTTACACATCTTGCAATTCCTTATTATAAGCGTGTGCTCTCTTTGATTGTTTCAGATTCTTTTGAGAATGTTTATTTTGATTTGCGTCGACATGCTGTTTACAATCTTTCATTAATTTACGTTACTAGCGGAAATTTGTCATATGCGCGTAATCTTGTAGATACTCACTTTTCTATTTAAATTTATATGTTTTTATTCATTATTGTATATGGTACATATGGTTGATTAGCATATTATAAGTCTTTTATTATTTTGATTTTTATTTTTTCATAAATATATATCAGTTTGTGGTATTTCATGATTTGAATTGTTCTATATTTGTCTATATCTTATCATATTTAATTTATAAACGTATCTTTATGTAATATATTATTTCAGTGTTCAAGCGGCTTTGAGTTTTATAAGACCGATTAAATTTAAGGTCATTATTATATAATACCTATAGTTTACGGTGGAACTGAAAAGATAAAAGGGGAAGAATTAAGGGTTGTTTGGAGGAATAGTAGGAATTAAGGTGTTGTTTTAAGTAAAAAATAAATTAAAGTGTGTTTATTTAAAAAAGTATTTGCAAAAGTTTTAGGGAAAAACGAATGTAAATGTTTAAGAAATAGAAAAAAAAAAATAATAATTATATTTAGGTGTTGTTTTTGTCTATAATTGTGTTGAGATATAAGAATTTATTCTATAGTGATTTTTTTTCCATAAAATTCTGATTTAAAAAACGCAAATTAGGTATGTTTGAATGCGATAAAATTCAAGAGAAATTATTGGTTTTCAATTAATAGATATTATGAATGCTTGATTCTTTTATATAGAAAAGCGTGTATGGAACGTGATTGATTCTTATTAGGATTTATTTAGCTATTTATCATTGTCTTTTTATAGTGAAAAATAACTGTGTTGTGATTCAATGGCCGATCAACATGAGATTGATCTTGATTCTGTTATAGAGCGGCTTTTGGAGGTTCGTGGAAGTCGTCCTGGTAGACAGGTTCAATTAGCTGAATGTGAAATTCGTTTTCTTTGTATTAAGGCACGAGAAATTTTTGTTAATCAACCAATCCTTTTAGAACTTGAAGCTCCTATGTAATTTATGCTCATATTTCATGTTTCTGTGCTTATTCTTTCCAGAAAAATATGTGGTGATATTCATGGTCAATATTATGATCTTTTGAGACTTTTCGAATATGGAGGATTTCCTCCTGAAGCAAATTATCTTTTCCTTGGAGATTATGTAGATCGTGGGAAACAGTCCCTAGAAACTATATGTCTTTTATTAGCGTATAAAATAAAATATCCGGAGAACTTTTTCATACTGAGAGGAAACCATGAATGTGCAAGTATTAATCGTATTTACGGATTTTATGATGAATGTAAATGATTTCTCAATTGCTTTTATTTTTATTTATTAATGTTACAGGCAAAAGAAGATATAATATAAAATTGTGGAAGACTTTTACTGATTGTTTCAATTGTCTTCCTATCGCTGCTATTATTGATGAAAAAATATTTACTATGCATGGTGGTCTTTCTCCTGATCTTACTTCTATGGAACAAATTCGAAGAGTAATGCGACCAACTGATGTTCCAGATACTGGTAATTATTAAATTATATATGGGTTGTTTTGATTTTATTCTAGGCCTTTTATGTGATCTTTTATGGTCCGATCCTGATAAGGATATAACGGGTTGGAGTGAAAATGATCGTGGTGTTTCATTTACATTTGGACCGGATGTTGTATCTCGTTTTCTTCAAAAACATGATATGGATCTCATATGCCGAGCACACCAAGTAGTTGAAGATGGTTATGAATTCTTTTCTAAACGTCAGCTTGTTACATTGTTTAGTGCACCTAATTATTGTGGAGAATTTGATAATGCTGGTGCTATGATGAGTGTGGATGAAAGTTTACTTTGTAGTTTTCAAGTATATAATATTTTAGTAATAAAGTATTTAGTGTTAACTTCATATAGATTCTTAAGCCGGCTGAAAAGAAACAGAAATATTTGTATGGAGGTATGGGAAGTGGACGTCCAGTGACACCTCCACGAAAACAGAAAAACAAGGGTGGGAAAGCTTAGATAGCATTATTTGTTATTTATATAGGATATCGGTTTATATATATATATATATATATATTGAGCGAAAGATTGACAACATGCAATTATATTTTCGAGTATGATTATATTTAGGATAAGGATAAAATAATTGGATGTTACTAAGAAAATGTGTTTCTTGGTGTCATCTAGCTTTGGAAAGAAAAGTAGACAGTTTCGTTTTGTAATTTTTTAAGATTTTAATTATTTTCTCTGTTATATTTGTTCTATCCAACTTCCATGTATTAAAAATATTATTAATTATTAATTTTTTTTGTTATTATTTTTATTTTGTGATTTGAAAAATGCGTTTCTTGTAGAGTATGTTCTTTCTATATATAGTATTTTATTGATATTAAGAACATATGTTGATATTTTTAATTTTATAACTTATTTTTTAGGGTTAGTTTTGAAAAGTCACTGAAGGAAATATTTAGCGATTGATAGTGAATTTGTTAAATATAAGTTATTTGGTTTTTAAACTGATTTTCTTATGGCACCAAAGGTATGGTATATTTTTTTTGATACTATTCCTAAAACTATTGGATTTTATCGTTTTTTTTTTTGATTTTTGAGTTGATAATTAATGTAGTTTGATCCTAATGAAATCAAAATTATCTATCTTAGAGGTGATTTTTTATTTTAGAAAGAAATAGTAAAAATCTAATGAAGTGCTTTTAAGTCGCTGGTGGAGAAGTGGGAGCATCATCTACACTTGCACCGAAAATTGGACCTCTCGGCCTTGTATAAGAAATAATTTTAAAGATATATTATCGCTAATTTGAATACAGTCTCCTAAAAAAGTAGGGGAAGATATTGCTAAAGCAACTGGCGGTTGGGTATGTGTCTTATGTTTTTTTATGTTTATTGTGATTATTGATTTTATTTAGAAAGGATTAAGGGTTACTGTTAAACTAACTATTCAAAATCGACAAGCACAAGTGGAAATTGTTCCATCCGCTTCTGCTCTTATTATTAAAGCATTAAGAGGTAATTCCTTTTTTTCTTATGTTATTTCTTATATTTTAGAACCTCCACGGGATCGTAAAAAAGAAAAGAATATTAAGTAGGCTTTTTCATCTATTTTTTTTCAGAGCATAGATCTTACTTTGAAGGCATTCCGGGAATATAACATTAGATGATGTTGTTAATATTGCACGTCAAATGCGGTTTAAGAGTTTAGCTAAGGAACTTAGTGGTACAGTTAAAGAGATTCTTGGAACCGCATATACTATTGGATGTCATGTAGACGGCAGAAATCCTAAAGAAATTATTGATGAAATTATTTCTGGTGATATTCAAAGTAGTTATTGTTTTAAAAAAATATTTCTAATATTTATGATATAGTTCCTCTTGAGTAGACTTTTAATCTTTTCTGTATATTATGATTAAATATTAGATTTTGCATCTTAATTTTTTTGCATGTTTTTTTTAATGTTTGCTAACACTCTAGGGTATCTTTTTTTATAGGATGCTCTAATTTAATTGCAAACAAAATCAATTTTTTGTTCTCATTTATTATTTCTGAAATAAAGTATATATTCAGAGGTTTATACAGGAGATACACATCTTTTTTTGTTATTTGTATTTTTATGTTCTTAAAATATTTAATTGTTAAATGAATATTTTTTAAAATTTTATGTTTTTTTCGATATCTTTAAATTTTATAGAAATTGTAAATGAATCTAATTCAAACATCAGCAAAACATCTTTCGTGTAGAAATAAGATCTATGGTTTTTTTTGTAGAAGATATGCCAAGGAAGCTTTAACAGATAAACTCCGATTGACATTTTTACTTCCTCATAGTATTCTTTATAAAGCTCAAGATGTGTAAGAATATAATTATAAATTTTGATTAACAAGAATAATAATACTTTTAGGTTCCAAGTAAATATACCAGCGACATCAGGAAGTATGGGTATTCTTGCGTTACATGTTCCTACGATTGAACAGCTTCATCCTGGTGTTGTTGAGGTTATTGAAGAAAATGGTGTATCTAACAAGTTTTTTGGTATTTCTTGTTTTTTCATTCGCTCCTATTGATTCTTTTATAGTTTCTGGAGGTTTTGCTACTATGCAACCGGGTTCTGATTTATTTATTAATGCTATCGAGGCATATCCATTAGATGATTTTAGTTTAGAGGTAAATATAATTTATGTTTTTGATTTAATAATTAATATCTTTTAGGCCGTAAATGAAAATCTCCAAAAGGCTCAGAAAGTTGCGTCTGGAAATGGAAGTGAGGAAGAAATTGCTGAGGCAAAAATTCAAATTGAAGTACTGGAAAACTTACAAACAAGTTTAAAATAAACTAAATACAGTATACGTAGATACTTTCTTATATTAATGTTATTAAAGTTAATGATTAGAAATAAATATCTTCTGGTAATACAAATATTTTATCCCCATTTTCCCTTATGCTTTCCCTGAATTTGTCTCGGCTAAGCGGTTTTCGCATATCTAAAATATTAATATAGTATTTTTAAAAGTATGCACCTGCCTAATGCGTCTTCATCATCGCCTTTGCTTCCATTATAGTATTTTATGACTCTGCGAAAAACAGAATATCCAAGGGATTTATACATACTAATTGCAGCAAGATTGCTATGTCGTACAAATAAATCTACAAAATATCCATTATACCTAAAAGTAGGTCATCTTTTTGTATCATTTTTTCAATTAAGTCTACATATTTTCACTTATATTTTCGAGCAGTTTTATAAGATCACGGGCAACACCAAGTCGACGATACTCTGATGCAACGGACAAGGCTGTAATATGACCATGCCATTGCTTTTTTATACCTTCTGTTTTTCCCATTACTGTTTAGTTTTTATTACATATATTTCTATGTAATGCTATTCATACCATAACCCATTAATTTTGTCTTCCCTTCAAATAATGATGTTTCTTGAACCAAAAATAAATTAGGCCATGTTGCCAGATATGAAAGATAAAAAGAAATATTATACTTTTGTTTCGTTAACAATATGTTAGTATTATAATAGCATTATATCTACTGTTTCTGTTAAAATATCAAGATTTCTAAGCTGGTTATCTTTCAGTTACAAAGAAAATAAAACAAATATACATATTATTAAACGAAAATATATCTGTTGCTTTAAAACGACGAAGTTCGCTCATTTTTTAGAATTAAGTGATTTTCTTTTTTGAGATTGGAGTCATCAGCTAATATTCAAAAACGTTACATTTCAATGAATTATGGGAGCTTTGATGAATTTAAAGAGTATTATTTGAAAAATTTGTTGATAATATCGTGACTGTTTTTTGATATATTGAGGGTGCTACGATATTAACGTTTGAAAAAATATTTTATTATAAAAAGTATGGCAAAATCAAAAAATCATGTAAGTTTTGATGTATTTAAAGATTGGTGGATTTAATTTGTTTTTCTTTAGACAAATCATAATCAAAATAAGAAAGCACATAGAAATGGTTAGTTTAGATAAAGAATTGTTGAGATAAATTAATATTGTATATAGGTATCCGTCGCCCAAAGATTGGATGCTTTTTGTCTTTGAAATATGTAGATCCAAAGGTGATCTTTTTATTTGTATTAGAGCTTATTTTAATTGTTTGAAGTTTCGATTAAATAGAAAATATGCTGTACGTGGGACTTGTAGGGCATTGAGAAAAAGTAAAATAAAGGCTTTTTAATATAATTCTTGGATGGAAGTTTACTTATATGTTATTATAAATTTATAACATTATGATATTTTTTTTTGTTTCTTCATTGGTGATAATTTTTTTTGAATCGAGATTTAATTTTTAGCACATGTTGTGTGTACGGCTATGGAACATACATTTTCCAGATTGCTGAAGGATATAGCTGTGCAAAAACGAGTCTCTTGTTCCACTATTCTTCATAAATACTGTTGTGTAGAATAGATAAATATTTTTTTCTCAAGAGTTACATTAAATTATGTTTTTTTTTATATTTATGTTTTATCTAAAATGTTTTACTTCAAATATGGTATTTTGTTAGTTTTTTGATGATTATGATGTTTAGAATTATTTTTAAAATATTGTATTAATTTTAATTTTTTAAGACTTTGTTGAAATATTAATTTATTGTATAGTTTTTTATAAAGTTTAAATGTTTTAAATGTTAAAAATATCTTGTAAGTTTAAATTATATTTCAAAAGAAAATAATTGTTTTTATTTGATATTTTTCTTTTTAAAAATTTATTTTCTTTTTCATTATTTTTTTGAGTTTTTTTTTGGATTGTTAAGAATTGTTAGTTTATATTTGAAATATTAATAGAAATCATAAATTTGTATATATATATATTACTTTTATAAAAGTTAAGATAATTTTTAGGGCTAGACTAAAGTTAATAAATTTATGATCTTTTAGTTATTATTGATAGTATTATGATATATTATTAGTATTTTAGAAAATATGTTAAAAGAAATCTATTAAAAATAGCATTGAACTTAAAAATATAAGTTTTAAAAATAGATATTTTTTTAATAATTTTTTATTATGTTTATATTATTATTTTGTACATTTCCATATAAGTTATATATGTTATTCTATTTTGATATTGTTACTTTTTTAATATTTTGTTAGATTGTTTTTTTTTAATAGTTTATTAATAATTTTGGATAATTTTTTAATGTTTATATTTATATTAATATTATATAAGAATACAATAATGTTTTATTTTCATTATTTTTAAATTTTATAATGGTTATAGACAATACAAAAATAGAAAATTATTTTGTATATTTTTATTTTTAGGTTTTTGATGTTTATTTGAAGGTTATTGTTTTTCGAAATTAATGATAATATTGCGATATTGTGGTAATTTTAAACATTTTATACATTTCAAATCTTATCATGCTTTTATTAATAATTTTAGAATAATAATTATAAAATTGCTTTGTTTTATAAATATTGAAATATTATATATATATATATAGCTAAATAAATGTGTTTTGTTAAAAGATTAAGGAATATTAGTTATATAAAGGAATTATTTATGAATTTTTAATTTTATAATTTTAATTTTTTAAATCCTTAAGTTTTATGAAATTTGAAAAATGTTTTAGAGATTCAATTATTTTTTATAATTGGAAATTCGATAATAGGAATAATAACTAGATTACATATAGATACTAAACATTATTATATTTTTTGTAATCTATTTATAGTATTAGTTAAATATTAAGTATAAATTAACTATAAAATAACCTTATATACCAATAGAATTATTTTTTACACAATAAATACCTAAAAATATACATTTAAATTATTTATGATATTTAAAACTTTGGTTTTTATAATATAATATTTGCCAAATTAATGCTAAGAGTAAATTATTGGCTACCGGTAACAGCCAACCTAAAATTAGTTAATTAGTATAGTATATTAATTTGATATTAATAGATTAACTTTTTAAGATGATCCATGAATGTCTATGTTTATGTTAATATAATTTAAAAAAAAAGTTATTAATATACTTGAAGTGAAACGTCGTCTGTAAAAACGGCTTGTGCTGATGGTGCACCATAACTGCTAGTTGCATGAGTTGCTGATGGATTAATTCTTGATAATAAAAATCGAGCTTGGCTTCCTCCTTGATCACAGACAACTTTTAAAGTCAGAAAATGGAAAAAAAATTATAAATATATACTATATCTTGGTATTGGAAATCTTTCAACTAGAAGTTCCTAAGTAAAATAAGTTAATGTCCAAAAAGATTAGCATAATACTGCAATTTCATGGCGAGGAGACTCTAGCAATTCTTTGAAATTTTGATATCCTTCTTTGTCTTGATATCCTGTCTTTCTCCATGATGCGATTATTTCTCCGTGCCAAATCAAAACATGAAAATATGTATCAAGAAGTAAGATAACATCAGGTTTAATAGAAATAGAGTCAAGTAATACAGGTTGTGGTTCTTGATCAAAAGAAAACGATATTAAAGTAGGTTGTATCATGATTAATGAATTATTCACATCTTCATGATTCAAGACATGACGATAAAAAGCTGTTTCATCCGGAGAATTATTAAACACTTGCAAAAACTGGCTTCGTCGAAGATGGAACATAAATTGAGGATAAAGACTAAAATTTGGTGAAAGACGAAAAGATGAAGGATCATCTTTTCTATAATCTGCAAATTTCTGACAAAGGCGAATAAGCATCCTATCTGTCCATCTAAGGACATCAGGCCCATCATCTATTTCTGCTTTATATACTGCTATCCGTGCCATGATAACAGCTGCAGTTTCCTGGTCAAATGATTGAGGTATAAGTGGACTACTGCTGTCTGCAAAAGAGCGAGCAGCTGTTGTTACACGAAGTCTAAATGTTCCTGATGAATGTTGATAATGAGTAACAAATTGAATGAGTCCTCTTTGACTCATTTGAGCTTGTTGTTTGTCTTGATCAGATATTTCAAAATATGCTGCATAAGCTGATTTGGGTAAAATTCCACACATTTTCCAGGAACATGTATTTCCAATACCTATTTCTGCTTCTCCAATAGATGGAGATTTTTTATTAAGTGAAACTGCATGGCCAATTAATCCAGATATTTTTAATTCTTTTGTAGTCTATGAAAAATAAGAAATAAATGAAATGTGTTAATAAACAATACCAGTATTTCCATGGAGGCATTAAAAGCCATTTGTAAAGATCCTTGGGAATCTGTATTGAAAACTCTCTGAAAACTTTGCTTAAAAATAGATGAAGAGAATGCATCAGATAGAATCATATGTCCTCCTGTAAAATTTGACAAAGATTTCATTTCTAACATTCCAATTTGATCAAGACATCCAGCAAAAATATCTATAATATGTCCATTTGTCGATGCTTTTTTGGCAAGATTTTCATAAAACTAAAGATATTAAAAATTTAATAATTAATAGACTATTCACTTTAGTCGCTTTTTTGTAATATTTTATATTATCTCTTTCTATATCATGGTGTGATCTAATTGATTCGCGCAATTCTGTACCAACTACCATTCCTGGGCCTTGTGTACTTGGTCCTCCTGAAAATAACATAATACGTGCTCCTGTATTTGGAAACGCATTCTACATTAAATAAGATATGTTTAAGATATTATGTTCATACCTCCATCAAACTTACAGCGATACTTATAGCAACGCCTGTGCATCTTTGTGGGCGCTTATCGTTTGCCACAGGCCATGGATCTTGTTGTAATGATTCGAGTATATTAGTTAATCGAAATTCGCAAATATTAACTGGTAATAAGAATCTTATATATTATGAAAAAAAATCATAAATAGTTATAATCATACCTGGCTGCCGCTCCATAATTAGATTGAGTTCTTCGTAGGCTAGGTTGTTGGGGTCGCAAAGAAGTACCCATCAATCCTAATAATTCTTGAACTTGTTTTGTAGTATAATCTTTTGTTCCTTGAAATACATAATATTTTGTACATTCAGAATAGCCAAGTTCATAAACATTAGTCTATAATTAATATTAATTTAGTTAGCATTTTTAATGGTATACAAACCATAGTTCCATATGTAATTAATCCAATTAAAGAATCGTGAGGAACTAGGCTAAAGCTTACAATGAGTGCGTCTTTTAGAGCTTGTAAATTGTCTTCTTCAAGACATGTATCAACAACAAATAAAAATATTGGAGGTGTTTGAGATGGGCGTGATAAAATATACTCTATAGTTGTATATTTTGGCAATAGTTCCATAGGTAAGTTTTGAGGAGAAATATCCTTATACATAGGAGGGAGTTGGTTTCGAGTTAAACAAAATGGACCTATATATATAATTGTTAATATTATATTTTTAGTCCTTAAAAAATTACAGATCCAAATTCTCCCACGCATATCAACTTGACTACATTACATAATATTAGTATTTTTTAAGGAATAAAGAAATTATTAACCAATATGGATTTAAAATTGCTCGACATGGTGCTTTACAAGATACTGGTTCATATTGCACTGGTGGCAATTCAGGACGTTCAATTAATGGCATATATAATGCGGCAATGGGAACCACCATCTTTGAGTTTTCTAAACGGGTTGATGGGAAAACATTCCATGAAAAACTTAAATGTTAAAATTAATTGTATTTTAAAATTTAAAAAATTTATTTACCGAATCCCTTCTGTTTCCTCGATATCATCATAATTCATAGTATGTGTTTCCATATCTTCTATATGGAACAATAAATTTATAAACGTTTTTATTTCGAAAACTTTAATCGTCATATTCTAATGTTTAACGTTTATTTTAAATGCAGGAGGGCAAAACCCTAGTATAAATAATTTAACAAAAAACTATTTAGAAATATTATAAAATTTATTTTTAAATAAAAAACAATATTTTTAAAAATAAGCATTTTATATAGTCTTGCAGATATATTTTCAATTGTATTATTCACTATAATCTTGCAACTAATAGAAGTTAGATATTGAAAAAAAATTAAATAAAATAAAACATTTAATGTTAAAGACCTAGAGCTATTGGAAGTATGTTCTCTATAAATCCCGACTAGTGCTTCTGATTGATGAAAAAGAGCGTTTTTTAAACTAATAACAATAAATTGAAATCCGTTGCCAGCATGCTGGCGTATATAATTTGCAATTTTAGTTACATTTGTATTGTCTAATGCTGCATCAATCTCATCTAAAACAAAAAACGGAGATGGATGATAGGAATGGATTGCAAATAGCAATGCTAATGCTGCTATAGTCTTTTCCCCTCCGGATAATTGCTCCATATCTCTAAATCGTTTCATTGGAGGCATTGCATGATATTTAACGCCATTTAAGTAAGGTTCCTTTATTGCATTAATTTTGTTCTATTTTTAATAATATGATTACCTCAGTATCCTCTAAGCTTAGATATGCTGTTCCACCTAAGGGAAACGATTTACTTTTAGTCAGATCTTTATATATTTGATCTATTTGTTCTGATATATGCGTATATGCTTTATGAAATAAAGCATATCTATTTTGTCAGATTTATTTTATCTTATTTTAAAAGACTACCTTTTTTGTTTTATTGCATTAAAATTGTCTCTTGCTTGTTTAGTTTCTTTACGTGCTTTATCAAAATATTTTTCAGTATCATGCAGTTTATTTTCTACACCCTCTAGGCGTTCAATAGCTTTCATATTTGGGGCAATTTTTTCTATTTCTGATGTTAAATCGGATATTTTTTCGGATAAGAGATTTTCCATATCTATAGATCCATCTTCTTTAAGATTTTTATCTAACAAGCTATAGTCAACTTCAATTTTCCAATCACATATTTTAGTTTTTATTCTATTTGTTTCCTCATTTTCAGTATTTATATGATTTTGCATTATCGATTCATCTATTGGGATATCATTAAGGCTTCCTGAAATAAGAGGAATGTTAATTTCTTCAAGCTTACAGCGCTTGAAAATTGTATATCGTTCAAATGATATTCTTTCGATTTCTGATTCAATTTCGGAATTTATCTTAGAAAGAGAATCAATTTGTTTTGTCCATTTGTTAATTTTCTGGTGGAGTTCATTTGCAATTTGTGTCTTTTCGCTATGTTCTTTCTTCTTAATTGTATGAATTTCTCGTTTTTGTGCTAATTGAGCTTTTAAAATGTCTATGGTTTCTTGAGTTTCTTTTTTTTCTTCTTCAAGCTGCAATATTAATGATGAATCTCTAGTTATAAACATTTGCAGCTTCTTAATTCTTTCAGAAGTTTCATTAAATTTTTGTTTTTCAAAAGTTAGTCTATAAAAACTTAGAATTAATGAAATCATTCTTATAATATAATTTACTGATTGTTTAATTTTGATTCCTGGGTTAGAAATTTCATTCTTTTTTCTGCTGCTTCCTGAGTCCATGTTTCATGTTTATTTTCATATTGTCTTATATTCTTTATTTTTATTTTTGAACAGAAGTCCTGAAAAATTTTATCTTCTATATTGTTTATTTCACTTTGAAGTTTTGATATTTTTTTTGCATGTTGAACAAGTAAATTTTGATCCTTTTCAAGTTTTTGTGATATTTCTTCTGATTGTTTTTTTATGTGTTCTATCTCTTCTTTTTTTCCATTAAGATTTCTTTGTATCATGTTCTATAATAATTAATGACAGAAAAAGAGCTAAATATAATACTAAATCTTCTCTAGAAAATTGAAGTTGTGGTTCTAATCCTGAAATGTTAGAGCTTGCAACTTCTTCTGTCATATCTTTTCTTTTATCTTTTTGTATATCTTGAAGTTGACTTATAAGATTATCACGGAGTTGTTTAAGAGCTAAGAGTAATAAATTTATCTTCATATTAAATATGCGTAATTACAAACCTTCTATTTCTTGCTCATCCCATCTATTATATTCTTGTTTAAAATTGTGATTCTGTCCTCCTGTTATAAGCCCAGCTTTATGAAGGACTGTACCATCGAGTGTCACAACTAAAAAAAATTATGGCTATAATCTATTAAGGTAGATAAATATACTTTTGGTTTCTATATTTTTATTGTAGCGAATACTTTTAGCAATATTAAAATCATCACATATTAATGCATTTCCTGTTGCGAATTGTATAGCTCTTTCAATAGATGATTCATAACTAATAACATCGACTGCTAAACGTGCTTGAGGATGAATATTACGTAATTTCTGATCAATAGATTTAATTTGACAGGTATCTAAAGGTATGAATGTTAATATCCCTAATCTTTGATCACGAAGATATTCGATACACTCCTTGGCAATTTTTTGATTATTAACAACAATTGAATTTATATTCTTCCCACAAACAGTAGCTATAGCAATCTCATATTTTCTTTGAGTAGGTCGATATAAGTCTATGATACGTCCACGAACTCCCGGAAATATTCTTTTTAATGTATTAATAATATCTTTTGTTTTCAATTCACGTTCTGATTCTCGTTTATCTGCATTAATTTGAAGTAATTTATTAAGGCATTCTTGCAATTTTTCATTAAGTTCTATTTCTTGTTGTGCTATCCGAATACGAGATGATCGGATGACTTCTAAATTATTTCTTTCTTTATCTAAATCTTGAATTAATTGGTTTACTTTTGAAGTAACCTAACAATATAAAACATTATTTTAAAAATGCATTTTAATACTTCAGATTTTTGTATAGATAATAAATAAACTTCTTCTTCAAGGATGTCTTTTTGTCGTTTTAATTGATTATAATTTTCTTGAAGAACATTGGCAGATTCAGAATCAACTTTGTGTTGACGATGCAAATTTTCTAATTCCTGTTTTTGAATAGACATTTTGCTATTTACTTCATCTTTTAGTTTTTTATATTCTTCAAAATCAGCATCACTAAAAATAACACCTTTTTGTTTTGCCAATTTTGTTTGTTCTTCTTCAAATCTTTGAAAAGCTTTCTTTACAATAGATAAGTCTTTTTCAAAAGATAGAAGATGATTTGATTGTCTGGATTTATCTCTTTCTATTTCGTTGATTCTAGAATTACATTTACTGATACTTATATTGGCACTATCTATTTTTTCCTTAGCCGCAATAAGAATTGGTAATTGTTCTTCTAATGCTTTTTCTTTTTCTTTAATAGATTTCTCTTGTTTTAAAATCTCTTTCGTTATCTTAGCTTGAATTTTTTTAGTCTCGTTTAAATTTTCTTGATATTTTTTTTTTTCTATATCTAGTTCTTTAGATTTAGAAATATTGTGAGAAATAATTTCCTTGTTATTGTTTATTTTGCACTCTAGATGAAATAATTTCCATGTTAGATGCAGTGTAATTGCATTGTCCTATAAAAAATAAATCCATTTTTACAATTAATAAGATTATACTCTTTGGTCTAATTTTGTTGCGTAGTTTTCAGCTTCTGCTTTTTGTTCTTTATACTGTTTGATTTCTGCATTAATTCCCCGTTTTCTATGAAAGGCATAAGTAGAATTATCTATAGCCCTCTCTTGTTCTATTTTAAGTCTTTCATATTCACATTTATATTCCAATGATCTAAAGATTTTGAATACATATTATATATACATCAGATATCTAATTATACCCACTTATTTGTTCTATAAGTCTAGTTAAATCTTTTGGAGACTGGGATGCAATTGTCTCTACGTCACCCTTATTTATTATTCTTTATGATAAAGAGAAATGTATTGCTTATACCTGGAATACTAAAAAGTTTTTTGCTTTAATAAGAATGTTATGTCCTTCAAGTGCTTTGTTATAAGTAGCAGCCGTAACTATTTTGTTATTGATTATATATTCTGTTGTTCCAGATGATGATATTCTGATTATAGTAAATTAAAAAAGAATGCATATTTAGAGAACCTACGTTCTTTTATATTGTATATGATTTCCGCTATCATCTTCATACACAAGCATTACCCACGCGTCTTTTATTCTATTTTCTAAGTTCTTATGTGAATTTTCTTTATTTGGTGCCAGTTGTTCATGATAAATAAGATCCGTGAAATGAGATGAGCGCAATTGAGACGATTTAAGACCTAAAACAAATGATATAGCATCCATTAAATTTGATTTTCCTATATGTTCATTAAATGAATGAGGAGTAGTCTTTTTTATTACTTTCCTGAGCCATTTGGTCCTATAATAGATGTAAAATCATAAAATGGACCTATCGTCTGATGTCCTTTATATGATTTAAAATTTTGTAATTCAAGTTGTATTAATTTTCCCATGATAAATATGTATAGTTATTGTAAATGAAATCTATATCTTTGTATTTTATTATTAGTTTTTATAGTAATATTTGTATATATTTTTATAATTAATATAGGAGTATTTTTGGACGCGAGTCGTTAATTTTTTAAAATATTAGCTTTTTAAAGTGAAATGATTTGGAACTGTATTTATCAATAATTAATGAAGAAAATTGAAGATGATTTTAGATGAAAATGAAGAGATGGAATTAGGGATTGATGATGTTGAAATGGATCATGAGGGAGAAAATGAATGTAAAGAATTAGATATATCTTTGGATGAACCTAGAAATGTTACAAAGGTATTACTGAATTTATTTTCAATGAGTATATGAATTTTTTAAATTAGAATAAAAACGGTGTGGCGTATAACTTTAAAGAACTAGGCATACAAAAAAATGGTGAGTTATTTTTCTGAAGTAATATGTTTATTAAAAAATATTAGAATTTTTAAATGAAGTGAGACCTGAAGCTTTGTATTTAAAAGGAGTGGATCAAATGTCTACAGATGATGTAAAAAAGTATTGTATTACTTATTATCCAACCGTTTCTCCTTCGATTGAATGGATTGATGATTCATCATGTATTTTAATCTATTTTATATTAAATTTGCTAACTTTAAATGTAGGTAATTTAGTATATTCTGACGCTTCAACTGCATTATCTGTGCTTTCTAGTATTTCTTGTTTTAAAGTTGATACATTATATACTAGTTCTCTTGTACCGGCAAAAACGTGTTTAAAATATAATAATGCTCAATTATTCATAAGACATTCTAGCACTTCTGATAAAAAGACTCCTGGTGCAAGAGAAAGAAGTAGATGGTACCTTTTTCATCCACATCCTAGTGAGAAAAGATATATATCGTAAGTATATAAAAATTTTGGCTAATTGTATTAAGTTCTACAGATATCGTCGTAAACAGAATACTTCTCGAAGATTTAGCCCATATAAATATTCAAGAGATCAATCTAATTTAGAAGTCAATTTTTTATCTAAAAAAGATAGACCAGTATTATCATCAACGTTGCATGACTCTTCATTTCTTCATTCAGATTGTGATCGTCAGACGTCTGAAAATTCTTTATCGTTGACCAGCACTTCCTTAAAAAGTAATATTGAATTGTTTCCTGAAAAATTGGCAAATTTAACCTCTAATGAGTTATTTCCTAAGAAATTAATGAAATTAAATCATAGAAAAATTTCTTCTGAAGAATCAAATGAAGTTTCTCATAAAGAACTTTTTCCCGAAAAGTTGAATTTTCAAAGACATGTTAGCTATTTTTCTTCAAATAATACTACAATAGAGAAAACTCCTTTTATTTTGAATATAAAGGGTTCTTCAAAACGCAGAAATAAAGCAACAGATATGTTTTAAACTTCTATCTAAATTGAATTTTCATATAAATATCGACACGTTTTAAATTATATTATTAATAAATTATTAATTTTATATTTTATGATTTCTTTGGTAAGTTTTTTTGGATAAGAATTATATAGAGAAGTGTTGATTTTTTGTTAACGTATTGCATATGTATGTATCTATGCACATTAAATATGTTATTTTTGGATAGGTTATACGTGATATTGAGATCACATATTAAAATTTGAAAATGTTGAGCAATTGGTTTTAGAAATATAAGATTGAAAATCTATTTTTTAAATCTTAGAATAATTATGAAATCGATAGATTTAAATTTTAAAATATAATTATTTAAACTTGCTAATTTAAATATATATTTTTTATGTTTATATTATTAAAAGTTTAATTTTATATACATTTATGTTTATAAAGTATAATATTAACTTTAGAATTTATTTTTAAGGCTAATTGAGTCTGCGATTTTTATAATTACTAGAAAAAATAGTATTGAATACAAATTTAAGTATTGTTTATATATATATATATTCGTAATGTCTAAAGATACATTTAATGGATATATAATTCATAATACTTTTGTAGAAATATATATATTAAATTTTTTATATGTCATCAGCATTAAGAAGATTGCCCAACATTTCCATATAATAATCGGGCATAATATTTGATGTGTTTTTTAATATAACATCTTCTTTGCTTATTCCCTATATATAATTCAGAAACAATATGATAATATGAATATATTAATACTGTAAGTACTAAACAACTTTTAATACCTGAATTCTTCGCAAATAATATATCTGTGTCAATTCTATCTCCAATAAAACATGTTCTAGATTTATTAAACTTAAATTTAGATTCTATCGCTTGAAGCATTTCTGGATTCGGTTTTCCTAGAAATATTGCCTTTCTTCCTGATGAATTTAAGAGAGGAGCTGAGCATGATCCTGTTCCTGGAAATAATCCTCCAGAAGCAGGATATGTAGAATCAGAGTTAGTTATAAGAAATAATACTTTTTCGTTTTCAAGATATCTAAGAGCTCTAGAATATTTTAGATAATTTATATGTAGATCAAGACCACATAAAACTGCCCCTACTGATGGATCTAATTTGAGATTTTCGAAATCTTCTGTTTTTATATCTCTTCTTTCAGAAGGATCCTTTATATTGTAAATATATTATAAAAAATAAAATATAGTAAATATATTTTACAGTTCCTCCTATATATTCTATTCCCTGTCTATTTAATTCCTTCTCAAGACCTTCCCCTCCAATAATGTAAATTTTTTTCTCCTTGGGAAATTTGATAACATTTTTTAAATAAAGAGCTGCAGAATATGATGAATTAAATATTTCATCCTAGATAATTTCTTTTTAAGTATTGCTTAGTTAAATGTTTATAATTACTAATTTTACGTCAAGTCCTAATTCCATAAATTTTTTTTGATATTCCTCTCTTGGTTTTAATGAATTATTTGTGACAAATGCAATACTTTTTCCTATTTTAATAATTAATACATTTCTTTAATATTAAAATAGTTTTGCCTTTTAATCGTATAAAGTTTAATGTTTGTTGAACATTTGGCAATAACTCTGTACCTTTCCATAAAACACCTAGAAATTCATTAAAAGTAATATGTTAAATGTTAAATGTATACCATCACAATCGAAAAGAAATGTATCAAATTTAGAAAGAAAATTTCTGTAATCAGATTTAGTTATAAGATGTTTTGCAGACATTTAAAATATTTCATAAGAAATTCAATATTACGAATGTTTAGAAAGAAATTATTTCAGTTGAAATTGTTTTATTTAGGTTATTTACAAAAATTAGATTAGAAAGAGTAATTTATGAAAAATATTTAAATTGAGCAAGACTAGTAAATGTAGATGAGCAAAAGTATTATATATGTTTTTTAATCTTAGATAAAAATTTAATGAAATTATAGTCTTATATGTTTTGGGAGATTTTGCTTTATTTTCGAGAACCAAAATCTGGTGGAGGTAGTTGGTTTTTTTCTTTTTTTACTTTAAACTCTGCAAGAATAGAAATATGACTATATGAAAAAATTATTTATTAATTTAGTTAAATTGCTACTTACTCGCTTGGAAAATGTGCGTTTGGAAATCCAACTACTCCATCTAAATATTGTTTATCGACTTCTTGAAGAAGTCCTGTAACTTCAAGAGAATTTGTTGTATGCCAAATGTAGTCTATTACGCCGGAAAATCCAGGAGTGTAGTTCGTAAATGGGAGTTCGCCTATAATATTGTAGGAGCTTTTTAATTGAAAAGAATGTGATCTTCCATCTGTAGTATATGTACCATACTTACTATCCATAAAATCACTATGATTTTCAAGAATATGACCTCGAGAAAGAAAATCATATACTCCACTACCAGGAATTGAATTAAAATCTCCACAAATAATTAATGGTATTTTAGTTCCTGATGAATATGTAGGACGATTTTCATTCCAGTTAAAATCGAAAGTATCATCTAATATTTTGGATGGTCTTTTGCGAACTGGTATTTTTGCATAGTTTTCAGCCATTTCCGTAAGCTCATCCATAAGCATTGTTGCTTGTATAACTTTAACATCTCGAAATTTTGGATCCCAATAAAAATGTGTATTTGCAATTATTAGACGATAACCTGCATTTCGGTGCTCAAGTAATGATACAACACAAATATTATCTTTGGTCATAACACGATTATACATATCATGAGTAAGTTTATGTCCATCTCGACGTAAAGGTGCTTGGTTAAATTCGATTAATTGCTTTTCTAATAAATCGAATCTAAGATTATTAGTTTTCGGTAAAAAAAAATGTAAAAAATATACATGTTTGTTTTGAAAAAGGTAGCACAACCATCAACTATTCTACGTTCTGCTTCATTCATAGTTTTTGCACGTGATTTAGGCCAAAATATTCCTTTATAACCTTTAATAGAGAGCTTAGGAGAAAAATATTCTTCAAAATTATCAACATCTACTTCCTAGTAATGATTTAGAGATGTTAAATATAACAGAATATAAATACTTGAAGACAAACTATATCTGCGTTGTATGATAATACTTCATGTAATATAAGTTCTTTGCGATAATCCCATGATAATGCCCAAGATGGCGTGTATCCATACATTATAACAGTTGCACATCTATCACATAATATATTGTAGTTAAATACAGTAAAAGTTTCATTTTCGAGAGACGAGTTTTCCGATTTTTTTCCTGGAAATGTGATCCATTCTCTTTCTGGAGGAGGAAGAGGAACTAATAACTATTAAATACATATATATATATATGTATATATCAAGATATAAACCTGGACAACTATCCCTTAAATAATAAATTAAAGACTTGGTACCATCTTTTGCCAATAAACTTTTAAAAGCATCAGGTAATGGATTCCCTTCTAGTCCAAGAGTCTCAAGTTGATAAAGAGTACCAAATTCCGGTGGTATATTAGTTATTTGGTTGTCAAAAAATAAAAGCTCTTTGAGGTTTGTAAGCATGCCAATTTCTGGCGGTAAGTTAGTCAAATTATTTCCAGAAACATCTAGCTGAGTAAGAAGTCTAAGACGCCCAATGTCAGAGGGAATTCTGAGTAGTTTATTGTGATTAATGTAAAGAGAAGTTAGAAACGTATAACGAAATAATTCCTGACTAATGTTACGTAGCCCCATTCCACCCATATCCAAATTAGTCCAATCCTGTCTTTTTATTTTCCCCCCATTGTCTCTTTGAACATCTTGTTTTTCCACTGGAGGGCCATCTTTCCTATGTATCCCATCTGCAGATGCTTTGTTAAGATTATTTGTATCTGTAATTCCGGAATTTGAAGATACGTTATGAGTAGTTGTTGCTGCCGTTCTAGCATGATGATGAGGTGAGCTTGATTGTCTAGATATTTTTGCATAAGATAATTGTTGTTGCCAATGTGGACTGTTTGCAGATGATGCATCGAAAGTAAGAGAATTATTGTTATTACTAATATTAATAGGATTCCTCGAAGTAAAGGTATGCTGGCTGTTCAAACCATTTGCAGAGTTTAAGTGCTCCTGTGTCTGTTGGAATTTTGAAATATTTATTTGACTGGAATAACGTTGAGTAGAACTGTATAAATCATGATGAGCAGAATTAGTGAGATTATATGATAAATTAGATGTATGTGAAGGAGTTGAGGGATAACTTTGTGAAGATATATCATTTTTCGAAGGTGATTCATGAGTATGTCTAGGTTGGAAAAGTCGTTGAGGTAATGAGCTATATTGTTGGTAGTTGTTAATCACATTTGATCCATTATCAGCCATGATAATGTTTAAATCTAGTTATAATGATATGTATTTCAAAACTGTTTCTTGGATGTTTCCTTGTATAATAAAGCTAGATCGGAGGTCTTGGCATATGGATAAGTTTTTTTAAATTTTTTGATAGCTGTAAAACAATTATTTTGAAACAAAAGGATTAACTGATAGGGGTATTTTCAGATTTTCTTTTTATCCTAGGTAGTCCGGTATATGAAATATACAAATTACTTTAAAATATCCTTTTTTAGTGTTTTTTTTGCTAATTATTTGATGTGTTCTCGTTTTCTAGGTTTTTATTTTTAGATATAACCCTAACTCTAAATTAAATGTATTTTAGAATATATTTAGAATTATTTTTTTATATATAATGATTACGATGTAATTATATAGTCATGTTTATTGAAAAATTTATTATTTTTTGATATACTGGTTTTTAAATCTGAGCGAATCTTTATTTTTTGATATGTTAGATTTTTAATAATTTTTATAAAAATTATTTTTATTTTAAAAAAAAATGAATAAATATTCATTTAGCATGCACAATGGTATATCAATTTTACTTAGTATGTATTTATATTGATGATATTTTTATTATGTTATTTTTCTGTTTATTTTTTAAAATAAAATAAATCTGTGTTAAATTTAAATATTTAATATATTAAATTTTTATTAACTTTTTAAAATATTTTCATAAATATTTTTTGTTTTTGTTTTATATATATTTATATTTTAATTTTATAAATATTTTATATTTGAATAATTTAATAATTAGCATTTAATCGTTGAAAATCTAAAGAAATGTTCATAAAAAATAGATTATGGAGTATGAAATTATCCCAATTATATTCAACTTATTTTAGGGAAAGAGAATTTTTTGGATATATAGATAGGAAATGTCTTTTAAAATTTCAAATTAGATTATTTTCTCATATTCCTGTACCGTATGTTATTGAACAAACCGTATGTTAAAAATGATTAATGCGTTGTGTTAATTTTTATTATTAGGGAAGATTTCTCAATACTTTTGACATTTTTAGCAGGTATTTTTCTCTAAATCTTTATGTTTAATATATATATATATGTGTGTGTATGCCTATGATTTTGACTTCTATAGATTATTGAGAGAAAGGATAGTATGTCTTAATGGAGCAGTACGTATTATTTAGTTTTCAAACAAAAAAAAAAATAGTTATCTTATATTCATGTAGATACATGATGGAGTTTCTGCTGTAATTGTTGCTCAATTACTTTTTTTAGAGGCAGAAAATCCCGAAAAACCTATTTCTCTTTACATTAATTCTTCAGGAGGAAAGTATAATTGAAATTAAAAGTAAATTTTTTTATTTATCGATGAAATAGGAAGTGTAACTGCTGGTTTGTAATAATTAATCATTAAAAAAAATAATTATTTTTTTAGGTCTTGCTCTTTATGATACTATGCAATATATTCGATCACCGGTTTCTACATTATGTATTGGTCAAGCATCATCAATGGCATCTCTTTTATTGGCAGGAGGTGCTCCTGGGCAAAGATATGCATTACCTCATGCAAGTATTATGATTCATCAACCGAGTGGTGGCGTATCTGGACAAGCTAGGTTTGTATTTGTTATACTCTTATGACTTTTAATAAAAAAATTAGTGATATAGCAATTCATGCACGTGAAATTTTGAAAGTCAGAGAACGTTTAAATCTTATTTATCAAAAACATTTAACAAGAATTAAAGATTTAAATGATATAGGTAAATTTTCAAATAATTTATTATTGTTGACTGCTTTAGAAAAAATAATGGAAAGAGATTATTTTCTAACTCCACAAGAGGTATGTTATTTAGAAATTGAATCTAAAAAAATAAATTTTATAAGGCACTCGAATTAGGTATTATTGATGAGATTTTAGTTAAACGTAATAAAGAATCGATTAAAAATACATAAATGTCTTAAATGTTGTGTAATTTATATATTTCTTTTATTATATATTAAAATAAAATATTATGTTACACCACTAACTGAGAGTGCTAGACATAAGTTTCTTCTTGTAAATTGGACCTTGTAAACAGGTGTTTTGCATGTATATAGGGCAGTCATGTGATCTGGCCTAAAATATGTTAATGTACGCTTTTGTAATAATTATTTACGTTTTAATGTTTTCTTTCTTTTCTTTTGTTGTCAACGTAGATGCTTTAGGTAATGTATTATTTTCCGTTTCTACATTATATCCCTCTGATATTTCTGATATATTTTTGTTATTAGACGTATCGCGTTTTACATCCCAAATTCTTACTGTGCAATCTGATCCTCCACTAACAAGTACTGAACTTTCTTTTGAAAATGACAAAGAATAAATAGATTTTCGTGTATGTCCTTTCATACTCTTCAATTGTTTGCCTAAACCAATATCGTAAATGTTTATAAGTCCATCATCTCCTTAAATGATATTAGATGTTTATAATATTATAAAAAAAAAACCTGCGGTTGCAAGTAATTTTCCATCTGGTGATATTGTTACACAATTTATAGGTCCAGTATGACCTGTAAATACCCTTACTGCACTTCCTTTTTGAACGTCCCACAATCTACTGGTTTTATCGCTAGAGCCTGTTGCAATATATGCTGAATTAGGATGAAATGAAACACACTGTATGATATTAGATTTTTTATCATTAGAACGTATATTATTTACATCTACATCACTAAGATGTCCTGCAAAAATCCTAAGAGGATACATATGTTCATAGCTCCATAAACGTGCAGTTTGATCATGAGATGCGGTAGCAAAATAGTGTCCAAATGGACCTATTGCAATATCCCATATTGGCTGATTGTGTCCTTTATATGCTACAAGACATGTATTTGTATCTAAAGACCAAAGGCGGCAAGAACGATCTTCTGAACATGACAAAATAAATCTATTGTCATTGCTAAATGCAATGCCATAAACAGGACCTGAATGACCAATGAAACGTCGACTATGAGATTTTTGATATAATACTAAAATTATTGAAAAATTTTCAAGTAGTTTTATAAATATACCTGAATCGTTAGGTGTTGTCGAATCCGAGCTAACTGTTTTATTTATAGATGTATTCCAAACTCTGATATAGCTTTCAGAAAACCCACATGCTATTAATGATGCATTCTCGGAAATATCTGCACAATTAAGACTAGATTGTTTGTATGTATATAATTAAATAGTATACAATTTTTACCTATCATGAGTATTATGAAAAGTATACATGCAAACACTAGGTAATGATGCTTGTGGGCCTAATATAAGACGTTTTCTTAAATCTTTAATTACTTCGATTTCTTTTTCAACATCTATGCCTTTACTATAAAATATTATAGAAAAACTAGTAAAAATAATTAACTTACAATGTAGGTAAGGGGATAGAATTTTTCATAGGAGAGTCTTCTGAAATTTCTTTTTTGTTTTTAAATTCTTCAAGAAAAGACTTATTGCATTTTTCATTAGTTTTTTCAATTTCATTGTCAAGACTTGCGAGTTCTATTTCTATATTGTTTTTTAGATCTGTATCTAAAGGCATTTCGCCTAATTTGACCGGTTGTTTATTAAAGTTATCTAAATGATATACATCGTATCCTGAAATTCCTTCATCATTGGTAACTACACTATTTATAAATTGGTCAGGTCTTCCTGTAACAATTTTTGTTTCAATATGTTGATTTAACAGTCTCATTATAATTGCACCTCCATTAGATTCGTTTTCAAAAAGAAAGTGTAGCATTAAATCAAAAGCAGTTCTCCACATGGTTATTCTATATTTGTTTTGACGATAAAGTTTTACAAGTTCATTTTCTTCAATATGTTCAGGTAATGTAATAGAAGATATTTGACGGATGTCATGGCCATGAAGAACTTCATGTTCAGATGAATATGTGTTAAAAAATTGTTTTGCTAAATAAAAATATTATACAAAATGAAAAATCTTTATGCACTATTACCCGAGTTTATCTGGTTCTTGGAAATTAAATCGAGATATGAATGAATAAATATAGGAAATAGAACACGTCTTAGTTCAGGCTATGTAGATATATCAGACTTATCAATACAACATCTTAAATAAAGACCCTATATAGTTCCAATGAACTATCAATCCAATCTCTTAATAGCATATATGATTGAAAGTATGTGTCTTCATTACCATTAAGCCAGTCTAGTGAATTCTTAGCTGAATTTAATGCCTCTGGTCCTCTCGCTGACTCCAGTCTTAGTATAGCCTCTGTTCTAGCGTATCCATGCTGAGAAAGCCAATTCATTACAAGACGATTCATATCTTCAATTGTTATTGTTCTTCCTATGTTTTGCTGAGTGATATTTGGGACAACTGGTGGCATTTTGGATATAATAATTATTTTTATAGTATTTTTATAAATTTAAAAGCAGAATAATCCAGATAAATTCAAAATTCGTTTTTTTTTTTATAATATAGTTTTTTTAAGTAGATTTAAGATTTCGATGAGTTTTTGTATTTTACATTAAGATGAATTCTGATGATATTTCTCAAACACAATCACAAAGAAAAAAATTATCTCTTTCTGATTATATTGGAGATGACGATTTAGAATTTTCAATTTTAACATTTTTTGGTGTATTTGATTCTATTTCTAATGTTCCCATAAAAACATTAGGTAATTTGAATCGTCATGTTCGTAAAAAAAGAGATGAAGTACTTTCTTTTCATTTTTTTTGGGTTATTTTTTACATGTTTTTAGTTTAGAGAGAATAAAGTTAGGCCTTTACAGAAAAAAGTTGATAAAGAATTAGAGAAAATAAAAGGACGCGTGACCGATAAAGTTGATAAATTACAGAGAAAATGGGTAGATGGGAGTATGATTAGGACAAGGAATAAAGTTGCGTTTGTTCTTGGTGTTGGAAATGTATTTTTTTCTGCTTTATTAATAGGAATGTCTCCTCAACACCTTCATCTTTGGTATTCGGTTCAAATTTTATATTTTATGCCTTTAAGATATATTACATATCATCGTAAAGGGATGCATTATTTTATTGCTGGTTAGAAATTATTTTGTTATTGATTATTTGTTTATTATTTTAGATTTATGTTATTGGGTTAATATGATGGTAACTTTCATTCTATTTTTTTTTTTTTGTTAATATTAAGTTACTTCTTTATCTTTGGGTCTTTCCTTCTTCGAAGTTTCTTTTTGTTTCTACTTATTTTCTTTCTTTTGGATCTTTATCTTGGGCAATTATTGCTTGGAAAAATTCTCTTGTTTTTCATTCTATGTAGTTGTTTTAGGGTTTTTCTTTTTTAATGATAAAAATAGGGATAAAGTTACAAGCTTATTTATTCATATATTTCCTCCGACTGTTTTGCATACAATTATTCATATTGTTCCTATAGAATATACTTATAAAAGGTTTCCTGTACTGGAAGAATTGACAGATATTGATATATTTCCTGCATTTATAGCAACTTCTATTGCCTATTTTATTTGGCAGGCTTTATATTATATTTTTATTCAAGTATTTAGCTTTATATAATATCGTTTATATTAATTTTTATTAGGTTAGAAGACGAGAAAAAATTTCTGCTGGAAGACCTACATCTTTTACATGGCTTTTAAAAAGGTTTAACATAATGATATATGTTTTGTTTTTACCAAATTAGTTATTCAAATACATGGATAGGAAAGCTTATGTTGAAACTTCCTGAACCTACTCGTCCCTTTGCTTTTATGGCAATACAGGTGAATATTTAGAAAATTAATAATACTTATATTTAATTAATTAGTATATGTATACTTTAATAACTATGGCTCCTTGTCCTTGGTGGTATTCTCATAAGAAGTTTTCAACAATATTTCTTTCATCTTTATTTGCATGGAGTGTTTGGAATGGTTTATTTATTAATATTTTTATAATTGCTAATATTTTATAATAGGTGCATCTTACTATGGTAAGCCTGGATACTTTGTTTTATAAATTTTCTGTGATAATTTTAAAATAGTTGATGTATTTGGTCGACGTTTTCAGAAAGAACTGGAAGATCTTCGAAGAGAAGTTAGTACTTATGAAAATTTTAATGTTTTATATCCATCAAAAGTTGATTAATGATTTCTGACAATTCATTTTTAAACTCTTCTAATAATAATTAGTCATAATAAAATATTTATAATTTTTTTTTTGTGTATTTTAAGTATGATGTAAACAATAATACTGAAATGATTTATTTTCATAAGATATTATGAACTATTTTAATATATTATCCCAAATGCCATTTAAATATGAATATTATTTAGAAAATATAGATATATAAGTATAATTATATTGTAAATTACATTAGCGTTTTATTATTAAACATGAATTGTTTTAGTTTAAGTTTATAAATACATATAATTATTTAGATACAATTTTTATTTATTTATAAAAAAATATTTTTGATATAAACTTTGATAATGATATTTAAAACGTTTAATCAATTTTAATTTTTTTGATTGATTGAAAATATAAATACTTTTAATAAGTTAATAATATGTTTACTGAAAAAAAATAAATCTTTATATAATTAAATATGTATATGTATTATGATAAGATATTTTAAATCATTAAGAAATAAATTTATATTTTTATAATTATTTTTTATTTTTGGATAATAAATAGAATTACTAATTTTTTAGATAATAATATATATATTAATAAGATGTTATTTAAATTAATTTTGTATAATTCGAATGTATAAAACTTTTTTTTTAAAAAATATAAATGAGTATAAAAATAAAAATGCATTTAAATAATACATATACTGATATACTTAAAAAATAGTAAACATTATATAAACCATAGATTAATATTTATCAATAAACATGTACTTATTTGTAGGCATAAAAAATTAATATCTACTAAATAATTTTTTATAAAAAAAATCACATAATATTATTAATATATGACATCATATATATATTCATATATTTTAAGATATATTATATATTTTTTATAACATGATTTTTTTAAAATATATTATTAAAGATATTAATACAAATAATTACTAATTTAATTATTACATCACAATTCATATATTTTATCATATCTTTTTATTATTATTTTTGATAATTATAATTAAAAAATTGTTCAAAATACACATAATTTATTTATTTATAAACATATATACTGTTTTTTTTTGTTCAATCTATTATAAATATTATTACAAATATAATTTATAAAAAAAAGACTTGATATAAATTAAATGATTATTATTTAACAATTATAATCTTAACTTATAGGATATAACATCAAATAATAAATATTTTTTTAATAAACTCAAAGATAATTGATATTTTTTAAAAATTTATAAATTTAATATCTTAATAAACAATATTTACATAATTAAAATTACAATAGAATTCATGATCCATAATGAGATATCTTTATACAACTATAGTGTCAAAAATAAATTTATAGAATAACTAAATGGACGAAGACAGAAATCTAAAGTATCACTTTTATACATGAGGGGATCTCATTCTATGACGAACAGGTGATCGATGACGAGATCTCGAACGATTCAATGACTCGGAAGATTGCAATTTAGAACGATTTAATGAACGTGAACGTGGCCTTGAATGATTATCTTGAGGGGATCTCATTCTATGACGAGCAGGTGATCGATGACGAGATCTCGAACGATTCAATGACTCGGAAGATTGCAATTTAGAACGATTTAATGAACGTGAACGTGGCCTTGAATGATTATCTTGAGGGGATCTCATTCTATGACGAGCAGGTGATCGATGACGAGATCTCGAACGATTCAATGACTCGGAAGATTGCAATTTAGAACGATTTAATGAACGTGAACGTGGCCTTGAACGATTATCATGAGGAGATCTCATTCTATGACGAGCAGGTGACCGATGACGAGATCTCGAACGATTTAATGAACGTAAATGTAGCCTTGAACGATTATCTTGAGGGGATCTCATTCTATGACGAGCAGGTGACCGATGACGAGATCTCGAACGATTCAATGACTCGGAAGATTGCAATTTAGAACGATTTAATGAACGTGAACGTGGTCTTGAATGATTATCTCGAGGGGATCTCATTCTATGACGAGCAGGTGACCGATGACGAGATCTCGAACGATTCAATGACTCGGAAGATTGCAATTTAGAACGATTTAATGAACGTGAACGTGGTCTTGAATGATTATCTCGAGGGGATCTCATTCTATGACGAGCAGGTGACCGATGACGAGATCTCGAACGATTCAATGATTCCGACTCAGAAGATTGCAATCTAGAACGATTTAATGAACATGAACGTGGCCTTGAACGATTATCTCGAGGGGATCTCATTCTATGACGAGCAGGTGACCGATGACGAGATCTTGAACGATTCAATGATTCTGACTCTGAAGTATCATTGGGATATGATAAAGATTCAGATGAATATGATGTAGTATAGGAAGATATAATTGAAGATGATGAAGATTTAGAAAGACTTCGATTTACTGTAACAGTATTCTAAAGAAATTAGAGTTAATACTATATTTTCAAAGCTTTACCTTGATAGTTTCCAAATGCTCACGCAATGAAACAGTTATCAATCCTAATCCAATAGAAGTAAAATAATTTATTGCAAATCTAGTATTTTTTGGATTATCCCGAGGAAACATATTAGAAAGAGTCTCTTGTAAAAGTGGATCTTTCAAACGTTCATCTAATTCGCGTATACCAAGAACTCCCATCAACTCTTGAAATAAAATTTTAACAAAAATTCTAGAACTACTAGTCGTTTCATCTTCATTCAAATGAATACAACGCATAACGTGCCAACTTATAGCATCAGATGATAAAAGATGGCCAAAAAAGGTAGCAATATTACGAAGTCTATTTGTTTCATAACGATGTATAATATCATAATAATTTAAAAATGTCTGTTCAAAATTTTCAGTCCAAAAACGATTTATTTTGCAAAATCGTTCACCAATTAAACCATAAAACCGAGAATAAGTCCTTTCTTGACTACAACATTCGATGATCATATTACACATTTCAATCTAATAACTTTAGCTGATTATATTAAAAATAATAATCATACCTCTTGTCCCTCTACAATGTTTATTTTCATAAGTTTATGAGCACATTCTTCAAAATTAACACTGGACATAATAGTAAGATATATTGTTCTCCGAAGATTAATTAATGCTTGATTTGTTTCATCTTTTATAGTTATTTTATCATCACCTGCTTTTAGACATTAAACAAATATTTTATAAAAAAATACATTACATTGTTCAACACTTTCAGATGAGCTCTCATTATCCTGAGATTCATCACTATCTTCACCTAATATTTCATCTTTAATCTTCTTATATTGATCTTCATTTTCTTGCCATTGTGGATCATATTTAAATATACCTAAACCTTCTTGAACATCTAATTCATCATTTAAACTTAACATATGAGTAATTTGATCGCCGTCTTCTACTAAATCTAGACCTTCAGGAATAATAGGATTATCCTTATATTTATCTCTTCTAACTTGAAAAAGAACTTCTATCATATACTGAACTCTCTTCTCAATAGCACCTTCATGTAAAATAGCTCGAAATCTTTCAAAAACAGCATTACTTCCTCTAGGAGAAACATCTGCCAAAAATGCACCAACTTCTCTCATAAAACCCACAGCAACTTCGACCGCATCGTTTGAAGGTCTTTCTAAGAGCAATGCTAGTATTTCAAGTGCAACCAATTCTTGAGCAACTTGATGATTAATCAAATGAGCAATAAATGTAGTAGAAGACAAGCAAAAAAACTAGAAATATTAACTAAAATAAGTATTAATAGAACAATTTTAAACCTTATCATTTCTTTTGTAAGCTTTTCGAAATTGAACAATTAAACGAGTAAGAAGTAATTCACCAATTGAAGGTAATTTTGTATTAATTACAGCAGTTAAGGATGAATATATTGGTGTAAATGGTAAAGATACTGCTTGAGCTTTCATAATAGATCGACAATAAAGACCACGACCACGAATAAGATTTTCACCAAATAATTCAATAACAATATTTTTAATATTTAAAGTATTAACCTATCATTGTCAAGCAAACAAAAGTTTAAAAACCAATATACTTTATTAATAAGACCATTGATACTTTTTTTAAGGGCCTCCCAATAAATGCGCTGATATTCTTTACTCTCTTTATCAGTAAACTGCGACTGTAATGCTTTTAATCGAGCAGGTGGAACATAAATACCACCTAAATTGTATTTAGAAGATAAAAACAACTAATTTAAAAATCACCTGCACGAGTATTCATTAAACGCTCAAACTCTGCTTTTGGGTCAAACGCCAGCTTTAATTCAGGCTCACTGAATTTAGTAACAGCAATTCCTTCATTCATTTGATATCCCTTATCACTCTTCCCATTTGTATCATCATCATGAACATTACTAAATGAAGATTTCCATGGCGCAGAAATTTTTTTTTTCAAAGAATTAGGAGAAAAAACATGAGATGATTTTCTTTTGCTTTGAGACTGAATAAATGTGTTAGTATCCAAATTTGCATCATTTTCGACATCATTCATGTCCCTTATTTAATTTACGAATATTCTAATGATACAATATGACAACTTATATTTTATCTAGAGTTTTTTTTCGTAGTACGATCTTTTAAAAAGTTAAAATTATTTCGTAATTTTATCTTGTAGTAATGAACATATAAAATAATATATAATATGTTTTTACGTATTTTCTTATAGTTAATTACACTAAATTGAAAATTAAGAATATTACTCAACCATAATAATTTAATTCAGTTATTTTTTACGTAATATATATAATCATAAAAACATTATAATATATTTTATACTTTTTTAATATTATTAAAATATAATAATTATATATATATATATATATTCAGTTACATATATATATAAATACTGTATATTTTTTTTTATAATTATATTCATTATTATACTTATTAAATATTATATATTAATAACAAATAAACGAATTACTAGTAAAGTACTAAAAATTATATAAAAAATACATTAGATCATAATCTAAATATATGTATTTTTTCTCTTAAATATCATATAATACAGTTACAACAAAAATATCATTATATACATATGTAATTTTATTTTCATATTCAAAGAAAATGTTTAAAATATATATTTATGATAGAAATTCATAAATATATTTTTTACTATTTTCAATTCTGAAATTTTGTATGATAGCATAAATTAATCATGAAATAAAAATTTCATAACCTTTTTTGAAATATAAAATATTTTTAACCTAGAAAAAAAATTATTTGTATTTCAAATATAAATATAACAAAATATCTAATTCTGAAACAATAGATTAAAAAATAGCATATCATTTACGTATAATCATTTAATTTTAATAAATAACAAATTATCTAATTACAAAATCCATTTTATAACACAAAAATAAAAACATGTTTAAAAATGATTAAGATATTTTTATATCATATATATTATTCTCAAATAAAACATGTAAATTTTAATCATAGCATAATCAAAATACCAATCCTAACACAAAAATTTCACTTAATAGAAAAACATAATCATAAGTTTCATTAAAATAACGATTATATGTATACATATTCTAAAACATTCATTAAAATATATAATAAATATAAACACGAAACCAATGAACAAAAAAACCACAATATATATAAACAAATCCATTTGCAACTAAAATTTATTTAGTCCAATTTTAAACAAATCTATAATTAGAAAGATAAAATTAAAGTAATTTTACAGATAAACATTAATAACTCAAAAATAGAAATATAATTACATATTTAAGGGAAAACGTATTATTACAAAAATAATATCAACACGTTAAATAACATATTCCAACCTTAAAAAGCCCATAAAATAGTACAATGAGGACCAATTCATGCAAATATATTTTCTACTTGCTAGATGACGAATATTCTAATAAGGCTTAATATATAAAAACAAAAACGTATCCAATTACTTGTTACAGCCTTTGTCCCTTCAGACACTGCATGTTTCGCAAGTTCACCTGGAAGTATCAAACGAACAGATGTTTGAATTTCGCGTGAAGAAATAGTCGATTTTTTATTATAAGAAGCAAGTTTTGAAGCCTCAGAAGCGATACGTTCAAAAATATCTAAAAAATCAAAAATACTATCAAAACACCTTTAACATTACCATTTACAAAGCTGTTAAGAATAGACATTGCTCTATTAGATATACCCGTATCTGGATGAACTTGTTTCAAAACCTTATAAATATAAGAAGAATAAGTCTCTTTCCGACTTTTTAAACGCTTTTTTCTATCAGAATGCAGCTTATCCGAAACATTTCTTTTTTCCAAAGGTACTTTCCCCGAAAAACCTTTACCAGCAACAGGTTTCTTTTCAGCAGGCTTTTGAGGCATATCAAAAAAATCCTGACTTAATTATACCTTCCAAATAAGTTCAAATAATTATTAAACCCTGAAAATATGCACTCAATATATCTTTATATTCCCTAACGCATCAAAAACTACATCAGAAAAATACACCTAACCCGTAAAAGAATTATTCGTTTACCGAGAAATAATAAAAACAAAAATAATATACATGTAAAATAGATATATAAAATAAATATTTATAGATAATTGTATAATTAACAAAAAATAATATTAAATATTTTAAAAATAAACAAAATATTTTCAAAACCAATACATTATATTATACATTTTTTACATTTTTTTTTCATAGCGTTGCTATAGTAAATTTAAGGAATGTAAACACGTCGACTTTTTCAATAGACTAATAATTTTATTGATGCGGAATTTGCTATAATAACGGGGCAATAATCTCGTATTATACCATTCTATAGTCACAAGACAAAGAAAATTAAAGAAAAAAAAACGCATATTAACTATCTGAAACTACTATAAAAATGTCTTCTGGAGGAAAAGGAGGAAAAGCAGCAGCTAACAAATCTGGACAATCTCGATCATCAAAAGCAGGACTTACATTTCCTGTTGGTCGCGTGCACAGATTATTGAGAAAGGGTAACTATGCGCAAAGAGTTGGAGCGGGTGCACCTGGTATTCATATTGCTTATTTATTTCTATTTAACGTCATAAAGTATATCTTGCAGCTGTTCTAGAATATCTTGCAGCTGAGATTCTTGAGTTGGCAGGAAATGCTGCTCGGGATAACAAAAAGAGTAATGATTTCAATTGTTATATATTATTGTTAATATTTTCTCTTATAGCTCGTATTATTCCTCGTCATTTGCAGCTTGCTATTAGAAATGATGAAGAATTGAATAAATTGCTTGGGCATGTTACTATTGCTCAGGGCGGTGTTTTACCGGTAATTTTTATCCCATTATCGGATGCTTTCTAACAAGTATTTCAGAATATTCATTCTAATCTACTTCCTGCTAAATCTAAAAAATTGGGTAAGGGCAGTGCATGTGTTTATGAGATCATAAAAATCGTTAATCACTATTTAGCGTCTCAGGAACTTTAATAGTACGTTTTATATACATTAAGACTTATGCACATGGCTGTTGAGAAATATGGTTTTCTTCATGTGTTAGAGTTTTGTATATAATCATATTAACTTAGTGAGCGGATTGATATTTTTACCTTAATATATTGCTTTTTAAGGATTTAGGAATAATGTATTTGTTTTCCTGTGTGTTCTATGATATCAAATAAATTAGATTATAGCAGATTAGTATCTCTATTAACATAGAACAAATTAAATATCGTATTTTTGAATAATAAATTTAATATTGAATGTTTAATCAGAGAAATCATATGCATTTATTGTCACGGTATTCGGGTTTACTTGTTTATTTCCAGCATAAGCACGAGAATTATAAATATGTTTGCCCGTCAACTTCATAGTATTGCTACAGATATGTCTATCATTTTCAATTTTAACAGATCGTAATTTAGAATTTCCATTTTTTTTTTCTAATGTTAGAAATGTTTTATCCTTTTCCGAAGAATCGCAAGAATAATTCGAACTTACAAGCCACCATTTTCTTGGCGGACGCCTCTTTCTCTTTAGCTTTTCTTCAGAAATATAACCCCCAAAAATAGAAAGATTTTTTAATTCATTCTCGGTCAAAGAAAATGGGGCTCTTTTTGTCAAAGATTTCTAAAATATATTAATATCTATAATTCTCAAACAACTCGGATACATTGAATGCCTTTCCATTTGATTTTTTTTTTCCTTTTCTACGATATATTTCTTTCGATTTGTTATCTTTACCATTACCAGAAATATCTTCTGGAGATAAATCATTATAGGAAGAAACAGCTGAACATTTAGGTTCATTTGTAACACATGAGCCTTGTGAATTAATACCAGTTTTAAATAAGCCGGAAAAAGGCACTTTAAAATCATTTTTTGCTAAGGGATTTTGTTCATATGGAATTCCTTTAGTTGAAGAATATTTAATTTCATCCATTTTTGAAACATCAGAAAATGATTCAGTATTACAAATATTTTTAATATTTTTTTCAGAGTCAAGATTTATGTATTTTGTATTTACTATAATATTGTCATTAAAAATGATGCTAAAAACATGAAATATTACAAAATCACCTTTTTTCAACGGAGGAAGATAGCTAGGTCTTTTTAATGTTTTTAAATGATCATTATATTTCTGAATATTAACATTTTGATTATTCTGAGATATACTGTTTAAATCATTTTTTCCCAATAAATTACAAGAATCATCGCATTTTTTAAACTTTGAAGAAAAATCAGAACTTCCAAAACACGTTTTAACAGGTCCAGCATTATGCGTTATTTGCTTTTGTTGTATTATATGACAAGAGTTTTGAACAATCTTTTCAGATATACCTAATGAAAAAGTAGCCGTTTTCAAAACACTAGATGTTTCAGATTCACCACAAGGAAGAGAATTTGATAATTTAAAATAAGCTGCATTTACTAATTTAGGCATTGGACTACTTGCATAAAGTTTATCGAATCTATCAGAAACAATTTGCCCACCAACCTATAATTAATATAAACTTATTAAACCATATAAATAAAAAAATATTTACAAAAGATCCTGTGGAAACTCTTAAATTATTAATTTTATCAGTTGAAGAAACATCTGCCAAATTAGATAATTTCCAATTGTGTTGAACAATAGAAAAATCGGAAGTTTTATCAGATATTTGAAGACATTGTGTAGATATATTTGAATATCGAGAGTTTGAAGGCTTCACAAACCTAGGCACATATGTCTGAGATATTCTATCTTTTTCAAAAAGTGAGCTAGAGTTAAGATACGGCATCAATATTGTTTATCGTAATTAAAAAGTTTTAAATATAAAATTTAATATAAAATTTGATATAAAATATTTATATGCAATAAAAAGCAATGAATACATTATATATTCATTCAAAAACAAGCATATCAATATACGTTTTTTTTTCTAAAAAAAAAGCAAATGTCACATCAACATTCAAATTTAAATTATGTTAATATTAATAAAAACCGACATATTATCATTAAAGATTAGATACATGCGCAGAAGGAAGAATGTTTCGTTCCCATTTTGAACCACCTGGAGACGTAGGAACTGAAACGTTTTAGCTTGTCATATTAATATAAAAACAAAAACTAACCGATATAAGGATCTGGATGTCTATATTTTTTCAAAATCTCTTCAGTTTCATCAAAAATAGCCAAAAGAAGACGCGGATCATGAATATTTTTATTGGATTCAAAACGAGATCTAATTTTTAATGCCTCTAACCTCCAAATATCTCTTCTAACACACCAATCAAGAGATAACTTTAAAGAACGTCTATAAAGAGAAAGCGCTCGAGATCTATACATTTAAGAAAAAGATGATTCCATAAACTCCTAGAAATATTAAATGTATAAACCTTATAATTTAATATCTTAAAAATATTTCGATATCCAGAATTTCAACTTTTTAAAAAAATATTTGAAAAAATAATTCAACTTTATTATAATACAAAAATACAAAAAAAAAAGTACAATTTAATCTAATAACAAACATTATATATATTATCCAAATTTAACAACTATATATTTTATACGACAAAATATATAAAATTTTAATTCAATCGCAAAAACAGAAATAAACATTCAAAACATCTAAATATTTTACATCTAATGTAAAGTTTTCTATCGAAAAATATATACTATCGAAAAAGTTTCTGAGTTATCCTACTAGATAAATTTACAAAAATGCCAAAATTATATAACTTTTATAATTTTTCTATAACTAACAATATTTTTAAAATCTTATGCATTAGAAAGTAAAATTTAAAACCTTTTTAATATATATTTTTTAATTTGATCAAGTTTTTCAAATATCCGATGTACCCCACACAAAATTTGGAGATTGCATGAGATTCAAACATATGGTAGACCTTTTGTAAAATTTTAATATATCTCTCATAGAATTGTAGCAACCAAAACTATCCAGGTACCTCAAATGGCAGAATCAATAACAGAAGGAACATTAAAACAATGGAATAAAAGTGATCTAAAAAAATTAAGCTCTTTAAAAATTTTTAAACTTTTTGTAGGAATTGGGGATTTTGTAAACCAAGATGAAGAAATTGCAACAATAGAAACAGACAAAGTATGACCGTAAAGAAATAATTGAGAATAACTATATTTTATTAGATTGATGTTTCAATTAATACACCTGTTTCGGGAATTTTAAAAGAAATCTTAAAACATGAAGAGGATATTGTACAAACAGGTCAAGACATTTGTATTATTGAATTAAGTAATGAATCACCAAAAAGTAAATCATATAACTTAAATTTTCATATCAATGCTACTACTTATTTTTATAGATACGATAGATTCTAAACTTTTTGAAAGCACAAAAAATAAAGAAACTATTGAAGAGTCAAAATTATCTGAATCAAATAAAAATAATATTTTTTCGGAAACTGACTCTAAAAAGAATATAACAAATAAAAGAAAAAACGAAACAGAAAATCTTAGTCAAACTATACCTATTTCTGAAAATTCTGAATTTGATTCATCTAATATATCTAAAGTATTTAACAATAGACAAGAATATTCAGTGAGTATACTATAATATGTAATTATTTTCTAAACATTTATGAAGGTAAAAATGAATCGAATGAGATTGCGTATTGCTTCTCGTTTAAAAGAATCTCAAAATGCAGCAGCTTTTTTAACAACTTTTAATGAAGTTGACATGTCAAGTGTGATTGAGATGAGATCTCTCTATAAAGAAGAAATTCTTAAAAAAACTGGGATAAAACTAGGATTTATGAGTGCTTTTATCAAAGCATCTGTTACTGCATTAAAAGAAATCCCTGTCATAAATTCATCTATAACTGGGCCAAATGGAGGTGATACAATCATTTATCGAAACTATGTAGATATTAGCGTAGCTGTAGCTACTCCTAAAGGATTAGTTACACCTGTAATTCGTAATGTAGAGACTTTAAATTTTCTTGAAATTGAGAAAACAATATCAGAATTGTCTTCAAAGGTTCTTTTTCTATTTTTTCAAACATAACATCTAAATATCTAGGCTCGTAACAACAAGCTTGCTTTGGAAGATATGGCGGGGGGGACTTTTACAATATCTAATGGAGGAGTTTTCGGATCAATGCTAAGTAATGCTTTTTTTTTGAAAAAAAATAAAACACTAATATAATATAGGTACACCAATTATAAATCTTCCACAGACGGCTATTCTAGGTCTACATGCTATTAAAGATAGACCCGTAGTGGTGAATGGTCAAATAGTTATTCGTCCTATGATGTAAGATTATTTTTAAGCAATTTCATTGCTTATCTAAATAATTAGGTATCTGGCTTTAACATATGATCACCGTATTGTAGATGGACGTGAATCTGTTACATTTTTGCATCTAATTAAGGAATTTATAGAAGATCCTAGAAAACTTTTATTATAAAGTAATATGTAAAATAATATACATAAACCATAAACTATATCCTATTAATCTTAAAATCATATATTATATATCTATTAGCAAGTAGTTTATTAAATTTATGATATAAATACTCAAAAACATAAAATAGTAAAAACAAATATTAATCTTTATTATCAATATTTATTTGGTCAGAATAATGCCTAATAATAAAAATATTATAATAATAATAATAAAAAAAACTTACATTATATTTGATAATATTTTATTTTTCAATAACGTATCTCCATTACCAGAAACTATACGAAGTATTAATTCCTAAAATATCATTAAAAAAACGTAGATGATAAAACACTCACATTTAATTCAGATCTCCCAAGAATATCAACCTAATAACATTAATTAACAATAATAATATTTAGAATACAAACGTGATCAGCAGTTTTAGATCCTCCACGAAGACCATGTCTATCAGGCTGATGAAGCATCTCATGCACAATAACTGATATATTTGCTGGATTATCTACAGATATCAAAATAATCTATATAATACAATTTAATTACATCGACGTTGTTTCCAACCTATAAAATAATAAATAACTATAATCAACAAATATTAATATCACCTTTAACACACATAAAGCCAGTGCTCAAAATATTAACGGTGCCTTAATTACTTAAAAAAATAGGATTTAAAATAAAATCTATACCATCGCCTTCACCCATTACTACGCCCTAAATCTTATACCATTAATTCTTCATAATTACTAAAAAAAAACCTTTTCCTACAATTTTAAATAAGATATAACAACAACAACAATTTTACCGTATAAGGTTTAATATTAACAGTATTATCAATAAATGGTGTTTGACCAAAAATATCAGGATCAGAAAATATTCTCATAGTCTAAACAAATATTAAATAGGTCATATAAATTAAAAATATAAAATACGTTATTTATACAATCACATAAATCGACTTTAGCAGAATCCTTCGATAAATTGCTATCTTTTGGACCCTCATCATACCAATAAGCTCTTTCGGTAGGTTTGCCAATACCTAAAAAAATAATTAAAAAAAATAAAAAACATTTGACTATAGCATTCCATAAAAACAATATATTTTCATATTTGGTGCATTCGGAAGACTCACCTTATTAATGTTAAACATAAAAAAAATTCATATAAAATACTTCTAAAGGATTAATCCATTTTTCTGGTCGATTATTATTCATCTCAATGCTCTTTTCTGTCCACGAAATACCATGTGAATAATTTGTACTTAACATCTTCTAAAGTTCAATAGATTATTCAATAAATATTCAAAAAAAACCTTATGAAAAGTATGAGAAGTCTGACTTATCAAATAATCCATTGAATCAGACATGGTTAAATTTTTTAAAATAGATGTTTTAGAATTTTTTCGAAAATTAATAAAAGAACCAAAGGAAAGATTATAAACATTTGATATATATAAATCATCAGGTGCCTGATATGTTTATTTGTTTCTTTCTTTTTAATTTTATTAATACCCATGTTGCATTTCCCCATATAACATTTTCACCCTTTGGAAGCATTGAAGCAATCCCTAAAGCAATTTAAATTTAATTACTCAAGACCAATTAATAACATACCAGGTAGACTTCTTAAAAGTTGTACTCTCTTTCATAAAATTAATAACATAAATAACATATAAAAAATATACCTCAAACTTAGAAAAAAAACGTTCCAATCTATAAATTTACTAATATATAACTTTTCAAAACAAAATAATACCCGTAAACAGAAATTGCATTTAATTGTGTAGTATCTTTTACTTCACCAGAAAGTAAAGCAGTTACAGCTTTAGGTGTACCTAAAAGTGATCCTGAAATCTGAAATAACAAATTAAACTAGAAAAAGAAATTATAAAACAAACATTTATAAATGCTTCAATATGATCGTTAACCCATGATTTTCCACCATTACCATATCCATCTGCTTCTACCCATTTTAAAAACCACAATGTCAATTGACTACCCATGGAATGCGATATTATAACCGATTTTTTCCCAGAAGTAGCTTTTGCAATTTCAATAGAAGCCTAAAACATAAATATGCTAAATTAAAAATGATATTTTTTTTGCCTTCAACTTGGTGAAATAATGATCTTAAAAACATAGATAAACCATTATTCATAAAAAAATATTGAAAAATACCTCTTTCTTCAAGATTTAAAAAAGATAACCTCCAATCATATGCTGCACTAAACATATTATTGGGATCATAACCAATAGCAGCAAGATTTTCAATAATCTTTAAATGATTTTAGAGAACACATCATATATATTGAAAACAACCTTATTCCATATCCAATAACCTAAAAAAACAATAAAGTATTATAAAATAATAAAAAATCTATACCTGTTACAAAAAAATCGGCTTTTAAACGGTTAAGATATTACGAATAAACATAAGAATATTACCAGCACTTAATCCCTGAGCAGCACGAAGCTTTACACCCTCTGGATCAAGACCCGTAGTCTCATTGAGCATTAATTGGCTCACCCAACATTTTTTATCCATTAACATAGCACGAAGCATAGTCCAACTTCCCTAAATATAATAATAAAATTTAGAAAGAAATAAAGTTTCATACCCATAAACGCTTTCTAAAATAAGGCAAACTCCTTGTATTAACATAATATGACATAAAAATATTTAAAATTAAAATACATACGAACAATTAGATGTAGACCAACTTTCTAGACCTGTAGATATGACACCAGGAACTATAATAACACTAAAAACTATTAGAAAAAAAAAAAAAGAAAAAAGAATACTTGAAGTATGGCTTATATCCTTGCTCTCGTAAACGATTTCCGACAAAAAAAGCTTCATAATCAGAATCCTTATCATAATATGATAATTTTTTAGCATCATCAAACACAGAAGCAGGTAGAATATTGCGCAGCTCTTCCATAAAATCCCCGATATCAGTAAAACCTAGGAGAAAGTCCCAATCAAAATCAACAATATTTGATCGCTTAATAAATATTCCAGTTATAACAGCACCAACAATTATACCAAAAACAAAGACAACCCTCCTGTATTGCACAAAATGTCTCTTAAAATCACTATCTTTAAATATATTCTTTTGTTTAATAGGTAAACTATTTTTTACATGCGCTATTTTTGATAATCTATTTCTTAAAAAACCAGAACGAGATTTAACAGAAGAAGATTCCAAACTCACTTTCACCTCTTTATCTTTATTAAACATGTATCTAAATATTTCTTTAAATAAAAAGAAAAATAAATATTTTCTAAAAAAGTTGCATTTCAAAATTCAAACGAATCTCATTTAAATATTAAATTATTTTAAAATCTAAAAATTCAAATAAAATGAAAATAAAAATCGAAAATTACAAAGACGAATCTCAATTACCAAGCATAATGAATCTTATAACTCATGATTTAAGTGAACCTTACTCAATATATGTATTTCGATACTTTATACATCAATGGTAGAAAAAAAAATCTTTAATTTCTCTTTATAAACTAAAATTGTAGGCCAGAATTATGTTTTTTGGAAAAAAAGAAAAGTTTTATTATTAATTTTTAACTATTATTAGGCAAAAGAAGAGGATATAATTGTTGGAGCTATCATTTGCAAACTCGAAAATCATAAAAAATGCCTTCGTGGCTACATTGCTATGATAGCTGTCAAAAAAGAATACAGAAGAAAAGGAATTGGTGAATTTAATTAATTAATTAGTTATTTTTCTAATTTTTTAGCTAGTAAAATGGTTGAAAAAGTATTATCAATAATGAAAGAGAAAAATACAGATGAAGTAATTAAATTGCAAAATAAATAATTTTGTTTATCAAAAATAGGTAATTTTAGAAACAGAAGTAACTAACAAAGAAGCAATAATATTATATGAAAATTTCGGATTTATAAGAGACAAAAGACTACATAAATATTATTTAAATACATCAGATGCATACAGGTATAAACTCTAAATATTGCTAGCAACAACGACATACTAATGCTTCAAAGATTCATTCTAAAATTAAAAGAGCCCATATATTACTCATACCATCAAAATATATAATTCAAAAAATAAACATAGAATTCCTAAAAATAATATAAAAAATTATAATTGCAATGAGAAATAAAATCAGGATTTTATGTTAATATAAATTTTAGTATAAATTCAAATCAGTTCAATCCGTATTAATTAATCATATCATTTTTAAAATGTTCAATAGGCTGTTTTATACCAATATCATGGCAATAGCCATCTGTTACTATTTTATGAATCATATCATTTTTATGTGGGAGAAGAGAAATCGCAAAAGCCGTATCATTCCATTTTCTTTCCGTATCACATTTTGATAATCTTATTACAAGTTTCTCAGCCAATTGCTTTGCATGTTTTTCCTATTCCAATATAAAAAAATATACTACCAAAAAAAATATACCTTTTCTATAAATGAAATCAAAAAACGAATAATACGTTTAAAACTAGCTTCATCTAAAGATTCAGAATCATTAGAAAGTGAACTAAAAATATCTGGAAAATTATTATAAATAGAATTATCTTTTATAGATAGTTCAGTAAAAAACATTTTAGCAAAATCTACAATACGACGGTCATCATCTTCTAAACATCTAGCCATTTTCCCGAGCTGTCCTTTAACTTTTACTTGTCCAGCAAGAATAAGAAATGTTAAAGTCATTAAACATATTTTCTTAACAGAAGAATCATCATCTTTTAAACGTCTATATAAAAATTCTGTATTTTCATTTATAAGATGGTTAAAGCAAACATTCTAGAATAAATTATTAAAACTCCCATAAATTTTAAATATAGAAACCATATCACCAAGAGCAATAACTAAATTACTACGTATTAATGGATCAGATGATTTTTCTAAAATATTAAAAAGCAAAGGAAGATTCAACTCACAAAACCGAGCTAAAAAATCAATCATATAAATATTTATCATGTATTCAATACCTGAAACACACATCATCTTAGCTAAGGTTAGCGCTGCTGTAGACTGTAAACATGAATCCTGTAAAAATCAATAAAATCAAAAATAAATTAAAAGATATAACCTTATATAAATGATTATTAGTACATATTTCTTGTACTAAAGGGCAAAATCTGGCTAGTAAAGAGTTATTTCCATATAAAAGCTCATATTCCCTATCAAAAACAAATCAAAAAGCAGTATAAAAACAAATAATTCAACCTTATATAATTCATAGCTTCTGAAAAATCATCCTCAACAGTTCCGACAACAAAATCTAATTCATTACTATTAGTAGCACTAGATATTTTCAGGGAATGAGATTGAAAATTTCCAACTAATATTATATAAGTCTAAAGGTATAAAAGAAAAAAAAAACCTTTTTGATTATCTGACTTTTTTCTTTTAAATTCATTTTCACAAGATTCAATATAAACAATTTGTTTTACTATATTTTATCAAAATTCTATAAAAAATAATTTAAAAACATACATGCTACATGCCCCACAATAAATAACAACTGAGAAAGCAATGATGACGATTTTATGGATAAAGAATCATCATCTAAACCTATTTTCTTCACAGAAAAACTTCTAAACACACTTTTGCATTTAGAACGCAATAAATTAGTGCAAATTTTATCAGGATATTTTGCAAGTAAATAAATAGCATTAATAGCTTGTTCAGCAACACTAAACCTAAAAAAATATTAACTAAAATAGCAAAAATTATTTATATTATATACCATTCTATATTTTCAGTTGGTAATAAAATAATATTTCCAAGTTTTGAAAAAATAATATGATCGTCTACAAGTCTTGCTTGAAAATAGTCAGAAGAGTCTTATTAAATTAGATAACGTTATATATAAATATATATAATCATACCTTTTGAATTACCATTTACTTGTTTTAACCTTTGCAATGCAATACATGAATAACGAGCAAGAAAAAAATCATTTTTTCCATAATCACCAAAACCAACATGTAATAAACATTCTAATCCAGAAGCTATAATATCACTATCTGCTAATCCAAGCATGCCAAGAACAATTATTGCACCCCGCCTTTGCTGTTTTGAAACATTTTCTTTTTGAGTTCCATATATACCCCAAAGTTTCTTAATTACATTATCAGATATATAACCTTCTCTCATCATTACACATAAAAGTTGCTCCAACGATGTAAGTTCAGCTAACGTTGCACCATATGTAAGACTAATAAGATTTCGTGCAATATAATTTGCAATTTCATTAGCATTAAGACCATCAGGAGGATCAAAAAAAAGCCCTTTATAACATTCAATAAGTTTAGCTTGAACAGCTTTTCCTTCATCACTTGTACTTTTAGTCCATATGAGGTGTAACATTTTACGAATTCCACTCTATAATAATTAATATATAATATAACAACATTTTATTTACTTTAGCAATTTCTAATTTGTATGCATCTGCAACAACATAAAATTCCATTGCTTCAAGAACCTCACTTTTATTTTTAGAAGCTAATAATTGATTAACAAGTACAGAACCCATATGTATACTTTCTATAAATTTTAATGCTTCACAATAATATCTTTTAGTAAAATGCAACTTCATAAAGTTATCAAAAGAAATATTAGAATCAGAATTATCTTTTGCATTTTCCAAAGATATTCCTGAAAAAGGATCTTTATATATAATTTTTTCATCATCTAAATTAGCATATTCAAAATCTTCAAGTATTTTATCATGATTCAATGATTTTTTCTTGGACAAACCTGGCGATTCAACAGGTGGTTTAAGAAGATTCAGTTGTTTTTCTATAGCTTCTAGACGCTCACACCATAATTTCTTAAAAAGTTGCCCACCATGCATAAGAGAAAATGGATGAGTAGATATCAATTTAGATAAAAGTCTAATTGCATTTTTTCGAACATTACTACTCTTGTCTTGAAGACTACGTACACATAAATCAGTAACAATTTGTCGGCGCTTTGGAAATTTGTTATTTAAACTAGAAAGTTAAATACATTAGTCGAGCTGAAAAAACAATATACTCGCAAAGTTTTAAATAAACTTGAATTACTTTACTCCGACAATAAGGATTAACATCCAAAAATCTCTCTTCTAATATATCAAAAAAGCGATCTATCTGTCCCTTATGATCATTTGACTGTTCTGATTGAAATAAACTCGAAATTAAATTTCCACAAACTTCAATTATTCCACATCGTAAAGTATAAGACTATAAATATCAACTCCTAACAATAAATATAAATTCTATACATCGCTATCAAAAAATTTAATTATCATAGTCATTTGCTTTAAGACATTCCTTGGCATCATATCAGAAAGTTTTACTAAAAATAAAGAAATAGATTTAGGTCCTTTATTATCATTACTATTAAATTCTTTAACACTTAATTCACTAGAAAAAAATAAGAAATTATTTTTTAATTAAAAAAATTACCGCAATATTTCATCTAATAATTGAGGATAATCATATTGTTCAGAAAGAATCTGTAAAAATTCAGCAACAAGCTCTGGTAAGTGCTCATAATACTGTAAACCCTGAATGAGCGAAGTCTGAGCCCCTAATAATATAAAAAGTATAAACATTAAATTAGTTTAGACCTACCAAAAGCATGACCTTGATGTTTCACTGCAATACATAATAACTTAAAAACCCTCATTTTAACTGAAGGAATTTTCATCAACTGCTCATTTTCAAATATTAAATATGCTGATCGAATAAAAAGGCTATTTAAATAAATATTAAATAGTTATCTCTAAAAATTGTGAAGTTACCTAACAAATATGTCTCTTTCGGAAGTTGTAACCCATAATTTACTTAATCTAAGACCAAGAATTTTACACATAACATCCAATGAATTATGAAAAAAGTAATTAATATCTAAATTTTCTTCTTTCTGAGTCTTTTTATTAAGTTTAAAAGACTTAGTGCCACGAAAAAAGTTTTGAGAATGAGAAACATTAGAAGTAATTCTTTCTATAATAGAAACAAGCCAATAAAGAGAAAACCCAAGAATTTCTAATATATTTTTTCTTTGATCTTGAATATCTATTTCATTTTCCAAGATGTCTCTTAATAGAGATTCGGTAACTTGCTGAAGACCTTCCAAAATTATAAAATAAACAAATAAAAAAAATTCAAACTTGAAATAATAAGATCCACAAATTTATTGGAAGATCCAGATGGGATATGTTCAAATGTCCTAAAAAATTAGCTAAGCTAATAATTTATTCATTCCAAGCCTCAATATTGCAAATAAACTTTTCATAAATTCCTCTTCTAAAATTATTCCTAAAGATGTTGATATTGCATCAATAATATCTAAAAATATAAATACAAACAAAAAAAGCCAGAAACTTACTATCAATAGCACAATTCACATCTTTAGAAACATCTTCAATATTATCATCTAAAAGAAAATTTTCAGGATCATCGAGATAAGCAGTGAGGAATTCTTTTAAATCAAATATCATATCTTATATCAACTCAATTGTAGGAAATTATGTCTTATAAAATTGTATACTTTATATTAAAGTTTTATAAATATATTTTTTCAAAAATTTAAGTTTTTATAATGTTATGATAAACGAACGTCCTTTTAAAATCTAAAAAATAAAATGGAAATTAAAAATAATAAAGAAACAAAAAAAACTTTAACAAAAGAGGATAAGTGGCAATCAGACATATACGAAAATAGCTTATTTCTTGAAAATTTAAATAATAGTCAAAAAGAAGATATCGATGATGATGTCACAGAAATACAATCATTAGAAGATCGTACAAGTGATTACCAATCCCCCAAATCATCTTATAATAGCAAAGAAGAAGATAATTGTTATGAAGAGCTAGAAAAAATTTCAGAAAATGTCCGTAATGAAATAAAAAATCTATATGAAACATTTCATCATCTTCGAAAACATTATAGATTAATTAATAAAATTGGCGAAGGTAATTATAATATAAATACGTTCAACATAATTCTCACATATATGTAAAGGAACATTTAGCAGTGTATATATGGCTGAAGATTGTAATTATGACAAATATATTAATGAATGGCAATATAAAGAACAAAAAACATTTTCATGGAATACCCCACTATTAAAAAGACGAAAAATGCTTTCAAAATATGATAGCTATAAAAAAAGATATGTCGCATTAAAAAAAATCTATGTAACAAGTAGTCCAGCAAGAATAATAAACGAATTAAAAATTCTGAAAGATTTAAAGTATATATTCATACGTTTTTTTTAATGGAACTGAAATTTGTTAGAGGAAATGATTCAATTGTTCCAATTATAACAGCAATGAGAGTGAGAGACCAAATTATTATAGTTTTACCATATTTTAAACACATAGACTTTAGGGTAGATATAATTTTTTATATTATTAACTTTCTAAAATAATGTTAGGATTATTATCGTACACTTTCTTTAGAAGATATACGATTTTATTTCAAAAAACTTTTTCAAGCACTTTATCATGTTCATAAAAATGGAATTATTCATCGAGATATAAAACCAAGGTTCACAACTTGATTTTTTTATTTGTAAATTAATATAATAGCAATTTTTTATATGATGTAAAAAGAAGAACAGGAGTACTAGTAGACTTTGGTCTTGCTGAGGTTTCGTTACTTAAATTAAAAATCTAAATATTTAAAAACATTTCTAGAGAGAAAACTATGATGAAACATCTTGTTTATGTTCTAATAAGAATAAATCTGAACGATTCAGAAATAAGAAAATGTTATTATCTACAGCAATTCTAAACGAAATTGAAGAACAACCAGGATATCTTAAAAATGATCCAAGGTAAAAATGACACCTAATATAATCACTAATTCTTTTAGACCAAGCAAAAGAGCAAATCGAGCAGGAACAAGAGGGTTTCGTGCACCAGAAGTATTGTTTAAGTGCATGGCACAATCAACAAGTAATAACTAGCTTTAATAAACTATAATTTATTTACTTATTATTTAAAGAAATTGACATATGGGCAGCTGGTGTCATACTTCTTTCTTTTCTTACTCGAAGATTTCCTTTTTTTAATTCCTCCGATGATGTCGATGCACTAACTGAAATAACATGTATATTTGGTAAAAATGAAATGCGTAAATGTGCAGAACTTCATAGTATGCGTTTAAAGTAACAATTTATTTAATTCTTACTTTTATAGATTGCCTATTTGATACCAATATTTCTACTTTAAATGAAAAAAGAATAACATTTCAAAAATTAATACGTTGGTCTACTAATTTTTCAACAAATTACAATATTCCTCTAACATGGCAAGAAGAACTAGCTATAGACTTCCTTGAGCAATGTCTTCAACTAAATCCTTCAGAACGATTTTCAGCAGAAAAAGCATTACAGCATGATTTTCTTAAATTTATAGATGAAGATGAGTTTACAGAAGAAGTAAATTTTGTAAAATAGTCCATATATCCATAATAATAATAATTAACACATAATAATATTTATATGTTTCTTATTATGCATATTGTATAAATCCATGAATAATTTTTTATAGAATATACAAATTATTTATATATTATTTCCCTAGATTATTACTAGGACTTATCGATTATAGTTTACCATATTATAAACAATCAAGTTTATTAACAGTTTGAGCTGCTTAAAAATATTAAAACTTTCAAAATTTACACTCAAAATAAAAAGTCTACGATCTTAAAAAATTCTAAAAAATAAAATATCGAATTAAAAATTTACTCCGAAATTTCTATTTATATTTATCTATTCAAAAAACATCACTGTAATTAGAGAATTTAAAGACTAATGAATAGACTAAGAATATACACAAACGGAAACTAAATTTATGCTAATAAAAGACAAATCAAATATTAAAGAATCAAAGAAGCATTATATTAAAAAAAAAATTACGAATACAGAGTTACATTCTAATAGTGCAAGTATTTGAAATTTATGTAGTTATTGTTTTACATTTTTATTAGGATTCGAAAAACAACATAGACTATGTTATTCTAGGCGAATATCAAATAAAAACATGGTTTAACTCACCATATCCAGGTAGTTCAGGAGATTTGAAGTCAAGTTTACTTTATGTTTGCAATAAATGCTTTAAGTATTCTACTAATGGATTCTTAATAGCTAATCATGAAGTAATATCGCCAATTTTTAATATAATACCCTAATTATATATAGGTAATTTGTTTTTCACTGAAATCACAAGGAAAGGTTATTTTCAAAAATGCATCATTAAAAATCAAAGAATTAGACGGAAAACAACATAAGGTATATCATTTATTAGTTCTATATTTCATACAACAAAGAATAGTTAACCTGTCAATGTCTTTCTTTATTTGCAAAGCTTTTTCTTGAAAATAAATCAATATGTTATGATGTAGAGAATTTTTTGTTCTATGTTCTTACAAGAACGAACAAGAATATGGAAGAAACAGTTGGTTTTTTCTCTAAAGAGAAACTTTCTTGGGATGAATATAACCTTGCATGTATATTAATATTCCCGCCGTATCAGAGACATGGTTATGGAAAAGTTTTAATCGCTTTATCATATGAACTCTCAAAAGCAGAAAGGAAATGGGGATCACCAGAAAAACCTCTTTCTAATCTTGGCTTTATTAGCTATTTATCATACTGGACTCACTCGATTGTTACGTTCTTATTGCGAAATACAACCGATAAATCACATAATTTTTCAATTCGAGAAATTTGCGAAAAAACAGCAATAAGGTTAATTCTTTTTTATAATTGCATTCTTTTAATTTATTTCTAGACCAAAAGACGTCATATACGCATTAAAAACATTAAATATACTTGAAAACTGGAATTCTTCTCAAAATAAATTTATAATCTCATATGAAAGTTTAAAATCATTTGTAGAAAAAAATAATATAGATCTTAAACCTATAATTCCTGATACGGCTATTTTACGTTCGCAGCAATAAAGCTATATGCTGTTTTAATTAGAAAACAGTTATAATACAATATTTAAAAATAATTAAGCAATCAATTCCCTATTTTTATAATGATATTAATTCAGTAATCTTATAATTATCCGTTTACGTTAAAACTATTAATAAAATCATTTAAATCTTCAACGTATTAACACACATTTATATTATAAAATAATATTTTAGATTTGCAGCTAGTCAAGTTTATTTTAAACTCATACTCTAAACTAAAAAACGCTACTTACAATTTCATAACACTATTGAAATTATATTAAATTCTATAATTCAAAAACAGACCCAAGAAATCATAACAAAAAAATTAAAATTTAAAAAACTTATATAATTAAAAATCATTTACTTTAACTACATGAAATACAATTATTCAATTTATCCATTTACTAAAATAATTTCAAAGTTAATACATAATCCAAAAAAATAAAATATCCAATTATAAAAATGAATAGCAAAAAATATAGTAATAAAACAAATTCAAAATACAATTTATTAAATTCTAAAATTTAAATAAAAGATTACTCTATATTTTGGTTTTCATATAATACATATATACTTAATTTTTAAAAATAATCCTTAAAAGAATAAAATAAAAATATAAATATATATTTTCTAGGCATATTTCAGGATACTTTAAACATAAAATATTCTTTTAGAACTAGATGTTTTTTTATATTTGATTACAAATAAAACTTATTTAATTACCACATTCTTAAATATTAATACCAATATTTATCATATTTTTAAGATTAAATATTTTCAAATACTATGAATTACATAATTCTTATTTTCTGTTTTTTAATATGATATTTACTTAGATTTATAAATAAAATTTTCTTATTCTAATTGTTTAAAGATTAATACATTAATCTATATATAAATATGAAAACATGTTATTATCATAAATAATCAATTATTTATTAAATATTTAATATTAAAACAAATATCCATTAATCTTTTAAATTAACTTTTCGTAAAAATCTAAACGATTATAAATTTTTCAATATTTCATTTTAATAGAATAAAATTCTATAATAAAAAACATAAGAATAATTCATAAACTACAAAACATCTATGTTAGTATAAAAAATTGAAAAAATAATTTATGGATCCATTATCGAAAATATCACAAATTTTATCACATTCATATTCAGATACCAAAGTCAAAGAATTATTTAAAATTATATCCCAAACAGAACTCAAAAATGATGAAATATCAAAGAAAAAATTTAAAATTGATAATGTATCTAATATAATTTCTATAAATACTAAAATTATCCAAGAATTCGAGAAAATAATAATTGTAAAAATATTTTTTAATTATTTGTATTAATATTTTTAGGAATTAAAAACATTTAAAGATTATATATCTACAATAAAAAATTTAACAAATGAGATGGAAAAAGAAGCAGATATTATTAGCTTAAAATCTACACATTTTCTAAAACAAATAACTACTATATATGACAGAAAAATATTGATTAACACAAAACAAAGTTTGCTAAAATCATTTAATAATAACTTTATTATAGAAAATGAAGATTTAGAAATACTATCATCTATTTCAAAACCTGTCGATGAGAGATTTTTTAAAATTTTATTTAAAGTTAAACAGATTTATCTTAATTGTCAAAAACTATTAATAGCAGGATATAATAAAGCAGGGTAAATCCTAAATATATCATGAAATATAACATAATGGTAACTTAGTGTTGAAATTATGGAAAAAATGGATAAATATTTAGATACGGGATTTGAAAAACTATGTTATTTTATACAACAAGAGCTCAAATTAGCAAAATATAAATCTTATGAACCAAAAGATGATATCAAGAAAGCATTATATATGTTATCAGAAAAACACGATTTATTTAAGTAAATCATTAGATATTAGTATATTTTTTATTAAAATAATTATAGAAAATGTTTAAAAACTATATCAAAAGAAAGACAAAAGTTTTTACCAGAAAATTCCCAATTTGAATTAATACATAACATTCCTTTAACATCTATACATCAAATTAAAATACAAACATATGATCTTTTACAATATACTAGTGACATGTTATCTTGGATCCATCAAACTGTTGTTAATGAAAAAGATTTTTTTGAGATATTGTTTGGAATTCATATAGATTCAGAATCCATTAAGATCATGAATGACCTTCCCAATTTCTGTTCTTTGTCAGAATATAAGGATATTAATAAAGTTGTTTTCGAAATAATAGACAATAATATTCTTAACAGTTGTGAAATTTTTAAGGTAATTTTTAAAACATATAATGTGACTTTATCCTAAAAATAATAGATAGAAACCGAATCGATAATCCAAGATATTGAAAATATTGTGACAATTTATAGAATTGCAAACTTAATACAGTTCTATCATTTTACATTGCAAAAAATTATGCCAAATGATTCCTGTTTATTAAATATACTTAGAAAGTAAGGATAAAAATACTAAGTAATATTTTTTAAAATATATTTAGTACCGAAAAAAGTGTTATGAATGCATTTTCCAAAAATATACAAAAAAAATTGCATTCTATAAAAAAAAGCAATTTATTTCCAAGTCCTCAATTAGAAGCACCCTCTTTTTTAATAAATACTATATCAGAGCTAAAAATATTACATAAATCAATTGAAGCTACACATAACTCATCAGAATCTCTCGAAAACTGCGTTAAAACTATTTTAAAAATTATACTTGATCCATATTGTGATTTATGTTGTAGCATTTCTGATAAACTAGACGAGCCACATAAATCAATATTTTTAATAAATTGTTGGAAAACATGCGAGGTACATATCAAACATTCCTATCCATTGTATTAAATATTATTCAATTTAGGAAAATATTTCACAAATAAGCCCCGGAAACTCTAAAATGCAAGAATTTAAGGACGATATTAATAATCTTTTTAAGAATTTAGAATCAAATCAACTTGACTATTTTTTTAATGCATCTGGATTAAATAACCTGATAAATATTTTGGAATCAAAAGAAGAAAAGGTATTTATTCTCTTATACATTATAGCTAAATTAGCATTGTATAGAATCTAGAAAGATCACTAGATACAGTACTAGTTGAAACATCTAAAAATTTCCAAAATTTCTTGCCTTTTGCAATTACAAATGCTCTTGATAGAATAAAATACTTAGAAATATCAAATGCTACAAGAATAACAAATAAAGCGGCCGAAATGTTTATAGAAAAAATTTCAGATTTAATAAACATACTTCCCCAAATTACAGATAATTATCAAACATATTTTCATTGGACGCCAAATGAAATAAAATTACTTTTAGGAGTATAATATTATGATAAAAATGTGTAATATTATCCTTAATATCCCAAAAAAAATTTTTGTATTATGAAAAAGTAAATAATTTAACTAAAATTATTCCAAAATAATTAAATCTGTTCTGTAAATCCAACTTTTTCAAGTCTAGTAATCCTATAGTTTTACAATTTTGCAATTTTAAAAAATATCATTTTTAGTATATTATATAATATTACTATATATTTTTTTTTCAATAAATGTCATTATTTCAAAACTTTTTGCTATTTTTACTTTAATGCAATATATTTTAATTTAAAACACAATACATTAGAAAAGACTGGCAGCCAATTTTAAACTTTAAAATCACATATTTTATACATACAACTCTTTAAACATCAAATTAAAACTCATCAAGTATTAAAAAACATTCATAATCAAAATCAACTCATTAATAATTAATCATTCTTAGTAAATATGAAAAATATCAAAAATAATGAGACATAAAGCTTTTGACTTATACTATATTTAACCATTTTAAATACATACAATATATTATTATAAAATATAAAAAAAAAATTTATGTATAGATTATTTTTCAAAAAAGAAAGCTCATTTTTATTTTAAATTTCAAAAAAACAATAATTTAAATCTACTTTAATATATTATAACAAAATTTAATTGATATTCATATAACATTTATAACATCAATTTCTCATAAAATAAAATAAATAGAAAAATCAATATTTACAATATTTCATACAAATAAATAAAAATATAATTTTGTTTTTTTTCTTCTAATTTCAATCCTTTTTATAAATTTCTTTTAATTATGTATATATTATATATATAATGTTCAAATGATATTCTAAGTACTTGAAATAAAAAAATAATATTTATAAACATTAAGCATCCAGTTAAAAATATGCAAAAATTATAAATAAAAAATAAAATTATTTTCTAAAGTTTGCAGACATTTATAATTTAAAACTGAAATGTGTGAAAATTACACTATAATGTAGAAAAGACATTTATTCCTACTTAGAAAACTATTTATAATTTATCTATTATTTTAAAAAGTAAATTATATACCAAAATACTGAAAATTTAGTTCTTTTTTTAAGAAAACATAATTAAATTTTAAATACCATTCTTTTTTAATCAAATCATATAATTAAAATAAAAAATAACTATTAACAATTGCATAATTTATCAAAAATTTAAAATAACATAAAAATTACCATAAAAATAAATAATTCTATAAAATTTATAATATTTTAAAGAAAATCACAAAAAAATTAATTATAAAAATGTAAAACTTTTAAAAATTATTTTTTTATATATTAATATAAATTATAAAAATCAGCTAAATGATCCAAATAATGTCTATATATTTATAATCAAAAAAATCTAAAAAAAAATATGAATTTAGCATAACATCGGTAACACTTAAACATCTAAAAAAAGTTAAAAGTATAATATGAACCAAATGTACTTATTATAAATAACATTTAATAAAAGTATCGGTAATTTCAAATAAAAACAATTGAAAATAATTATTCAATGTTATTAGATAATGTTAATAAATAGTAATGAATATATTTTATTAATATAAAATTCTAGGAATTCTTAAAAATCCTACTTATGATCTAAAGTAGAAGAAAATCGCAAAAATAGAATTAATGAAATATTATCATATATAGCAACATATGATCTTATAAAATTAAATTAACATGTTAGGATGATATATTAATTCAAAAATATGACATTCATTAAAGAAAAAAACAACCCATTACAGAGAAATCTAATGTCATATATTCATTAATAATTAATAAATCAGTTTTTTTTTTTTAATATTAAAAACAATCCCATAGGTTTAGCTAAATAATCAAATTCGAATTTTCTGATGAAATATATCGTTTTGAACTTTCACCAACATAAAACTTGATAAAAACAACCGCGAAAAATAGCCTGAAATTAACCAAACATTTTTCATTGAAAAAAAAAATAAACGCAACATAAATAGATAAATCAAAAATAAAAATTTTGCAATGCTCATAAGATATCAACAACATCCTATAATATACACAATTCATAATGTTTGATCAAATTATGCCGATAATTATAAGCCCAAAAAGGCATCAACATCAATTCGAACTTTAAAATTAAACTAAACCATATCGGAATCACTAATCCCTAACTATATTATCATTCGAGGATATAATATGGCCGTTTGCACGATTAGAATACCGTCCACCATGGAATCGAGCTCTATTTCCACCTCGACCTCGTTGACTATGTTGACGAACATAACTTTGCTCGTTATTAGATTGATTACTAGAATTCCCATTACTTTGGGAAATAGCAGTATGTTGCTTGGGAGGAGCCTTATTACTAACAGGCTCATCAAGAGCACTTGGAGAAACATAAAGACGTTTATCAATTATTGACGGTATTGGTTGTATTTCTGTTGAAAGTTCTTGCTCAATTTTATATAAGTTAAATCTATAGGTAATAAGCTACGAGAGCTTATCTTTTCATAACATACCTATCATCCCAGTTTATAAGGTTAATAGCCAAACCAAGATGACCAAATCGACCAGATCTACCTATACGATGAAGATAGGTTTCCGAATTTTTTGGAAAATCGAAATTGATTACAACATTAACTGCTTGAATATCAATACCGCGTGTTAAAAGATCTAAAAAATTAAGAAAAAATGTTCCATAATATAATTATATACCAGAACAAACAAGATTACGACAAACACCATTTCGAAAGTCATGAAACACTCTATTTCGATGATTCTGCAACATTTTTGCATGAGAATAAAAGCAAGAATAGCCAAGCTCTGTAATCTTTTTAGCCAGAAGCTCAACCCTATTAGTAGAATTGCAAAAAATTATCGACTGATTAATTTGAAGCTATATTAAAATTAGGATAAAAGCAATAACGAAAAAAAATAATACCTTAGAAAAAAGAGTATTCAAACAATGAACCTTCTGCTTCTCCTCTACAAAAGCATAATATTGGGTAACTCCTCTCAAAGTAAGTTCGTCCATAAGGTTTATTTCATAAGGTTTAGAAAGATGTTTATCCTATAAAAAAATAAGATTGTAAATAATATCAAAAATTAAATACCATAAAACTTTTTACGACAAGAGGAAATGTAGCACTATAAAGCATAATTTGACGATCTTTTGGAAAATATGCAAGTAACTGTTCTATTACGGGAGTAAATTCAATGCTAAGAAGCTTATCCGCCTCATCCATTATAAAAGTAGGACATTCACTAAATTCTGCAACACCTTTTCCTGCTAAATCCAGAATTCTACCAGGAGTACCAACAATTACATGTACAGGATCATTAAGTCGAATTATGTCTTGCTAAATTAAAAATATCAATATTATTAAAAATATAATAAAATAAAAAAACCTGAAGTGATGTACCGCCGGTTGTAACCATAACATTAATTCCCATATGCTTTCCAAGAGTTTTACAAACATGTGATGTCTGCAAAGCAAGCTCACGTGTTGGAACCAATATTAATGCCTGAATTTTAGGCTTCTTTGGATTCAACTTCTCAAGAGCAGGAATAACAAATGCTGCAGTTTTTCCAGTACCTAATTATTAATCAAAAATTTCAATATAAAAAAAATATTACCATTTTTTGCCCGTGCAAGAATATCTCGACCTGTTAATGCAATAGGAATAGATTCTTCTTGTATAGGAGAAGGACGTTCAAATCCAGCCTCAAATATACCCATCAATAATTCTCGTTTTAAATACTTAGTGTATGTTAGCTAATTACAAACATGAGTGTCCTCTACAAAATCTTCAAACTCATTCCCCTTTGTTTTTGTTACATCCTTTAAAAAACATAAGTATTCTTGAAAAATCTTTATAAATCAGAAAACACCTCTGTTTGCGGCCGAGTATCTTTTACTGAAAGGTTAAGAGTCTTTTTCCAATCATCATACATTCTATTCATATACCGCATTATTTACTAAAAAATATTTAAGTAAATTACTTAGTAGAATCTACCGCCACTGATCCAGAATCCCTAATAGAACTCATAATTCAACTATATATCTTATATATCCAATATAAAATTCTAAATAATTCCAAGATTTCTTATAAACTTTTTAGTAGATCGTCTTTTTTTCTTAGTATCTCCTGATAAAACAATAAACCCATTTATTCATATAAAAATAAGGAAAAACCTTAAGAATTACCACTAAAAAGATGAAAATAAAAAATCAATATTTAAATCAAAGTCAATATTCTAAAATATTCCCTTTCGTTGTCCACGTAATCCCTCAACGGGTGCCCCATAAAATTCTTTGCTTTATAAATATAAGTAAAAAATAGTAAATAAATTATCTTAAAAAATTAAACATGGAAGAGTATACAAAGATATGGGAAACTAATATGTATTTAATATCTCAATACAAATTACATATTTTTTAAAAAATATGAAAAGTATATATATTTTAACTTATGAATTATTCATAAGTTAAAGATTTAAAAATACATACAATATGGATATTAATACCTTGAAATTATTATAGAACTTCAATAAATATAAATTATTATTAAAGAAAAAATATAATCTATTTAGATAAATTTATAAATAAAGATTATTTCGAATTTTAAAATTATCCATAAAATCAATTTATTTAATTGAAAAAAAAGAATTTATATATTTTTAATAAATTAAATTAACTTTTATATCTATATATTATTAATAATAAGTATTTTAAAATAAAGATCAAAATATCGAAATTTTATTAAATAATTTTTATTCATAAATTATATACCAAGTATTAATTTTAAAAATTTTAAAAAACATTTCAAAAATATATTTTTCTTAGAAAATTATCTCAACTTATATATATAAATATCTACAGAAAAAAAATACATTTTCATAAATAATGATTAGCTAGATAAAATAAATACAACAAAACTAATGAATTGTATAATCTACTTATAATATTAAGATATTTTTCTCTATGCAATATTTATTAGACTATAAACATATCTTTTATCGAAAATCCAATATAGTCTGATTTCTTTCCGGATCTTTCATTCTACATTCTAAATTAAATTCGTCATTATTACATACATAATATTTACTTTATTATTTTTATATCTGGTCCAGTTGCTATATTACTCATATCCTGAGGAGTAATTAAAATGAATTGTGTCATACTCGCATCACGTGCAGCATTTATCTAGAAAGAGAATAAATAAAAAAAAAGAGGAATATCAATTTACCATCATGCTTATACTTATTTTACGATTAACAGCATCCATAAATACATCGCTATTAATCAATTAATGCAACCAACAAGCAAAAAAATTAAATATTTACAATTCATCTAAACAACGAATGGGACTACCCATTGCTTCCCATATTGATAAAAGTAAACAAACCGTTGAAAAAGACTTTTCTCCTCCAGATAGACTTCTAGAAGTATTATTTTTAAGCAAATTTTTTTCGTTTGAAAAAGCATCAACATATATCTAATAAAGTAAAAAAATATAACATTAATAATAAAAATATTTACACTTGGTTCAAGTGTCCTTGCTTTATGATCTATTTTTAGCTTTCCATTAAATGCTCTCATAGATAAAAAATGGTGGAACAACATTTTTGTACGCAATGAAAGCATACTTCTATAATATTTCCATCTTTGACGTCTCTCTTTTAAAGTATTTCGTAGAATCTAAAATAATATTAAAAAAATAAAACATGAAATTTAAAAAATATACATCATAAAGAGCTTCAAGTTCCTTAATTTCTAGAGAAGCCACATCAAAATCATTTTGTGCTTTTTCAAATTCTTGAGCAATATCTTCTACAGTAGCACCTAAGTATTGCTGAGCTTCACTAAGTCTTTTAGTCATTTGTTTAATGAGAGCATCTAAATAATGCGCATCATGATTAACCTTAACTTTCTTGCTAATTTGAGACGCTTTCTTAATAAATTCATTTACAAGTTTTTCTTGTTCAACTTTATTTTCAGTAATTTCATTAATTTTTATTAAATATTCATCAACTTTTTTTTTGTAATGCTCAGAATCAACTTTTTTTTGAATTCGTTGACCTACAAAATCCTCCAATACCTTTTTTAACTGTTCAATTAATGTTTCCAATTCTGATATTTGTTTTTTTTTAGAAGCCAATTCCTCTTTAACCAAAACGTTCATTTCATTTAATTTATTCGTGGCCTTCAGAATGTCTCCATACTGTCCTTGATAATTTTCAACTATTTCTTGTGCCTCCTTAATATTTTCTTCAAGCGCCTCAATTTTCCCTGTATTTTCTTTTTCATTAAATCTTTCATTTATATCATCCAATTCATTTTGTTTTTCATTTATTTGATGCTTTATAGACTTTTTTTGATTTTCTAGGTCTTTTTTCTTAGACTCCATCTCTTTTAAAGAAGTCATATAGAGTTTTTGGATTTGTAAGGAACGATTATATTCTAATTCAGCATTTTCAATCGATTTTTGTATCAACAACATCTCTTTATCTGTATTTTCTGAAAGACGAAGTGCCTTTTTCCAACCATCTACAGGTATACTGCTGCTAGAGCCCCGTTTACCCCCAATTTTAAAACCATCGCATCCGTTTTTATGCAGCGAATAACATGCAGTAACATTAGCTGGTTTATTATACATAATTTTATCAGCAGTAAACCTATCTTTAATCAAAATTGTTGACTCTATTTGATGATGAATTATAAGTTGGCGTTTAATGAGCTCGTCTTTAATACTTAAAATTTTAAGTATTGTATCGAATTCACAGTCAGGCTCTCCTTTGGAATAATCAAACATATCATCAGTTCCTATAATGATGTTTACAAAACAATTACATTTTTGCATAAGATTTTTCAATATTTTTTCGTCTTCAGTATTTTTTACCAAAAAGGCATTAAGTGTTGTCCCAAAAAATGTTTCAAGAATAAACAACCATTCTGGTTTCAACACTTGAACAAATTTTCCAAAAGGGCCAATAGGAACTGAAATAAATCTGTTCTCTTGCTCTATAGCCTGTATTAACATTGGCATTCGTGGATGAAATGCGGTTAATCGATCTTTTTTTGCATGTTCAAAAGACATCAATTGATCACGCAAAACTTTAAGAGACCTATCATGTACTAAAATAGTATCTTTAATTTTTGATATTTTATTGCCTTCTATTCTAATATTTTCTCCAACTTCTTCTATTAAAGCATCTATTTTGAAATTGTCTGATCTCAATGTCGAAATTTGTAAATCTAGTTCTTCTTTTTTCTTCCTAAGTTTCTCTAGACAACCACCATCAAGTTCAAGACGCCTTCCTTTTTCATCAGAAATCTTTTTCAAACATGTTGTAATTTCATTATTAGCAATTTTTATTTGATCTTGAAGTTCACGTTGCTGTATCATCAATTCTTTAATTTCTTCATTATTTAAATCAAATCTATGCTTGATTTCATAATATTGTTGATTAGAAAACGGAAGTTTATCTTCTTTTATAGAGTCGAAATTTCTTTGAGTAGCCGCAATCTTAACAGATAAATTAGAAAGATCAGATTCCGATTTAAGATATTCTTCCTGTGCACGCAACATCTTTTTCCTCTGGTTCTCCAAAAGATTAGTAATATCATCGAGCCTCTAAATAATTAGCTTCTTCCTTAAATATTCAACTAAAATACCTTTTCTTGCTCTTCAACTTGAGCCCATGCCATTTCATCTTTAAGATTATCCAATTTTTCATACATTTCACGAATTTTAAAAGTCTCTTGGAAACGAGCAGAAGCGTCCTGTAAAGTTTGCTTTAAAGAAAATAAACCTTCTTTTTTTGTTTTAATGACATTTGCAGTAATTTCAATGCTTTCATTAACCAAATTATAATCATTATTTAACTGAGTCAACTGAATGCTTTTCATAAAAAACTAAGATTGTTAATAATTATACAAAGGAAATTTAAAATAATACTTTATATTTATCCTCTGCACTAGAACTTCCAAGAAATTGACGAGCAGTATCTTGAGTAAGAACAGTCATAGGATTATCAACTTGCAAACCCATATGATCATTAATCGCATTTAACTCATCTCTTTTCGTGGATATTACACGATTATCAGCAGATCTAATTTTATATCCACCACAAGATTCCCTAGTAAACCTTCTCTCTATAATAATAGTATCACCATAAACATTATGCATATATGCATCATTCCCAGTATTTTTAAGCATAATTGTTACGGAAGATGAACTACAGATTATTAAGAACAAAAATACAAACAAAAGTCTATACTTTGCTCCTTCTCGAATCAAATCCTTAATATTAGAGCCCCTATTAGTAATAGAAGCCTTTCCCCCCAAACAAACAGTAATTGCTGTAAGTATAGCACTTTTTCCACTCCCATTATGGCCTACAAGGAAATTTATATTCGAACATAAATCAACTTTTAAGTATTTGTGACACTTTAATATTAATTAACAACTATAAAACTACCATAAACACTTCAAACCATAAAATTAACAAGTTCAATAGATTTTATAATTCCTGCTTCAGCACATGGCTAATATAATGAATATTCATTTTTCAAAATAAACAACTTACTAATAATCTTCTATTTTGCATATCTAAGTCAACCCGCTGACTCTTTGATTCCCCATCAGAGGATTCATTTTCATTATTTTCATTTTCATTATATTGACTCTCATTATCTGATTCATTTTCACATATGTTATCTTCATTTAAAATACCTTGATCTAAAAGAGACACTTTTGATTTATATTTCTAAATTTTATCAATTTTAAAGAATTCATGTCAAAAAAAAAACTTTCTCATCCAAAAAAATTCTATGATTTCCTTCATTAAATAACTTCTCATCCTCAATTTTTCTTTTAACCATTAATACTTATTCGTGAATCTTATTTCTCCAAAGCTTAAATCAAATTATAACCCACTTACAAAGCTAAAAAACAAGAATTCTATATATCTAAATCCTTCATTTCGATTTCATTTGTTTCTTATCAAATTTAACTAAAAAATAGATAGTAATAACTCAGCCGACTTTTCTTAACCTCTTTAAAACTCGCTCTTTAAAAACTTATATATTAAATAACAAATCCAATACATTAACAAGCAATTCATATAATAAATAACTATAAACCATAATTTTTACTATATTTTTAAAATAAACATTTATTTATTATTTTTATAATCTAAGTTTTATCTATAATTAATATTGTATAAAGTTATATGATGTTTTTTCTTATAATCAAAGTAAAATTAGAATAGCTATGCTAGGTAGAAATAATATAAGAGTTTTGCAAATTTATATTTTCATTCATTAAAAAAACGATTATTGTTAAAAGCTAAAAAAATTTAGAAGATTGTTTAAAGCCTTTATATTTTTTAAAATTAATAATAATAAAAACAAATAAAACAAATAAAAGCAATTAATGTTGTGAAAAAATACAAGTCTTTAATTTAAAAAAGTAGATGATAAATAATTAAGAAAAATACAAAAAAAATGTCAAGCGAGTTTGAAGATGAAGAATCAGATGATACATTTCAAGGATTTGATACAGATACTAGTGAAAACCATGTATCAGGTCATGAAAAAGATTTTATAAAAAATAAAAAAGATAAAAAATTTCTTAGTCAAAAAGAAATTGAAGAATTTCAAAGAAATGAAAGTCTCTTTAAATCAAATTATTTTAAATTACAGATAGATGATTTATTAGATGAAACAAGATTAAACTCAAATGATATAAAAGAAATACAAAATTATATATATCAAATTAAAAATATTATAGAAAACATACCAAACAAAAAAGAAAATGATGTAAATAAATATTTTTTTAAAAACAAGTATTAATTTGTTTTAGATAAATTTCATTATAGAAGAAATGAAGGAATTTAATATTTGTATACCATTTCCTGAACCAAAACCCTCTAAAGATGTGAAATATACCTTTTCATACAGTAAACCAACATCTATTACTATTATAGGAAGTTTTTCATTAGGAACGTCTATTAAAGAAGATAGTCTGAACATTGATTTAGCAGTTGAAATTCCAGAGGTAATATTTTCAAATTTTTAACATGTACTTAAAAAAAAAGAAAATATTTCAAAAAAAAGACTATATGAATTATCGCTATTTTTATAAACGTTCATACTATTTAGCATGCCTTGCTGAAGGCATAAAAAAATCACCTGAATTTAGAGGAAAACTATCATTTCAACTTTTCAATAGAGATCAATTAAAGCCAATAATAGTAATATCGTATATAAAAGGTATTTAAAAATGTTTTTCAAGAACATTATTTTAAATTTATTAGATAATGAAACTCATAATCATAAAAAATGGAATATTTTTATTATTCCATCTATTTCTCAAAATGTATTTCAATCAAGCAAACTTTCTCCAAATAAATCCTGTATTGCATCTGTAGACTGTCCAACTCCTAATTATAACTTTTCTATTCTATCCGATTGCACAATAAACCAACATCATACGGTACAATATACTTGTTTACAATCATGTCCAGCATTTAGGGATACATCTATATTGGGAAAAATATGGCTAAAAAAAAGAGGTTTTAATTCTAAAAAGAATGGATTTGGTAGTTTCGAATGGAATATAATCATGGCATATCATTTACAACATAAAAAAAATCAATTTTCTCAATATAGCTCTTATCATCTCTTTAAAATCACTCTTCAATTCTTAGCAACACAAAATCTATTAGAAAATCCAATATATATGAATTCAGGAAAATTCATCAATGATTTATCAAAAAAAAAACCAGGTTTTTTTACATTTAATGATATAAATATTTTACAGAAATTATCATATTTTGATTTCCAATTAGTATTAAAAAGACTGTTCAATTTTATATTGACTGCTGTTAGATACAACTATATGCATCGATTACATTAAAATTATTGAATGATTCTTCTCAAGATAATTTCAAATCAATTTTTCTCGAAAGAGTGGATATTATTCCTTTACAGTTTGATTGTTATTATAAGTATATTTGTTTTCTACTATTAACGCAAATTTTGATAATCTAAGAGTTTTTATTCCTCAAAATTGGGAAGAATTATCGAAGGATTATTTACATGAAGTCTCATTAAAGGAAACGTCTTTTATATTAAAACTCATAGACATTATTAAGAAAGCAGTTGGGAACAGAATACTTCAAATAACATCAATAGTACATTCGAATGACATAATATGGAATATAGACACAGAATTTCCTTCAAATATAATATCAAATGAAATCTATATAGGGATTCTTATTGACCAAGAAAATTCTCAAAAAATTGTAGAACGTGGCCCATCTCCTCAAGATATTAATGCAACTAAAGAGTTTCAACAATTTTGGGGAAAAAAATCAGAGCTTCGAAGATTTAAAGATGGAAATATTTTAGAAAGTGTAGTATGGAACGTTGAAAATAAACTTTGGCTTATTAAAGATATTATAAAATTCGCTGTTAATCGTTATGTTGGAAGTAACATATCTGAAACATATCATTTTTTTGGACCTGAATATGACAAATATATTAATTTTCCAAAAACGTACTGGCCAATAGAATTTTCACAAATAAGAATAGCATTTGACTCCTTAGCTAAAGAAATAAAAAGTATTGAGAATTTCCCACTTCAAATATCTTCTATAATACCGTCCAATGAATTTTTAAGATATACAGCTATTAACCTTCCTTTCTTTTCAGAATCTAATGATTTTAAGAAATATTATTCAGAACCATGTGATATTATTATTCGATTTGAAAGCTCGGGAAATTGGCCAGATGATCTTAAAGCTATTCAAAGAACTAAACTTGCGTTTTTAATTAAATTGTCAGAAAAATTATATTTTCAAAACAATGATATAATTTCAAGAGTTGGCTTAGAAAATACAGATTCAGAATGCTTGAACTTAGGATTTTTAGATATTAAATATAAAAATCTTATATTTCGTTTAAGAATTCATCATGACAGGGAAAAAACTCTCCTACAAAAAGACTTAAAAAATGGAGAAGTTTCTCAGTATCAACGTAGTATACTAAAGAGAGGAATAAAATTATACGACGAAACATATATATCGAAACCAAATCATACGTTGATTTTTCAAGATCTTTGCCATAAATTCAAAGCATTATCACTCTCTATTCGTTTAACAAAAAAATGGTTTCATTCCCATTTACTTTCATTTCATGTTCCAGAAGTATTAATTGAACTTGTTGTCGCAAAAATATTTATCAATTCAGCACCTTGGCCTCCACCAGCTACAGCGAATACTGGCTTTCTTAGATGTTTATCCATGCTTGCATCATGGGATTGGAGATCGAGTCCATTAATAATTGACTTTTCAGAGAATATGTCTTCTGAAACTTATAAGATAATACAAAATCAATTTTCAACATTTAGAAAGCAAGATCCAGGAATCAATTCCGGTGCCATGTATATTACATGTAACTATGAAAATAATTATTATTCATGGATCTGGAACAAACCTAGTCGTTCAGTTTCCGGAAGAATTACTTTATTGGCTAAAAATTCCTTGCATATTCTAAAACAAATGGATGAAAAAAATATTCGCGTTAGCAACATTATTTATCTTTGAAATATAGTCTAACTAACTTCTTGAAGAAAGCCTTCCTTCCTTCTTTAAAGGATTTTGACTTCCTTATTTATCTTAATAAAGCTTCAGAAATAATAGAAAATTCGAAAATATTCCAAGAAAGTAATGAAACCAATTTTTTTAAATATTTTAATATTTGAATAGTCATATTTCCTGAACCTGATATAATTGATATGTTTGTAAGACAACTTGAGGTTTAGTATTTCTTTTTATTATAAATTTCTGATATTTTTTAGGATATTTATGGTGATTCTTTTATCTTTTTTTATAATAAATTGCAAAAATCCGTAATTGCAGGTGTTATAAATCCTCATATCCTTTCAGCAAGATCTTGGAAAGTAAATTTAGGATTTTCATCTATGCCATTGCAAAATGCCACAACAAATGATGAAGTATATATTTTTTTAAAAATTTAAAACTAATTTTCTTAAAAGAATATGGTACATGGAAATATTTTGTCTATGCTTGGTGAAATAGAAAGACTTGGTAATAATCTTGTAAAGAAAATCGACATACAAAATCTACATTATATAAATAATATACAATAATTTATATAAGACTTTAAAACATTTAAATATTTTGGAAAACGCCAATATTAAAGATTTTTCATCATATTTTCTTAGATATTAATACATCTAAACAAAAAAGCATATTTAATCTCAAAAATATTTGTTGAAATATCATGATAAATTATTTCAGTTGAGCAAGTATAATCTAAATTTAACTTAAAAATCATTCATTATTCTATAAAAAAATATTGGATAATTATATTAAATATACTTTAAGGTATTATGACAAATGTCTTAAAATTTTTATATCATTTAACTTATTTTAAAAAATATTTAATATATCCGAATATCAATAATAATTAATATATTAGTTAGTTTTCATATTAAATTTTACTATTATTCCATTTAGATTTTTTATAGATAAAATATCTACGACACTATCAAACGAAATAATATGGTTCTTCTTGTTCAAACAGTAAGAATTAAAGAAGCCTTAAAAAGATATTCGTCATTAAATATAGAAAAAGATATATCAGAATATTTAAAAAGTGACTTTATTCCTCACTCTGTGATTATAGATGTTTCAACAACTTTAAAAAATATAAATCATGATATTGAAAAAAAAGACAGTCTAGACTATATTTTGAGAGGAACGCATATATATCATGAGAAAAAAACTCACAAAAATGCTTATTTTATCTCTTTTTTAAGCCATTTTCTAAATATAAATAGAATCCAAAACAAAACCATTTATTAAAAATGCATTCTATTGCAGAAGAAATGAACTATCAAAGACTTATAGGTATACAGGATCCATATTATAAAAACAAAGAACTCAGTAAAAATGAACTACGGTTAATTAAAAATCAAATATTTACAATAATTAATATTCTTGTGTCAATTTTTAGTATTATAGTTGCCATCTGGATATGGTGTAAAAATTGGACTATACCAATGGTATATTAGTAGTCGTTATATGATTAACTTATCTATCATTTAGAGAATAATAACAGCCCTAAGTTCTGGTATAGTAATTGCCATTGCGGAAATTGTTTTATATAATCATTATTTATCAAGTATTAAAAAAAGACAAGAATTCGAAAGGAATAAACCTTTAAAAAAGGAAATAATAAACACAATAAAATTTGAAGGATGTAAAAATACCTAATATAAACTAAATAACCCTATCTATTATGTAAAAATACAATCACTTTCTAAACCCAAAAAATAAAACTATTCAATCCCTTTTAATTCCCTACTCCTTAATTCTAACTCATATTCTAATCTTGCTACTTCTTCCTTTTCTTCTTGAATCATTTCATCGGTTATAATTTCATTTTTATCTTGAAAATCAAAATCATTATTCGTTAAAAGCAAATCCAGTTGCATACGCTGCTGTTAACGCCTTAAAAACTTCAACTAAACATATATTCATATACCGAATCAATCTTTGTTTCTAAATTTTCTATACTTTCAAGATGTTTACGATTTTTTTCAAGAAGCATTACAATTCGTTCTTCTATCTCTGGGAAATGACTTTTCAATTCACAAATACATCCAATACAAACAAATACATACTATATATTTAGAAGTTTTTGTGCTGCTGCTAACAATATTTCCGGTGACTGTGGTTCTTTGCTTTTTAACGGAGTTACCGACATTTCCAACGTCTGTCTAACAATCTTTCAACACATAAAAATAAAAAAAACTAAATACAAACCCAAAGATCTTCTTCTGAGGCTCTTTCTTCCCTTTTTCCAGCGTAAATAACCGACTCTCATGAGCTTCTGCATCTCGAATAAGCATGACAATATCCTGCAATTTCAACAGAGAATTCGTAAAAGGCTTCGGATAGTCGAATTCTAGAGATCCGATACTCTCAATTGCCTGCTCGATACTTGGAAAATACTCCTCAATTTTCATCAGATTATACTTAATATTTTGTAGTCGTCTATCGATGACAACTATCTCAGCCCTTAAGACGTCATTATAAGAACTAAGTCAATTTTTACTAAGACACAGATTTCTTAAGAAAAATAGTTAGAAATATTAAGTTCCGTCAAAAATTTTATATAAAAACTAGAAAATAAAGTTAGAATTACTTAAAATTTGAAATGACAGATTCAACAAAGAATAAAGTGTATGATGAATCATCAACTATTTCAGGTAAAATAGAAGAGTATTCCTATATTTTATAAATAGAAAATTTATTTTTAAAAGAAATTAAGTCAAATATCTATCTTTTAGAGCAAGCAGTAGAACAATATGAACCATATTTGATTTCAAAAGTTTTACGAACAACGTTTTTTTTAAGAAAACATTTAAATGGAGAGATTCTTAAGGAAACGATAAGAAATATATATAAAGGTAAAGAGAAGACTAAGGATTATCTTTTAAATATCATAAAAATGGTTTTTTTTTTGGGATCTAAATATTTTAAGTTAAATTTTGAATAGAAAACAAATGAGATGGATTCAAATAATTCAAGGGAAAAAAATAAGGAAATAGCACCGGAAATTGATATTTATATACATTTAATTATACAAATATATTTGTTAGATACAAAAGAATATGAAAAAGGAGCAATTTTTTCTCAAGAACTTGTTGAAAAACTTCAGACAGTTAATCGACGATCATTGGATAGAATTTCAGCAAAAATTTACTTTTATTATTCATATTTTTGGGAAATGCAAGGAAAACTTTCAGAAATCAGACCGTATGATTTAATTTTGATGTAAAAAAGAATTAACTAATAAATATAGAACTATTTTAAAAGCGCAAAGAACAGCAACATTGCGTCATGATAACGAGACTACCTCAATGATTATTATTCTTTTGCTTCGTAACTATCTTCATTATAATTTGTATAATCAAGCGGATCGTTTAGTATCAAAAATAAACTTTCCAGAATTTGCAACAAATAACCTTATTGCACGATATTTGTATTATCTAGGAAGAATTAGAGCGATTCAGTTAGATTATACATCAGCACATTCTCATCTTACAAATGCAATTCGAAAAGCACCTCAAGGAGCAAAAGCAGCTGGTTTTCTTCAAGCAGCACACAAATTGAACATCATTGTAGATTTATTAATGGGTGGTATTCCTGAGAGATCTATTTTCCGGCAACCTATGCTAGAAAAAGCACTTGTTCCATATTTACAGATCGTACAAGGTATATTTATTAAGAAAAAAGGTAAAACTAAACATTTCAGCTGTAAGAAAAGGCGATATCACCCTTTTTACTGATGCTTTTAATAAACATGGCAATAAATTTCGTTTAGATGGCACATCCAGTCTTATATTAAGATTACGTCAAAATGTACTCAGAACTGGTATACGAATGATGTCAATTAGTTACTCAAGAATATCCTTACGTGATATATGTTTAAAATTGCATCTAGATTCTGAAGAATCTGCCGAATATATGGTTGCAAAATCCATTCGTGATGGTGTCGTAGAAGCAAGCTTAGAACATGAAAAAGGATACATGCAAAGTAAAGAAGTCCCTGATATCTATTCAACTCATGAACCACAAATTGCTTTTCATGATCGAATTTTATTTTGCTTAAATCTTCATGCATCTAATATCAAAGTAAACTTTTTTATACATAAACTTCTCTCTAATTTTCACAGGCAATGCGATTTCCCATGAATATTCATAAACATGAAATTGAAAATGCTGAATCTGCACGCAAACGTATCGAAAATCAAATCGTAGAAGCAGAAGATGATTTTCTTGATTAATTCTTTCACTTTATTTTTATTACTAATTACGCTAAAATAGTGTAATTATTATACATTCAATACATATTCATTTCTTATATATTTTATATATACATTTATATGTGTTCATAACAATAACAGGAGATAAAAAACCGTAAAACAAGGTTCGAAAAAACTAAAAAGAAAAAAAAAAACATAAAACGAAAAAAAAAATACAATTTATAGGAAAAATATCAAAAGAAATTTAACTTTAAGATGGCTTTGAAAAGGTATGTTGAGAAACAAGATAATATATATGTATATTTGAAATATATAAAAAAAACAGTTGAAGGAAAAAATAAAGAAAAATATAAGAAAAAGTGCAATGCTGACTTTGAAAACATAGGATTAACAAAGAACTTGGGGATCTTGCTAGAGATCCCCCATCATCATGTAGTGCAGGGCCAATAGGGGACGATTTGGTAAGTTTTTTAGTGAAAAAGACATATTGCATATTTATCATCATTAAACTATATCTATGTAATAACATAGATATTTTATTTTAAAATTTCATGAAAGGGCTTGAATGAGATGCACCTATATGAATTATTCATTAAAAGAAGCAATTATGTTGTCAAAATTTAATTATATACTAATATATGTACTAGTTTCATTGGCAAGCAACAATTCTTGGCCCAGTATGATAATATTAGATGCTACATAGTATATAAATGAATTTAACAATGATTAGGGGGATAGCCCATATTCAGGAGGGGTTTTTTTTTTAGCTATTCATTTCCCGACTGATTATCCTTTTAAACCACCGAAAGTATTATAGTATCTTGTATATTAAAAAATTTCTAATAATATTGTAGGTCAATTTTACAACAAGAATTTATCATCCAAATATTAACAGTAATGGGAGTATTTGTCTAGATATTTTGCGTGATCAATGGTCACCAGCATTAACAATTTCTAAAGGTATAAATTTATCATGTTTTATTTATTTATTTATATATAATAGTTCTTTTATCAATTTGTTCTATGCTTACCGATCCAAATCCTGACGACCCACTTGGTAAGTATTTTTTTTTAATATTTCATGATTATACTTAATTATCATTTGTAGTACCAGAAATTGCACATGTCTATAAATCTGACAGGTCAAGATACGGTATACTATTCTTATCTTATACAGTTATTTTTTTATTTATTATCTTATAGAAGCAACTGCTAAAGAGTGGACACGCAAATATGCTATTTAAAAGAAAGCGTTATCGATAGACCATTTTATCATTGAAAAGGTTCTTTATTTAATAAATTCCTTCTCACCTCTTTATCCTTCTAGGATCTTATAGTATCCTAATTTTTCTAAAATTCGATTATTGCTTTCATATTCGATTCGCTTTTTTACCTTATCATCCATATGGTCTCTATTTACCAAATAATATAGATATAAACCTATCTTCAATAAATATTTTCATTATATTGTTTTTTATCATTTTTATTGTATTTTCTATTTTATTATCTTTTATATATAAAAAGCCTTTGATCTTAATATCTTGAAGACGATGCAGAAGCCCACTTATAGAGAGATCTTAAAATTGATCAAGTAAGGCCTTATTTATACATATTTCTTATCAATTTTATTAATAAATCTTATATATAGGAAAATACCAGATGATATTTTAAGACCACATGCTAATTTAAAAATTATTTTGCGTCAAAGAACTTATAATTACTTTAAACAAAATGGAAAGGAAAAAAGTATAGAATCAAACGATTCAGCACAAAATATTAACGAATCTCATGATCAATATCTTGCATTACAGTATTTAGTAAGCAATAAATATAAATTAAAGGCAAAATAATAAAAAATTTCAAGAAAAAAAGATATTAATTAAGTAAATAGTTTCCATTATCTAAAAAAATGCTTCATCCACCAAGAGATCCTAATTATTATCAGAGAATAATCGAATCAATTAAGCCTAAACCTTCTTTATCTTCAATATTTGCAAAGTGGTTTGGTTTTAGATAAATAGTATATAACAAAATGAAACAAAGCTATTATATGTACAAAAGAACTACTTTTACACAAAATTATTTGATTCGCAGTTAGAAAGATATAAGGCTTCTTCAGCATATGATTTTACACTTAAATGACGGTTTTTTTCACTTGCAGCATCAATTAAACTCTCCATAGCATTTGATTTTTTCATCACATTTTTTAATGCATCTGTCACTATAAAGCCATATGTATATTTTGAAAGCTTATACATAATTCTTCCAAGAATCAATATGGCAATACATCTTTGTGCAGGAAACATTGAACGTGAAAGATGAACCAGCTCTGGTATAGAATACCCTGCTGCCAACTAACACGGTTAAATCATTAGTTAAATATATTAAAGAAATCCTTACAGGAGCATTTGCATGATGATGCAATCCTATATACATAGGGATTTCTCTAGAAACACGTGGAGACAGTATGTTTGCATTAAAATCAAAACGTATAGATTCAGGTGCTATTTCGGTCATAGATTCGTGATAGTCCATTTCATCTTCATCTTTTGTCGGCGCCATCATCCAAGCAAGTTTTGATGGATCTTCAGGAAGATTAGGAAAATATTTTGAATGAAGCTGTTTAAAAAAATCAGGCGACGATGGATCTAAATCTTCAAATGGAGGAACTGGGAAATGTATATCAATCGATGGTGATGCCATTTCTTCCTTCTTCTCATTAAAGGTTGATACCATACCTAAACTATCCTGATCATCACATGAGAAATGCACCTTTTTCTTTTTATTCATGACATCATTAACATCTTTATCCAGTCCTTTCTTATACATCAACTTTTCAATTAATTCAGGATTTAACGATTCCATTAATTCTTCTTTCGCTTCTTTAATTTCTTCAAGCGTCATTTTAGAAATTCTTTTCATATTCCCTTCATTAATTTCTTCACTCAAAAGGAACTCTTTTTCTAATCTTTTGTTCGATTCATCATACTGTTTAACTAATGACTTCCAAAAAAGCTTTTTGCTTATAGGAAATCCTGTTTTTTCATAATTAACAACACAATGCACTTCTTTCGACTTTTCTAAATCATTTTCATTTTTTTCAACAATATCTTTTGCTAACCATTCTGATTCGCTCTTACTTAAATCTTTCTCATACTTTTTTTCTTTTTCAACAAACTCACATTTCTCATTTAAACAAATATCTATACGATCACCTTTTAAAAACCCAGCTTGATCTTTCATGGTATTTCTATTACATATATTTTTTTATATTTTAATCTCTTTTTTTAGAAATTAAATTTCATCCAATTTAACTGCTTTTTTCTTCTAAAAATACACTATTTGCTTCTAAATTACTATATATTTAATAAAATAGAAGACAAAATATCATTAATATATATTTTTTAATATCATCACTTATATATGTTTTTTATATATTAAATATTCTAAAAATTAATTTCTAACGCTAAAAAAAGCAAAGATTTTGATAAAACAAGATAAAGAAAAAATAATATAGCATTATTTATCACAAAAAAATAAGTATATTTTATAAAAAAGATTAGAAATAAAAAAAATGGTATGTTTTTCTTAAAAAAAACTAAAAAAACAACATTTAAAATATTTAGATTAAAAAATATTATGAAGATAAAGATAAACATCATGATGAAATAACAGAAACTTTATATGAAAGTTCAGAAGATATAATGAAATCTATTTTTCCATTTACAGATACAGATGGACATGAAAATTTAGGAGAATCATCATCAACACATCTTTTACATAAAAATAATAATAAAAAAGAAGAATCATCATTAGAATTTGAAAATAAAGAAGAAAATGAGGGGATGCAAGTAAAGGACAAAAATAAAACACGAAAGCCATATAGGAGTTCTTTTGCATTAAGATTTTTGCCTCGATATACACCTAAACTTAATCAAAATGATGGTGTTTTTGCAAATTTAAATGCTAAGCCAGATATATCAAAACAAATGAAAGAAGAGTTTCCTCCATCATATGAGCAAGCAGGTAGATTTTATTTGAATTTCTTGGAAAATAAATAACGTTTTTTATAGCAGCGGATGCAACGCCATCATATTGGGAAAATACAATGATCGCACCTGGTATATCGGCAGACGAAGTATTTATTGATGGTCTTCCTGTAGGGAATATTTTTGGCTTTTTATGGAATATGCTAAGTACTTTATAATAACCCTAATTTATGTATTTCTAATTCATTCAAGTATCTTTTTCTTTTCAATTTATTGGATTTCTTTTAACATATCTACTTCATACGACCCATGCAGCAAAAAATGGTTCAAAAGCGGGCCTCGGAACAACTCTTATTCAATATGGATTTTATATGCGATCTATCAAAGATAATATATTCGATCAAGACAATTCTGATGCTAATTCTGAAAACGATAATCAAGCATATCAAAATGACTCTTTAGATCATATTATTGTTTCTTATCTTTTAATGATTACTGGCTGGTTTCTTTTAATTCGTTCTACTACAGATTTCCTAAAAGCAAGACGTATTGAAATGTGTGTCAAAGAAACTTCTTCATCTTCAGATACACCCCAAGCATCACAAACAGAAACACCTGAAGTAGTTGTATAAATCTTTTTTCAATCCTTTGGCATCCTTTCAATTCTTTCAATTTCTACATGTTTCATTATAATCGGAATTTACAAAATCCTAATTATAATTAATCATGCACTATATTTTATCTATTTATTTGTATTATATATTTTTTCATCAAATACTTAACCACATTATATATATATAAAACCCTCCCTATCTTTTAAACATCTTGCAAAAATTTTAACTATGGCATGGCATTGTTCAGGGCAAGAATAGCAAATAGTTTATACAAAATGATTAATATTGGCAGCAAAACACATATAGAACTTATTGAAAACTTAAAAAAAGCAAATATTATCAAGGTAGGGTTATATTTATAAAAGAAGTCGCAAAATTAATTAAGCTATTTAGAGTGAAAGAGTTTATAATACAATGCTTTCTACAGGTACAACATAGAAGATAAAAAATATTATTGTTTTATATTGTTTTGAATATGATTTGGTGCGATCATGATGCATTTTAGATAGAGCGTTATTTTGTCCATCAATGGCATATGAAGATGCTCCACAGGTATTTAATAGTATATTTTTATAAAGATACCTTAATATTAACTTTGCTTTCAAAGTATATAGGTTATGGTGCAACGAGTAAATATTTTTTTATGTTCAAACTTAAATTAAATAATTTAGTCAGTGCACCTCACATGCATGCAATATCTGCATGTTTGTTAGAGGATTCGCTTCGTCCGGGTTCAAAGGCCTTGGATATTGGCTGTGGAAGTGGTTATTTTGTTGCTCTTCTAGCAAAAATGGTAGTTAACATTTGCTATTCATACAAAAACTAATAATAATGAAAAAAGATACAACCAGGAGGCATAGTAGTTGGTGTTGAACATATTAAAGAGCTCGCAGAACAAGCTAAAGAGAATCTAAAAAAAATGCCAGATACTTACGAAATGCTTAAAGATGGAAGAATCAAAATTATATGTGCCGATGGACGATTAGGATATCCTAAAGAAGGTAAAAATTTTAATGACAATATATCTATTATTTTTATGAAAAGCAGGGCCTTATGACGTTTGTCATGTTGGTGCATGTGCAAAAGAGATATATCAAACATTAAAAGACCAACTTAAAGAAAATGGAAGGTATATTTTTTTTAAAATTAAATTATTAATCTAATAATCAAGAATGGTTATTCCCGTAGGAGACGAATACGAACAATATATTATGTATGTTTATAAAGACATAAACTCACGTATCACTGTCAAACGTTTATCTCAAGTCAAAGTATGTTTTATATATATCTTTTTATATATTTTTACATCATAGAAGTATGTTCCACTTACTGATCTGCCTAAAAATTATTCATCTTTCTAATTGTTATATTTTTATGAAATTATTTTTTTAATAAAAACATTATTTCAATTTAACAATAACTATGATTTATATTTATTCCTAAAAACTAGTGCTGTTTACTACAAATATATTGACCCTTAATCAAGATTTTATTAAGTAACCTGGGTTATACGATTCCACTATAGTCGATTCAGCATATCAACCTGTTCATATTAAAGAATCATGTTTAATAGCCGTGAAGTGAGTAAAGAAGGCACAAAAAGTCAAGAAACTAATAAATAAAAAACAATAGGAACGTATTAAATCGAATAATAAGGAATTTGAAGCATTTATTTCTTTGATCCCACAAAAATATTATTATAATGAAACACTAAAGGTAAAACTGAGTAAAAAAAAAGAATAAAAAGGTTAAAGTCAGAAAGAATTCATTAAAAGGGCGTAAAAAAACAAAAGAAGAATCAAGATATCTTAAAAAATTAAAGCTTGATCCAGATTCATATAAAAATATAGATAATATGAATAAAGAATTAAATAATGAAAAAAAACAGCCATTGAACATGATTAATTGCATTGGAAATGAAAAGGGTGAATTCTCAAATATATTGGAAGAAAAAAAATCAAAAAAAAAAGAAAAAAAAGTAAATGAAAACAAAGTACTTGAAGTAAATTCAAAAGTCTCAAAAAAAGATGAAAACGAAGTAAATAAGAAGGGTTTGGAAGATAAGGTGGAGACCGTTATTATGGAAAATGGAAAAAACGAGAATAAAAAAGAAGAAACATGTAAAAAAGAAATATCTGAAAAATCAAAAGAAAAATCTCCAGATATTTTTGATCTTCGTTTGAAATTAGCATCACGCATTGAACAACTACGTGCAAATAGGAAGATATCCAAGAATGGGATTGATAGTTCTGCGAAAAATAGGGATTCTATTCTTGAAACAAGGAAAAAAAAAAAAAATCATGATCAAAAAATGATATCAACAAAAATAAAGCAAAAAAAAGCATTAGATGATGCGAACGAACATAGAAATTTTTCCGGTGAATCCTTGGAAAATAATAATATATCAAATAAATCAGAAGAAACTGACCTTATGTATGGAAAAATAACCTTTGAATCTGATATAGAAGACAAACATGAATTAAGTAGAAAAAAACATAATTCTATGGATTTGGTAGGCGCTATTCGTCATCTTGAGGCAAAAAAACAACGGCTAAGTCGATTGAGCGATGAAAAGGTAAACCTCTATTCTATTATATAATATTTTTCATATGAACATAATTCATTTGCTTTAGAAAAAAGAAATTATGGTCTCTGATGCATGGAAAGAAGCATTTTTAAGAAGCCAAGGAGAAAAGGTCAAAGACAATGAAGCGTTATTGAAAAAATCATTAAAATGGCAAAAAAGAAAAAAAAGAAAGAGCGCCAAAGCATGGTGAATCATATATAAAAGCTCTCCAAATAACTAAAAAATTCTAGGAATGAAAGACATATGCAACTTTTAAAAACAAAACAATTAAGACAAAAAAAAAGAGAAGAGAACATAGAACTTCATAGAACATTACAAAAAAAGAAGCAATCTGGAAAAATGCAGCGAAGACCTGGCTTTGAAGGGTCCTTATGTATTAAGGGAAAAAAATAATGAAAAACACAAGAAAAATATTATTAAAAACAATATAGCAATATTATCTAAACACAATAAAAAACAACAAAAATAAACCCTATATAAAAACAAAAGCTATACAGGCATATATCTAAGCGGGAGAAGGACTTTAAAGGGTAATAATTAAGTAAACAGTATCATACAATGACCTATCGTCGCAACGCCAGCGGATGATACGGTCGACGGCGACAAAAAAAAATAGTTACTCAAATACAGGCAAAAACAGGTGAAAATCAGCACCTTTTTTTGAAAACTATACGAGGGAAATATATTTATTAATAAAACTGGGACTATCTGAAAAAAAAAACGACAATATACAGCGAAATCAGTGTATTGACAAAATAATCATTATAGAGAAGGCGGAAAATAATAGATAATATTAGTGGAAATAGAGAGTAGGATCGTTGGGTTATGAAATGGGTAAGGCCTTATATAAGTTATTGGAAGAGCCGGGCTGATGGAAGTCCGGAAAAGGCGAAGAAAATCTATCATCAATTTCAAATCCTCGTTGGAACGAACAGATGCAAGATTACCGGCGGAGGAATCGAGGGTCCCCTTATTATCATAATCGCTCTCGCTCTTGGACACCTAGACGCTCTTATTCCCCACGAAACCATTCTCCTTCATACCATAGACCTTCACGACGACGACGTTCACGCAGTCCGCTAGTAACACAGGGTCATCGACGACATTACGATGGTAGACAAGCTGCTCGAAATGCTATGGTTAATCATATTCGCGAGGCTTCTCAGCAAGATCGCCGTGTTTACATTGGAAACTTATCATACGATGTTAAATGGCATCATCTTAAAGATTTTATGAAGCAAGGTACATTACTTTTCCTATCATGATCCGTTTTATTCGTTTTGAATATCTATTTGTTGCATTTTTTTTTAAAACTTATTTAATATTTACCGTTACTTACACTTTTCTAGCCGGGGAAGTTATTTTTGCAGACGTTTTAATGCTCCCTAATGGTATGTCTAAGGTATGCACATTTTTATTAGTCATTTTTTTGTAATTTCTTCATTTTATAGGGTTGCGGGTAAAACATCTTATCATTTTTGCTTTTCTTTTTTTTTTTTTTCAAGTAACACCATATCAGAGTAGCCGAATATGCAACACGTGATCAAGCGCAAAATGCAATTAATACCCTTAGCAATCAAACATTGATGGGAAGAATGGTTTATGTCCGCGAAGTATTTTTTCTATCTTTTTAAATAATCTATAATTCATTTTTTTCATATAGGATCGTGAGCAAGAACCTCAATTTGGGGGGCCGTCACAAAGCGGGTTTCGTTCATTTAATAATTTTCATGGGGATAGTCGAAACACTACATACAATTCATTAAATAACCGACAACTTTTTATTCAAAATGTATTTTTGTTTATCCTAATATTCATATAAATACTTAAATTGCATCAGCTTCCCTTTAATGTCGGTTGGCAAGATGTCAAAGATCTTTTCCGCTCAGCAGGCATGTTTTTAATGTATTTTTTTATTACTTATATAAATATAGGGAATGTGGTTCGTGCAGATATTCACTTAACGCCAGATGGTCGTCCTAAAGGCACCGGGATTGTTTTGTTTGAAACAGCAGAAGAAGCACGCAATGCACAAGCAACCTTCAATCGATATGACTGGCAAGGTCGTATTATTGAGGTTCGAGAAGATAGGTTTGCAGGTCCTCCAAACTTTGCTAATAGAGGATTCCGAGGAGGTTACGGAGGAGGATTTCGTACAGGCCATGGAAATTTTAACAAAAATGGTTATGGAAATTCAATTCCTCCTAATGAGTTTACTGACGGAGCAACGGCAAATGGAGACCCTAGTGAAACCATCTTTGTTAAAAATGTATATTCAATCAGCTCAGATCTTTATTTTTATTTTAACATTTACTAGTTGCCTTGGTCAACTAGCAATGATGATTTAGTCGAACTTTTTATAACAATTGGAAAGGTTGACCGAGCAGAAATCCAATATGAGCCTTCTGGTCGATCCAAAGGTACCGGTATTGTTCGTTTCGATACAGTTGCTACGGCACAAACAGCCATCTGTATGTATTTTTTCTTTAATAATTTCTATTTACTCTTTTCAGCAAAATTTCAAGGATATGAATATGGTGGAAGGTAAACGTCTATTATCATATATAATTTTCTAACGAAAAATAGACCTCTTGGCTTATCTTATGTCAAATATCTTTCCGGCTCAAATTATGAAAAATCTGCCAGTGGTAATGATACAATTCCTACGAATACAACCACATAATACTTTAAAAAATCATTCCCATTTTTTTCAATATTAGAAATCTTTATCACTTTTTCCTGTATAAAATATTATATCTTTTTTTTTTGTATTAAAAACCCTTAACCCTCTTCTATTCTCTTGTTACTTATAAAGACGATAAGAAATGCTATTAAAACAATATAAGCCGAGAAGATAAGACAATAATGAATGCCTATAAAGGAACCTCTGAAAAACCTAGTAAAAACAATCAGATCAAGCGTACTTTAAGAGAATTTTACAAACTTGATACACCTATTGAATTTGAAACACGACTACCAGAATTAGATACAGATAACTTTAATCTTGAAGAATATATCAAAGAAACCGAGCGTAATGATCCAGATAAACTATTAAAACTGGAAAATACATTGATCAAAGGTTTTTAAACAAAAAAAAGCCCAACCACTAATTTAGTAGAAATACGTAATTTAGAAAGCGAAAAAAAGGTGCTTATTTATGATAATTATAGGAAACTTCTTTCTATTGCCGATATTATTCAAAAAGTAGAAAAGTTTGACTTTTTTCCCCGAAAAATAACCAAATTTAGATGAAAAATGGGGCAGAATCTGCAAAACCTATTATTGATATGTTAGGACCAACCTTGGAGCATATTGGTGCACTCTCGGAATCTCTAAATCATTCACCAACAGAAGAAGATACAAAAAATTAATAATGCCAAGATTTATTCTAATATTTCATAAAACATCAAAATATCATTATTAAGCGTTTGCATATTCAATTTGTAATCAACAAAAAGATCACTCTTATACTACCTCCAATGGATCCTTATCAGCCTCACTCACTACTACCTCTGGTAACGACAGTTGATCATCTTGCATAGCAGAAAATTCGTCATGAAGAACATCTTGAAGTTTTTTTTTCATTACACAAGACAAAAACCCTCTTTCTGTATTGGAATGCCCACCTTAACAATATCAACATATGTAATAAAAAGAAAGGTATAATATTCATCTTACATAAAATAACAGAAGATCCTTTTTCAGTTGCATGTAATATATCATGATGACTCAGTTCCCCCGTAAATAATACATCCGCATGTACATTTCTCAGAATAGATCCACCTATTACTTATTAGTGATGTTTGTCTCTTTTAATTGTATTGATGTTTTGCCTGAACCAGCACAAATTCCAATTTTATATATACATTTTCCTTTCTCTTTTCTATGTTTTTCCGACAAAGCCAGTCGTATTTGAGTTAATTTCAAATGTTTCTTGATCCTTTTTACTAAGGTACTGATTGAAATAGGCTCATTCCAACGAATCATCCTCCCCATACCAGTCATATTACCAAAATTTTCATCACCTAAACAATTTAATAGATAAAAAAAAACAAAACATAAAATAAAACAACCTTCTATACATTTTGAAGGGAGAATGACTGTTCTTTCAATACATTTATTATCCCAAACACCGTCTGCTAACCAATCATTAATTCCACCCATTGCTGCATCCATTGCTGTATGAGGAGAATAAACACTAATTCCTGAAGCCTACAAAAATATCATCTACATTACTTATACTTAAAAAATGTTTTTTTACTGCTAAACGAAGTAATGTTCTTTGTTGAGGATCACTCAATGTCAATGATTTGATGGGATTAAAAATAATAGGATCTTCACTCCACTCAATATATTATCAATTCATAGATACAAATAACTCACGATAAGCAATAATAGCCCCTACTGGTGGATACATTGTAAGTGCTTCCTCTGCAACAGCAGTAGTTAGATCTATAGCTAAAAGAACTCGTTTTCGATCTGGATTTTTTACAGGCGATTCTAATAAAAGTCCTGTATTATCCCATGAAAGATCTGATAAAGATCTTGGATATAATCGCTCAATACTTCTAATCAAAGTTGCTAACCAGCTTGAAGATTTCATCGTCGTCGATATTCGGTACCTGAGCACCATCAAAAAATCCATCAATATCCAAATAGCCCTTATGACAGCACGAATTACAGCAAAAAAGATTGAACAAGCATTGAAAGAACGCTTAGATGCAGTTGAAGCGGTAATATATTTTTTCAGCCATTTTTCTTTGCTAATATTAAACAGATTATTCAAGATGTTTCAAGTAAGTATTTATATGATCTATTTTTTTTTAATACATCCAGATGGCTGTGGAACCTCTTTTAGATGTAAAAGTAGATATTTATCAGTTTTTTAGGATCTTTTTTAGACTTAATATAGTTGTTTCAGAACGATTTGCCAATTTGAATATACTTGCTCGTCATCGCCTCGTAAATAATGCTTTAAAAAATGAAATAGATAGTCTTCATGCCTTTTCTCAAGTTTTTAATGAAGTTTTTTTTGATAAAAAATTCTAAGATGTATTAGGAAGACTATACACCAGAGGAATGGAATAAACTAAAAGAAAACAATGTACCAAAATGATAATCATAGAAAATCCATTTATATATAATAGCATATCTAAAAAGTGTTTATTATAAAAAATTTAGCATATCCATGTTTAACAAATCCGTTTGCTTTTCTTGGTTTGAACCAAAAGCATTTAGAAGATCATCTACATTTGAAGGTTTCATGGAGTTAGGAATATAGGGACCAGACATAATATCATAAGACTCATCAGCCGGGTTGATTGTATTTTCAGCATCAAAATCAATATCTAAAAGGTTTTCTGTATTTCTTTTAAAATTGGCACGAGTTCTGTTGTTTATTTGCATGTATTCCCTATAAACATTATTATTTAAATTCCATTAAAATCATAAAGCATACTCTATTGCTTTTTGTTTCATCAAATCTTTTCCGTCCTTATCTAATTTTACATGTGTAGGGATTAATTTATAAAAAACAGATGCAAGTGTTGAAAATTCGCAAATCAACTCTCTCAATAGCTTAGGAGGGATATTTTTGCAAAAAACAGGTACTTTGCTTGGCAATACTATCTCCTATAAAATATTAGAAGCCTTTTTATCGAAAACACATACTTTTGCTATTTCAATATCCTTTGAAAGCAAACGCCAATAAATATAAGCACGGTCACGCATATCAGGAATATCGCATCCTGATTCTATTATTTCGAAAACCTTTTGTATAATTTCTTGGTTATTTTTGGGATTTTTCAGAAACAATTTTATAGTGGCAGTCAAAAGTTGCAATTGCGTCTTAATATCATAAGAAAAAAGAAAAAAAAACCTTAAAAAAACCTGTATATCTTCATCCTTAAAGAAATTAATATATGACAACAAAATATCTCGTGAGTCGCTGATTTTTTCACTATATTCACCAATAATCCAAATAAAAGAGCTTTTTGCATTAGGTTCATCAAACAAAGACATATTTTCACAAATAGCAGGTATAATTCCATTATATTTATTTGGATATTTCCGAAAAATGTCCTTATATAGTTAGCCTTCAATAAATATAAATAATTAAATTTAACCTTAATAACTACAACAACTTCCTGAACCACATAATTTATCTTTGTATTAACAAGATCTAAAAGCAAATTAATACACTGATCTGCTCCTTCCTCAATCTTTATGGCGCATTGTCCAATAATCTTAATAGTATGTCTAACAAAATCGATATCTGCTTCTGAAGCATATCTTCAAAAATATTAGCATTATAATCAACTATCAATAAAACATCATATTACTCTTTCAATTCTGAAAGTATCTGATCAATATTTCGCTTATTTGCGAGTTTTATCATAACATTCAATTTCTCTAGTTTCACATACTCTAGATCATTATATTTACAAAAGAAAACCTTAATGTCTTTATCAAGAATATTAGGATATTCTTGAAGAATAAGATTTATATTTCTCAAAGCTACATATTGAACTTCAGGAACAGAAGATACAAGCGTAACTATAGAAAGATTATATGTGAAAAAATAAAATTATAAAACAAAAATACCTAAAGATGGAGATAATTTTCTCATAATCTGTTTTGCCATATCTTTGCTGATAATAGGAAAATTGCGCATAACAACCCGTATAGCAGCCATTACGACACTTACATTTGCATGTTGAAATTGTGGAATAACATGTTCACAAATACTTTCTGCTTCTTTCATATTTTCTGCAGTATAATTCGCCAAAATTCCAAGCAGAACCACACGTTCCCATCTAGAAAATGACCTGTAAGCCTCAAATATTAAATCCATTTTCATACTCTGAAGATTCATTCAATATTGTCAAAATCCTTGGTAATGTAGAAGATGTAATAATTGATATCTGAATTTCAGGTAATAGTTCAACAATCTCAGACAATGCAGCAATTGCATTTGAGACAATCTAAAAAAATTATATCCATTTCTATTCATACATTTATCCATACCATTGGACTAGTATCATTAATCAATTCTTGCAAAATCTCTAAAAACCCATTTTCAATTGCCATTTCTGGATTAATATCAAACAACTTTGCTACACAAATTGCCGCCGTTTTTCTAACATACGGGCTACTATCCTACATATTTTACATCAGTTATACAATATAACATCTTCAAATGCTCTACTCGGAGTGTTTTTCGCAAAGGCTCAAACAAATAATCCACAATCTTATCAACACGAATACACCCCATAGTTCTAATTGCCAATGCTCTCACTAAAGGATTAGGATCTTCTGAATCCTATACAAACTATTATAAAACGTATTTTCATCATTAATTCTACCTGTACAAACGTATTAACTGCAAGAATACAAAGATCTGGATGTGATTTTGCATAATTCCTATAAAATAACCATAAAAATCTCCTTTAAAACCATTTAATCACAAACATCAAATAAAGATAAACCAATTTCTTTTGAGCTAAATCTGAGGTTGCAATGTTTTTCAAAACATCCGGAAAAAGCATAGACATATCTTTTCCAAGAGTCATAGCTGCAATAGTTCGCTGAATAGCCTCTTTTCTTAATCTTTATTAGCCTATTTCTTCAAACCATTGATTATATACCTTTCATGAGCATATTGAGATACCAAACCTGTCTTCAACTCATATGTTTCGCCTGAAAAACTTAGTACTCAAGCAAAACATCCTCTTTAGTCCTGTTTTACCTTTCCAAAGCCCTTGAATATTTCGAATACTTCGTTCTATCATACTTTAATACGCAATAACGTCGTCTCACAACAGAAAACTCTCAATATAAGAAAATGGTAAGAATAAACCCCTAATAATACGCTTCTAAATAAAAACAACTAATATATTGCAAATGTAGGCACTTCCAAACTTAAGGATGATTTTTTCGTCTTTTAGAACAGAAGAAGAAGAACGATTATACTCAAGAAAAGCGGCAAGAACTCAATACAATCAATATTTGAAACTAAACTAATGATAACAGTTCATAAATTTTATAGGTAAAGTCCTTTTTTTTGTTTTTTAAAGCGTAACAATAAAGGATTTATTATTTCATGTGTGGTATTTAATCTAATTGCTAAAAGTCGCTTATCTCAAATTCAAACATGAAAAAAAAGATATTCTAACATACTACCCTAACTAAAGAATTCATAGGAATCACGTTTTTCAAATAATTTTTTTTATTTTTAAGAAAAAATATAAAAACATTGTTAAATCAAAAAAAGAATAATTATATACAATCTCTATATATTTTACTGTGAAAACATACAAAACTTATATCTCTATCTTCTTTAATTCATTTTAAGCAAAATTAACAGGTTAAAACATTTTATTACAAAAAACTTTTCTTAAAATTATCTATCTTTTAATTACATATTTTCCAAAAATTTTCAAAAAAAAGCAGAAAAAAACAACTTTATTCAATACACAAAACTATAAAAAACAACAATTAGTATAACTTAAATTCTTTTTTATATTTTTTTTTCAATTTTTAAATAAGACAATCAGACTCAACAAAACATGCATCAAACATTCAAATATCATCTCTAATAAAGTAATTTTATTCAAAAACATCGAGAAACACATAATAACAACAATTTTATGTATTTTTTTTTGTCACCCTTCTCTAAACCCTTCACCGAAAGTTTTTATAAGACTCCTACTTTTTTTATTGAGAGGATAAATTAAAAAAAAGTATAAAACAGCCAATATAGAAGATAAAACAAATTGTATATAAAGTTTTAAAGATGTTAAAAGAATGTGAAAAATCGGAAATTAATCATGAGGATACACGACTTTTGATCATATCGAATCGACTTCCAATTACAATTAAACGAAAAGGAAAAGGTGAATATGAATTTAGTATGTCATCAGGAGGTCTTGTAAGTGCTTTAAGTGGGTTAAAGAAGTCTATTTATTTTTCATGGATTGGATGGCCAGGTTGAGAAAAAAAGGATAATTAACCTATTGTTAATTATACGATAGGTGTAGAAATTCCGGAATCAGAGCAAAAATATGTAATATCTAAGCTTCAGAAAGAATATAATGCAGTTCCAGTGTTTATGGATAATGAATTGGCGGATCGGCATTATAATGGATTTAGTAATAGTATTTTATGGCCACTTTTTCATTATCATCCAGATGAAATCCGATTTGATGAGCCTACATGGGAGGCTTATAGAGAAGCAAATGGAAAATTTGCAAAGCTTATATGTTCTATTGTTCAAGAAGGAGATTTAATATGGGTACAGGATTATCATCTTATGCTACTTCCGGCTATGTTACGAGAAGAAATTGATGAAAAATATAATATAAAAATAGGATTTTTTCTTCATACACCTTTTCCTAGTAGCGAAATTTACAGGTTTAAATTTCATTTATATCATTTTTTTAAATATTATTAGAATTCTACCTGTACGCAATGAAATCTTACATGGTGTCCTTCACTGTGATTTAATTGGATTTCATACCTATGATTATGCTAGACATTTTCTCTCATCATGTTCACGTATTTTAAATCTTCATACCCTGCCAAATGGGGTGGAATTTAATGGAAAATTAGTCAATGTCGGTGCATTTCCTATTGGTATTGATCCAGATAAATTTACAGAAGTCATACATTACCGTTTTATCTTTATCATTTTCTAATTATTTATTAGGGTCTTAAACAACCTAAGGTAATAGAAAGAATACAGGCTTTAGAAAAAAAATTTGAAAATATCAAAATTATAGTCGGTGTCGATAGACTAGATTATATTAAGGGTGTACCTCAAAAGCTTCATGCTTTAGAATTTTTTCTCACCGAACATCCTGAATGGATTGGTAAGGTTGTTCTTGTTCAAGTTGCCGTGCCATCACGTCAAGATGTTGAAGAATACCAAAATCTTAGAGCAGTAGTAAATGAACTAGTTGGCCGGATAAATGGGAAATTTGGAACTATAGAATTTATGCCCATTCATTTTATGCATAAAAGTATCAGCTTCGATGAACTAATTGCTTTATACGCCGTTTCTGACATATGTCTCGTTAGTTCAACCAGAGATGGAATGAATTTGGTACATATATTCAATATTAATTATGAACTTATTTATTTTAGGTATCTTATGAGTATATTTGTACTCAACAAAAAAGACATGGAGTAATGATACTAAGCGAATTTGCTGGTGCTGCTCAATCACTTAATGGAAGCCTAATTGTTAACCCATGGAACGTAAGCCCTTATTTACCCTAAATTATATTTATAAATATATAATTTTTCATATTTTGTAGGTCACCGAACTTGCAGGTGCTATTTATGATGCAATTACAATGCCTGAAGATTTACGAAAATCCAACCATGAAAAACTCTATCGTTATGTCAATAAATACACAAGTTCGTTTTGGGGTCAGTCATTTGTCAATGAATTAAAACGTATTTCTTTGTATGTATTTTTCAATGTATATACAACCTCTTACATATTTTATATAGACTTCCAAAAAACACAATGGATTCTGTTCTTAATCCCCTGGTATAATATGTCGTATCTATTATAATTATATCTTATTCATTTTATCGTCATTTTTTCAATTTTTTTTTACATATATTGACAAATCAAGCAATTTATATGACAATATTATCTTAGACAGACATTGTCTTTGCACATTTATTATATTTATGTTCTTGTTACGATTATAGCTATGCTTTAGGGCTCTGCTTACGGTTTAGGCAATTTTTAAATGCTCTCGATAAGGTACAAAATTCTAAAAAGAAAATTATGACGGAGAAAGTAAAAGGTGCAAGGGACTGCATAAACCTAATTAACCCAATATAATATTGGATTTATTAAATATTAAAACAAAGAAAAGTAACAAAAATTAAATAATGATATGAACCATAGAGAAAACATAAAAAACGAAATCTTAAATTTGAAAGAATTATACAAACAAATCTATATTGATAGAATTACGGCAATCGAATCAGAGAAACGAGGAAATATTTATCAGGCAATATTATCATATCAATCAATCTTGAAAGTAGTAGAGAAAAATTCACATATTTTTAAAAAACCACCTATTTGGTCTTATAAGAAATCAGAAAAACAAATTATAGAAGTGGTGAAAATGTATGTTTCACAGGCAGAATTAAAAATTTCAATATTAAGCGTTTTTACAAAAATGGATCCAAATTTATTTTTATCAGTCAATAATAACAATCATATAAATAAAAATGTTTCATCCGATTTTTACCCATCTAAAAGCATGAATCATGTTTCTAAGGAAATAAATGAATGTTATTCTTTTTCAGAAAGAAATCAACGACTTTCAAACTTTCAAAAAGAAGACGATATCTTTAGACAATCTTTACGAATATCAAATCCAAACAGGAACTTGTTCCTTGAAAACATATTTAAAAGCAAAAATCCTAAAAAAGAGTTATCTAAAGATGATTTTTCACATGTTAGAAAAGCATCTCAACTTAAACAGTTTCCTCAAACACTTCGTCAAACAAAATCACGTTCATCATTAATTCACAATGATGCAGGAAAAGCCGCATTCTGTGCATGGAACAGTGGAACTAATTCAGCTATACGTCCACAAAAAAAATATGAAACAAATACAAATTTCTCTCAACGTTTTATTGATTCAACCATTCAGCTCTGTTCATCTTTGTTTTCAACATCATGTAGATCATCATTACGCGAATCATATGCGTCTGAAACATTTCCAGTTCAAAATGATCTAAAATTAAATGATTTATTCAATTCACAATATATTGATAATGATAATATAACAGATGAATTATCGAATTCAATATTTAAACAATCGCTATCTTCTAAAACACTAGCCTCTATTCCTCCAAGACCATCATGTTTTAAAGATTCAAACCTGGATGCAAAAGGCCAATCTGATATACAGAGAAATATTTCATCAATTGCAATACAAAAATCTTTGCAAGAAAATGCATCTTTAGTCTCTTTATCACAAAATAAACACAAAGAGCGACATATCAATTTCGACACAGTAAAAAATCAAAAATGCCAAAATGAAATAACTTTTATTTCTAATTCCTTAAAAAATACTTCATTAGAACTAGAAAATACAAAGAAACTGGATATCGATAAGAAAGAAACAAGAGAACAGAGAGCGATTAACAATCTTAAAGGAATTATTGATGAAAATTTATTGCAAATAATCGTTAATGATATTGTAATTAAAGGAGACAAAGTTTCATGGGATGATATAGCTGGTTTAGAAGATGCAAAAAAAACTCTTAAAGAAACTGTTATATATCCTTTATTAAGGCCGGATTTGTTTAGTGGATTAAGAGAGCCAGCTACTGGTGTTCTTTTATTTGGTCCACCTGGTACTGGAAAAGTATATTATCTTTTTATTTTTCTAAAACTAGATTAATAACATCATTAGACAATGCTTGCAAAAGCAGCTGCTACAGAGGCAAAGTCTACATTTTTTTCGATATCAGCATCATCTTTAACATCTAAATTTGTAAGTATTATCATAATACCTATCAATTATTCTAATCAATTATTGAGCTTGGCGAATCTGAAAAGCTTGTGCGTGCATTATTCTCTTTAGCAAAGGAACTATCACCTAGTATTATTTTTGTTGATGAAATCGACGCTCTTTTATCATCTAGAAGAGAAGATGGCAATGAACACGAAGCATCTAGACGTTTAAAAACAGAATTTCTAATTCAATGGTCTTCTCTAGCAAAAGCAGTTATAAGTAATGATGAATCAGAGCCTATTTCAAGGGTTTTAGTACTAGCAGCAACAAATATTCCATGGGCGATTGATGAAGCAGCAAGACGCCGATTTGTAATATTGCAATAAATTATATAATTTTTTTAATAATTTTAGGCTAGACGGCAATATATACCATTACCAGAACGTGATACAAGAATGCAGCAAATTTTACATTTACTTAAATATCAAACACATACCTTATCTGACGAAGATATAAAGAACTTAGTTGATATTACTGAGGGTAGCTTCGATAACAACATTTGAATTTTTTTAATTGTTTTAGGGTATTCAGGATCAGATATTACAGCCTTAACAAAAGATGCTGCAATGGGTCCACTTCGGTGCTTAGGCGAAGCTCTATTGACAGCTAAACAAGATTTAATTCGACCTATTAACTTGGACGATTTTAAGGCAAGTCTTCGATTAATTAGGCCCAGTGTAAGCCAAAAAGGATTAATAGAATTCGAGAGATTTAATAGGGAATTTGGTATACAAAGTTAAATATCATATAATAATTAAAATAAAATTACATAAGAATTATTACCAAAATATCGAAATATCTATTTTTTACACAAATAGCCATTATTATAAATAAAATTATAAGCATTCAAGTTAAGTGCATTTTTTACTATTTTATTAAATATGGTCAAAAATGCTACAATTAAACATCATAACAAGCACGAGCTTATTTTGCATGCTATTTTGAAATTATGAAATAAATCTTCCTTATTTCCAATAAATAATTCATGTATAATCAGATCTATAAGATAAAGAGTCTACCTAATTATGAGTTTTTCTGAAACTTTAGCCATATCTCTTTTCCGGCTTCATAAGATACCCAACAAATAGCCGTGCTTTCACTATTAGCACCCTTTTTATCAATCTACTTGTAAATACCTCGGCGTAGCCGTCACAACTCTAGGTTTTAAACCTCTCATAAATCCTTTCATTCCATGTTTTTTATATATGATTCTAATAGCATCCTTTAAACCCTTACAGTGACGAATCTCTTGATCAAAAGATGTTCCACGAGTTTGTAACAATGTTTTTACAACATCAAGAGGTGTTGTTATTGCCGCTGCTAGTGCTCCTGAAACACCACCTGATAAAATATGACTAGCAGGATTATAAGTGCGCAAAGGATTCAAAATATTTAACGAGGACTCATAAATCACAAATTGAATCGCAGTAAAAGGAACCGTCATGGTCAATGTTGTAGGATATGAAATATAAAATGCCCAAAGACCTTCTTTTTTAAAAATTAACCGAGCGCATGTCACTAAAGATGTATATCCAGAATTTTGAATTTGCATTCGTTGTTTAATGACTAATAGTAATGGATCAATACATTTTCATATCTAAATTATACCATACCATCAAATGGATTCATTAAAGCATCTGAAGCAATCGTTGCACATGCACCTGCTATTGCTAAACTTATAAATACCACTTAATCCCTTTAAAAACTATTCCCTTACCAGTAACTAATACTTTATCTTGAAACCGATTTTTTTCAAATCGAGTTTTCACAAATTCATATGTTCCAAAATATAAAGCATGTGCTGGAGCTGCTCCTGCAACCACCGACGACATACCCCTCCACAAAGATTGTAAACCCTCTGAACATATAATCCAACGCAATACTTGAATCATATTCCTATGAACCATACAAGATCCAAGAATTTGCATTCTTGCTAATTTAACCTATTAGATCTAGTACTTTAAAAAGAAAAACACACTTTTTATTGCATCAATAGGATACATCAATGTATGCTCCTATAAAAAAACAAGAAATAAGCCCTTTGAACCATCTTTTTAAAAATTTTATACATACCATTACACCTGCAAAAGCTCCTGCCAACATGTTTGCAAAAAAAGATGAATTTTTTGAAAGAGTTTCATATTCATAAGCATCAAAAGAAGGCTCTGACTGAATTTCCATGATATATTTGCTGCTTTCATATATTTACAAGCCTTTTTTGTAAAAAAAAATATCTAAAATATTTAGTTTAAAAGATAATTTAAAACAAAAAAAACAAAAAAATAAAGACAACTTACTTCAATAAGGTACTATAAAACCATTAAATCCTTAAAATCTTTTTAAAATATATTTTTTATAAAAAACTGAAAACAACCAAGTATAGATAGCTAACCGAGCAAAATATCAAAGTAAGGTTACAAGAAAAAATACAAGAACATGAAAGAAAGATAAATCATATAGAATGAAGAACTTTTTCCGCAGTACTTTCTACCAAGCCGACAAAATTAGGTTCAATAAAGGCCTTTTTAACAAGTCCATCCTGCAAAAAAGGTTAAAAAAGATAAAAAAAAAAACATTACTTCTAGAAAAAGAACATAACGTTTACTCCTATAATTGCCAAATATTTTTGTAGCATCAAAAGATAAATTGGCAGCTTTTGTCCATTGTGCACTTGGATCAGCAAAAAAACGAACCTAAATCAAATAATAAGATAAAATAAACAAAGAAAACGAAGCAATTACTAAAGGAGATTTTATAGAAAACGAACTATAGCAAGTTTTAGCACTGAATACTTTTTAATTAAGAAAAAAGAAAGAAAAAACACCTTTTCCAAGCATTCATAACAAAAACATCATTTACTGAAATACAAGCCATCAAACCAACGCCTTTTTCTTCAAATTTATTTATTTTAGAGAAAAAACCGGGTAAATGAGTCATAGAACATGTAGGACTTGTAAAATTTAAAAAAATATTAATATTATTTCTTTATACCTAAAAGCCCCAGGAACCCCAATAATGATAGCTTTTTTCGGAAGAATATCACTCAGGTCAACAAGATCTGATAAATCTTTTTCCTAAACACAAAATAAGGACCTTTTCATTCATTATTTATTGAAAAAATCTACCATTAACTTTTCCTTTGGTATTCTATCTCCTGGGCCAATTTCAACCATATTTTCACAGCGAAAACCATATATACGATTTATATGTATCCTTCTAATAAAAGAAAGACTGCTTCTCATCTTTTACTAGCCTTTTATTAAAGAATTCAAACTTTTCTAAACTCTGTCGTTCCAACCCATCAACAGCCTTCGACAAGCACTCCTAATTTTTACCTAAACATGAATAAAAAACTAACCATCCCTCTTATCTGATTCTATAAACAATACCAGTCAACTTTTACATGAAATTCATGTATTTTTTCTCAACCTCTATTCTATATAAGCAGCTAAGCGGCGGTCAGCAAATTATCTTCAAAACGATGGTTAAACCTTCAAAAAGCCTAAATACGAAGCTAGAGGTGCCTAAACATGCTCTTCGAGGAAAGTTTTTTAGGGGAATTGTATATTTATTTAATACTTTATAGCAATTGTTCTTACAGATTCATTTGATGGTCGGTTTAAACCATTAACATTAGAAAAACCACGAGTAAGGTTTTTTTTAGATAGAAAGGAAGATTAAGAGTTAATTAGTGTCTTTTATTGCTTGCAAATATGCCACTAATTGAATATACGTTTGAATTTTTGGCGTTAGGAGGAGTTCAAGAAGTTTATGTTTTTTGTCATACACATGCACATGAAATTAAGGAATATATTGAGTAAGAAGATTTGAAAAGGCCATAATATTAGTCTGAAACAAAGCTTTTTTGTATTAGAAAGTCAAAGTGGAATCATATTGCATCACCGTTTTCAGTGCAGACAATTATATCATCGGAAAATTTGTCAGCAGGAGATGCATTAAGAGAATTGGATACAAGAAAATCAATTGAATCAGATTTTGTATTAGTAAATGGAGATGTTGTTAGTAATATTTGTTTAAAAGAAGTAATTGCAGAGCACAATAAACGAAGACAGGCAGATAAAAATGCAATTATGAGTATACTTGTTCGAAAAGTAAGTCCACTTCATCGGATAAGGTTACTTTATGTTTTAAAAAAATATGTATGAATGGCTAAAAAAAGGTAGAATTGGGTCAGAAGCATCGATATTTGTAATTAATTCAGATACATCAGAATGTCTACATCATGAACTAATTAAGATGAAGCCAAGGACAAAAACTATTTCCATTAATGGAGAAATATTTGATAAGCATCAAAAAGTTGAAATTAGAAATGATTTGATCGATTGTCAGATAGATATTTGCTCTCCCGAGGTTTGAATCAATTTCACCAAATTCACATAAAATAATCTTTTATGAAAGGTACCAGCATTGTTTACGGAAAATTTTGATTATCAGGATATACGAAAAGATTTTGTTCATGGAATTTTAACGAGCGATTTGCTTGGAAAAACTATTTATTGTCATGTTATCGAAGATAATTATGCAGCGTGTGTACAGAACTTACAAGCATATAACGTTATAACGTAAATCTCTCATTTCCCTTCCCATATTATATTAAAATGCTATAGAAAAGATGTTCTCTCTAGATGGTCTTATCCTTTTGTACCTGATAGTAATCTTCTTTCTAACCAATCTTTTAAATATATGAGAGGTCATATTTATAAAGAAGATGATGTTATTCTTTCTAGATCAGTTAACCTCAAATCCAAGGTTGTTATTGGATCCGAAACAAAGATTTTGGAAAATACAGTTATAATGACTGCTACAATTGGAAAAAACTGTCTAATTGGAAATAATGTTACTATAGAAAATTCATTTATATGGAATAATGTCATCATTGGCGATGGATGCAGAATAAGTAATTCAATAATTGCCGATAATGTTATTTTAGGAAAAAATTGTATTATACAAGAAGGCACAATCATTTCATTTGGTGTTCAAATATCTGATGGAATTATTATTTCTGGAAATATTCGCTTAACTAACTTTCTTCCTGAAAAGAATATCAAAAATAATACATTTGAATTGACAGATACAATGGTTGTCGGCGTAAATGGAAAAGGATATATTTACCAAGACCTTGAATTATCTGATGTTGAAGATGCTGAAACAGAATCGGTAGATTGTTCATTCCTTGGTTTGCTAATTAATTCATAAAATCATAATTTTTAATATAAGCATAGTATATAACTTGAAAGAAATATCAATAAGTGATACATCTCTTTCATCTATATCATCTAAAGAATCAAATACTCCACGAAGATGCTCATCAACAACTGTAACTATAATGTCAGATGAATCAGATACTACTAATGAATATTTTTATCGAGAAGCATTAGCTGGATTAGAGCAAGCCTTCGATGAAAATCATATGGTAGACAGTGTTATTTTAGAAATGCATTCCTTAAGAATGAGTACAAATGTTTCTTATTCCGAAGTACGAAGCACAATCATTATGGCTTTTCTAAACTATATTTTAAAATTGATATCCGAAGAAGGAAAATCAATTGCAAATATCATTGAACAAAACATAAAAAAATGGATCATATTACTTAGGAAAATGACTTTTGCAAATGAAGATAAAGAAGAAATCATTCTTACTCTTCAAGAATTATGTTCAAAACGTATCGAATATATGAGATTTTTTCCACCTCTTCTTAAATTATTTTACAATGAAGATATCGTAGAGGAAGATGATATTTACTCCTGGTTTGATAATCCTAAATCACAAACTGGTTCTTCTGAAAAAAAAAGACTTTATAATATCGGCTCAAAATTTGTTATATGGCTCAAAAATGCGGAAGAAGATTCAACTGAATGAATTATTTCTCAAAATATATTTTATAATATTTTAACACTAATTTCATATACATTTCTTACATTTTCTATTCATCTATTATATACAGCAACTCTACCACTTTTAAAACAATCGATCATCATGCGCACGCGACATCAAGATGACTCGACATAAAATTCAATTAAGAATAATAGAGCTCTCGGGGCTTTAAAATAGGGAAAAAAGGAGGATTTGATAGGAAAATAGAAGCCATTATAGGGAGTAACATTTATTTCTTTTTTTCAAGGAAAAAACAGAAGTTTTACAAGGGAATAAGGTAAAATGTCAGAAGATGAATTTAGTGATGAAGAAGTATTTGATGAAATGTCAAATAATGGTATTCTTGAAGATAGCGTAGATGAATCAGGTAGATATAAGCGCGTTATATGCGTTTTTTCAGAAAAAACAATGTTTTCAGGAACTTATATGTTTAAATAGAAGTAGAGTTTGATGACAATGAAGCGTTTTCAGTATTTTCAGAAGAAAAGAATAAACAAAAGGCATATGAAGTAGAGTTTTATGTGCAATCGGTTCAGGATATTCGTAATGATCAGGGTATAAAAGAAGAAGAGGAAAATAAATGTAATAAAAATTATAGATAATCATATTAAGCATATTTCAGGGATGTTTGGAATTTCAGAGGAACAATCAACATCGCTTCTTCGTTATTTTAGATGGAATAAAGAGAAGCTTATTGAACAATATATGGATAATCCAAACATGGTTTTACAAACGATGGGGGTTACAGCCGATACATCAACAATATCAGTTTTAAAAACAATTCCGAATTTTACATGTGAGATATGTTGTGAGGATGAAAAGAGTCTTCAAACATATGCATTGCAATGTGGTCATCGTTATTGTAAACATTGTTATGAACATTATCTTACACAAAAAATTAAAGAGGAAGGAGAATCATGTAGAATTTATTGTCCGGGAGAAAAATGCAACTATATTGTAACGGAACGTGCGATAGAACTTCTTGTTTCTCCAGAAATATCTCGAAGGTATAATTTATTTTTTCATTGTAGTTAATATCGAAAACAACTAGATATACAGCTCTTCTTGATCGGACGTATGTTAATGATAATGAGCATCTTCGATATTGTCCAGCACCTAACTGTGAATATACGATTAAGTGCAGAATAGAACAACGTCAATTAACATCAATCGTTCCTACAGTCGTTTGTCTTTGTGGTCAACGATTTTGTTTTGGATGTGGGCTTTCAGATCATCAACCTTGCATATGTATATTAGTAAAAATGTGGCTGAAGAAGTGTGAAGATGACTCCGAAACGGCAAACTGGATTTCCGCTAATACAAAAGAATGCCCAAAATGCAATGCTACAATAGAGAAAAACGGAGGATGCAATCATATGATTTGCAAAAAGTGTAAATACGAATTTTGCTGGGTATGTATAGGTCCATGGAGTGAACATGGCACAAATTGGTATAATTGTAATCGGTATGATGAAAAAAGTAAAATTAATTTTCGAGATCAACAAGCACAATCTCGCGCATTACTAGAGCGATACTTGCATGTATGTTCATATGAGTATTAGTTGTGATATTAACATTTTTTTAGTATTATAATAGATTTTCAAATCACGAGCAATCAGCAAAATTAGATAGAGAACTTTATCTTAGAACAGAAAAGAAAATGACTCAATTACAAATCACATCTGATATGTCATGGATTGAAGTTCAATTTCTTCGCAGAGGTAATTATGTCCTGCATATAATTATAATTTTAATAATAATAAGCAATTGATATTCTTTGTCAGTGCAGACAAACTTTGAAATGGTACTTGATATTTTTCTTTCCATAATTTAATATTCTAAAGAAACAATAGGACATATGCATTTTCATTTTATCTTGCAAGGAACAACGCAACAGAAATATTTGAAGATAATCAAAGAGATTTAGAAATGGCTGTAGAAAGCCTTAGCGGTCTATGCGAAAAACCTATTAATATTGATCAAATATCTCAATTGAAACAAGCCATTCTGGATAAAACAGTATATGTTAGTAATCGTCGAGAAATCTTATTAGAAGATACAGCGAAAGGATTTTTGGAAGATCGGTGGTCATTCAATGTTCCATTAAAATAATTTATAATTTCGCTTATATCGAGAAAATCAAGCGCATCATATTATTCTTTTGAATTTATCTCATTTTTTTATTCTTGCATTTCAAAAAGATTCTGGCTTTCAGTCTTTCTATTTAAATGGGCTGTTTATACCAATAAGGATTTTGATAATTCATCTCTTTGAGCTTTGAAGCAACTGTGTAAATTATAATTTAAAGCATAGATATTTAAGTACCTTAAAGAATAAAAAACAATCTCATATCACATCTTTTACCTTTAATCTACCTATTTCTTATATTTTTCATGTATAATTCTTACTATTAGAATATTGCAATTTTACATATTTAAATAAGCCGCGTCGAAATTAACGTTCAATCAACATCATACGTCCCGAGGAAAATTTGCCGATATTTTTTTTTTGATAATAAGAGACTTATTATGGGCATTTCGGGGCTTCTTCCCCTATTAAAGTCAATTCAGGTTATTCCTACATTTTTTTTGATCAATTTCTGAGAAATATAGGTCAAAACACATATCAAACAATATTCAGGAAAAACTATAGGTGTAGATGCATATATATGGCTTTATAAAGGGGCATTTTCATGTGCATGGGATCTAGCACTAGGAGAATTAACAGAAAAGTAGTTTTATTCCGGAATTGTTTCGTATTATTAATGGATTTTTTCGAAGATATGTTGATTATGCGATGCATCGAGTTAGAATGCTTAAACATTATGGAATTAAGCTTTTTATTGTATTTGATGGAGGCTATTTGCCAAGTAAAGAAAAGACGGAGAATCAGAGGGGGAAAAGGCGAGCAGAAAGTAAAGCAAAAGGGTTGGAATTTCTTTCACAAAATAAAAAGAGATTAGCTATGGAACAATTCCAAAAATGTATCAATGTTACACCTGAAATGGCGTATAAATTTATAAAGGTATTATAGTGGAGTTCTCTATTTATAGATTAATAGAAATTAAGGCATTAAGATGCGAAAATGTTGATTATGTTGTTGCTCCATACGAGGCAGATGCTCAATTAGCATATTTAGAAAAGCAGGGAATCATTGATGCTATTCTTACGGAAGATTCGGATCTTTTAGTTTTCGGATGCAAATGTATTCTTCTGAAGTTAGACCAATATGGAGAATGTATTGAAATTAGAAGAGAGAAGTTCCCACAAGTTAAAGAAATAGATTTATCTGGATGGTCAGATGAAAATTTTCGATGTATGGCTATTCTTTCAGGATGTGATTATCTAGAAGGTATTCCAGGTGTAGGATTGAAAACAGCATATCGATTATTAAAAAAACATAAAACAATTGATCAAGTAAATTGATTAAAATATATAAGTTATATAGTTTTAATACCTTTCAGCTTTTAAGAGTAATCAAGTTAGAATATGCACTTAAAATTCCACATGATTATGAAATGCAATTTAATTTTGCAAATCTAACATTCATGCATCAACGTGTATATTGTTTAGATAAAAAAAGTATTGTCATGTGGAACGAGCCAAAGACTTCTCTCGGAGATAACATCGATAGAATTGCTGGTCCAGATATACCAGCAGATATTGTTCAAGGATTAATATCTGGAGAAATTAATCCAATAACAAGACTTCCAATTTTTGCATCATTAAATGAAATTCAAGCATTTAATAAGACTAAAGAAAATATACAGGTAAATATCACGTCTTATTGAAATTTATTAACCTTTAAGTCTTCAAATGAGTACTACATGTTTTCTAAACAAAGAAAAGAAAGTTCTTTCAACAATCATTCAATTGCATCTTTTTTTGGTTTAAAAATATCTTTATACCGTAATTTATTAATGACATTCTAGCTTCATCTACAAATAATTCTCGACCACAGGTCTTATCTGTTCTTAATAATAATGCAAAAAGATTGTCGACGAATGACATTTCTAGGCAGACAGAAGTGAAACATTTTAAGGAAGCCTTTCAAGACAAAAAACACTTTATATCAAAGATTAATCAGGAAAATACTCATCAAACAAATTATATTCTTAATAAAATTAACTCTTCTACTCACCAAAAAAAAGCAAATGTTCATATAATTGATGAAGAAAGTCAAATAAAAACTGCAGAAAACACAAATAACAAAGAAATTGACCGTAAAACCGTTACTATAGATTTAGATAATTCACATTCCAGTCAGTTTAATTCATTTCAAACTTCTAAGAGTTCTGAATGTCAAATATTGGATGAATGTTCTTGGTTTAATAATGTTTTTTCAGAAAAGGATAATATGCATTCAAAATCTCAAAAAATTGACATTTATGAAGATAAAGAATCTTATAATAATTTTATTTCAAATTGGCGTCAATTACATACTCATACTTCAAAAGATTCTTCTATAACTCACTTTCCTTTATTTCAAATAGCTACTCAAAACACTTTTTTAAAACACAGTTTAGAATCAACAGAAGAGTGCAAAATATCTAAGGGGACGTCATATGTTAGGAAATTACCATCTTGTTTTAAATTTTCAACAAATTCTACAGAAAAAATTGGGAAAAAAAATATTTTAACATTAAAATAATAAACATATTTCTATCCTTAAAAAATAATCACAATTCATAACTTTCAAAGATAGAACAAATCTTTATCAATTATATTTAAAATGACTATAATTAGGGTTAAATTAAATAATTTTCATTTATCTTTGCTTATTTGTTACTATAGAAACTTAACAAAGAAATTATATGATAAAATAATCTTTATTTTTAGTATGTTTTATTCGATAACCTACATATAGGGTCGTCTTTTGGAATGCTACTTTTTTAAACTAACAAATTCATTTCAAAGATTATTTTTTATATAATGATATTTTAAAATACAAAATGGCTGGCCTATTTTGTATGTTTTTTCAAAGACTATAATTTATATTGAAAATTTAATTAATTAATATGCAACAGGTTTTTTTTTGAAATCACACCTTTTCCTCAACATTTCTTTAATAATTTCTTTTATTTGTTTTTGTATGAATTTTTTAGCTTCTATTTGGAGTTATTAATCAATTATTCTTTTAGTCTTAATCATTATGGGATGTACATCAGCAAAAATGCATTCAATATACATATTTGAAATAGAACATAAAAACATGAATATTGTTAGTATTTTTAATGATACGGATATACTTGATATTATAAATCAAGAAAATAAAAATATTTTTGATATTCGTGTCGGTTATAATGGTATGTTTTTAAACAATTTGATAAAGATTTACTTTATAGGAATATGTACTATAAGACCAGATGACATTATGTGTTTCAAAAACTTTAATTCATTTACAGAGAAATTCAATGATTCATCCGAGTTTATCTCTATTTCAGATGCATTTTTAGATGAATTTCAGTATAAGAAAATAGCAATTGGAACATGTATTTTGATCGGTGCTTCCCTTTTTTTATCTTTATTTAACTCTATACCATTTATACCACACTTTCATCTTCTTACGCTCTTAAATTTTTATTTTATATTATCAGGAACTATTTTACTTATTACACTCACTTTTATTGTTCATATTACCATTTCATCTTTGTGCAGTATTTCAAGAGATCTAAATACCACTATAATCAAAATAAATCCTGGAATTAATTTGGTTATTTTAAGCTGGGTTTCTTGTGTTAGTATTTCTTACTATTCTTTCTACATTTTACTCAATTTTTATTATAGATTTTTGCACTTATTTCTACTACAGATTTTCTATTTATACTACATATGAAAAGTAAAAAAATAATTCAAAAAAAGAATTTTATATAAAGTGATATTCATATTTTACAACTAATCATGTACATTAAGATTGATTACATGTTAAATGAATATAGATTTTTTCTAATATTATATTTTGTATTCGACAAACTTCAGATCATGCCAAAAGTATTAAATTTAAAGAAGATTCAGAGGAAAAAAGGAATCAATTCAGCACATCCAAAGTCAAGGAAAGCTAAACAAATTCAACGATCTATTGATAGAGAAGATCGTATCAAGAAAGAGCGAAAAATTCGTGAAAAAAGACGAGATATACAAAGTATAAAATTTTTTATAAAATTTATATATTAACATGAATAGTTAGTCGTTCTATCTATTTTAAATCAATTGTTGAGTTAGAAAATATTACAAAATTAAATTTGGATGAGTTAAATAAGCTAATTGAGAGGTTTCTTTTCAATTTTTTTAATTAATGAAAATTCATTAATTAAAATAGATATATTCACCGAAATGATTCAAAAATAAAAGGGTCACCATGTTCTGATCTTCATCCACGCCATTCCTCTAAAAAAGAAGCATTTAAGCAAGTATTTTATAATGAACAAAACGAATATAAAAATGGATTTCGTAATCACCCTTTAAAAGGATAAAAAAAGGAATAAAGTTAATAGAAAATAGATGTTCCTGATCTAACTGACCAGAAAAACGTATTAGCATTAAAAAATTGGACGGGAAATTATAATGACCTTCATACTTTAAAATTTATTCGTGTTAAAAAAGAAGACTCATAATAAAAAATAACAAATAACAATATAAGATATAGAAACAAGCTTTAAGAAATATGTAGCACATGTTTATACAGAAAGTTTCACAGGATGGTATATATATATATATTTTTAAAAGGATCTTTAGACCGTTAAAAATTTTCAATTTTTTTTTTTAAAAATATTGTATATTTTTTATGCAACCAAAACATATTCAACATGCGCTTTTTACAGAGATCATTGAAGTTTTTGAATTTAAAGAGTCGGCATTTTCTTGAACTTCAATTTTTTAAATCCAAATGGTGTTCCTTTACAACGCCTTATATTTTGCAAAAAACAAAGTTTTCAACAAGATCTCCTATATATAAATATAGTATAGGTATGTTTCTTATCATAATAAATTTAATTATTTAATAATAAAGCTTAGTTGATAAAGAATTAAGTGAAAGACTTACTTCAGAGATACAACTTGAAATTTCATCAGTAAAAGAAGTTCCAGAAAATATAAAAACATTTATGGATAACAACCTATTTGAAGTATTTACAAATTCCTTTCTATCTTTGAAAGCTAAGATTATTAAGATTAATGACCATGAAGATAGTAATGAAGTAGAACTTGTTCGTCAGTTTAAAAATGAAAAGTATTTTTAAAAAATAAAGTCAAAAGATTTTCTTATAGTTTTTCATTAGGATTAGTGTATCTTTTTCTATCTCAGATATTAATAATCTTGAATCAGAGGATGAATATTATCAGGAAAATGAAAACGAATCAATGCAAAATAATACATTAAATACAAAGGATGATTTGCCTCAATTCAATAAAGATGATTCTACATATAGTTTTCCTGTTAAGTGCAACATTACTATTACAAAAGTAAAAAAAAAAATTTGAAAAAAAATATTTATTTTAACATTATTAGCCTAAGTTAGGCACATTAGCATTAGACGCAGTTACACAAGATGGAGTTTTTATGATAGACAATATATTATATTATAAAAATGATGATCTTGCATTGACTCAAACAGCAGAAGCAGATTGGCAAAGGCGAGGTATATATATGGGCCCTTCTTTTCAAAGTTTAAATGAAGTATGTAATATTAATTTATTTTTGTTATATTAATATCTTTAGGATATTCAAGTGATGTTTGAACGCTATTTAGAAGAACGGGGAATAAATACATCATTGGCTTTATTTATTCCCGAATATGTTAGTTACAAAGAACAAAAAGAATATCTCAATTGGCTTCAAAGTAATTCATGATTTCTGTATAATTTATTTACTGATATTGGTGTTAGATGTAAAAAGATTCATTAATGCATGATTAAATACAAGTTTTGTTCATAAATTTGGTTCTAATTTTATAAAAAAATAATTAAGGACCTAATATTTCATTAGTAATATATTGATTTATTTCATTTAAATAGAAACATTTATTACTGAATCATTTTTCTTTCTATTGGTAAAAGCGATTTATTCAATCCATTAACAAAGTCTGCTATTTCTATATTCCTAAAAAAATCATTTCCTATAGATTTAGATAATTCTATTGCCTCAATTCTCTTCCCCTTATTAATTAAATAGACAAATAAAATATTTTTTGATGATGCATAAGAAGCTTCTTTAAGATAACTTATTAATTGTTCTTCTTCGTCTTTTGTAAATGGTAATTCTAATATCCATTTTGTAGATTGTTGTACAGAAAGACAATGCTCAATGATTTTTCGGAAAAAAGTAGCTTTTAAATTAGGACAAGATTTCTAAATCGATTTAAAAATATTATTCCAAATAAAATATTAAAAAAGTTACCAAAAAAGAATAAGCAGAAAGAACATCTACTTTTATCAAAGCAGACATATATACATCAAGCTTTTCATCAGTATCTAAAGGAAGGGACATTACATCTGCATATGTAATTGTCATATGAGCGCCTTGTTCTCCAGAAAGAAGATAAAAAGAACTTAAAATTTTCTCTGGAAAATTAGGAACCAAATTCGGCGTACAAAGAGAAGAAAAAGCTTCCTAAACATACTGAGAATTAAAAACCACATTTTTAAATAGAATACCTCAAATTTCATCCTATCAAGATACCAATAACTATCCATCAATTTTCTATAAATGATAGGAATAAAAACATCATTTGAAAATTTTTCACCCATATTAGAGTCTTTAAGAAGATAATAATGATAACAATTCTTCTTTAATTCATCAATCTGGCTATTTTCAATCGAAAAATATAATTTTTTCAGCTCAACAAGCGATTTAGGAGGATAAAGTTTTTCCGCTATTATTTAATAATTAATATGATATATATATATATATGTATATATATACAGTCAGAAATACGAGCAATATCTGCCAATAAAAGATCAAAAAACAGTTTTCCACCATGTATCTTTCGGCAGTTTTTAATAAGATTTAATAACTGAATATTATACGGAAAATCTTTAGATTTCTGACAATAAATCTTCTCAAATGAATTCTTAGGGGCCTAAAACATTTGTTTTTTTAGTTAGAACCTTTATACGCACATTTTTTTCCTTATACTTTACCTTAATCTCCATCTTAAATTTTTATGACGTTGAAATCTGGACGGGGACGTTGGCAGAGCAACCAAAGTCAACAATGGTCATCTGTAGATTTTTTTTAGAGGGTTTTTTTCTATAAAAAAGTAATAGTTTGCGCTTACTTTTTAACAGGAAGATGTAGATATGGAAGTAGATGCAGGAACGAACACCAGGTGGCAGAAAACAGCGTTTTTTTCCGACAAAATAAGCCATTTTTAGAGAATTTTAATTCTACAACAACTAATCATATAATAAGGCAAATAATAAGGGATTTTTTCCGAAGAAAACAGACTAAATATACAGTAGTGAAGATATAATTAAGGATGATCTAGGAAAAAGCCATCCAAAATGGTTATTTACATGTTATGGAACAGGGAAAGGACATCCGAATTTAATTTCGGGAAAAGATATTTCTCCGGAAGAGTTGAGAGCATTTGCATACGAATGCGCAGAAAATATGAATTTGAACGACTATGTAGAGCTTTTTAGGTTTTTATTTGCGTGCCTTAATAGTTTTTTTCTAGAAAAATAAAGTCGAAAGATTGACTCAAGAAATTCAAGAGTTAAGGAGGAATATGGTCAAGAATTCAAGGAAAACATGCAAGATAGCGAGCGATTTGTTTAACGGAAAATTTTCAGGAAATATTGATGCTTTGTTTTCTAATTTTTTTTCATCTAAATCATTTATCTCTGAATTTTCTACATTTTCATCGAGAATACCATTGCAAGCACGTTTTACAGAGCATAACACGTCTTTTAAAGAGAACAAAGATACTAATTTTAGGTTGTTATTTGAAAAATTATTTATATAAAAACTTATTGTCAAAAATAGTATATTAGGAAAAGCCAATCCATCAATGCAAAATTTATTTAATAAAAATGACACACAGGGTTCATCCTTTCATTCTAATATCTCAGATATACCTTCTTTTGGAGTACCTAGTTTTTCAATGATACCTATCAAACCTGTTTTTAACAATATATTGTCCAATCAGAATCCATCAAGTTTTAGTAACAATTCATCCTTTCAAGTAGATTCTCAAATGTCTAATTCTCCATCAAATGCATCGACATATGTTTTTTGCCAATCCAACATTTTCAATCCGACACAGATGCAATCTGCTTTTAATTCTCAATCAACATTTCATCAGCAACCATTTGTCTTTAATTCATCAAATTCATCCGAAAGAAATCATTCAAAAGCAAATGATATAATATTTCCACCAAAAAAAACGTTTGAATCAACATTTACATTTCAACAAAAACCGCAAGAGGTTAGCTTTTTTAAGTTACCAATCATCTTAATATTTATCACAGTTTTCTAAGAGTTCTCCTTCTATACATAATTCTCAATATACAAATCATATAGAAATAGTTTTATTAAATCAAGGCGCGCCGGATCCCTTATCAGAATCGGATTTACCTGCATATGCTCTCGAAGAATTTAAAGCACATATTTTCACATTAGGAAAAATCCCAGAAATGGAGCCACCTCTTTCTTTACGTGGCTAATATTTATTATTTAGAAAGGGCTGATATATTTGAAAAAAAATCAATAACTTTAACATATATAAAGAACAAAATGTAATAGATAATAACAAGAACACATTATTATGCAATGTCAATGCATAGAAAGTACTCTTATACAATAATCCTCAAAGATTTAGTCAATTTTAACATCTTTTTGCGGAAAATTATTAATCATTCACTATTCATTTCAATTAATAAATTAAACACCTAGGGAAAGCTGAGATGATTGTTGAATTGTCACCTCAACTTCTACGCCCGGCTCCATAGTAATAGATGTTATCTGTTTTACTGTTTCTGTTGGAGAATGTAAACTACACCTATTCAATCCATACAAACCAAACATTTATTTATCTTACTCAATAATTCTCTTATGAATACGCATTTCGAATCTATCCCATGTTTTTGAGCCTTCTCCACATGGTGTTTTTCTTGTTGTAATTTTTAATACACATGTCGGTAAACGGACCGGACCTTTTACACGCAAATCTAGCCATTATTAGCCAGGAAAAAGAAGTACAAATTCATGAAAAATTACTTTTGTCTTTTGCTCTTTGCGTCAAATCAGAGCAAACTTTCTCTAAATTCTTAACATTTCGAGATGTTAATGTAATTCGAATACGATGAAGTCTTTTCTCAATCTCTTCGCCTTTTGAAGCTAGATCTTAACGTAAATATCAATGAACTACATATAAAATAGACTTACGGTAGCTCATAAGAACAATATCTGTCTATTAAAGTCCTTTAAAAAGCTTTTTTTTCTTATAAAAAATGTGACGATGAAATTTGCAGCAAATCAGGTTGTCATAGTAAAATGTCATGGAAACAGTTGTCAAGACAACGACTTGGTAACGTATCTGTCATTCATCGGACTGTCAAGCAGGACGAACAAAAATTAAAATTATACATTTTTAAAGAGAAAATAAGAAGAGAAACTAAGATTAAGAACATTCATAATTAGCATTAGAACGATTTTTGTAGAAAGTTTTAATTGAGACTAAAAAGAGCTATTTTTCCGTTTTTTTTTTGAATTAGTAAGGGTTATAAGAAAATAACTAAATAAGATAAGATTAGAAAAAGAATTATGTCACAACTTCAAGATCTCCAGGCACAAATTACGAAATATGAACAGGCAGCGCAGCAAGCAGGACTGCAAACGCCTCAAGGACAAGCTCTTTATCAAAATGTTTGTCGATTAAAACAAAAACTTTTAACTATTCAAAGTGGATCAACAATAAATGCTAATGTTGATATTTTAAAGCCTCAAGGATTAAGACAAGGGACAGCACCTGTTAATCATAATGTAAAGCAGGCACTAGAAGTGCAAAGTCATTTACAACAAACAACGCAACATTTTGTTAAAGCAATTTCTGAATTAAAAGAACAGCTTACAAAGATCAAAGCAGAATTATCTAATCCAAATATTACTCAAAGAGAGAAAGAAGAGTTAGAAAAGGAACATAATGAAAAGGTCGCAGCGTTAAATACGTATCATATGCATATTCAAAAGGCTACTCAGCAATTCCATCAAATGCAACAAATGCAGAGTATACAAGGACAAGAAAATCCGATAAAAACAGGAACTATGCATCAGACAAATCCGATGATGCAAAAAGTTCAGACAAATCAAGTAGCAATGAATATGGCGCTTCAGCAGCGAGCATCAATGCAACAAATGAATCCTATAGCGATTCAGCAACAACAAATTTCACAAGCAAACAAAAACAAAGAGACAGTGGCTCCTTCAATACAGCAATTTCGACAGAATCCAGTAAATATTCCAAGACCACCTGTTCAGCCAGCAACAAATCTACCATTTCAACCAGTTTCTGGGCAAATCGTGCAAAATTCAAATGTACACACGTCTTTTGAGAAAATGCCACCTATTCCTGAGGTTATAAATGTTAAACCACCTGTCCCAATGTCTATCCCTCCTTCAAGACCAACTTTAACATCTGGTTATACAACAACACCCTTCATGAGTACACCAGGCATTTCTAAACCACCACAATACGATATTGACAATGGTAATCGCATATTAAGCAAGCGAAAGCTCCAAGAGCTTGTAAAACAAATTAATCCTGATGAACGACTTGATCCTGATGTCGAAGAGGTAAGGCTATTTTATTAAAAATAACACAATATCTGCTAATCCATTAAAGCTTCTTTTGGAAGTTGCAGATGAATTTGTAGAATCAGTAGTTTCTTTTGCATGTAGGCTTGCAAAATACAGAAAATCGGATACATTAGATGTTAAAGATGTTCAACTACATCTTGAGCGCAACTGGAATATTCGAATTCCTGGATATACTAGTGATGAAATACGAAGCGTACGAAAGAATATTCCTTGTCAAGCATATCAACAGAAACAAAATGCTATTGCAACTGCCAAATCAATGAGTAAAGAATGAATCTTATATTTATACACAAAATTCTCATTTATCATCATAACAATAATCTAAAAATAATATCAACATGCTTCCCGTCTATATTTATTAATTTATTGATTTTTCAAATTTTTCATTTTAAACCGTCTGGCTTAGAGAACAGGATTTTAACTTTCGATCATAACAAACGATGTGCTGAAGAAAAAAAAATCAGATCAAGTGTCTATAAAGACGACAGATTTTTATTATATATGTGCAATTGGTATTATTTTGATTAATTTATAGAGAAATCTATATGGTATGTTTTTTTTCAAAATTAAAATAGATTAAAATTCAAGGATTTTAGGAAGATGAAGATGAAATTGATAGGAGATCACTTAAAGAAATATGGAAGAGGAGGAAACATCCTAGGAAGGAAGAAAAAGGGCATTGGTTTTATGGGATTCACTGTCAGACAGAAAATACTGAATTATATAAACTTGCAGCATCGCTTAAATCAAAAACATTAGTAAACACAGAAGAAAAATATAATCATGAGGAGTTATATAGTCCTGAAAGATTTATGCATGAGAAGCAATGTGGGGATATGTTTAAGGAGAATTTCAGTTTATCGTATGAATCAAAATCGCCTAAAAAAACAAGTAATAAGAGCAAACGATCATTTTTTTGGCTTCCAGAAATTAAAGGACTAAAAAAAGAGAAACAGAATCATACCTTAGAATATGATTTAAAAACATCTAATCCTCCTACATTTATTGACATGTATGGAACAATATCTGAAAATAATATAAAAATACCACATCCATTAAATCCTGTAGAACAACCAATTAAAAATGTATACCAAGAAAAAAGTGAGTTACCGGAAAAGCAGAGGATTTCTAAAAATATCTCTTCTATATCTAAAACAGATTTTTTATTGTCTAAATTACTCGATTGCTTTTCAAAACAACCAAAGATTCTTGAAACAAAAGGAACACAAACATCAAAATATTCAACTCCTACAACAGAAATGAATCATACATATCAGACTTATACACAAACATCTTCGTCAATTGATTCACACATTTCATCACAAATATTTGTTGATGCAAGAGAAACTTTCATGCCGAGTCCTGTAGAAGAAATCAATCTTTACAAACCGAAAAGAGAAAATATAAGGAAGAAAGATGAAGAAAATCCTCGAGGTTATTCTGGTATACATTGCCTTTGTCAGAAAATATCTTTAAGACGTACTTTATTTCCTCCAAGTGTATCTCCATGTAAATTGTATACTATTAAGAATATGGGAAATTACGAACCTCAAAGGTGTTATGAATCAAAGTATATAAATTATCCTTTTAGAAGAAAGATGCAGATCTCACCAAAAAACATTACACCGTCTCAGTCCAGTATATATTCATTCACTCCTTTTATGAAAACAAGAATTCCACCTACAGAAATATCTCAGAAAAATGTGTCGCCTAATTTTATTATAAAAAAAGAACTCAGTTCTCCGTTTTCATATGAAGCAAAAGCTGATTATTCTACTTTGCAATACCTCGAACTACTAAGTAATGAAGAAGATTACATAAATAACGATAGTAAATGTATTAAGAAAAAATCTATAATTGATGAATCTTTGGGAATGAAATTTAAAAATGAGATTAATCAAGATAAAAAAGCACTATTTAGCAAAAAGGTCGATCTATCGCTAACTAATGATAATATAATTAATTACCAGAATCCAGAGAATGATCTTTTTGATATTTCTGAGTTGGAAAACAAAATTAACTCTATGTTATCAGCTTTATCAACAGAAAACAAATCAAATATTTTAACAAGACTTCAAGAAAAAGCTGTTTCTAAAAATAATTTAGAATCTATTTTGAGAGACGAGAAACCCTTGGGGAAAATGGAAAATATAAAGAAAAATGCAATGTCTAAACAAATATCTAGCAATCATACCAAAAGTGATATTTTTTCAGAAGCAAATTTTGAGAAAAAAGGAAAAGTTAGAATTCCTTCAATATTTCTTAATAAAAATAAAAGTTCTCCTTTACAGCCTATATCGAAAACACCGGGGCTTACTGTATCTTCTCAAAACATTAAGATTACACAAGATATTTGTCCAAAGATAACTAGCTCATCTAAAAATATAAGTAAAAAGGAAAATTCAAGGCCTCAAGATTCTATTATTACTAATATAGAAAAAAACAATAACAACCAAACACATGTACCTATGGAAAAAGAGACAGACTCCTTTTTATTTAAATCATATACAAAAAAAGAACATCAGAAAAGCTCTAGTCCTGCAACTAACTTAGACAGACAAAAATTAGCTACCATTCAAGATATAAACTCTCGTAAAAATAAATCATCTCCTCTGGCGTTAAAAAACACTTCAATGTCACAATTATATAAGAAATCATCTAACACTTATTCATCAATAACTCATAACACATCTACATTTGATTCCGAAAATTTTTCAAAAAATAATCAAATTCCACTAAAAAAATCGGTTAAATCATTTAATACAGGATGTAAAGTTATTATTCCACCCGTATTTTTATTAGAAAAAGACAATGACGTCAATAATAACAATATCCTCAAGGAGTCAGTTTCTTTGAATAGGTTGCCATCTGATTCTGCTTTGAATAGTACGCTTTTAAACAGGAAAAATAGTGAATCATATAATAAAAAAGCAAATAATTATCACCAAAAATTTAAATTGGACAATTTTAATGAATCTAAGAAAATTAGCTCTTTGCCTGATATTAAACGTTCTTTTATAGAAAACATATGTCCACAATCGAAATTAACATCTAAAAATAATCAAAACAAATCAGATCATTCCTCAACATCATCCTCATTTTATTGTAAACAGGAATATAAAAATGACTCAAAAATCGGTTTTACATCTTCTGGTTTGAAAAAAACAAGAGTTGATTCGAAAATTGATATACCTACTAATTTTTCTGATATAAGCACAAAAACAAAAGATGTTTTTGGGGATAAATCACCTCGTCATAAATATTTGGTTTCTGCATATCAAGAGGCGATTAACATCTCAACTATATCATCTAAAACAACTAAAATAAATGAACTTAACAGGACACAACCCAACAAAATTATTATTCCAAGTATTTTTACAATGTCATAAAAATCTAAAACCTTTACAATATTCAAAGCATTAATATTAACATTGCAAAAATATAATGCATTTACAAACACAATTGACGGTAAAATAATGTAGATATATTTACTATATTTCCTTCTATCGTTAATAGAAGTGATCATAATACATTAACAGGTGTAATTGTTACGAGAATCATACCATTTACAGTTTTGATATTTTTTAATGCAAAATAAATGAATAAAGTATGTATATTAATTTTAAATATTTAATAAAAATCAAAATACATATTCTGATACTATAGTATTTTAAAATAATAAATTGTTATATAACAATAAAATACATACTTCCTGATTTTATAATTGTTACATGAATGTATCCCATATATACTCATTATTTCGTATCCATTAATATTAATTTAATTGATATTTTCCATTGCTATTTTTTAAAAAATATTCTAACATGATACCTTTTTTAAATATTTTATTTATTTTTTTTACCTTTCTTATATGAAAATTGAGAAATTCGGGAATTTTTATTGAATTTATCATTTTGATCACTTTCTAAAGAAATTAAATTATTATCGTCATAAAACTTGAACATATTTTCAAGCTTTTCTATTCGTTTAGGCTTTAAAAAAATTAAAAATATCAAAAAGAAAAAAGAAAATCTTACATTCCTATCCAACATGATTTTCCAACCTTCAATTTGTTCATCAGACAAACCTGTTTTTGAACGAAGCTCTATTCTAGCAGAAGATCTTCTAATATGAGAACCACGTTCAAAAACCTCAGGTGATATTATATATGTTAAATATAACATTTCATCCATATTATTCTATATTTATTAACTTATAAAAAAAAAAATTAAATAAAACCATCAACTTATTAGAGCTCTTTTCTTCATATGATTCTAAATTAATAAATCCATCAACATTATCATAAGTATCATCTCTTTCATCATCTTGATTAAGAAGCTCCAAGTCCAATATAGTTTGTTTATATTCACGAATAAATGATTTGTCTTTTAATATATCATCTGCTGTCTCAAAACTTAAATTTTTAGAATAAATATTAATAAATAAACATTTTTATACATTTTTTTCCCTTTATATATTTTAGGATGATCTACAAACATATTCGTATCATCTGTCTGATCAACTAACATTTTTGAAACATGTTTTGACAATCCCCCGTCATTTAATTTAAAACTATAAAGTTTAATATATAAAATCTATTTTTTTTTCTAAAATACTTAGAAGCCTTTTTATCTACTGAAGGAATGTTCGATGAAAAAGAGTCTTCCAAAATACGAGCAATTACTGCTTCAACATCATCACAATATTCCTTAAGGAAAGATTCAATAAATTCTTCACTATAATCAGGAAATATATCTTTAATATGAGATATCAAAGATAATCGTTTAATTGACGGATCCAAGGAAGACTAAAAGAAAATTAAAACGAGAAAACATAACATTTAAGATTTACTAACATCTAAGGATTTTTTTGAATTATTTATCTCATTATTTTCTCTTAAAACCCTAAGTTGTGACATAATTTCTTCAGAAAATAACTCGACCTCATAAAAACGTTCAACAATTGATGTATCAAGTACAAGATCATGCAAAAGTGCAGTTTCTAATGACAATTGTTCATATAACCACATAAATCTTTTAATAATTAACAAACGCGCTTCATTTTCCGAAAGAAAAGCGGTAAAAAGCGTATATACTAAACACAAAAAATCAGATTTCATCTCATCTGCGACAGAACTCTCATGATAAAGACGTATCATTAATCGTAAAAATTCTTCATCTTGTAAAAATACACAAGTAGCCGGAAAACAAAACTGAATAAATACTATTAACGATCGAAAAGCAACCCTGTACATCATTGGATCCTCTAATAGCTCCTTATCCTTTAAAGAAACAAGTTTATCCATTAATTCCCGAAAATTTTCATAAACATTTTGTATCTGCAAAAATACTTCTTTTTTTGCATATTTATAAACATTTTCCAAAGCAAAATAGACACATGTTGCACTACTAAATCCAAAAAGTGTACAGAAATCAAATATTACAAAAGGAATTTTAAAAATATGTGTAGTTGGTCGTTCTAAAGTAAAAATCCTATATAATAATGAAAATAGATTCTTTTCCAGCAGATCATCCTCTTCATTATCAATATTGTCCAATAGCTTAACACATTTCCTTGGTGTATGCGCATCCAAATAATTTTTAATAAATATATATAAAGATTCACTTTCCACATCATCAAGTAAACATTCAAATTCTGCATCTGAAATACCCATAAAGTATTCAATACATCTAATCCACATATCTAAAGCATATTTCCATTCATCTTCCGCAATTTGTACTCGCAAATCTCTTGAAGGGTATCCTGTAATATGCATTTTATATATATACTTTCTTTCTATCACTCTTCTACTTTATATATGCGCTTTTATTTCAAATAAAACCACAATATTAACGTACTTAACTCCCTTTTACACGCATATAATTCTTAAAATCTTTTAATATCTTCTTTTTTCAAATCCTATATCATCGCCAGGGGCAACTACGAAAACCTTTTTTTATCAATAAATTTATTTTCCCCTCTTCCACTATTTTAGTCTATTCAATAGCCTCATTTTCAACTACCATACCTCTTTTATGTATTATTTATTCTTACTATTTCATCCTTTTGTCAAGGTACCTGAAGACCTAAGGAAATAGTATACTAAAAGAAAAAGCGAACATTTAGAGTGTGAAACACTAATCAAGGATCAAGGTGATGACTTTTAAATCATATAAAATATATTATAAAACTTATTTCTATTTTAACTTTTATTTATATATTAGGATAAATCAAATAAAAACTCGCAAACATCCATTTTTCCCCATTTCTTAATAAAATCTACTTTTTTTAATCTTAAAAAACTATATATTCCTTCCCTACTCATTTTTAACCTTACTAAAACTTTTAAAATAATTCTATTAATATTTTAACCCTTTTTTAATTTTTTAAATTAAAATATTCTTAGTTCCCCTTTTTTTAATAAAAAATTATTTTAAAGTACAAACTATCAACTGAAATATCTTAAATCTTTCTGATCTATTCTAAAAAACATGATAAAAAATAAGAAAAATATAGATTTAGAGTTAAAGTGTCTTTTTAAAAACTTCGAATAAAAAATAAACGAATTCGTGAATTTTTTGAAAAAATATGATAAAAAAGTAATTTTACGGTCTAAAAATTAAAATAAAAAAAGCCTTATAAAGAAGTTAAAAGTTTAACTAAAAAAATATAATAAAATCTTAGAATATATATATTAAAATTGATATTTTTAATTGGTATTTAATAATTCTTAAATATTAAGAAAAATGTCAAATACAGATATTGAAAGAAATCATAAAAAAAAAGTAAAAAATAATAAAACTTTTCAATGTTCAGGATTTGGAAACTGTCATATGCAGTTTTCTAGAAGTGAGCATCTTGCACGACATATTAGGTTAATATTTTCGGAAAAAAGTAAGTTTTTAATAGAAAATAGAAAGCATACAGGAGAAAGGCCATTTAAATGTTATTGTGGTCGTACATTTTCAAGGTTAGATAATCTTCGTCAACATGCACAAACTATCCATACAAATGAAGTGATTAATTCACCTTATTCTTTATCATCTAATTCTTTACATACATTAACATATAAAACCCGACAATCAGCGGCAAAAAATGATTCAAAACAATCAGAGATGGCAACGTACAAACAAAATGTTGAAACATTAGAAAAAAATCAAGAAACTTATACTGCAAAACCTAAAAGCAATTCTATTCATTTACCTGTAGAGAAAATGATGAAATCAGAAGACGAAGATGCATTCGAATTATCTAAGTTTCAGTCTTTTATACCAAATGGTTTTCATTCTTCAGATCAAATACCCGATCATTATTATTCATTAAAATCTTTTTCACCATCTTTATTTTTTCATTCTCCTATTTACAATTCTTTATCATCCAAGGTATTCGCTCTTTTTATTCGTTTATTTTTAATATTTTTATTTATATATAGACGGATCCTATACCCTCAAAGTTTTCTACACTGGATTTAAATTTAGGTTTAAAAACTATTCTTCCATCTAATACCAATTCACCTTTACCTAACGAATGTCAAAATATACAACCATTATCACAAGAAATTCATCCGAAAAACGATTTTTTGAAGAAAAATTCATCTTGTAATAATTCTGCATCAATAACACTTTATAATAATTCTTGTACTTTAACTTCTTCAAATACGCCTAGTCCTTCCGATACAACAAATTCTTTACGATTCAATGACAATAAACTTCCTTCAATCACAATTTTAATGGATTATGACTTACAACGTTCTAATATTATATCTTTATCAAATACAAATGAACATTCTTTAAAACATAACAATACCCAAAAAATGAGTATCCAATTTCTATGCAATCAAAATATTACAATGGGAGGTATCGATATACTTGCAGAAGTAGCAAAGATTATAAATTAACAAAATAAACTATTTTTATATATGAAATTAAAATTTCACTTGGATATTTTTTATGAGACTATCAAACATAATTGCAATATTATTTAGTATTACAACAGGAAATCATTTTTAACTTGTTTTTATGTATTTTTAATTGTATTTAAATTTTTAATAACATTTATAAGCTTATGCCTATCGTTCATCCATTACAGATTTTGGTAAAAAATACGTCTTAGATATTTTTAAAAAATACTATAAAAATCTAGAGGGATTTCAAAGGATTTTGATTGATATTATAATAGAAATATCTAAGTACATAAGGATATCTTTTTTTGTCTTAAAGAAATACTAAAATTGTTTAAAATAACGTGTTTTTAAAAATGAATTTACATAATACTTTATTTAAAGATGAAGATGAAAAAGCATTTAATAAAGATGAGAAATTTGAAGAAAATATAAAGAATGTGGAAGACAGCAGCTTATTATCAGATAGTTTTATTAATAATAAATGGAAAAATGAAAAAAAGGAAAATCATGGAATATGTTCACCAAAAAATCTACCATGGCCTTTAAAATGTTCAGAAAGAGTTATTTTCGCATGTACATCAATTCCATATAAATGTTTTTTTAATCCTCAAAATGGAGAATGGGTATTTTGAATAATCTGATGCAAGGAGAATAAATAGAATTGATTTTTTGAATATAGAAATTTCGACCCAGGAGAGGAGGATCGTCATTATTTGCATCAATATCATGGCTTTCGCAAGAAACAGGATGGGAAACAAAGTTAGTTGGGTGGACAGGTGAAATAACAGTAGATCGTCAAGAAATATTATCAAGTTCTAATGATATGGATACATTGAACAATACGAATACAGTATTATTAACATCTGAAGATAAGGAAAGATTCTTAGAATCATTTTCGAAAACATATAAAGATCAAATTGTACCTATATGGATGTTATCAGATTCGAATCATAAATTTGGAGAAACGATTGAACAACAATCTCGTTGGAGGAAATATCCAAATACAGGTATGTTGTTTGTTTTATGCAAAAAACTTATAGAGTAATTAGTATTATTGCCATTATTTCATTATCGTTTATGGAATAATACAACAGATGAGTGGAATGAACAAACTTGTTGGAAGGATTATGTCGAATTTAATAAGGCATATTTGGATGCTATTGTTAAAATTTACAAGCCAGCAGACATTAGTATAATTTCCTAATAATAGTATATATAAAATAATATTGGTTATAGTTATTATTCATGATTACTATCTTCTTTTGTTGCCTCAACTTATTCGTCAGAAATTACCTAATGCATATCTGGGTTTTTTCTTACATGAACCTTTTCCAAGTTCAGAGATTTTTCGTTGTCTTCCAAGTATATATTAGAATATATTTATAGAATTCTAATATCTTAGAACGAAAGGAAATATTAATGGGAATGCTTGGTGCTAATATGATTGGGTTTCAAAGCTATTCTTTTTCAAGACATTTTGTGAGTACTTGTACAAGAGTTTTAGGATTTGATTCTATTGGAAAAGGAATTGATGTTAACGGTGCATATGTAGCTATAGAAGTTCTTCCAATGGGAATCGATGCTCAACGGGTTGAAAAAGAATCTCAAACTCCGAAAATTCAAAAAAAAATGCAGTTTATTAGAGAGTTATATTCAAATAAGAAAATACTTATAGGGAGAGCAAAAATATATGAAATTCAGGGAGTATTACAAGGATTGAAAGCATTTGAAAGTTTTTTAAAACAATTCTCTAAGTGGAGAAATCAGGTTATTACCTTTTACTTTTAGCATTTCATTAATATATACAGGTTGTGTTTATTCAAGTAACTTCTCCCGTAAATGATGATACATCAAAATTTGAAAAACAGATACAAGATTTAATAGCCGAAATAAATGGGACATATGGATCACTGGAATTTACACCTGTGCATCATTATCACCAGCATCTGGAAAAAGATGAATATTTCGCGCTTTTGAGATCAGGCGATGTAGGAATAATTACTGCTATCAGAGATAGTATAAACACTACAAGTTTGGAGTATGTTATTTGTCAAAAAGGAAACAATGGACCTTTATTATTATCAGAATTTTCAGGAACAAAAGATGCTCTTCAAGATGCAATTCAAGTTAACCCATGGGATGTTACGGTAATACCAAATGATTAATATTTAAAAATAGATTAATCTTAATTTAGGATACCGCAAAAAAAATTAATGAAGCACTTTGTATATCTGAATCTGAAAAAGAAGCACGTCAACTTAAATTATATAATTATGTTATAATGAATACTGTTCAAACATGGATTTCATCATTCATATCAAAATTATTAACAAATTTAGCAACTTTTAACTATAATCAAATCACTCCCATTATTGATACTACATTATTAACAAATGCATATCATAAAGCAAATAAACGCTTGTTTATGTTTGATTATGATGGAACATTAACACCAATTGTCAAAGATCCGCTTTTTGCTATCCCATCCCAACAACTTTTGCAAGTTTTAAGAGCATTAGCTGAAAATCCCAAAAACCAAGTATGGATAATTTCTGGACGTGATCAAAATTTTTTGTCAAAATGGCTAGATATTATTCCTCAACTAGGGTTGAGGTAAGGATTTAGTTATAACAAGACATTTTATAACTTAAATTATTAGCGCAGAACATGGTTGCTATATGCGTTTTCCAAATACATCTAATTGGTTAGATCTTACAAAAAATATGGATGTATCATGGCAAGAAGAAGTTTATAAAATTTTCGAATATTATACAGAACGTACTCAAGGTAAATATTTTTTTAAAAAAACTATTTATATTCAACATTAATTCAGGCTCATTTATTGAACAAAAAAAATGCACGCTTACATGGCATTATCGTCGGGCAGATCCAGATTATGGCCTTTTTCAGGCATTAGAATGTCAAAATCACTTAGAAAGTCTAATTACGTCAAATTATAAGGTTGAAGTATTAAATGGGAAGGCAAATATTGAAGTTCGACCTTTTTCTATCAACAAAGGTGAAGTAGTAAATAAATTATTATCCCTTTTTAAAGACGAAAAACCCGATTTTGTTTTTAGTGCAGGAGATGATAAAACAGACGAAGGTAAACAGTTGTTAATAAACTTTTTTTAAAAAAAAATACTAAAAATTAAAAGACATGTTTCGTGTTTTAAAAAAAAGAGAAGATTTAAAAACATATTTTACTGTAACCATTGGTGCATCAAATAAAGTATACTTTTTTTTTTTATAATATTCTTATTTTTATCAGATCACAACAGCAGACTGGCATATTCAAGGTCCTTCTGAAGTTCTTTCTTTATTAGAATCTCTTATTAGTATAAAATCATCGAACGATTCTACTAGATGATACTTAGGTATAAAATATTACATTTCTAATATCGCCTCGATTTCAATACATAAAAAAACATAGAATTATTCACAACTACCATCCTTCCATCCTTCTCGCCATCGCTCCTTCCATTTAAAACAGTCAAATATCGGTTTACCTAATTTTCTATTAACTTCATTATGTGCTTGACAGATCCACAACGACAAATCTTCTCGACCATTCGCTTTCACTTGATTCTCTTTTCGACTCATCCATTCACGAAAATCTCGAGCACAATAAAAACATGGGTAATGTTTTGCAAAAACTCTTAAAAATTCTTGCATTTCAACCTGTTCTTTTGCTGTTGCTAATTCAGGATAATTTGCGGCCATTGTATGAAGAAACGTCCATGTTGATCGACCTAAAAGCTCTGAATCCGGAGGACAATTTGTCAGATCTATATTATCTAAATTCGATGTCTTCTCTTTATCAAATAAAGAATTATTTTGATTTTGCATCCATTTTTTAAATGACACACAAACGCGACAACTATTTTTTGACATGTTTCCTGATACAGGAGTATCCTTTTTATCTTCTGCAGATATATCTACTGTTTCTTTAGTGATCATTTTTTATTATTCTAGTTTAAGAATTTTAATCGAGGGTATCGACTGATATTTTTTCAAATAATAAATGAAAATACTAGTTAAAAAAAAAAGAATAAAGCAATTATATTCGTCCTTGCCAAGATCTAAACAGATCTTCTTTGAAATCATAAATACGGCGGCTTCCTGATAACTATAGTTGTTTAAAAAAGAGAAAAAAAAATATTTAAATATACTTCAAGTTGAATTTGTCTATGAATATAACATAGAAAATCGACATAAGATGTAGAATTGCATTGTTTATCTTCTACAAGTTGCGCCATAAATTCATGAGCAGATTCATCATGTCCTTGTCGAGAAACGTATGCTGTTAATGTTTTTCCAGGATAAAAAGAATTAAAATAAAAAAGAATATTTCGAACCTGAATAGAAAACCGAGTATTTAAATTTGGAAGATAAGTAGATCGAGGGTTTATATCTGAAAGTTGAGAAATATCATCTCCATAAAGATCTTTTAATAATTTTGGTGATACATAATTATGGAACCATAAAACAGCATTGTTTCCATTTACTTTGCATTGTTAATATTTGAAAAAGAGTAGTGTTGAACAATATACTCATTAAATAAATCCCTCCTTCATCTAAATAAGAAGAAGATGCTCGAATAGCTTTAGGAAGAATAAAATTTCCAGAGTTATCAGGGAAACCCATCTATACATTTATTAAATGTTAAAACATTTTGGAAATAAAAAATTTACTTCATCTGATAAATTATGTAATGGAAAAACTCGGGGATATATAAAAGAAATAAGTTCACGAACACCTACTGTTAATATATACTGAGCATTTTGCATTCGTAAATCGCTTTGAATATTTCCATCTATTTTCCCTTTAAAAGAAATCATTTATAATATATATAACTCACTTTTTAATGCAGGCAATTTTAATAGACATAATATATATATGGGAAGCAATTTTAAATTTTCTGGAAGAACCAACTGAGAAGTAGGTATTGATGATGAAAGATTTTTTCGATAACATGCCAAAATATTAATACATATATCAGTTAATTCATCTCTTATTTGTTTAAGAGATTTTTTCATGATTTTAAGTAGAGCTATTCTAATTAGATATAAGATCATAATTAATAGTAGATTTACCACTTTTAGCAAGAATCGTAATATATGCATCTATATCTACATATCTAATAATATCACATGGATTTGATGATATAGATGCAACTGTATTATAACATCTTAAGCGACGTTGACCTGTTGTTGTAGTATATAATACTGCACATTGAAAGTAAGCATTGGATTTTGGATTCAATTTACTATCATATGTAAAAGTAATAGAAATCGCTTTTTCTGAATCAATAACACTAAGTTCCAATTCCGATCTCTTCTGTATATAATTCCCAATATATCGTTGAACTTGTAAGCCATTTGAGCACCTAACTTTCATCTGAACATGATATGCCTGCTCACGTGTAACATTTCTAACGAATTCTCCAATTACTCTAAATGCATCCCGCTCTTCTATAAAATCTTGATAATAATATATTTCACCACCAGTAATACTTGCCAAAATCCCTATCAAAGTTAACACAATTTAACAAATTTAAATAAATACCTATTGTGCTTATATCAATATAAAAAGCAGGGAAAAGAAAAAAATCTACGCCAATGCCTAAACTTACACATTTCTTAGCAAGATTATCCCAAAAAACATTTTGTGTAGTAAATAACTGTTTTTCATTATCTGTATTATAAAGTTTAGAATCCTCTCTAAACCTAAGACTTCCTGGTCCCCATGTAGGTAATGCAGTCAAAAAAACAATTAATTTTCCTCCTGTTTTTTCCTACATGTATTAACTAAAAATATTATTAATACGATTAAATTACCAATGCTATAAGAGATGATTGAACCAAAAAACCTAATGCTGGTTCTGGAACCTTTAAATTATCAAACATTACTGCAATAGATTTTAAAACAATCTCTATAATATTTCTATGATAATATTAAATATTAAATATTAAATTCAAAAGAACAAAAAACCTTGATTCATATGCGTCAACAAATAAACCCTCATGTAAAGGAATGAAAGCATCATTAATATCTGAAACAATTAACATTTCTGCATCATTCAATGAAGACTATAAAAAATCAATATATAAAACATAAACAATCACATACTGATAAATTATAAAAATGTAAAGTACGATCAAAAGTAACAATGCAAATTTTAGCGCCTGGAGGAAAAGGCCTATCTGATGGTTCATATAATGCCTTTATTATAGCATTAGCTGCAACTCTCGGAATTCCTTTCTGAATAGCAGTTTCACTGACATCAATAGCAAAAATCATTTTGATTGGTTCAACAGGACATGTTTGATATTCTTTAGGAACAGAAAATTCTACAGTCCCATGACTAAGTTCAGGTCTATGATCAAAATCCTGTCGCTTTCCAAGACCATTTAAAGGAGAAAACCATTCTGCACCAACATCGGTTGGAAATGAACAAATATTACATACAAATTTAGATCCGCCTTGTATAAAACTCATAAATGGGTTAATATAAGCTCTACATTTTCTACATCTTGGTGGACCCATCTCTCCATAATCTACTAAAGGAATTGGAGCTTCTTCGGATTTTTGAGGAGCAAATGGTTGAACAACCATAGATATAGGTATAAAAGTAGCCGAAGAAATCTCTTTTGTCTCTGCTATGTTCCTAGTAACTAATCTAACAAATTTCAGAGAAGAAATTCCTTGATCAAATGTTATAAAATCCGTATTTGCACTTGGAATAACATGTGATTCCGTAACTGAAAATATATTACGTTTATAGGTTTCTTGAGAGATTTCATGAACATGAACCACAGATGGAATCTTTTCTGGATCAATTTTTGATCCACTTTGATTCGTTAATATAAGTTGAGGATTTCTTAATTCTCTCTGATCGCCAAAATCCGAAATTAAAGGAAATGGCTTGTTATCTTGTAAATCTAGGGAATTCACACTTTTACTTCGATCAGACAAATCATTATATGATAAATCATATGCTCTAATCGTTCTATGTTTATTTCGTTGAGAAACTGATCCCGAAATATGTAAATTACTATATTGTTCTTGTAAACCTTCCATAACATTATCTCCCGAAAATGCTTCAGAGGAACTTGTTTCTATACTATTTCCTATATTTTTAAGCATTCCAACTCCCTTATTATCAACTACTGATGCGGAAACAACTGGTACATCTAAAATCTTTATATCTTCTTCAATAGCTCTATAAAAAAATACTTGGCAAAAAAGCTTCCTCATTCTCATCACAGGCATCTTTACAAATAGATTCTGCGCTATAATTGTTCAGATTAATCGATAAATTTCACATATCATACGATTTAATTTTTGAAGACAATGAATACATAATTTAGTCTATTTTTAAGTTAAAAAAAGCAGAAAAAAAAGGATATACACATACAATAACGCTCGAATTACATTAAAACATCAGTATCTCCTGTTTAACTACAAATTTTAGCCAAAACTCACAATTTATTTTTTTTTTCAATTTTATGAACGTTGAGACCTATTGAAAAATGTATAGATCTATAGAACCTACCTTTAATATAAAAAACTGATGAAAACCATATTATTTCTAAGGAAAAGATCAACTTCTGAGGATAATTATGAAAGTGTTTTTAAGGAATATAACTTTTATACAATATTTATACCAGTCCTTACATGTTCCTATATTAATCAAGAGCATCTTATACATGTTCTAAAAAATTGCCCATATACTATGTATTCAGGGCTTATTTTTACTAGTAGAAATGCGATTTTAGCTTTTAGAGAGTCTCTAATGAGTATAGGTCTTTTTTTTTAGTAAAAAACTCTGAAAATACTGATATTATTTAGATAAACAAGAACATAAAAAAATTCTTTGTATGACGGTATATATAGTGGGCCCTGCTTGTTATAAAGAAGCAATATCTCTTGGATTTTTTGAAGTTTATGGAAAAGAATCAGGAAATGCTGAAAATCTGTCTAATTTTATCATATCTTATCATAAAGATAAAAATCCTATATTATTTTTAACAGGAGAGAGAAGAATAGATACTCTTAAGGAAAAATTATCATCATCGAGTATTATTTTAAAGGAATTGGTTATATATAAAATGAATGAGACTATTGAGTTTGAAAATGATTTTAATAAAGCTATATATAATAAAAGCTTAAATGTAGAGTGGATTGTATTCTTTAGTCCTTACGGATCAGACATTGTAATGAAATATATGAAAAATGAGGATCTATCAAAATTCAAGATTGCTACTATTGGTTTTACTACATTAAGGTATTTAAATGACAAGTGGAATATAAAAACAAATGTTGTCTCACAATGTCCAGAAGCAAGATCACTTTTAAAAGGAATTTTAGACTATGAGAGAAAATAGAATTAAAAGCTAATATAATACTACAATGTTATTGAATATTTTATTATAAAGAATCTTTTTGATATTAAAAAAATAATCAAAATCATTTACTATTTTTATTTTTAATTTCCAAGATATTCAAAGACATCGTGAAACTATTAATATGTCAAAAATTCAATTCTCATATTTTTCACTATTATATCTTTAAATTATTTAGCTTATTATGCTTTTATCTTAGCTTGTTATTATAATAGAGAAATACTTCAAGTATGATTTATTCATTAATTAAAAATTCAGAAATTGGGATGTTAGTAAGATCATTAGTAAGTTCAAGACTTAAAAAGGATTTGTACTCATCTAGATATTTTAAATAATACAAACATTCTTTTATTATATGATAATATTGAATGAGAGACTAAAAAATAGATCATTGTAGTTTTAAGGTTTACTTTTTATGAAATATCAAGGAATACAGATCAACATACTTATATGATTTAAAACCAAACATATTTTAAATTAATTATTATAAAAATAAAATTCATAATTTAGAAATCACTTATTTTTTTATAATACCATTAAAATTAATAAGAAACCAAAATAAATACAAATATCAAAGTTATTAATAGATAATAACAATATATATATAATATTTAAATTTAAGTTTTAAAGATATTAAACCAAACAAAAAAAAGATGCATCCTCTACAAAAAAACTCAAAATATAATCCAATTTGCTCTAAGGCTGTCCAGGGAATTAATTATTCATACCCATAATTTCTTTATAAATAAGAACTAAAGTTACTCAATTAAAGATGCTATAATTAATAATATCATTACTTTTTAAATCATTTTTAGTAAGACTATCTTTTATTCGATCAAAGTCAAAAAAATTTGGAGAGATAGGTGGTGCAGTTGGTTCATCTAAAATCGTTAATTTAATTTTACTAAATATACGCAATTATCTCACCATCCGGGTCATGATACGGCTCAAGATAGTTATGACGAAGTGCTTCTTCAACAGTTACCCTTTTTGCAGGGTTAAAAGCCAATAACTTCTCTAACAGATCCAAAGCAAGAGGATTAGCCCTAGGAAAAATTGAAGAAAATGAAACCCGCTTTTTAAATGGTAAAGATCTAATATATTCTCGTGCTCTGCGGGATTTGATTCCATAATACTAAAAACATTAAATTTAGTCTTTTTTTTTTAATAAAATATTACGTCTTCCATAGTAGGTGTACCCAGTACATCCAAAATAAGCATAAGTTGATGATGATCTATTTATTTAGATTCATAATATATTATATATATCATCCTTACAATCTTTGCCAGGAAACAAAGGTCTCCCACTAAGCATCTCGGCAAGAATACACCCAACACTCCAGATATCAATTGCTTTTGTATATTCTTTAAAGGTTAACATGATTTCAGGCGCACGATACCAGCGTGTTGCCACATATTCTGTCATAAAACTACTACTGTCTTCTGTACTAACAGCAGAGCGAGCCAAGCCAAAATCACATACTTTAAGATCACAGTTTGCATTTAACAGCAAGTTGGACGGCTTTAAATCCCGATGCAGAATATTTGCACTATGCATAGCCTTCAACGCACGAAGTATTTGATAAATAAAGTATTGACAATGATCATCTGATAAATCTTGTGTACGAATTACACGATGCATATCCGTTTCCATAAGTTCCTATATAAATATCCAATTAAATCTTGATCAATGTCTATTTTACACAATACTTGAATTAAATATACTTCAGAAAACGATTCAAAATCCTGTGGTTGTTGAATATCCAAGATAGAAATAATCTACTCATTAAAATAATTAGATATGTCTCTAGAAATCATTTTAAACACACATTTTCATGATTAAAATAACGAAGTAACTTCATTTCACGCAATGTTCTTAAACAAAACATAGAATGATCAAAAGGCGATATCTTCTTAATAGCAACCTTTTGTCCACTTGGTTTATGAACTGCTGAGCTAAATAATTACATTTTCTAATTCTTTTTTAATTAAAAACCCTACCATACAATTCCATATGCACCTTCACCTACAACATCCAATATTTCATAATCATCTGATACATTAAATCGAACGTTTCTAACTGAAGCTGTCATGGAGAATCAAGATCAAAATGCTCTTTTTACAAGAAAAATGTATATATTTTTTTTTTCAAAAATCTTTATAATCAATTTCTAATAAAAAAATAACAAAAATAATTAAAATATTATGCGCCTTTATAATAATCTTAATTCTTTTTTTGTCTCTTTTGCTTTTAGTTATTTTAATAAAAGCCTTTATAGAATTTTAACTTGTCACATCATCTAACTTTAAAACCGCCCCAATAACCAGGTTTGATACAAATACTTCCTCAAGAGCTTTGCCAAGACAAATGTTATTTAAACATTGCTCAAAATGGTTAGATTCTATCTATAACAAAGGGAACGTAATAAGCTGCTATTTCTAGAAGTTAATTACTTTAAAAAATGTATATTAAAACATGTATATTATTACATTAACATATATTTTCTATTATTTGGACATATATTTTAAGAATTATTATTAAAAACACAGTTTCTAAATAAATATTTTTAAAATATTTTTTTTTGTAGTCAAACAACTTGAGAAAATTATACGGAAACACGAGAAAAAAAAAAGGAAAAACCTAGGGCTAAATAAACTGAAAGGTGGTAGGTATAAACCCTAAACACATTAGGTATGAGCCCTATGAGCATTAGGTACAAACCCTAGCGATGTTAGGGTTAAACCTGACACGTACAGAAACAATGTTAGGGTACTTGACACATTTTGATTTATATATGAAAAAATTAATAAGAAAATTAAGGATTAATCTAAAAATAAAGAGATTATTTTTAAAATATTAAATAAATCAGTCTTACCCGATTTTTAAGTTCATTAATATATTGATAATAAGAAGAAATCCCATCTTGACGATCTTCAATCATATTGCTAAAAAACCATTTAATTAACGCAGGATCACCGTCTTGTTTAACAAGATATAAATGAGGCCAAGTGATTTTACCTTTATCATACTCTCGTAATTTATCAATAATGTTGTTAACACGAATAGAAAAAGGGTTATCCAATAATGGAAGAGTTATCTTAATAAATAAATAAAATAAAAAATTTAATATATGTATATACCTTTCCTAATTTTAAATGAGAAATATCAGGTAATCCAAATACATCCTGAACCAATAAAGAAACGGCATCCTTGCCAATAAAAAGAAATTGAACCTGACCATCATCTACTAAATAAAGTCCATGAGATTCAATTTTTTCAGAAGTAAGATTCATTTCAGGTGGAAGAATGATTCCATTTGCACCATGTACACCAGCATCATCGGACATATTATGCAATGAATAAAAGCGCGGATGAAGAAATGGTATTAATATTGTTGTTGGTAGTGAAGATAAAAGACAAAGAGCAATGGATCTTACATCACTAGGAATAAGAGAGGATTTACGAAAAGCGAGCTTAAATTATTTAAAAAAATATAAATCAAAATTAAAACACTTACATTTTTAAGAAGACATAAACAAAGAAGAGGTAAAAGCCTAAGATTTGAACAAATTGAAAAAGTAGAAATTCCAGTATTTGTAAAAACCAAATTTTTTTTATAAGAATCCAAGATATCTACTAATTTATCTGTAATCATAGTGTTTACATCCTCTAGTTTAGATAAAAGTACTTTTTCACACGCTTTTACAGAAAAATATTTTATAATAGCAATCTGATCCGCAGAAGCATAAACATCTGCTAAATTACTTGTAGTTGGAATGGCTACAGTAATAACACGGATTCTCCTTTCGCCTAAATTTCCGAATTATTCATGAACTTAATATCAAAAATAGTTTACCATGACATGAACTATATAATATAGCTGTTTGTAGAGTAACAAATGGCTTTTCAATTTGTTCATCTATAGCAATTTCAACAACATATCCTTGGTCACGAGGAAATGATGGAAAAGCGCAAAGATCAGTTGAACGGTAAAAGCAATTTCCATAGAAAGCAGAAACACGGAGTCCTAATTATTCCAATTAATAAATAAAAAATAAAAAATATTCCAAAATTAACCTGTGGATCCTCTAACCCTCATAACAGCTTCAAGACCAACTTCCTGACTTAAATGTGTACTAAATTCTCTAGCAAATTTCGTTATGTCTTCAGCACGACCAGCATTCCAACCAGGATAATATAAAGTTTGCCCAGCTGTGTATCGAGGAAGGCATGCTAATTAAATTAGAAATAACATGATAAACAAATACTATTTACCGAGTGAAGCAACATCCTGATAATTAGATGAAAATAAGAACATGTCAACTGTAACCTGACTCTTTGAACATTCTACAGCAAGAGATTTATAAAAAGAATTTTGAACTTGAAGTAAAGTAGATTCCTTAGAAGTTCCATAAATTTTAATATCTTCTCTTATAGAAAGTTTTCCTTCACCTAATGAAGGTAAACTATTCATCAAACACTCAATTTTCCCCCCTATATTTTGAATAAGCTTACGAGCGGCCTTAAGAGCAGGCCCCATGGCATTTCCAACATTTTGAGTATTCTTAAACATATCGTTAAATTTTTCTAATAAAATCTCAATATTTTTTCGGCATTCAGAAATATTAACCAAGAGGTCAGCAGGCTGAGGAAGAAAAAGATCATTCAAATCAGTAACGACAAGCATAGAAGGTTCTTGATCTTTATTTGAAATGCTAAAAAAATGTAATGCACTATCCACTCCGATAAATCCAACTTTTGTCCGTTGATCACGATTTGGAATCCGGTCAAGAGATTCAAGAATTGTTCGAGTTGCAGTTGCTACCATACCTATTTTTTTTTAAAATTTTAAGATTAAAAAATAAAGCAAATTACCTGACATTACAGCAGTATAAGAAACGTCAATTAAGAAAACATATACAAGAGGCTGAGGCGGCCGAACCTGAAAAAGTAAATATAAAAAACATAAATATATAAATTACCATATATTCACTAGGTGCTAAAAAATCAACAACTGAATGATTAAGTTCTGAACGTCCCCATTGATCAACTTGCTTATTTTGTTGATTCCAAGTAAATGCAGAAGGAACTAGAAATAATTAAGGACATTTTCAGATGAAAATATTTTGATTACCATCATTAGTCATAGAACAAAGATTACATTTCCATCGATGTCCACCATCAATGAATGTTGAAAAAGGATTTATATATGATCTACATCTACGACAACGAGCAATAATTGTATCTGAAACTAAAGGAACATTTTCTTCTTCATCACTAAGCATAATAAAGGGACGAATTGTTAATGCAAAAGGAAGCCTGGATTTTTTAAGAAGACTATTAGTCTTCGGCACCGCATTTAATGTAGATCGTAAATATTCCGGACCACAATTCACTTTCTCCATTTGTGTCATAAATGCCTAGTTCAAATCAACATTTTGTTAAATCAATAAAAATAAAAAAGATACATTAGGAGGCAAAATAAGCGGAGGGGGTAAACGTTTCAAATCCGAAACATCTGGGTGTTGTCCTATCAAATCTACAGTAATTAACGGATTTAAAGAAAATCCTGATGAAATAGAATTCTAGTAGACACAATTAAATAATATTCATAAAAGAGAAAGAAATAAACCTGTTGCATATTTGGATCTATTCCCATCTGACTAAACTGATTCGAAATCATATCTACATTAGAATAAGAACCAGGTGACCAATAGCCCTGACTAAATTTAAAATAATTAATAGAATTAATAGAATTAGACATAATAACATACTTTACAGAAAAAGGCGAAATCTGCGTCTGTCCATTGGCATTAAGGGTTTGATAATTTCCAGAAACACCACTTCCTGAGCCATTAAAATTATATTGTTGCGAGGCATATCTTCTCTTTGATTTTATTTGAGGTGTAGGTGCAACTTTGTCCGAAAAAGATCTAAAATCTGCCATTGCCGGCGACAGCATATTTCCCTGATATTGCGGAGTATTATATGACGCTGACGATGGCATATTTTGTCGCGTATGTTCCGGTAATTCTGGTACTAAGAATTGTGCATTTTCTGGTGAATAAGAGACAAATGGTGACTTTAACCCTTCTGAACTTTGATTCCCAAAATTCTCCCGTTGTTTTTGATCTTCACATCCTTGAAATTCCATTGATTTTTATATCTTTTTATACAAACTATAAAATTTCCTAGTTTTTTTAATATTTTACTATTTAAAACCGTTAAAAAACACAAAGACAGCCAATCCCCTAATCCCCTTATATTCAGGAACTACTAAGCTTTTACAACTCTGTTTTCTTGTAGTTTTTTGGTATTATATTTTATCAAAAATTTTAACCGTTAAATCTTAATGTTACGAAAACATACGATTTTTTTCTATGCAGATATCAGGAACAATAGATTTATGTACTTCAATTAATTTGTTTTTTTTTAAAAAAAAGAAATATCTTCTTTATAAAAATTGATAAATGAATAATCAATAGATATAATTGTATATTTTATGTATATTCCATTATGAATTGTAAAAAAATTATATATAAAATTATCAATTTCAGTATTTTATTAATGAAAAAACATGGTATCTTTTCAATTGGATTGAATGAGAAATATTAGAATTATAGTAAAAAGAATTTATATTTTTTTAAAGTATTTTTAGCCATAAAAAAGAAATTTTATACATTTTATTGATCTATACAATATAATAATTAGATATATATATAGAAGTAGTAAAAAAGGATAAAAGACTTATTAAAGAATTAAAATTACAATATTAAACAGATTATTTTAGCGGATTGGATTAAATAGATTTATAATAACATTTGGATTAATATAGAACTGATGACAAAGTAATTTTAAAAAAATATTAAAATACAAGAAAAATACATAGAAATCAGCCTGAATGATGATATTAAGAATATTATGAATAATGATATTTTAAAAAATTGAATATTAAGCTTTTTAAATGATTAAAAGATACAATTATACAAAATATACAGAAAAAAATGATTTCAAGATATTTTAAAAAAAAAATACATAATCTTAGAATATCTAAGACATGTAGTGTTAAGGACGCTATAGAAAAACAAGTAAATCCGAATCAAATAATCACAGTTTATGGATGGATAAGATCTTTAAGAAAAATGAAAAATGTAACATTTGCGCTTATCAATGATGGAACAACAGGAAAAAATATGCAGGCAGTACTTAAACCAGATCAAGGAAAAGGGTAGATCTAATTTATATATTTATATAAGAATAATTATAAAATTAGATTATCAACAGGTTGCAGTGTAAAACTAACAGGATTATATAGAACAACGCAAGGTGGATCTAAGGAAAAACAGGAATATGAGCTTCATGTTAATGATTTACAGATTTGCGGATACTCAGATCCATCAGTATATTTTTTTTTTACTTTTGTTTTGTCTTATTATATATATAGTCTTATCCATTACAAAAGAAACATCACGATCTAGAATATCTTAGAGAAAAAGCGCACCTTCGATTGCGTACAGAATCCATGTCTAGATTGTTACGATTGAGATCCTTTTTAATATCAATTATATCGTCGTTTTTTTCCAACAAAGATTATATTCAAACACATCCTCCTATTTTAACATCATCTGATTGTGAGGGTTCTGGAAAAATATTTAAAGTAGAGAGTTCAAATGAATCAGATAATTTCTTTAAGAAAAATACTTATTTAACAGTCTCTACACAATTACATTTAGAAGCATTATCACATTCATTATCAAAAGTATGGTCTTTAAGTCCAACATTTAGAGCAGAAAAAAGTCGTACATCAAAACATTTAGCAGAGTTTTATATGTTAGAAGCGGAAATTTCTTTTATAAATGATATAGAAGATTTAATGTCAATTGTAGAACAAATGATTCATGATTTAGTGGAGAACTTAAAGAATAGCTCTATTGGTAATGAAATGATCACCGAAAACTACAAGACAAATAAAAGAGATCAGATAAATCTTGAAAATCGCTGGAATTTCTTTTTAAAAGAACATTGGACCAGGATTACATATGCAGAAGCAATTAATGCTCTAAAAAACTCTTCTGTTCACTTCAAATTTCCCCCAAAATATGGACATGATTTGCAAACTGAACATGAAAAATGGTTAACTGAAAAATATACACATAGTCCTCTTTTTATCATAAATTATCCAAAAGAATTAAAGCCTTTCTACATGCGTCTTAATAATGATTCACTCAAATATGAGGATCATAATACTGTCTCTTGTTTTGATCTTCTTATACCACAAATTGGAGAATTAGCTGGTGGAAGTTTACGTGAAGAACGTATAGATATACTTAAACAATCAATTTCCACTCGTAAAACACATTTATCAAATTTATCATGGTATATTGACCTTAGACGTTGGGGAACAGCAAAACATGGTGGTTTTGGTCTTGGATTCGACCGTTTCATTGCTTATTTAGCCGGTATAAAAAACATAAAAGACGTAATGGCTTTCCCAAGATGGCATCAACATTGTAACTTTTAAAAACAATAAATACAATTATATTTATTTTTAAAAACGTTTTTTACAGAAAAAAATATTTTTTTAACTTCTTATTTCTATAACAATATTTTCTCAAATATTCCTTCATCTTTTTACTTTACTAATCTATTGTTCCAAACAAATAAACATCCAAGATACTTGTTTCATGTATTTTTATCTTTTATAAAAATACTAATATATATAGATTTCTAAGAGACCGAAGCAAAGCCTTTAGTCAACGACCATGTATTAAAGACCATTAATTTCTCTTAAGAATAAATAAAAAACCTTTTAAAATATAGATCTATAGACCAAGGGTTATATAGAAGGAATGCAAGGAGTTATTTCATAGGTTTTTAAGCAGTAGTTATAAGATGAGTGAAAATCAGACCACAAATGAAGAATCAAAGTCATCAGAATTATCACCAGAAGCTCATATTCCATCAGGAATAATAGATGAATCGGCAGATAATAAAGAAAAAGAAAATGTCCCAACAGTATATGAGAAAGAAAAGCAATTAGCAACACCGTCATATTCAAAATCTATTTTAACATTTTCTCAATCAAAAAATACATCGCCTACATCAACAAAAACAAATACAAATAAGGTATTATCAGATAATTTTATTTGTTATAAAGAGAAGCCATCAATTCGGATTCATGTTCCTTTAAAAGGACAAGTTAATGTCTATGTTAATTTTGCACGAGAAGCAGAAAAGCAATATGGATGGACAGCTTTACATCCATTACAAGCAACGAATTTAGTAAAGTTAGGGATGTTAAAATTTGATAATGAACTAGATTCAGATGAAGGAGATGAATCAGAATCAAATGTAGATGATGATAGGAAGTTTAAGTTATCGGCAACACATACAGAAAATGAAAATTCAAATCTTCAGGAACCATTTATTCCTGTACCAAAGAAACGTAAAAGAAGGATACAAGAAGAAGAATATGATACTCTTGATCCATTTATTGATGATTCAGAACTATTTTTGGAGGAAATTGCAGCATCGAAAGATGGTTTTTTTGTATTTTCAGGACCTCTTATACCAAAGGGAGATAAAGTAAAAATAGAAAGGTATATATATCTATTTCAAGTAGAGTTATTAAATGTTATCAAGAACGGACGAATCTACAAAAAAAGGACGTTCACGAGGAGGGAAACAAAATGCAAATCGTATGATTAATAAAAATACAAAGCCAAAAGAAGCTAAAAGTCCCAAAGAAAACAACGGAAAAAAGAATGTAAAAACAATTCAAAATACAAAACATACAGAACAATCAGAAAACAAAAAAAGTGCACATTTAGAAAAAACAATTGAAAAAAAAGAGCCTAAGGAATTAAAAGCCAACAAAAATTTAACTCCTGCTAAAGAAAATCTAGAATCAAATTCCACTAAAAGTGTTAATGAAACTAAAGAAAATAAAGATACAACTACACAAAAATCTAAGAAAAGTAAAAAAATAGAAAAGCCTGAAAATGAACAAGATTAAACGAAAAAATGGGGGGAAAACTAATGGAATTATTTCTGATATTCTTTGATGCATATTTTATTTTTTAAAAACTTAAAATATTAATGAAAAATATTTATAAAATGTTTTATTTGTGACGAATAAGGTTAATAATATCAGATATTTTTCCAGCATCATGAATGATTTCTTCCCACTTAACAACATCCCAACGATCATTTTCCGGAATAATTTCCCAATTTGGACTTGGGGTTTGCTTTAGCCATCCAAAATCTTGGACTCTATTCCATGCTTCAAAGGAATTCTTTCATGAATTAATACGTAAACTGATATTTGTATTAAAAATTTACCATATATGGATTAGGCCCAAATCGAATTCTTGTACAATTTTCTATTATTGCCTTTGATTTACAGGCAATCAAAACGTCGACATCTTTACAATCATGCATTCGAAACTTAATTCAATCACAAAAGTTCTATGCAAAAGTCATTAAAAACTTACTTGATAACAAAAAACAATAAAAGTACAATCTTGACAATTAGAAATATACGCAGGCCCACAAATATTGTTAGCCAATACAAAACAATCTTTAAGGTGATGAGCTTTTAAGCTATACCATTCCAATTCACGAATCAAATAAATACAAAATGATGAATCCGAAAGATTAACCTCACTATTTCTACCATTTTTATATAAATCAATCCTCTCTTCTACATGTAAGAATGGATCTTCAAGCAGAGATAACGATTTTTCTAGTGACATAGAAGCTGTTAAAATCATTCAATCTTTTCTCTTTTAATAGAAAATCACATCTTACATAAATCCATAGGATTTGACTCTTTTTGTTCTTTTTGATCATTATTTGCATCTACGCTTAATTTGAATCCAAGATTAGGCTTAGGTCGTGCATTTTTTTTCAGGAGTTGATATGACGTATATAGCTCTTTCATTTGCTATTTAAATAAAGATCAAAAAAATAAAACAAAACAAACAAAACAACTTCTTTCAATAAGCGTCTATCATAGCTTGGAAGCAACGTGATAGATTTTATCATACTATCATTTAAATCTTCAATTCGATGACCAATCGCTTCTATTAATTGGTCTTTTTCTGGACTATTTGAAAGCGAGAAAAGCATACAAATCTCATCGTCTAATGCTGATCCATTGGTTCAATTAAAATATATTGAAAATGAATAAAATAACCTTTTTTTTTAGATAAAAAGGCTGTATAGGTTAGTATCTCTTCACTCGACGTCATAGATCTTTCAGCCACTCGACTTGAAAATCTTGAAAACTATATAGAATAAAAATATATTAAAATACTTTTCTATAAACTATTTAATGAAAACAATATAAGAAATAATTCTTAAAATAATATAATTTATCTATAAATTATTTGTTTTTTTCTAGTCTTCATTCTAAATATAAGATAAACCCTTTAAAAATCAATCAATAAGTCAAATAATCAAATATAGAACATCTACTAAAAATTGATTCTACTCATATACCTCGCCCACTACCAATAGCATCAACAATTTCTGACCTAGGCCGTCTATATTGCACTTTAAAAAGAGTTTCTTTTAATTTTTTCGAATTTTCTCCATAAAAATCATGATATAGCCCTGTCAAAGTACCCCCGCACCAATCAAAAAGACCCATAAAACATCCTAGCCCCATTCCATAACCTACAACTGCTGGTAAAGACCTTACTTCTTCCATCAATTTTTTTATATTATATTAAATGTACAAAAACACACCTCTTATAGCTCCAACTGAACCAGAAACAACTCCCCCAAGAAACGCATTAAACGGATCATCTTTTCTACGAAGATTTGAGACAAATGCCTCAGTAAATGAAAATAACCCTCCCATAACAGCTTAAAAATAATATAAAAATCATTTTCTTCAATAATAAGGAAAAAAAATACCATATGTCATAATAATGCTTCTACTACGTACTAAGACACTTCTAATATCAGAAGAATTTTTCGTTATAGCATTTTCAGCAGCAGAAACCATTAATCCTACAGAACCAGAGATCATCATAGATTTTAAACCAGAAAAAACAGCATCTTTCTCTGAATAAGATCTTTCTTGAAATATAGAAGCCATAAATACAAAAAAAGAGATTATCTTAATATTTTTTTAAATATTGAATTTCTTAATTAAAGACTATATAGAAAAAAACAAAGTATATTTTAAAATGATAAATTTCCAAAGATTATTAATAAAAAAGAATATATAGCTGTTATATTATATAGAAAATATGTATTATATATAGAGATGTAAATATTAGTAAAAAAGAATGAGAATGGTCTGTATGATTAAACAATGAATAAAAAGCAAAAGAAGCCAATAAAAAAGAGTGCAAAATCATCATAAAATACAATCAAAACGGGTAAATACTAGAAATGTATTATTTAAAATAAATTAAAAAAAAAAGAAAAATACTTTGAAGAACAGCAGCAATAACTTCAAGCTGCAATTCTTTATCTTTTCCTCCAGATGTTTCTTCTGCTATAACATCCGCTAGATTAGAATCAACGCAATTAATATTACTACTATATTTAATTGTAAAAGGCCATTGAGAAAATTCCTTAAAAAACTCATCAACACGAGTGAAAGCACGCTCACGAACTTCATATTCAACAGAAGAAAAAACATTTTCCAAAACATTTGCAGCATAGGCTGCACAAACTAAGGAAATTACACGAAGATGCCTCATTGATATCGTTTCCGGAAAAAATACACTAGTTGGTAAAACTATTGTAGGTGCAGTTAACATAACCACCAAACGATTACAAATATCATCTTTAACAAAATTATTTGAAATAGGATGTGTAGTCATATCAAATAACAAAAAATTCCGCTTTTCAGTACGAAGAATTCCTTTATCCACCAATCCCTTAGCTAAGCGCTCACGAACTTGTTTCAATTGATATCCAATTTTCATAAAATTCCATGTTTCACCTAATTATCAATTACTTCACAAATAAATGCCAGAAATCTCGCATACCACTCATCAAATCAACCCATGAACCAATCGTCATTTTTTCACTTGTTTTCATCATTTTAAGAGTCTCGTCCAACAACGTCTCACCCGTTGTTTTATCATTTACAACCTCTACAATACGTTCTGGCAGTGGATGCCGCTTTCTAAGAGAATCACGGCACATTTGAATTCTACCTCTAAATGCAAGCTCTAGAATTATACATCCACGAAGAATATATGAAATATTATCATTTCCAAAAGGCAAATAACCCTAAAATCATTTAGTAAAAACATTATTCATTCCATCTAATATCTTTAATCCCAAAATACCTGTTTATTTTTTAACCCTAACAATAATACTTCTTCCATCAACGTAAGACATGGTTGTTTTCTTCTTTCTTCATCTTCTTGAAGATCCAAAGGATCAAAAACAATCTTATATTTTTTCTTATCAATATTACAACATTCTTTTCCTAAAGATTCCCTATTTAAATCCTCTTCTTGATAATTTCTTGTTGATGATGTTTCAACATATCTATTTGGCCCAGAATTTCCAACACGGCGCCGAAAAAGCCCAGATGACATAATTAACATATAACAAGTATAATAATTCCTTAAAAAAACACAAAAAAAAACCTCAAAAACTCCTATTTTTCTTTATTAATTTTATTAACTTTTATAAGCTGTTTTTCCTCTCAGAAAACGCTTCAAAAAGGATCTCAAAGGATATTTCAATTTCCCCTATAATAAAGAGGTTAATATTCAAATTTTGTTCATTAAATATTACTTTAATTAAAAAATTACAGAATCAATAAAATTCATGTCTACCATATAAACGATCAAAAAAAATATTTATATATGAATTTTTAATAAAAAAAACAAAGACATTAGAAACAAACAAGGAATCATATTTATTAAAGTAATAGTTATTTAAAAATTAATTTTCTTATTTTTTCTTTATAATTTGAAATTACTCCTAAAATCATAATATTGCCTAAAATCAACAAGCTAATAATCAATAAATAAGAATAATATAAAAATATATAATATATATATAAAAATACCATCTGGATGATTAGAAATATATGTTATTGCTTCTCCAATAGTTCTTATTTCATCAGCTTCTTTATCTGGAATTTCTATATTAAAAGCCTCTTCAATCGCCATAACGACTTCAACAGTATCTAAACTATCCAATCCAAGATCAGCAGAAAAACTTGATGTAGGTGTAATCTAGATAACAATCAATGCATGCCCTTAAATCCATAGAAAATGCAAATGGGTATTTTGTATAATATTATAAAAAAACAATTTTTTATACACCCAATTTTATGTTTTATTCTTACTTTTGACGGATCAGTAATTTTGTCAAAACCTTTAACAATATCTATAATCCTTGATTCAATCTCTTCTTTTGATAAACGTGCTTGAGAATAAAATCGAGTGGTCACCGATTTTAACATTTTATTAGTATTTACTCTATTTTGAACCAAAAAATTCCAAGAAAAAGGACGAATCGTACTAATACTTTTAAACAACATTCTTTTTTCTTATTTAAAATCCTTTAAAGTGTCTTTTTTGTTAAAAAATAATCTTTTCTTTTAATTTTTAAGATCGATCGATCTCATATAACCCTATATATTTATCAGTTTATTATAACCAGTAAAAAACTTAGTTATAATGGTATATGTCAAAGTCATTGTGTTTTATGTTTAGATGATCAAAAAAGAAACATGGATATTCAATGAATTTAAAATAAAAAAAATATATAAATACCAACACAAAAGATTAAATCTTAAAAAATGATGATGTATAAATTCCCTAATAAATAATTTTAAAAATCATTTAGAAGATAAGAAATTAGTAACCTTGAAAGAATCATTTTTTCAAAAAAATTTCATGTAAGATTTCATCATATATGGCATCTAAACGTTCACGGTATGCCATATTATTATTTGACAATAATGTATCATTTAAAAGATGTTTCTGGAGTTCCATATTTTCAATATCTGATCTTATTTTCTCAAAAATTTTTAAAGTTTTTTCAGTTCTTGGAACAGAATTTATCTTCATTTCTGTCAAAAGATTCTCAATCTCAATTATATCATTCCATCCTTCCCATCGTGCTAATAACATTTCATTATATACATTAGATGAACAGCCTAAAACAAATGATTCTGGACCAAGTTCTTTGATACGTTCAAATATTGTAGCCACAGATACATAATCTAAAAAATTTAATCGAAATATTTCCATTGCTTTTTGAAGTAACTGTGAATATAGACGTGAAATAATAGATTTTGACAATCTTTTATTAATCTTTCCCTCTGATAACTGTTTTTTAAAAGGTTCAAATATTGATTTTTCAACAAAATTATGGAGTTCTAAATCTGTCCTCATATTTAACATAGTTTCTTCTATTTTTTTAAAGCATAATTGCAATTCTGTATCATTAATGTTTTTTTGACTCTTATCAGAAAAACTATTTTTTTGAAATCCACTGGGAACTAATGGTTTTAAAATACTATTTAAATATCTTTTCTCCGAAAAAAATCCAGTTCTTGGAATAAAATTACATAAAATTGCATTTCCAGACGATTTAATAAGCCAATAATCATATAAAGAACAATTCGTTCTATATATTATAAATCTTTCAAATTCTTTCCTCTTCATTCGCATAAAATCATATAAAACTCCATAAAATGCCATTGAAAAAGCTTTATAGCCAAACGTATTCAATAATTTCATTATTCTTGAAGTTTCATAAATATTTCATAAAAAAACTTTTTATAAATCCTATTAACATAAATTATCAACTTTTTTTGAAAAAAAGATAAAAGACACATCAATATCAGACAAATTATTCGCTGTAGATATAAAAAGTAGAAAAAGGCGGAGTTTTATAATAGCTTTTAGTAAATCAATATCAAAGTCAATGATTCACAAATAAAAAAACATTATTCAAAAAAAAACAATATTTATTTCAGAATACGCATATTAAATAAGATATTAAGACAAGTTCTTAGATATATTTAAAAAGCGTAAAGCTAATTTTCTACAAAGACCAACAGCATACTTTTTTTTGAAGTTAAACGTCGCTATCGAGGCCTAAGATGCAAGAAATTAATGAGTATGAGCGTCAAAGGGAATTAAATATTAAGAGAAATAAAGAACTTTTAAAGTATTTCTATTGATTTTATTAATGTATTTCTTATATATTTACCAGAGAACTTAAATTAGATAGTATTTTCAAAAAAGAGCCAAACAATCAAGTAAATCTAGCAAAAACTAGAAATTTAGAGAAAAAAAACACAAAAAGAAAAGATTATAGTAATCTTCCTAGAAGAAACTCATCAAGACTTCTCGGGATATCAGCAGAATCAGAAAATTTTAAAAGAAAACAAGAAGCAGATGTGAAAAATATAATAGAACAAAAAAAACGTCTACGTGTGCCAGGAGACTTAAAATTAAGTGAAATCATTGAAGATTCATATGATTGGGATGTTGCGAAGAAGGTTATTAGGAATGCAGTATCATATACGGGGGAATCTATTGAAAAAAAAGAATCAGAAGAGTTTTTAGATAAAGATGTTTTTAAACTAAAACAAAAGATGGAATCTCTTGAATTATATAAGAGATGGGATCCATTTTACTTGAAAATAGTTCCAGAGAGAATATCATGTATTATTGTTCATCCTAGCACAACAAAAAAAATTGTATTTGCGGGAGATAAAATTGGCAATATGGGTATTTGGGATATGGATGGATCCAAGACACATAGAATCAAAAATGAAGATGAAAATAGTGAATTAGAAGAACCATTAATTCATCACTATAGACTGCATTCTGGATTAATTTCAACATTTAAATTTAATCCATTTTCTACAAATACACTTTACTCTTCTTCATATGATGGTACAGTTCGCGCTGTACATTTGGAGAAAGAATTATCTACAGAAATATACGTTTCTGATGGAGGCAATTCAAATAATCCATCTTCGATTTCAGCATTAGTTGTACATCCTAAAGGAGATAGAATATATCTTACGACAATTGATGGTCGATTTGTAATGAAAGACATCCGCTCCCGAGGTGCATCAACTTATCAACTACATGATAAAAAAATTGGGGGATTGTCTATTCATCCATGTGCTCCATATCTTATTTGCACATCATCTTTAGATCGTACAATGAAAATATGGGACCTTCGTATGATTAGTAATTCTAGGCCAATATCACATATAGGTACATATATATCACGTTTAAGCATAAGCTCTGCATATTGGAATTCTGAAGGTTCGATTGTTGCGACTAGTTATGATGATACGATTACTATTTTTGATAATCCAAATTATAAATTATGGACAAATGATACTAAACTTAATGATATGTCACCAAATTGTACTATTAAACATAACAATCAATCAGGAAGATGGGTGACAATCTTACGCGCACAATGGCATGAAAATCCATCCACTTGCATGCAAAAATTCACAATTGGAAATATGCAAAGGTATACTATTAATACTTTAAAAAATATTTAAGCTGATAAGATAATTAAGACATATTGATATTTATAGTAATAGAGGAGTTTGTCTTGCTCGTTTGGGTGATCCTAACAAAATTACTGCTGTTCCTGCAGTATGTCAATTTCATCCAACTCAAGATTGGGTTGTGGGTGGATCTGCTTCAGGAAAAATTATAGCTTACCTTCCTCCAGAAGAACAATGTTTGTAATAACAATATTAAAAAATAAGTAAATATTTCTATTTACATATAACTAACATTTATTTTTCAACAAACATTTTTTCAAAATATCAATTATTTTATATTTCATCATAAAAACTAGCTATTTCTTTTGAGATTTATACAGTATAAAAAAAATTAATTTAACCTATAATACTCAAAAAGTTGCAAATAAAGTGATTTCAACAAGTATATGATTTGAATATTTTATTTAATATTATAAATTCAAAAGGAAACAGGAAAACTCTTTTACAGCATTAATGATTTAATACATAAACTAAAAACAGATAAAAATATTGTTTTTATAAACTCAATATAAATGACAGCATTGATTCATTTTTATAAATATTTTAGAGGAAACAATTATAATAAAGATAGAGTTCAAGTATTTTCGGCGCAGAAATCTAATATTTTTAGAAATATATATCAAAAATATTTATAAAATTAAATATTTAAAATTTTAACTATAATATTATATATATATACATGTCATCAATGAAAACAAAAAAGCATTTATTTTTTAAAACAAATATTAATATCTTTAAGTATACTTGGAAAACTAACAAAACTTTAATTTTTCAAAAATTAAATTTTAATACTATTTAGCACAAAATATAAACTTTTATAAATAAAAAATAAAATCATTTTATTAAACTTATATTATTCATCAAACATATACAATTAACATTGATATTCTATATAAACTTATCAACATAAATTTTAAACAAATTCTACATATTATTAAACAAAATTCAACTATATCAAATATTCTTATAACTCGCTACATTAATTAATTGCTACTTAATACTTATCATTCATTTAACTTGTTTTTTTTTAAAGATTACCCTATAAAATCTCAAATCATTAACATTAAAATAAGTTCTTATTTATATTTTAATAACACATAACCAATTTATATTCAAAATAGATCCACCGAACTCTGATATCCTTTAAAAAAATAAGAAAAAAATAAAATATATTTTCAAAAATATATATCAAATTTTACTGATCTTTAAAAAAAATCTTAAACAATATTCATGCTTAAGATATCATTACTCTAAACCCATTTCTTTAATTTATAACCCTACCATTTATAATTTTTAAAAAGACCAATCTATAAAATTCTTTTTTTTAAAAAAAATAACCAATATATATGTATTATATTGTTAAAAATAAATAAGCAAAGTTCTCAATTCTTAAATTTATTTTTAATATTAGCATAAATTTATCATCGCAACGTTAAAAATAACGAGCAAGTCTTATTAATGTTTTTCATAAAAAAAGCAGCTTCAAGACCTTTAATAAAGAAAATAAGACATACAAGACAAAGGAAATCATTAGCTTTTATCTTAGATTCATTTCAAAAGCGGTTTTTAACGGGTTATTTCGGCCAATTTTCAGATATCTATGAAACATTAAGATCGTCAAAAATGATAGAAGAAAGAAATACGGGGTTTTATAAAAGCCAGATGAAGCTTGTAGAATCGGAAATGTCACATCTAACATATAATATCCGTAAGTTATTTAATTCTTGCAATCCTATTCTTTATAATGTCGCAAATTATTATATTCAAACACAAGGAAAGCATGTTCGACCATTAGTTGTTCTTTTAATATCTAAAGCAACAAGTATTGCTCCAAAAATTCCAAACTGGAATGATGGATTATATAATAAATATAATGAACCTATATCATCTACGAATATTGTGAATGATAATGATCCTGACAAACCATTATCATCCTATGAAATCCCGATGGATGCAACAGAAACAGATATCTATCCATCTCAAAGAAGATTGGCAGAAATTACTGAGATGATCCATACAGCATCCTTATTACATGATGATGTAATTGATAATTCGCACATTAGAAGAGGGATGCCGAGTGGAAACCATGTATTTGGCAACAAAATGGCAGTATTGGCGGGGGATTTTCTTCTTGGAAGAGCATCTCTTGCATTAGCTCGTCTAAGAAATGCGGAAGTAATTGAACTTTTAGCTACAGTAATTGCAAATCTTGTAGAAGGAGAAATTATGCAATTAAAAGAAACTATTGACAAGGAGGATAATGAATATTCCCATTTTAGTGATGTATTAAATAAATACCTAAAAAAAACATACTTAAAAACGGCAAGCTTAATAGCAAAAAGTTGCCGAGCTACTGCTTTATTAGGTGGTTGTACTAGTGAAATTACTGATAATGCCTATTTGTATGGAAAAAATCTTGGGTTAGCATTTCAGGTAACCTATATATGTTCATGAAAAGGTTTTTATATATTAATTAGTTAACGGACGATATGTTAGATTATACAATTTCTGAAGATACTTTCGGAAAACCTGTAAAAAAAGATTTAAAACTTGGATTAGTAACAGCACCCGTTTTATTTGCATGGGAAAAGTATCCTGAACTAGGACCAGTTATAAAACGAAAATTCTCTAACGATGGAGATATATGTCGAGTATTAAAACTATTTAACTATTATCTAATATTAACATTACATAGACACATGAATTAGTCATAAAAAGCCAGGGTTTGCAAAAAACAAAAGAATTAGCCGAAAAATTTTGCAACAAAGCATTAGATTCTCTTAATTTATTTCCAATGTCGCCTTCTCGACTTGCACTACAAGAATTAACATACAAGGTTCTAAATAGGGCAGAATAATCAATTATTAAACATATTAAGATTATCGAATAATTGCATACTTAGCATAATATTTATCTCATATAATTCTGGAACGTTATATAGGAATTCTTTATTTTAGTATTTCATATTTTTCACTGTTTACTCATTTATTATTAACCATAATTTCGTATGATCTATAAAAATAATTGGAAAACATCTTTATTGCCTATTAATTTTAGCTATAGTAAAATCACATTTTAGATATATATATGGAGTTGACAAAAACACTATGAATCAAATGGGTAATACTTTTAATTATAATAAGGGTTGGCTTTAAATATTTAAGCCAAATCTTGCAAATATTTATCATTTATACTTCTTTAAATTTATTTGATAAACTGAGATAAATTAATAGGATATACTCATAACAAAACATATAATATCTTTATCTACCTTTCTTTATTCAGCTCTAAACAAGGAAAAACATACCTTAAATTTCTTTTATTAAATAATTACCAGTTTCTACAGGTTTTTATTACTTAAAAAAAATATTCATTCACATAATAAAATCATTTTATTTTTATATTCTAGGAATCTAAAAAATCTTATTGATACACAATATAATTTATCAACATATGGGGCAACTTTATTAATAGTCATAAAGTAAAACAGCAACCATCTTTTTCACACAATGATCTTATTTTTCTTTAGACTTCTATTTTATTCAACTTTTAACAAATATCTTTCTCAAAAATTTATAAGACAATACATAATAACAAATTACAGGTGTAATCACCTTATAAAATCAAATCATTAAATGTTACATTTTTATCATTTGAATCTATTCAGTCTTTTTAAAACATTAAAAATACAAAGCATCAAATCAGTCTAATAATATTAGCCTTATAGACTTCAATTTCATATATTTTTTTATAAAAAATTATAAATATTAAGGAAAAATCTCAAACAGTAAATGCATTCTATATAATCTAATACATGTTTCATTTGATAAAGTATCAACTCATTTAAAAATATGTCTCAACTTTTGTTTCTCAAAAATAAAATCTAGCTGGATGGCCTTTATTTTCTTGACTTTATCAGCGACGAACGGCAAGAATATCTACTTTAAATAGAAAAATATAAAATGGGAATTAAACATCTTCGCCAGCTTCTTGAAGAGCACGCTTCGTCTTGTATTAAATTGAATAATATTGACCATTATTTTGGACGGAAAGTAGCTATTGTAAGATTTTTTTAAAGAAAAAAATTAAATTAACTATTGTTTTTTAGGATGCTTCTATGAGTATTTATCAGGTATTTTGATTAGTTTAATATATATTTTGGATAATAAATGGATTTATAAGTTTTTAATCGCAGTTCGCCAACAAGATGGACAACAATTAATGACAGAAACAGGGGAAACAACAAGGTGAAAGAAATTTTCCTTTTTTCTAAATTAGAATTAACAATTCAAGCCATTTGATGGGGATTTTCTATAGGACTTTAAGAATGTGTGATAATGGCATTAAGTGTGTTTTTTTATAAATGAAAAAATGTTTTTTTAATGATTATGCTTCAGACCATGTTATGTTTTTGATGGAAGTCCTCCTAAACTAAAAAGTGGAGAGGTGTGTATAAATTAGTGATTGGGAACTTTTATGAAATGATTAAAGCTTGCAAAACGACTAGAAAGAAGAGAAGAAGCAGTTAAATTACATTCAGAAGCAAAAGAAATAGGATCCATAGAAGATATAAATAAATTTAGCAAAAGAATTATACGTGTGACTCGTGAACATAATGAAGAATGTAAAAAATTACTAAAATTAATGGGAATACCATGTATAAATGCACCATGTGAAGCAGAAGCACAATGCGCAGCTCTTGCTAAGTCTGGAAAGGTATATAGATTATATACATTTATGCAGACTAATATTCTAAGGTTTATGCAGCGGCATCAGAAGACATGGATACATTGTGTTTTTCTACACCTATTTTACTTCGACATTTAACTTTTAGTGAACAAAAAAAAGAGCCTATCAGTGAAGTTAATTTGGAGAAAGCATTGAAGGAATTGTACATGCCTTTAGAACAAGTAAATACATTATATTTTTAAGAGTTTACTAAAAATAAAAAAGTTTGTAGATCTTTGTATTCTTTTAGGATGCGATTATTGTGAACCAATTAAAGGAATTGGACCAAAAAGAGCACTGGAACTAATTAGAGAATATAAATCTTTAGATACGTTCATAAGTTCCGCTGATGGATCTAAATATCAAATACCTGAAAATTGGCCATATAAAGATGCAAGAGATTTATTTTTAAATCCTGATATTACAAACCCTGAAACTCTTGAATTAAAGTGGGAAAGTCCTGATGCAAAAGGTCTTTTAGAATTTCTTGTTAAGGAAAAAGGGTTTAATGAGGAAAGAGTAAACAATGGTATTTTAAGATTAGAAAAAGCATTAAAATCAAGTCAACAAGTGCGCCTGGATAGTTTTTTTAAGGTAAAAAGTTCTTTAAATCTTATATTAATTTAAAATATGATAGGTTATCCCAAAACTACATGAAGCTACTAGTGTAGAAAAAAGAAAAACTGAAGAAAATACACATGCAAATAAGAAAAATAGAACTAATAAAAAAAAAAAATAATATTAACAATTGAAATGTCTTTTTGTATATAAGCTCAACTATAAAAAATGCTATTGTATATTAATAAATATGAACATATATTAATATCTACAAAAACAAATATTTTATTAAAGAACAATATACATTTATGTAAACAAAAAAGTGCTATCTAAACTAATAAGACATATGCTCATAAATAAAGCCCTAATAATCAAAAACATGTACGTGTTTTCTAATATATTCAAAAAGAATCAAGGCATTTTAACTGCATCTCAATAACTACAGTAATAATTCATCATTATTGATGACTTTTGTCTATGCAAATCGTATTTCCATAATGCATTATATTGAAAAGTAAATCGAACAAATTCTTTTTACCAAAGTTGCATAAAAAGAGAACATAGCCATCTTGAGTTTTTTTTTCAAACCTAACTTTCCATATTGGTTATAAGAGAATGATTATTTTTCATAATAAACATGATATAATAAACCAACAAAAATAGAAAAAAGACGATTTTATAAAAATCAATCCTTAATTTTACGTATCCCTGAATACCAACTTTACAATAATAAAACTTCTTCCTATTATAATACTAAAACTAATCCACTTAGATTTCAACAGATTGATGAGTTTTGATAATAGATGATATAAATTTAAAAAACCGTGAAGCATATCCAGATGGAGGTATAGCAGATACTTGGGATTTTGAATGAGAAAGTCCTTTCCAAAAATGCTCAACTTTTTTGACTATATTGTACTAAAACTGTTAGAAATGTAGCCATTAATAGCAATCATACTTTAGTCAAAAGATCAATTATACCAATATAATATATTGAATCACCAGGAAGATTATCTTCTTGAGTAGCACGAAAACCACCATCATCACTATAAAATATGAAATCTTTGCGTCTAAATAATAATATTAGCATTAATTATTCATTATTAATAACAAAACTTACGTAAAATCAGGATCGGACAATTCATTTGAAGTAGAATTAAGAGAAACAGGTCCAATAGTTGAAACAATTTTTCTAAGCTCATTAGCACTAGAAACAGTCTGCCCCTGTTTTAATGAGCTATGTATTTGTTCTGAATCAGGATTGAACACAGATAGCATATTGCCTCGAATATGTTCTTTATTTCCTAAAGACAAATCATGTATACCAACAAGAAGGCTATAATCCATAATATCTAATGATTCTAATAATTCTATATCTGCCTTTACTTGAGCTAGAAATATATCTCGTTTTTCTGGACCTAGTGATAAATACATTTTTCTTCTAATCCAATTCAAATCCTTCATAGTTGCCCTCGGATTCTTTTCCAAATCATCTTCTTTATAATCCCTCCCTACAGTAGATCCTTTCAAGTCAAATGTCTTATGAATATCACGATGAGGAGGAAACAAATTATTCATTATAACGAAATGAATTTTATGCCCATAAGGCATTTTTACTCTATGTAGGCCATAGAATTGAGAAATCAAAGTATTAGGATTCTTTTTTACATGCTATAATGTGATTAATCTATATTATAGAAAAATTTATAAAAACACCTCATAGTACTGCCTTAAAATTTTACGCAAAAATTTATGTTCAGAGTGATGAATAGTTTTAATTATATAACGATAATCACGAGAGAAATAAAAAAAGCTTCCACTTTTCCCAGGAGATCCTAATTCAGAAAGAATATATTTACTCGTAAGTGATATCAAATAATCAGCAGGATCAAGACGAAACAAAGCCCTTAAATGACGAAAAACCCATGGGGAATAATCTTTAAATTTGAAATCATATTTTGCAGAAGGAGTTAATTCATTACCCGTTCTAAAAATTAGAAATAATAATAAATCTTAACAAAAAACATACATATCAAAAGAAAATTTGTATGAATCAACGAAATCTATGCTTGTAAGATCACGATCAACTTTTGCTGTACATCGAGAAACCTAATTATTTTAGATAACTATAACTAATAAATTAAAAAAAATACTCCAACTCTAATCCCTGTTAACATATTATAAGCAGTTACATAATTAACATGATCCTCTCCAATTCTAGTGCCAATAAAGTACCCTTGATTTTCTTCATTTTGTTTTCGTTTATGTTTTGATGATCGTTTTTGCCAAATAGTTTCAATCCATTTTACTGGTTCTTGTGCTGTACTTTCTTCACGAACATCCAAACTAACACATGTCACATTTTGAGATCCCAATCCCACTCCCAACGCATTATCCACTGAACATCCTTCCGAGGATGCAACTTTATTTTCAACAGCAATAGCATCCGGTATTTTATTATCATGTACATTTGATGTAATAAATCTTAAATCATTTTGCTCTTTTAAATCCTGCTCATTACATGAAACACTCTTAGAAACATTAGAGCATTTATCTGAGATTTTTGATTTATGTTGAGTATCTGAAACATTAATAGAGATCGTAGAAACAGTATCATAATTAGGCGCATTTTTTCGAAAACATGTCATATTGTCTAAAAAACGCGGAAAACCCATAGATAATTTACACCTGGTCATCATTTCTCCATTTCTATCCTTTTCTAGTAATTCTTCAAAACATTTTACTGATTCATATGATTTATCACAACCATTAGATATACAAAACTTATTTATTGATTGTTCACTCAAATAATCATCTAATAAACTATCACTCTCTTTAAAACCCATAAATATATCCTTTTTATCTCTTTTATTCGCCTTATCTTATCATACTCTACTTTTATTCTATTTCTTACTTTTTCTTATAACTTAACCCTCATTCAACCTTTTAAAACCGGACTTTTTCAGCCTGCTCTATTAATATATAAAATAATATATATTTATTAAGAAAATCGGCTGTTTATTAAGTTATTTACTAATATTTAGATATTTTTAAAGATACCAACCTTTTGGTTGTCGAATAACAATCGTCAGTAAAAAAAGATAAACGATAAGATCTTTTAAATATAGTAATAAAGATGTTAATTTTTAAAAACATAAAGAGTATATTTGTATTTTTTTATGTTAATATTAATGAATAATTATAGGAAATGAGATAATGAGATTTAGAAAAAAAATTAGTGTAAAAAGAGGGAGTTATGTTGGAGTAAATATGAAAAAGACATGATATTATGAATCCTGATGAAAAAAGAAAGATGTAGATCCCTTTTTTTTTGAAAAATATGGGTATCCAGTGAAAATATATGGACTAATGATGTATCGATATTATGGTTCAGTTTCTAGAGGAAATATAGTTAAAAAATTATTAAATAGAGGTATTAGAAGAAGGGTAATGATATGGGGGATGGGATGTCTAGGGGCATACTTTTTTCCGATTATTATGTCGGGTATTTTAGTTTTATTGACAGGAGTTTTTCTTTCACGAGTTTTTCAATCAATTTTTAATTTGAGGTATCAGAAGAGATTTATTAATAACATATTTCCTTTTTGGAATGCGGGAAAATATGAATCTTTATTGTCGAATTTATTTAAACCACTTGTTTCTTATATTATACCGGATACAGGTTCTCTTGCAGAAAAATTATATATAAATTCTATAAAACGAATAGAAAGGGCAATTGAGGTTAATGAATCAGAAATATCCTATATTTTGGGGACAAGAAAGGTATCATTTGAACAATATGAATCATTTTCTATGATAGGAATAAACAATTTGTCAAAATTTTCTATAAATTTTAAAATGCTTGATTTTTATACAAGAAATGAAATAGCATTAGCTTCTTCATACGGAGTAATGGATGAATATGATAAAAGTGCTGTTTTAGAAAAGATCCTAATAACTACCAATGATAATGAAAAAATAATTCTTTATGGAGATATAATTTCTAAAAAAGGTCAAGGAAAAACCATAGATGCCGAACACTGGACCACGAAATCGTTAAATTAAATTCAATAAACAAAGCTTTGTTTATAAGACTACAATTCATCATGAGTATCCTTTTTTTTGTTTTTTTCGTCAAAATTAAATTGTATATTTTGCATCATATCAACAGGTATTGCAATATTATCTACAACATATTCACCTGATTCGTTAGTTTTTCTTTGTTCTAAAACGCGTGCAATTAAATCTGCTATCGTTTTATCATATTTATTCCATTCAGGAATTTGACGGCGAGCACGCTTTAATTTTGATTCCTTTGTCATTGGATTATTACACAGGTCTATTGTTTTCGCATCTTTTAATGTTTCATCTGAACACCATGTTTCGCACCAGAGCCAATTTTGAGGTAAAGAAAAAATTGGAACTAAATGTTGCAAATTATTTGGTAAATCTTGATCAAGATTAGCTAGCGATCCAGGATCTTCACTAAGGGTTTGGTAATGTTGTCTTAATAAATCTCCAGCAGCAATTTCTCTAAATCTTTTAAGATCTACTACATATAGAGCGCTTCCTAATATTAGATATTTAATAAACACAAGTCCAATTACCTTATATGATATGGTTTCCCATTAAGATATGATTCCCAATAACCCTTTTTCCAAAATCTATAACCTTCCATTTCCTCTCTAGAGTCACACATTGGTGTGTATCCATATGGTGCACCCTTCAAATCCATGTCTACAAGCTCTTTTAAATCAGTTCTAACAATCTTCAAAAAAATAAATAACATGTTGAAAATATATTATTATATATATACCTGATCAGCATCAATAAATATGATATTATCCAGATCCAAAGGGAATAAAACATCTAAAAAAAGAATTTTATATCTAAAATAATTTTTAGTAAATACCAATTAAATTAGATTATGATTTACCCCCAAATTTGTCTCTGTTTTTCTTTCTGAGGCCGTAACCAATGGGGCCAGCGGTATGTAATAAGTTCATATTGAAACCCGAATTCATTTGCAACATAAGGTAGAAAATTCTAATATAGAAATCAATAAAATATAAGTTAATATAATAAAGACCTTAAAAGAAGATGACAAAAAATTCTCAATGAACCAAAATTTAACAGTATGTTTTGTATGTTTAAGGACACTTAAAGTCATAATATATAAAAACCTTTCATATAAATGACCACTTGCTATAGAAAAAATATTAATTTCTGCATAAGGTTTTTGCATAAAAGAATTAAGTTTAAATTCATCAGTTTGCTGAGAATTCGTAGAATTCAAAACTGTATTAGGTGTAAAATTATCACTATCTAAATCTTTCACTTCAAAAATTGAAACATTTTCTTTTCCAGGATTTCTAACAAGTTTAGGAAATATTGTCAACCCTTCAAAACTGTCTAATATAATTTCTTTAGAAAACTTGTTATCATTAGATTCAAATTTCTCGGAAATTTTTGAAATTTTAAAAATGCTACTATGAGATTTTATCATATCTATTTTAAAAATACCAGGATTAGCTCTAAACTGGAGATAACCATAATTATTCATAACTATTGTATCACTGACAAAGCTATTATTTTTGGTTTTAAGAGCTAATTGAATGCCAGCAGGTACATTCTTTAAAGTAATATCTTCTGCATGTCCTTGTATAAGTATATGTTTAAGTTCATAAACAATTCTAACTTTCGAAATTTTCTTTGATGATAAATCTTGTAGTAAAAGATTATCTAAATCATAAATAGACTCTTTTTGAGTAACAATCCACGATTCAAGAATGTCATAATCAACAGTATACAAATGTAATTTAGGCAACTCTTCAAAAACAGCATTAGGGTAAATCAGATTACTAAAAAAAATAAATATAAGCAATTATAGCTTACTTTATTTACCCATTGCTATCAAATTTCAATGAAGAATGTAAAACGTAACGATAAAAACGATTAATAGATAAATCGGTTACTTCTCGTAATGGATTTAAATACACTTTTAAACATACGCTTTCCATTTGTTTCAAAACCTAAACTTTTAAAAATGATTTCAAATACAAACCTTTCTTACTTTTAAAATAGATACAAGTTTCTGAGATATTTCATTTAAAGGATCCAATATAGCTTTAACATTAAATAAACAATCATTTTCATCTCCATAAGCAAATGATGGACTTAATTCTCTGAAGAAATTTTGTAAATTACTTCTTTTATCCTGAGAAGAATAACCAAAATCATCATGTTTTTCAAGCACCAGATATGACAGTATTACTGATGACAATAAAGGGAAAAATATTTTAAGTCTAAAAAGATTATTTTTTTATTCCTTAATTCCTTTTTTTACTTTTCTGAATTTTTAATGCTTAATTCATTAACAATAACTTTTAATTTAGAAACCATTGATAGATTACAGAAATTGCCCAGGGATTCGAAATCATCAAGCAAAAAATCATCAAATTCCGACATTGGACCAACAATCTTACTATATTAAAAAAAAATTTCAAAAATATTTTCAACATACATAACCATTTATCAATAATCCAAATTCACCAGGCAAAAACCCAAACTTATTCAATAAATTCCCTATTTTTTTCCAATATAACCTAGCTTTCACAGAACTTAATGCTAATTGGGTGGAATTGTAAGTGTTCAAAATAAAATGTGGATATTCTATTTTCTTATCAATACCACCAGAATCATAATTATTAAAAATTTTTCGAACATAGTTCAATGTAGGATGAGCAACATCAATATCTCTTTCTTTCAAAAGGAAAAGGAATGATGAAAAATGATCAAATTCTCCTTTATTATTGACTCGAGGATTATGTAAAAACCTTAAACTAGTATAAGGATGTTTTATCTAAATTATGTTAAAAAAAAAAAAATAATAAACACTAACTATATATTTTAAAGCAGATTTTAGATATTTGATACCCTTTTTTGTATCAAAATCAGCAATTAACCAGATACTTTGTTCAGTATTTAAATTCTCTATAAAAATAAACTTAAAATAAACATTTTAAAAGAAAAAACCATTAATAGAAGAAAATTCCATATTTTCATAACTTTTGATGAAATCAATCAAGTTTTGAGACTTAATTAGTTTATTTGTAGGATACATATAAAATTTGCGTGTAAAAATTGCATCTTCCAAAAGATAGTCAAGAATATTTGCATTATTAGTGAAAGAACCCTCAATTATCTAAATGATAGATAATGATTGAATAACAAATAAGTGTAAAATATACCTTTTTTCTTATAATATTAACGTCATTTGGAAAAATATATAATATAGAATATTGCCAATTCTATAAACTTATAAAAAAGATGAAAAACTTAGTGACATATATGATACCTTTTTCTCTACAAATTTCCCATTTACGATTATATAATTATCATTTTTTATATTAAGTCGCAAAACCCATTCTTTAGTCTTCAAAACATATTTATTTAATTTTTTAAATTTCATAATCTCATCAATATCTAAATATTGTATATTTTTACCAAAAGAATACTTAGACGAAATAATTTTATAATTTCTATACAAAACATTTCTATTCTTTCGAGTTCCTGAATCAATCTAAAACATATAAAAATATATAACTAAAAAAGAAACATACATATGACAAATATTCAAATGCTACATTAATCCCATATATATCATACAAAAGATAAAAAAGTTTAACCATAAACATATCTATTAAAATTAATATGATATATAATTTCAAAAAAAAAACAAACCTTCTGAATCATCCCATATAGGAACAACCCCAATTCTTATAGGATAGGAACTACGTATTAGTAAAAGCATGGTTCTTAAAAGTAAAAAATCAACTTTTCCAGAAAAATCCAAAAATATGATTATATGATGTAAATTACGTCGCACCATATGCAATTGTTGAAAAGGAACATCATCAAAATACTGTATCAATAAGTTTTTTTTTTAATAGAGAAAAGTGTATACTTTATAAATATCATTAGAAAAATGTGAATAATTAGGGTCGTTTTCTATATCATTTAACCACAAAATTGCCATTGAATTTTCATATTTATCCCTAAAATCAAACCGATTATCAAAAAACTTATTAAATATATTATAAATAGACTCATTAACAAAAAATTTCGCCTCTTTAGCAGACAATCCTAATTTTTGTAAAGACATAACAAAATCATAGACATTTCTTAAATATTTTGATAAAGAAAACCCATTTATCTTAGAAGGGTCAATTTCGACACCATTAATAGAAAATAACATCATTCCTGGATCAATATATTGATGGTTCAATTCCAACTTTTCCATCAAATTTCTAGTAACTTTTATAGAAGATAAGTATGAAGCATACTTTGGTAAATCTTGAAGAACAGAATTAAGAGTTTCTAACGGTGTTTTGCTATAATTAACAAATTGAACAATCGAGAATCCCAATCTTTTTAATTCTGCATTCGTTAAAGGTTTAATTTCATCATTTTGAATATCTGATAACAAATCATCAGAATCAACATTTAGATTATGATTCCCCATAAATGTTTTCTCATTTAAGTCTAATTTTTAATAAATTAAATAAAAAGAAACAATTAAGTACCATCTACAATATTTCTATCATCAATAACCAAATAATCTGTTTTTTTTAAAGAAACTTGAACACCATATCCATTTAAATATAATAAATGTGAACCAGAATTTCCTGGCTTATAACGAAAAACATACTTTAGATTCCCTGCCTTAGCTTCTGCAAATAAAAAAGAATGATAAGTTTTATAATCATCAGAATCCAAATCAGCATATAAAACTGCTACAGGTGAATCATAATTTTTATGAGTATCAAAAATATGATCGAATGGTAATAATACAACAGATCTATTTTAATTAATCTTAAAAAATATAAATTTTAACTAACTCAATTTCTTCATATCTACAATCCTTTGCCTTCAAAAATTCTTCTAGATCACAATACTGCTGTCCATTAAATAAAATCCAATTTCTACATTCCAATATAAAATTCTTATTCATCATCTCGGGAATCACTGTATAATTATAATAATGGTAATATGATTCTATCCTTGGCGCTAATAATTGAAGTCCTAATTCATAATCCAACAATGACAAAGAAATATTATCCTTAATAATCTCATTATCATAGACTATCTTACGCAAATAATTATAATTATCCAAATTTAATTCTGTTAATGTAACATTCCTTATCTTTGATATGATATCAAGCAATTCAAAAAAATATGTCTCACCATATGTTGAAACTGTTTCTCTAAGATATTTTAACTACTAGCTTGAATTTTTTAAAATTTACAAAAATATATTTATAAATGGTGGAGCCTTAAATGATGATGTTAAATAAGCATTAATAACAGGAGATCCTAAACAAAGCTGGAAAAATATTCCTAAGAAATATATAAAAATAATACACCAGGCTTTCCTAAATATATTTAACTTCATCAGAGATATTCATAAAAATTTCTATAGGTTCGGCGTATAAATTAAAAAATTAAGGTTAATCAGCTGAATTTTAATTAAAATTTTCAAGAAATTGCAAGTTTATTGGATTTTTACTTTTGTTTGAAGATAAATCTTATAAATAATATGAATAATTATTAAAAAAGGATATTTAGTGTTTTTTTCAGATCAAAAATATTTCAAATATGAATAAAAAAGAAATGAATGAAAACAGAAGGTTTCATCATCCTTTTAAACCTTACAAGATTCAATGTGAGTTCATGGAGGCTTTATATTCAACAATTGATGCGGGAGGAATTGGTATTTTTGAGTCACCTACGGGAACAGTAAGGTTGGAAGAGTTTAAAAAGATAAAGTAAAAATGATAGGGAAAATCATTAAGCATTATTTGTGGAGCAATGGAATGGCTTAGAAAACATGAAGAATTATCAGTAAATGAAGAAGAGAATGATGAACCAGAGTGGATTATTAAATATGAAATTGAAAAAAAAAAAGAATCAATTAGAATAAAAAAAAAGGAAATAGAGGAAAAATTAGAGAAAATTAGAAAAGAAGAGATAAAGAGTATGAACTTAGAAAAAAATAGGAAGAATTTTATTAAAAAAAAACGATTAGTATTGAAATTTTATTTATTTAAGTTAAAATCTGACAATTTAGGATAAAGAAAAGAATATAAATGAAGAGTGGGATGATGAAGAATTTTTGATAGATGATTATAATAGCGATAATGAATCTTCTAAATCATTTCACGCAAAATCTATTGATAGTAATAACTTTTCGCCTCAAGTATTACAATTATTACAAAAGTAAATCGTTAAATATATATTCTTAAAATTGTAATAAGTCATAGACTTGAATACCCGATTGAAAACAATAATTTTATAGATGAAGATGAATATCCTGAGGAAACTAAGGTTAAATTCCTAAATTTTTGGTAACGTTTTTAATGTATAGATTATCTATGCATCACGAACACATTCTCAATTGACACAATTTATTAATGAGTTAAGACGTGTTTCATTTCCATCTACATTTGATGAAAATACCATACAACCAATAAAACATATAACATTAGCGTCACGTAAAAATCTATGCATTAATCCTAAGGTTTTAGAACTTTCTAATATTAATTCAATAAATGAAAAATGCATTGAGCTTCAAAAGCATGGTAACTATTTATAATTGTTCAATATTTTTATTTATATAAATAGAAACTACTGAGCAAGGTAGATGTAAATATCTTCCCAAAAATGACAAGACAAAAATACACAATTTTAGAGATCATGCACTAGTAAACATAATCTCTATTAGAAATCTATAGTGCTTATCTTTAATAGGCCAATATTCGTGACATTGAAGATCTTGTCGCATTAGGCCAAGAATTAGAAATATGTCCATATTATTCATCAAGAACTGCTCTCAAACTAGCAGAGGTAAGAAACTACAATTTCGTCAATTGCATATAAATATTTAAGATAATTACTTTACCATATCCTCTTCTTTTACAAGCATCTGCTCGTGAAACACTAAACATATCTCTTAAAGATCATATAGTTATTATAGATGAAGCACATAATTTAATAGATGCTATAACATCAATACATTCAAGTACAATAACATCAGATCAAGTTTCATTAGCTTTGGATCAAATTAATGTTTATCTTTCTAAATTTAATAAAAGACTTAAAGGAAAAAATAAGGTTTACATAAAACAAATAAAAAAATTATTGCAAAATATAAATGATTTTATGAAGCAAAGATTTAATATTCTCGGAGATATTCAGGTTGAACAGTCTGAATTACTATTTTCTGGAGGAGCAGATCAAGTAAACATATATAAATTAGAAAAATATATAAAAAATAGTGGATTGGCCAGGAAAATAGATAGTTATTTTGAAAAAAAATCTAAAAATATATCAGAAAAAGAAAAAGACAACGAAGACAGCAACGTATCCAAATTACCAGTCCTTTCTTATATCCAAACATTTCTTTTAAATCTAACAAATCCTTTTACGGAAGGAAAGTTATTTTTTGGACATATAGAAGGAGCCAAAATTAATAACAAAACAAAGACGAACTGTTATTTGAAATATTTGCTTCTTAATCCATGTCATTATTTTAAAGAAATAGTTGATGAAGCAAAAGCAGTAATTCTTGCAGGTGGAACAATGGAACCTGTAAGTATTATTTCCGAAAAAAAGTATAATTATTCATTATATTAGATGGATGATTTCATTTACCAACTTTTCCCTTACATGCCAAAAGAAAAAATTCATAAATTTTCATGTGGACATATTATATCGCCAAATAATTTGTGTGCTATAGTAATATCTACTGGACCTAGCAGAAAAGAATTCATATTTAATTATGAAAAAAGAAACGATAATGATATGGTATAAATGAAAGAACTTATAATATCATATTAATATCATTTAAGTTAAACGAGCTTGGTAGTACTTTAATAAATTTATGCAGAGTTATACCAGATGGAGTGATTTGTTTTTTTCCAAGTTATGATTATTTAGAAAATATAATTAAAAAATGGAATATAAAACAGGAAGGCACAAAATTTTCTATATGGGAAAGGCTTGAACAAAAAAAAAGAGTATATTCAGAACAACATTCTATCTAAAATAATATATATAGATTTTTAAAGAAGAAAAGTTTTCGACAAATATTGAAAATATATTACAAAGTTATTCCAACGCAATTGATTCCTCAAATACATCAACATGCAACGGTGCACTTCTTTTATCTGTTGTCAATGGTAAATTATCAGAAGGAATTAATTTTTCCGATAAACTTGGACGAGGTGTAATTATTATAGGTCTTCCTTTCCCAAATAATCAAAGCTCTGAATGGAAAGCTAAACTAGAATTTATTGAAAATAATTTTTATCAATATTTTAAAGATAATCCAGACATTCAAAAAGCTTCAATTCAGGAATCTCTCAAGTCTATTAAAAAAGAATATTATGAAAATATTTGTATGCGTTCTGTAAATCAATCAATAGGTATTTATAAAATTTGGAATATTTTTAAATATTAATTAATTAAGGCAGAGCTATAAGACATCAAAATGATTATGCTGCTATCATTTTTATAGATAAACGTTACGAATCTCAACACATACGCAATAAAATTCCTAAATGGATAAAAGATAATATTATTTCAATGGACACTACAATGAAAGGCAATTTTGGATTAACTTTAAAACATATTATAGATTTTTTCAACAAAAAATAAAATCTTATTTTTTTTAAAAAAAATTCTTAAACAAAAAAACCTATCAACACTTTATTCTTATTTTTAAATACTTTTTCTTTATATAATCATAAGACATACTTTTTGAATATATAAAATTCAAAATATAAAAATAATATATATATAATTTCATATTTATTATTGCTTCTTTAAAAATCATTTAATATTTATTATTTCTAATAGTTTTATCATTAAAATATTACAAACAAATACAAATAAACTAAGAATTATTCCTATTATTTAAATATTGCACCTCGATACACCCGACTACAAAAGATGCAAATATTCACCAAGGTATAGAATATTAAATACTTTAATTAAATTACTTATTTTTTTAGTTTGAATCCAAGTCATCAAGAGTAAAAGGAGTGGCTTTTCACCCTAAACGACCATGGATTCTTACATCATTACATAACGGAACTATTCAATTATGGTAGACTTTTTTCCCATTTTTTTTGAAAAAAAAGAGCCAATATCTATAGGGATTATCGTATGGGAACATTGATTGACAGATTTGATGAACATGATGGTATATTTTAGTTTTTTATTGGAGTTTTCTACTTATTTTTATTTAGGTCCAGTTCGAGGTATATATTACTTATATTTAAGATAGTTTTATAAAATAGGACAGGAATTTCATTTCATTCCACACAGCCTCTATTTGTTTCAGGGGGAGATGATTATAAAATCCGTGTCTGGAATTATAAGTCAAGAAAACTTTTTTTTACACTGAATGGACATTTGGATTATGTCCGGACAGTCTTTTTTCACCATGAATATCCGTGGATTCTTTCATCTTCCGATGATCAAACAGTTCGTATATGGAATTGGCAATCTAGAAATTCAATTGCTATTCTTACGGGTCATAATCATTATGTTATGGTAATACACGAATTTATATTATTATTATTTACGTTATAAATTTACATCTATGTTTTATAGTGTGCACAATTCCATCCAAAAGAAGATTTTGTTGTTTCAGCTTCTCTAGATCAAACAATTCGTGTATGGGATATTTCTGGACTTCATAAAAAAAATACAATTATAAATTTTGAAAATCAATCGAATAAGTCACACAATCAATCTTCAGACATTTTTGGAAATAATGCAGTGGTTGTTAAATATGTTCTTGAAGGTCACGATCGTGGCGTTAACTGGGTTTGTTTTCATCCGACATTACCTCTTATTGTTTCTGCAGGTGATGACCGCTTAATTAAACTTTGGCGCATGAGTGGTATTTTTTATTTTTATATTTTATATTTGCATTCATTTTGTTAGATACAAAAGCATGGGAAGTAGATACATGTCGAGGACATTTTAATAATGTATCGTCTGTTATATTTCATCCTCATCAAGATCTTATTCTTTCTGTTGGAGAAGATAAATCAATACGTATTTGGGATCTTAACAAACGTACTAGTTTGCATTCATTTCGACGTGATAATGATAGGTTCTGGATTATTGCAGCACATCCTGAAATCAATCTTTTTGTCGCAGGTAATTTAGATTCTTTAATATATTTAATATTAACTTTGAAAAAGGCCATGATAATGGTGTTATGATTTTTAAACTAGAACGGGAAAGACCAGCATATACTATTTATCAAAATACTCTTTTCTTTATAAATAAAGAAAAATATATATGCTCATATGATTTAAAACAAAATGCCGGTGAGTCTTCTATTATTTCTTTCCAAAAACTTGGTAGTCGTTGGAAAAAACCACGTACTATATCATATAATCCAGCCCAAAGGATGATTTTAGCATGCTCACCAGTCGACAACGGTAGTTATGAAATTTTTCATTTAAAATCAAATGAAACGAACTCCTTGAATTTCACAGGGACTAAAAAAGACTCATCGTTTACATCAGAAGATGAAAATTCTGAAAAATTATCTGGTTCAGCCTCCTCAGCAATTTTTATAAGTCGCAATAGATTTGCTATTTTCGATAAATCGCGACAAACCATTGAAATTAAAGATCTATTAAATACTACTATAAAAACTATACAACTATTAGTCATTATCGATGACATTTTCCCAGCAGGAAATAGAAATATTATTATTTCCTCATCTTCATCGGTTATTTTATATGATATTCAGCAAAAAAGTATTATTACTCAGCTTTCTATTCCTCAAGTAAAATATGTTGTCTGGTCAAGTGATGGAGAGCATGTCGCTCTTCTTGGAAAACATACAATAACCATAGCGACAAAATTATTGAAGCAAGTATGTTCTTTACATGAAACAATGCGCATTAAAAGTGCATGTTGGAATGATTCAAGTGTTTTAATATATTCTACTCTTAATCATATTAAATATGCTCTTTTAAATGGGTACAGTTTTTTTAAATGATATCTTAAATTGTCTTAACAAAAATAGTGATAATGGCATTATTCGTACAATAAACCATCCCATATATCTCGTACAAGTAAAAGATAAAACTGTCTGTTCTCTTGATTGTGATTCAAAACTGGACTTTGTAAATATTGACACAACTGAATATCATTTCAAACTTTCATTAATAAATAAAAGTTATAATGAAATGCTACACATTATTCGAACATCGAATCTAGTAGGGCAAAGCATTATCAATTATGTTCAGGAGAAAGGATATCCAGAGGTATATCTACTACTATTTTAATTTTATTTAATTTCAAATATTAAAATATATAGATTGCTTTACAATTTGTTCAAGACCCACAAACTCGATTTGAACTTTCTCTAAAGTGTACTAATATCAAGCTTGCATTAAATATAGCTAAAAAAATCGATAAACCTGAAGTGTGGACTTCACTTGCTACTGAGGCACTGCTTCAAGGAAATCACCAAATTGCAGAAATATCATATCAAAAGCTTAAAAACTTTAGTAAACTTTCCATGTTATATCTTATAACGGGAAATACAGCTAAAATGGAGAAAATGCTAAAAATCGCTAAAAATAGAGGAGATTATACAAATCGATTTCATAATACTCTCTTTTTAGGAGATGTAGAATCTCGTATACAAATGTTTAAAGAGATTGATCAATGTATGTCTTTTTATATTAATACAATTTATTAATCAACTATAGATGCATTAGCATATGCTACTGCTAAAACATATGGACTTATGGACCATTGTAGTTCTATTTTAAAAGAAGCAGGTGTTTTAGAAAGTGATATTAAGATTCCATCTGGAATAGCTTTATTACCTCCAAAACCTTTATATAATACATTTGAAGCAAACTGGCCTTTAAAACCTATGACACAAACCTGGATTGAAAAAGCCTTGTTTAATCAACTCGATTTAATGACAATAGAAGATGAATATTCTCAATACGATAATGTCGATACTGCAACTAATCTAAATAAGTCTAATGTAGAACAAAATCAAAAGAATACTGTAACTGAAGATTTAGATGAGGGATGGAACATAGATGATGATATAGTTTCAAATGCAGACATTCAAATTAGTGAAGATATTAAAACTGAAATAGACATTTCTTCTGGAATTAAAGAAACTGATCTTTGGATTAGAAACTCTCCTCTTGCCGCAGATCATATTGCAGCAGGATCTTTTGAAACCGCAATACAAGTAAGAAAATTTCCTTTGTGTTGATCGCTTATTTAATTATGAAAGCTACTTAACCGACAAATTGCAGCTGTTAATCTTAAACCCCTTAAACCAAAATTCATGATGATTTTTCAAGTATCAAGAGTATTTTTGCTTGCATCACCATCCTTACCATCCCTTTATTATTACCTTCGACGAACAAAAGAAACAGATTCAAAAAAGCCGCTTCCATATATTCCACTGAATCTAAATATGACTCGGAAACTTCTTGAAAACGCATATCAGTTCGTTAAAGCTAATAAATTACCAGAAGCTATCAATATTTTTCGTGATATATTATATAATCTTTTGTTGACAGTTATTTCTACAGAATCTGAAGAAGAGGAGGTATATAACATTAATATTATTATATATTTTCGCTAATTATCGTAGATAACTCAACTAATTGAAATGAGTCAACAATATATTGTCGGTTTGTCTATGGAGTTAAAAAGAAGAGAACTTCCTGCAGAATCCGTAGAACTTAATCTTGAGCTGGCAGTCTATTTCACTCACATTGCACTCCAGCCATCTCATAAGCAACTTGCATTACGACAAGCCATGAATTTATTATATAAAAACAAAAATCTATACAGTGCATCTCATTTTGCAACCCGATTACTAGAACTCAACCCGTCTAGCCAAATTGTAGAACAGGTATAATATGTCTTTATACGAAAAAAATTTAAACAATTATCAGGCACAAAAGATTCTTGCAATTGGAGACAGAAGCCCCAAAGATGCCATAAAAATAAACTATGACCCATTTACTGATTTTGATATATGTGCGAAATCATACACTCCTATATATAAGGGAAATCTTAAGGAAATATGTCCATTTTGTGGAGCAAAATATCTATTAAAATATAAAAAGACTCTCTGCGTAATTTGCAAAATATCAAGCATAGGTGCATCTGCTACAGGACGAAGAAACAGAATATCTACAAAATAGACTCTAATATTATATTCAATGTTTCGAGTAAGAGCTCGCGTCTTCCATTATTTAAAAATAAAAACAAATTTATATTACAATATAAATATTAAGGATTATATTTTCCAAACTTCTACACCTAATATGTCAAATCGTTCACCTGGCTTCACGCTATCACTAAGAGGATCATTATTAAAAGTTTGTGTTGAAGCTGATATTCCCTTTTCAAGCTGTCCATCTATCCATAATCCATATTTCCCATCGCCTCCACCAATTGATAAAAATGAATTATCGCATAAAACCATAAAATCGTTAATGCCGGTTGACATGAATGCTTTAAATCGAAATGCAGATCCATTTATGTTATCAAATGAATCATTTGAAAGAACTTTCCAAACAAAACTAAAATATTTAAAAACAAATCATATTAAAGATAGAAAATATACCATTCCCTAGAACCATAGTATGATGTACTTGGATGGAAATACTCATTGATAAACGCTCCAAAAATCTACTGAATATTTGTAAATTGAAATATAAATATTTAACTTACATTATTATTACTATCTTTAACAACCAAGACGAACCCAGGCCTAGAGCTAAATACACCTCTATTTTGGGACGATTTTAAATATAATGTAAGTAAACTTGAACCATGATGATCTAAAGAATAAACTAACTTCCATTTCTCTTGGAGTTGAAGACGACGAGGTATAAATTTCCGAATACCTTCTGCAAGCTCTCTAGTTAAATATACAGACGACTTCTCCTTATTATAACCATAAAATGAAATAGGAACAAGAGGAGGGAGAACAAAAGATCTTGATTTGCGTTTATTTGAACTACGTTTAAGATTTAAAAAACAAGAAAAAAAAGATTTAGAAGATCTCGGTTCCAAAACAATAAATTTAAAAATCCTATTAAGATATTAACCTAGTTTGTTCTTTCATTATTCTAGAGCCTTATCAACAAAATTAAAGATGTAATAAATATAAGAATAATTGATAATAACAAAGTTAAGATTTCCCAGTTTTCCAGTGTAGTCAAATATAATATAAATATATATAGAATAATACAAAACGGGCACTTTTTGTTTCCAATTAAATCCTTTTATTTCTGGCCTTTTGTTTTATAAAAAACAAATAATCGGCAATTAGTAAAATCTATTTTTAACAAGTTACCAAAAAAGCAAATAGAAATGAAAATAAAAAACCTTATATATTTTATATAAAAACCAATATATCTTGATACAATTAATAAAATTCATATAGAATTTTATTATAACTTAATCCTTAATATAATAATAAAAATCTTAAACAAAGAAAATAACCAATCTTTCAAATAGACTAAAACATGTCTCTTATTTCATTGTTTTTGTCTTATTTAATCCTAAAACGCAATCCATAATATTTTTTTTATTTTCTATATTATTTTTAGTTAAACCCAAAACAATGTCCATTTCACTAGTTTTAAGCGTATTTCCTGGTTCAAAATGATTCACTAATCCTAAAACTCTATCTATATTATCTTTTTTCTCACAAACATCTTGAGAATCAAGCATATTTTCATATTCTATCAGCTTTTGTAGCGCAGAAACTGGTTTATTCAAACAATTTGACATTTTATCATCAGATAAACGCTTATTAACCTCTTCTGTACTCTTATTATTTAATAAAAGCTTCGATAATTGTGAAAAACGCTCAGAATCTACTGTTTTTATGAATTTTTGTAATATTCGAAGTTTTGTCAGTTCTTGAGAGCTCCAAACTTCTTTTTCATCCTTAAAAAACGATAAAACTACATTCCTATGTAAGAAATAACACACTTAAATGTATTTAAAACCTTTTTTTCTCTTTCTTCTGAACTTTTTATGACTTTTTGTTAAAACATTCAAATATGATTGTTTTTCTTCAGAATTAACTCCATCTTCAACATTATAAAATACCCTCTCAGATGAGAGAGCTATATTAGTAGGAAATAACTCTGATCTCTCAAATTCATCAAGAAATAGTACTGTTTGTTTCTTTAAAAAATTCATTATTCGTTATCTCTGCAGCTACGATAAGACTCATACAAAAGACTATAAATTAAGAGATAAATAATTAAAAACTAATAGAAATAAGAGAAAAAAATAGAAATAAAATAGATCGTCTTTAATAATATTACGTTTATATTATTTTTTTTCTGAAAAAAATATTAAAAGCAAAGAAATCTAGAATGTCATTCAAAATTCTTAAATGATAATTAAAAAACTAAATTAAATCTATAAGTTTATTGTCATTTAAACAGAGTGTAATATATAAAGATTAAATATATATATATAAACCCGATAAATTATTAGATAAACTTATGAAATATTTTGAGAAATCTCTTCATCCATGTCGAATTGTATTTCATCATCAATTGTAGCAACAGATCGTTTAATAATATCGTTAGTACTGAGTAGTGAAGAATTCTTATTAAGATTTTCTAGTGATTTTTGCTCTGGTATAATAGAAATATCTTTGGAATGAAAAACATTATTTTTTGCCGAATTTAGCAATACGCTTGGTATCTGAAGCTCATTTGTTTGACAATAATTATAATCATTATGATAAGGTTGGATATGATCATGATATAGTACCGATCCAGGAGAACATTTCAAAGTCAAATTATCGGAGTAATCGTTATATTTAGAAAAAAATGTACAAAATCTGGAAGATGGAGATGTTCCAAAGCTGGATGGATTTGAAAGAAAATTAATATTAGAAGTTGTTTCATGCTCATCAGTTTTTTGAGATTGAGATTCATTAAAGGTATATGATTTTTGTGAAACAGGTAGGCGTAATTTATCATTAAATAAAGATTTAGGAGAAGTTTTACTATTACTTTGAAGGGTAGTTGAATTTTTCCACGGACCAGACCAATTGTCTTTAACCGAAAAATTGAATGATGTATCATGTAGATTATTATTTTCTGGATATTTTTTCGTAAAGATAGACTGTGTTGAATAATTTTCCGCTTTTAATGATCTTTCAGATTTTAATGAAAAGGAATCATCAGAAAAAATAGACTTTGAATTGTTTAAAAGAGGTGAAAAAGTGGTATTTCTATCCTGTAAAGGTGAATATATTGTACTTTGTCCAGAAAGAGATAAAGATGATATATCTGGACAATCAAATTTTGTAGAAACAGAGTTAACATAAGGTTCGTAAGACGAAAAATAAGATTTGTTATGATCAAAATTCGATGGTAACTGTATTTCATGTAAAGAAGCACTTTTAGCTAGTTTTAATGAGGGAGAAACAAGGTCTAGAAAAAAAGAAAAATCAATATAGTCTACACATAATAAAAGAATAATATAAATATACCAGAATTATTGTCAAGTGTTAAAGGATATGAAACCGGTGTATGGTTTTCCTTTAAAAACAACGTATGTGGGATTGACAATTCATGATCCATAAAAAAATTATATTCCTTATGTGGAGTTGAAACATTTTGAAGCGTTTCTTGCAGAAGACCATTATAAACTCCCGAAGTATTCGACTGTATTTCATTCATAACCCCATAATTTAAACCATATGGAAATCCATGCGTCTGACCATCAATGCGCTTCTCCTCGTCAATATAAACGTGCGCCAACGCACATTTTGTCCCAAATTTACAATTTCCTGACCATATCAGCCATTCATCCTATCCATACTTCAAACCCTTCAACCCTTTTGAAAATATTTACACGGAGCACGTTCTAAATCCAAATCCAAATTATGGGAGAACGGACAATTCTTTCCAGCTACCCACAATCAGCCTCAATTCCAAAGCTTTTTTTCTTATAAAAAATCCATAGGAGCCCTCCAAATTCCCTTTTCTATTTAAAAAAAACATACCCGTACAAACTCCCTGCTTATGAAACTTACACGGAACATGCTGCAAATCTATAAAAAATTCAATTAACTAATTTTTCCACATTTTTTCTCATTTCTTACTTTTCAATGATCCTCGACTTTCTGGAAAATAAACACTTTCTACTCCCTTAAACTTCTCCAAATTCACAACACGGCTTCTTCCCTTTATCCTAGGAAGGCCTGGTCCATAGCTAGGCGCCATTCTTTACTATCTTTATATTATAAATTTTTGGCTTTCTTAATAAAAAGTGCGGTTCAGACACTGACAATGTAGAAAAAATTGATAAGCCAAATTTTATATAGAAAAAAGACAGTAAACATATAAATAAAAGACAAAAAAAAAGAAAATAAATAAAAAAAATAAGAAATAACAATAAGGTTTTTAAGAATATTAAAAAAAATGTTTAAAAATAAATGCGTAGAAATATATGAAATAGATATAAAAGAATTAGCAAAAACATAAAAAAGAAGATAAAGGTCTAAGAAACAGATTGAAAGAATATTAAAGAAAAAAATTATCGAATACCAGAAAGAGGATCAATATTAAAGTCAATAACATCATCTTCGATGCCTAAACGTTCCTAAAAAGAAAATTAATAAGATTTTATTAAAATTATTTTTAAAGAATTATAATATACTTTAAGTTCAGCTGGAGAAGATTCTCCTTCAGAAATTGCATCCCATAAATTACGAAAAAGAGTTTTTCTATCTTTCCACATTTTACGCATGTGTTCATAATTTTTTTGAATGATTTCTTTTTCTTCTAGAGAAATTAACCTAGCAGTTCCAGATTGTAAGGAATTTAATCGGTTATTTAATGTAGTAATCTTGATTTATTAAATTAATAAAAGACAAGATGATAATTACACGTTGATCTAAATCTTTTGACATTGTTTGTAATTCAGCGGTGGTTTTTTGTACCATTAATGATTGAAGTGCTAGAAAAGTTAAACTTTGATTTTTATTAATCTAAATAATACCTTGTTTCATTTGTTTATTTTTTTCTTGAGTTTCATTAATTTGTTGCCGAAGCTCTTCAATACGTGTATCCATAATGGCCAATTCTTCTGACGAGGGATTTTCAAACTGTTCCTATTCATTATATTATTATTTTTCACATCTTTTTTCATTAGGTCACCTGATCAATGACATAAACTGACTGTTTCCCTAAGAAAATTTAACATATCTCCTTTAGAACTCATTCATCAATGATTAATTTTCTTTACCATACGTTTTACAACGAATCTCTCCTCTTTCGCTTAATGTTGTTAAAATCTTTGCTAAAGCTGTTTTTGGAATAGCATTATGTAAATTCAAACAAATATCAGCTTTAAAACCATCTTAGATATCAAAATTACAATATATATATAAATTTACTTGCTGAATAAGGTCGATTTGTTTTTCTTAAGTAATCTAAAACTAATGTTTCTATAGAAGAAAAGTATTAATATAAAAGAGATATTTATTTAGTTTTTTGAAAGGAATTACCATCATCTCGCTTATTTGACTGTGGTTTTGATTTTGTCATTTTATTGGACGTTATCAGTTGTCTGTACGATCACGATTCTAACGACATAAATTTTAAATAAAAAGAAGATATGAGAAAAGGAGGGAAAAAAGCAATAAAATACAAATAAAACAGGAGAAATAAGAATAACATTAGTACATAACACTTCTAAAGAAAAAAAGAACGAAAAAACTGGTAAAAAAACGGGCAAAAGACAAGAAAAAAATGTTTCGTTCTCTTGCACCAAGCCATAGAAAACAAAAGAATTTAATTGAGAAGAACGAAGTTAATTATGAGAATAATGAAAGAGGTCCATTGATAGAAATTGGTAATGGATTATCAAAAGCGTTTAAAGTTCCATCCTATAAAAAAAATCCAGGTTTAGAGGAAGGACGATTAAGAAAGAAATTGAAAATATATAATGAAATAAGGGAAGAAGAAAAAGAAAAGAAATTATTTAGAAAGAATTCATTAGTTCAAATTAGAGATGCAAGAGAAGTATTAAAGCAAAAATTTATAATACCTATGAAGGATAAAGAAAAAGAAAATAAATATGATAAAAATAGGGTACCGCCAACATTAGGAACACTTAGACCAGTAAAACTAATACCTAAACCTCTTTATGATCCTCATGGAGAGTTTTCTATTGTATTATATGATCCAACAATAGATTCTTTTTTAAAGGAAGAAGATGAAGTAGAAATACATAAAAGTATATCAAAAATACATAAACCGTTAGCAGAAATACTTGGTATTAAAAAGGAAAAAAATTATACAAATGTAGCAGTTGTAATTGATCCTAAATTATCGAAAATGCTTCGTCCTCATCAAATCGAAGGTGTTAAAGTAAATATTCGGTGAAAAAAAAGAATTTTAATCTTATTTTTTTCTAGTTTCTTTACAAATGTGTAACAGGAATAATTGATCCACGTGCAAATGGATGTATTATGGCAGATGAAATGGGTCTTGGCAAAACAGTTAGAATAATTTATATGGTAAAAAATCTAACAATTATTAGCTTCAATGTATTACACTTATGTGGACGCTGCTTAAACAATCGCCTCAGGCTAAACATTCAACTATTGAAAAAGCTATTATAGTATGTCCATCATCTCTTGTTAAAAATTGGGAAAATGAATTAGGTAAATAAAAAATCTATTGTGATTCTCTAATCAAATATCAGACAAATGGCTTGGAAAAGGAACAATTAATTCACTTTCTATAGGAAAAAAGACTACACGAGAACAACTTTCAACTTCTTTGTCTAAATGGGCATCTGCTACGGGAAAAGATATCGTACAACCTAGTTTGATCTTATTGCATATTTTAATAATATATTTAATTTTATATAGTACTCATCATTTCGTATGAAACATTAAGGATGAATATTGATCAACTGAAAAAGTGTAAAATTGGTCTTCTTTTATGCGACGAAGGACATCGACTGAAAAATAGTGAATCTTTAACTTTTTCAGCTTTGGATTCTTTAAAAGTACAACGTCGAATCATTTTATCAGGAACACCTATACAAGTATCATATATTTAAAACAATTATTAATCTCATTTCTCTAGAATGATTTATCTGAATATTTTTCACTTATTAATTTTGTAAATCCAGGATTACTGGGTTCTCGCAATGAATTTCGTAAAACATATGAACTTCCTATTTTAAAAGGACGGGATGCACTAGGAACAGATAAAGATCGTGAAATCGGTGATCAAAAACTTGAAGAACTTAGCGTTTTGGTAAATAAGTTCATTATTCGTAGAACTAATGATCTCTTATCGAAATATCTTCCTGTCAAGTATGAACATGTCGTGTTTTGTAATCTTAGCCCTTTTCAAAAAAAATTATATCAAAATTTCATATCAAGTTGCGAAATTAATAATCTCATAAAAGGTATTGAAAGTCAACCATTAAAAGCTATAGATTTTTTGAAAAAACTGTGCAATCACCCTAGTTTGCTAGATCTAAAAGAAGATTTAAAGGGATTTGAACATTGCTTTCCAAGCGATTTTTTTTCTAAAAATGCACGTGGGAGAAATAATGATATAAAAATTGAATATTCAGGAAAAATGATGCTTCTTGATCGGTAATTTAAATACATTGTTAATATTTTGCCAATTTTGTAGTATGCTTGCGAAAATTCGAAAAGATACTAATGATAAAATTGTTCTTATCAGTAATTATACACAAACATTAAATCTCCTTGAAAAATTATGCAGATTTAGAAGGTAAATTACAGAAATAGTATTTACATTTTCTCCTTAAATTTTGAAGATATGGAACATTACGTCTTGATGGAACAATGAGTACTAATAAAAGGCAAAAACTCGTTGATAAATTTAATGATCCCGAAGGAGAAGAGTTTGTTTTTTTATTAAGTAGTAAAGCTGGCGGTTGTGGACTTAATCTTATCGGAGCAAACAGATTAATTTTATTTGACCCTGGTTTGTAATATTAATTATTTTTTAATTGCTTACTTTTTTTTATAGACTGGAATCCTGCTGCTGATCAACAAGCATTAGCTCGTGTTTGGAGAGATGGACAAAAAAAAGATTGTTAGTAAAAAATAACTTACTTCTTATTATTTATTCTACTAGGCTTTGTTTATCGTTTTATTACAACTGGAACCATTGAAGAAAAGATTTTTCAACGTCAATCTCATAAACAATCTTTATCCTCTTGTGTAGTTGATGATGCACAAAACGTAGAAAGACATTTTTCTCTTGATAACTTGCGACAATTATTTGAACTCAATTTAAATACATTATCTGATACCCATGACACATTCAAATGTAAAAGGTGCAAAGATAATAAACAATTCATCAAAGCGCCTGCCCTTCTTTATGGTGATACTAGCACGTATATCATATTTATTCTTAATTCCTTTTTTTAATATAAATTACAGTTGGAATCATTTTTCTAAAGCTTCTCTAGAAAAAATTAATGATTTTTTACTTCGGCAGGAAATAAATAATGATGTCCTTTCATTCGTTTTTCAATATATTAGTCATTAATCTTTTTGTGAATAAATTTTTGATCAAAAATATTATTTTCAATTGTAAATCATCAAATTCATATGTTCATCCATTTTCTTTATATGTTAATCTTTATCAACTCCTTAAGATAAAATACTACTTAAGTATTAAGGACAAGATATTAATAAAACATATAAATAATCTATATTTTTATTCACTTATTAATCTAATCTACGATAATCACAGAATACTAGAGTTATCTAGATAAATCATAAAAGCAAGATTTTTAAAAGAATTGATGGGTAAATCAATATTTGAAGATATAAAAAATATAGATTTACAAAGGTAAATACGTTTTTCTTAAAAAACTGGGTTTAAAAATGTTAAAAGACGCCCTTTACGAACATATCAAAGACAAAGACAAAAAACACCAGATTTTGTGACAATTAAAGAAAAAAGAAGCGAAATAAAAACGTAAAATATATTTAAATATAGAATTCTATGTCTAAATTCTGTTATCAGGCCTTTATCCGTGCCTTTAAAGCGTTATTATGGTGAAAATTTTGAAGTAGATGATCCGCGTAAAATACTTTCTTCTCCAATTAAATCAACCACTTTAATAGAAAAGACCCGTGTATATGAGTTCAAATTTGGTAAAAAAAAGGATAATTACAAGAGGAGAAAATTATTTGAAACAAAATCAAAATTTACGCAACTCTGTTTAGATTTACTTCCTTCTAGAATTACATGCTCTGAATGCGGCATGTCTTATACAAGAGGATCAGCAGCTGATGAAACAATTCATTCAAAATTTCATGCAAAATCTATCAAAGGAATTGATTACCCAATTACAAATTCTATTAAAGAAGTTTGGAAAGAAAATTTCACTTCAAATAAAATTATTATGATTACTATGTCTTCACCACTTAGTGAAATAAAAAAAGCAAAAAAAGTTTTAAGTGTTGTTGACTTAGAACTTGGAAGTGCGAGTCCATTTCCTAGTTCTATGAATGAACACAATCATTTAGTAAAACAATATAAATTTTTTCTTTATTTAAAAGGAAAAAAGTGTATAGGTCTTATTTTAGTGGAACCTATTCAGTCGGCATATCCAGTTTATCCTTCATCCTCACAATCAAGTTCTATTACTTTAGAACCAGAAGCTTTATCAACTTATATTATGGGTGTTTCACGTATATGGGTATGTAAAACCTATAGAAGAGAAAAAATTGCTACTTTGTTACTGGATATTGCCTGCAACCATTTTATTTATGGAATAACTGTTAAAAAACATGAAGTAGCCTTTAGTCAACCTAGCGAAAGTGGAAAACTATTTATTGAAAACTGGACTGGCAAAAAATTCAGCGTTTATATAGAAAATTAAAGAATTGAAATTTAAACGGATATATAGACAATATAGAAACATTATTTGTTTTTTTTTTAATATTAACCATACTAATTTATAACAATAAGTTTGTTTTTTTCGACACATCTTATACATCTATATTGTTCATAATAAAATGGTATACTTCATGAATGGTCGAAATATATGTCTTTGCGATAATAAAAACAATTATTTTTCATATTTTTTTAAGTTATAAAACGACTTTTTTCAAAAAAAAAATCGAATTTGAATAAAATGAGACAAAACTTTAAAGGTATTGTTGTTTCATCAGGACTAATGAAGAAGACTGTTAAAGTCAAAGTAATTCGAAAGATTTTACATCCAAAAGTTCATAAGGTATGTATCTTAATTGTTTTTTTTTTCAATAAAAATAAAAAATTAATCATAAAATAGTTAATTACTTTACACAAAAATTATTTAGCACATGACGAAGGTTCTGTATGCAAAAATGGTGATTTAGTAAGAATAGAAGCATGTCGGCCATTATCTGCTAGAAAACGATTTTCTGTTGCGGAGATTCTTCAAAAAGCTAAAATTTCTCAAGATACAATAGATCAAGCAAATGATTTAACACTTAACAAGTAGCCAACTATATATATATATATATAATTTTCAAAGATCTATTATTAAGGTCATAAAATCCTCTATATATTTATAAGTATGCATCTACACCTATAAAACATGAACATATTCTATAAACATTTATATACAAATATATATTTGTATATAAGCTAAGACGTTAAAAAAAGAGAAATTATAGGAATACGTAAGCCTTTTCATAACACCGATGGATTCAATTGTTTAAATGGTTTCGCAAATATAAAAAGAACTGAAATTAAGAATAATGATAAATGATTAATTTATAAAACATTATTGCAACATTATAGCACTATTAAAAACAGTATCTTTTTAATATTGATATGTTTATCTGTCTTCGAATTATATATATAATAAAACCATCAAGATAGAGACCAATAATAAAACAAAATTAACATCAACAAAGAGCTTCGTAATGTTTCTGAGCATCAATCTTATCAAGTTCATATTGTTCAATATTCGGGTTCGATTCTATCATGGGAAGGTTTTGCCAGCTTCCAAAGAAAATAGGTTTTAATTCTCTTTGCATACATATCCATTCACCACCCAAACATATAAATATACAACTGATAATCTGGACAATCCACCAATATGTATTAGTTGGTAAGGAACCAGAATAAAAGAAAACAATAATGAAGTGGATAAAATGCATTGTCAATGTGAAATCAAGCACCTGCTTTGATCGTCGAACAACAAAAAAAATAATAAGAACACTTTTAAAACTTAGTACATGATATAGCATAATTTCAACCTTTTGGAAACGTACCCAAATATACTATTTATATCCCAAACCAAACCAGTAACAGCTGACTCATTATTATCAAGTGTTATTTTATGAAAATCAAAAATATAATCTAAAGAAACCGGTTTTTCTAAAACATAAAGCATGAACTGTATAAGAACTGTCTGAGAAAGATAGAATAAAGATTGGAATGCGATAATTTGAGATATAATCAAAGCGAAATCAAGTGAATTTCTGCGAGAAATCATCACTAAGATATATTAAAAACAAAAGAAATTGCACAAAAATAAACTATATATATAAATTATCAAAAAGTACTTTTATAGAAATGGCAATACGCACGGCGCTGCCAAGAATTACTAAATATCTGAATCAACGTCTATATCTTTATTAATCATCGTCGGTCATTTTTATGCGGGTAAATCTGGGGAATAGGAGGGTTAGGGCAAAAGACTAAATTTAAAAATGGATTAAAGATAAATGATGTTACATATGAAATAGCAAGATTTTAATGGGGGTTCTTAATATTTCATGACTAACTAATACTGTTTGCTTGTCTGTAATTTTCAGGTATTACGATAGGCGTATCCATAGTAACAAGCAACCTCCAAAAAAAAAAAAGATATAAAGGTAGATTAAATTTAAAAGAAAAAACATAATTAAGCAGTAATTCGAACTTATTTAAGACGTTGTATCTGTTTTTAAGGATAATGAAGTATAACTATATTTTTTTTCCCAAAAAAAAAGAGCTAAAAAAAAATAAAGTATAGTCCGAGAAATTACTCGAATTAACGCAGCTCAAATTGGAGCATCAGAATCAGAATCATGGCACGCTCAAGTACGTCTCATGCTCTATGGACATTTTTTGATGTTTTTTTTAGTATAAAGATAGTGCATATATTTATATTGGCGGCTTACCATATGAATTAACAGAAGGAGATATTATTTGTATTTTTAGCCAGTAAGAACAGTTGTATAGAAAATAAATAGTTTATTTATTATGAAGGTATGGGGAGCCATTGGATATAAATCTTGTGCGAGACAAAAAAACGGGGAAATCTAAGGGATTTTGTTTTTTAAAATATGAAGATCAACGTTCAACAATTCTTGCGGTTGATAATATGAGTGGAGCAAAAGTATAACAACGGAGTATATAAAAATTTATTCATTGTTTTTTTATAGGTTCTTGGAAGGACATTAAGAGTCGATCATGTTTTGAATTATAGACATCCTAAACAAAATAGCGATGACGAAGAATCAGGAAAACTGGGAATGAATGCAGCACCACCAATTTTGTATCAAGGTATGTGATTATTTTTATATATTAAATTTTAACATATAAAGATATACAAAAAACAAAAAAAGAGTCGGATGAGGAGGATTATGGTAAAGGAATCGATATAGATGATCCAATGCGTTCATATATTATAAAAAAACGTAAAAGGGAATCAAAAAAGGCAAAAAAAAGCAAAAAAAAAAGTCATTCGGATGAAGAAAATCAAAGTAATCATGGAAATCATCGAAAAAATCATGAGAAAAGTAAATATGAAAAAGATAAAAACGACAAATAAATCAAGATTTTAATAATAGTATGGAATAATTTTTAATATTTTCAAATAAAACTATTTAGAAAGTTAACATGAATTGTTAAAAATTTTAAATGAATAATTTTATTTCTTCGAAATCTAAGTTTATACAAATAATCAAATATATTAATATCTGAGCATTTTCAGATATTCAAAAGAAAAGGGAGACTTTATTTGAAATCATTTTCAATAGGAATTCCAGTAATTTCGGCATATTGTTTATAACCATCATATTTTATAAGGCTAAGATTGTATTTTTTCATGATTGAACTAAAGCCATTATTACTATATAACTTACAATTTTTATCATACGGCGTAATAAATCTTCCGCCAATAAAATGTCGTCCTTTAAAATATTGACTGCATGGTTTTGGCGCGGTTAGTGAAACAAGAAAAGTTGGATTCCATTGAACGGTTCCTCCATTTTCGAAAGGATCTGTAATAAAAGTGTTAGAATTTGAACAAATATTTCATAAATTACTTTTTTCAATATCCCAACCAGACGGTATATCAATACTTGTGACAGGTATTTTCGTATGTTTAAGCATCTAGAAAAAATTACAAAAAAACATAAAAATGCAAATATAAGTAAACAATTACTTCAATCACTTCAATAAATGGATCCCTTATTTCGCCTGAAAAGTTAAAACCAAAAATTGCATCAATAATATGATCTGTTTCTTTCATCGCTAATGAAATATTACTAACAAAAGGAATTGACAGTTCATCAAGTTGGATACACAATCTCTACAATTAATTCATTATTTTCAATCCTACATTAATTTTCGCATACATCAAATAGCTCATTTTTACCCTTCTTTGGATAATAAATTGACAATTTATAACCATAATGCCAAAGATGTCTTGCAGCAACAAGACCTATATTTAAACATCAATAATTCAAACTTATTCAAATCCATTCTAAACCATCTCCTCCATTATTTCCTTAAAATATTAATATAAATTATTTCATTTTTCATGATTTTTCTCCGAAAACTTACCTGGTCCTGCAAGAACTAAGATACGAGAACCCTTTTCCAAAGGATGAACATCATAAATAACCTGAGAAACACTTAAACCCGCCAATTCCATCAATCTTAATAAATTATTTATTTTTTTTTTCTAAAAAAAAATCCTTACTGATCAATTGAAAAACCCTTAAGAAAAAGCTCTTTATCAACCAAACAAGATAGATCTCTATTCAATGACTAAATATTCTTTTAAATTTATCTTTTTTTAAAATTTTTTTAAAAAACCTGAAAAACCATTTTTCAATATTTTTATCTTTAATCTTATCTTTTTAAAGTTCTGGTTAATCAAATTATATTTAAGACAAGATTTTTTTAATTAAATTAATATTTTTAGAGAGTTTAAACCATGGAAGCCTCTGAAACTAGAAAAGATGAATGTTTGTTATTTTCCTCTTTCTCCTGTTTATTTTTATATAATAACCTCTAGCTTATATGGAACAATCTATACATTCTATGAATCCTGTTGTAAGAAAGAGAAATTATATAGAAAAAAAATTAAAAACCTTAAGAACCTTATTGAGAAAATAATTAGAGAGAGAATTCTTGAATGTAGATATTATAAAGAAATGTGTTTTGGATTAACTGGTATACATTTTTTTATATATAAAAAAAAAAAATGAATAAAAATAGCAGCAACAATTTGTGATCGAGCAGTTAAGATGAAATATATTGGAGGACAATATTTAAATCAAAGACCTACGGAATTTTTATGTTTAACATTTAAATTATTACAACTTCAGCCAGAAAAAGAAATTATTTTAGAATATCTCTATGCAAATGATTTTAAGTATGTCAAATACATATCATATATTTGTGGTATATATATATTAAGAATTAAAGATATCTTCAGGCGCTTGCCGCATTTTATATTCGACTTACATTTCCTGCTAAAGAATGTTATCTTATTCTTGAACCATTTCTTAATGATTATAGAAAATTGCGAATTAGATATTCAACAGGTTTTTTTGGAAATTTAACAATTTATAGATTCCCTTAATAATATTCTATATATAGGGTTATATGGTTTAAGTTATATTGATGAATTTGTTGATCATCTTTTAAATCAAGAACGTGTTTGTGATATTGCTCTTCCTCGACTACCGACTCGCTTTATCTTGGAAGAAATGGAGGAACTAGAGCCAAGAAAAAGTGCATTAGAAAGTGAATTGGAAACAGATGAAGATAACTAAAAAACAAATTTTATTTCAAAATATACAATTAAACATAAATATTTATACAACAATACTATGTTTGTATATCATTCTTTTCCTTTATCTTTAAAACGGGGTTTAGGTGGTAGTAATGAAATCTGATTTTTTTATAAAAAAAAGAGAATCTAATTATAAATCAAACCTTTTCAAGCAGTTTATAAACGACATCAGTAGGTTGCGCACCAACTCCTAGCCAATATTTTGTTCTTAAAAAATTAATTTCCATATTTTTAGTACCATCTTCTCGAGGTATAGGATCATAGGTTCCTAATTTTTCTATTGGTTTAGATTGTCTTGCTGTTCTATTTTCTTTTTAATATTTTTTATCAAAAAACAAAAACACAAAAACACAAAAATACCTTGCATTACAAACAACAATATGATAAAATGGATATTTCTTAATTCCAAATCTCTGCAATCGAATTTTTACAACCATTGTCATTTAACCTCAGTATTTAATATTTTTCACCAAAAAAAGCCACAAAATAAAAAATAAAATAAATATTCTAATAAATACAGAAAAATCAATATATTTTTATTATGAATTAACTTTTTATATATTTTTTAGCATATTTTTCTATAATATTTTATACTAAAATTTTTGAAGTCTTATCGAAAACCTCATAAAATCTTGATTTTTTGTATTTATCTTTTAATAAATATTCTAAGTCTTTAAATCATATAATATGGCAAGGTTTGATAGTATTCTTAAGGTTTTAACCTATTTTAATTTTTTTAGAAATAGTGAAAAAGCACAATCTATGGTTAAATAATTTTTTATTATTTTTTTGCTAATAAGTTTAGCTTTATCGTTTTAGAGCATCTCAGGCAGCAGAATTAGGTTAGAAATATGAAGTACATCTTGTTTTACTTATTTATTTTTCAAGGAATTATTGATACAGGATCTCAGCGTCGCCCAAAATTAATCACAGAAGTTAATTCGATTCAGGCGTGTGAAAAATGGAGAGGACAGGTAGTAAAAGAGATTTATAGGAAGATTTCGAAGATACAAGATCGTAATATTGTTTCAAAACAATATTTTATATATTTATTTTATTATTAGCAAGTTTAACAGACTATCAAATCCGTGATCTTAATGATGATATTAATAAAATGATGCGAGAAAAGCATATGTGGGAGATTCAACTTCGAAATCTCCAGGGCCCTAATTATATGGTATTTATATTGAGTCGAAAAGTGTTTTTATCTCAAGCTATTTTTTAGAGATTTGGCCCTAAAATGGTAGATGCAGAAGGCAGAGAAATTCCAGGACACAGAGGATATAAGTAATTCTTTCTATTAGATGTTTTTAAATATTTTATACTGATTTTTATCATAATAGATATTTTGGTCGTGCAAAAGAATTACCAGGTAAAATATAAAAGTATTTTTTAAATTTTTGAAATTTAATATAATGTAAAGGTGTAAAAGAGCTTTTCGATGAATTGGTTCCAAAACCTCCTCCTAAACCAAAAATATCTGAAACATTATATAAAACTTTAAATGCGTCATATTTTGGATATCAGGATGAAAATGACGATCAACTTTTAGAATTTGAAAAACAACGAGAAAAAGAAAGTATAGAAGCTATGTTAAACAGCACTGAAGGAGATCCAAAGCAGGATTGGTACTCTATCCCTGATCTATATATTCCAAATCAAAAAGAAATAGAAGAGTTTTTACTTCAAAAACGAAAACAGATTTTATTAGAAAAATATTCAACATAAAAATTATTAAAACTTGAACATCCATTAATTTTCATTCATTCTATTGATATATATTACAGCTCTTCTCGCCAAACAAAACCCTAACCCCGTCTATCAATCTTTTCTTCATAATGTCTCAATTTTATGTACTTTCACAGAGCTTTGTTGGGCATAGTCAGGACGTATTCTAATCTTATAGTGTTTTTTGAGTGTCTATAATCTTTTTTAGGTTAAAGTTGTTTGTGAAGGTTCTGAATCTTTAATTTTTTCTGCATCAAGAGATGGTACAGTTCGGTCATGGAATATTTCTAAAGAATCTACAATTAAATCCAATATTTATTCAATGCATTCTGGATATGTTAATAGCTTGGCATTTATTAAATGTTCAGAGAAATACCCAAATGGTAATTATTATAAAATATGTGCTATATAAGCCTTATTATCTTTAGGTCTTATAGTTAGTGGAGGACAGGACAAATTAATTGCTGTTTATGATCCTTATAAGTATATAGAGCCCGATTATGTGTTGATTGGGCATCAAGGAAATGTCTGTGCTTTACATGCTACAGAAAATGCAATGATTATATCTGGATCTTGGGATAAGTTGATTATTTTTAATGAATTTAATAAGTTTACTAAGTTTTATTAGAACAGCAAAAGTATGGAAGAATTGGAAATGTCTATATACGTTAGAGGGGCATACTGCAGCTGTTTGGACAGTCTTAATAGTTGATGAAAATCGATTTCTTACAGGTATTTTGATTTTATTAAATTTATTTCGGCTTAAAATAAATATAGGATCAGCAGATAAGACGATAATACTTTGGTTAGATGGCATTCAGGTTGCGTTATTTAAGGGACATACGGATTGTGTTAGAAGTATATGTAAAATATCAGATACAGAATTTAGTAGTTGTGGAAATGATGGTGTGATTCGTATATGGTCATTTTCAGGAGAACAAATATTAGAAATGACAAGTGGGCGTTCCTTTATGTATTCTCTATCTATGCTGTCTACAAAGGAACTTATTTCTTCTGGGGAAGATAGATCAGTTAAAATATGGAAAGGTATAATCTTTTTTGAAGTTGTATCTATAAATTCAGATAAAACAGATGGGAAATGTGTTCAAACTATTATTCATCCCGCTGTTAGTATTTGGTCTGTTACTGTTCTTAAAAACGATGATATTGTTACTGGAGGAAGCGATGGTATTATTAGGATATTTACAAGAGATAAAGAAAGAATGGCTTCTGAAGAAGAAATATATGTCAGTAAATAAATTTATGGCGTTTTATAAATAATAATATTTTAATAGGAATTTAATAAAAGTGTTGCTTCATATAAAATCTCTACGTATGTATTAAATTAAATGTTCATTTTTTTAAAAGAAAATAGTAACAATCTTGATCATATAAATAAGGAGAAGCTTCCTGGTATTGAGGCACTTCAGAAAGAAGGTATAAGATATAATTTATATAAATATAGATAAACTTATTAAATTAAGGAAAAAAAAATCAAGTTATTATGATTAAAGCAAATAATATAATTGAAGCATATCAAGTAGGCTATAGAACTATATTTAGATAACATGAAATCTTAACTATAGTAGTGGAATATTTCTAAAATGGCATGGGATAAAGTTGGAGAAGTTGTTGATGTAGCTACACCATCACAAAAGCAAGTTTATAATGGCCAGGAATATGATTATGTTTTTGATGTCGATATTGCAGAAGGATTACCGCCATTAAAATTGCCATATAATGTAAATCAAAATCCTTATGAGGTTGCTTATCAATTTATACAAAACCATCAACTTTCAATAGATTATCTTGACAAGATTGCAAAGTTTATACAGGAGAATACAAAAAGAATTGAAATAGGAGAACAAAGCTCATTCATAGACCCATATTCTAGTATGATTATTATTAAACGTAAAAACATGTCTTATTTTGTTTTAGCTGGAAGATATATTCCTGGTCGATCTTGTTCTGAAAGTTCAGAAGTAAATATTAAACATTTAAATTGTATTTTGATATTTTTAGCCTTCTAAAAAAATTTTACCTCATACTAGCTTTTTATCATTCAAGCAAATAAACATATTTGGATCAATTCAAAAATGCATGGAATTTAATTCTATTTTTGAAAAATCGGAGGTATTTTGATTTTTTTATTGACTTGTGTGATTTGATATAATTTAGCACAAAAATATTTCTTTAAATCCGGAAGAAGTTTTAACTTTAGAAACAATAGCTGAATGTCTTAAAGATCCTAAAGGGAAATTTCCTGCTAAAAATATGGTTTTAGACTCTTTAGATTTAATTGTTAAATTAGCAAACATTTGGCCCTATGATAAAAGGTTTCCTGGGTTAGATATGTTAAGAATATTTTGCGAAAGATTTGAAGAAACTAGTTCATATAAATACGGTGTAAAATCGATAATCGATATAATTATAGAAGGTGGACTTTCAAATGATTCTTTAGCATTTTCAGAAAAAATAATTGGAAATAATATTATGTTATCTCTTAAGGCTTTAGTCAATTTATTTGAGAAGGATTCTGGAAGAAAAATACTTTATCAAAATCTTGAGAAGGTTTTAATATTCATAATTGGATTAATTATTTTTTTAATTGTTTTTACAGATAAAAACTAAAATATTCAATATTTATAATATTTTGTTTGATCGTAATATCAAGATCGCGCTTAGTACTTTATATTTAAAGTATCTTTTCTAAAATGACAAAAATTCCTTGTTTTTAACTTAGCATTAGCTTTTCAATTCTTTTTTATCAACAATCATCAGCACAAAATGCAATTAATTTTATAGAGCCTATATTTCAAGTAAACACTTCCTATAACATTGATCAGTATTTATACATCTAGATTTTATCAGAAGACAACGATTCAGAGTGTATTTATCGAACATTGGTAGCACTTGGTACAATTCTATATACACTTAAAAAGTCCAAATATATATATATAGACAGAATTGAAATGATTACACAAAAATGCAAAAATAATTTTAAAGAATTACGAATAGTATCATTAATTAATGAAATCTCAGAAATATTACATTCTTAAAAAAATAATACTATTAATAAAAATAAATGTAATGAAAGATATATTCATTTTTTTATAAAAATTATTTTTCATCAATTACCATAGGCTTTTCTGTATCATTTGAAGACTGTATCGCAACATTCATATATTTGTCAAGTTCATTATCTAAATCCTCCTGAGTCTTATATTCGCCTTCTAACCTTCTATATGATCTATAATTATTGAATAATTTACGTCGATAAGGATCAACTTTAAAATTGCTAATACGACCAAATAAAGAATCAGATTTTCTTTGTGATTTACGTGATGGTTGTAAATCCAACGTTAACGTAATCGGCTGGCCTAAAGAAAAATTATATATTTAAATAAATAGCCCTTTTTTAATAAAAACCCGCAGCATTAGCACCATTAAATTGATTAATTGCATTATGTGCATCCTCAATTCTTTCAAAACTAACAAAAGCTATTCCTGTGCTACGACCTGAACGATCATATTTAATATTAAGCTTACTAACAGGACCAATTCGTTTAAATAAACCCTTCAATCTTAAAAATTAATCAATAAAAAAATCTTTTTTTTACATTTAAATCATCCTCTGTAAGTTCATAATGAAGATTTTCAACCTTAACACGATATGACAAAGGCCTTAAATCCTTAGTTTTCAAATATACCAAAATCAAAAAGAAATGAAAAATATCATACTTTGGCACTTGCTTATAAGCTTGTTTTGAGACACCAATAGATGATTTCTCTCCTGATCCCTCATATAGATCATGAGTCCATGGTTCATTATAATTTCTTTTATATAAATCAATAGGCTATTTCAAAAAAAGTATAAAAGTCAAAAATCATTCAAAAATACGCCTAAAAAACGCAGAAAAAAAACATGCCTGAATACATATAAGTAAAACATACATAATTCAGGTCCTTAAATACCTTAGAATACATATTAACCCTATCCTTTTTAAAAAATAGTCGTTTTGATTTCCATCTTGATAATCTCGAATTTCTAAACGCCTATAAGGGCTATTAAAACAGAAAAAAAAAGAACTTTCTCCAGTATTATCAAAGACCTTTTCTGAATTAATAATACTATCTAAAGACCTCTCAAGTGACATTTTTTTAACCCTTTCTTTCATAAAAAATTTTTTTGACGTTCACCGTCGTTAAGCCAAGTCAACATTTTGTACGATCTCAACATCAAAGAAAAAGAGGTTAATGACTACTGGGCTAATTTGGCTATAATTTAGAAGAAATAAAATATTTTTTAGTAATAAAATATGCCCTCATCAAAGGCTTTTCTGTCTTTTTCTCAAAATTTAGAGCTTTTTTGCGAGCGTAAAGTTCAACAAGATGCTTGGTATGAACCACCGCAAAATTTTCTAGAAATCGAGGTAGAAATGAGTTTTTTTAGGAATTATTGGACTTTTCTTGAGGAGTTTTTGGTATTGATGTGTTTTTTTAGGTGAAAAATCCAATTACTCATGGTATTGGACGTGGAATGTACACGGATTATGAAATTATATGTAGAGTTAGTAAAACAAGTTAAAAGAATACTTTTTTTAAGTTTGAAAGACAAATATTCCAGCGTTTAAAATGAAATATTCATCAGTACGTCGAAGATATTCAGAATTTGAAGATTTTAAGTAAATAATTTTTTATTTTTAAAATAAGGTTATATATGTTTTAGAAACATTCTTGAGAGGGAATCCTCAAGAGTATTAATACCTCCACTTCCAGGAAAAGTATTTACGAATCGTTTTTCTGATGAAGTAATTGAACATCGGCGAGATCATCTTGAACGTTTTTTACAAATGTAAGATTGTTTTTAATTAGATTAAAGAATCTGAATGATGAATAAGAGTTGCGGGGCATCCTCTTTTACAGACAGGAAGTAAGGCATTATCATCTTTTATTCAAGATCCTCAATGGAATGCTAATATTTGGAAATAAATCATAAATACTATCTACGATTTATATTATTTTATAATACCCTACTCTTATTACCTGATAACATTTTATTTTTATGAAATGTTTGATGCTATTTTATAGAAAACAATTTGACTTTAAATTGTGTATAAGTTTGTTTTTTATTGTTTTTATATAATTATTTTTTAACAAAATAATACATTCTGTAACTATTTTTTCAATATTACATTCTAGAAAATGAAGACTGTTAAGATAATAGATTTGCGGCATTTAATGCAGCCGATTAAACATAAGTTATATTTATTGATGTCTTTTTTTTAAAAAAATAATCAAATATAATGTAATAGAGCCTTATTTAAATACTGAACTGTTAAAAAATATCAGAATTTTTAGTATAATTCGATATTAAAAATATAATTTTTTAACATTAAATGATCAACATTTTAATTTTTCCAAACAATTAAATTTATTGCCATAGACCATATGGACCTTGCTGTGACTTCCATAATCTTATCGTACCATCCTATGTTACATTATTTAAATTTTTAATATAATGTATAAAATTACCTCAGAACCTGTTGCGTATAATCCACCATCAGGACTAAAGCTAACACAATGTATAGGCCTTAATTAGTCAGCATAAATAATATATTATAATCATGTAAATACCCATGATGTCCTTTATAAACATTCAATTGTTTCTCTGTTTTAAAATCATAAACTCTAACCCAAGGTTGAGAACTTCCACCTGTAACAAATTTAGTCTTTTCAGGATGAAGAGATACACTAGAAAGATCATATTCGGTAACAATTGTTTTTACACTTTTTTGTCTATAAAAATAAATTAAAGCTCTTTTTTGTCTATATATTTTACGTTTTAAAATCAACAAAAAATATTTTTTTGCCTGCTACTACTAAAAGATATTCTTCCCCAAGACTTTTTTCAGAATTTGTAACAAACTCTCCTGCATCAAAAGTATTTACCTCTTTTAACATTCGAAGATCCCACCAACGTACTTTTTCATCATCTCCAGATGATATAATGACATTATCCATCCATGTAACATTTTTAATAGTACCTTTATGTCCTAATAAATCAAAAATAGGTGTTAAAGGTGAATTTAAAGAAAATATACGAATCCTTTTCTCATGACCACCAGTAACAATTTCTTTTGAATTATATGAAAAATCTACTGATCGAACAATATGTTCATGAGAAAAAGATTGTAACATATTCCCTGTATATGTATCCCATACTTTTCTATATTTAAATCATAAACAATATCTAATCCAATACAATTTTTTTACGCAGAAAAATCAGCAGAACCAGTCACCGCCTTATCAGCATCTTTGTTAAACCTTGATGACCATGTAGCACCTTTATGTCCCAAAAATGTACCAATCCAATCACCAGTAATACCATCTCGAAGCATAGAATTCCCATCTATCAGACGTTAAGAAAAAATAGCTCAAATGAAAAAAATTCCTTTGCATGAAGATATCAAATAATATTGATTGTTTTCAAGTAAACGAGAAAAAGATAGATGCATCACTGGACGTGTATGTCCTGAGCTAATTTAAATAAGAAAAAAAATTCAAGATATATATATATATAGTATCAAATTTACCATGTCTATTTATTTAAATAAGAAATTTTCATTAAATATTAAAAACAAATAAAACAAAACTTACCAAAGGCAACATACGCAACTCTGTTTCAGACGTAAATGATGAATATGAAGAATTTTCTGTCATTTAAAAAACTTTATAATAAAATCTTAAGATGCTTATAACATAGAATTTAATAAAAACTTCTCATTTAAATAACTTTTTTAAAAAAAGATGTTTTTTAAGCAGTTGAAAAATAACGTCACTCTCTTCAGTTGTTTAAAAATAAGATTATAAATCTTAAATTATAAGAAACAGTAATAATGAAGCAACCACAATATGTTTCCCTAAATACTTATTTTTTATTTTTTTAAATATTTTAAAAATTTTATACTTTAGTTCTTATTATGACTTTTATGTCATAAGGTAGAGAAAGTGCTTATTTTTTAAGAATATTTATTATAGAAAGTGTAAATATTATTAGTTTATTATGTTTATAAACTTTTTTATTCTAAAATAGTGCTATACAAGGGTTAAAATTTAATATTAAAAATATTGTTTAAAAATGTTTAAAAGTATATAAATAAAAGGTTTTTCTAATAATTATTAAAGATTTATTAAAAATTTTTATTTAAAAGTTATATAAGGTATTAATCTTTAGTTAAAAATTATAAGGTACATTGTTAATGATAATATTTTATTTGAATGTTTTTTAACAATTTATAAGATGAAAAATGAGGAATATATTGTTTTTTGGGAGACTTAATATATTTTTCTAAGAGTTTAATTTTTAAATTTAAAAAATCATTTATGACAATATTTTTACCTAGATATAATTATCATTATAACTTAAAAAGATCTTGGTTCCCAGGACATATGTTTTCAGGATTAAAAGATATTAAAGATCTTTTAAATGATATTGATTTGGTGATTGAAACAAGAGATTCCCGTATTCCTATTTCTTGTGAAAATAAATTATTAAATAAGGCAATTGAGAAAAAGGAAAAGATAAGAATATTTAACAAATATGATCTATTAGATTGTGATAGCAAAAGGGTATTTTAATAAAGGAGGGAAAAGTATTTTTTTAAAGAAAATAGAAATTTCAAGAAAAATTTTATGAAAATGGGATATTCTGTAGTATAAACGATCCAAAATCAATGAAGAAAATATGTGAAAGTATAAGAATAAAGGCATTAAAGTTGAACAAGATATCAGGAATGAATGTAATGGTGGTTGGAATGCCAAATGTTGGAAAATCGACACTTTTAAATTCATTTCGTCATATAGGACTACGATCAATTGATATGTATCAGAAAAATCGTATGTTATCTTTGAAATATTTGTTTCATTATGACTTATTTGTTTATGTTTCAGGAAAGGCAGTAAAAACTGGTGCACAACCTGGTATTACAAAAAAAATAACACAAAAAATTAAAATTATAAAAAAACCTTTAGTATATTGTATAGATACTCCAGGTAAGATTAGGATAAGATTGATGATTTTTTTTATTTTATTATAGGAATTATGATACCTTCTATAAATGATCCTATTACATTTTTAAAATTAGCATTAGTTGGCTGTATAAAAGACAACATTATTGACATTATTACAGTTGCTGACTATCTATTATTTCGTATTAATTTAATTAACCCAGAATTATATTTAACTCCATTTAAAATGAAGCAACCTACGAACAATGTAGAGGAGTTATTAAATGCAATCGCTATAGCTACAGGCTGTCTTAAAAAAGGAGGAATTCCTAATATTTATACAGCTGCAACTTTTCTTATTAAAAAATATCGAACGGGAAATTTGGGAAAGTTTATTTTAGATGATATTTTTTAAAAAATACTTTTTTTAATAAAAAAATGAAATATTAAAATACCAAAAAAAACAATTTTAAAAAACATACTTTATTGAAGCGCCGATAGGAATAGTAAATACTTATTAAAAATAGGAAAATTGAACAAGTTGTTTTTTACTCATTATCACCATTTAATTTTGCAATCAAACTCAAAATTTGGAAGAAAAGATTTATCTAATTATGTTAAAAAATAGTCTATAATATTAAAATGGAACTTTACGATATCTATATAAAGAGAAACTGCTCCAGCAATGTATTCTTCTGGAGATAAATGTTTCATGAGATTTGAAGTGTCATAAAATATGTATCCTATAAAAATAAGAGCCCCAAACATGGCATATAATAAATCAAATGTTCTAGAATGTAAAAAAAAAATCGTTTAATTATTGAATTACCTATTATAAGGGAGGAAAAAGGAAACCAATCCTCCTGATAAAAATACTATAAGTCCAAAATATAGGTAACCTCCTATACTCCTAAAATCATATTTGCTTTGCCACGTAAATAGTGTCAATCCCAAAAATATTCCTGTAGTAATCAAAAGTGCTTCTAAAATAACATTACTGTTATAATAAGAAACTATTTTCATAAGTATTAATAAATCTACACAAATAAAATAAACTATAAACCTATAGTTCCAATTGTAGATGACTCAAACAATGTAAATAAAACTAGAAGATAGAAATTTAATGGACATGAACGGCTTTTCCATGATAAAAAAAGTAAAGTATTAATACTTCCAAACATTGAAAAAAAAATAATCACAGGATTGGATACAATATATTCTCTTAACATCTTATTCGTTGTTAAAACTCCTGAAACCAAAACTGATCCCACAATTTGCAAAAAAAGTATAGAATAAACTTTTCTAACAAAATCTAATCTCTAAAATCAGTTTTTCTTTAACCCCTTATCCTCTTCTATTAATCCTACCCATTCTTATAGAAATATCACATTGATTAACTGTTGTCCCATATTTAAAATCCTCTGGAATCTCATTTTCCTGAATTATATGATGTTGATCTAATAAAGGTGCGTATCCATCAAACATAATTTCCCCAAAACCTTTATCATATGGACGGGATGTTCCATAATCTGGAGGCAATGGATCTTGTTTTATAAAAGCCTTAGAAGATTTATCAAACATCTTATAAATTTACTTAAGTTTTGATATCGATCGATCTACGAGTCTAAACTTACCCAAGACAAAGGGTAAGAGAATAAAATACAATATTTTGCATTATTTTTCATTTCCTTATTGAAAAATAGTTGATTTATTTTGTGTATATATTTTTTAAATTAGAATGATTGAATAGTTTTTTTTTTTGTTAAGAGTATAGATGAATATTTTGCTCAGACCTCTCTGATTTCTTTCAAAGTAAACAATAATTAATGTTTCCTTGGATTTGGCTTAAGTCATCACTACAAAATATCTTTTTCTATAAATAATTAAGAGTTAGAATATTTGAGTTATCTGCTTGAAAACTACGTTATATCATCAACATAAACCAGAAAAGTCATGGTTTGTGTGTCTTAAAGGATATATTTCTCATCATCTCAAAAAATCTTTATTATTTATAATAGAAAAAAGATTCAAATATTGTTCTTTAAATATACTTCTCAGATCTCTGTTCAAAATCTATCTTTAAAGTTTTAATTTTCTGAAACAAAACAACCTTAAATGAAAGGTTATTTTTCTGTGTGTTTTATCTTCATTGAAGTATAATTATGTATTATAATTAATAGTATAAGATTGAAATTGAATAAATGATTCAATGGAAAAATTGGGAAAATATTTTGCAAAAATTAAAGTTTTTTTAGTATATATATATATTACTAATATATTTTACTTTAAGAATCAAATATAAAGTTAACTTACATTAAAAATAATTAAATTATTTGTAAAATAGGTTATGATCAGCTTCTCCAATATTGTGCGATATTATGAACTCTATCTATAAGAACAGGAAAAAATGCAGAAACAGAATCATTAATAAGTTGTTGAAAATATTTTATTGCCTCTTCATCAGTCATTTCTAAACAAAACCTTTCTTTGACCTATATATATTAAAAAAAATAAATTATATATATATAAAACAACCTTCAATACAGATTTATCTGGCTCAAATTTAATATCAGAAATGTTAGATTCCAACATCAATGCAAACAAATTTATAATAAGGTTTGCAGATTTTCGTAATGTAATGAATGCAGTATAACAATAAGATTTAAATTGAGAATAATATGAAGACGATGCACCGCCCATTCCTTCTACCATTTCTTTACAAAGCTTCATTGCTGGTGAAAATGGTTTAGGATCTCTTCCAAGAATAAAACCAAAATCAGCATGAAAAAAATGGCCTATAATATTGTACGAAAAAATAAAAATATTGAAAATCATACCATCAGGACACAGAAGCAAATTATCAAGATGTCTATCACCAACGCCAAGCAAATATGTTATTACACAGTAACCTGCTATAAAAATCATTAATAATATTTAAATTATATTAATTTAAATACCACAACTTTTTACATAAGTATCCATTACTTCTGCCTTAACGCCTAATTCTGAAGAATTATCAGGACTATTAGATCTAAAATATGCAAGAATGCTTCCATGATATTCAGTTAAACATGACATTAAACTTTTACTTTGTATGAATTGTACAGCACCATGATTTACGCCAGTTGCAAGAATTTTATATGGAGTTAATTTAAGATCAAGATTTTCATTACGTAAAAGTTTATCCATAAGAGAAACCATCTGTATAACTAACTGATCTTGTCGTAAATCATCACCATTTTTAAAAATAATGGGATATAATGATCCAGTTGTTGTTTTGAAGCATATAAGAAGAGGTAAAAGACTACTTTTAAACACAGTTGATTCAGCTTTATAAAATTAAAAATTGAAAAAGTATAGTAAAAAAAGTAACCTGGAATTATTCCTACAACAGAAATAGAAGGATCTAGAGGCAATGAAAGTGGTTCGAATTTGATTAAGCGATTATCTGGATTGGAAAGATAATAACGAAGACGTTCGATTTTCTTAGGACGTGATTCTTTTATAGAACGAACCTCTTTAGATATAAATAACAATGATGCCAGCAATTCTGCCTGTCTTTTTAAAATATTCTGCCGCATTAAACCATTTGGAACCTAAAATTAATAAAGCAATAAAATAGGAACAATATTAACAACCTCCATTAAATTAGCCATAAATTGATAAGCAATTTCTGAAAATAATTTTCCACCTGTTTTATCTTCACATTCAACCATTAAGTACCAGTAAAAATTAATCCCTAGTACTTCATTTTTAATAGCTCTTTCAATTAAAAAATAAGCAAGAGATGATGGATAGTTATTTATCTTTGATATTTCTAAAATAGGATTTTCAAAACGAAGAGCTTGAACAAGTTGTAGAAGATATAACATCAAATCCTAAATTTAATTATAAACGAATCAATTTTAATGGAAAAATCTACTTCATCGTCTGCTTTCCTTAGTCTATCTACAGCATAGCCTCTAACAATATCATCTCTAAATCCAGGGCCAAGTAACTCAAGAGCATCATCAATGTCAATTTCAGTCCATAATCTGAGGAGGTCATGGGCTTGTTTCACTTCAACGACATCTGTCCATACAACAGCTTTAAGAAATTTTGCTAAAGCCTATAAAATATCTAAAAAAATATTTTAATATGAAATCAAGTACCCTTTTGTCTCGAGTAAGATAAAATCTAAATTTCCATATTAAATCTTTTTCTTCAGAAGTCAATTCTTGAGTTGGTGGAAATGTCATTATTATCTTTGATTTTTTAGATAATGATCAATATACTTATAAAGACGCACATTAAGTTGATCTCTTATATTAGAGTTAGGTTTTAGCTCTCTGTCTAATGGCCCATTTTTATGTGATCTTATTAAACATCTATATTTAGTCTCAATTAAATTTTCCCTAAATAATTCAGGATCTGGAGGTGTAAGAATAAGTTTAGACGATGATGGTTTTTCTAAAATAATATTAATTAAAGAATATTATAAAGACTATTAAATATTCTAACCATTAAATGAAAAAGCAAGAGTAGCAGGATATTCGTATTCTGAAAATAAAATAGGAAAGTCAAATTGAGGAAAATCAATACAAAGTACTAAAGACTCAAGTTTATCAAGATGTTTCTAAATATTTGGATTTAAATATAAATTATTATAAAGATTTTATACTTGTTGTATTTTTTCAATTTGATGAAAAGCAAGATTGTCTAACCATTTAACTTTTTGAATATCTCCTGCTTCATACTTTTTAACCAGCTATATAAAGTAAATATTAAAAAATATTTCAGTATTTTTATACCATTTCTAAATGATTCATTTCGTTTTGAAAAGAAATATCATTAGACGTACATGAATTATTATTTCCATCTGCTGGAATACCAATAAATAGATTAAGCTTCTGAAGACCCATTTTTAACGTTCTTTTTATTCATTAATATATTCAATTTAATTTTTATATATTACTTATCAGGCGAAAATAGCTTTACTGTTGTACTAGCAAAAGGTTTATTTAATTTGGATCCATAAGCATCATTAATTACTATTGCAAATTGTGCGTTTAATGGAAGATCTGAATAATTTAATGGAAATGAAAGCCATTCGTTCCATCTAATTTCTTGTTAATTCTTTTTTTTAAATAAAGTAATAGAATTTAATAAATATAAATTCTAAAAAGAGCTTCTTCCAGCACACACATTTTCTTATATTTAAAATTTTTGTAACGTGTCCTACTTGGCAATGTTAAAGCTTTATTGTCTGAATAAAGTTGAACTGTAACAAAAAGATCTGGAAAAAAACTATGTTTTCAGATTAAATAAAAACAAAAGGTCCCGTCTTTACTCTTTTATATTTTCATTTTGATTTTTAAGATAATCTATAGTATTAAATATTGCGGAAAGATTGCCTTCAATTGTTCCAATCTTAATATGAATAGGAAAATGTAGTTGAGATGAAGTACAAAAAGAATATGTAGAATTTCCCATGAATAAAATATTAATTTTGTTAACACATTAAATTTTATTTTAATATTAACTTTGAAGAAACTAATTTAAATATTTTAAAAATATTCGTCTAGAGAAGATTTTAAACTATCTATAAAAAAATAGTTAAATAATATTAATAAATGTTTTATAAGTTTGTTATTGTTTAAAAACAAAAAAAAAAATAAATTTTGATTTTTATTTTCTAAAAAATAATTTAATCTTTGTTTAAAAAAATATATACTTCATTTTTTTCTTTTTATAGATTGTTTTATTGTAAAATTACCAGTATATATTCTTTTTAAGCTTTTAAGATTTTTTTAATTTTATAACCATGTAAATTGATAATATTTATGATTTTATTTTTAAAAGAAAAAATTAAAATTAATCATCAGTCTCTATTCTTTGCCTTTTGAATGGATAAGATGTTGTTTCATGTGATTCATTTAAATTTGCTAAAAGCTGATTCCATTGAAGAATAAACGATCCTGCTTTCTTTTTTTTAAATAAATAAAAAAATAAATATAAGAATTCTTAACCTTATTAATTAAATGATAGTTTGGAATTGTTTTATCAATAATATCTGCAGAAGGATCTTCACCAAGTACTATTGATGATAATTTTTTATAAGTCCATTGCATGCCTAAAATTTTAATTTATAAAGACGATTTTTATTTATTTACCTGGATTTTCATAGTGCAATGGGTTATATGAATGAATCATCAAATGTTCTATAATTTCAGACATTTTATCAATTAATGCATCGGGAGCTTTGGATATTAATAGGTATATTTTTAAAATATAAATACCTTTTACAGAATCTTGTTCAGGATTCTGTCTAATATCATCCAAAAATGGTAAAATAATAGCAAAAAGACCTTTCGGGAATTCATAATTATCATATTTTTTATCAAAATTAAAATTGGAAACTAACGCACATATTCTTGGATTTGAATTTTTATATGGACGAAACCATGCAATAGCGATTTTATTTAGTTTATAAAGAGTACGTGCCAAAGATGCAAATAGATTAGAAGAATCAGGATTTTTCTAATATATGTTATATTTTTTTAGTTTTATAGAAATTTAATAACTTACTTTATCTATTGGATACAAGAAATAAGATGGAAGAACATTTTCCCAAAAGTTCAATTGATCTAATGACTTAAAACCTAATATCCTAATAATAGGATCCTCATAAAAACGTAATATAGTCATTTGTTCTTCGGAAAATAAAATCTAATATATTTATAAACCTTTTTTAATAAAAAATATATACTTTTTTTCCGCCAAAATCATATGCCATTTTTATATCTTCATTTTTTAAAGGAGCAGACGTTTCCTAATGCAGATAAGATAATAAAAATAAGATATAAATACTAAACCTGGCAAACATAATTAACCACTGTTTTAACAATTTGCGGTTCTTCTGTCTTTATATAAACATTATAAGTTTTGAGTGGCGCTCTTTTTCTAAATAATATATAACCACGAACATCAATATCCAAATTTGGAGCAATTTGAAGTGAACATTCAAAAAGAAATCCTAAATTAATATTATACATTGAAATTTAAAAAAGATATGTTTTAAACGTTTAGGACTCTGTCTTCTTAAAATAGTGTTTACCATTTGATCAAGATCCAGCATTTCATATGTTAAATGATGTTCTATTTTATCAGCATTTTTTGATATGTATAATACATCTTTATAAAATTTATCAAAATTAAACATCTTTTTTCCATTAATAAAAAATGGTTCTATTGTAATTCCAGAATTAGATAAATTCTTAAAGGAAGCAATAGTAGCATCTTTGTATTCTTGAGAACCTAAGCTTGGATCATCATTATGAGTTATTAAAAATATTCTCTTTAATTTATATGAAGAGTTCCTATAAAATTTGTATAACAATTATTTAATAAAAATATAAAAACATACAACTGACTAAACATGTTATTTGCATATTCTAAAGCATTAAAAAGCTTAATGTGTTTCGTTGTGGGGATAATTATTTTAGACACTTTTGTATCATCTATTTTTTATTTCAATTAACATAAACCTTTATCAAAATTTTCAATTACCTGATAATAATATTTTGAAATTCCTAATAGATGATCCACTTTGAACATCTAAGTTTAATATCAAATATAAATTAGAATATAATGGAAATTCTTGTATGTTTGTATCTTTCTATGCCAAATCAACAAATATTTTTAAATTATTTACTATTACTGTTCCATATAACAATATTCCAAATGAAATAGTTGGTTTAGAAATTACTCTATAAATAAGCATTTTATAGGCTGCAATCAGCGCTGTTTTTGCAATTATACTCACTTCCTCATCAGACTCTGGTAATAAAGAAACATCAATCAAAAAAAGGAGAGCTTCATCAATATAATAATCCTATAAAATGACAATATCGTATTTGTTTCTAATAAAATATCAAGAAATTACACACCTCATGATTCTTCTTTTCGGGTTTTTCTATATTATCATCTTTTCTCAAATTATCTTCAAAATCCATTTTTATTTGTAAAACATATAAAGATATTTGATATCCCTATTTTAAAAACCTCTTTCTAAATATTTGTTTATAGCTTTTATATTTTTTGATTTAATATAATTGTTTAATAACATTAAAAAGATACCAAAAAAAAATTAAAACAATTATATCAATGTTTTTATAATATAATGCCATTAATTCCTTCCTAATTCTATTTGATAGGTCTTCATTTAATCTTATTAAATTTCCCTTTATTTAGTCTGATTTTTTCTAGATTGAAGTCAGACAACTGATAAAATTCAATGGTCGATAAGATTAAATAAAAAAAACTCTAAAAATAGTTAAATAATAGATTCTTGATTTGCTTGTTACATTTGAAATATTATTTATGTATTTTTTTGTTTTTTTTTTAAAAAAAATTAGTTTATCTAGATGAGACTATATCTATAATAATTTTTTATAGTATCTTTTGGTTTTATAGAATTGTAAATAATTTATTGTAATTAAATGATATACTTTTATTTTTTAATTTCTTAAAAAATACCTAGCTTTATTTTGAAAAAAAGTTAATTTTTATTAAAATTTTAATAGTTTTAAACCTTTATGTTTTACTTGTATAAAAAATGAAAAATAAAAACTTATATAAATGATTCTTTTGTTATAATAAAATATCTTGTTCTTAAAAAGTTCCATAATAAATGAATATAAAATAAATAGAATTATATTCTCTAATACATTTCAAAGGCTATTTATAAGAAATAAATTTTATGAAGAAATAAATACTTATTAAATAAGTTATTTATATTTTTAGTTCTATAAAACATTCATATATTGTTAACCATTGAAATTACTATGTTACTAATAAAGATTTTTTTATAATTAATATGACATAATTGTTTTTTAGATAATGATTAATCAAAAAATTGTCTAAATATTATATTAAAATATGTGATACTTTCTTTCTATTCACAAAAATTATTAATATAATTTTTTTAAACAATATAATTATTAGAAAAAAATATCATCAATCATATAAAAATTTCCATGAATATTTGAAATTGCCTTTGATGAATAATATTAAATGTTTTAAATATATTTAATATTTAAAATCAATTTTAAAAAATTATTTAATGATAAATATATAAATTTTATTATTAATTATCTATAATTATTTATTCATCTCAAATGGGTCTTATGTAAAATAGTTAAAGCATTTTATATCTATGTTTTATATAATAAAAGCTTTATCGCTTAACCTATCAACTTAAATTTTTAAGATTAAAATAAAAAGTCAATATTTTATTTAATTTTTAAGAGAAAAGTATTAAGAATCAAGGATTTATGAAGTCATTATTTATTATTTGTACGGAAACTTTTTTAAAACTGTATTTTATCAATATATAGAAAGATCGTTTTATTCAATGGAATTTGTTTGTTATGAAATTGATAATGAGCAGCAATTTTGGACAGGTTGAACGAGAAAATAATAGAAATTTTTAAAAGTGTTTAGTAATTTTGTTCAGAATTAAGCGAGATCTTAATTTTAATTGAAAAAACACAAAGATGTGTGGATATTTGTATTAAAAATTTTTTGAATTTTACAACGATTTATGGAGGTTTATTATATTAATAATATCTAGAAACATATTATAAACAGTACTAGTTAATAAGTATTTGAAAAAGGATTCGGATTATGAAGCTTGTTGTTACAAATTTTTGAATTCTGATATGTTTATATCTAATAAAGATTATACTCGTTATCAACTAGTAATAATGATAAACCAAGAAGATAAGCTTCAATACTTTTATATTTTGTATTGGCTTTTATTTTTTGATGCACAATCATATCCACAAACTTATAAACTTATAAAAGATAAAGGATCATTTCAATCTTTGATTAATACTATCTGGAAACACTTTCAAGAATTTCCAGAATTACATAAACTTGGATTAAAGCTTCTTTACGAAATATGTAGAGTACATCAGCTTACATCTGAAGAATTATTTTTTATACATGAAGAATTTCTTTGTTTTATTTTTGAATTAATCGAAAAAAATACATATTATGAGGATCCTTATACTCTTTCTTCTATAAAGCTTATTGTAATATGATAGGTGAATACTTTTTTACTGATTTTGATTTTTTTATAGCTTATCATTAATGAACAATATATTATAAAATCTCTGCCTTCTCATTTACAACATTCATCATATGAAACACTAAGGAGCATTGAAAATGAATCTCCTATGAATCTTGTTATGGATATTCTTAAGAAAAAGGGGAGTCTATATAAAACTTTCGGAGAAAATATAATATTTATATTAAATAGGGAAAGTATAGTTATCTATAATTAATCTATATACATATATTTATAAATAGTAGAAGATATATTTCTACAGTTTTTGATTTTAAAGCAACTATATCTTATATTTACTACTAAAGAAACGCTTGAATATTTTTATACAAACGACCTGAGAGTTTTGGTAGATGTCTTCATTCGAAAATTGTATAATCTTCCTGAAAACAATAAAAAGGTATCTTTTATTCTAAAATCTATAATTTTAATATATATAAATTTAGCTTTATCATGCTTATCTTCGCGTGTTTTATTATTTACTTAAAAATACTCAACTAAAAAATCCACCTTATTATAAACAAGATCAACTCCAGAAGCTATTTCAAGCCTTAAAAGAATCTATAAAATATCAACATATTAAACCTGCTAATTCTATCACTGAAAAATTATTATTGAGATGTATTAAAATAAGCTGGATAAAGAACAATGAATTAGAAAATGATATTTTGTTTTCTACCAATTGGAACAATGAATCAAATAGCAGTTTTATAGAGGCTTCTACCAATGATCACTATATTTTTTCTAACTCAAACAAGGTATAATTATTTAAGAATTATATCAACACAATACTCTATAGAATATATATATTTATTTTCCTTTAAATATATCTACGTATATAAATAGTTCATTTTTTTTATTGGGAAAATCTATTTTTATTTTTTATTATTAAAATAAATTACAATATCATAAAGAATTAAAACTTGATTTTGAACCCTTAAATGTTAATTATAAATATCAAAAGAAAAAATTATCCTATAATATCTTCCCAATTTTCTATCTGTTTAGATTTAATTTTCTTATAGATCTTTTCTTTTAATGATTTTTCATATGTTTTAGAATTTCTTTTTGCTGAAGTAATGTTTAAAGATGAAAATGAGCTTTTTAAAGGTTCTAAATAGAACAAAAGAGGAGGAGATTGTTGAATTAGAATAGTGTTCTGAGATTTTACTAATAAATTATATATAATTGAATGCCTAGCAAAATGTGAATGAAAATTAAAAATACACCTATATGATTCTTCAAATGTTTTGCACTGTGAAATATGTTCAATTAATTGATAGGAAGGTTTCAATTGTGGATATTTTTCATATAAAATTTTCATAGTTTTTGACTCATTATCTTCAATGGAAAAATAACTATAATATTATTAATTTTTAAAAAGAATATGTACTCACAGTAAAGACTTGAATTTTGCCATATAATAAATAGCACAAGATATAGAGCATTGATTATTTCTTATATCTATATATAATAATTGAATAAATTTACCTTTTTGAGCTGCTCTACCCCAATGACTTAATATCATATTTGTAAGATTTGTATTTGAAACATTTAATGCAATTAAATTATGTAAATATGAAATATAAATAAAATCCTCTGTAGTTAACGATTTATTACTGTTGATATCTAAAGTACTAAGCCAATATAATGAATCACAATTAATTTCTTTAAATATAGGTATAAAAGATGATATAAAGACTTCTTTTCTGTTGAAGACATCTGGTGATTTAATTGAATTATGATAAACTTCAACGAATATTTTCCATAGTTTTAAAGAATCATATCCTTTATCTATAATTTCTTTCCATAAATACTGTCCTATATTATCCCAAGGAATTGTTTTTAATACGTCAACAGTTAATTGATCTGAAAATTCAACAATCTTTTTAAGAACAATAATTTTTAATGATAAATCATTTATGCTTTTATCAGTATTATTTATTTTACATCCTCTTAATTTAAGTTTATCATTAAAAGAGTTAAATGTATCAGAATAAGGTTTTTTAGAAAATTCACTCATAATATTTCATTAAATGAAAATTTAAAAAGATATTTTATGAAATTTTATATGAAATTAAATGTTAACTTTTTAGTATATTTTTTAAAGATTATGAAAATTAAAAGATAATTTAAATACTGGTATATTTTAAAATATCTATCTTTAATAAAAATTTTAAAATAATATGTATCCTTTCGGAGGATTAAGTATAAGTTTCCATTTCTCTTGATACGTTACCCATATAGACCAATCTAACGTTTTCAAAATATCTATTTTCAGCTCGTAAACTTTAGCTATTTCAGATTCATTAAGATCATAAGAAGAATCAGATTCTAATTTTAAAATAAGCTGTAATGCCAGACCATAATGCTTACGAGCAATGAAACGTCTGACTTGTAAAAGAAAAAAATCATAATCCTTTCCAGGAAATTCCATCCATTTTCTACATTCTTCAAATGCATCGTCAAATTCTTTGGTAAGTATTCCATCAGAAGTTCTACCAAGAATTTTAGCTTTTTCTTGTAATGCTTTAACCAAAACAGATTTTTGTCGCTCCCATTTCTCTTTTTCTTTTTTCTGATCATTTGAAAGATTTATATTAGAAAACTGTTCAGACCTAATATATTCTGCAATCTTTTCAAAATCAACATAAGCAAAAATAGCATTAGCAGCATCAATAATCTCTTCATCAGATGCAAATTTTAATATAGTTTCTAATCTTGCATTCAATACAGAAAGCTCATTAGGATAAAGTCTAAGAAGATCATCTAAGAACTTTTTCTTTTCCTCATTATCTTTAATTTTGTTTAATACTTGAACTTGAAAATCAATAATTGATTCATCTTTTGATGGAACTGATTCCTTTGGTTCCAATATTAAAGAGATTTCAACATCGTATCCAGCTTTTTTAACATTTCTCGTTTTATCTTCAAGATGCAATTGACCTATTAGTTTATCTCCATTTTTAGCATCCTTTGGAAGCTGTTTTGGATCAATAAATGTACTTATAACAACACTTTTACGATCCCCTTGCTGTAATTTCATATTAAAGTCTTGGGATTTTTCTTTATTAAAAGCATCAATATGATCTAAATAAATAAACATAAAAATTATTAAAATTCATAACTTTACCATTAAAAATATTCAACGATAATTCTTTTGAATCACCTAAAGATTGAATAACTGATAATGTCATATTTTTGACTTTCTCTAATATTAAAATAGAATCATGTACCAACTGTACTCTATAAACATATTCCCCAGCTTTCAATTTGGTTTTGATTGGTTCCGTCTCCCCAAAGTGAAGAAGTCTTTTATTTCTATTGAAAAGAGCAGTCAACATACAAAATGAGGAATCATATAAAGAACTTGAGAGTGGCAAAAAAAAAGTAACTTCAGTATTCTCTAAAAATTTTAAAGAATATGTAAGAATCATTTCAAATAATGTTTTTGAATCTGGAAAAACATCACGTTCTCCTAATGGTCGTATAGAGCTAAAAGAAGGATAGAATGTTCTTCTGAGAGAATCTAAATAATATTATTAAATATATTATAAAAATGCTCAAAGAAATTTTACTTAATTTCAAAGTAGGTTCAAATATTTCAGGTGCTAAAGTGTTAATTACTTCTATCCGTTTTATACTCTGAGAATTTTCCGAAAACATTAAATTAACTTTATTAGAACTTAACTTTAAACCGTGAAATTCTAATTCAACGTCTATTTCTCCAGAAGCAATTGATGACCAAAAATTTGCAAAACAAACTTCCATTGTAGTACCAGGAATTACTACAAATTGCTTCAATATTAATTCATTTTGATGTAATTTCAAAAAAAATTTATGTTCAGTATCTTTTAATCGCAAATTTTGAACTAATTGAGTAAAATGTATAAAAATTTTTATACAAGTATCAATTTTTTTAGTTCGTACTCGAAGTTCTATATAAAAATGAATTATAAGATGATATATAAATATAACTTACCAGCCCAATTGGATGTGTCAGGAACGCGAATAAATTTTCTTTCTATATATCCAGAAGCCAATAATATATTTTTCCAAGATATAAGGGACTTCAAAATAAGTTCAGGTTTACAAACTGAAACAGGAATAGTAAATATTTTTCTTTTAGGAACAATAGTATCATATGCAATAATTTCAGCATAATGAAATCCAGATGAAAGTACAACTGGGTCCACTTGGACATCAAAAACTCTTCCTATTATATAATTATTAGATTTTTAATGTATAATTATTGTAATTGGACCTGTTGCATTTAATAAAAGATAGTTTGGAACTTTAACCCAGGGTTTTGACGAAAGCAATACTAGCCGTAGCTCCAATGTATTTTTTTCTAGTATCTCTTCATCTTTAAGTGTTGGTTTAACCTCTACTGTTATTTGATGAAGATGATTTGTCTCTTCAAATTCGCGTAAATATATTCCTTTACCATTAAAAGATGAATTATTAACTATTATTTCGAAATCAAAATCTTGATCCAAAAAGTTTATATATTGAATAAAATAGTCATAAGATTTTTCAACTTGTAAAAATCCAACATTCATAATATCACAAACATTTTTCGAAGCATTTTCGATTGCCTTGTAAATCCTAAATATTGTATTAAGGAAAAACGAACAAGGGCCATATTACCTTGGTGGAGTGTATTTTATTTTTTGTGCTTTCAATGCAGAAAGGATCAAGGAAATCCCCCCGCAAGCAGAAGGAGATGACATACTATAAAATATTAAAAATTTTACCAAATAATTACTGCTGACCTTGTTCCATTCATCAACTGACTACGTGAAAGAACATATGTAGGAACAGATGTTATGGCAGCGCCAGGTGCATAAATTGTAAGACCTTTTGCCCCATTTGTACTACAAAAATGTCAAATTTATTTAAATACAACGTATTTTATACCATGGCCCGTTACTAGACCATGTATATTTTCCTTCTGGGACATTTTCAAAAATAGAATATTCTGCTTTTATCATAGATGCAGTCACATATGCACCTGAATTCATAAGGATTAAAATTATACAAAATGCTAATCTTACCAACAGAAATCACACCAGAAGTTGTTCCTCCTGGTGCACCAACTGTACTTAAGGCTGGACCGCTGTTACCTGCACTAGAAACAAATATTATATCTTTTTTCCCAATTATAATTTTCCGCAAAAAGTCAATGAATATGCCCGCGTCATTTATTCCTGTGCTTTCTCCATAAGACATATTAGCAATATCAACACCGAGATTAACCATAGCAATAGCAGCTCGAAGAAGTGAGTGATTTGTTTCCATAGATCCAAGGCGTGTATCCCCAATTTTTAAAGAAACAATTTGAACTCCTGGTGCTACTCCATTTAAATCTGGATCATCAAGATGGTTTGCCCCAATAATTCCAGAAACATGAGTCCCATGTGATCCACATAATGTTACAAGGCTTAAAAGTTTATTATTTTACTAAGAAAAATGAAAATCCCACCTCAAAACAGAACCATTATCATAAATATTAACAGAATAACAGAGCATATCTTGTTTAGAAAAATATTCATAATGATGTTCAATATGATAATCACACATAGGTTTTTTATCTAAAAATTATAAATAAGGCAACTAGATTTAAGTCATACGAGTTAAATCTCCATCTTCATCTGTATCAATAACTGCACGCCAATTTTTGCCATCATGCCAAACAAGACAATCAAAAACAGGGCCCGGATCATCATAATTACACATCATATCTTTTAAAACATCATATTGTGCTTCAAGATCCTGTTTTAAATCCATTTCTTCCTTTAAAAGCTTACTTTCGTCCTTATGCTCCTCTTTAAACAAATTAATATGATGTTGTACATGTGCTAAAAGAGCTGTATGTTGTTGATTAAATGTTTCAAGCCGTTTCTATCCATCAATCATCATATATACCTTTTTTCCCTTCTTTATATTATCTACCTTTTTTAATCGAGTAACTAATGACTCTGGGAAAAATTCATAGCCTCTTTTAATGCCAAGAAACCATTTCCCATCTCGATTTTTCCATTCTTTAGATATTTTTAACGTTCTTCCCGATAATCCTTTTGTTTTAAGAACCTCATCCTCTTCAAATACTTCTGCAACAGTAGTAACATCCACATCTCCTGATCCTTTATATTTTCTTTCAATATAATGTACTTTTCAATCAATTACTATAACCTACCCGAACAATCAATCAAATTTACAATTTTTGTCTTTCCATCTGTTGTTTTCTGCATCCCTGGAGCTGACGGATCAACTCCTGTATCTAAAACTGCTACTGTTACTCCTCTCCCATCATATTCCGGGTATTTCTTAATAAATTGTAAAGATTCTGTTTCCTATAAATTATAAGAAATAAGTTAATTAAAATTAATTAAAAAAAGAATACATCTTTAGGCAATAGTCCCTTTACAGGAAATGAATATACTGAATCATTTAAGAAAGATGAAAGCAGTAATTCAGTCATTTTAAAGGCTTTTTAGACAATTTTTTTCAAATAATAAAATAAGTATTTAATATTAAATCGTCTTAAGAAAAAATATAAAAATTATAAAAATAAAATTAACAAAATTAAAATATTTCTTGTGTTTGTTAAGATATTCTTAAAAAAATTAGGAAAATTTTAATTTTTTCTATAAAAATTATATATTACTAAGATTAAAATTATATGTTTTTAAAAATTGATTAAATAAATATAAATTCATGACGCTTTTGGCAGTTAAAGTCTTAGTTAAGGAAAATCAAAGGTCTATTGGTATAGCTTTTACAGATTTTTTAACAAAAAAAATTGGAATTTCAGAATTTACAGATAATGAATTATATAATAATTATGAATTTCTTTTAGTACAACTAAATGTAAAAGAAGTTCTTATGTGTTTTAATGAAAGAGAGAATTTTGAATTGTCTAAGATTAAAGGTATAACAGAGAATGCAGGGATAAAAATCACAGAAATGAATTCAAAGGATTTTAAAATAAACAATATTGAACATGAATTGGATCAGATTCTTGATGAAAATAGTTTAAAAATGTTATGTGAGTGAAAATTTTATTATATATTAAAAAAAAATAATATATATGAATATAGCACATATTGATGATAAAATATGTAAAGATTCAATGTCAGCAATTATAAAATATTTATTAGTAATGAAAAGTGTACCTGTATTATTTAAAATTAATGAATATTTAGGTTACAAATGATTTAATAGAAACAGAAAAATTTGGGATTTATAAATATAATTTATCTCAATATATGAAATTAGATATTCCGGCTCTTAAAGCATTGTCACTTTTTCCTTGTGCGAATTCTGAGTCAAATACTTGTCTTTACAATCTTCTTAATAGATGTAAAACACCAATAGGAAGTCTATTATTAACACAGTGGATAAAACAACCATTGGTGGATCAAAATGAAATTGAAAAAAGACATACATTAGTAGAAGCGTTTTGTAAAAATTTAGAAACTATGCGGATTATTCAAGATTTTTTAAAAAGTTTCCCTAATATTTATAAATTAAGTAGAAAATTTGAAAAAAAAGATGCTACATTAGAAGAAGTAGTTCGAGTTTATCAAACAGTAGTAAAAATTCCTAATATAATAAATGCTTTTGAGAAAATTGAAGATGATAATTATTTATCATTGATAGAAGAATCATATTTATCAAAATTAAGGGTTTTTATATTAAAAGATTATATTTGTTTTAAAATATACTAGGAACTTTATGAAACATTTAAGAAGTACATAGAATTGGTAGAAACTACAATTGATTTTGAGGCTATGAATAATCATGAATGGGTTGTTAAATCAGAATTTGATGAATCTCTTTGTCGTTTTTCAGATGAATTAAATGAATTAAAGAATAAGATCCAGGAAGAATACATTCGTGTTAGTGAAGATTTAGAGCAAGATACTTTAAAAAAACTTAAACTAGAACAAAGTGAAATATATGGATGGTGTCTTAGACTTACTAGAAGTGTAATTATTTATTATATTTAAGGAAGAAATCTCATAAAATTAGCAATCGCATTGTATTAAAAACAAGAATTATATAGAATTATCTGTTCTAAAATCTGGTATATATTTTACAACTTCAATAATGCGTAGACTTAGTAATGAATACAATGATATTATGACTCAATACAAAAATCAACAGAAACAGCTTATAAAAGAAATTGTTGAAATTGCCGGTAATTTATTTGATTATTATTAATTTAAGCCAATGGTTTATTTAGCATCATTTTGTCCTGTAATGGAAAAATTGGGCCTAGTTATTTCTCAACTTGATGTAATAATAAGGTAGATTTTAAATAAACATAAATGAAGGTTTAACTTTTTTAGTTTTTCAGATATATCAATTTCATCAATTATCCCTTATGTTCGACCAATTATAAGTAAAAAAAATAAAATTATGCTTAAGGACTCTCGACATCCATGCCTTGAGATTCAAAGTGATATAACTTTTATTTCAAATGATGTTAATCTTGAACGTGGCGTATCTGAATTTCTTATTATTACGGGTCCTAATATGGGAGGAAAATCAACATATATTCGCCAGGTAACGCAAACATATTAGTAGTTAGTTATTAATTAATATATAAAGATTGGATTAATTGTTTTAATGGCTCAAATAGGATGCTTTGTTCCTTGTGCAGAGGCAGAGATTTCTATATTTGATAGCATTCTTGCAAGAATTGGTTCTAATGATTCCCAACTTAAAGGAATTTCAACATTTATGGCAGAAATGCTTGAAACAGCAACAATACTTCAAACAGCATCATCTAACTCTTTGATTATAATTGATGAATTAGGAAGAGGAACAAGTACTACAGATGGATTTGGTTTGGCATGGGCAATATCAGAATATATAATTAGTAAAATCAATGCATTTTCTTTATTTGCCACACATTTTCATGAGTATATAATTTAACTATATTATATAATGTTTTTAATTCTTTAGATTAACAGAATTATCAAAGAAATACTCAATTGTAAAAAATTTAAACGTTATTGTTCATCTTGAGAATAATAATAAAAATAAGGATGTTACTCTTTTATATAAAGTAAAACCTGGTACTTAATATTATTTAAAAAAATTACTTTAATTTTAAATATAGGAATATGTGATCAAAGTTTTGGTATTCATGTAGCCAAAATGATTAATGTATATTGATTTAAAATTTTGATGTATACTAACATTTTTAAAAGTTTCCTGAAAGTGTGGTGAAATTAGCAAAACGTAAAGCAGATGAATTGGAAAATTCCATATCAATAATTAATGATAAAAAATATAACACAGGGGATATAAAAACAGGAACTAATATATTATTGCAAATAATGAATGATTGGAAAGAAAAAATCAAAGAATCGGATATGAGTGGTTTAGAGATGTTGAGCATTTTCAGAAATTTAGTTCAAGAAAAGTATATTTTTGATATTGAAAACAATACATGGATACAAAAAATTATTGCTGAATAAAATTCTTGTTTAAATTATAGTATATCTACAAAGTGCTTCTACATCTTAGACTACTTCTATTAAAATTATTAAAATATGAGTCTTATATCCGACCATATTATGATTCATTATTAGAAAATATTTAATATTTTGTTAGTATATAATACATACTATTCAAATTTATAAAATTAGATATTTAAAATTAAATAATTTCCCATAAATTTTCTAATAAAAAATTATTATAAAAAATAATTAACATTATTATTTACCACATGAATGTAAAATCCTGCTTGTTGCAGTGTTTGCACTTAATAAATATTCGCTAATAGAAATCTTTTCATCAACCCAACTATCTGCAAAATTATCTTCTCCATGAGCCATTGCTCCAATAACAACACATAATGATTGATCAGGTTCAAGTGTTTTAAGATATTCAGATATTCGAACAGTTGGTGCATCAGATGAAAAAGCTATCTACTTTTAATAAATAATAATAATAAATAATTTAAACTAACTTATTTTTTTACAATTTGGCGGTAAATGATCTGTAATTGGATTTTTTATAACTTTCAACAATTTCTCTTTCCCGTCAACGCTTCTTATACTATGTTTATGTAAAAGCTGCACTATCAATCCTGAAAACCTCTTAAAAGTTCGAGGAATTCGAATTTTTGGATTCACTTCAATTAAAACATTTTTAGTCGTATGAATATAAACTTGAAGAAACCCCGCTTTATTCAAAGGTGAATCAAGAAGTGTTAAAAGACATTCTACAATAAATCAATTCAAAATTAATTTTATCTATATCATCACATACGATGACATATATCTGGTCTTGCTTCTTTTAAAAAATTAATTAAATATTTAATATATTAATATCTTCACCTGAAATATCCCTATTCATTTTCTTTAAAATCCCTTGATGGTCATCACCGTTTAATAAATAATATTTTCCTTCTTTTGAACCCCCAACTTTATATATCTCTAAACACGCTTTTTCCAAAACAACAATAAGATGCCTCTTATCTTCCTTAGATGCAAGTTTAGGCTGTATAGGAACAAGATCTGCTGTTTTAAGATAATTCGGTTCATTTTTTTCTCTCATTTAATATTAATTACTTTTTAATTAATTTTCTCCAAAAAAAATGCAATTTCTTTCAAAATAACAATTGTATTCCTCTTTTTATAAACAAAAAAACCTTATAAACCCTTCAAAGTGTAGTTTTTTCTAAATAAAAAAATCATTTACTCTTTATTTAATAATTTCGTCAAAAATTCCTCAAATTTGACCAAAAAAAAAACAAAAAAAAGTTATTCTTATGTTTCTACCAATTTATTGGTCAATTAATATCATAAATATTAAAAAAATCTACGTTTTTTTCTTTATATTAATTTTTTATTTTTTTAGACGTTGAAAAAATCTTGACGACAATAAAAAATATTGTTAAGTTTTAGTAAGAAAAACCTCTAATCTAATAACATTTTCCAATCATTTATAGACAAGATATTAAATTTTTATATTATTTTTAACAATGGCTTCTCATACTTATATTCAATTGCCTTTATCTCGTCGTATTAAAGTTTTAGTAAAGGTACATTTTATTAAAAAAGGGTATAAGTTGCAGTTTTTTTAATCTTTTAAGCATCCACAATTCGTATGGTTTATTGGTCATAGTGTTCTTTTGCTTTTTTCACTTCGTTATCTTTTCTCTTATCTTACTTTTTCATCTATTCGCCATGTTTTTTCATATCGTTGTGCTTTCCTGGGAGCCATTTTGACATATAGTATTGTTGTTTATAAGACGTATAGAAAAACGTATACAGTATGTTTTTGAAACTGATCGATTAGTATTTTTAATATGGTTATTATTAGAAGAGCAAAATAGATTTGAATGTTATATTGCGTATTTGGTTGGATGAAAATTTCCAATATCTTTGTAAGATGTGATTATGGAAGAAATTGTATTATTAATATTTTAAAGTGCTTGCAACTGTATGGTTTTTATCGAGACCAGTCGCATTGAGTTTAACTCCATATGTGATTTTTTCTTTGTTTCATTTTCTTACATATCTTCGGTCAAATGTCTTGCCTACATTAAATCCTAATGCACTTAAGCTGGATGAAAATTGTATAGAAGCTAGTATTTGTAGATATATTCAATTTCTTATCAAACAGCATTACGATTCTGCGATGAAACTTGTATCTAAAGTTGAAGTTATATTGATAGGAACACGTGTTTTGATTGGTGCATTTACGTAAGTATTAAGTGTTTTTGTGAAGTTTTATAGATATAAAAATATAGGTTTCAAAATTCATTTACGGTTCTTTTATTTTATGCCTTCTTTATACGTTATCGCTATTTTACTTCAACATATACAAGACAGACATTTGTTCATATTTCTATCTATATTGATCATTTGGTAGCAGATAGCCGAGTTCCAGGTTCTGTGCGCAATTCATGGGTCTCTATAAAACGATTTATTAAAGACTATGCAGCACGATCTTTTATAAATGCTCCATCTGATCCATTAACTAATAAAGAGTCTCATAATAAGCAACAATAAATTATGTTTTTAGAGATTAGTATTTTTTAAATAATTTAAATATGTAATATTTAAATTAAATCTTATATTGTTTAATACTAAAAATTAAGTATTTACTAAAATAAAGTGTATAAGAACAATAATAAAAAAATAAATTGAATAGAACTTAGTATATTATTTTCATGTTTTGTTTAAATTCAGTTAAATATATTTTTTATAATTGTGATATATATACCAGTTATAAATTATTTTTGAAAGTGTCAACTTATGCTTATTAGTCGAACTCTGAAAGTGATGATCTTATATTTAATATAAATCCAAAAAGAGTCATAAAAAATAGAAAAACAAAATTTTATAATTTAATTTAATTATTAAGTATTATTGATTTTAATTATTAGATGAATAAAAGTTTTATAAAACAGTCTATATAAAAATTTAAAAACAATGAAATATTTTATTTTTACAAAATAGTGAGTAATAAAATCATGTGAAATCACTTCAATTTTCGTAAAATTGTAATGTTAGGTATTTAATTTTAAATAATTATAAGATATGTTTTAATCGTATAAATTGAGTAGTAATAAAATAAAAAGTCCTAGTATATGAATCCAAATAGGGATATATGTTTTATCATATAATTTTCCATTTCATTTATCTTACTAAGCCGAACCCTTTTCTTTTTCCTTTTTCCTCCGTAAAACGGCCTGATTCTAATCGAGATTTCTTCTCCTCAAGTTCTGCACGTTGTTGTTGCAAAGCATCACGCATTTCTCGATGTCGAGCATACAATTCCTCTTCAGACTGTTTTAATTTATTTTCTTTTTCTTGAACTTTTTGTTGAAAAACGAGTTTCATTTCTGCTTCCATTTTTAATAATTTAGCTTCATGAAGCTGTCTTTCTTCTTCTTGTCTAATAGAAGGGCTACAAAAATGAGTATATGTGTATAAAATAAGCAAAAACTCACTTTACTTCTTTAAATACACTAGAATCTTGTGCAACCCCCATTTGTAACAATTTATCTGTCCTATAATTTTCATATAGCACATCATTAGTATATTCTTTTAAATCCTCCATGTGTGTCCTAATTATTAGAAGAAAAATAGTAAATAAGAGATTATCTTACCGAATAAGCATCTGACGTAATTTAATAAAATCGCAATGATTTTCATTTTCCACTTCAATTACTCCCCACGGATATTTTCTACCTCTTACTGTATGACCGGAAGATGTTGTTACTTCATAATTGCTTCCTACAATAGCAAAAGGAATTTTTGAAGCAATTTCATTATTTTCGTTAAGTGTTTCTTCATCATCGTATTCATAATTAGGAGGCCTAAAGATTTCAATTTCGTGAAAAGCAATATCGCTCAATATCTATACTTTTGAATAATAAAATAAAATAAGATATTAAATATATTACCCTTTTTTTAAAACTCAATACTTCTTGCTCTGTTAATGTATCGCTTTTAGCAATGACAGGAATCAAGTTAACACGTTGGTGAAGACGCCTCATAAATTCAATCTCTAAGGGTTTAAGAGAATGACCCGTAGGGTCAATAAAAAATATGCAAGCATGTATACGATTGTCTATAATATTTGCCCTGCTTACTCTATTTTCAGCCTCAAGATAAGCATCAAAACGTTGTTCGATATTCTCCAAAATTGGTTGCCAACTAATTAAATATAAGTACTAAATAAAATGTTTTTATGATTTTTTTCTTTTTTTTCAAAATACCTATCATTATTGTTTACAAAATCACCAAATCCTGGTGTGTCCACGACCGTCAACTTCAATTTAACGCCGTTCTCTTCGATCTCTGATGTAATACTTTTAATTTCAATTGTTTTCTCCAGGTCTTTTGTTAACGGTTTAATATTTCTTGGAGGATACAATGAACAATTAAACAGTGTATTCACAAGAGTCGACTTTCCAAGCCCTGACTCTCCAACAACCATAAGGTTCAAAATAAATCCTTTTTTAATCGATTTTCGATACCATTGATTCGGAAGATTGGCAAACCCAACATAACCTAATAAACAATATAGTATTAGGTTTTTTTATAAATATATGATATATAACAATGCCTTTTAAGCATTGTTACCATATTTTTGCGTTAATACCTGTCAATTTTCTTCGAATAATATGGTTTCCTGATGATGATGCATTTGTCTAAATCCATCAATTAATATTGGAAAAATGCCAAAAACTCTTATTTAAACATGCCTTATATGGATCTTGATGACCATCAAATCCTGTAAATTCTTCTGTCTGAGAATTGACAGGATTTATCTCAGTTATAGAAGATAGTTTACAATTTACAAGCATTGTTTCTAAAAAAGTCAATATTTGTCCTTTTAAATCGTAAAAAAAAAAACCCCTAATACCTTCCATGAGACGTTTCTTTTAAAACTACGTTTGATACGTCAAAGTCTCCCTTGTTCGTTAATAATTGCGTCTTCTTTTTATATGTTGTTGGCTGATGACATTTATAAATCATCGTTTGAGCCAAAGAAAGGGGAAATAATTCGCGGCTAGGATTAGGGGTTCTGTTTAGGATAAGGGTTAGGGATGTAGACGAATTAGGGTTAGGGTGTATTGAAGTGTTAGAATAGAATAGAAAATATCTAGATAATATGATTTAATTAATGATTTTTTTCGAGTTTCATGTAATTGTAGTAACTTTTGATCGTTTCGTATCGGTTAATTTTGTTTTTCGTTTTGATTTGGAGGGCAAATTGTCATCATCGTCAAACGGATCATCATTAAGATCTATATCATTATATGCATCATCTAACCAAAGACCAAAGCCCATATTCATTGATTTCTTCTTTATATGTGTATTTTCCTCATGATTATCTAAATGCTCTAGTGTAGCCGCCTTTTTTAATGCAGTAACAAGCTGTACATCATTTTTCAATATAGACTCCCTTGTTAATGATCCCGCTTCTACCAGATTATCATCTTCTAATAATGTTGATGTATGGAAATAATTCCTTTTTGGAGTATATGTATTATTTATATTATGTTGAATTAGATTTTGCGTAGGTTGCTCTTGGTCTGTGTAAAAATTCATAGATTCAAACGGATCATATGTTCCTACGTCATCAAAAATGTCATTATTCTCTTCATTTGATGTTTTTTGTATTTTTTCAGGAAAATTTTCTATTGGAGTCGTTGATTTTGTTTCTTTTAATATTGTCATTTTTTCATTTTTTTGATCCTGATTTAATAGTTTTTTTTCACAACAAAGATCATCCTTTTTCTTTAATGATTCATTTTTTTTAGGATTTTCTCCACGAACACCTATTGGTTTAAATTTTGATTGTTCCTTTACTGGATCTTGAGTTTTTTGTTTTTTTAAAATAGAAAGGAGCTCGTCTCGATTTTTCCTTTTTGAAATATTTTCTTCCAAGTCTTTTTTCTTTGAAAGACCTTCCATATATATTTTATCGAGATCTAATGCCTCTTCCTTAGTTTCAACTGCCTTTGTTGAATCTTTCTGTATAGTTGTTGGTTCTGATATTCCAATTTCCTCACCACGTCTAACCCTTTCAAGTAATACTCGATCTAATCCCCTTACTAAACATGAATTTTCAAAATCCCCTCCCAATCGTTGCGTTTGTAATAAATAATCTTGATGTGATATTTCTCCTTTTTTTACTGCTTCTTTAAGATTTAATAACATATTTTCTTGCATAGAATATGCTCTTCTGTCCTCACTATCCTCTTTTTGTAGCTCCTTTGCTCTATTTCTATATCCTTCAGGTAATAATGATGATGTAGTATTTGAACCTTCATTTTTCGCCGCTTTTTTTCCAACACAACGGTTTCCATGTGTTGATTTCTCTGAAAACTTCTTTGTTGTTTTTTCTATGAAAATCCATAGATTAATACTTTTCTCAAATTTTATACATTTTAACTCCAACCTATAAATGTTTGTCTAGAATCTTTGGATATTGGCCGAAAAAAAGAAGGCCGAGATGTAGTTTGCCTTGGCTGCTGAGGTGTTGCCAATAGCCTTCTAAAATCATCCTGATTCATATTATATAAGTCTTTACTTTTATTATTATTAGTTTATCAATTTAATATAATCGATCTTTATAATTTATATTTGAAATATTTTATTAGACATTTGTGCTGTAATGGCGCTAATTCGGAAGGTAGTGCATCCTTCCAGATGGCCGAGATTCTTCAGAATACTTTCCTCAAAGGTTTCGTGTTCGAATCCTGAGTACACCATCTATTGATGCAGCGAAGGCTATATTAGTAATGGTTGTGAAAAGTGGCGGTATCGTTCGAGGGGAGCATCATCCAGCAGAACACCGTCCGGCTTGGGTATGTGAATACGAGGAAACCTAGGGGTCTGAATGGTCTTGGAAAGAAGGTAGCTATCAACCGACTTTTTCGTAATAATATTGTATTCTATTTTTTAAAAGTTGTATTTTTCAGTATTTTATTTGATTAATGATTCAAATATTATAGATTGTCTAGTTAATTCAACCTTTCATAGAATTATAGATATATCTATTAATAAGAATAGAATAAATAAATCAATTATATATAATAATTAATAATGGTATGTTAAATTCTAGATATTATTAAGAGTTTAGAATAGTATTAATAATATTAAAAAATACTCATATTTTTCATTGAATATTGCTTTTCTTGAAATTATTTCTTAATATTTTTATTATTTTTCTTAACATCATGATAAGATATTCTTTTAACAATATCTTTTGGTCGATTGTCAAAGAAAAGCTTTTTAAATATATATTCGACTATGTAACATCCTATATAGTCTAAAATCATAATAATTGTTAAGGTTATTTTAAATGAAGTTTCGAACTTGACCAGTTTTAATTTCTCATTAATTTCTGGTATAAATTCGGTAGAACAACTAAAAGCAAGTCCAGTAACACCTAACATTCCATAAAACATAATTTTATTTTCTTGAATAGATTCTCTAAAGGGCTGTCCCTGATAATTAATAGTAAATGTCGATATTTGTTGCATAAATTGAAGAAGATAAATTGCGCTATTAAGTAAACTAGGAGAAAATTCGGATTCTAGGTCGACATTTTTAATAGGTCTGAGTTTAATTAGCTTAATGGTAAATTAATGAGATATAACATACGTTTCGAAAAGTGATACATAATATTTTATATAAATAAGAGTTAAAATATGAATTAAAAACTGACCAAGAATAGAACCTATGATATAAATATTGAAAATATTTGACTGAGGGCGTTCTTTTGAAAGAGTTTGAACAGGCTAAAAGATTTAGAAAGAAAAATATTATAATTACAATAAAAATTTACTTTAGCTTTTGAAATATATAGAAAACACGCTGACATTAACATTCCTGATATTGTTATTTGCCCATCTCCAAATTTAATACCATCTAAATATAATACAGATAAACTATATGCAGAAATCAGGCAATTTAACGCCAAAATTTTGTACATCTGAATTGTTGCTACAAGTGTACATCGCCCCTGTCGAATGATATTGGCAACTAATTCATCTGTTATCAACCTAAACATAAATATATATGTAACATACTCGCAACAACATTAGAAAGTTTAGATGTAAATGGTGCTGCACATGAAGCGTCTCCTAGCTTAAGTACAGGAGGCTCAGTATCATCCTCAAAACTTGCAAACTTAGATAATAATGTTTCTGTAAAATTTTCATCTTTTTTTGTAATATTTGAAACTTGTAGTTTATTTTGTGAAGTTTTATTCGAATTTGGTTTATTGTTATTTTTTGATGCTTCTATGTTTTTAGAACGAGCAAGAATTGAAGCTTCACGATGAGGATTAAATGGTCCTTCTGAATAAAGATATGCAATAGGGAATGGAACAGGAAGTGGCGGCTTATTAAACTTTGCAAGTATTTTAACTTGTTTTTCATAAATTTGTTTCAATTTTTCGTTACGTGCATGTTCTTCTATTCGTTTTAAAACTTCCTCAGATCCATTGAGAAGTGCAACACCAATGTGTGCTTGTTTTAAAGCACCAACATCATTTGTACCATCTCCACACATTAAGGTAATATAGCCTGCCTCTTTTAATGATATTAAAATACGTTCCTAAAAAAGTTGTTATAATTTTTTCGTAATTTTATAATATGCTTACTTTTTGTGCCGGAGAAACTCTTGCATATATCCATGTATGTCTTAATAAATCATTTATATGATTAGAATTGTAATACTTTGAAAGAGCATATCCTGTGACACATATATCATACTTTTGAAATATAGTTTTATCTAAAGGACTATTAACATTAATTGAAGCAATTATTTCATTATCAATGTTTTTCCAACAAAGATCTATAAATAATTAAATTTATAAATTATATTATTTTTATTGTTACCTAAACCATTATTAAATGAATCTAATATTAGAACATCTCTCTCAATTATCTGAACTTCCCGAGCAACATGACATGCAGTAAGTGGATTGTCTCCGGTAATCATAATTACCTTATACAAATTAATCATATACATTTATTTATATATTTATATTTATAAATCTTACCCTGTGAGAAGATTCATTTAACATTTTGATTGTACTAGCAGCGTCTCTTTTTAAAGAACAACTAAATACAAGAAACCCTGAAAATATCAAATTACTTTCTATTTCCTCTCTTGAAAGCAGATTTATTTCAGAAGTATTAATTTGATCTTTAAGGAATTTATAACCAAGAGCTAAAACACGACATCCATTTTTAGTAAAATATCTATATATACTTTCATAATTTTTCGGGACTATAGAAATTTTTTCAAGTACTTCAGGTGCACCTTTTACTGCCACAAAGGTTTTTCTAGATTTTTTAATTTGATCAGATATTGTCACTATACTCGATTGACGTTTTAATACTAATGAAAATTGAAATCTTCTAACAATTTCTATTTTACTTTCTTGAAGTTCCTTCTGAGAAGATAATACAACATTATTCTTTTCAAGCTTCCATTTTAATGCATCCAAGGTTGCCTTTTCCATAGGATCCCCTATAACTTTGCCATCGTCAAGTTTAATCAAAGAATGTGCTGTTCCAAGAACTAGCATAGTTTCTTTAGATACTGAATTAACATCAACAAGTTCTTCAGGATTTTCACTTGTATATTTAGCACTAATTTTAAATTTTATAAATAATAAAACGTACCTAAGGCCTGCAACGCCTTTTACTACAAGATCTTCTTCAGTTAAAGTACCAGTTTTATCAAAACAGCAAACATCAATTCTTCCAGCAAACGGTATTCTAAAAGGTTCTGTACAAAAAATAGCTAATTTTGATAGAGTAGCAAGAGAAGAATTAACAGCTAATGAAAGTTCCATAGGAAGTTCTGGAGGAACAACTGATGTTATTATTAAAATACAATCGAGAAGAAGTTTATATTTGTTTCTATTACTTTGTATGCCTTTTTACTTGTTAAATAATTGTATAATTTTAAGATTTAGTTTACCTTTCGTCCAAACATAACAACTAGCTGCTATTGCAAAAACAAGAAGAAATAGAATAAAAAATAAACTTTCTAAGTTATTTGCACTAACTCTTTCTGTGGAATATATCATAGTCCTTACGAGATTACCTTGTTGAGTTTCAAAACCTGTTTTAATAACTACTGCTAAAGCGCCATTATCGGGTGCAAGAGGAATTGCTGAATTTGTTGAAGGAGATATTTGAAGAATTTTAGTACCTCCAAATAATAAAGAGTTCCTATCTACATCTTGTATATCAAAACTCGACTTAGGATCTCTGAGAGAGATATTTTCTTTTAAAAGAGGCGTAGATTCACCACTTAACATTGCTTCGTTAATGATACATGTACCTGATAGTAAAATCATATCACAGGGTACATCGTGTTCTTCTTTAAAAGGTGCAATTGAAACAATATCATCTGGAAACAATTCATCTGTCATGACTTGTGTCCAACAATATTTTCTATAAACATAAATTTGATATGATTTAATTGACATCGTTCGGAATTCTGTAAGAGTTTTTTGTCTCTATAATCATAAGAATCTGTCTATATTAACAAATAATAACATACTTGCCATACTACTGTTGATTCAAATAATATCAACATAAGCAAAGTGAATAAAGAATAATACCAATATTCATCAAGACACCAAAGTGCAACACAAAAAACTTGAAAAACAAAAAATGGTGCAACAGCATGTTCTTTAAATAATTCTACAAATGTAAGAACTGGAATATCAAATCGATTATATCCATAATGATCTTTAGCATAATTAATTAATGTATCTGACGTCAATCCTCTCATAGCTTGTAAGTCTTCAATAAGAGGATTCGAATCAATTCTGAATGAAAGTTCTTGAAACTTTTTTTTCTCATAAGAATATACAAATTTCTTTTTTTGAAAAAAAAAATATATTTCAGGAAATGCTTCATTTTCAAACTAATATAATACATTAAACATTTTTATATTTTTCAAAAGATATACCTTTTTACGATTCAAAACACATATTTCAGATAGCCCTTGATTAGAAACAGGAGTAATACGAATCAATTGAGCTTCTTCCACTCTATAACACTAAATTTAATTCAGTTATATCATCCATTTCTTTATTATTCATACTAATTTTGCCGTCAATAATGTTTTTATATGAACATTCCAATGTTTACTAAGCCATAAAATACCCTGAACTGAAAAAAGAGTTCCAAGAGTAATAAATGTCCATTCTTCTGATTTAATATATTTATCATATTTAAACTTATAAATATATATCCAAAATGAATATAAAAATATGAATGGAAACACATATAAATGAAACATTATATCTCTCGATACATGTAATGATGATGATGAGATTAAAGGGCTTTCAACTAAGTTTGAATCTTTCCAATATCTTGTTTTTCTAAAAATCCTAAAAACTGTCAAATTTTCACGAAAAAAAAACTGGAAAAAAACTACATTTTAAAATCTATTAGTTTCTTGAAATAATTTCCTCTAAATTTAACGTCAATGTCTACTTTTTATTAAAACTTTTTAAATTTCTAAAAAAAATTTAAAAATTGGTCGTTTTAATCGTAGAAAAATTAAAAAAATCAGGCACGGTTAACCCTTAAATGATAAACTATGACTGATAAATATTCGATTATTTTACCAACATATAATGAACGAAAAAATTTAGCTATTATTACCTATTTACTATGGAAATTACTAAATGAAGGGTAGTTTTTGTATTTTTTTGTTAATTGAGATTTATTTTCTTAAGAAATTTTGATTGGGAGCTTGTTATTATTGATGATAATTCTCCCGATAAGACACAAGAAGTGGCAAATAAACTAATAGAAATATATGGGAGTGATCGTATTGTTGAATTGATGATGTTTTTTGAAAAAAAAAAAGGGTTAATTATAGGTAGATTTTGAAAACACGACCAAAAAAGCTTGGACTTGGGTTAGATTTTGATTTTATTAATAATTTATTCTTTAATTTTATAGAACAGCGTATGTTTATGGTCTTGAATTTTGCACAGGAAATTTTGTTATTATTATGGATGCAGATTTTTCTCATCATGTAAAAATATTTAGATTGTTAGGATTTATTTAATTGATTTGTGTTAGCCGAAATATATTCCTGAATTTATTCATCTTCAAAGAGAAAAATCGTATGATATTGTTTTAGGAAGTCGATATATAAGTGGTGGTGGTGTTTATGGATGGAATGTTAAGCGAAAGCTCATTTCTTTGGGAGCAAATCTCTTGAGTAGAATTATGCTTCAGCATGGTGTGAGTGATGTTACGGGTAGTTTTCGATTGTATAAAAAAAGTGTTTTAAAGGAGATAATTGCAGACTGTAAAAGTAAAGGATATGTTTTTCAGATGGTTGGTTGATTTTTTTGTTGTATTGTTTAACATTTAATAGGAGATTATTGTAAAAGCTAAAAAATATGGATATTCAGTCGGGGAAGTGCCTATTACATTTATAGATAGATTATACGGAGAATCTAAATTAGGAAGAGATGAAATTATTGGATATCTGAAAGGGTTATGGGATTTGTTTTATACCCTATAAATATTTCTATTTACTATGTTTTATTTATTGAAAGAAAGATATTTATATTTTAATCAAGTTAAATTATTATTGATGTATTATTTAAATAAAATTTCATATAGAATTTAATTTGAAATGGAACCTTGCTTTATAATAACAAATCTAACGGATTTTCCAAAATAGATTTAAGCATTGTTACCCATTTTGCAGCAACAGCACCATCTATCACACGATGGTCAGATGAAAGTGTTATTTTCATGCGTTTTTCTATTTTGAATTGCTTTTCTGAACCAGGATCTTCTACAAGGAAATTTTCAATTGAACCTACAGCTAAAATAGATGATTGAGGTGGGTTTATCTAGAAGTTTGGTTAGATAAGATATAGAGAAACGAAAATATAAATTATACAATTGATGTAAATTGCTCAATGCCATACATTCCCATATTTGAAATTGTAAAAGTTCCTCCCTATACGTGATTAAAAATAACACTTAAATAGATTATCAAAATACTTGATATTCTTCAGGTTTAAGTTTTCCTTCTCTTGCTTTATTTCCAAGTTCCTTGATTTCATTATTAATAATAAGAAGACCCTTATTTTGAACATTTTTAACAATGGGTGTAATAAGGCCAGTTGGAGTTGCAACCGCAATTGATATGTCTACTGAATGATATTGTCGAATAAAATCTCCAAACCATCCACTATTTACTTCTGGCACTTTTTGAAGTGCTACAGCAGATGCTTTAACAATAATATCGTTAATAGAAATTTTATATTGACCATCGGCATTATTATTAAGAGCTTCTCTCAACTTAAGAACTTTATCCATAACAATTGAGATAGTAATATAAAAGTGAGGTGTATTTTGTGTAGATTCCGTTAGTCGAGAAGCAATTGTTTTACGAATATTTGATAACGGAATGTCTGTATACAAAGCTTGATGAGTTGCTGCTGGTTGTATACTGGATACTGATTCGAGTTTAAAGTTATCAACATCAAATTTAATTATTCGTCCTCCTGGACCTGTACCCTTAATTTTTTCTAAGGGAATTCCTTTTTCAGTAGCAAGTAAACGAGCAATTGGACTTGCAAATATTCGATCACTCGATTTTTCTTCAGTAAAAGATGATACTTGTTCCACTTTTTTAAGACTTTCAGATCGTAATTTTTCTTCCTTAAAAACCTCGCTTTTTTTAGAAACTGGTTTTTCTTTAGTTTTTACATCATCAATAGTAAAATCTGAAAATGCTGGTACATCTGACTCTTCTTCTACCAAAACCGCTATAGGCTACTATCAATATTAGTTAATTATATAACCTATTTTCTTTACTTACAAAGCCAACTTCTACATCTTTTGTTCCTGATTCAAGCAAAATTTTCGCTATATATCCTTCTTCTTGAAATTCAAAATCAACCTGAGCTTTATCTGTTTCAATATCTACTAAAATTTCCCCAGGAGAAATTGATTCCCCAACTTTTTTCTTCCATTCTCCAATAGTACCGTGTGACATAGTTGGTGACAAAGCCGGCATATTGATTATTCTATGTGTTGGAAGTGCTAAGTTATACATTAAATCCTAATCAAATAACGACTTTAAATAATATACCTTTTCCTCTATAGTTCCTCTTAAAAATACTTGTCTTATATAACCAACTATCAGGTTTTATACCCCAATATCTACTTCAAATCATTAATCTATTTTTTAATTTCCCTTTATTTTACATATTTCCTGGATTTTTTAAATTTAAAAAACGAAGACATATTAAACCAATCTGTGCCTTTCTTACTAGACTCATTCTAATATAATCCTTAAAATATAATTATTTATATTTCAAATAATATAATAATTTGATGTTGGTTTAAAAAATCGTATTTAAATTTTTTAATTTATTTTAAAGTCTAAAAAAGATATAACTTATTAGTCTTTCTTAACTTCCTGTTTTTAAACTTTCTATTTAAATTAGATTATTTTTATTAAAAAAATTCACTTTTAACATTTTAATACTAAGATCTAAGCAAATAAATATTTTAAATATATACATATTTTTTTTAATAAAGATAGTTATTAGAATTTATTATGTTTTCTATCTATATTTAAAGAAGTATTTAATTATAAATAAAATTTTAATATATAACCCTTAAATTTCTAATCTAATTTGCAGATCAAATATATTCTTGTAATAATTATTAAATAAAAAATTAGTAAAAATAAGGGTTATTGAGAAGGTGCTTTTTTATATTGTTATATTTTGAATTTTTATTGATTAAACGAAGTCAAATTCTAGAGATAATTTAATTCACGGTAACTCTTTTAATAGTTAATTAAATATCTTATATTTTAGGAAAGAAATATAGATAATGGACGAAAAAGATAATTGTAGTAGTGATTTAGATGTAGAAGGTTAGTTTATATTTTTTTTTGGATTTAAAATGATTATTTTTTGAAAAATTAGAGGATATTGAAGATTTGTCAAAACGAGATAATAATATAATGAATGAGGAGGTTTTAGATGGATCTGAGGAGACCCATAGATGTTGTTGTATAAAAGAATCAGTTAAGGAAGAAAAAGCGGAAAAAATTGAGGAAAAATTAGTAAATAATAAAGACGAAGATTTGGAATTTGATAGTATAAAAAGATATAAAGTGGATGAAGAATCATTAAATAATATCTCTGGGGTCTGCGAGAATTCTGTTGAGAATAATGATAAGAAGTTTGTTGAGAATTATATAAAAAAGAAAACGTTTAAATCATATCCAAATATTCTTGATTCTTATGTAAAAATTAATGAAGGATTTGAGTTTGGGTTTATTGTTTTTGTTGTTCAAGCATTAGAAAATATTCTTTTAACAAAGGAGGGTAAAAGAAATGGACCTCTTAAGGATGCGATTTTTAAAGCATTAGGTAAATATATTTATGTATAAAGTGATTTTTATTTAGTTTTTAGAAGTAATAAAAATGGGGGAATCTCCGTCGCCGAGTCTTATATTAGAGCCATTGCATTATGCATGTGAAACTCGTTCTTCTCAATGTATTATACCTGCTTTAGATTGTTTATCAAAACTATTATCATATTCTTTCTTTGTTGACCTTTCGCCAACGACATTACAATCATCAAATGATTTGGAGGCTGCACAAGAAACAAAAATGCCTACTGTGTCTATTATGGAACGCGTTATTAATATTATTTGTAACTGTTTTCAAGGAGACACTACAGATGAACGCGTACAGTTGCAAACGGTAAAGGCTTTACTTTCTGTAGTATTGAATGAGAATCCAAAGACAATTATTCACCAAAATCTCCTTTTAAAAGCAATACGTCAAACGTATAATATATTTTTGCTTAATAAAAATATTTCAAATCAAATAATAATACAGGGTATTTTGACGCAAATGATTCATACTATTTTTGGAAGAATTAAATCAAGATTTATAGAGGGTTTAAAGGATGAGGATAATAATATTTCTAGTGTTCCCCTCTCAAATTCTTTTTCAGAAAAAAAAAAGGAATCTATTCAACTTGATTTTCAATCTATTGATTCTGAAACACAGGATTCTCCACTTGAGACACTTAATATGGACATTCTTGATGAAAAGTTGTCTAGTCTTGAAATTATTTCTGCATCTGAAAAAAATATTTTGTATTTTTATTATATTTTCTAAAAAAAAAAATAACAAATCACTAGGGAATCATTTGAAAATTCTAAATCACCTGAAAATGCCTATGATCCTGATATGGAGTTTAAAAAACACGACGAAAATCAATTATTTATAAGAGATGCTTTTATTCTTTTTCGAGTTCTATGTAAACTATCTATAAAACAGTTATCATATGACAAGTATATGACATTTGAAATGAATTTTTTTTAATTGGCTTATAGTACTAATGATTTAAAATCTCATTCTATGAGATCAAAACTTCTTTCATTGCATTTAATATATTCCATTTTAGATAATTATATGGAAATATTTACATCTCAACATATTAAAATTCATTTATCTTCGTCATCTATTACGTTTATTCAGGCTATTAAAGAATATTTATGTCTTACATTAACCAGAAATTTTATTAGTCCTGTTCAACAAGTATTTAATATTAGCTGTGAAATATTCTGGAAAATGATTGGTTCTATGAGAATGCTGTTAAAGGTTGAAATAGAAGTATTTCTAAAAGAAATTTTTCTTCCTATATTGGAGATGCGAAATTCAACATATCAACAAAAACAAATATTGCTTGAAATTTTGCAAAGAATATCTAATGATCCTAAGGTTCTTGTTGAAGTTTATTTGAATTATGATTGCGATCGTGCTGCATTAGATAATATATATGAAAAGAAAGTATATTTTTAAAAAGGAAATAAGGACTAATTTTTATATAGGATCATGAATATTTTGTCTAAAGTAGCAACATCATCTTTACAAGTAAATCAATATCAGCAACATGGAGTAAAAGCATCTAATAAGTCATCTATTTCATCTCCTTCATTGCCTCTTTCTCCTTCATTGTCTATTTTACCGGCATCTGGATATTCAGAAAATAACTTAATTACAATGGAATATAATTTGAAATTAAATTCACTCAGATGTATAGTATCTGTTTTACGATCTCTTGTCTCTTGGTCTCAAGAAGGACTTAAAACTGCTACTACTGAATTCAAAGAATTACGGCTTAATGAAAACCAAAATAACAGCGAACATGGAGGTGATTCCAGACGACCCTCATTTGCTTTTGGATCTATTCCTACAGATTCAATCGATTATTCCAATAATATGAAGAATAGTGTTTCAGATGATCCTGAGATATTTGAAGCGTTGAAACATAGGAAAAATACGCTTTCTGAATGTATTAAGAAATTTAACTTTAAGCCTCAAAAGGTCTTTTTTATATAGATAAAATATTATTTATAACATAATTTAGGGAATTGAAGCTTTGTATCAACATAAATTCATCAAATCATTATCTCCTAATGATATTGCTGTTTTTTTATATGAAGCCGAGGGTTTAAATAAGACTAATTTAGGAGAATATCTTGGTGAGGGGTAAATATTTTGTATTTTAAAAACGAAGATTGATTATTTTTATAGAAATGTTGAAAATATTTCAATAATGCATTCATTTGTTGATCTTATAGATTTTTCTCAAATGTCATTTGTAGATGCATTAAGGAGATTTCTTCAGTTTTTTAGGCTTCCAGGGGAAGCTCAAAAAATAGATCGCTATATGCTTAAATTTGCAGAACGTTATCTCAATTGTAATCCGGAAGCCTTTACAAATGCAGGTTTGTTGTTAAATCTTGATTAAGTTTATTTCATAATTTTTATTTATTTAGATACTGCGTATTTTTTAGCATATTCTGTTATAATTTTAAATACTGATCTACATAATCCTCATATTAAAAAACGTATGACTTTAAATGATTTTATAAAAAATACTAGTAAAATGAATGATGGGGAACAACTTTCTGAAAACTATTTGACTGAAGTATATGAGGAAATATCAAACAATGAAATAGTACTTAAAGATGAACAAGATGCAGCTCTTATATCCGGACTAGCACATTCATCTCATGGTCTTATGGCAAATATTAGCAATGTTTTAGCAATAATTGGCAGGAATATTCAGCGTGAAACCTATATGACTACTTCGGAGGAAATGGCTAATAAGACTGAGGTATTCCTTTTTTATATATTGATTGAAATTATATATTTTTTTAGATGCTTTTTAAAAACATTCTCAAGGCTCAGAAAAAAGGGATTTTCAAACCAATATCCGTTTATTATAGCGCTTCACATTTTGAGCATGTGGGGCCTATGTTTGAAATTGCATGGATTCCTATTTTGGCCAGCATATCTGATCTCTTACAATCACATGATGATTCTACTATTGTATCATTATGCCTTGAGGGATTTAAACTTTCTATACAGATTTCATGCTTGTTTGATCTAAAGTTTGCAAAAAATGCATTCATTTCTACTTTAACAAAATTTACATATCTTGGAAATTTGAATGAAATGAAAATAAAAAATGTAAATTGTATTAAGACTGTTTTAGAGATAGCACTTTCAGAAGGGAATAGTTTAAATGAATCTTGGAAAGATATATTGACATGTGTTAGTCAATTAGAAAGATTTCAATTGATAAATTCTGGTGTTGATGAACTTTTTATTCCGGATTTTACAATTGCTAAAATAAAAACGTGAGTAATGCTTTCATAATAAAACAATTATTGAATATAACAGACAGATTTCTCCAACTGGCTCTCAAAGAAATCAAATACTCCAATCAGGTCGCTCAAGTTTACGTTTAAAATCAAATTCTCATGTTACATACAATAAAGTAGTTGCTGAAGAAGCTGGATCAAGAGAAGTTACTCTCTTTGTAGATAGAATATTTACCCAAAGTGCTCATTTATCGGGTGATGCTATTATAGATTTTGTTCGTGCATTAAGTGAAGTTTCTTGGGAAGAAATACAGTCATCTGGCTTGAGTGAAAATCCTAGAATGTTTAGTCTACAAAAATTGGTTGAAATATCATATTATAATATGGGTAGAATTCGTATGGAATGGTCAAATTTATGGATTATTTTGGGTGATCATTTTAATAAAGTATTTATCATATTCGAAAAAAATAAAATTAAGATATTCTAGGTTGGATGTCTTCAGAATATTGTTATAGTTTTTTTTGCTTTAGATTCTTTACGTCAATTAGCGATGAGATTTTTTGATATGAAAGAACTTTCTTATTTTAAATTTCAAAAGGATTTTTTAAAACCCTTTCAATATATATTAATGAATAATTCTATTGAAAAAGTTAAAGAAATGGTAATACTATGTAATCATTAGAAATTAATTAATTAATCTAGGTTTTAATATGTTTACAACAAATGATACAGGCCCGTGCAAGTGATATCCGTTCTGGTTGGAGAACAATGTTTAATGTGTTTCAGTTTGCTGCACGGGAAGAATACGGTATTTTACACGTTAAAGTTTCTGTATTTTACTAATAGAATATAGGGAATATTGTTAATTTTTCATTTGATATAGTTAAACAAATATATAAAGAAAATCTTGATATTATTGTATCTCAAAATAGTTTTGCAGATCTTGTTGTTTGCCTTACTGAATTTTCAAAGAATGAAAAATACCAAGCAATTAGTTTACAATCAATGAAGCTTCTTAAATCAATTAACGACAGGATTTTAGTTTTACAGGAATCCTTATCAATAGATAAAAGTCAGGAAAAGGTCATAGATGATGATTCTATGATTAAATATTGGTTTCCTGTCTTGTTTGGCTTTTATGATATTTTTATGACATCTGAAAACTTAGAAACTAGATCTAGGTATTAAAATTTATTTATTAATTTTATTGACAAATAATTTAGAGCTTTAAATTGCTTATTCGATATATTAATTTTATATGGTTCAAATTATACTCCAACATTTTGGGATACAGTATGCAGGCAAATACTTTTTCCCATATTTGCTATTCTCAAATCTCAATCTGAAGCATCTAAATTTAATGCTCAGGAACATTTGATTTCTTGGATTTCTAATATAATTATTCAAGCTCTTTCAAATATGGTAGAATTATTAAATAAATATTTTGATGTTCTTGAGCAAATGTTAGACGGATTTCTTGAAATTTTAGTTACTTATGCATGTCAAGGTAAGTTATGGCTTTTTTAATATTACAAAATCTAATTTAATATAGAAAATGATATACTAGCAAAAGCTAGTATAAATTGTTTTCAACAGTTAATTTTACAAAAAGCAAATTTTTTAAAAGATCATCATTGGCATCTAATTGTCAATACTTTTGAAATATTATTTGAGTCTACTACAGCATATCAGCTTTTCGAATGTGTTCCAGTTAATAAAGTAGAAAATACAAATAATAATGAAACTGATTTTAATAAAACCGGTATATATATTCGTTTTATAAAGTACTTTTTTTAATTGATACAGAGTTATATATAGAAACTCAAAAATTTAGTAATGTTTCATTAACCGATCTTCTTTCAAATAAACAACTACAAACATCAGAAACACTTAGTGAAGATTATATGACTGAGTCGTATTCACTTTCTATTTCTCAAAGAAAAAAATTCAAAAATTTAATACTAAAATGTGTTCTTCAATTATTGTTAATTGATTTACTGGGCGAACTTCTTAGAAATGATAATATATATTCTAAAATTCCTTTAAAGGACTTTTTACGTATGATGGATGTATTAGAAAATAGTTGGAATTTTGCACGACAATTTAATAGTGACAAACAGTTAAGGATAAATTTATGGAAACATGGTTTATTTGTATAAGTTTTAAAACTATTTTTAATATTGATAGGATTTATGAAAAATTTGCCAAATTTATTACGACAAGAAACTAATAGTGCATCAATTTGTTGTATAAATCTTTTTAAAATATTTTTTAATTCCTCGGATAATTTTTTTGATAAAGATAGCATTGCAAGAAGACTCATTACGTAATTATTTTTTATTAAGTGTTTTAAATCTAAATAGTCTAGAATCTTCAAAGAAATTATTTCAGTATACTGTTCTTTAGACATTGAATCGCAATTGCGAAATATTCAATTATGGAAACCTATTATTGTAGAAAATTTAAATAGTTTTATAAAATTTGAAGATACCGACGTAAGATATTTTTCCTTTTTGTTTTGATTTATAAATATAATAGTTCGTAAAATATGTTAAGGACTTTTATCAATTTGGACTTGATATTCTTGGAAAAGATGGAATTGATAGTGAAATGCGGATTGCTCTTGAAGCCTTGTTTAGAAGAATTGGTAATGCTCTTATTGAAACTAAAGAACTTAAATAGAATTATTTTCAATATTACACTTAAAGGTCATGTATATATTTATTTTTAAAAATATTAATATATTCTGGAAATTAGTATATATTTCTTAATGTTTTGAAAAATAAAATTATAATCAGTAATTAATATTATATTATTCTTAATGAAATATTTAATAAATATTAACATACAAATCAAATATATTTTTATAAAGATGTTCTATATTTAAAGTTTTCAAAATAATGGTTTTTAAAATTTAAAATCACAAAATATAATGCAAATACTCAAATACTTTGAAACCTTTAATATACTAATTTTAATTTCTTTTTTTATTTTTCTTGTTTGAAACAATCTTAAATGTGGAATTCCATTCAGACTCCTTTTGTTTCTGTGATTTTAAAGCATCGGTCCAACTCTGTATAGCAATGTTTTTTTCAAGGGCTTCATTATCTAAAGAAATATTTTCTAATCTTCGTTTAACAAATTCTTCTGCAAAACGACGTCCATCAAGAATTGCACTATTTGCATATATACTATCCGAAATAATTTCAATAGTCTCTTGACTAGGTTCAACAGGAAGTGACATAAGCATTTGAAGAAAATCTTCCACTAAATATTATTTAGAAAAAAAATGAAAAAAAAGTGAATGTCCTTACAATTAATTCCAGGGTTTAATGCTTTAAGTGACTTTTTACACCAATTAAAAAAATCATTTGAACTATTTTTTGCTGAATTCCCAGAAATATTAGAATTGGTCGAATTAGAAGATTGGTTAATAGGTTGTATAATATGAAATTTAGAAACATTCGATTTTTTTTGATTAATCTCCAAATTCCCCGGTTTTACTCCAGATGAATCAATATTTGTACGAGGAGACGACGCTACAGGAGAAGGACGTGAAATTGAACGACCATTAGGACCAACAGTTATCCAGGGAGATTGAGATGGTTTTTTTAAAAGATTAGTGTGGTTTTTGGATGATAATGACGCTGCCATGGTATTTATATTGAGTTGTTTCTGGTATTTATTTGCTTTCATATTTTGTTCTTCTTGTATTTCGGTAAGCGACTTTTTAACAGGAATGCCAGGAGACTGCCATACAGAACTCAAATTGTGTGTTGATATAGAATCTGAGGAGTTTTCAGGAATACTACTTGGAAGCCCCCATGCTGAAGTTTTTGGAAGATTATTGATAATAGGATGGGTTTCTTTTTTAATCGAATTTACTTTTTCAGAGTATTCGCTATTTAAAAATATCTCCTGTGTAGAATTTTGCGAATCTTTGACTTCAGATTCCTGAGCCTCACGTAACGAAATGTCCTTAATATCATCTAAAACATTTGCCCATGGAGTAACAGAATGCATCTGGGTTTTTTGAGGCTCCTTTTGTTTTATTAAAGGCTGCTTCAATATTTGGTTAGCATTTGATGATTTTAAGTATATTTCATTCTTTTTTTGAAAAGGCTGTTTTTGTATATTATTTGAATTAGTAAATTGGATTGTTTCTGGTTTTGAAAATATAATTTCTGAAGAATTCCTGGTGAAATTTAATAAATCGCTTTGCTCAGTATTAACAAAAGAAAGTACAGGATCTAAATTAGGTAATTTTTCTTCGGCTGTTTTATTAAAATGTGGCACGAACTCTGGAGTTTCTTTATCGATTCTTGAAATATTTATTTCGTCCAAAGGTTTATTCCTAACAATGGACTCAGATGTCGTACTTTTTGTTGACTTTAAAGGAAATGTTTCTGTTTGCCTTAAAAAATTTACTTGCATTGGTCTTTCTTGTTGATTTTGAGTTTGTTTTTGAATATTCTGGAGTTTTTGCCGTTGAATTGCAAGTTGTGTTAATCGTTGTTGTTGGAACATATCCTTTTTATGATGCATTAAATATTCTTCCTGTTTTCTACTTTCTAATGAATTATGTTGCTCTGGAGGTAAATTAGATCCAAAAGAAAATGACTTGGGAAACTGTGTTTGTCGATTCCATCCAGGAGTTGTAGGAGTTGCAGAATCTATATGACCAAGAGCAGTAGTTCCGGGTAGATGGTGATCTAATTTAGATCCTTGTCCTGGAGAATTCCAACCATTAACCGTATCGTAAAAGTTTTCTACTGGGGAAATAGCCTGTGATTTGCTATAAAAGGGCGATAAGAAAGGTTCTTTTTGATTCCCAACACGTGCTATTAAAGAACTCAAGGGCTCAAAATCCTCATCATTGACTTGTTTTACCAATAATGTAAGCTGAAAAAATCCTGCATTATACCAATCCTGCATTTTTAAGCCAGAAAAGGGACCTTGTGTTACACCCATAGGATCCTTATAAAGCCAATTCAATTTATCAGGCATAATTGGTGTTCTAGAAGGAGGTTGTAATGGTGATGGTTGAGAGAAATTAGATTGTTGAGAATTCTCAAAAAGCTTCTCGATTTTACTATTTTTGTTCAAAGATGAGGAGTCTGAAGGAGTAAATAGGCCCAAAAATTGAGTTTTTTCTTTTTGTATATTCTCTAAAGATTTATTAATATCTAAATTAGTATTAAGCTTATTTTGAAAATTTTCTAGCGATTTATCTTTATCTTCAGAAATATGTTCCATTGCTTCTTTTAATACATCATCGGAATCATCATACTGAAAAGATGATGTTGAAGTGGGTGAAATTTTTGAGGAACTTTGCGACTCAAACATGCCTAAGGATTGCAATCTCGAAATATTTCTTCCTGGAATAGACCCTATACTTTCAACAGGAGAACGGATTGTACCAGATGATAAAAAGGGTGTATTAATTTGTGAAATAGATAAATCTGCAATACCCTTACTTAAAGAAATATTTCTATTTTCCTTTGTATATACATTTCTAAGTTCCGAATGCTCAGATTTAATAGAAGATGGAAGAGTTTCATTATTTTCATTAGAAAGTATATTATTTGTAAGTGTTTCTGAGTTCGTTCGTAGACTAGAAGGCGTCCAAAATTCCGATGAAAATGTATTAGAAAAATATTCTCGAGACTTTTGTATACGTGGATTTCGAAACCCTTCATAAACTTCTTTATTTCGTGTTTTTTGATCAAACCGTGAACTATTTATAAACCGTTCATTACGTGGTGAATAAGCTCGATTTGTATAAAAATGGGCATTCCCATGAACCATATTATTCACTAATTCTAAATTTCTCCTTTTTTTTTCACTATTAACTGGTCCTATAAAAAGCTTTTTTTCATCCTCACTCATTTCTGATAATGATACCGGAGTTATGATTTCATCACTTGATATTTGAGAAAATTGATTAAGCTCTGATGGCTTACTAATCCCTTTTTCCGACATAAACATATCCTTCCATATAGATAATAAAAATTCTTTACTATATCTTAATAAACCCGGAGATGGTGTCGACGGAGACTTTGACGTATTACTAGTCTGTAATGATAATGATGGACTAGATAAATATGATATATTTTCTTGTCTATTCTTTTCATTTTGTTGTTTATTTTGAATTACTTCAAATGATGTTGATCCTTCTGGTACATTATTATGAGGTCCTTGACGCATCCTAAAAATTTCATATATTTAAACTTTCTTCTGAAAAAAAAAGGTTAACCCTTATTTCTTACCATTCTGGACCGAATCTCATGCTATTTTGTGTCGTCATATGCTTATTTTTTAATAAATACCCTCTATTGTAATTTGCACTTTTGTTTTTTACTGAAAATACAGAAAAATAGCTGTAATCGATCGATTACGGTTGAAAATAAAGTTTTAAAATTTTAGAAGAAAACAAATAAATAAAGCAGAGTTCTGAGTATTTTTATATGAGAAAAGAATACGTTTGTTATATTTTATATTTTTATTTTTTTTTTTTTGAAAAATTATTAAGTTTTATTAAATATTAACTTTTTAATTTATAATTAATAAATGTATAAAATAAAAAGAAAATATCAAGTCTTTTTTTATTTGTAATTAATTGAATTGATTGTTTAAATGTTATTAAAAGAGTTTTTGAAATAAAAAATTATAGATATATTGAAAAATTATTCATATTCATGAATAATTTTTGATAATAAAATAAAACGAATATTAGTTTTGAAGGCTTTTATTGATTTAAAGGTATTATTTAAGAGATTTTTTAGAAATGAACAGATAGAATAATATTTTAAAGATTAAAGATTTAAGTTTGGAATTAAATTCTTTAAGAATGTGTTATTTGGGAAATAAGTTTTTAAATTTTGAAATTATGATAATCCGATAAATATATCTTTTAAAAGTTAAAATTCTTTAAAAAAAAACAATTATTGTCTTAATTTAAGTAATTTTTTTTATATATTTTTAATTAAAATCCTTTATTAACAGAATAACATTATTAAAATATTATAAAATACTAATTATAAACTTTTAACTTTGTCTTTAATATTAGTTTTTTTAATAATAAACGTATTTTATACCAAAAGTTCTATAGATACTAGTATATATTATAATTCTTGCTTGATTTTAGAGTTATGTATATATAAAAAACCAGAAATAAAAAAATTCATAAATTAATGAATTATATAAGTCATATAATTGAATAAGAAATAAGCACAAAAGTATTTTCAACGCAATATAGACTGTATTCGATTTTATAATCTATTTATGGTGGTTTAATAAATGATAAAAAATAAATAATAATAAAAATTCCAAGTATAATAAATGTAAAAGGTATTTTTTTAATATTTTTACATAAAGACTCTTTAATTTTCTGTATATTGAAAAATAACATTTATTAAAAAAATGAAAAGATGTTGATGTTGATTTCACAGACGATGCAAGATTTTTTAATTTTTTAAATAGATTTATATTTTTTAATGATTTTTTTAAAAGATAAAAACAGGAAAAAGGATATATATATATTATTTAAGGTTGAAATGACTGGCATCAGGTGTATATAAATGAACTAGGATACAAATAAATGTTTATTTTTAATTATAATGACAATAAATTTAAAAAAAAAGGATTTTTATATGTTAGAATGGGCGTTGATTAAAGGACAAAATATAAATATAAATATTGAGATAGGAAAGTTAATTCAATTAGTTATAGATGGTGATTTTAAAACAGTATTTTTATCACCAAAAATACAGAGAATTTTTAAGAAAAATCAGAAACATGTTAATATTATAGAAGAATCTAAGTCATATAATCTAGAAACATACATTGAAGATAGAATTTCTGATATTCCTTCTACTTTAGAAGGAGAATTACTTCTTCTTTTGCTTGCAGTTTCATCTATTCATGTATTTATACAAATCCATTTTACAGGACCTAAACCTATATTTGATTCATATATTTTATTACCAGAGGAATGGAAAATAGAATATACTGAGATATGTTTGAGAAAAGATGTATTGAAATGCCTAGAAATTGGTAGTGCTTATCCGTATCATCTTATACAATGTCCAATTTTTTTATTAATATCAAAAATTATACTTTCAAGGACATTTAAGTATAGCAAAACATGTTTTTGGTGGAAAGCAAGAGTAAATTTTATGCATCAACGTATTTTAGATGAGCAAGTGGCGATACTTTATGATTGCATTTTTGAAAACATGGAAAAAATGAAAAAAGAATGTGAAGAACATGGATCTTATGTTTATGCACGTTATGCACTTGAGCTTGAATTATGTTTAGTATATTATGGGAAGAATTCTAAGGCACTTGATATTATTAAAGATGCTGCAGAAAAAATTGGATTAAAATGGGTTTTAACAGGAATATTAGGACGTAGAACTAAATTTCAAACATTTGATACAAGTCAGCTTGTATTAATTGCTAAGGGGGAAAATAGCGTTGAGGAAATACAAGAAAAAAATCAGAAAATACCTAAAACACTTGATTTAAATGATGATACACTTCTTGAAACAATATCCTTTAAATCTGGGAAAATTATTTCCTCTGAATATCTTCAGGACTCATCTATTCCAAAGTCTTTAGAAGATATTGATCCAAATGATCCTCCCTCTCTTAGTCCTTTGGATTCGTGCATTCTTATAGCATTAACTCTCTTGATTAAAAATACAAATCCTAATGATGGATTAACAATGGAAAAAATGGCAGCATATATTGATAGAGTATTGAAGCATCCTAGAAATTGGACTGTGCATAGTATGGCACTTCTTATTCGCTCTAAATTAGAGATGAGTAAGGGAAGAACTATGGAACGAAGTATTTTGCAGCTTCAAGTTTTAGTTGATCAATTATTAGATGATATAGATTCTTTAGAAGATATATCAAAAAACACATCATTCTTACGAAAACCTGATTCATATGAAGAATCTGCGTCTACAAAACAAAGATTAATGTATTCATGGCAGCTTTTACTTATTCCTCGTTGGGCTATAGAAGAAGAATTAGCCGATAGATATCTGTCTATTGGAATGATTAGATCAGCATTAGAAATTTTTGAAAGATTGCAAATATGGGAAAAAATTGCAATATGTTGGAATGCATTAGATAAAAAAAAAAAAGCAATTGATGTTCTTGTTTCACAACTTGCAATAGAGCCTGAAAATCCTAAAATATTAACTTTACTTGGTGATATAGAAGAAAATCCGGATTATTGGATAAAAGCGTGGTATGTTTCTGGTAACAGATATGCTAAAGCTCAAAAATCTCTTGGGATGTTCTATTATTCAAGACAAGAATTCGAAAAAAGCGCGAAAGCATTTAAGTTATCATTGGATATAAATTCTTTAAATTATTCTGCATGGTTTACTTATGGATGTTGTCAACTAAAATTAAATAATTGGGAGATAGCTTCACAAGCTTTTACTCGTTGTGTCAGTTTAGATCCATCTGATGGAGAAAGTTGGAATAATTTGTCCTTGTCATTTCTTAAACATGACCCACCAAGAAAGCAAGATGCATGGAATGCACTAAAGCAAGCACTTAGTAGTTGTTATGAATCATGGAGAATTTGGGAAAATTATTTAACAATATCTTTAGATATGCTTGAATGGAATGAAGTGATAAGGTCTATACGTAGATGTATAGAATTAAGAGGGGAAAAGCTTGGTGAAAATGTTATTGATATAAAAATTTTGGAAATACTTGTCCATGAAGTAACTAAAAATGAATATACAGGAGACGAAAAAGGATTTATAAAGAATGCTATTGAGTTAATGACTAGTATAATACCCCCTTTAATAACATCAAAACCAGAACTATGGAGACTTGTTGCTAAAATCAATATTTGGAGGAAAAATCCTTCTGGTGTTTTAGAAGCTTATATAAACTCATATAATATTTGGACATCCAAAGCAAATATAAATACTGATAAGGATGTATGGATAGGAACTGTGAAATCTGCAATGGAATTGGTTGATGCATATGAAAATTTTGGTTCAATGAAGGATCATATGGGCAATTTAATTATTCCTGATTGGAAATTTAAGGCAAAAAGCATCCTTCGGACATTAAAAGGGAAGAGTCAAACGTATTGGAGTGAATCTGAAGAGTTTAATAGGATTATTGAGTCTTTAGAAAGATTTAATAAATAAACTATTTATAAAAAGAAACAATATAAAAGCATCTATCAAATATAGCTTTAATAATTATAATTTAAATATAAAATAAATATTTGTTGTAATAAAGATTCAAAATAAATATTTTTTTTAATCATAAATATAAAGATGGTTTTGAAAATCCGCTAATATTCCATTTGGAATATTGTATTTCTTATCATTTGGAGATAAAGGGCTTGAAGTCATTTCCTTATATGATTCTTGCATAATATTGTTTAACATATTTGATTCAGTCTGATTATATATTTCAAAATCCGAAGATATTTGATTATTAAATTTTTTTAAAGAATCATCTAATAAGGATTCTGCATACGTTTGATCCGAATAATTGCAGATAGGATTTATCAAATTATTATGAACCACAGGTGTGGAGTTTTGAGATATGTTTTCAAGATTTGAGAACAGTAACAAGTTAGGGGCAGATTTTCCGAAGTTATAATTATTATTCATCATATATGAGTATGGATAAGACTGAAAAGATTTATTATCGGAATTAATGGTTGATTGTGCATGATTAGTATAATTAGTTTGAAGATTATTGTTTTGATAATGGTCTATAAACCCATTTTGAAGCTGTTTAAGATAGTAAGAATCCGATTTTTGACATTCTGCCTCTGGATCTTTTTTAGGTGACTCGGTATATACATGATATGTTCGTTTCGATTTTACATAAAGCCCTTCTGTTTTATCTAAAGAATCTTCTGAAGAAATAAATGCTAAAGGCATATCCTTCTTTTTATTATCATTCTGTATTACTTGATACGTTTGAATAATTGCTACATTTTCAACTCTATCATTGAAATTATACCTATTTTTATGTTGATTTCTAAAATAACTCAATTCTTAAAAAATCACTAACTGATTTTTTTCAAGCATAGTTCCATCTAATTGGCATTCTAATCCAATAGATTCACTCTGTTTTTTTGAAGTATCTGTTTTAAATCGTTTATTAATATACTTCTGCATCATTGCTTCTGCTGCATTCTCTTCTTCATTTGAACAATACTTGTTTGAATGCATAATTAGTGTATTTGCCATTTATTTTACTTATACATACAACATGACATTTATTTTTTTCATCAAATATAAGAACTGTAACTTCAATACCGCACAAAACAGATAATTCATGTGCTTTTTTTAATAACCCATTTCTACGTCTTGAAAACGTTGTCTATAACTCATTTATTTACTTATTTATAAAAATATTATATTTATATCTTACAATTTGTGTTTTGGGATCCATAATTTTCTTGATCTTCATAAAATAGTCAGTTTTTCTTAGAAAAAAAAATATAAATAAAAATAAAAATATAAGCTTCTTATATTTCTTCTTAAATATCATACCTGTATCTTTTTTTTCCCCATTTTTTAGAATGTTTCAAATATTCAAAATTTTGTGTATATTCTCGGTGATACTTTTTTTAGGGTTAAAACTTTAGTTTTATTATTAAATAAATGAAAAAAATGCAACAAATTACTTAAAATTGGTCTATTTTATTCTCTTTTTTAATTTTTTCTTTATAATTTTTAAAATTTTTGAAAATATTATGTGACGTACAATAATAAATTTTTATTAAAAAAAGTTAATTATTATAATATTTCTTAAAAAAAGAAAGTATTTTAGAATATTTTATGGTGTTTTTTTTGTGAATAAAATAAGTTTTTTATGTATTTTTTACAGTTTAAACCTTTCTTTTATTGGTTTTTAATTATCGAGATCGACGATCAGAGAAATAAAAAAAGTATTTAAAAAGGCTAAATTTATCAAGAAAAAGCTAGGAAGTAGCATAAAAATAGCTTAAGTTGCTTTTTTTATTAAGTATTTTATGTATTTTCGTTTTTGAACGGTTAAAAACGGTTTAATAATAGTAAATTAGGTGCGACCGTTTGAATAACAAACGGTCGCTCATTTTCACGTATGAATCAGGAACCAACATATGTTTATCTACCTCCATCACTAAGATTCCCTGTTACAGTTGTTTCTATTAGTGCAAAAGTTTTTCAACCAGTGAAAAAACATGATTTGTTGCTTTCTTATAGATATCAAGGTACATTTACAGAATATGATGAAGATGGGTCAGAACGAAACGTTGCTCGTGAATATGTAGATGTTTTTCAAAGTCCCATTGAGGGTATTGTTGATTCGTGGTTTGTAAGAGAAGGGGTTGTAGTTAAAGATCAATATATACGTATTCTTTCTATTATTGAACCATGTCTTCATTCGGTTCAGTATCATGGTTTATGTGCTACGTGTGGTAGAGATGTTACACAACAGGATTTTATGGGATTTTCGGATTCTACAAGAGCAACAATTCAAATGTCTCATGATGCGACTAAATTGACAGTAAGTCGACAAGAGGCGGCTAGACTTGAACGAGAAACAGCAGAACGTTTATTGAATGAAACAAAGTTATCGTTGATTGTTGATCTTGATCAAACAATTCTTCATGCAACAGTAGATCCTATTGTTGGGGAATGGTTATCGGATCCTTCTTCTGAACATTATGCAGCTGTTCAAGATGTTCAAACTTTTTGTCTTAGAGAAGGGAATGCAAGTATAGGTAGTTGGTATTATATTAAAATGCGACCGGGGCTGGAACAATTTCTTGAAAATATTAGTAAATTATATGAAATGCATATTTATACAATGGGGACACGAGCGTATGCCGCATCAATTGCTCAATTAATTGATAAGGATAAGAAATATTTTGGAGATAGAATCCTGAGTCGAGACGAAAGTGGAAGTAAGTACCATCATTATTCTACTCTTTTCTATAAAACTGTTTTAAGATACTACGCAAAAAAATATACAAAGACTCTTTCCTGTTGATACAAGTATGGTTGTTATTATTGATGATCGTGCAGATGTATGGCAATGGAGCCCAAATTTAATTAAAGTTACTCCCTATGAATTTTTTGTTGGAATTGGAGATATTAATGGAGATTTTGTAGCAAATAAGGTATGCTTTTTCTTTTTATAAGACAGGCATTTATTTAATTATTTTTATAAAGCCTTCATTACATAATTTTTCATCTTCACTTATGTCCGCTTCGCTATCAACATTGCAAACATCTCCAACTGACCAACAAACCGTGTTTTCATATTCTCCTGAAACACATTTTATACCCACTCATGATAATGTTTATAATGATATACTTACGAATGATCTTAATGCTGTTTTGCAGGATGATTTTCGACAGGCCATGTTTGAGCATAAGATTAACTCTCTGGTTTCTGGAAATCAGAACGTTTTAGTCGTTGTTGATGATCAAATAAAGACAAATCAATCGTTTAATGGAATGAACCATTTGGAATTCTTCAAAAAACCGACGGAGAAAATTTTTTTTCATAATAATGATACAGAATTGTTGCGTTTAGAATCATCTTTAAGATTGGTTCATAAAGAATTTTATAAAGAATATAACAGGCTTTTGAAAACGAGAAAAAAACATGATTTAATTGCATCTTTTTCTGAAAATATTAATTCACAAAAATATTCTGATCCAGATATAAGTAAAATGGATATTAAGATAATAATGCCAGCCCTCAAATCAAATGTATTAAAAGGAACCGTTTTGTTATTTTCAGGTGTAATACCTATGGGTGTTGATGTTTTAAGGTAAACTCTTTTTGGATCTAATATATTTTATATAAATAATAATAAGTTCTAACATTGCTCAATGGGCCATGAATTTTGGAGCTGAAATTGCTATAAATATTTCTAATGACGTAACACATTTGATAGCTACAAAGGTTTTTTTAAAAAAAAAAGAAGAATTTCTAATTAATATTAGATACGTACAACTAAAGTAAAAAAAGCTCTTCAACAAAAGAATATTAAAATAGTATCTGTTGATTGGCTTCTTCATTCTATATCTCATTGGAAACGATTACCTGAGTCCGATTACTTATTGCATTCATTTTCCGAGAACGATATTTTTAATAATATGCAATTTCAACAGGATTTTCATTCTTTATTAGATATAAACACGGCGAATTCATATGAATTTATTTCTTCTGATAATAAAGATACTAATGAGAATCGTAGATATACAAAAATGTTTTTTACTTCTAACCAATTTGTTTCTAGATGATAAAGATACACATAAGGTTTTTGAATCTATAAATAATGAAAATAAAGTTGATGCTATCGATTGGGAAGATGCGATTAGAGAGGTTGATGAATTTTTAGCTGAATCGTGCGATAGTGCTTTGAGCAGTGATGATGCTTCTAAAGATAAAATGTACTAAAAAAAAATTAAAATTATTTTTAACTTTTTTAGTGTCCCGACTTTTGAAAAGAAAAGAAAAATATCTTATTTATTTGAAACTGATAAATCATAATACCAAAAATTATAGGAAATGATATACTAAGAGAAAAATACTCGAATCGTTTCAAAAAAACGATTCTGGATGTTTATAGTTTTTATATATTCCATCAAAATTTTTATGTTCTCTAACACTTGAAGATTCATGCATCATTTATAGTTATGTTAATGATATAAAATAATATCTATTTTTACTTTTTAAAAATTATTATTTCTCTATTAAATATTTCCTTAGCTACTTATTTTCAATGGATTTTATCTTATGTAATTTTATATAACAAGTCTTTTTTTATCTTAGCGAGACACTTAACTATATAATATATTTAAAATTTAATTTTTTGTAATATATAGAAAATATTATTTTAAAGTGTTTTTTTTTTGTTTTTTTAATAAATTATATTATGCTTTTAACGAGTTTGAGATATTTTTTTGGTGGAGCTATTACTGCAGATCTTCCTCAGGACTTTATAGATGCTAGGTTAAAATTGGAATTTTTATTTTTTTTAAAAAAATGTATTAATTTTGATAAGCCAGTTTAGAGAAATACCAGATCATCAAGAAGTATTAGTAAATATTAATGATGAAAGAAGTATTATGATTGAACTTTTAGAATTTGCTCCGGTAGATGATATAGATGTCTCAAAATTTCATTTTGATCTTTTAGCTCAAGATAATGAAGCAGAAGAGAGTTTAATCTTAAATGTATCATGTGTTACTTTAGAAAAGAGGTTTATATTTGTATAAGTTATTTTTTTTTTTTTATACATAATAGTGGATATACTGTTTATCTTCTTGAAGGATTACAAAAAATATTTAAATATAATAAACAGTCGGCAGATTATGTAAATAAGGAGGTGGTAAATCCATTATTGGTACCTTATGTTGCGATTTTTTTATCTGTTTTACGTTTGCATGAAAAATCTACAGATATTATTATATCTATAAATATCCCATTCTTAGAAATACAGTATTTAAGCTCATTTTTTAAGGATTCATCATTTAAAATATCGGAATTAGTATCCAGTTCGGATCTAAATCATTTAAATATTTTAAAAAATATATTTGATATGCAAGAAGTACAGTTTTCAACAAGAGAAACACTTTTGAATATTTTGAATACATTACAAATTCATGATTGGTCATTATTCGTAAACAATTAGGGCGTTGGCTTGTTTTCTAAATAATATAGTTTAGATATATTTTTAAATAATGTTTATCCAATATAATAATACAACTCATTAATATAAAAATTATTATATAAATCAATAATAAATAAATAAATTTTAGGAAAAATAAGAAGCCATTACTTGTTGTCTTTCCAATGGCATGTTAGAAATAATCATATTAATTTGTTCTTGCGATAGTTTTCGACAAAATATTTTACTTGAATTTAGAATTCTATCAAGAATATGACCTTGTAAAATTTCCGATTCTAATGCCTGTGCAATAGCATCTATAACTAACGCAGGTTGTGATACTACTGCAACATGGTTTCTAATAAGTATTAATCGAAATTTTTCATCAAAAAAAAAACATACCTTTCGATAAGTTCCACAAGAAATGCATATGCATATGGTGCATCTTCTTCATCATGCGTAACAGGAAGAGTTTTAACCCATAACTCAATAGCTTTATCTATTTCAGATATTTTAGAGGAATTAAATCGTAGAATTTTTGCTATAGCGCAACAAATATTTTCTGTAGCATAAATATGATCTTCACTCCTAGAATCAGGCCGCTCAAAACAACGAAATAAATGTGGCAAAGAAGCAGAACATATCATTGAAAAAGGTTCTCCGCCATATTGTCCAGCAACACCTATACCATATGCAGCTGCTTGTCTTACACCTGGAGCTAATAACAATTAATTATTTAAAAAAATATAATTTAGATATACAATCATCAATTATACCATTAGATAAAGGTTTTAAAAAATGATCTTTATATTTCCATGCATCTGGACCTGTGAACTCGATTAAATCATCCATTACACAGATTGCCCACTGTCTAGCATTAGCGTCGTGTTGATTGTTCGCAAATTCGTCGAGATATGGCAGTAAACGCTCCCAATGAGGAAGAAATGATAATCTATGTCTTTTGAATATTATATGAAAAGTTTTACTCATCTCGCTAAGAAGATCGTCATCTAATACTATAGCAGAAGCAACATCTTCGTCTTCTAAATTAGCTTCATCAGTTTGATGGTCATGATATCTTTTTTGAACTCTCGAAATATAATCTTGAAGTTGGGATTCTGATGATGTTATAAATGTGTCCATTTTTTCCGGACTTAAGCAATTGTTTCCAACTACATCAATAGATTCATATAAACACTGGTATAACTCAGTTAAAACATCAATTGCAGATTCGGTATTAATTAAATTAATGATTTTATCTAATAATGTATCCCATATTGATATTAATTTGGAATTATTTTCACTATGAGCTTCTTTTATACATGATAATAACTGAGGGACAGCTTTTATTGATGCAGAACGGACTCCGTCATGAAAATAAAAACGCAAACCAGGTATTACTATATCTGTAAGTATTTCTTCCACATATGGCTCGAATGCTGCCTTTAACTCTATGGCATAACATAATAACATTTCTATTGCGATGCATTTTTCTTCTAAAGCGCTAGTTTTTATTCCAATTTGTTGGCCCTGTACAGATATAAATTCCCATCCATCTTCCTCTAGATATTTTTCATGATTATCATCGTCTATGCTAATATAAAATAACAATCAAATATGATTAGGTTTTTACCGTCTAAAACAGTAAAATCTGGCTTCAATTTAGCTGAATGAAGAAGAGGAGGCATAATAGCCCCCATATAAGGAATAAAATCTTTTCCCATAACTTTACATATCCTACCCCAAGCTGCAATAAGATAACTACTTTGAAGATCATCGGGCTCAGTAATTGTACCTAATAGAATTAGAAGTAAAATATGTGATCTGTTCAATATACTTTGAATTGAACCTAATGTTTGAATAATTTCATTAGAATTTGAAGAAAATTTCTCTTTTCCAACTGCTATGGCTATATTCTAGTTAAAATATAAATGAATAAAATTATTAGTTATACCAATCAAAGTAACGCACTCTATAGCTTTTCCTCTTAATAGTTTATATTCTTTTTGCTTAGCTTGATTGAGTATATTGATCAAAAGTGGCATAATTGAATCATAATACTATAAATGAATTAGAAATATTTTATTAAATATGAAAATTGTCACTTTAATAAATTTCTTTTCTGCCGCATCAGCAACAGTAGCGATGGTAGTAATTGCTTGTTCTTGAACATAACGTTTTTGATTTTTAAGAAGATATAAGAGTCTATTAAGGATATCATCTAAATAAGGCTCTAAAACTTTATTATCAGCTTCTTCACAGAAATTTACGAGAGCGGCAGCTGCATGTGCTTGTACCCTGAAATATTATATAAAAAATCATTTATATTACTATTTACCTTGGTTCAGGTGCCTCTAAAACAGGAATAAGCGCACTTAACACTTGTTTATGAAAATTTTTTTGCATAGTTTTAGCAAAATCTGTGCTCATTTGCCCAATAGCATTACACGCTGCCCAGCGTACTCTAGGATGCGTATCTTTAAGCAATGGTAAAACCATATCTAAAACTCGTCCAAGTTCTGCTTTCATTATCTTTTCGCAGCCTTCTGCTATTGCCGAAATCGCCATTAAAGAAGCATGTCGTTGATGCCAATTCTGAGAACTTATAAGAGAAGGCAACCATTGAAAAGCAATTGGAAGAAGAATTTTTCCGCCTAGATAATTTATTAATTTGCCTTACAAAATAAAATAAATTTAAATACCTAATTTTCGTGCTAGTCTATCCATTGCTTGTTCACCAACTATATGATTTAATTCACTTTCTGCAAAATCCAACTAAACATTAATAACAAATAAAACAAAAAAGATAATATACATCATCTGTTTCAAGCCATTCGTCCAATTTGTCCCCTTCTTCCATCCCTACTTCCGTCATAAATGATAAACACTCGTATATTACACTTTTTGCATAATTTTCATCTTTACGACACATACCAGGAGCACCTTCACTAAATGTTACCAAAAATTCTAAACTTGATTGCCTAGCGGAATTTCCAAGATCTCTATTTTTTAAAGATTCCACAAAAAATTGAACGACTGTTCCAAAGTATGGTTTAAATATTTTTGGATAGATTTCTGCTAACTCAATTAAAGATGTTAAGGCAGAAGTAAAGGAATCTCCATCATGAGATTGAAGCAAAGGAGGGAAAACATTTAGCATCAATGGAAGCAATGAAACAAGCTCATGAGAATCAGAATTAGATGAGGTAAATAAAGATGATAATGCTTTTAAAGAAGATAATCGAACCTAAAATGTTTAAAAACAAAAAAAAAATGCTAGCTTTACTTTAATATCATCATCTTGTAAACTTAATTGAAAAACTTGTTTTATCATATTTGTATCTTCTTTTTTTAAAATTTCTGGAATAGAAGCAAATATACGAAAAGTTGATTCTCTTTGCCCTGGATTCATGGATTTAGTACACTGAGAAAGTATATATAAAAGCTCTGGCCATGCAACTTTTAGATGTCATTTTTAAACAATTTTTATAAAGAAATTAAGATACCATTTTCTTCATAAAGTGTATGTGCAACTTCTGAAATCGTATCTGCAATTTTATGTCGAACATTTTCATCATTTTCCTTTGTGAAACTTTCAAGCAATAACGATTGAACCTTCTTCGCCCCATCCTGACTTAGCATATTCCATACCATTGTTTCTTTCGCATCATTTCCAAGCGAAATTGGCCTAAAAGAAATTCTCCGAAGAAGAATAACTGCAAAACTACGTAACTATTTATTTCATCAACATAATTATCCAATTCCCCTCAAATATGTCACTCACTGAACTATCTTCTGACATATTTACTTGTTCCGCTAGCCCTACTAAAAGAATTTCTGGTTCATGTGCAATCCATTGTTCATGCAGAGATGCTTCCGCTTTCATTCGAATCTCATTATCTGTATGTTTTAAAGAAGATAATAATGATTTTAAAGCTAATGCTGTTTCCTGCTCTATAAAAGACATTTTTTTATTAATTTTACCATATATTTTTCTTAAATCTTAATATCATTTTTTTGAGTTTTTAAAAATTTACGAAAAAAAATAGTCAATAACTAGAATATAAGTGAAATATAAAAACAAGATATTAATGATTATATAAACCCTTTTTTGTGCTTTAATATTGTAGTGAAATGTTTTTTTTATATTATTTTTTTTTTTTTGAAAAAAGAAAGAGATATATAGATTAGAATCTAATGTTAAAGTTAACATGATAAAAAAATAGAATAAAATAAAACCATTTTTGAGAATATCTATAAATAATAGCAATGGTAGCAATACCAAGAGCAATTGATCCCGAAATGAGGAAACCAGTGGAGAGATTTGACCTATGTTTTGGAATATTTTGATGATTTAGATTTTCAATTGATAATGAATCGGTAGATTTTTGATTAATAGATATACTCGGATGCTGAATAATAAGATTTACTTTATCCTCACCATTTTTATAAGCAAGCTCGACTGCATGAAGTAAATCCTCATCAGTTGTGATTGCTACTACATCTCCATCATCATCTATAAAATTGATAGCTAGATCTTCACTTTGACCTAGCTTATCAAGCTCTAATTTTACACGTTCAATGACAATTTGTCTAAGTGATAGAAATCCTGCTTGAGGAATATGTTGTATTCGATGTGTTTTTCCATAAGGGGAGGTAAATTTAAAAACAAATGGAGCTTGGTTCAATGATAATGTATTTTTGTTTAAAAGAACAGGTGTTTCAGTGGGAAATGTCCATTTATTTTTTTGTGTTAATTTTGTTGGAGAAACTTCTGGTGAAAGAATCTGTAAATTTTGTTGATTTTCAGATAAAGGTGTACATGAAAATGATTGATAAGGCTGAGATGCAGAAAGCTGATTATCAGATAAAACTGACTCAGTATCTCCTTCTCCTATAGTATTCCAAAATTTATTCCAAATAGGACCTTCTCCATCTGATGAGCTAATATTTTTTATCTAAATTTATTAATTGTTTTTTTAAATTAATCTAAATTTAACGAACTTGTTCTAAAATAAGATAGGTTAATTTCATAACATCAACCATCCCAATGACTTGAGATTCTTGATCCAATACAGGAAGATTGAGATAATGGCCTTCTATAAAAATAGATTAATGTTCATTTTTTAAGTTATAGTAAAAAATAGTTTAAAGATTAAACTTACCATCCATTTTTCTAAGAGCTTCTTGGACACTCATATCCATTGGTGCACAATCAGGATGAGGAGTCATGACTCGAACTACAGAACAATTTGCAGGATCAAGTCCAGGTGCAATTACACGTAAAACAATATCTTTAGATGTAAAAATTCCAGAAATATTCATTTGATCCATTACCAAGACAGCAGTTGTGTTGTTTTCCCTCATAAGGAAGGCTGCATCTCTAACACTAGTCCGTATGTTTACTGTTATAGGTGTAGTTCCATCTAATGCACTTGCTAAATTTGGGCCGGACATTCTTTGTTTTAATGTTTCAATATATTGAAAAATTTGTTCTGGTTGCTGTATTTGACTCCATTCTGTTTGAACTCCTTCTAAAGCATCATATAATTGCTGAGAACTTGAATATGCGCGCTCCACCTTGTATAGGTTATATACAATTCATTTAAACAAAAAAATATACAAACCTTTTTCATAGCTTCATGAAAACACTTTGTTATATCTAATATTCCAGAAACATTCCCGTTTTCATCACATACGGGTAAATGTCTAAATCCTTTATGTACCATAAGATCAAGTGCGTCTGTTGCTGATGTATCATTTCGTGCACACAAAGGATTTACTGTCATTATATCCTCAATAAGAAGGCTTCTCGGATCCATATCCATTCCGACTACACGAAATGCAAGATCTTTTGCTGTAAAAATACCGATTAAATGTTGATCATCATCGACTACTAAAACACAATCTTCTCTTTTCGCTGCCATCAATTGAGAAGCTTCTGAAACAGTAATACCAATTTGAACTGTAAGTGGAGGTGACGGTTTTAATGATAATACTGTCTTAGAGTCCAATTTACATGGATGTAAACGTGCTGCTGTTGGTCTTTTTTTACTTAATTCATTTTCAATTTTTCGTCGAATTGCCTTAAAATGTAAGTCCTTCTCTTTATACGCACAACTATAATAAATACATCATCTTTTCTTGATTGACGTTTCCTTATTTCTGATATTGATGAATTTGTATCATAATTTGTTTCTTGATTTAAATCTTTTTGATATAAATCTCGAGTCCCTAAAAAGATTTATTATTTAAAAATATATTCAATCATATTACTATGCATGTTTCTCTCTTAATATTTTGAAATAATCTGGTTTAATTAGACGCTATTTTCTATATTTAAATATTTAAATCTTAATGATAGCGATTTTGCAAAAAAAATAATTTTAATATAAATATGTATTTAATCAAATATATTGTTTCTAATTAATTGATGATATTGATTTTATAGTTTGAAAAAATATGAAACTTAGCTTTGTTTAGTAATTGTATTAAATATAAGAAATAATATGTTGCATAAAAATATTTAAAAACATTTTAAAATGCTGCAATTGATTAGTATTTGTCAATATTTGAATGCAAAATATCCAAAATATTGAATAATATATATGTATCGAATGTTATGCAATAAAAATAGTGATTCCAAAAAAATAAGTAATAATTTCAAATATTAATTTCCAATTTGGATATATAGTTTTTCCTGAACTGTCTTTACGATCTCTTGGACCTCTTTCTTCACCAAAACCTGCTACAACAGGAGGGCCCGTAATACTACCAGAGCCATCCATTCCTACAATTCGTAATAATGAAGAACATGTTTTACTAGATTCAGAAGTCACTACATACGCAAGTCCTTTAAAGTTACATGCACTTTCTTGCTTATGTTTATTATAATATAAATTAAGAATAATATTGAGTTGATCTATAGGCTCGCAAACAGAATATGCACCATAAACTCCTGCTTTGCTGTCTTTTGATACACCTTTACAATTAATTTCTCCACAAATATATGAGAAAATTTCTGCAATTTCTGTATCTGTGATGTCGTTTACAGCAATACATGAAGATGCTCTAGATGCACATGTACAAAGTTCTGAATTAGGTATAGGAGGAAGTTTTGTTGATGAAGACCAATATTGACCAATAACTGGACATTCTGGAGGACCATTTTTTGGTGTATATCTTGAACGTTGAATAGGTCTAGGATTAATATGACGAATTTGTTCTCTAAGATTTATGTAATCTTGGCGTGGGGAAACGGTATTATCTGACATTAAATTAACTAATCCATAGTTATTTACATTCTGAAACCATTCATAAACAATTCCCCCGGAAAACACTTGTGTCATTTTTTCTGAATAAATATGTGGAACTTGATTGAAAGTACGAACACCTATTTTTCCATTTACAATATTGCAACCATACTCAGAAAAAAATATTGGAATATTATAATGACGAAAATCATTGACTCTATCACTATATCCAGACGTTTCATATGATGTAGGTTCACACCATTCGTAACTAATATGTAATAAGTATATATCTTCTAAATATAAAAATATATATTACATATTGATCCCAAAAAAATCGGCTGCTGATTCAGAATCCCCGCATGCAAAATAATTGGCTGATGGAATACGCGTATGTTCATGATCATTTGCTGCATATCCTACTAAAATTTTTCGGTATCCTTTGCTTTTTATATAAGATTTTACATCTCGTATAGCTGCTTTAACATATGCTGCTGAATATGTATTTTCTGTATCAAGAATAACTTCATTTCCTGCAAAAAAACCCAGCAAATTAGGATATTTGTGCATCGCATCAATCACTTGACTATATCTCCAAAAAAGTTTTACATTCCATGATGGATCTGTACTAATAATAGAATTTCTTGGCTCTGAAAGATCTAAAAGAACATAGATCCCGTTCTTTTCAAAAAGTCTCATGCAATATTCATGATTATTCTTTGGATTCACTGTATAAACTCTAATTGTATTTATCCCAAGATCCAGAAAATATCGTAGATCTCGTTCACATGCATTTGGCTCTGCTAATGGATCTCTATAATGCTCAGGATCTCCTGCTTCTAATGGCGACTGATAAGCAATTCCTTTGATAAAAAATTGTGTTCCATTTGAATAAAATAACTTATTACCATATGCATAAATCGTTTGTATACGTGCATAGGTATATCCAATTATATAAAAAAATATAATATTGTAAAATACTTGATAATCTAAGTACATATGTAGATAAAATCTTTAAATGAGACTACGATTCCAATCACTGATAATCTGATATTAGGTATACGATTCGATTTTTTTGATAAAATGTGTTCCGAACGCGTTTTCAATATTACATATAATATAATAACTTTTGATAATCTTAATTAAAATATTGAAAAAATATTATAATTATTTAAATAATTATTGGAAAAAATGTTTGATGCATACATGACATATTAATTAAAGATATTTAATAAAAATAAATTAAAATATATATTTTAATATAAAGACGTGTATATTTTGATAAAATAAGATATATTATAAGGATTATAAAGGTTTTGTTGTTAAATTAATAAATTTTTGAAACGTCACATGTTTGGTATCATAAGAACGATAGATAGTATGTATCCATGGCAACGTTAATGGAATCGATGACAATCGCGAATTTCTGACCTAACCAAAACAAAAAAGATGCAGGAAAAAAGGTATTTAATAAGGTTTATTAAGTGGAAATCTATTAATTGAGGGCTGACTCTGAGACGGTTGGTATAGAGGCATTGGTTCATTTCGAATCAACCTTTTTTCCGTTTTATTGGATGAAAAAAAAAGAATAAGGAGCCATTATTATAAAGATGTCACAACAACAGCATTATTACGATGAATCATATCCAGGCCAAAATGGTCCATATTATGGAGAGCATGGCTATGGTAATTCTGGATTTAACAACGGTTCATATGCATCAGGAGTGTATGATGAACAAGGGGAATATTATGCGCCGGAATATGGACAGGAATATTATGATGAATATGATAGTGGAGGGGTTATGTATGATGGGCAAGGTCGAGAGATGTATAATGGTGGAGAAGATGGATATTATCGTCAGGAGGATAGGTATTATGATTATCCTCAAGATGCGTATATTGCAGATACATATGGTATAATTATTTTTATTTAAGAAGTAATGATGTCAATTTATGTTTTTATGATAGATCCTTACGGTGTTCCTATGGCGGATCAGCGTCCTCTTCAGTATTTCGAAGGGCAAGATGAATATCATATGTATGATCGTAAGGGGAAGCGTAGAGGTTCGTCAGAAGGATCAGAAACGTTTTCTGATTTTACAATGCGTTCGGATATGGCTCGTGCAGCTGAATTTGATTCATATGGTCGATTCGATGAACGATATCGATCGTATGGACCTAGTACGGAATCTTTGAATCAAATGGCATCTCGGCAACGTGGATATCGTCCGGATTCTCAGATATCGTATACAGGAAATCGTTCTTCTGGTGCAAGTACGCCAATTTATGGTATGTACTATAATCAGGCGGCTATGATGACGTCTGCGAGGTCTCGCGAGCCTTACCCAGCATGGACCGCAGAAAATCAAATACCTGTTTCTAAAGAAGAAATTGAGGACATTTTTATTGATCTTACGAATAAATTTGGATTTCAAAGGGATTCTATGCGAAACATGTATGATCATATGATGGTACTTTTGGATTCACGTGCCAGTCGAATGACACCTAATCAAGCATTACTTTCTCTTCATGCAGATTATATTGGTGGAGATAATGCGAATTATAGGAATTGGTATTTTGCTGCACAGTTTGATTTAGATGATGCGGTTGGATTTTCTAATATGGACCTTGGAAAAAATAGAAAATCAAGTTATTCACAAAAATCTTCTAAAAAATTTCAAAAAAATTCTGCTTCAAAAAATATCTTGCAGGCACTTGATGGTGATAATTCCTTAGAATCTGCGATATATCGATGGAAGACTAGGTGCACTCAAATGAGTCAATATGATCGGGCTAGAGAACTAGCCCTTTATTTACTTTGTTGGGGTGAAGCGAATCAAGTTCGATTTACTCCTGAATGCCTTTGTTTCATTTTCAAATGTGCTAATGATTATCTGAATTCTCCACAATGTCAGGCAATGGTCGAGCCAGCTCCTGAAGGATCATATCTTAATGATGTTATTACACCCCTTTATACGTATATGCGTGATCAAGGTTATGAAATCATTAATGGGAGATATGTTCGTCGTGAGCGTGATCATAATAAAATTATTGGTTATGATGATATTAATCAATTATTTTGGTATCCAGAGGGTATTGAACGTATAGTCCTCTCTGATAAAACTCGTATGGTCGATTTGCCTTTGGATCAAAGGTATCCTAGGTTTAAAGATGTAGTATGGAAGAAAGCATTTTTTAAAACTTATCGCGAAACTCGAAGTTGGTTTCATTTATTCACTAATTTTAATCGAATTTGGATTATTCATATAACTGTATATTGGTTTTATACGGCAGCAAATTCACCAACCGTTTATACTCATAATTATCAGCAATCTCTCGATAATCAACCGCCTTTTGCCTACCGTATGAGTGCTGTTGGTTTTGGTGGTGGTGTTGCTTCATTATTGATGATTATTGCCACTTTAGCCGAATGGGCATATGTTCCTCGGAGATGGCCTGGTGCTCAGCATCTAACTAGGCGTTTATTATTTCTTATTTTATTTTTGATTATCAATGTTGCACCTGGTGTATATGTAATAAAATTTGCTCAATGGAAACCGAATGTCAGCGTCGTCACAACACTTATAAGTATTATGCACTTTTTGATTGCAATATTTACGTTTTTGTTTTTTGCAATCATGCCTTTAGGAGGTTTGTTTGGGAATTATTTATATAAAAAAACACGACGTTATGTTGCAAGTCAAACTTTTACCGCTAATTTTGCTAAATTGAAGGGCAATGACTTATGGCTTAGCTATGGTCTTTGGATAGCAGTGTTTGCTTGTAAGTTTGCTGAATCCTATTTCTTCTTGTCTCTTTCTTTGAGAGATCCTATTAGATATCTTAACACTATGACTATAGGTCATTGTGGTATTCGATATCTTGGTTCTGCACTTTGTCCGTACCAAGCTAAGATTACTCTTGGAATAATGTATATCACTGATCTGGTATTATTCTTTTTAGATACATATTTATGGTATATTATCTGGAATACTATTTGTTCTGTCGCCAGATCATTTTATTTAGGAGTTTCTATATGGACTCCTTGGAGAAATATATTCTCAAGAATGCCGAAAAGGATTTATTCTAAGATTTTGGCCACAAATGATATGGAAATAAAATATAAACCTAAAGTTCTTATTTCACAAGTTTGGAATGCCGTTGTTATATCGATGTATCGTGAACATCTTCTTGCGATTGATCATGTTCAAAAGTTATTATATCATCAGGTATGAATGTAGTATTATATTGACTTTTTTTAATATATGTAGGTTCCTTCTGAACAAGAAGGAAAAAGAACATTAAGGGCACCAACATTTTTCATATCGCAAGAGGATCATTCTTTTAAAACGGAGTTTTTTCCTTCACATAGTGAAGCAGAACGTCGTATTTCATTTTTTGCTCAATCTCTTTCTACTCCAATTCCTGAGCCACTTCCTGTTGACAATATGCCTACTTTTACTGTTCTTGTTCCTCATTATGGTGAAAAGATTTTATATTCTTTAAGGGAGATTATTCGTGAGGATGACCAATTATCAAGAGTAACACTACTAGAATATCTTAAACAATTGCATCCTGTAGAATGGGATTGTTTTGTTAAGGATACTAAGATATTAGCAGAAGAGACTTCACTTTATAATGGAGGAGTCCCTTTTGATAAAGATGAAAAAGATACGGTAAAAAGCAAGATAGATGATTTACCTTTTTATTGTGTTGGGTTTAAGTCTTCTGCGCCAGAATATACATTGAGAACACGTATTTGGGCATCATTACGCTCTCAAACTTTATATAGAACTGTTTCTGGGTTTATGAACTATTCACGTGCTATTAAGCTTCTTTATCGTGTTGAAAATCCAGATGTTGTTCAAATGTTTGGTGGAAATACTGATAAATTGGAACATGAATTAGAAAGGATGGCGCGTAGAAAATTTAAATTTGTTATATCAATGCAACGGTTTTTCAAATTTAGTAAAGAAGAGTTGGAAAATACGGAATTTCTTCTTCGGGCTTATCCAGATCTTCAGATTGCATATTTAGATGAAGAGCCTCCGATGAATGAAGGTGATGAACCGAAAATATACTCTTCTTTAATCGATGGTTATTCAGAAATTATGGAAAATGGTAAACGACGGCCGAAATTTAGAATTCAATTATCTGGTAATCCTATTCTTGGCGATGGTAAAAGTGATAATCAGAATCATGCAATCATATTTTATCGCGGTGAATACATTCAGCTTATTGATGCTAATCAAGATAATTATCTGGAAGAATGCTTAAAAATTCGTTCGGTTTTGGCCGAATTTGAAGAAATGACTCCTATAGAAGAGTCGCCGTATAATCCGAATGAAGTTTCAAGTGCTGCTAATCCGGTGGCTATTTTAGGTGCTCGAGAATACATTTTTTCGGAAAATATAGGTGTTTTGGGTGACGTAGCTGCAGGAAAAGAACAAACTTTTGGAACATTGTTTGCTCGTACTTTAGCTCAGATTGGAGGGAAGCTTCATTATGGTCATCCTGATTTCTTGAATGGCCCTTTTATGACTACTAGAGGGGGTGTTTCAAAGGCTCAGAAAGGTTTACATCTCAATGAAGATATATATGCTGGCATGACTGCATTACTTAGAGGCGGCCGTATTAAGCATTGTGAATATTATCAGTGTGGAAAGGGTCGTGATCTTGGATTTGGTTCTATTTTAAATTTTACTACAAAGGTTGGCACAGGAATGGGTGAACAAATGCTTTCTAGAGAATATTATTATCTTGGCACGCAACTTCCACTGGATAGGTTTTTGTCGTTTTATTATGCTCATCCTGGATTTCATATCAATAATCTTTTTATTATTCTTTCGGTACAATTACTTATGATTGTTATGATAAATTTGGGATCAATGTATAATATTTTGCTTATATGTAGGCCTCGTCGAGGACAGCCTATAACAGATCCATATCTTCCGGTGGGGTGTTATTCTCTTGCTCCTGTACTTGATTGGATAAAGCGTAGTATTATTTCTATATTTATCGTTTTTTTTATTGCATTCATACCCTTGGTTGTTCAAGAATTGACTGAAAGGGGGGTATGGAGGGCTTCTACACGACTTGCTAAGCATTTTGGTTCTTTGTCTCCTTTATTCGAAGTGTTCGTTTCTCAAATCTATGCTAATTCTTTACTTCAGAATCTTGCATTTGGTGGTGCTCGATATATTGGTACTGGTCGTGGATTTGCCACTACTAGAATTCCTTTTTCGATTCTTTTTTCAAGATTTGCCGGTGCATCTATATATTTGGGTTCTCGTACCCTTATTATGCTTTTGTTTGCGACGGTTACGATGTGGATACCTCATTTAGTGTACTTTTGGGTTTCAGTATTGGCTCTTTGTATATCTCCATTTATTTTTAATCCACATCAATTTTCATGGACAGATTTCTTTGTGGATTATAGGGAATTTATTCGTTGGCTATCCCGCGGTAACTCTAGGTCACATGCAAATTCTTGGATAGGTTATTGTCGTTTATCCAGAACTAGGATAACTGGGTTTAAACGAAAAGCACTTGGGCAGCCATCAGAAAAACTTTCAGGAGATATTCCTAGAGCTGGATTTAGTAATGTTTTTTTTAGTGAAGTCATTGGACCAATGATCTTGGTACTTTTATCACTTGTTCCATATTGTTTTATAAATTCACGGCCTGGATTTGAGCCATTCGGTAAATCGAATCCCGCTAAAAATGGATCAAATCCTTTGATTCGTATTGCAATTGTGTCATTTGCGCCGATCTGTGTTAATGCAATGGTTGCCTTTGTGTTTTTCGGTATGGCGTGCTGTATGGGTCCAATTTTAACTATTTGTTGCAAGAAATTTGGGGCTGTTTTAGCGACTATTTCTCACGCAATAGCTGTAATAATCTTGGTGACATTTTTTGAAGTTTTATGGTTTTTAGAAGGATGGTCTTTCTCTAAAACTATTTTAGGATTAGTTACTATGATATCTCTTCAACGAGCTTTCTTAAAGATGTTAACAATAATGATTCTTACTCGTGAATTTAAACATGATGGGTCCAATTTGGCATGGTGGTAAGTATATTGTTTAAAGAAATTTAAGTTTTACAATTTTAGGACGGGACGATGGTATAGTAATAATTTAGGTGTTTATGCTATGTCTCAACCTGCCCGAGAATTTGTTTGCAAAGTTATAGAGTTATCTCTTTTTGCTGCCGATTTTTGTCTTGGACATCTATTGTTATTTATTCTAACACCTATATTGGCTATACCTTATATTGATCGCTGGCATTCTATGCTTCTATTTTGGCTTCGACCTTCTCGACAAATTCGACCACCTATATTTTCATTGAAACAAAATAAGCTTCGAAAAAGGATTGTTCGTCGATATGCGACTTTGTTCTTTGGTCTCTTTTTACTTTTTCTTATGATTATCCTTGTTCCAGCTTTAGGGCATTCTAAATTTCCGAAATCTCTTAATAATATTGCTTTTCTTAAAAACTTGGGACTTATTCAGCCTTCTAATGATCCAAGAGGCGCAACCGGTAGAACCACTAGACCAGGAAATTCTAATGGAACCTATAAATTGTTTATATACTGACGATTATCAAAAAAATACTGAAATTTTTATGACTAATTCTGATTTACATAATACATGGTTAAATTGTTTGAAAGAAATATGCATATGGTTATATAGAGTTTTGTTTCACATAGTTCATTTCTTTGGTTTAGTAGCAAATTCGTATCAGTAAATTAAAAGTTTAGCTAGTTTGATTTAAAAAGGGCTGTATTTATATTAAACAATTTAATAGATGTTATTTTCCTCATAAATTTATAACATTAAGTGCGCTGAAATATAGTGGATATAGTTTAATATTAGGGGGGTATAAATTTGTTTATTATTAAGTCATACATGAATTAAGTTATTATAAAATAAAGATACGATTTAAATCGATAGGATGAGAACAGCTAATAAATATATTAATTATAATTTTTAGAAAATTATAATTACCTTAATTGGGGTTTTTGGTCATATTTTTGAGACAATTCAAATCTGATGGAATTCAATAGTTGTAAATATGATTGATATGGCATCTTTAAAAGTGCATTTTTAAAAGCCCAACTCATTGCACCTGTAGCTTGGTTTCTTATACATGTATCGACTGAAGTTTGAGAATCCTTGCAGCTATTATAGAATTAGTTGATTTACTAAAAAATATTTAAAATACCCTGAAAACATAATTACATCTGCAGGTGACGCTTTCGCATATTTTGCTTGCATACTGTTATCAGAACCTGTAGCTCTTTTAAATACTTTAAAAATAGATGAAGTAATCCCCATCATATTTCTTGCTGATGGCCCTTCTCTTAATATTTTATTTGCTGAATCTGATAGAAGATTTTGCTCTTTGAGTTTTCCTTCTGTGGACTAAAAAATGTTAATTTGTTCCTATTTTTGTTTTTATTTACATAAGTAAATGGTAAATCTAAAATAGAACCAGAATGACAGCCTAGATATTTTTAATATATATTAGTTAAAAAAAAAAAAAATACAATCAAATATGGCAGTAAGACGACAGCCAGGAGGTAAAGGTCTAACAAGAATATTGTGCATTTGGTCATCCGTAATATAACCTGCTCGATTAAAATCGACTGGGTATATTACTTCATCGCTTCCATCTTCTTCATCTCCATCAAAATCATCTATTTGACCTCCCTAAACAAAATAAATTTTTCATCCAGTTAAATAATAAAAATATACATGACCACTATAATGGAAAAAAAGACTATCCTATATATTTGTAAGAAAAATATAAAAAATGTCTCAACATGCATTCGGTCTAGCATCCTTAACAAGCCATGACATTGCATCAATAATATTTCTTTTAGTTGGAATAGAACGAGGATTTGTTTGATTATCTGTGAGGAAAACTAATCAAGTATTAATCAATATCAAAAAAAAAAAATAAAAATACCCATGTCATCAATATGATATGAATATCGTTCTTTTCTACTTTAGTAATGATCTTTTGTATTTTTTTAATTATATTACCTCGAATAAATTGTGAAATATTATTTACGTCTAAAACCATTTTAATAACCTAAAAACTCACAAAAACTATTCTTTACTACCATTAATGCACCCTGAAAGCTGTCTAGATGTATTTATATAGTTAATACCAATAAATAATGCCTTTTTTTTGCCCGAACAATTGGAATATTGAAAATTGTATGGATAGACCATTTGCCCTGCCATATTCACTTGATTTCCATGTGCCGGCACTCCATACTGATAAACAACTGATGTATTAGGAGCTGTATTATAATATCCATAAGGTCTTTGGGCTTCTGGTGCCCTATAAAAATATTATTAAAAAATGTCTATATTTCCTCAAAAAAATACATATTTGAAGCAAATCCTGAATATACATAATTATTCTTGCAACTCGGTGTATTTGGGTGGTGTTTATGATATCTTGAGCCTGGATAACTCATGATTTTTCTTTATTTTTTTCTTGACGTTAAGATCGATCTTAAGAAATCTTAAGATTATTTTAATATAATTTAGACTTGGCTTACAATTTCTTAAGATTTTGTTTAAATTTTTCTTAAGAAGTTAAGAAAAAGTTTAAAATTATAAATTAAATTAAGATGAATCTTCATTTTGAAAGTACTTTTGGAGAATCTTTAGAAAGTTCTTTTAATTGGTTTAATCATTCAATGACATTGACAAGATTAACACCTTTTTTTAATTTTTCAGAGGACTGTTTAATGACATATTCAAGAGATTTATTAGATATTATTCGTAGAACAAGATTACCACGTTTACCAGTCATTGAAATGTGTCGGTGGAATTTAATTGCGCCTCATGAAGGTCTTGGTTCATGTATTTGGCTTCATTTTTTATTTGCAGGAGATCAGACGTTAGGAAAATCTATAACATATACATGTTTATTAGTATCTTTATCGGAAAAAAAGGAAGGATGGAGAGAATTTCCGTTGCTTATTTCGCGTATTCCTGGAGAATTGCTCCAGGTAGTATTGAATTACTTAACAAGTCGATTTGATTCGTGGGCGATGCCTTTTCAATTAAAATCGATGACATTAATAGACTTATTACAAATGTATGTTAAATCAGTTGATCCAGCAACGGATGATGCTTGTCAACCTTTGGAATTGATGTTTTTGACGAAGTCGATTAAAGGACTGCGTCGAATAATAGTAGGTGTTAAAGGGCGAGATATGTTAATATGGAGAGAAAGGTTTGTTTTTAGATTCAAAATGGTATTTTTTTATAAAATGTTAAATAGAGAGCTTGGGTTTTTTGAAGGCTTAAAAAAATATTTATTTGAACAAACAACGATTGATTTTAATAAGCTTGAACTTTGCCGAATTGGCTGTGCAGGATTTATTATTTCGTCAGAAGGAAAACTTAAAATCTTGAAACCGATACAATTACAAATTATTACAGCTATTTTGAAAATGGAAGCTAGGAAAAACATGGAAATGATTAGTTAATGTATTTATATATTAAATCTTTTAAAGGCATTTTTATAGTTTTTTTTGTTTAGTAACGTTAAATTATATAGCATTTGATTTTGATCTAACTTATCTTTTATTGAGATTTTTTTATTGAAAGCAGCATAATTTTAAAACTTTGAGTATTGTAATTACTATTAAACATTTGAAAAGTAAAAAGAACAAATATAATGAAAGTTTGAAGAATAGATAATAAATATTGGATATTTTATTTTATTAAATTAGGACTTGGGCGGGCTTTTTTCCTAATCATCTTCGCTAGAAAAGACATCTTCGCCTTTTTTACGTCTAGCCATGCGTTCCTTTTTTTTCTTTCTTAATTCGGAACTGGTTAATTTTTTGACCTTCTTTTTCGCCTCAATTTTGTTGCCTAATGCATCAAACGTATCCTCTTCATCTTGTTCTTGAAGCTTAGGTCCTGTTCCTTGACCTTGAACCCAATTATGTCCTGATGGTGTCATTTGTCCATTTTGCACACTCCAAACTTCTTCAGTAAGATTTTTTGTAAATTCGACTGAATGCGTAATGATAACAACTCCTCCTTCGAAACTTTTAAGAGCTTTAGAAAGAGCACCTAAAGAATCACGATCAAGATAATTCGTGGGCTCATCTAAAACAATAACATGCGGTTTTAACCATGATCCTGCTGCAAGGACCAGTTTAACTTTTTGACCACCTGATAAGCCTTTGATTCTTGAATGCGTAACAATTTCTGCATCGAGCCCAAAATTTTCGCAATGTTTTTCAATTTCCTTACGAACTAAAGGACGAAAAGATCCAAACTTTAGAGCTTCTTTCATGTCAATCTCTGCGATCATTTTGGAATGCGATTCTATCAATTCACTTCGTGGCAACCATTCATTATTCATACTATTTAATGGTACCCATCGCTCGTTTTTTTCCCCAACATTTTCTCCAAGAAGAAATGAACATTCGTACTCGTACGAGTTTTTAAGTTTTCTTCGAGAATGTATTCCTTGAATTCTTCTACTGGTTCCATTAATTTTAAAAATTTTGTTCATATGAATCTCATCGTTTTCTGTTAATTGTCGAGAAGCTCTATCTATGGTTTCAGAATCTTCGCCAGTTCGGTACCTCCATTGGATGTATTCGGACGGCGTTTTATTTTCATGAGAGCCAAGGTGTGTAAATGCAGCTTGGGCAACATATGCAATCCGAAGATTAGGATGACACCAAACTTCACCTTTTTGTGGAACAAGTTCACCACAAAGAATTTTAATTAATGTAGACTTTCCAGCGCCATTGGGACCTATAACAGCAATACGTGATGATAAAGAAACTTGAAGCGAAACATTTCTAATTTGAGGTTCACTAGTTCCTTCGTATTGAAATTCTATGTCTCGCATACGACAGATAGCACGCTGCTTAGTCTTAACACCCTCTAAGTAACCTGGTTCTGGAAATGCAAACTCGATTTCAGATTTAGAGATGTCTTGATAAGATCGAGCAGATGGGACTAGCGTAATAAATTTACTCATATTACCCATATATTTTTTAAGTTTAAAATGTTCATAATGAATAATAGCTTGAACGACGTTATCCAAGAAGCCGGAATCGTGTGAAACAATGATACTAGTAATATGAGTTTGTGTAGTTAGGAAATTCTCAAGCCATGCAACATTTTTTAAGTCCAAATGGTTCGTGGGTTCATCTAACAATAAAATGTCGACATGTTGAAGCATAGCACGAACAAGAGCTAATTTCATTTTCCAGCCACCTGAAAGACAGGAAATAGGAATTGAAAGCATATCGTTTGTAAAAGAATGGCTTAAAAGTGAATCTATTGCTTCCTGTCTATCCTTAACAATGACTGATGGATCATTTGCTATAAAATCAATAACAGATGTTTTTGATTCCGTATCATCGATATCATGTTCGACATATACTGTTTTTAGTTCTGTAGGAAATCCCTCGACTTGACCGTTAGAGATAGCACGAAGAAGAGTGGACTTTCCGGAACCATTAGGTCCACAAAGACCATATCTATAACCACGTTTGAGATTTAGGAATGTTCTATTTAAAAGAATTTTTGCACCGTATGCAAGAGAAAATTCGCAATTACATAAATCTTCTCCTTCTTCCTCTTCTAACTCAATTGAAGAACTATGGAAGCTTGAAATAGATCGTTTCCTAAATTGATCGATGATATAATTAATATCAGCCTTGAGTATAATAGGTTGTAGATATGGAGAAATGTTAACATTCCAATCAACGATTTCATTGTTTTTTTCATCGATAAGCTGAGATGCTATACATGAAATATAATTCAAATAGACATCTGATGTTGGTACTAGTTCTTGCCCTTTAAGAATTGAAAGAAGTGTCTCCATACAATTTTTTGGTTCACTGATATTCAAGATTTCAGGTATTTTTCCTTCTTTAATATTCCCAACACGAATTAACGTAGCTAAAGAACGGTTAACTACTGCTCTGCATTCAGGGTCCCCAATAGTTTCTTTAATATGTTCAAGAGTTGGTATTAGCTTGTGTAAAAATGGAGCAATAATATAAGGATCTTCAACAAGCTTGCACATATTGTCAATAATTACTGCAGATTTCCGTTTAATTGCTGTTTCGCGTTCATTTAGACCTCTGTAAAGCAAAGGAACCATAATAGACAACGTTGATGCATGTACTTCTTGAACAAATGTTGTTGCACCAAGTGTATGAATGGTTTCTGGAACTTTTTCTGGTTGGGCGATACAATCAATAAGAACTGGAATAAACTTATCAATATCTGGATTAGATATTAATGAACAGACGTTGGCCATCGTCTTGCGTGCTTGATTTTTGACTTCCGTTTTTGTATCCCACATAGATTCTGATAAAACAGGAATTAATTCCGGAAGTCGATATGACATCTGACATGGAGCCTTTTCAACCAACATATCCAATAATCGGAACGCGCACATCTTTTCCATCCATTTTCCTGATGTTTTAATAGAATCCGTGATATAAAAAAGCATTGTTTTAATTGCATATGAATTCATCGTCTTAATAATGCCTTCTGCAACTATGGCTGCTTCTGTTCGGATTGTTGCCACCTTGTCAATACCAACCCGCTTTAAAACCTCTGGTAATAACTGCACCATATATGGCTCAACCCTTTGATTTATTGTATCCAATGTTAATGACAATGCTTTTAATGCTTGTTCTCGCATCGATGTATCTTTCGATTCAATTTGCTCTTTCAACGTATTATATAATCTTTCGCAAACATCTGCATCCCATGAAAGAACCGAAAGTTGCTCTGAACTTTTTATTGTTTCATTTTTATCCGTTTCTCGAATTGAAATTTTTAATTTTGGTATTAAATCCATTAAAACTTTAGGAGATACTACATTCCCTGGCACGTGTGTTTGTTCAGTTGTTTCCACTACTGGTAACATATGTTCTGCTGATATTTTAGAATAAATTAAGCAACAAAATCGAAAAAAAAAAAAAATCAAAAATATTAAAGATCGATCTTAATTTTGTGATAGGTTGTTGATCCCGAAAAAAGCAAATGAATAAAAGAAACAGCTGATTGATAATTAGATAATTGTTTTGCCTTTGTTTGAATCTATTTTTATAGAAGGGCGATTTATATATGTTAGTTTTGTTTGAATAGAGTTTTTGTAGTTGATAATATTAAAGATATGAATAAGTTAGATCAAGAAGAAAAAATTAAGTATCAAACTATGTATATTTTTGAGAAGTTATATCACGTATATCGAATAGGTTTGAGTATAATTTGCTTGAGTTTTGTGTAGAATAAAATGTGATAATATTATGAGAGTTCTTTATGCTTAGCATCGTAAAGAGGATGCATAACTTTAGTTGAAAAATAAATGTTACTGTACCAAATATGAATTAAGATATAATTTCTTTGAAAAAAATAAATGATTATAATTGTTTTTATTATAAAAAAATGAAAAATCATCTATGTTGGTAGATGTGTTGATGGCAATGAAAGATGCATACTTTTCAACATTGTATTTGCCGGTCCTGTTGCATCTTGTTGGCCATTAACACTTTCATAGAGATTTTTAAGTAGATTATAATGCATGTTTGCATCGATTTTGTCTTGTTCATTTATAGAATCAACCGTATCGCTTGGTAGATTTGAAAACGAATCTTTTAGAGTTGTAGACAAAAGTTCTGTATCCATAGCATTCATAAAATCTTTAAGTTCAAGTTTATCTTCTTCCTGTTCATTTTGTAGTGATTCATTTTGTATTTTTTCATCTTTGATTTCTGTCATTGGTTCGTCTGAAAAATCTAAATAAGTATATTTTAGAAATAAAATGTGAAAGCATCACTTATTTTTCCTTTACCTAATGTTTCTTTCATGATTTTTATGAATTCATCTGCATCAAAACTTATATCACTATCAGTAGTTGTATTATCTGTAAAAGAATCGCTTTTATTATTATTAAGAAAGGTATATTTATATTACTTAAAAATATGCTTACCATTCCACTTCTACACCATAAAGCCCTGCATTTTCATTATTTACAAAATCTTCGAATTTCTCTATCAATGATTTGACTGGTTTATTTGAAATAGGTTTATGTTTTGGCATTTCTTCAATATTGTCTTCATCTGAAGAAATTTCGGTTTTTAAACGCATCAATTCATCCAGTTCTTCCGGGCTTACATGTAAAAAGCTGTCACTGTCATATGTATTAGGCCATTCTGCAATTTCTTCGTCTGTTGGAAGAGGATGTTTTAAAATATCGAATATTTGTAATACTGGGTCATTTGTAATAGGAGGGTTAGACGGGCATGATCTTAAAAAGCATTTTTCTGCATGTTTTTCTAGCGATTTGTACTTTTCTGAACCTTCTTTTTCATTTTCGAAATAACCTGTTGCGTTTAATTTCTTTATAAATATCTTCCATTCTGGATCTGATTTTAAAGAATACTTGTATTGTGAACCTTGATACTTAAATTATAGACAACTTACTTCAAAATGATTTTTAGGTGTTTTTGCTGATAACATTTCGAATCCACATGTGATTTTCATACCCATAACATTTTGATCGTATTTTGATCCTGAAAGATCAAATAAAGGATGCTTTTCAAACGATTGTCCTTTTAACTGTGCGTATAGTGTTTTCGTCATTTTAATAACAACTGATACCATATCTTCTGGATAAAAATATTTCATTTTCTCACATACCTTTATGAGAAATAAGCATATTTTCTACCTTCACGAATTATAATTTCTAAACCTTAAAGGATATTGGATCTCTTTGGCAAAATTCATGTATTGCTGCTGAGATTAAATTCGGTTCTGTATGAAGAATATGTGCTATTTTTCGAGGTACTATCACTTGTGTTCGATGAAGATTTTCCTTTATCTTTTCTGGATATCTTAACCATTTTTAATTAAATCTTATTTTTCCATTCTTTCTTTACAAACCCTTTAATCCGACGAAATGCTTCTTTTTCTACCTTTTCATCATGTATTAATTGTTCCGGTTTATTTCGTAAAAAAAATAGTCCTTCTGATAATGTTAATCCTTTAATTTCCCTCTTTTTTTTCTCATTTTCCGGTGGAATTATTAATAATCGTCCTTGATTCATCCACACCTTTGTTTAATCAACTTTTTCATAAATCTTAATTAAATCCTACACGATATGTTGAATTTTTTTCATTTATCCACCGAGGCAGCTTCCTTGAACTCTCTATCAATAAAAATTCTCCATCCGAATCTATAATTCTATTTTCTTCATTTAATCATTTCTCTCAAAAACTTCTTCATTTCATGCCTGACATAAATGTCTTTAATATTTCGTGTTATTTCCCTTAATAAGAATACTATTGCCCATTCATCTTGATTTCCTTCACGGAAATGTGTTTTTCCATACAAATGGACTGGTCCTATTTATATTTTATTCATTAATTTCCTACAAAATATCTTTAAATTCTATTTAAAACCTGGTATATCATAAATTTCTAATCTAAAAGGCTCATAATGCCATAGATATTCCTTAATCCATGACATAAATTCAGTTTTTATAATTTCTTGCACCTCTTTCAAATGAAACACCTGGTCTTCATGGCAAAGTAAATCCGCCGTAACAATGTAGATCCAATATTCGCAGACATCTGAAAACATAAGATTATTTGTCGAAAAAATTAACTTCGAATAATCTCAATTTTAATCGTTAAAAACCATATTATATAAACTCTGATAAGAATTTTTCAAAATATATAAATACATTTGAATCAAATAATAATGACTTTATTTTAAAAAGTTACTACATATTAAACGATATATCAGGTGAAGATTTTGATCAAGATTTTGAGGTTATTTTTTACCTCAAACTGGATATAAATACTTTGAAATGTATTTATCAATGTTTTTAATTCCTATTAAAATTATTCTGCGTTTTATATTTTTTTTTAAAGGATACTCATATAAAAGTGAAGAATCTTTAAAAAATATATATATATTATAAAAAAATTTATTTGCTTTATATATCTTGTATACCTTAATTTATGTTTTACTATGTATTTGTCCTGTATATGCATCTTGTATGCATCTTATATGCATGTTATTTGCATTTTATTTGCATCTTGTAAATCATGCTATATGAATTGCTTTCTTTTTTTTCATATTTTTATTGAATAGCTTATATTATTGATTGAAATGTATACATTAAATATTTAGTTTTTATCTGAAATATAAAAGATTTTTAATTATCATTTTTATCTTTAATTTATGCTTTATTTTAATTATTTTGTATGTTTTTATTATTTTTAAGTAGGTTATTTATTTATATTTATTTAAATATCTTTATTGTCCGAACTTTTTTTTATTTTTTTTAATAAGGTTGGCTTTTCTAATTAATATTTAGAGTCCGTCTTAATATCTTTTATAGAGAGTGTTTAGAACGTCTTGATCATCTATAAAATGAGTCGAATGGTTTTTCAGGCTAGACGTTTAGCCTTTGCATCATCTTCTCTTCAGAAAGTGCGTATTAGCAATTGGGAAAAGGTATGACGTCTTTTGTTATTTGTTTTGGCTTATGCTTTTCTAGGATAAATATATTGATTATCATCATTTGCAAAGAAATATTGAAATTGTGAAAAAAAGGCTTGGTCGGCCTTTGTCATATGCAGAGAAGGTTGTTTATGGACATTTGGATGATCCTTATACTCAGGATATTGAACGTGGGCGGTCGTATCTTCGTTTACGACCCGATAGGGTAGCATGTCAAGATGCTACAGCACAGATGACAATATTGCAGTTTATGAGTTCAGGGATCTCAGATGTTGCAGTTCCCACGACAGTTCATTGTGATCATCTGATTGAGGCACAAATTGATGGAAAGAAAGATTTGATTCGTGCCTATAATACTAATAAAGAGGTAAAAATGGACTGTGAGAAATGAAGTGTTAAAATATAGGAAAGGTTTATGATTTTTTGTCTAGTGCGTGTGCAAAATACAATATTGGATTTTGGAAGCCAGGATCAGGGATTATTCATCAAATTATTTTAGAGAATTATGCATTGTATAAATGTTGGATAGTAGATTAATGATACTGATAAGATATAGTCCAGGTGGATTAATGATTGGCACGGATTCTCATACACCGAATGCAGGTGGTTTAGGAATGGTAGCTATTGGCGTTGGAGGTGCAGATGCTGTAGATGTAATGATTGATATCCCATGGGAGTTAAAATGTCCAAAAATTTTTGGTGTAAAATTAACAGGAAAGTTGGGTGGATGGACTTCACCAAAAGGTAGTCTTTAGATTTTTGTTTATAAAAGAGATTAAATACTTTTGAAGACGTTATTCTTAAAGTAGCGGGAATTTTTACGGTTAAAGGAGGTACAGGTGCTATTATTGAGTATTTTGGACCAGGGGTTGAATCTTTATCATGTACTGGTATGGGTACAATTTGTAATATGGGTGCTGAAATTGGTGCAACCACGTCCTTGTTTCCTTATAATAGGCGAATGAGAGAATATTTGGTGGCAACTAGACGTTCATATCTTGCGGATCATTTAGATAACTATTCACATATTTTGTCGGCAGATGAAGGTTGCGAATATGACAAGATAGTTGAGATCAATTTGTCTGAACTTGAGCCTCACATTAATGGACCATTTACACCGGATCTTTCTACGCCTATTTCTAAGTTTAAAGAAGCTATTAAATTAAATAATTGGCCCTCCGAATTGAAAGTTGGTCTTATTGGATCTTGTACGAATTCAAGTTATGAGGATATGAGTCGATCTGCTTCTATTGCAAAGGATGCCTATGATCATGGTTTAACTGTTAAAAGTAAATTTACGATTACACCTGGAAGCGAACAGATTCGTGCAACTATTGTTAGAGATGGTTACTTGAAAATTCTTGAAGATGTTGGTGGTGTTGTATTAGCCAATGCTTGTGGGCCTTGTATTGGACAGGTTTGAAAGCAAAAAAAAAAAAAAAAAAAAACTAGCTATTCTAACATTATTAGTGGGATAGAAGAGACGTTAAAAAGGGCGAAAGGAATTCTATTATTACGAGTTATAATAGAAATTTTGCTGGAAGAAATGATGCTAATTCCTCAACACATGCATTTATTTCTTCTCCTGATATTGTAACAGCTATGGTGTTTGCAGGAGATCTATCATTTAATCCAATAACTGATACATTAATGGGTGCCGATGGGAAAGAATTTAAGTTATCTCCTCCTAATGGAGAAGGATTGCCTTCTAAGGGTTATGATTTAGGGGAAAATATGTATCAAGCACCTCCAGAGGATCGTTCTTCTATTAGTGTAAATATTGATCCTTCAAGTGAAAGACTACAGTTATTAGAACCATTTGAAAAATGGGATGGAAAAGATCCTCTCAATATGCCTATTTTGATAAAATGTAAAGGAAAAACGACAACGGATCATATTAGTATGGCAGGTCCATGGCTTAAGTACCGTGGCCATTTAGATAACATTTCAAATAATATGTATATTGGTGCTGTTAATGCAGAAAATGGTGAACTAAACAAAGTAAAAAATCAATTGTCTGGTAAATATGAAAAGGTTCCGGATGTAGCACGTGCATATAAAGCTAAAGGTATTAAATGGGTGGTTATTGGTGATTCGAATCTTGGAGAAGGTTCAAGTCGGGAACATGCTGCTTTAGAACCACGACACTTAGGAGGATGTGCAATTATTGCTAAATCATTTGCTCGTATCCATGAAACTAATTTGAAGAAGCAAGGAATGCTTCCTTTAACATTCGCTTGTGAATCTGACTATGATAGAATTTCTTCTGATGATAGACTAGATATAATTGGTTTGACTGAATTTGCTGAAGGAAAAGATTTAATACTTCGTGTTCACCCTAAAAATGGTGAAGTTTGGGAAGCTGTGTTAAACTCGTAAGTTCTTCTTTTTTATTTTCCTTATATATTGATTAGATCTCTATAAGAACATTCAATAAGCAGCAAATAGAATGGTTTAAAGCTGGTTCTGCTTTAAATTATATGGCTTCATTAAAAAATAATTAATGCATTTTGATAAATTGATTTTGGAAACTAGCGTTTAATGAAACGTTTATTGTGTTTTTGGCTATTAAACTTGGTTTTAATTTTTTTTCAATTTTTATAGTAAACTTTTATTTAATGTATTGATATGAAAATATTTGATTAAAAAAAAACTAAATAAATAGAAAAATCGGCTTGAAATATATCTGTTTAAGCTCTCAATATGATTTCTATTGTAAATATACCTCCAACAAAATCTCAAAGAGAACGCTGTTGGGAAGCTAGAGATATCTTTTTCCAATGTTTAGATAAGCATTCTATTGTTAATCCAATGACGCAAATTGAAAAGATTCACTCATTGTGTTCATCTGAAGAAGAAAACTTCAGAAATAACTGTGCAAAAAGTTGGGTATGTTTATATTTGTTCTTATATAAAATTTTGATAAAAAATAGATAGAATATTTTAAAAAAAAAAGAGTTATTGATTTTCAAAAAGGATTTTATGAAAAATTAAAGTAAATATTTAAATATTAAATTAAAAAAACATGAATTTCTAAAAAAAAATGTACTAAATAATATAGAAAAGTTGAATAACTTGTGATTTTACTTGAAATTTTGCGATATTATTTGTAAATACATATTTTAAATAAAAGGATTATGTTTTTTTAAAATAATTTTAATTTTTATAATATTTTTATTTGGTTAATTTAATATATTAAATTTTTTAAATAGTATATATTAAATAAAAATATTTTTAATACTTTATTTAACTAGTTTTTCTAATAATATAGTTCTTAACTTTAAATTATTAATATATGTTTTTCTTGAAATTAGAGTTTTTAATTGCGTATTAAAGTGATAGATATTAACATTTTCTGTTATGATAAATAAATATAGATTTATTATTTTTTATTCTTTAAAAAACATAATACCGAATTTATTTTTACCATTTTTTAATTATTTTTATTTCTAAAAAGTAGATAATATCTTAATATTCATCTCTAATATTCATTTTATTTAAAAAAAGTGTCTTTATACTATGATTTTTTCTTTATTTTTTTATCTTTAAATTTTTTTACAGAAAGTATATGTAATTTAAATAAAAACAATTAAATCTTTATAATTTCTTTGTAATCAAGGATTTATCAGCTAAGATTTATGTTTTCTCCTTTTCTGCTGTCTTGATATTCACGTGAAATCCGGGAATTTATATTAGGATAATTGAAAATTGATATTTAATTTGAATTATTTATCTAAATGACAGGTAAATAGGAATTGTTCTGTTTAGAAACACAAGGAATGATCAATTTGTATAATTTTTTGTTTTTGTTCCGGTAAAATATTTTAAATAATGGAGAAATGAGATAATTTTTATAGGATATGTTGTTTTATTGTGGGTTTTATGTGGATATTTATGCTTCCACTTAATTATTTTAATCGTCATGTTTTTATTTCTGAGAATGCTATTCTTCCTGGCACTGTGAATACATATTTTGGAGACAGTGATAGTGATAGTGATATTATTGAAGCCTACAGAGAAGAAATTAATTTTATAGACCAACAAGGCGAAGATGCGTATGATTAAGGGTGCTATGTTATTTTATTTTTTTTGATTGCTTTAGAAAATATGAATCATTACATGAAATTTTTGAAAGACTTGGTTTAAGAACAGCAACTCAAGATTATAAGGTAGAATTTAAGGGGAAAGAGTATTCAGGTAGAAATTTTTTTGCAGTTCTTGATGCTCAGAGAGGAGATGGTACAGAGGCTCTTGTTTTAAGCGCATCATGGAAAAATATGGATGGAAAATGTAATTTAATATATAAATTAAATTATTCTTTTTAATTTATTGTATAGTGAATCTAGGCGGAGTATCTCTTTTACTTGCATTAGCGAGATATTTTAAAAGTTTTTGCTTGATATTCTAGAAAGTATATTGATTCATATTAGGGTGGTCGTTATGGTCAAAAGATATTATTTTTCTTATTCCTGGAGAGAAGGAAGTAGGAGCTCAACTGTGGGTAGATGCATATCATAAAATGGATTATGATGATGCTATTTTATCATTGACTTTAAAAAGTGGAGAAATACAAGCACTTGTTGACATTGATTTTATTTCAGATTATAGAAATTTTGATTCTATAGAGCTATTATATGATGGAATGAATGGACAACTATCGAATATGGATCTTTTAGTTGCGGTTAATCGTATTATTCAATCAAAATCTGATGTAAAAATAAATATGCAAAATGTACTTCAACAAAAAGAAACATATTTTCAAAAGCTCTTGACTATGATTAATGGAATGATTAATCAGTGTTTTGGATTTTTGTCTGGAACTCAGAGTTGTTTTGTGCCATATAAAATTGATTCAATTACTTTTAAAGTTAAATCTAAAGGAAGTGGTATATATGATGATATATTGTTAGGAAAAATTATTGAATCGTCATTCCGTAGTTTGAATAATCTGCTTGAACATTTTCATCAATCTTTTTTTTTTTATTTTATGTTATCTGTTGATAGATTTGTTTCTATTAGTGCATATTTTCCTTCTGCTATACTTATTGCTAGTAGTTTTACTATTGATTCTCTCAGTTTGTGGATTTCTGTTATTGCTAATCTCAATAAGAGTTTAAGTGTATATGAGAAAGAAAAATTTAATAATTCTAATGACGAAAAAAAGAAAGTTTTTATAGAAAGGGATCCGCGATTGCGTTTAAGAAAAGAAATTGCACTTTCAATTGCTACAGTTATTGTTGTTTATATTATTGCTATTATTTTTTTAAAAATAATATATAACTCATGTTACTACAAAGAATCTAGTGATTATAAAAAGGTAAATAAATATAAATTTTAGATTATTTTGTTTGAATTGTTTTAGTTCTATTCGATATTTATTCTATTTCTTCAAATCCTTCAACATATAATTTCAATTTTTATACAAAGGATTCTTGAAAAAATTATTAAAAGTCAAAATATGTCATTGATTAATAACTATAAACTTATTAGGACTTTTTCTCAAATAATTCTTGGCATAGAATTGTCTACTTTGGCTATCGTAAATTTTTCTTTATCATTTTTTGTTGGTATTATAACATTTCCTTTATCTTTTGTCCGACCTGCAAGAACTAAAACTGAACGAATACTTTTTTCAGTTCTTTTGGAGCTTTCTAATCCTCTCAATTGGATCTTTTTTCTTTCTTATTATAAAAATAAGGAAGCTATAGATTTTATTTATTTATTTGTTTTCGGATGGAAGATATGGTATCTTTGGACGCCCCTTGTTTTGTGGTTATTATGGTGGCCTCTTTGGATAGTGGCTAAGATAACTATATCTACGTCTATTAATGACAATGCTGGTCATTATTTTTACAATACACCTAAATCTATCGATCCTTTGTTAAAAAGTTCATAAATGATCTTTTAAAAATGAAGGATTAATTGCATTGTTAATTGATTAAATGATTTTTTGTTGAATAACATTTATTTATTGTAAAATTTGCTATATTTTAAATTTTTTTAGTGTAAAAATATTAAAGTTTATTTTTAATCCTATAAATATACATATTTTGAATTTATATAATTGAAAAAGATCATAAAATATACTATATATATTAAAAAAATTAGTTTAATTATATTTAATCGCTAATTTCAATTGGTTCCTGGGAATGATTAATAGACTAATATTTTTATGAAAATAGGCATTTTATAAATGTTTTTGTGATATATTTATTTTATTATATTGAAATTAATTTGATGTTTTCATACTGACGATTTTCTTTTTTTTTTAATATTTGATTTATGGATTTTTTCAAATATATTTGGAAAGTATTTTGCGTTAACACTGGTTAAATATGATTTTAAAATCTAGAAATGTTCTAAATTAAATAGTCTTTTTTAGAAATATTAAAATTATTTATATTTTTTTCTTAGATAAAACAATTATTTAAAAATGGGCTATTTTAACTTTTATAATAATTGTTAAAATTACAATTGTTTAATTCATTAAATACATATGATTCCATATTTTATTATGTAAAACAATAGTTTATAATATTTTTTAAGAATTAGTTTTTAATGTTTGAATTTTACATTTTTAATTAAAATTTAAAGAATGATAAGCAAAGATATTCTAAAAAAGTATATTAGAGTGATTAAAAAAATATTTTTAAAATTATATATATTAATTATTTAAAAAAATGATTAAATAGGAAAATTTTCTATTTTTATATGATTTTGTTTTTATTTAAACTTAGTTTTCTAATTTACATCACTATTATGATTAATGAATATCAAATTATATAAAATAAAGTTGACAAGCATAAAAAACATACATGTATTAATAACTAATAAGTGTAATTTTAAAAATAAAATTATAAAATAGAAAAAATATTTGATAGACTGTTTTTTAAAGGATTAAGTATTAAATCTTTCTTGGTTAGAAAGATATAATACTCTTTGTATAAAAGATAAAAATAGATTATTAGTTTCATAGTTTCGCAACTCTGAAATTCTATCTAAAAGAAATTTTGGTACAGAAAAAGGACTATTATTATTAGAAGGAATCTTTTCATATATTTCTAGAAGAATATCTCTTAATGGCTTAGATTCATTAATAAGCTTTTGTAGTATTTCATCATTTTCTTTTTATTTATTAGATATTTTGAATAGAATTTTTTTTACCAATTTTCCTAAGAATTGCTTCAGAAAGAAGCTCATCACATGTTATATTTGAAGTATCTTCATTTGATTCTTGTTCAATAGGTTTATCTTTACGAATATAACATCTAATAGAGGCATCATCTGCTGTTTGAGGCGAATTTACTTGTTTATGTTTTTGAAAACAAATAAAAGAGCAGCTATTAACATCTGTTAATATATGTCTTAATTTATAAAAGAATTACTAAGGAATTAAACAGGCAGGGCATTTATATTTTGCCGTTTGCTTTGAACATAAACAGCACAGCTGACGGCACTCCAGTTTCCGTTAAGATTAGACGATTAACGGCTAGTTTTGATTATTTAAAAATGTTTTTTTAATAATAAATATAAAGAAATACATTATTTTTGATATTTAAAGTTATATTTATTAAGTATATAAGAAATATTACTGATTGATATATTTAAATGGTTTAAAAGAAGGGAACGTTGTTCTTATATTTTGGTTTTATTTATATAATTTATGCAGCTAAAATAATATTAAAAAATCAAAAAGGATTTTACATATAATAAAAAAACAGTGTTTTATTATATATTATTATGACTAATATATTAAATTTAATATTATATATATAAAAAACGTATTTTATATGTTTATAAGCTATAAATTATAGGGTAATCATTTTATAATAAAAGATATTTTTTTGTTATATTAATTTAATGATTTAAGACAGTTTTTAATTTTATTAAAAGTTAATATTAATGTAAATTTGATAAATTTTTATGCTGTAAAATATTAAATAATGTTTTTAAATAAGTTTTCTTTAAATTACTATATATAAAAATAATTTATGTAGATAATCTATCAAAAGACAAAATATAGTACTAATATTTTAAATATTAATCTATGATATATCCTATTTTAATAATTAGAGTATTTGTATTTTGAAATTTTATTATGTAATGTATAATTTACAAATAGAATCAAATTTCAATGTCTGCGCCTGAAATCATCTGAATTTGTATTAATTTGATGCAGTTAATTTTCTTTTTATGGATGTAGGAACTTCTGTCTCAGAAATCAACTTTATGAGTTCATCAATTTTAAAAGTGGCCCCTAGAAATATTACTATAGATAAATAATAATAATCATAAGTTACCAGTATATGAAGAAGCAGGTGGGAGAATACTTAAAAAATATAAAATAGACTCAGGAAGGCTCAAAAGTTTGTCATTTGTAGTTAATAAAGAAGTAGTTAAATTCTTTTTTCTAATATCAAGATTCAATTGGAAAACATCATTATTATGTATTTCTGTAGGTTCAGAGATAATTGAAGATTTGAATACCACCCCTAAATCTTTTTCTAAAATTGCATTTAAATTATAAAATTTAAATCGTCTAGAAAACCGCAATATAGAAGAATCTGTTAGATTATATATTGTTATTTAAATCTAAAATTTAAATATTCACTTGCCATCAGGATAAAGTTCTGCTATTCTTGACTGTAATTTTATAGTTGTTGAAAGATCACCAAACATAGATTCATACGTATATAATTTTTCATGTAATTGTTTAACTATTTGAGGATCAAGATGTGTTATTGTTTTTTCATATAAAGCTCTTGCATCTATAGGAACTAAATTTTGTATTTCTTTAATAAATAAATTATATACTTGTATCATCATTAATATTTATCAAAAATGTTAAATAATGAAGAACAAAATCAGGATCATTTCCAAAACTTTTTAGTCCTAAATCAAAAATCTTACTAGCTATTGTAGAATCCTTACTACAATGATATTCCATTAATGCTAATCTTTATTATTATAATTTAAACATATAGTTATACAAACCAGAAGCTACATAAATGTGATATGCTTGATTAGGCACTTTTCTAGCTTTTCCAAAAACTTGTCTTGCCGCTTTTATACCTTCTGTACGTCTAACAGCTCTCATGAAAACACTCCATACAATAGAAATATTTTTCGTTAATTTATTTAGTTCTTCTTCCCCTTGTTTCTGAATATTTTGTATTTCTTTTTTTGGTGTTAATTTCTGTATTTCGCCTTCTTCGACAGGATCCTGAGGAGTTACGTATTCTAAATATTTAGAGACTTCAGATATTTTATTTTCCATATAACATGAAATCTTTTTAAATTCTTTTGAGAGGTTTTCAATAAGTGTTTCATAAATTGTTCTCATTTCAGAAAACCTCTTATTTTGCTCTAGGAAATCTGCATATTGAAAATGAAGTAAATAACTAAAATAATAATATTAATAATAGTAATAATGATATTAAAAAAAAACCTAGTAGGATTTGCAATTATCCCATTTTTCATTATTTCAACGGCTTCTTTTTCTTCGTTTAAAGATAACCAATATTCAACAGCAGAAAACCTATTGTAATTGAATTATATATTTAATACAATATATATGCTGTACCAAATCTCAGGAAAAAATCTTAAATTTATCATAGCTTGTTTATATGCATATTTCACTCGTGTAACAATTGCAGGCTTTAATTTGAGATCCAAAGGATCTGACATTTCCCATTCAATCCATCTTTTCCATTGTTCAACCTAAGAAAATAAGTAGATATACAAAGAATAAAGACATGTAATTACTTCTTCAACATCTTTTTCAGTCCACACAGGAACTTTCGGAATATTAGTAGCACGGAATCCAGCTGTTATGGAAGCCATGTCTTTCCAAGCGGTTCGAGCCATCATATAGCTTGAACTTTTTTCTGAAAGAAACTTTCTGGCCTAAAAAAAAGATAATTTTAATTAATTATAAATAAATACGAAGATCTTACTGTAGATCTATTGAAATTATTTTCAAACGCGTCATACTCCCTCCATAAAGTCTCAATATTTGCAATTGGAATACATATAGCTCTGTGATAAATACGACGAATATGATCTATTTTTTGCTGTTCTTCCCACATGGAGTTTTTCTATGTTGAAAAGATAGTGAGTACATAATCAGAAGAGTGTATAATGATTATTTAAGAAATTATAGATGCGAAAAAACTATCTACGGAGATAAAAAAAGATAATTATAATGCATCTTTGAACTTACCTCTGCTGTTTTTACAAAATTAATATAATCTGACCAAATAGAACCGCAATCCTTATCAATTCCAACGTGTGCTAAAACAAACTCATACGCTTGAGATATAACTGATCGGGCTTGAGCACCACCAGTAGAAACATTATTGATCCGACGAATATAATCTAAATAAAACTTCCAGAGATCAACGCTTAAAACTGATCTTAAACACCGTGAAAAAATTGTTTCTACACGAATGAATTCATTGTTTGTTAACTCCATGTCTGCATAATCAATCCATTGTTGTGCCTATTCATTTTATTTAAAATCAATAAAAAATCCTATAATAAAATACTGCTGTAGGAAAAACTTTGAGAAACCGCTCATATACATTCCTAGCCTCTTCAATCTTGTTTTTATCTTGATGTTCCTTAATTAATTTCAGCCATGATGATGCATCTTTATCATCCATAGCAATCAAATCTTCTAATTGACCAACACGATCTTGAGACAACCGTTTTCTTTTGTTTGTTTTTAAGGATGATATGTTTTGTAATGAATCTGACTCTGATGTTATCTTATTATTCATAAAATCTTCTCTTTTTTCTTTTTTTTCTGATTTCTCACTATTTTCATGATTCATATATCTTTCTGAAAAATTACTACTATTCATCCGTTTTTTCTCGTTCAAAAGAGAATCCTCAGAAATTAGTTCCTCCGAATTCATTAGAGTGGCTTCTTTTTCTTTTTTTTCTGAAATATTATCCTCCATTTTGATTTTTTGATTTTATTTTTTTTTGACGTCCTAGAGTTCAATCCGTTCTCGATAACCCTAAACCTTAAATAAAAAATATTATAGGAATCTATCTATGTTTAAATTTTTATTTACTCTGAGCAGAAGTATTAAGCCAGTTAATTTATTAAGAATGTCTGAAGAAGTCAAAAAACAGGCAATTAAGCCGTTTTTTTCTTAAGAAAAATAAGAATAACAGGGTAAATAGGTTGAATCATTAATCTCTGAACACCATGTAATGGTTTTTTCTAAAACTTATTGGTAATGCATTTTTTAGAAAAAAAAGAGCTGTTTTTAAACGATATATTTAGTTCGTATTGCTCTAATACGAAAAGAATACTAGAGGAAGAGTGCATTGATTTCTACGCTTTAGAACTGGATAAAATTGGTGATTTTGAGATTATCTAGAAGTAAAATAGTTAATATAAGTTAATAGACAATGGAAATGAAATCCAGGGATTCTTATTTGAAAAGACGTCTCAAAGAACAGTGCCTAATATTTTTATTGGAGGAAAACATATTGGGGGTAATTCAGATTTAGAAGCTCTTAGGACTAAAGGCGAATTAAAGTTATATCTTAAATAGGAAATATTTTATATATTGATTTTGTTTATGTATCTCGAGTTTTATATATATAAGTTATTATTGTGATTTTTTTGTTTTTAAACGAGAAGTTCCGGTCATTTCTTCGGGTACTTCTATTCCCATTAAAGTTAATATAGTTGGTGCAACGTCACATAATGCTCCTATTTCTTCTTGAAGTGTATATTTTTCGCTACACAGAATAAAAGGAACATGGTTACAAGTATGTGATGTAAGAGGATTACCATCTTCATCGATCATGACTTCAGCATTTCCATGATCAGCAGTGATCTATATTTTAATTATGAATGTTTATCTTTTTAATGAGATAATTACCAGTAATATATATCCTTCTTTTTTACATGTATTATAAATAGTTCCGATAGCTCTATCAGTATGTTCAACTGCTTCGACAGTAGCATCATATACACCTGTCTAATTTTGTTAATAGTAAAAGGAAAAGAGATGAGCTTAAAATTTACATGACCAACCCTATTTAGAAATTAATTCAATATGTAAAAATACTAAAAATGACTTACATATCTGGAGGAGCCTAGTAAAATCCATATATTAGTAATATAAAACTTAATATGTTATCAACTTACTAGATTACACATAATAAAGGGGTACTTATTTTCGGTAATTCTTTCAGAAATTTTTTGGGCTACACCGTCAACACTCATTTTAGGATCTTTATCATATGTAGACACTTTAGGTGATGGAACCATATCGCGTTGCTCTCCTTCGAATTGCTTTTCAACACCTCCATTAAAGAAAAATGTTACATGTGCATATTTTTCCGTTTCTTATATAATTAAATATAAATAAATGAAAAATGATCATACCTGCAACATGAGACTGTAATATTCCTTTTTTTGATAACCATTCAGCTAAAACATTATCCATTTTTTGAGGAGGAAAGGCAACAGGAAATGGATAATCTACTTTGTATTGTGTCATTGTTGTAATGCTAAGATTTTTTGGGATTTGGAGAGATGTTAAAGTTGAATCTACACCCAATACTTGTGTAATTTGTCGAACTCTATCTGATCTATAATTAAAAAAGAAGAGAGTATCTCCATCTTCAAATATTAAAACAAATTTTATTTTGTTTATTTTATCATACCTGAAATACATCCCTTTTTATTAACAATGATAGGTTTTAAAAATTCATCTGTTTCATTCTTTTGATATCGTCTATTAATTACATTTATTACATCGCTATCTTCTTCTCCTATACCATAAATTATTCCTTCTAAGGCAATTGTAATTCTTTCCCAGCGTTTATCTCGATCCATTGCGTAGTAACGGCCTACTATAGTAGCAAGCTCTCCAATACCAAGATCTTTTATTTTATTCATAAGCTGTTCTACATACTTAATGCTTGATAATGGGCTCGTGTCCCTTCCATCGCTAAAAAAATGGATATAAACTTCTTTTAATCCTATTTCTTTTGCTGTTTCTAGAAGATGGAAAAGATGGTTTATATGAGAATGAACACCTCCATCAGAAACCTTATGAATCTAATTAAAACAACTTGCATATAAATATTTATTCTTTAAAAAATTACCAATCCCAAAATATGAAATCGCCCATTTCCTGCTTTAGAACGTTCCATTGAAGAAACTATGGCTTCTACCTGAATAAAACCCTTGTTTTTCACTGTCTTATCAATCCTAACTAAATCTTGCCATACAATACGCCCTGCTCCTATATTTAAATGGCCTACTTCTGAATTTCCTGATTCAATATTAACCTTAAATATATAATATATTCCTTAAAAACAACCCATCAAACCCTCTGTAAGACCTACTGCATTTCCATGAGCCTTAAGCTCCATAGAACTGTATTTTTTCATTAGACTACTCATGATTGGTATATTTGCTGCCGAAATTGCATCTTCTTTGCTATTTTTTTTTGGATTAATCCCTATGTTTATTAAATTTACTTCTTTTTTTTCAGAAAAAAAAACCCCATCCATCAATACATATAAGACAAACTAAAATATAATAAATTTATGGATTATTTTTGCTCTGATCTTACCTTTCTCGAGAGGCTTGGCCATGATTTTTTTAATCCGGGTTAATGTTCGTTTTTTAACTTTTGATAAAATTATTAACTGTAAATTATTGTTTATTAAGAAATATTAAGTTTTTTTAAAATTTTTTACTAAAAATTTTTTTAAAATTAATATTTTTTTATGGATATTTCAGATACTGATTTAATTCCTCAAATTGTTCAGATTTTAAAGACTACAAAAAAAGATGATTTAAAGGAATTCAATAAAGAAGTAAAGGTTAACTACCTTCATTATTTGGATATAAATATTTTTAGGTTACAAAACTCTATCAGAAAGTGTCAAATATTCGAAAAATGATTGAATCTCTTCCTGGTAAAGATTTGAGTATTTTAGATCAAGAAGGAGTAATTAAACGTTTAGAAAAACAAATTTCTATGCAAAAGTAGGACAAAAGATTCTTATATTTCTTTTTAATATTGCTTTTTAGGAAGTTATTGTCAGAAATAAACATGAAAGAATAATATCATTTATAATTATCAAATGAAATGATATGAAAATAATAGGTTTTAGGAGTTAAAAAAATGAATATTTGTTCTCTTTTATCTATAAAAATATATTTAAATATGTTTGTATTAATATACATATATATGTATTCGATACCTAGTACAGAGGGTAAATTTACGACTAACTAATGATTTGCACATTATCAGTCTTATTTTTTCTTTAAAGTCTATATTAGAAACAATAATCTAATATATTTCTTTATTGATGAAAAATTTAGATTGTATTGAGTAACTTTTTATTGAACATTTTTTTAAAAAAAAATAGAAAAGAAGGGAGCAAAAGTCCTCCTGATTATAGGCGAAGCATTTTTTATATTCAGAAATATGTTTTTATGTATTTTTTAAAAATCATTTATTAACGTCCTTTGAGACTTGAACGATCTTTTGATAACCGCTGACTTTTAAAAAACATATAAATTCAAGGTTTTCTCTCAATTCTGGATTTTAAAGATGATTATTTCGAGGATATCATATATTGTGGTATGGAGTTTGTGTTTTTGATCTTCTTTTTGAAAAAAGTTAATTATTTTTTCAGTCTACTCCTTTGAAAAGACCTATAAAGATTATGCCTTATGTATTAGGATATCGCTTTTATGCCTCTGGAACTAAAGAATATGACATAGCGGTTATTGGAGGCGGGCCAGGTGGATATGTTGCAGCAATTAAAGCGGCGCAGTATGGATTAAAAACAGTATGTATTGAAAAACGAGGAACACTTGGAGGAACATGTTTAAATGTTGGTTGTATTCCATCAAAATCATTGTTGAATAATTCGCATCTTTTTCATAAAATAAAACATGATACTAAAGATAGAGGAATTGATGGTTGAAGAAGGAAATAGCATATTTATTTTATTAAATGTTTTTATAGTTTCTGATGTAAAATTAAATTTGGAAAATATGATGAAGTCAAAAAATAATACAGTAGATGCTTTGACTAAAGGGATCGAACATCTTTTTAAGAAAAATGGAGTTGAATATATTAAGGGTGTAGGGAAATTTTTAAATCAAAACGAAATAGATGTTAAAGGAGTTTATGGACACAAAGATCAAGTTCTCAAAGCGAAAAATATAATAATTGCTACGGGTTCAGAGCCTACTGTTCTTCCTGGTATTGAAATAGATGAAAAAATTATTGTTTCTAGTACAGGTGCATTGTCTTTAGAAAAAGTTCCAGAAAAGATGATTGTGATCGGAGGAGGGATTATTGGACTTGAAATGGTAAATGGTTTTTTAAGATATTTCTTTATTGTTTTTTTAAAAATAGTTTAGGGTTCAGTATGGTCTCGCTTAGGTTCTGAGGTTACTGTTGTAGAATATGAAAATTTTATAGGGGCAGGAATGGATGAAGAGATTTCTAAACAGTTTACAAGTATAATTAAAAAGCAAGGATTAACATTAAAAGTTGGTACAAAAGTTTTAGGTGGTACTGTTGAAGGAGATAAAGCTAAAATAGATATTCAAGTTTTAAAGGATGGTAAAAAGGAAATTGTATAATTATTTTAGTAATTTAGAATACGCATTTATTACTTTTAGTTGGATGCTAATGTTGTTCTTGTTGCTATTGGAAGGAGACCATATACTGAAGGACTTGGCTTGGAAAATATTGGAATAGATGTAGATGAAAAAGGACGTATTGTTATCGATTCAGAATATCGTACCAAGATTCCTCATATTCGTGTTATTGGTGATGTTACTTTTGGTGCAATGCTTGCACATAAAGCGGAAGAAGAGGGTATTGCAGTCGTAGAATATATTAAATATGGACGTGGCCATGTTAATTATAATGCAATTCCTTCTGTTATGTATACGTATCCTGAAGTTGCATGGGTAAGCATTATATTTTTTGCTAAAATATTATAATTACTATTTAGGTTGGGCAAACAGAACAACAGGTCAAAAAGTTGGGAATTAAATATACAATTGGAAAGTTTCCATTTATTGCGAATTCTAGAGCGAAAACAAATGTTGAGACAGATGGATTAGTTAAGTTTATTACAGATACAGAGACTGATCGTATTCTTGGAATTCATATTATAGGTGTAAGTTTATAATTATTTTTTTCACTACTTCTCTTAAGCCATTTTATACAGCCAAATGCTGGAGAAATGATTGCAGAAGGTGTATTAGCTATAGAATATGGTGCAAGTGCTGAAGATATTGCTCGAACGTAAGAAATACTATAAATATTTTTCTATACTAATAAAATAGTACGCATGCACATCCAACATTATCTGAAGCATTTAAAGAAGCTGCTTTAACTGCTTGGTCAGGAAAAGCGATTCATTTTTGATTTCTTAAGCTGTTGTATAAAATAATTTAATAAATTCTATATTTGAAATATATATTTTCGAGTAATTATTTTTTTTACATCTTTAAAGATCATTTTCTTTGGTTTTTAATATTATAAAATTGATTGTATAATTTAAGAGTTTATTTTTATCTTCAAAAAAGTTTTCTTATAAAAATTGGGAAATCAAGTATTATTTAAATGGTTTTTTATAAAGGTAGCTGCTTAATGAATGAAGAAAGCAGTGAATATCTAGGGCTAGACACTGTAAGACTTCCTAATAGTTGCCAGACTTATCAAATAGTTGAGTTAGAGTGTTGTGAATGATTTTGAAGAAAAAGATGTTTCTTATTTATTAAAAAATAAACATATTTTTTCGGAAAAAAAGGAACAAATAACAAGGTCTTTATCTTTAAATGATTTAAAACATGTCTACGAAACTTTTTATTTTTCTCAAGTGGCTAGAAATATGAATTATTATAGATCATTAGTATGGAGTAATGAAATGGAAAAATCAATACAAAATCAACAAGATCTCCATTTCAGGTATATTTTTTTATAATTATATTAATAGTATTTAGTTTTTTTAGGCTTTTTAAAAAAGAATATCTTGAAAAAATCTCAATATGTGAAGATCTTATAACACATGTTTCAAAAATGTTTGAAAAATTAAGAGTAATAAACATTGATTTAAAAAAATCCTATGAAAATAGTCATGTTTTTAGAAATAATTATGAGAAACTTGAAAAAGAAAAGGTTTGTTGTATTTTTATAAGGTTGATATATATTGATTACTTATAGCAAAATGCTATATTATTAAAAGATCAAATTAGACAGAATCTTGAAGCGTATTGTTCTCTTGATGTAATTTATAAGTTATTGAATACATCTGGCGTTGAGCTTATTACAAAACCTGAGTTTTTTGATATGCTTAAAAAATTGGATAAAGGTTCGCAAATGATGAAAGAACATGTATTTTATATATCTTTTTTTAAATTTCTTATTTTTGATTATTCTATTAGCCTGAATTCAAGAATTCTTGGATTTATAGAGAAAAATTTGAACAATGTTTAACAAAGGCTATGACATTGATTTGTGTTTTTTTTGTACAGGTGATAAAGGAATTAAATGAGGGAATCAATGAGGATTTTTCTTTTAAGGTTTTCCTTCAAATTTTTATATATTTTTTATTAAAAAGAAATAAGGTATCTAATAATATTAACCAAACTGCATTTTTATATACAAAATTTCGTGTTCGTGCTATTGAATTAAGGCCATATATTAAAGAAATAGAGGAAAGAATCAAAGATCATAACGAGTATCTTTATAACAATATAATATATAAAATTCTTATATAAAAATTAGATATAACGTAATGATTAATGATTGTCAAAAATTTTACTTTGGAATAAGGTATAAATTGGTTAAACCAATTATTTCTCAGAAATTAAATGAACTATCAAATGAAAATATTATTCGATTTGTAAGGATTATATATTGATTTATCTTATTTTAATTTATTATAGTCTAGAATAAGTATTGCATTTTTTACTGGTCTGTGTTTTGATGAGTTTTCTCTTTTTCGAGATTTTTTTCAAAATGATGATTCAAAATTTTAGTATAAATTTCTATTATATATTTTTTTATGTTTAATAATAATAGTTCTTATTCTCAAAAATTATTTGAGCCTATATCTACTTATTTACAATCAAATTTATTCAAAGAGACAAATTTATCGCTACTTTGTGAGGTTTGTTCTGTTTTTAAAGTAAAAATATCTGAAGATAGTGAAAATGGTTTCTAATTTACTTAAATTGAATGAAAATTAAAATTATTTAGAAAATTCGTTAGATATCGGTCAAGATTGTTATAAGATAGATTATTCAGTCATATTTAATGAAATTATTCAACATATTCAATCATTTATTGTAGTTCAAGTTCGAAATGTAGCTAAATTAGAAATTCAGAATTTTATTCCCTCTAAAAATGCTTTTAATTTTTCCAAAACTTTAGAAAAGAGAGATCAATCGGATTCATTATTAACCAAGGTTTCTGATGTTTCAAAAGAAGAATTATATGACAGTGATTTGGTTATTAGATGGTATCCTACATTAAATAAAACAATTTCATTGTTGTCAAAAATATATCCTTTATTGAATGTAAGAATTTAATTATTTTTTACATTAATTAACTTTTTAGACAAAATCTTTTAATACTGTTGCTTATGATATCGTTAATATTTGTATTTCTTCACTTAGTCATGGATCACAAGTACAAACAGATATTTCTATGAGAGATCGTCAACTTTTTCTTGTAAAGCATTTATTGATATTGAGGAATCAAATATTGGAATTTAATATAGATTTTTTTCATTTTGAAAAAGATGTAAATATTGATACTGCAAATATTAGTTCTTGGGATGTTTATAATAAACTTCGATTATTTAATCCATTAGAACTCTATAAATCTGCATGGAGTAAAATTTCAGGATTTTCATCTACTGAAAGAGATATATATAATGTTTTCCTTGACATTATTTTGTCTAATATTTGCTTATTGTTTTTTAGAAATTCAATACTCTTCTTCAAACAGCTATTAATGCTTCTATTGAACATTCCTTAAAACCTTTTATAGAACCTATTCAGAAAATAAGGAAGATCAAGAAACTATCTAACGATTCTATTGAAGCAATAATTAATGAATCCCTTATATCTATTGAGAAAGAAGCACCTCTTCTCAGGATTACTTTTTTAAGTTATATTGAAGATTCACAAATTATACATATTTTTTTTATCGATATTATAGATAAGTTTTCAAAAGAATTAGGTGATATAGGGAAATGTCTTTCTCCTGAATATTTAACAACTTGGTCTCAAACCGATCAACTGATATCATGTTTAAGTCGTCTTCTATTAAATAATAATTCTTCGGAAAAAGTTTCAAAAACTGCTCATCAAGACATTATTATGATTCATTAATATATATATATATAACATTTTTAAAATTAAGTTTTTTAATCGACTTGGATATTTTGAAAAAATTTTAAGGTTTATGAAAATCCGATTTTTTTATAGGATTTAATATAAACACAGGTCCGGATAAGCATGACATTTGATTTTGAGTTTTCACATTTTCCATCTATTGCAGCAATTCCTTCTTCTCGGTCTAGTGTTATTCAACATTTGATTGATGGTGTTGATCGATATAATCCTCAAAACGCACCTTTATTAGAGGAATATTTAATGCAACAATGTCAGGATGGAGCTTATGATTGTTTAGCAAATCTTGCTATATTAAAATTGTTAGTAAAATATCGTTTTTTGATTCCTAATAAACTGATGAAATAAATATATAAAAATGATAAAAATATTCTTTAAAATGAAGAAAATGAGTATTAGCTCTATCTGATGTTTTATTAGGAATCTAAACGAAGCTTTTTATTTGTTTGTTTTTCTTATTTCTTTATATAGATATCAATTTAATCCTCATCTTTCAAAGGATGAAGTTATTACGAATATTCTTGTTAAAGCATTGACGGTTTTCACACAACCTGATTTTTCTGTATGTTTACATTTATTACATCCTTCTGTTCTTCTTCCAAGAGAGGTTTTTATAGGAGATTCTTTACATGAAATCGTACAGAAGTTACACACACTATATCTTCTTTTAGATGCAGCAAAATATAAGGAGTTCTGGCAGTTAATTGATAATGATGATCTTTATGCTGATATGATTGCGGATTGCATTGGATTTGAAGATACAATTAGGCTAGGCATTGCAAAAGTTATTTCACAAACAATGAAGGAAGTTAAACTTGATATTTTGGAAGAATGGATTAATCTTCATGATGAAAAATTGAAAATATGGATTCATGATGTATTTCATTGGGAAATTGTTGGTGAAATAGTAAAATTACCGGAAAACAAGGATAATATTCTATTAAGTAAAGCTACATCTGAAAAAATTCCTTTTACAGACTTATATCAATTGTTGAAGTGAATTCAATTTTAATGATATAAAATAAATATTTTAGAAGAAAAAAATATATTTTTGGGACTCTAGAGGTTTTTATTCGTTTGATAGATTTAAACGCTGGTTTTGATTAATTATATTTTCCACGAAAAAAGCATGATTCTTTTAAAGCTTTTTTTGATATAAGTTTGAAAAAATGGAATGGAGTATGTAAAATTTCAAAATTTGAAATGACTAATAAAGTTATTTGTGTTTAAAAAAATGTTGGTAAAAGAAAAATAAATTATATATTATAAATTAAAATTTCTATTTATCCTTTTATTATTTCTTTTTAAAAAGTTATTTTGAAATTATATATATGATAATAAATATAATGTAATGATTTTTTTAAAGTAAAATTATATTTAGATTTTAAAAATTTAGATGAAAGAAATATTTAATTATATCTTTATGAAAAATTTTTAATTCTTTTAGAAAAATGTTTATTTCATAATTATTATAAATATTTATATAAATTATTTTTAAAAATTTTAATGTTTTTATATTTTATGAAATGTTGGAATTTTATTAATTTAAATTGTTACATGTTCATTTTGTTTGATATTAATAATATTAAATATTTTTTGGAATACTTAAAATTTCTAATACTTTTTTATAATCCCATATAAATATCTCCTTATCTCTTGAATTTAATATTTCACTATTTTTCAAATATTTTTCTATAAAATATTTAATGCCTACAATTAAAGAAGGATTTGATGAAAGTTTTTCAAAAATTTTCTGAATTGATGTTACACTTTGAATATTAGATCTTTTTTGTGTTTCTTGAATCAATGTACAAAAAAAAATTTCCAAAAATGTTTTCGTTTTAGACTGAAGATGAAAGAAATTAAGTTTCTATTAATCAAATTAAATATTAATAATCATAGAAATATTCTTACTTTAAAAATTGCCAAATCAAGTCCATCGTTAACTACTAAAAAGCCATATAGCCTTCCTAAATTTACAATATATCTTAATGAGATATTTTCCGTGTTCTCAGTATTAGTATTTCCTATCACTTGAATATCTTTTTCCCCTAAAGATCGAAATAAATCCCATAAACAAAACTTAAAAGCTGTACGTAAAAAACTCATTCTCACGCAAAATCTAAGTGCAATATAAGCATAATAAGGATTATAGTTTCGTTCGTTTCCGCAACAATGAAGTAATACTCTCGGTATCTCTAGTTTTTGTACTTTTTTTAGTCTTAGTTTTAAAAGTTTTTCATATGCATCTACAAAATCCTTTTTAAAAATTAAATTAATTTTATAATTTTCTTTAAAACAACCTCTCCACTCATTAATGTAATAAAAATGGATTTACGAATATCTGTATTCATCCTTTGCAATTGTGCTAAAGTAAGAAGTTCTGTTTCTTTTTTTTCGTAGAAACTATTTACAGATATAGGTGTCTTTCTTTTTTCTTCTTTTCTAGAAGATGACCCTGCATGCCACCATTTACCATTCTCATCCATGGATTCAATGTCTGATAATGAAATTTTTAAAGGTTCAAAATTCCTATTAGAATTTCGATTAGATAATGTTCCTAAGAATTTTTTCATTCGAACTATTGCTTCTCGTGTCATAATACTAGGGATATCTTTAATTTTGTTATTTTTTAAGTTATCAATGGATTCAATCATAAATTTTGTTCTTGTACTATCACTTATTAAAAACAAAAATGTATAGATATCTTTTCTGCATACTTTAGAACAACATCAGTCTCTGAAATTTTCCGATGAATAATAATAATAATATCTTTTAAAGATGATGGATCGTCACAACGTAATTGACTTCCAGAATCTATATTATAAACATTAAGAATTAAAATATATAAAACCTACTCAAGATAATCTTTAGTAGTAATTCTGTATTTAGATCTGTTATTTCTTTCAAAAACAATTTTATTAAATCATATACGAAAGTACATGAAATAACTTGGAAATTATATAACTCACTTAAAACAATAATTAAATTAATGCATTCCTTATCATAAGATATATTTGTATCAATATTTTCTTTCTTTGAGTTTTCTTTTGAGTAGAATTCATTAAAAGTCTTAATAAGTTTTTGAAGAAAAAATGCTCCAAAATCTATCCCAATTATCTTATATAAAGCCGTAATAAATCCTGAATGCAGTACTAAATATGTTTCTTTTAATGTTGTTTGAGATGTTATATTTTTTAATAACAATGTTATTAGTTCTAAATTAACATAATGACGAGGATTTGAACTATATAGATTCTCGATTTCATTTAAAATTGATAGCATATTTGATTCAGTCAATCTTTTTAGAAATGAGAAAAAACATTGCATTTCCACAATTTTTTAAATTTACCTGTTTAATAATCCTTTGATTTTTCTTTTTAAATGAATAGTAAACTCGTTATTATTTTTATCATCTTTTAAAATTTTGTTTTTCGTTATAGATATACCATTTCCTACAGGAGCAATATAAGGATTTTCCTTGTTCTTTTTCACTAAAATAGCCCCATTTTCTCTATCTAAATTTGATTTGTTTTCTTTATCTTCAATAAATAGCTCTTCTTTATTTATATTTGTCTTATTTTTAACTTCACTATTACATAATACTGATGAATCTTCCATAAACTTAACACGTTTTGTTTTCTTTCTATCTATATAGTTCAAATCTTCAAGAAGATAGTCTAATTCATCTTTTTTGTTTTTTCTATTTATATTTTGGTTTTTACGTTTTAATTTTTTCTCCAAATATTCAATAACATCATCCTCTGCATCGTAACAACCCTTATACTTCATATTTATTGTTTTTTCCCTTTTTTTTCCTGAATATTTTTTTAAATCTTCTTCACTTAGATTTTCATTTTTAATTTTAATTATTGTTTTATTCTTTTATAAAATTATAAACTTAAAAATAGATATTCATTCTAAATACCATTTGCATGTCTTCATTTTCTTCTTTTTTCCCTTGTTTTCCTTTTTTTTTTGTCTTTTTATCTCTCATTTTTCTATATTTAAATTTTATCTGGTTTAGAAACAATAAATAGATAAATAGATAATTCTAGAATTCGTCATTCAATACAGGTTAATATTGTTCTTCAATAAACTTATATATTCTTGTATATCTATAACTTGTACAGTCTCCCGTTATTAAAAAATTTTGTAGAATGTTATTATCAAATGAAGAGGTAATATTATTTAATACTTATAGATAAGATAATAATCTGATGTCTTCTTATAAGTATTTGAATTCATTAAGTTTGCTTTTTTCCTCTGAAAAAGGAAAAGGAACTGTTTTTTTAACTCAAAAACGATGTGAGTCATGTTAAGGGGTCAATGTTATAAATAATAAGACTAGATTCATACAAAGATGAGAGAGATCCTTCACCAGTTGAGGGGGAATCTTGTGATATATCCTGTCTAACATATAAACTTCTCTTCAGAGCTACTGATGGTAAAAAAACGAAAATTTCAACTTTGGTAGATACATCTTTTTTAATACCATTTTTTTCAAGATATATGGAGATATGTAAGTCTGGAATGAGATGTTTAAAGAAACGTGATAGAAAAAAACAAAAAGCTAAGAAGAATAAAGTGGTAGATTCAAAATTATAATATTTTTATTGTTATTTTATTAAATTATCAGAAAAGTATTATAAAAAAGTTAACTGATCTTTTTTTCATTAGTATTTGTTAATTTTTGAGAGAATTGCTGTATATTATTATTATATATATGAGTGAGATTTTCTGCTCGAAAATAGGGTTCACGTTAACATCAAGAACCGGTTGAAAGAGAAAGCTTTAAAAATGAGCCATGTTCCTCTAACAAAGGCACATAAAGAAGCTATTAAGAAGCTTTTAGATGTTCTTTATAATGCAGTTGATAGTAGGTATGAAAAAAAAAAAAAAAAACGAAAAAAAACAGTTAATTTATGTTTAATATTAGTGGACGATCAATATCTAAGATATTTGAGGAATTGCCAGATAAAAAGGAAGTTCCGGACTATTATGAAGTAATTAAGAAACCCATGGCATTGAATGTTATCAAAGTATTCCATTATGGACTGAAAAAATAATAATAGTAATGATGGATAGGAAAATGTGAATAAAAATTTATATAATGTATTTCATGAGTTTATAACGGATGTTGCGCAAATATACTATAATGCTAAGTTATATAATCGTCGTTCTTCAGTGATTTACTCGGATGCTTGTTTAAATGAAGTAATTTTAATATTATTTGAGTCGAAAGTGTTTATAAGGTTATAGATGATTATTGCCAAAGAACTTTCAGTTTTAAAGGATAAGAATCTTGTGGATGATAGTATACTTCCGGTTCTTGGTCCGTTACCTCCAAGTTCTCAAGGAGAAGAGAAATCGGATGATGATGGGTTTGATCCTGATATTGAAGATAAAAATGAAGAAGACGATGATGATGATGATGAAGCTCGTCATAAAAGGAGAAGAAAGGAAGTTAAAATCAAACCTTATGAGCCGACTAAAGCAATGAGGTTTGATATAGGTGATATAAAAAGAAAAAGAGGGCGACCACCAAAAGTAGATACACCAGATGAAGCAAGAATGAAAATTATCTTACGTGTAATTCGAAAAGAAAAAGATGAAAGGTATACGAGTTTTATTTTTTTTATAAAAGAACTAAAATCAAAAGGGGGCGTACTTTATTTACATGGTTTGAGAAATTTCCTGATGATAAATTTAGTCAAATAAATAAGATTAAGCAAACTATATCGTTGGAAGATATTAGGGTATATTGTTATTTTTATTATTATTATTAATTTGTTTAGCAAAAATTAAAAAGAAGAGAATATAAGACTCTTAAGAATTTTTTGGATGACTTAGATTTATTATATAATAATGTGAAACTTATAAGTCCCCCTGGAAGTAATATGTACCGTGATGCGGATTTTTTGCAAGTTAATTACTTACATTTTATCTTTTTAGCTATCTAATGGTATTAGCAAGTTACTCATGAAGTAGCTTCAATTGAAGCCTCTAGAAGAGATATTGATTTCACAGGATATAAAAAAGATCCGACTTCTAGTATAGGCACGTTAATTAAAGTTAATCGTACACCTTTGCCTAAAATTGAAGTTAAGGGTGAGATTTTAGAAGTTGGTTAGTTTTTTTTTAATAAATATATGCATATTTAATGATATGTTATTAGGTGACTGGATTCATTTAGTAAATCATAATGATGTTAATAAACCAATTATTGCTCAAATATTTAATTTATGGGAAAATTTGGAGTATGTATATATTGATTTTATGTTTATAGAATTTAAAATTATCTATTAGAGGAGAAAAATGGATAAGCGTTTGTTGGTATTATAGGCCAGAACAAACGGTTCATAGAGCAGATCGAATATTTTATGAAAATGAAGTTTTTAAAACTGGTCAATATCGTGACCATCAAATTAATGATATTATTGATAAATGTTTTGTTATGTTTATTACTAAATATATAAGAGGGAGGCCTAAAGATGCAGGAAACAAGTCAATTTATGTTTGTGAATTTCGATATGATGAAGAAACAAAAGTTTTTCATAAAATTAAGAGCTGGAGAGCATGTATTCCTGATGAAATTAGAAATAAAGAATATGATATGTATTGTTTTGAAAGACAGCAGCAACCAAAAAGGACACTTAGTCCTATTTTACATCTTTTGCCATCAAAAGTAATAGAGGATCCTAATGCACCTATACCTGAACCAACTCAAGGTAAAGAAAATGCTCCTCCTATTATTGGTGCAATAATTCCTGCTCCAATACCGGATGAATCTACACTTAATGTATGGTTTTTCTGTGATTTTAAAAATTGCTAATTTTTATAGCCTCCTGAAATCTTCATGCCTTCAGTAGTATCTGCATCTATAATTCCACAAAAACCTATTATTCCATCTCTAGTAACGCAGACACATGCATCTGTAGCGATTAGTCCAAATAGTCAGTCTCAAACTAGTCGTAAAGTACATATTCCATATTATCCTCCTGTCGCTTTTACATTACCTGTATCAAATTTAATTTCTAAAAATGATATAGAAAATCCTGTAGATAAAAATAATGAGGGTATTAATGGAGATATGGACATAAATATAAGAGAAGAAATTGATGAAGATGAAATTGAAAGAAATGAAAATGATAATTTGGAAATCGAAAATGGGGATAAAATTGAAAATGTTAAAGGTATGAGAAAAAGTAACAATTTTTCAGATGAAGTAGCTGCACTTTTTTCTCAAGACGAACAAGGTCGAGTATTATGGTTTCCTGTTCCTCCAATAGATGTTGTTGCGCCGGCAGTAGATACATTTGTTAAAGGTAGAAGTCTTGCATATTTAGCAAATGTTGACAATATGATGGAAAAATATAAGAAAGATTCAGAGGAAGAAAAAGAACAAAAGACTAATATTATCAAAACGTCAGATGATTCTGAATTTTCAGGATTTCTTATTGCTGCATTAGATAAGATGACACAAAATATAAAATCTAGCATTTATTGAATTTTGGAAAAGATATCGATCTCTATTTTTTTATAATAATACTTAATTTTTGTAATTCATGTTATTATATTTAATATTTGATGCAAATATAATACGGTTTAATGTTTTCTTGCTAAAAAATAATTATCAATTATGTGAATCTTGAAAAATGCATATTTATTTGTGGTATATACATTAAGTTGTAATGATATAAATATTTATTTAAATATTGAAAAAAAATTATGTTGATAAAAAAATATTTTGTTATTTTAATTATATTTTGATATTCTATAATGATTATATAAACAATATTTTCAAAAATACGAATATATTATATGCTTACTCTTCATAAATCAAAATAGAAGAATAAACATTTACTATTTCACACTCATACATTGGTCATTCCAGCCTAAAGCTTTCAATTCAGACCTTAATCGGCCTTCTGTAGCTATTTTCTCTATTTGTGTATCTTCTAGTTTATTTCCTTTTTCCTGTTGTGTTTTTAATTTTTCAATAGCTCGTAATTTTTTAAGTAATGAACGAATTTTTTTATTTTCATTATCTAAAGAATTTTCAATAACGTGTGGCGGTTCCAAATTTGAGGTAATGGACTGAGAAGATATACCATTTGTACTTTGTACATCAATGACTTTCGATTCTTTAGCTTTTTTTGCTGCATCCCTTCTTTTTTTATTTTTTAAAGCTGCTTTACTAGAACCTTGAGTTTGAATTGAGGGATTTGCTCCAGGTATAAATGGATCTGTAGTTGTTTTATGTTTTATTTCTTGAGAACTAATGATCATAATTTTTTCATCTTCTCTTTTATATTCTTTAGGTGTTGCAGTAGAACGAGCATGTGGGGGCCTATACGCCCCTACTGACTTGAGTGGTGTCTTATTGGCAACGAGCGAAGCAGAAGAATGTGGTTTAGGTACAGGAGAAAGAGATGAACGAAGTGGATAAATCTCTGGATTTTGTGGTTGCCAAAAAACCTGTATATTGGTTAAATATTGAAGTTTGGATGAGCTAGATACTTCATAAAGTTCATTTATTTCCTCACTGTACATCAAGGCGCCACTATAGTGCCATATTTTAATTCCATTGTCTACTCTTAATCTTGGACTAGTTATTCCAGTCAAAATATGTCTACCATCAGGACTCCATTCACAAACTGTACTGTTACTAGCTTCTATAGTTGTTATTTTTTTCATTTCCTTTTCTTTATCATAGATATCAATTGTTCCTTTTAAATTTCCAAAACCTGCTACTAAAACAAAACGATCATGAGGAGAAAATAATATTGTATTACGAGGTGAAAGTGGTAAAGAATATATGATATTAGCCTGGTTATCAAAAATTGTAGTTTTAGAAGGCATATCTTTATTTGATTAGTTTATTAGAAATAGTTTAGTTATTAAACCATACATCCATATACTACTCCAAACTCACGTGAATTTGGAGACCATGTTATATCATGAATAGGACCTTCTTTGTCTTGTAATAGTTAGATAAGTATTATCTTGATGTTCTTTAATACCGAGATTAATTCTGGAATCATAATTTCTGATTGCACTTAGAATGTACATATTTGTTTCCCCGTAATAATTTTTATTTGTTTTATCTACATCTGTAGATGTTGAAATAATTAATGTAGTTCCTATTTTATTCCATTTCATTTGGACATTGTCTGCTTTATAAAATGCTTTTTGACTAATAACAAAAGAAAATGTTGGAATATTATAAATTGAGACGGTTGCTGGTGTTCCCTAATTTATATAATTTAAAGGGATCTTTTATAAAATAAGAAAATTTACTTTCATCTCCGGAATAAATACTGCAATAACATTGTTTCTTCCTGGTGACAATGAAAATGAAGATACTCCATTAGCATGTAATCTATATATAGGACCTATAAAGTGTTAAATAGTTTGTTCAATATTTCTTTTAAAACCACCTTTTTCCATATTTGCCGATTCGAAGAACTGGATTTCATTTGTCACTTTGCGTGCACAAAGTTTCCCATCTGTTGTATATTGTAAATTCCTGTAATAGACTTTTAAGCTTAAATAAATTAGATAAATTGCAAACTACCATATTTGACTTTTTTGAACAAACGAACAAAGCTTCTGTCCTGTATTTATTTTCCATATTTTAAGATTTTTATTAGCAGATCCATCTTCTGCCTTGGCTAAAATTATTAATATTTCTTTGAATTTTAAAAAAGATAAAATTACACGGCCTTTCCCACGTAACAATAAAATTACTTTTTGGCGACAATTTTATTTCACATACCTTAGGAATTTCTAAGATTCTGACTAATTCTCCTGTAGATGTATCGATAATTTTAACACTTCAATATTAAACATTAATATCAAAAAATTATCAAAAAAAATTACTCTTGTAATGATGACCAAGCAAAAAAACGTCCATCTTGTCCATAACAACATGAAACCGTATTTTTTTCAGGTCTCATATATATTTTAAAAATAGATTTATCATTTATACTTTCTTATTACCTATCGAAACCTGGTAAAGGTGTATATAAAGGATGTCCAATTGTTAAGCTAATATATTGAGCTGTTCTACCTAGAAATAATAAGTTATTTGTCTTATCTATAAAGAAATACTTCATTTACAAGCAAATTGTGTAAAAACCATTGAATTTTGTTTTTTTTTTTTTTTGATATTTTACGATGTGATCATTAGACCTTATTCAAGGTAAAAACTGGAAGATAGAAATTATATACAAAATATATTTCAAATAAATTGTTTTTATTAAGGATAATACATATATTGAATTTATTGTTTGGAGAATTTTTACTTTGTTAAATTGTTCTAGAAGATTTTTGAAAAGAAATTGTATTATGTATATTATTAATATTAGAAAATTAAAAGACCAGATGTCATTTGTATGTTATTTTTTTTCTTTAATAAAAAAGTGTGAAATATAAAAAAAGATGATTAATTACTCTTTTAGTAATAAAAGAACTTTGTTTTTATCTGAATTTTTTGACATTAATAAATATATATTAAAATTATATATGATGTATACAGTGGCTTTATATGGTATACATCATAATTATATATGATATATGTTAAAAAATATTAAAAATTAATAATTTTGTATTATAGATATTGATATAAAAAATAAAGAATGTTATGTTTTTAGTAATATAGAGAGTGTTTATAGACTTTTATTTGAATTCTAATACATAAAAAATGTTTTATTTTTTAAGATATATTAAATTTTTAAAAAAGATAATGGTAAATATTTAAAAAAGTTTTCTGCGTGTTATTTTCTAATTCTATTGTTAAATATTCAGTAAAAATTCGCATATATGTAAATTCTTTTTCTAAAGAGCTTTTGACTTATGTTTATAAATATAATGTGAGGTCTTTGAATTTTATAATTTAATATGAAATTTTATAAAAAGTATAAATATCTATTAAATGAATTTTTTATAGAGATATTAAATTGTATAAGATATTGTATTCTATCATTGACTTTTTTTCATTTGAAAGAATTAAGTTATTAGAATAATATATATATATTAAGATTAGATTTTTTAAAAACATATGAATAATTTTCATAAGAAAAAAAAAAGATCTTTCTTTTTAATACAGTCTAGTCTTATATACTTCTATTATATGTGTAATTTGTTTTATTTTTGAATCTTTTGCTGTATTTTATCATATTTTTTAAAAGGTGCTTTCTTATGATTTTGTTTCTTATATTTTTTTTTGATACATAAAATATTGAAATTCATAAATAATTAGCATCAATATATTTAAGGAAAAAGTTTATAAAAATACATAGTTATACCCAGAATAATCAACTTTTTTCATGTATTTAACGATAAACATTTTTTTTCCAAGAACATTCAAATAAGCTTGATATTAAATATCTATTGAATTACATAAGTAATGTATCCTTTATTGATTTTTTTTTGGATTTTGTTTTATGTTTTAAATTTTTAATATAAATGATAAAAGTTTCTTTTTAAAAAATAATGTTTTATTTATATAATTTAATTTTTAAAACAGGGCAATGCATATTTCCTGAATAGTACAGACCATTTTTTTCTTTATAAAAACCTATTATTTATTAGTCCTTTTTTCTTAGAATTAAAATATTTTCGATTTTTTTTTTCTAAAAAAGATGGGAAGAATAAGACATAAAAGAAAACATACGTCAAATGGAAGACATAGAATGTACAGAACAAGACGGTATCAACGAGATATTGATCAGATTCATAAGGATATCATGATACCTGAATCAAGAAAAACACTATTATTCAAAAAAATTGATCCTGATTTACCTGGACTTGGTAAAGAATTTTTTATTAATAAAGATATATTCTTAAATAAATAGGCCAGCACTATTGTATTGAATGTTCAAGATATTTTGAAACAAATAATACATTGGTAAAGCATCGAACAGGAAAACTTCATAAAAAAAGGTTCATTTTTGTCCTACTTTTCTGTTAGATTAAAAGATATAGAGTAAAGCTTCTTAAAGAAGTACCATATTCTCAAGAAGAGGCGGAAGCTGCTGTTGGAATAGATATTAAGAATCATATATTTTGATGTTTTTAAATTTGACACTTATCAATATTTTATCCTTTTTAAAAGTAAAAATGAAGAAAGCTTTTTATGACATCAGTATTCATCGAAGTTTGAATGGCCGGTTATTCTTGCATGTTCTAGTGCATCTTTTCTTCCACGAAGATTTGTTTTGCAGATTTTGCATTTTAGTAAAAAATTTGATGTGTCAGTATAATAGTGAATTTTCCGTAGATAATCCGTAAGCTTTAAAACTGCTTTTCTTACATTTAAATCTTCAACTGAGAAAATCGTCGTATCAAAATTAGGCGATGCTCCTGACATCGGAGTTAATGCAATAGCATCATAATGAATTCCTGCCTTTTTGTCAGCATACCTTAGCCTCTATTCCTCTATATATTTAATATCACCTGAATACACAATAAATCCACACATGGGTCTTCCTTCTCCTTGGTATTATTAATTATTTGAAAATTGAATTTAAAAATTAAAAAAATAAATAAAAACATACCAAAACGATCTGTCCTTCCTGTTGCTACGTCTATAGAACATATTTCAACTTCAAAGTGATTTGCAAGAATTAATATTTCGATTGCTCCCCCCCAACTGTTAGTTTTATTGATCCATCTGCAATATTCATCTCTTGAGCGCCCAAGAATTGCATCTGAATATGTTGCCGGATCATTTTGGATAGTTTGAGCAACCAATGATCGTAATTCATTTGCTGTATCCATTTTTCCCATAATTATATATCCTACTGCACGAAACAGACATGAATTGCTATTTTATTATTAAGTAATAAAAATCATAATCTAATGACATACTCATTCTGCATTACCCTTAAAACAACTCTTCCATTGCTATTTTCTAGTTCAATCTCCGGTGGAGCAAAAGGATCATCATTTGATTTCGAAATAGATGTTTGTGATGGTGAATTAGTCGAAAATATTCCATTTCCATCCATATTTTGACCTTTTCTCATATATTCCTCCGTATCCGTATCTATTTCTTTAACTAAAAGTACCTCTGCATCCCAAATGCCCAAAGATTTTAATGTTCTATCACAATCTGAAATATCAATTTTTCTCGGGGGAAATTTATGTTTAATCTCAAAATTATTAATATCTATAAAAGAAAATATTGCCATCTGAAGATCTTCTACTGTGTTGTCTTCATTTAATTCTATTTCATAGATATTTTCTTTAAATTTAATTTTTAGACGCATTTTGATATTAAATATATGGACGTTGAAAATCTCGAGACGATTCCTCTGACGTTAAAAAAATGGTTAGCCTTACATTAAAGGCTTTTCTGCAGAAAAACCTTCAAAAAACATGGAGAAACTCTGTATTATTAAATCCTATGATTGCTGGTTTTTTTCAGTGAAAAAAACCTTAAAAATAGCATATTTTAACGTTTTATAGAACGAGCGGTTAATGTATTAAAATTAAATATCTACAATGATGCAACAGTGATTGAAATGGGTCCTGGTAATTCTTTTTATAGTGTATTTTATGTTCTTATTGTTAAAGGACCGGGAATGATGACGCAAGCTCTTTTGAAAACAATTAAACCTAAACTTTATATTTTAATGGAGCCTGATAAGACATTTCATCCATTTCTTAAGGTAGAAGCAGGGTTTTTTGTATTTTCTATGTGTTTTTTATGCAATGAATAGGAAATTTGCAAAAAGGCCCCATCCAATGTTATTTTGACAGAGTTGAATGGTTTTTTATGGTCATCATACTCTCAGTTAGAAACACAAGGGTTACTTAAACCAGCATACCAGCCGATGGATCATATTCATACATCTCTTTTATTTGTAGCACATCTTCCACATGGAGTTTTAGGCGAACAACTACTTGCACAATTTTTGATTGCTTGTTTTGATAGGCTCTGGATTCATCAATATGGGCGAGTACGTATGTTATTATGGGTTACAACGTCATTAGCAAGAAGGTTAATGGCAACTCCGGGAAGGCCAGGAAGATGCAAATTGGGGATTGTTAGAGAATCAGTTGCTGAATGTAAAACTATTGTTGGAAATAAAGATATTCCGGGTATATGTCCTGGATTAGAGACATTACCAAGAGATTTTATCCGAGAGGTGAATAAAATATGTCTTTATTATTTTATTTACAAATAATGGTAGAAAGACTTAATATTAATAGAAATGATTCCATTACCAAAAATTCCGATTAAAGGTAAGCATCAAATGCTTTTTCCCAATAGAAGCTAATCATAAATGAAGCACCACTGGATTCGTTTGATTATGTTGTCAGACATCTTTTTGTTTTAAGAAAGACTCCTCTTATAAAAGCAATCAGGTAGTTTTTATTTGTAAAATGATCATATTTGTAATTTTTCTTATCAGTACTCTCGGTCCAGGCGCCGAAGTATTAACAAAAGAATTACCCTCATATTTACTTGAAAAAAAAGTAGACGAAATAACTCGGGAAGAATTTGATGAAATTGGACAAGTTTTTGATAGATGGCCATTTAGACCTAAAATATTATTTGATCAATGGGTAAATGATAAAGAAGAATGCTCGAATACAATAGGAGGCACATGAATTTCGTTAATAATATTACAAAAAAAAACAGATTGCATATGATAATCCAAAGAGAAAATTAACATTAAATTATTGAGTAAAGGATTTTGAGAAATGATTATTCTATGTTTTCTCTCCTTTTTCCGACTCATCTTTTCTTGGTTTCATCTCTATCAAGTTTTTAAATTCAGAATAATTGTTTTTACTTGATCTTTCAAATTGAATTCCCCATATAGAAAGTATCCATGCAAAGCTTGCATGAATTTGGACAAAAATATCCTATTTTCAATATTTATATCATAAGTACTATAAATGAACCGGTTTTACCTGCATATCAACTAACTTTGCTAGACTTTGAGGCATACTAGAGCTATCGTATTTACGCAAAAATCCTTCAGGACTTCTTTTAACTTCAACACTATTTCCTTGTATATTTCCTCCATCAATGCCAACTAACACCATTTTTGATTTAGTATCTAAACGATGAACTAAAATTTCAAATTTTTCAATAATAAATCTCCATGCTCGAGATAAATTTGTTTGGTTCTGCATTAAACATATAAATGAGTACCACCGTTTTAATCCTCTTGCATATGGATCTGCAAGCCTAAAAACATATGCAATAGTATATCCAAATGTTGCATCCCCAAACAAAATAGGACCTGTTTTTCCTGGTAAAAGTTCACATGATAAACTACGAACGCAGGCATGTTTTAACGCTGAATTCTCATGAACAAATATTGGACGTCTAGTAGAAATATATAACACTTTATGATCTGAACTTTGGGTCTTTAAAATAGGAAACCCGTTTTTATGGACTGTTAAATCTGTTGGAACTGAAAATTGACAAGAAGCACATGCTTCTTCCCTTAAAAGAACACCTTCCGAGCTGTTTCCATTCTTGTTATCTTCCATAAAATCTACAAAGGAAGTCTCATGATGTGAAGAAATTGCTTGTGTACAGAAAATAGCTGTTGGCCCATGAATTTCACAAAAATGTGCCAAAGAAAGCTTGAAAAAATGAAAATTAGTAAAGAAAATATGATAAATAAGGATATTACAATCATATTTACTTGTTTTCCATCATTTTTTGCCAAAAAAAACGATATATTTTTCTCGGTAAAGATGGATGCCGATTTAAGGTTACACGCGGTAAATCGCCGCTACTTATTTTCAACGTCAAATAAATAAAAAATTGGTTTGAGGGGAAAATTGGGCTAATTATTAGGAAAAGATGTCTTGATTATGCACTTAATGAGTTTTTTTCTATACGTTTATACTATATTCTTTTTTTCAGGGCAAAATTATGTCTATTTTTCGAGTAAAGCTTGGTAGATTATGGGGACAATATATACCGTATACATCAAGGAAAATTCTTAGGAAAAAAGCACAGTTTTCCTGTAACTTGTTTAGTTTAAGGTTTTATCCAAGAGAGGATTTTGAAACATATTCATTAGGAGGAAAAAAATTTGAAAAAAGTTCATTCAGAATAGATAAACGATTAGATGTATATTACCTTAGAGGATTGGTTCGAGTAACGGTTTTGACGTCTAAAAAGAACATATCTAATCTGTCATGTGTGAGATCTAGAGTACGGCGGCGTTTGAGAGAAGCAGTACGTCAAGTTTTGCTTTATCAAAATAAGAAAGGATTCCCGTATTTGCCAAGTATTTGTTGGTTTTTTTTTTAAGTAAATACTAAATTTGTTGAGTTTCTCCATATGATTTGTATTTCGTGGCTACTATAAATGTGTTATATGAAGAATGGGGAACATTGGTTGATTATGTAAAAAAGGGATTACAGAAAGCTCATGAAGCGTTAAATACAGAAAAAGGGTCTGGAGGTTTTGTATCAATGAAAATAGATGATATAGAGTCACTTTCATTTGATTTAAAAAATAAAGAAAACTTTATTGACCGAAATCTTTCTACTTTTGATGTTAAATCGATAGTTAATTTGAGAAAACAGAATAAATTTTCACAGTGTGATGAACCGATGAGGCTTTTGTTTATTCAATCTGTTTTGCGATTATCTCATTGTCCTAGAACATCAATTGTTGCTCTTTCTAAAAATATAGACATTTTATTAGAACATTACAAATTAAGAAAGATTACGCCATTTGATATACAGATGCTTCAATATGTTTCTAGGACAGGCTTATATTTTCCAGAATTAATATCTGATTAATAAAACATAAGGAATATATAGTTATATATTATCATTTAATATAAGGGAAATTTGGTTATTTGGAATAAAGTAATATATTTTGAAGCCAATAAATAACTTTATTGGCTTTAAATTGGGACTGATACAGCCTAGAACTAATATGTTGAATAGCATTTGTATATTTTCTTACACTTATAACCAATTAATTGTTTTATATTTTTATGATGAAAAAGGTATTTCAAAAATCGAATAATATAAATTAGGTTTTAACAGAAAAGTGTAATAAGTTCAATTATCATTTTAATACATATAAAATAAATAAATTGATAAATGATTTTTCTGAGAAGGTAGAAATTTAGGATTAGACTTTTGATGATTTAAAGATATTAGTCAAAAAAGATATTTTTTAAATAGGAAAATTAAGGTTTTAATTGTATTATTTATTTGTGATATATGTATTGAGTTATAGATTTTAAATTATGTTACAATTTCATGTATAGCTTCTTTTTTATCTCCTTGTTGCCGGCGAGTAATAGTTTGTGTTAAAACTTGGGTCCGAAAATTTAAGCCTCTCGTACGTTCAATGATTTGCTGATATATGGGTTGAGAAGGATGGTTCATTGTAATAATACCCTTAAAAAAGTTAGTATATATGATTCGACTATATATATTTACCTCTTCAAAACCTATTTTTGCATTTAAGTCTACAATATCATCATGAATAAATTTAACGATTTCTGTATGGGAAAAGTTTAAGCGTTTTGAAAGATCACTAATATTTTTTAATAATAAAAAAATGAAATATATGCGTACTCAATATTGATGCGTTGGTAAATTTTGCAATAGGCTTCTATCATAAGGTAGTGTGCAGAGTTAATGAAATCTGAACATGTTGCCACCAAAAAGAAATCGTTTTTTAATACTTTTTCTGCTTCTTTAAGATTATTTTGCGCAACTTCAAAATCAAACTGAATATATAAAGCATTAATGAATTCGATAATAGGATCTGTATATTCGTATAATTCTTGATCAATGATTTTTACTAATTCTTTTATACGACGTTGATAAGACATTGCATTACGTGATCGTGATCGTATTGTAACAACTGCAACAGTTAGATACCTTAGAATCCATGGACATGCTGTTTGAATTGTATTGATATATGGAGGTAAAAAAAATAGCTCACAAAGGGCTTCCTTTCCTGCTTCATGATTGAAAAAGGGAAAAAGAGACCAATGAATTAGCCATGTTCGATGTTTAAGTTGAAAAACGGGGCTTGAAAAGCTCTAATATGTATTGTTAAATAAAAGTTGTAATAAACCTAATTTTTAGAACCTTTGTATCAATAATATCTTTTAATTTATTGATTTCTTCCATTGCGCGCTCCCAATTAACTGTTAAAATTTCTGATGCTAATTTTCCCCATGTTGCAGATATATTCATGTCATTATCCATAGACTAAATATATATCAATTTCAATCCATCATCAGTAATTTTCATTACTAAGGCTCTAAAGTGATATAGAAGATCTACTGCGCTTGTATAATTACCACAATTATATTGAAATTCTCCAAGTTTATATAGAACATTAATCATTTCAACAGTTATCTAATTCAAGTTATTAGAAATATCCTATTTTCTCTACTTTTCTTTCGAAAAAAAAAGAAAAACATACTCCATGTGTATCTTTCAGATATTGAAGATTTTGTGCTTTATCTTGTCTTAACGCTGTAATTATTTCATGATTTTCAAGAACTTCTAAAACTTTTTGGCTCTCCTTATTAAGTTTTGAAAATTCTTTTTCTTCTTCTTCTTTTTTTTTATCAAGTTCTATTTGGCTTTTAAAAGTTGGATCTTCTGTAGTCATTTCTTGGCATAAATTTATAATATAATCTGTCATATAAGTCTCAATCAACAAATTGTATTTTTCCCTAAGAAGATCTTTATTAGGATATATCTTTTTTTGCTGTAAAAACTCCAGTAAAGGAAAAATTAAATGTTTGTCAAGATATGGCAACATACGTGGAACCAAGTCATATTGAGAAGGATCTAATAAAATTAACCAAAAAGAAAACAAAATCTTAATAAATATAATACGAAAGGATTCTACTGATGCTGTATTATCTGATTCATCAATCATTTTGTTGTAAATATAAAGGTTAAAGGATTGACTAGATTTTTAAATACCGGTGTCGAACTTTGTTGAAAATCTGAATTGGTTAAAAAGCGAGAGAAATACATAGAAATACAATAAAAATGAAAATATCATTGAGATTGATTTTAAAGAATGAGTTGTTCTTTTTTTTCAGGAAAAATATGAATATTTTTAGTATTTTTTTCAAAAAAAAATAGTATTAATAATTAACTTTTTTTTTAGAAATTACAGAAATAAAGTATAGGTTTGCTCGATCTTTCTTCTCTAGTATTCCTTTAAGAGCTTATTTTGTTCGTCGGACTCGATTTGGATCTTTACCTGTATATTTAGATATTAAAGGTGGAGGAACAAAACATTTAACATTAATTAGAAAAGTAGAAGGAAATGCTCATGTAATATGATTAAAATTTGAATCTTTGTCTTATAGTATTAGGAGTTATGCAAAAAATTAGAAAAAGATCTTAAATTAAGTCAAAAAGAATTGTTTGTTAACAATTTAACAAAACATGTGATTATAAAAGGATCAAGAGTAAATGAAGTCAAAGAAATCCTTATTAAAGATGGATTTTGATTTAAAAATGCAGAAAAAATACAGTAATGAACCCAAACATAGATAAATATATACAATTTTATAGCACCAAAAAAATTAACTTAAAGGAAATTATTGTGTTTCCTCTGCACAATTCCCTTCTACTAAAGACCATAAATCTTTTATAATCATACCATCCATATGTGGTGTAAGAAGACTCCCTAAAAGTTGTTCTTTTTTTGATGTTGTAGAAAATATATGACGAGGTTCATTAGGCGGTTTTTCTTCCTTGGCTTTTTCGATCAAAATACGCAAAATGTTCATTGTTCGCCTAGCAAAACGAGAAAATGGGTTTGATTCGATATTATGGATTTGATTTGGTAGTTGGCCACCTCCAATAGAACTAAGTAGACATGCAAGTTTTACAAAGCTATCAAGAAAACTATCATCAGATGATAATATGGAATGAGCGAGATTATCCTCTTTTGGAAAAATATTGATAATTGTCTCTGCAGCAAGCGTGCAATGTTCAAGTAAAGCGAGTCGTACTTCGCATGTATGAATTGGATGAGTTAAAGTAGAAATAGGTATCGGTGATATACAAAGCATGAGTGCTCGGATAAAAATGTTATCCCTAAGGCATTGTTTCGAAGATAAAAAAATCATGATCTTGGCAAAAGTATGTCGGTTTGGAAAACTTCTTGCGAAAAGTTTTGCTAGCGTATCGATTGCAGCTGGAAGATATGGATGTAGTGTTGGATTGTATGGTGTAAAAATAATTTTATCAGGATTTAAGCAAATGTTTGAATCTGGGGAAAATGCTGTGATTAAACGAATTATTGCTATTGCGGTAGATTCATTATCTATAAGAATATCCTGAGAAATATTTGAAAGAAGAATGATTAAATCTTTTGCTAAATCTAGCCGTTGACGATATGATATTTCAAGAATATTTGTTTTCGATATTAATATGATTAAATGTTCTATTAAGATGAGCAATGCATTGTTTTTTGCCATAACATTTTGATTCTCTTCTGCAAAAGTTAAATTTCTTAAAATTGTTGTAATACATAAAATTTTCTCCATTGATCTAAACCTTCCATAACCTTGGCTGCCTGGCCGATAATTAATCGTTAAATCATCTATTTCATCATAATATAAATCCACCATTTGTTCATAAGATGATATTGAAATTGTTTCATCTGCATTTTTTACATCTGGTATCAATAATTGGTATTCTTCATCTGCTATTTCTATAATGCTGTCCAATAATTCATCACATTCCAGTAATGGTAAACACCATCTTTTATCCCCCGTAATAATAGTGAGAACATCAAGTGCTCGATTAACTTCTGAATGTAATCTTGATTGAATACTCATTATTAAAGCATATATATTAATAGTACCTAATTCGTGTAAAGCGGGTGGTCTGTATCTAAGATTTTCAAGATCATTGCTCATTCGTGTTATTAATTCCATGTCAAATCCCCCATATGTATCAACTATTCGTTTTTTTGGCTTATACTGCTGTGTAAATGTTGACTGTGATGACAAAATAGTTGGATGAGAATTAGATGGAACTGAATTGTCTGCAATAGGTATAGATATCGATTGTGGTATTGATTGAGGCACTAGAGATATTGGTTGTGATACTGGTTGTGATACTGATTGCGATACTGGCTGTGATACTGGGTGTGATATTGGTTGTGATATTGGTTGTGATGTGGATTTTGATGGTAAAACATGTTGTGTTTGAAAATGAAGTAAAGCCTTGTTTGTTGTATTATAACTAGTATTTTTTTCTTCATTTTTCTCTTGAACTATTCCATGTTTGTATTTATTTGAAATAGCCTGTTGTTTCATTAATAGTTGTTGATTATATATCCATGCTTCTTCATATGCTGCAAGATAATTTTTATAGCATTCCGAAAGCTGTTGACCAGCATTTGGTATTAAAGTTAAATTAATTCCAAATGCCTGCGCAATACTTCCCCATGCATTTGCTTGTGTTACTTTGTGAGAACCTCCTAAACGCATAACTTGAATATAAAGTACAGCAAGATTGATTTGTTGATCACCAATATATGGATGCGCATTAATAGATATACCTCTTTTATTCATAAACTCTATCAGTGACGCCATAAGACTATCTATGGTGCTAGGTTTTGTCTGTACAATAGGACCTACTCGTCCAGATAATGTTTGGGTTCCTGATATACCTTGCTGAATTGAAATTGATGGAGAACAAGTTGACGGTGAATAAAATGAAGGTTGAATTAGTGTAGAAGAAACTGATAAAGATTGCGTTGACATTTGTGGTGATGTAATGGTTGAAGGTGCTGGCTGAAATGAGGTTATTGAATTAATTGGTGTGTTGATTGGGCCACTAATTACATTATTGATGGGCATATTGATTGCTGGTAATGTATTTATTGATCCACTGGTTTGTATATTGGTTGAAGATGGTACATAGGCTGATTCAACAGGTCCTGAAAAAGATTGTGTGCCATAACCAGGCAAGAGTCTATGCATCTGCATATACTTTGTGTTTGTTTGTCCTGCCTTGGCAAATGGCGGATAAACCAGCTCTGCTTGAGTAACATCCGTTTCTTGTCCAGGCAAAAACATGGGAAATGGTTGTGGTTGTTCATAAATAGGTGCTGTCCATCCAGAATACATCAAATCATTTTTAAACTGCTTAGCCGAGTCTAGTGGCGCTTCTTCCATTAAAGTAACAAATAAAACTCTTCAATTAAAAGATTTTACTGTATTTTGAGTTTTTTTTAAGTATTTTGTTTAAAGATTTTAATTTTATTTTAAATTTTTAATATTTGATAAATAATTTTATTGATCTTTCTAATTAGTCTTATTGTTTACAACACCATTCTATTTACTTTTTAAGGTCTTGTCTGTTGCGAAGCTTTCAAGATAACGGCTTATCAAAGCACCTGATAAGCCGTGAAATTAAAAGTTCAATATTTTGAAATTGTAAATAAATCAATATACATATTAATCAATAGACTAAAGAAAAGCTAGTGAATACATAATAAAAACCCTATTATATGTTAAAAAGGGAGTTATTGGCATTTATAAGGTACTTGAATTACGAATTTACAGGAATCAAACTCTGTATTTTAGCTTCAAAACTTAGTCGATCCGTTTTTTTTTCACGAGATCGATTTTCCTTTTGAAAAATAAAAAAAGCTATAAACCGTATATTTTATAATAACGATGAAAAAATAAGGGAAAATCATAACAGAACCTTTAAATTATAGATAGGCTTTTAATTATGTATATAAGACATGAAAGGAATGGATCAATTGTAAGAAGAAAGAAAGTTTAAATATGAGTTTTTAAAAAATCTTATTCTGTTTTAAAGTTTAAAATAATTGATATTAAGAATCGAATTTAAAAATATATGTATTTAATATAAAAATATATATTTTAGTTGATATTATTTTTTAAGTTAAAAACCACTGTTTATGAAAAGTGTTTCAATGATTTCTATTAGAATTTATGTAATTTATTATTTTATTAGTGTATAAGTGTTATTTTATTAGTTTTTCAACGTTTGATTATTTTTTTGAGTTTATTAGATGTCGCAAACCGAGTCTCAAATCCTGAATACGTTTCTTGTGTCGCCATCAAGTTTGCAGGAAACGGTAACACTTAATACGTTTGTATCATTTTTTCCAGCCTCTAAAAGGTTAAGGTAAGGATTTTTTGAATTATTTTTAATGTTTTTTAGATCACATCCAGACATTCCTATTTTATATCGTTCATTGCAAGCGCAACGAAGTGCGCTTTGTCAAATGGTTAGGAAGAATATCCAGCTTGAGTGTAAACTTGGCATGCAATCAATGAAAGTTATGGATGTAGAAGCAAATGTTTTGGAGGAGAAAAAGGAGGAAATGCAAGAGGTATGAAGAATGATGTATTGTTATACGTGTGAAAACACGTTTTTTTCTAGGTTTTAAGGATGTATTTCTGATAGGAAATAGTTTACAATGAAATCTTTGGCGTTGCCGGAGATGCTTAAACAAATGGAAGAGGCCGTAGAGAAAATGCAGAAAGAAATAGAGCAGCTTGGTAAAGGATGTGATGATTTGTTAAAGAATATGAAGACGTATGTTTATTTTTTTGTTTTTAGGAAATGTTAAATCTATATTAAAGGATGGTTAGTGAAATGAATGATTTTCAATATGGTAAGGGAAGTTTGGATCGTTCAGAAACAACAATGGATGGATTAAGAGTAAGTATATGAAAATAATAAATGAATTGTTATTGAAATTTGGTGCAGGAATTGATTGAAACATGTGAAGAATTATTGAAAACTTGCGAAAATGTATAGCATAATGTAAAGATTGGGATTTTTTAAGATATGAAGAAAGAAAGCTAAATTAATGTTATTGGATGGATAGATATATTATTTGATGTAATATTAAATAGAAATGATAAAGGGATGTGTTATGCAACGATAATTGTTGACAAACTCTAGCGAATATTAACGGTTTCTATGGGAACGAAGAATCATTGCTTTGGCATTAAGTTTATATATAATTTAATTTATATGCATTTTTTGTTATTGCATTATCTTTTTTCAATAGGATGTTTTCTCTAATGCTTAGATATGGTAAACCTTAAATACAGATGAATGTTATTCAAATAGAAAAATATATTTCATATATTAAATTTAAAATATCTTTATCTCAAAAGTTGTAAATGCCTCATAATTATCTATTATACAAGTAAATTTAGTCGCTAATTTTTATTATATTAGCTTATATTTTATATTTGAGTATAGCAAGGTTTTTATTCTTTAAACTAAATGTATTCTGAAAATTATTACTACGAATATAGTGCTTTTTTGAATAAAATAATGCTTTTAAATAAACTGAGATTATTGTTTTCCATATATATATTTTTAGATAAATGATTGATAATATCTATGAGTTATGTACGTATTTATGATATGACAAAAATATTTTGAAAATTGGTTTAAACTATAAAATATATTTTATAATAATTGTTAAATTATTTAAAGAATTATTCAGATAACATAAAAATAGTTTAAACTCATAGTATGGGAATAGAGGAGGTTACATATATAAATGATATTTATAATTATTTGATTTTTTTTTGAAAATCGTAAATAATAATTTATAATAAACTTTTTTTATTCCAATTATGCTTTTACAAGGAATGGATAATATTCGATGTTATATATAAAGATGTGTTTATATAGAAAATTGGGCTGTATAGGATTGTGAATGTAAAATGTTTGTGTTTAATTATAGACGTTAATATATTATATACTCAACTTTATTATTTGATCTTAAATATTTAGAGTATTTTAGTTAACATATTATTTCTTTTTTAAATTCTATTCTGGCTTTAAAATACTTTTGCATCATATTTATCTTTCAAATACAAGTGAAATTGTTTGCTTAACGGAATATGTATATCTATTAAAATAAGACAACCATTAAAATAATTTAAATATTACTGTTTTATCCTTCTGATTACATCTTATATCTTACATCTTTAATAATAGTAGGCTTATTCCAAAAAACGTGAGTTTAGTGATTTTAAATTATGGGATGTTGTTTTTCTGTTTCGTATAGCCAAGATGTTTTGCGATCCAAAGAAATTGAATCATATCTTCGTCAGGATCAAGAACGTATGTTTTTTAGTAACATATACGTGTTTTGATGCTAACTTTGTTTTTAGAAGCATGTCATGAAGCCAAAATATTATTATTAGGTAGATTGAATTAATATGCCTTTTGAATAGATTAAACATATTAATTAGGCGCTGGAGAAAGTGGAAAGACGACAATTTTGAAGGTTCATTTTTTCTTTTAGTTTATTTTGGTTTATTTTTTTATAGCAAATGAGGCTGATTCATCTATCTGGTTTTACATTGAAGGAACGCGAATACTATAGAACAATTATTTTTAGCAACATGTTGCAGTCTATGCGACTTATTATTCAAGCTATGGAAGAATTTGATATTTGTTTTGAGCGACCAGAAAATGAAGTAATTCGATTAAGTTTGTTTTATAAAATCTAATAAATGTTTATAGCAATATCTTGATTTGTTATTGCAAGAACGAGAATTGACGGATAGAGAGAATCTTCCTCCAGAGTATTATAGACCTTTTATATCTTTATGGGAAGATGCAGGGGTAACACGTGCTGTTAATCGTGGAAATGAATATGCTTTGCATGATAATTGCTTTTAGTAAGAATTTGTATTTTGATGGATTTCCATTTAAGAATTAGTTTTTTTGAAAACATTCATAGGCTTTTTGAAAGGAAATATATCCCTACAGACCAAGATATTTTACGATGTCGGTTAAAAACAACAGGGATTACGGAAACATGTTTTAAAGTATCTCGATTAACGTATCGGTTAGAATTGTTTCTTTAACTTTGGTTAGTTAAACTCATTTGTATTATAGAATGATCGATGTAGGTGGTCAAAGATCAGAAAGAAGGAAATGGATTCATTGTTTTGAGAATGTGACAGCTGTTCTTTTTCTTGTTGCTATCTCTGGCTATGATCAATGTTTGACAGAAGATATTGGTGCTGTATGTATTTTCGAATGGGTATAAATTAGATTAGTTAATGATTTAGAATCAAATGCAAGAGGCTCTTGTCTTATTTGATTCAATTTGTAATTCTCAATGGTTTATCAACACATCAATTATACTTTTTCTTAACAAAATCGATCTTTTTAAAGTTAAGCTTCATGTATCGCTAATATCGAATTATTTTCCAGACTTTAATAATGGTATCTCTTTTTATAAAATGTGTATTTGTTTATATTTATAGATAACCAAACTGATTATCGCGCTTCTTGTCTTTTTTTTCGGCAAAAATTTTTGAAACTCAATAGAAATCATCAAAAAACAATTGTAAGATATTTCTGTTTTATTGTTTTTTAATTTATAAGTAGTATACACATTTTACAAACGCTACAGATACAACGCTTTTGAAAAACGTCATGATTTCTGTGACCGATATTATATTTAATCGAAATTTACAGAATTTAATGCTTTAAATTTTTTGTGGATATAAATGTCTAACCGTTTTTTTAATTAGTTACGCAAATATTAATTTTTTTAGATTTTTTGTTATGAATATCTAATATTTATTTTTTATTATACATGTTTGTTAACAATTATTTTATATAAATTAAATATTTAATTAATATATATCTTTTCAAAATTTTAGATTTATTGAAATATTGTTAATCATTATAATATTTTAAAATAAAAATAAATAGTATTTCATCTGAAAGACAAAAATTCTCCATTAAGAAATATATTCCGCGGTTTTCAATATTATTTCCTGTTTTTATTTTGTTTTTTCGAAATTAATCTATATAGACCTTCAATTGATCACTTATACACTCGATATTTCAATATTTGGATGCAAAAAAAATACTAAAATTATTAGAAAAAAAAACATATAATAGAGCAATTTAATTTGTATGACATCAAAGACGTCATCCCCTCTTTTTTTCCCTGAATCTTCACTTTCTGCTCCTCAGGAAAATGATGCACTTGAGTCGGAAAATTCAATTCCTAAGGCATTGATGCAATCAAGTAATTTTCAGATATTTTTATAGTTTAATTTGATTTTCCACTAACTTCTCATAAGATATTTCTTCTCCATTGCTTTACACGTCTTCTCCGAGCAAAAAACTATCATCACATCCATCTGTCGCATATAGTTATCCTTCAAATAGAGATGGCCCTGAAAAGCCATCGTATGCTTTTTTTATCGAATTTTGATAATTTTTAATGATTTAAAAGATTACTTTCCACTACGCCTCGTGCAATGCGTCGTGGAGATATTCATCCTCGTTATCTCTTATCAACACCTCTCCAATTTACGACAGGCACGCAAAGCAGTCAGCTAACATCGGATCTACAGATGATAAGCACGTTTGACCCTGTATCTGAAAATACGGGTGAAATGGTTCGGGTTATTTGGGGAACGAATGTTTCTATTCAAGAAAGCATGAATACGTTCAAAGCATTTCTTAAGCAATTTAGAAAAAAGTATCGGATGGCATTTGATGGCGAAATTAATTTAGATGCCAGTGGAGATGCATTGTTGTATGTTAATATGTTGAAACAAGTTATATATATGACTGTTTTTCCATTTTCTTATCTAATATAGATGTATGATTTGGATCTTACTAATTTGAATCTTGATGCGCGAGATTTAGAGTGTTATCCACCTACTAAGAAGCTGCATCATCAATTGCAGGCGTATCCTCAAGAAATTATACCTATTATGGATCAAACAATTAAAGAATATATGCTTGATATGTTGATAGACGGCCGTGCAAATGAGACAGAAATTTCAAAGGTGGAAAATAATATTTATAAGGTAAGGCCTTTTGGCCTTTCTAAGACAATAAATATACGGGATTTGAATCCTAATGGTATGAATTTCATGTCTTTTTGCTCATGATTAATTGAAAAGATATCGATAAGTTGGTAAGTATTAAAGGGCTGGTTATTCGTGTTAGCACTATTATTCCGGATATGAAACAAGGTCATTTATTTATTTATCGAAATTTTTATTAATAGTTATTTATAGCATTTTTTCGATGCGATGTTTGTTATCATACAGTGACTGTTGAGATTGATAGAGGAAGAATATCTGAACCAACTCGTTGTCCCAGAGAAATATGTTCTTCTGACAATTCTATGCAAATTGTTCACAATAGATCGGAATTTGCCGATAAACAAATTATAAAACTTCAAGAAACTCCAGGTGATAATAAATTTTTATCAAAAAATATTATAAATTAACATAAGATAGATGTTGTACCGGATGGACAGACTCCTCACTCTGTTTCTTTATGTGTTTATGATGAATTAGTGGATTTTGCAAGAGCCGGAGATAGGATAAAGGTAACAGGCATTTTTCGTTCTGTTCCTGTTCGTATAAATCCACGTCAAAGAACTATTAAATCTCTTTTTAAAACATATTTTGATGTTGTTCATATTCAGAAAATAGACAAAAGGAGAATTGGCATAGATCCCTCTATTCTTCAGGCAGAAATTTCTGAATCTATTTCTATAAATACTGAAGTTCGTAAATTTACAGAAGAAGAAGAGGAAAAGATAAAGAAATTAGCAAGAAGTCCTGATCTGTACTCTATTTTAACAAAGTCTATTGGTAAGATATTGATTAATAAAGGATATTTAGTTAATTTTCTATAGCTCCTAGTATTTATGAAATGGATGATGTCAAAAAGGGGATATTACTTCAGCTTTTTGGAGGCTCAAATAAGGAATTTCTTAAAGGGGAAGCTCCGCGGTTTAGAGGAGAGATTAATATATTATTGTGTGGAGATCCGTCTACTTCTAAATCACAGTTTTTGCAGGTACTTAAAAAATAAAAATATGAAATAGTTATTAAATTTCTTAGTATGTTCATAAAATATCCCCTCGAGGGGTTTATACAAGTGGCAAAGGAAGTTCCGCAGTTGGTTTAACTGCTTATATTACTCGTGATCAAGATACAAAACAATTGGTTTTAGAAAGGTTGTTATTATAAATTCAATTACATTATAACCTGATGACAACAGTGGTGCCTTGGTTCTTTCTGATGGAGGAATATGTTGTATTGATGAATTCGATAAAATGTCAGATTCAACTAGATCGGTTTTACATGAAGTAATGGAACAACAAACTATTTCTATTGCAAAAGCTGGGATAATTACTACTCTTAATGCGAGAACGTCTATTTTAGCATCTGCAAATCCTATTGGAAGTAAATATAATCCAGATTTATCTGTTCCTCAGAACATTGATCTTCCTCCTACTTTATTGAGCCGCTTTGATTTAGTTTATCTAATTTTAGATAAAATAGATGAATCTAATGATAGACGTTTAGCACGTCACCTTGTTGAAATGTATATGGAAGATCGAGTAAACGAAAGCAAGAGTTCTTTAATTGTATGTTTTTTATTATAATATATTTTTCTAATATTTTTAGCCATTTGAATTTTTAACTTCTTATATTTCTTATGCTAAGCAAAATATTCAACCAGTATTAAGTAATGAAGCTGCAGATGAGTTAGTAAAGGCGTATATTGAAATGAGAAAGTTGGGTGAAGATGTTAAAGCATCTGAGAGGAGAATTACTGCGACAACTAGACAATTGGAAAGTATGATTCGTTTAAGTGAAGCTCATGCGAAAATGAGGTAAATTATTTGTGATATATATATTTTTTTTATCTATGTTTTTTTAGGTTAAGTAATGAAGTTATTTTGGAAGATGTACAAGAGGCTACTCGTCTTATGCGATCTGCTATTAAAGATTATGCTACAGATTCATCAGGAAAAATAGATATGGATCTTATCTATACTGGCGAAGGTATTGTCCAACGTCGTGCTAAAGGTGATCTTAAACGTGAATTGCTCAAATTATTAGAAGAAATGTCTGCACATGGCTCATCCATTAAATTTGTTGATCTTTTCAAGAAGTTTAGTGAGCAAAGTACAGTAGAAATTAATTTGAATGAATTTAATGATGCATTGCGATCTCTTGAGACTAATGATTCTATTCAGATTCTTGGTGAAGGTTCCAAACGCATTTTTCGTAAGATTTCGTAAGTAAAAATTGAAAAAAAAGATGTAAATTAGGGTCAAAATGGTTCAAAATAATGTAAACTAGGGGCTCAATGGCCATAGAATAGAGTTTTTTGTTTTTATCTATTAGTATTGTAAAGTTTCTTTTAAATGTATCTTCTTGGATACTGGACTTGTTTATCAAAAAGTTGGCTCTTGTTAGGCAAGATTTTATAGGATTATTATTCAATTTTCTTATTAGGTTTAAACCCATATAAATTTACATTGAAAAAAAGTTTCAACGATCTTCATTAGTAGAGGCGACAAAATAGTTTTTTATAACAAATTATTGCTTAAAGTTAAACATTTTGTGTATTTTTTGACAGAATATGGCATATTTTACCTTTTTTCCTTATTTATTTATTTTTTTTTGTTTTTTTTTTGTTTCTCAGCATTTTATTAAAGCTTCTGACGTATTGAATTTAAATGAGGTAGCTTTTAAACAAACGATTCAGAAGCCAGGTATTTTTCTTGTTGAATTTTTTGCTCCTTGGTTAGTATTTTTTGTTTTTTAGCATTTTTATTAATTTGCTTTTTTTTTATATAAACTTATTTTTTATAGGTGCGGTCACTGCAAAGCTTTAGCTCCTGAATATGAAACTGCTGCTACTTTACTAAAAGAGAAGGTTTGCTTATCCTTTTTTGATTTTTTTTATATTATTTTTAGGGAATTACATTGATTCAGGTTGACTGCACAATTGAGACACATCTTTGCGAAGAATATGATATTTCGGGTTATCCCACACTTAAGGTATTTACAAAGTTATTAAAAATATTATTTTTTTCTTATTAAATCCTTATTCTTCAAGCATTGGCTTTTGCTAGTTATTGTTTTTTCTTTTTGTAAATAATATTTCGTTGCTTATTCTTTAGATCTTTAGAGACGGCAAACATGAGCCCTATGATGGTCCTCGGAAATCGAGTTCCATTGTTTCTTTTATGATAAAGCAAACATTACCTCTTATAACAGAAGTAGATCGAGAAAATTTTGATTTTTTTAAAACTTCAGATGAAATTGTGATTTTAGCATTTTTGGATAAGGAAGACAAGGCTAATGATATCTATACCAAACTTGCTACTACATATCGTAATAAGTATGTTTTTGGAATAACATCAGATGTCAGTCTTGCTAAGGAGTTCAACTTGTCACTTCCAGGTCTGGCTATCTTTAAAACTTTTGATGATCCTGTTTCTGTTTTTAAAAAGGATTTTGAGTATGATTCTCTTGAATTATTTCTTCTTTCAGAAAGTATTCCTTTATTTGGAGAACTTGGTCCTGATACATATCAACTTTATATTTCCAGCAAATCTCCTTTAGGCTGTGTTTTTGTAAGTTCTGATCAAGAGAAAGAAGTAATGAAAGATCTTTTTGTTCATTTTGCAAAAAAATATAAGGGAAAGTTGAATTTTGCTACAATTGATGGAAATTTGTATGGTGGACATGCAGATAATCTAAATCTGAAGCAGAAGTGGCCGGCATTTGCTATTCAGGAAGTAAATTCTAATAAAAAGTTTCCATTTGATCAAGAAAAGCTTCTTACGAAAGAAAATATTCAGCAATTCTTAGAGGATTACTTTTCACAACGACTTGTTCCTTCTATCAAATCAGAACCTATACCGGAAACACAGGAGGGTCCCGTAACAGTTGTAGTTGCAAAAAATTTTCGAGAAGTTGTAATTGAATCTTCTAAGGATGTTCTTGTTGAGTTTTATGCTCCATGGTATGTATTTTTTGTTATTAAATGAGTTTTTTATATTAATATTTTAAGGTGTGGACATTGTAAAAATCTTGCACCTAAATATGAAGAGTTAGCTAAAATCTTTTCTTCTAACTCGGAATTAAGCTCTAAAGTGTTAATAGCTAAATTTGATGCTACAGGTTTTACTTGATAACGTTTTTTTTCTATAGGTGTAATATGTTTTTAGCAAATGATGTTGAGGATAATTTAGATATTAGAGGATTTCCAACGATTTTATTATTTCCTGCTTATGATAAAGGAAATCCTGTTGAATATAATGGTCCAAGAACGGTGAATGATATGATTAATTTTATTTTTCAAAAAGGAACCCATAAAGTTGATGCATCTAAAAGCGTTGATGATAAAATGGATGAGAAATTACGGGATTCACTGCCTATCTTTGATCATGACGAACTTTAAACAAGGGAGTATTTAAATATTATGTTTTTTTTGAAATTTCATATTATGCTTTATGTATATTAACTAATTTTTGTCAATTTATTTAATTTTTATATGTTTTCAAAATGTTTATAAAATCTTTGTTCGATATTTTGCAAAATATTTGTATTAATTTTTGAAAGTGAACTGCTGCATGCTTTTTAAAAGTATGCTTAATTATATTTAAATTACTTCTGGTATATTCTAAGGACTTTTAAATAACGTCTATTCTAAATTCATAAAATATTACTCTATAAGAGATCATACGAATATAGATATGTATGTTAGTATCTCAAATCATAGATGATGCATTCTAATTAAATACATATTAAGTAATCAAATTGAACGTGCTAAAAACTTTCTAACTATTTCTTTTCTGGAAACACATTTAGAGATTTTTCCACTAGTATATCAAGTTTAGACCCATTATCATCAAAATACTCATCATAGAAAGGACTTTTAGAATATTCCGAGAAATACGATGGTTTTCTAAACCCTATATAAGATGGTTTAGTGAATGAACTCGGTGTGCTTTCAATACTATAATCTCCAATGCTCTTCATATCTTTATAATATGTTGGTGTTACGTTGTTTTTATTTTTTTCGACTTTAGATGATGCCCAAAGAGAAGATAAAGGTAAAGACATTACGACGAGCGCTTGAGTTAATGAGCTAAAACCTGTTATTTTTACTCCAAAATCGATAAGAATGAGAATGGCTATAAAATAATATTAGAAATAAAACAGAATGTGACAAAAAATACCAGGGATGATCAATGTTTGACAGCTCATAATAAATATAATTTGTATTGGTCCAAATTCTTTGACTCCCATTTTATGTCTTCGATAAATGGTGATAAGCAATTTATAAATAAAAACAATACATCCTATAAATATACTAAAAGCAAAAGATATGCGTGCTACTGTATAAGGCCAGGGTGCGCCCCATACACCGCTATGTCCAAAATGTGTTTGAGATAAAACTGCCATTGAGTTTTGAACAGCAGCTAAAATCCAAAAGGTTATAACGATAATTATTATTATAGAAAAAAATATTGTCAATGGTATCTGTAATCTTTTATCAGTTGCATATACTACTCTAATTTGAATGAGAAGAGAAAGTTCGATGAACAAAATAATAAAAATTGGAATACATGATGCGATAATTGATATATAAAAGTCTTTTTGCGACAATAATTCAAATTCTCCAAGAAATTGGACACTATAGCTTACCCAGGTGCCTGACAAATAAGCACATTGAAGACATGCTCTTATAAATACTGTTACTAATCCACCTATGTTTAAAAAGAAAAGCAATGTTTTTCTTTTTTCTCTTTTTGATGTCAACATAAGGACAAGTGCCAATAATAAGCTCATTGCACATTGTGCTGAAAATATCATAGACGTTTGAGCTCTAGAGAGTGAAAATTCATCGAAATCCGATAATAAAAATGGAATTGTTTCTCCTTTAGAGTTCTTAAGAAATATTGTCTGGTTTGTTGGAGAAAATGCCATTGCGAAGATGCAGATAGAAGAATTCTTCAAGCCTATATGTAAAAAGTTGCTCTTTCTTTGTTATAAACATTTTTTTATTTTTAACTTTAATGAGATGCTGTTGGATCTCTTATTTTTAATAAAGCTAGCCTAATCTATAAAAATGGCTATCATTGATTTATTTTATTTTATAATCTAAATCTAACAATACTTATTTATTCCTCAATGATTATGATTATTCTTTCCACGCTAATTTACTCGCCACCAAATTTCTCTTATATATAGTTTCATATATAGAATAAAATTATAACTTTTATTTGTACCACTCTAAGAAAATTTTACTATCTTATGAGGCTGGTTTTTATTAACTTATTGTATTTTTCCTTTTATTAATATTTTACTAAGATTTCATGGTTTACAGTATATACGTTATATATATATATATATTAATATATTGAATTTAAATTTATCTTAAACATATAATATGAATTTTGCTTGAAGCTATGAGTTTTTATAGATAAATGAAGATTTTAGCGTAAGATGTAGGAGATATCAAAGCTTTTATGATATATACATGTTTTTAAATGGGTCATATATTTCTATTTACAGACCAAATTTTCTTAATATTTTATGGGATTAAATGTTTTAAATTTTATTGATAATATTGCATTTAAAATTATAGATTTTGAGATAAAGGTTTTAGAATGTATATATTTTGTATAAGATATTGAATGAAATGTAGCGGAATGTATATGAAAGACATTCAATTTATCGTATTGGTTATTTAATATAATTTATATACTTTATATGTGCGTTATGTCTACTCGGTAGATTTATATCTTTTCTATTTTTCTACTTCGAATGTATATAACCTTCGATTTCTTAAGTGAAAATTATATTTGGAAGGTAAGGTTTTTTAGGTTAAATCATTCTTATTAGAAAATAATATTCTTTAAAGCGACTTCGCTTCTTATTCTTTTGAAGAAAGATTTATCTAATAGGTTTTTTTTGTTTTGTTGAGCTGCATGTTAGTCTTTCTTTTAGTAATTTAAAAATAACCAGGTGATTTATAAATAGATCCTAAAATAAATATTTCAGCAGTATCGTAGCATTTTTTTCCTGTTTTCCGGTACTATAGTAATGGATCCGAGTTTAACAGTTCAAGATTGTGGTCATAAACGTACTCATCGACGATCTGGTGCTGTTTCTTTAGATTTGGGTTTTAAAGGGATATTTAGCAATTCTAAAGACTTAGGAAAAGCATCATCTTCTACCTTGGATGAGGCGATACATGATCCGGGATCTTGTACTGTAAAACAGAAGAAGCAAGATAATACGGAAGAACTGTTAGTTTTGCCAAACGCTAGGACTTCAAAGAAACGGATTGGGTTTCATGGATGGTTTTGGGCTGAATCAATTTTATCATTAGCATATTTATATTTTGGAGGATCTCATAAAAAAAAGGTTTCTGAAAGTTCTGGGCCCGTTGTATTGAATGTGGAAGAGCATGCACCACCATCATCTATTTGTAAAGTGACTTTGCAGCCTTTGATTGATTTGGACGCTGCTCTTTTAACGAAGCCTAATTCATCGCTATTTACTGCTTCAGAAAAATTCCAACGTCCACGTAGTGCTACAGTGTCTTCACCATATTTTTCTGAATCCGGCAGTACTTATCATAGTTCTTATAGAAATGGCTATACTCTTAAGCGAAAAATGAGTGTAATTATTGAAGATGCTGATATGATTTCAACATCATTGCTTCCTTCGTCTGAACGTGTTTCTAATACTCTACAAAATGTACAGACAGCTACAGAGCAGTCTATGCAGGTTGTTCCAACTGATGGGAAAGAAGCAAATGTTTTTGAAAAAGAAGATATTGGGCTGAATAGTTCTAAAAATGTTTTAAATGATGATAAGTCTATAGTTGATATATATGATTTTTTTCCTGTATCTCATGTTGGAGATACTATAAATCATGATAATACTCTAATAAAAATGAATGAACAAGGTATTTCAAAAAGTATAAAGGGAAAATGGAAATGGCGTCGTATATTGGGCAAATTTTTGAAGCAAAGAAATAGATGATACTTGAAAGGTGTTGTTTTCGTTATTATGTTTGTGATATTGATATTTCTATGGTCTAGTAGGATGATATATTTTGATATTCGTAATATCTACTGTTATTCTAGAAGTCTTTGCTTTTTTAGGAAAAAAGCGATTTAATAGCTATAATAATGAGGACAATTGGGAATGAATGGCTTGCTATAGGTTGTATATTATATATCTCAGAGATTCTTAATACGCAAGTATATTTATCCGCATATCACGTGATTTTGAATACACGTGGCTTTATTTTTCGATGATGCATGAATGATATTAAAAATTAATATCATCTAAAAAAAGTGGAGATTAAAGTGGAGCATTCAATATTTGAGCCTCTAAAGGAAGAAAGACTTGTTTTTGTGGTAGGTTTTCCTGTGTATTTTGGTGTTTGAATTTTATTTATATTTTTTAGGTTACAAACAAAAAAAAACAGAAGCTTGACTATGCGATCGCCATTAAATATATCTAAAAAAGATTTTTCTTTTATTTCTGAACAGATGGGAGGTTCTTCGAAGGATGGCGTATTGAAGACATTTACATTAGATGACCGTAAATTGTTTGAAACGGAAAAGACGGATGATTTTTCGAAAAGTACTGTGTTACAAACACCTCAGACATTTCAAAATTCAGAGCAGCAGGAATCGACGCTTTCTGTATCTGCTTTTGATACTCCAATAGGAATACGTGAGCCATTACGTCAAAAACGGCGGCGGCGAAGAACAACCCCTCAGGAATTGGCAATATTGGAGGATGAATACCTTAAAGATGAAAAGCCAAATTTATTGAATCGTGAGAGAATTGCTGCAAAAATTAATAGTATAGTTTCAGGCGAAGATAAGATGGGTAGTCGAGAGATTCAGGTTTTTTTTTATTTTTATGGGATATATTTGCTTATCATCTGTTAGATTTGGTTTCAGAATAAACGTCAAGCAATGCGTCGTCAAACTTTGCATTTTGTGTCATCCAATGACCATGCGGAGACTGTTTCTGGTTCGCAGGCGATAAAGAAGCCGTGTCAATGGGATATGGATAATGTTCGTCTTCGGCAACATATAGAACACAAGATTTCGTCATTTAAAAAAATACCTAGTCTTCGTCTTTGCACAAATGAGGGTGGCAAAGCGCAGGTTATGTTTAATGTTTTATGCGATAACAAAAATACATTTTCATTGTATAAAAAGGATGATGGGCGTGATAGTAGATGTATGTCATATTATATGGGCAAGGAAAATGTTCCTCCTGATTATGAAAAAAGCATTAAAAGGGATGTGGGCGAAAATGAGATAGAAGCATGTGCGCGAAGTTTAGTAGGTTTAGCACAGGGATGGTAATTTTTTATGGTTTATAAGGGTATTTAATACTTTAAAGGGCCAGAGATACATATGATAGTCATGTTTAGATGTGTACAAATACTGTACAATGTGTTTAATCTTTTTTGGTTAAAAAAATGTATTGATATGCGCTGAACCATTTGTGGTGCTTGTATATAATGAAAGCATAAATAATTTGTAAATATTCAGAGATTTATGCGCTTTTTATAAGTTAATCCCATGTATGAGCGTTTTCGACTTGCTCAAGTATTTCTTCGTATATTTCCATATATGTATTTTTGGCAGTATTCATATCTTTGTTCTTGCCACCTGGAATAATCATGATGCAGCTGGTGGGTCGCTGAGTATTAGTGGCTTCGCCAAGTGATTCTTTAGATGGAACAAAGACATATGGGCATGAATAATCTTCACAAAGTACCGGAAGATGTGAAATGACATCAATAGGTGAAATATCGCCAGCAAGTACAACCAGGCTATGCATTTGAGACAAATCACTAATATATTCCTTTTATACCCTTTCTCGCCTCGTTTTAAGGCTTTAACGACCTCTTTGACACCACGTTGAATATGTTTTACTTTAGATGCTATGATAAATAAGTTGAAAGGATGATAACTAAAGAAAAGTAGACCTTTTTTAAGGGCCTTGAATACCCTTTTTCTTAACTTTTTAGGTGCTAAAGGACGTGCAATGGGTGAAAGTGAGTCGATATAATCATCTGATAATGTTTTTTTATGATTTGTGGGGGAATGGACTATTTTTATTATATAAGAATTGGAAAAGGCCTTTAAAGGCAATCAAGATCAGATGTGCCTGTTTAAATATACCTTTTTCTTGTGTTTGAATTTCTTTTTTACTTTTTCCCATTTTTATATTTTTTTAGGGTTAAATTAAGTCAACATGGTCAAACAGATAAAATTGAAATCAAATAACAATTGAAAAGTATTAACAAACAATAGCCTTTTGTTTAGTCTATTGTAAAGACCTTTGTTCACATAAATGTGTTTGTTAAAAATCTTTTCTATGTATAATTTTTTATAGTTAACTGGCTGTTTTTTAAGGCGTTGCTGTGGTGAAAGTTTGTTGACTCGAAAAATACTTGAGTAGAAAAAAACAAAGAAAAAGCTGGATAAAAAAGTAGTAAAGGATATAATAAGAGTTCGTCAATTAGCGAATTCTTGTGTAACAATATCTATTTCCATTTAGAAAGAATTGGATTTTTTGATTATTTTTTAAAATGAAACGTTTATTATCTGGTCATATGCTTGAATTTTTGGAAGGTAGCGATTTAGAAAAATTAGTTTTAAACTCTTATTTAATAGATCGTATTTACCTTATGACTCTGGATGAAAAGCCTAGTGGCGAAATTCTATCTCAATTTCATTTTTTTACAATAGATGATTCCCTTGTTTACAATCCATTTCATCATGATTTTGGGCCACTTAATATTGCACATCTTTATCGTTTTGCATTGACAATGCATGAAATGCTTTCCGTAAAGCTGTTTGTGTTTTTAAAAGACATAAAATAGATTAATCTATTTATAGAATCCTGTAATTCGAGAAAAGCCACTTATTTTGTATTCAAAAAATGATAATCGGAACAGAACATGCGCAGCATGTCTTATAGCATGTTATATGGTATAGACTGAATAGTTTAGGTGTATATTTATCTTATTCTTAGGTGCTTATTCAAAATTGGCCACCTCATCTAGCTTTAGCGCCGTTGATTGAAGCTGACCCGCCTTATACGCCTTTTCGAGATGCAGGATATGCACCTGCAGACTATGGAATTTCGATTCAAGATTGCGTTTATGGCCTTTGGAAAGCAAAAGAAGCAGGTATTTTGAATATTAAAAACCTTGATTTAGAAGAGTATATCTTGTATCTATAATTTTTCTTTTGACTTTAATTCAGATATGAAACATATGAAAGAGTAGAGTATGGTGATTTTAATTGGATTACGCCTCATTTTATTGCATTTGCAAGCCCTGTACAACCAGGATATATTGTTAATGGCAAGCAAAAAAACGTAATTACTCCCACTTTTATGAGTATTTTGAAGTATTTCTCTAGTCATCGAGTTGGTTTAGTTATTCGATTAAATAAGCCTCTGTATGATAAACGACAGTTTGAAAAATTAGGTGTAGAACATGTTGATATGTTTTTTGAAGATGGAACATGTCCCGATTTAGAAGTAGTACGCAAGTTTTGTGGTTTGGTTGAAGAAATATTGGAAAAGGATCGTATGTATATTTAAATATTGAAAATTTTACTAAAAAGGTTGAAGTTGTTGTAGCTGTGCATTGTAAAGCTGGTCTTGGTCGTACTGGATGCTTAATAGGTGCTTATCTTATTTATAAATATTCTTTCACTGCAAATGAAGTGATTGCATATATGAGAGTTATGAGACCAGGTAAATCTTAAATATGAGAAAGTGCTGAAATGTTTAATAAAAATATAGGAATGGTAGTAGGTCCACAACAGCATTGGCTGCATATTAATCAGCATCATTTTAAAACATGGACATTGAAATCTCTTCCACGATGGACAAAAGCAACTAAATTTTCAACTCCACCAAGAAGTCCACTTGGTAATATTGATAAAAATAATAGTGTGGAAAATACATCGCTTCCTGTGCCTACATCTGGCCAGCCTCGCAAAAATATTAGCAGTCCGAGACGAAGCCGTGTGATTAGTCTTGGAGGTAATTTGCGTGAAGCTTTAATAGAAGTCGCGGAGCAAAAGTCAGCCAAAATAACCGAGGGTCTATTGAATAAATATAGAGAAGGTTATCTAATTGACTCTACTAATCTTTTGGAACATACGCATAAAGAAATTTTGAAGCAAAACAATCCATTTACAACAGCTTCTAAAAAGATAGGAAATCATGGAGAAAGAAAGACGTCCATCAATGCGAATAGCAATTCAACGTTGAATATGATGAGCATTAGTAGTGGAAGAATTGTCAAAAATCGATCTTCAAAAGGAAGAGTGTAATATGTAATACTGTATGAGTTGTATATTGTTTTAATGATTATGAAATGTTGAACATATTTTTCCGTATAGTAAGATTTATGATGGAATGCATAAATGAAAAATGGATGTAATGTCATGTTCAAGGAAGAAATTGTCATGAATACGTTTTATTTCTATAATTGTTGTAAATATAGACTTTATCTTTGTCGTTGTAAGTATAAATTTTGCTCTTCAACATATAAAACCTAATAAGTACGTAATTTAAGCTTTCAAATTTCCAATAAAAAAGTTGGCGTTGCTTTACATACACGATTAAAATATAACGTACTTTTGAGTTATTTCCCAAGGCGTTTACGAAGAGCTCGTTGTCTATCACGACGTTTTCGAAATTTATGTTTATTCATTTTAAGTCGTCGTTTACGTTTAACACTTGTTGCTTGTCTTTTTTCATAAAAATTATAAAGAATAGGTGAAAAAAAAGAAGTGCTTAACGTAGGATAAAAAAATATTTTTCTCTCGGAACAAGATGGCTGAAAGTGCGATAAGCTTGTTTCAAATAATAGTTCATTTGATAAATTCGTCTTAAAAAAATTTAATCTATGTCGTATTTTTTCCGGCCAAACAAAAGATGTTTTATTTGGATTAGCAGAAATTTTAGGCATAACTAATGGCTCGTCTCCCTGTATTTTCTGATTTTGATGAAATAATGCAAGTGGCCGATGTTGAGACCAAATAAGAGAAATGGTCAAATCTGTAAGGATTATTAAGTGTTCTATAAAATATCTCTTTACCAAGGGGGTTAACCGTAACAGGACATGAAGACCAAGGAAGTTTTAGAGGTATTTGAGAGCGCCGAAATAAATGATGTAAAATATTATGCCTCATAAAAACCTATATATTCTACTAAATTATATTAAATTTATTCAATGTGCCGTATTATAATATTTTTGCCCTAAATCCCATTTATTTTTTATATTAAGTATTTATCATATATATACGTGTATTAAATGATTATTTAAAGACGTAAAATATCTTAATTTATAAAAATATTAAATGCCTTTTTTTAGATTTTTTTTCAGAAACAGCTGTGTTGAAATTGGTCTCGATCGAAATTCGATCTCGATCCTTTTTGATACTTTTTTTCATTAATGACTACTGAACTTTGTCCTGTAAGTTTAATATTTTATAATTCGTATATACAGTTTGCCATTGAGTTAATTCTTTGATCTTTATTCTCTATTTATCATTGTGCATGTTTTTTTAATGCGCTTTATCTTTATACTTGATGCTTTAAAATATTATGACTTTAATATTTTGCATTTTAAATATTTTGTTAATATTTATATTAGGTTTACGCACCTTTTTTTGGTGTTCTTGGATGCGCTTCTGCTATTATTTTTACTAGTAAGTCTGTTTTTTTTTTGACTTTTTTTTTGAAAAGTGGTAGGTTTTGGTGCGGCTTATGGTACAGCAAAATCAGGTGTTGGTATTTCTTCTATGGGCGTGCTTCACCCTGAATTAATTGTAAAAAATACTATTCCTGGTAAATTCAGGTTTAATTAGTGATTATTTATTTATAAGAATAGTTGTTATGGCCGGTATTATAGCTATTTATGGTCTTGTCGTTAGTGTTTTAATCTCAGGGGGGCGTAAGTTAGATATGTGAATGGGAATTTTGCTGATATGAATGGAGTTAAGCAGCAGCTTTCACTTTACACTGGGTTGATTCAACTTGGTGCAGGCTTAGCCGTGGGACTATCGGGATTAGCAGCGGGTTTTGCAATCGGAATTGTTGGTGATGCAGGCGTAAGAGGAACTGCACAACAGCCGAGATTATATGTTGGAATGATTTTAATTCTTATCTTTAGCGGTATGAAATAAATTATTGTAAAAGATCATTAGTATTAATTTGTCCATATAGAGGTATTAGGGTTATATGGATTGATTGTAGCATTATTGCTGAATACGCGTGCTACGGATACTACATGTGGATAAAGTAGTAGAAGATGTATGATATGTGGCTGTTAAGTGTAGGATTATGTATTTCTAAATAATGGATGCATCTTATATTTAGTATTTTATAATACATGTTAATTTTTAGTTTCTTTTGAAAAGGGTTGCTTCTCCTAACAAGTGTCTTTATATCTAGTATCGCTTTTATTATATTGCTTTTTTTGTGACTCTGTTTTGATTAATGTTTTATTTAATAGCGTTCTAGTTATAGATTTAAAAGATAATTTGCCCCTTGTAATGCGCCTTCTTTTGCTCCTAAGTGTTGTCCTGGAAGATATGTTACATTCTTAGCATTTGCAAGAACAGCTGCAATTTCTTTGCTTGCTTCGATTCTTCGGATCGAAATTAGTCCGTCACCAGCACGTTGAAGTGCTTTTGATACTGTTTCAGCGGCTTCTGCCTCTCCTTCTGCACGAATTACAGATGCTTGACGTTCTTGTTCTGCCTAAAAATTCATGTATAAATGGATGAAAGGAAAAATCAATAAAATCACCTTTTCGACGGTGAATTTTGCACGTTCAGCATCTTGCTGTGCAATTTGTTTTTGTTCAACAGCTTTTGTGAATTCTTGGCCAAATGTCATATGTGTCTAGAAGATGTTAAAAATGAGGAGAAGATGAAAAAACATACAATAGATACGTCCTCTAGTTGAATACCAAATTCTGATGCACGTTTTACAAGATCTTCTCGAACTTTTGATGAAACGATCTCCCTTTGTGTAATTAGTTCTGCCGCATCAAATTGTGCCACAATTGATTTCAAGACTTCATTCCCAATTGATGGAAGTACTCTTTCGTCATAATCAAGACCCAAAGACTAGAAAAAATGAGTGATTTTTAATAAAAAAATATGTTTGGGCCTCCAACTTGATAGATCTTTGGAAGTTTCACTACATCTGGGCGATACAATACACGAAGTGTTAAAGAAACCATTTGCAGATCTTTGCTTCCTGTCGTTGTTGCAATGTTCCGAGGCTATTTAATTAAAGTTTAAAAAAGTAGGAAAAAAAAGATAAATTGAAATACTCTTGTTCTCACATCATAAATAATAGCTTTTTGAAGCCATGGAATAAGGAAATGTGTTCCTTCTCCTATTACTTCTTTTTTTATTCCAACAAATCTGTCAAAAATCACAGCTTATTCATTCAGTAAATTTGATAAAAAAACTGATATTGTGTTATTTACCTCGGGAACCTCCTCTAACATCATACATTGATGCTTGTCCAATAGCCAGAGAAAAACCTATCGGTATGGCTAACCGAGAAAGTTTATCAAGAATATGTGCCATTATTTAAAAGATTTAAAATACTAACTTTTTTCTCTAAATGATTCTTGTAATTTTCACGTGATTATCTACTTTGGTCACGTGAGTTTTGTATTTCTCTACTTAACATTTTTTTCAGTAAAGGGAACCTAAAAATCTTCTTTTTAAATATGGGAGGTGGTCTTGGCAAGAAATATAGTAATAACAACATTCATATAAGGAGAAATTCTTATTCTATATAGTGGGTTGGTGGGGTTGTATGGGTGGACCTACGCAAAAAGGGATTATTACTTATTCATTGTAAGTGGTATGTTCATGTATCAGATAATTTAATAGAAGCTATATATAGATCTCCACGTGCACAACATCCATTTGCAGGCGCACTTCATAGTGCTATTTTTAATACGTCTCGACGATGTAGTCAACAAATTTTGTATTTTGGTATACCTTTAGCGGTAGGATATTATATTTATGTATGGGCCAATGAAAAGTATAAGAAATACATTAGATATCCAAGCTTATTTTTCTAATCACCTATGTTGTATAGGAATGAATATTTGTATTCAAAAGCGGGCCAAAAAGAACTCAAGGTTGGTTCAGTTTTTGATATATTGAATGGCTTATATAAATATTAGGGTTTGGATAAATCTTAAAACTTTTTGATAGGTTTTTTGTTTGGGTGGTTTGCATAATAGTTGGCTTAATTGTTTCTTTGATTTTTTTATATTTATTTATAAAAATTATGTTAATTTCTATATTAGTTTCATATTTTTGTCTCTGTAAACGTTTTAAATAGTCACGATTTAAATATGCCATTTATGACTCGTAGTTTATCTTTTTTATCTATACTAGCTGCACCTATCATGCTTGGAATACGAATACCACAACAATCTCCCCAAGTATTGTTGCATTGAGTTACCGCTATATTATTATGATTATTTTGAGTCATGCCCTCAGCGGCTGGAATTAGGCGTCCGAATAGATAATGTTGCATAATTGTAAATTTACTTAGGACTTCTGCTTTATACATTTTAAGCATGCCTATATTAACATTTTTCCATTGCTTAACGATGGAAATGTCATCTAGCATAGGTGAATGCCAACGTAATGATACTGTTTTTATCTAGAATGGTTGAGTTACATTAATCTATTTTATTGCATGTCTTACAGAGTTAATAAACCGAATATAATCTAAATATATAAAGTCTTTGGAAAATTCTTCTAGTATATCATTATCATGGATGCACCGTGGTCGTATGTACTTATGATTTATAAGTTGTGCTGAACCAAAAAGAAAAGGAAGAAAGTGATAATCATCCAGTCCCCAAGCGCCATGTGATCCTGCGGGTTCCAACCAGTATACTGTTTGAATTCTGCGCATTACTAGAATATATCTGTTAAAAACCCTAATTATAAGAGCTTTTCCATCTAAGTCTGTTAAAATGTTTATTTTATATAAACAAAATCTATCCCTGATGAGTTGCTAAACAAATATATAGAAATAAATACAGCCAAGAAATAAAGTGAAGTTCATGAATGCTTCCGTAGTCTATTCTCATCTTATTTCCCCATGATTCTGTGAAATATTTTGAAACTTCTATTATAGTATTTTCTGGTAATGAAAACCATGTATGCATATCTTGAGCAGACTAAGCCAGGATTAAATTTATTATTTAGAACAAATTTTCATATATACTTTCTCCATATCATCATAAAATGAACGAAATGCTGCATTCCCAAATCTTGATTTGTTATTTTGTATTGGAGGATGACGATCAATTAGTGAATGAATTTGTTCTAACATAGAAAGAATATACAGAACATTCTAGAGCTTAAATAAATATATTTGTATATGAGAGACATACTTGTGAAAGATCGAATGTTTCTGATGTAGGAATACCTTGAACTTGATTATTAAGCATGCAAATGAAGCCAAAGATATCCTCATATGTATGTGATGAGCAAAATAGCTCCAAATCATGATTAGTAAAGATTCTACGTTGGGGAACAATGTTGTCTAATGACATTTTTTTATCTAAAGACGCGAAATCCTCTTAAAAGCATTGAAAGATAATATTTTGATAAAATATCGAATTTTGTAGATGCTGAAAGGTGTTATATGCGTATTATATGTACTTGAGATATATTTTTTTATTTTGAATGGAATATGTTTTAAAATATGATGCCTATTCTATATTATGTTTTATTTTGCTCGTAAACTGGAACATAAATTGTATAGATGAATTTATATAGATATATATTACGTAAATACTACGTATGAATATGAATTATCTCCTACAATATTCTTTATTTACATCTTAGATAAATTAATTTTATTTAGTATAGGCAAATTGGCATTTATCTAACAAGATTTTTATTGATTTTACTATTTTTTGGTTTTAAATTAGGGTTTTTCTGATAAAGAAATATATTAACATACTTATCGAATTTTACTTTTTTTTTCCTATTTTTTCGAGCTTTAAAAGTCGGTATAAAACGAGGGATCTTAAGGATCCTTAGATACTTGTGTATTTGTGCACAGTTTGATTAGAAACATATACTTATTTTTTTCTGATGGTTTTATTAGTTGATCCGTGTTAAGGTATTTTTTTCTACTGAGGAAATATGACGGATACATGTTCTAAGCGATGTATGTTTTTCTTTTTTTTTTTTTTGATTTATTTAATGATATTCTTGTGTCAGCCTGGGTCACTCTTTTATCTGATTTAGGCGAGAAGAATGGATATTTGAACGGTATTTTGACGTTAAACTACACTTTGATTAAAGTAAAAACTCGATATCCTCTTCTTGTGATTTATACAAGTGTAATCTTATTCTGTAATGGATTCGTTTTAAAGATGTGATAGAAGTGTCAGGCTACTGCTTTATCTATTTTGGAAAAATCGGGTATTAAAACTAAATATGTGGAAATGTTACAACCTTCAATAACATTGAATTATGGCACGGATACTAAAAGATTTAATGAATGTTTTAATAAGCTTCGTGTTTTTGAGCTATTTGAATATGAGCGAGTAGTTTTTATTGATTCGGATATGATTTTTATGAAGAATGCAGATGAATTATTTGATATTCCTCTTGATCGGGGGTTTATTGCATGTGCACATGCATGCGTTTGTAATCCTCGAAAAAAACGACATTATCCTAAAGAATGGTAGCTTGCGGATTATGGTATTAATTTACTGATGTATTTTTTTTAGGGTATCTTCAAATTGTGCTTATACGGCTCAACAAAATTTGCATTCTGGTTCCTTGATTTCTTGTTCATATGGTATTAAAATGTTGAATTCTGGACTTGTTGTTTTGAACCCTAATCCTGAGGAGTTCGCAATAATTCTTGATCATGTTAGGAATTGCGAAAAATATCCTCTATCAATGCTTAATTTCGCTGAGCAAAGCTTGTTAAGTTGTCTTTATGAAGAAAAATGGATGCCTTTGCCATATATATATAATGCTTTGAAAACTTTACGAACTGTGCATGAGAAATTATGGAATGATGATGATGTTAAGATACTACATTATATTCTTGATAAGCCTTGGCATGATGAGAATGAAAGTTTAAATTCACAGGATCCGACACATGCTTGGTGGTGGACATTAGAAAAAGAGAGATTAGAAAAAGAAACGAATTCAATTATATATAAATAATTTCATACAAATTATTTTTGAATAATATGGTTGGTTATATAGTTTTTGGGATTTTTTTTTAGTAGTATAAATATATATTGGTTTTTGCAAATAATATTTTGTAATTTTAGAAAGAAATATGATTTTAAATTTTCTGGAATGGGATTTTTTGATATTGTCAATTTTCATATATTTAATATTAAATTTTAATTTAAAAAAATTATAAACTTAAGAAATATTTTATTTATTTGATAAATATTTTAAATATTATAATAATTGTTAATTTTAATAAGGTGATATTTTATTTAAAAAGATCATTATATGAATTTATTGATATTTAAAAATATATTTTTTTGTAAATTTTGTTAATATTTTATTTTATTAAAAAGAAATGTATGGACAATCTTCAAAGAAAATATATTGTAAATTAAATTATTAATAATTTAGCATTCATTTTATTAAAATAAGTAGCTTAGAATTTTTTGAATATTTCTATTATACAATAAAATAATTAAAATCTTTTAAATTTTCATCAAGTAATAATATTGTTTTTTGTAACATTAAAATATGCTAAAAATTAAAATTTAAATTATTAAATTTTAAATATATTATTAAAAATATGTTTAAAAAGTTATTTTTATTATAAATCTCTGCAAATAATCTATTATTGATATATAGAAAAACATAAAAGATAAATTTAAACCAGATATGTCTTTATTTAATATATATTTTTTATATATTATTTATATTGGTAAAAAATGACTTTTTTATATTCATAAAGAAATATAAAATTAGGAAGATTAAATATGTATATAAAATTATATATAAATTAGAGGAATTATTTGGAATATATATTTATCATATAATTTCATATATTTTTAAGAATTATTCAGGATAATTAAACTATTATTTTATAGATATAATATATTCTGAAATTTTTAAATCGACACGTTAAAATTCGCGTAATTAAATAATTAAACATATATGTTTATCCACTTATTATTAAAGATGCAAAATCCACGTTTTAACAATTAAAAATAAATAAGATCATAGATATATATTCTATCAAGTTTTCAATATATGAAATGTATTTTACATAATTTATAATTATAAAAACTACAAGTAATATACTTCATTTCAAACATAAGTACAAATAATGCATGTTCTATGTATAAAGAGCTAAAAAAATACATTAAGTGTCATGTTTTATTGGAAATCGATGTGTGATAGGCGTTTGCAAAGTGCTTAGTATATGAAAAAAATATTTGGAAGACATGTTTCTTGCAGTTATTTTTTGGGGAAATATGACAAAGGTGCCTTCGTGTATTTTTTATCTTTTTTTATTGTTTTTTAAAGCTTCGTATATCAAATATTAAAAAAATTTTAAAATTTCTACAAAAATATATATTTCGAAATATGTCTTTAAAAATGATTATTGAGAAGTGTGTGAATACTATTCGAGTGTTATCGGTGGATATTGTTTCAAGAAGCAATTCAGGTCATCCAGGCGCACCTATGGCTCTTGCAACATCTGCTCATGTTTTATTTAATAATCATTTGTTATTTGATCCAAATGATCCATTATGGATTAATCGTGATCGATTTATACTTTCAAACGGGCATGCTTGTGTTTTACAATATATTTTATTACATTTATATGGCTACAAAATTACAATGGATGATTTGAAACATTTTCGCCAGCTAGATTCGAAAACACCAGGACATCCAGAAACTTTAATAACTCCAGGAGTTGAAGTAACTACGGGCCCTCTTGGGCAGGGGTTTGTAAATGCAGTTGGACTTAGTATAGCACAGACGCATTTAGCTGCAACTTTTAATAAGCCCGGGTTTGATATAATTAATAATTATACATATTGTTTTTTTGGAGATGGATGTGCAATGGAAGGCGTTTTATATGAGGCAGCGTCCTTAGCAGGTCATTTAAAGTTAGGCAACTTGATATGTTTTTATGACTATAATGCTATAACTATTGACGGTGATATTGAATGTGCATTTACAGAAGATGTAGCGGAAAGGTTTCGTGCATCTGGCTGGCATGTTCTTTTTGTCAATGATGGCAATACCGATATTGCTTCTATTGATGAGGCTATTATTCAAGCAAAAAGAGTAAAAGACCAACCGACGATGATTCAACTTAAAACAACAATTGGTTATGGTTCTAAGTATCAAGGTACTGCTAGTGTACATGGTGCACCATTGAAAGAAGATGATGTTGTATCTATTAAAGAAAAATTTGGATTTGATCCTAAGGAATCATTTGTTATTTCTGATGATGTCTATGATTATTGTCGTAAAGCCTCTTTTAGGGGTATTGAAGCACACAAAGCATGGTTAGAATTATTTAGTGAATATGAAAAGCAATATCCAGAGCTAGCGAAGGAGCTTCAAAGACGTATAAATAAACAATTTCCGGAAAATTTCAAGCAAGCTTTTCCTACATATAAGTTTACAGATCCTCCGGCTGCAACTCGGAAGCTTTCTGAGATTGTTCTTACAAAGATTTCGGATATCCTTCCTGAATTGATTGGTGGAAGTGCAGATTTAACGAGTTCCAATCTTACTCGATGCCCAAATTCAGTTGATTTTCAACATCCTTCTAGAAAAATAGGAGATTATACAGGAAGGTATATCCGATATGGAGTTCGTGAACATGCAATGATCGGGATTATGAATGGACTTGCAGCGTATGGCGCAATTATTCCTTATGGAGGGACTTTTTTAAATTTCGTTTTTTATGGAGCAGGAAGTCTTCGACTTTCTTGTATTTCTCATTTTCGAATAATTGTTGTTGCTACACATGATTCTATTGGATTAGGTGAAGATGGTCCAACACATCAGCCAATTGAGGCATCTGCATGGTTAAGGGCTCTTCCTAATATGATGTTTTGGCGTCCAGCAGATGGTTAAGCAGTGTCTATATTTCAGGATTTTTATTAATTTATTTTAGGCAATGAGTGTTCTGCTGCGTATTATGTTGCGATTACTTCTTTAAACACCCCATCGACTATTGCGCTAACACGGCAGAACTTGCCTCATCTTGAAAATTCATCTTTAGATAAAGCTATTAAAGGAGGTTATGTTCTTTATGAAGATGATTTTGCGGATTTGACCATTGCGTCTACTGGAAGTGAAGTATTTCTATGCCTTGACGCGATTAAAATTCTTAAAGAAAAATATAATATTCGTGCTAGATTAGTTTCTATACCTGTAAGGGATTCGTTTTTAATTATTGTTATTAATATTAAAAAGTGTTTTTATATTTTTGATCAGCAAAACTTTGATTATAAGTTAACAGTGCTTAAGGATAATATTCCAATTTTAGGTGTTGAGGTTTATTCTACGCTGGGATGGAGAAATTATTCTCATGAGCAATTTGGTCTTGATACATTTGGTGCCAGTGCTCCATACAAAGATATATATGATAAAGTATACTTTAATATAGGTAGTATATAATAGTTAATATGATATTAGCATGAATTTACACCGGAAGGAATAGCAAGTAGAGCTCAAAAAACAGTTGAATTTTGGAAACATATTGAAAATATTCGATCACCTATACGACGTGCATTTTAGATTTTTGATGATAAATTTTGATAATATATATCTAAAAAGGCTTTTTTTTGCGAATTTTTGGATTTAATTATTTTTTATGTTATAATAACACTTGTAATAAAATATAATTAAAAAAAGGTTAATATTATATTATGAATTACGAAAAAAAATAAAATTTCTACAGATATTTAAGTTGCTAGCTTTTTTTCAATAAATTTAGTTGATAATTACTTATTGAAATTTATTTAGTTTATAGTAGTTTGAAAAAAATTAGGAAGAAATAGAAAATAAACATATTATTTGTATAATATTGAAAATGGGCTTTATTTTTTAGTATATATCAAAATAAATGCAAATAAAAATATTTTATAAGATCAATGATGATAAATTTACATATATTAATTTTAAATAATGGAAAATATTATAGAAATATATAAGTTTTCTATATTTTTATTAAAAACATGTTTTTAAATATATATGTATTAATATATATATTATAAATTTATATAATTTTCTTTATAAGGCAAATTAATATAAAAGTGCACACATTATAACACATTTTAAAAGAATGTTCAACAATAATATATATATTGTACTCTTTTTATAAATGAAAAACTATCTAATTGTTTATTTTCTTTTAAATATTATGAAATTACGAAATTTAACAAATTTGTAAAATAAAAATATCCTTTACTAAAAAATCTAGCATAGTATATCAATAAACACTCGATTTATCAGAAGATAACATGCTCTCTATTATTTAACAAAAAATTTTACAGAAAAATTTATATATTTACATTATTTTTTAGATATTTTAAAACAATGAAAAAAAATTTAATGTTTTCATATTTTGAATATCTATATATCATAGGCCTAATAATTCAATCCATTTACATGTATACAAAAATGTCGTAAATCTAATTATTTTATGGATAGAAATGCATAAAATATATTTAAAACACGTATATAATCCATAAAGATACATCCAACGCGTATAATAAGCACATATTTTATATATTAACACGTATACTATATAAATATTTTGATATACATTAATAACTATTTGTCGGAAATGAATTCGTCTTATTTATATTCAAGTCACTTTTTACTTAACCAATATTAGAAATTTCTACTTTTACTTTTCAATTATCATTGCATTTATTTTATTAATATCGAACCTGCCAAAAAAAAAGAAAAATTAAATGAACCCATCAAATGAGAAGCCAATTATTCGTGATAGAGGCCTTGAATGTTGGCTTCAGGCTCTTAAAGCACATCTTTTGATTTTCGTTTCATGGTAAGTTTTTATTAAATTTTTTTTTTATTTTTTAATAATAAAGGGGAATTGTTAATTCGTTTGGAATATTTCAGACATATTACAAATCGACATTATTGAAAGATAGCTCTTTATCGAATATTGCATGGATAGGAACTGTTCAGGGTTTTTCTATTATTTTGGTTAGTCTTTTGATTGGTCCAGTATATGACAGAGGATATACACGACCTCTGATTATATTTGGATCTTTTTTAATTATATTTGGAATGATTATGATGAGTATATCAAAAAAATATTATCAATTTTTTATATATGAAGCCCTTTGCATTGGGATTGGATCTGGATGTATTTTTATTCCAAGTTTAGGAATAATAACGAGATATTTTGATAAAAAACTGTCGTTAGCAGCGGGGCTTATAACATCTGGAGCAAGTGTGGGTACATAGAAAATGATTATATATATACAGTAAATATATTAATGAAGTATTAGGGGGCTTAATTTTTCCTATTCTTTTCGAGTTTTTAATTCACAAAATTGGATTTACATGGACGATTCGTGTGTTTGCATTGGTTTCTTTTATATTAATTATAATTAGCATTATAATCACTGAAGTTTATACATTTTCTAATCGTTCGCCATACTTGTTTAATTTTTCTTCACTAAAAGATTATACATTTATGATTTTTAATATATCAGCATTTTTTATCTTTACTGGTATTTATTTCCCATATTTTTATCTTCCTATGTATGCAAAAGCTTTGGGTTCTCATTTTTCAACATATTTTATTTCAATTATTAATTTGACATCTATTTTCGGTAGGGTTATTACAGGTGTTATTGCAGACTATAAGGGACCTTTAAATACTTTTATTTTATCTTCATTAGCTTTAGTCATTTTAACATATGCATGGATTGGTATTCGTAATATTCCCGGACTTTTTATTTTTTCAGTTTTATACGGATTATTTGCAGGTGCGGTCATGTCACTTCCATCGGCAATAATTATAAAATTGTCGTCAAATTTGAATTTTGTAGGAACTCAGATGTCAATTTGTCTTTTATTTACTGGTATTGGTTTTCTTATTGGAACACCAATAGATGGTATTATTTTGAAACATTCTAATAGAGCGTTTTTTTGGGCACAGATTTTTTCTGCAACAATTATGTTAGTTGGTGTTTTTACACTTTTTCTAATAGTATATTTAAAGCGAAATCGAGTATTAATTCCTAAAACTTCATCTGGGGCTTCATTTTATCGTCCACTTTGATTATTTGTATTGTCTTAATGGTTGAGATATATGCAAAGAATAGTTATGGGTTTGTATTTTTTATGATTTCTGCATTGTTTCTTTTAGTACAATTATCATTTATGATAAGACTTGCACTTGTTCTGAAAAGGAGAAATTAAAGTTATTAGCATCGTAAGATAATTTATTTTTTTTTAAGTCTTTGATTATAATTTTAAGAATGTTAATATAGATTTTTTAAAAGAATCAATAATAAATATATTGTAAGTTATAAACATAACTTTGATCGATTATTTTTTTAAAATACAATGTTTTTATAATAGTATTTTGTATTAACTTGATATTTAAAATATAGTAATATATTTACAGTAGATGTTAATATGTAGATTAGCGTGTGTATGAGACATAAATATTGAAGTAATATTAAATATAATTTAAAAGTATTTTTTTATTAGAAGAGCGTTTAAAGTATGAATGATATATAATATATAGAAATTTTTATAATAGCTTTTTTTTTTATTTTTTGAGTTAATATAATGTATAGAATCATGAGTTTTAATGTGTAGTATATAATAGATAATGTTGATATAATTTCTTATACTTTAACATGATTTTATATTGATGAAGTACTTTTTATATATTTATAAATGCCATTATAATCTATATTTTTACTTTTATTTAGGTGTTTGTACTTAGTTTATAAAGAGGGTGTATAATCAATTATTTTAAACAAAATGTTAATAAAATTGAAATATTTTATTAGTAAGGATGTTTTATTTATAAAATGTAAGTGCTTATTTGTGCAATAAAGAGAATATTTTTTATTTTAAAGTAAACTTTATTTTTTAAGATTTTTAATATGTAAAGAATATCTTAATAGAAGTGTAAAATATATTTTATTTGATAAAATTTGCCATAAATATATGTATTTTGTTCAAAGTAGTTGCGGGTCTATATTTAGTAATATATTTTGAAAAACAAGGTTTATTTATATGTTATTTTGATATAAAGAGTAATTTTAGTATAATTTTATGCTTGAAGATTTTATTAATAGGGTTAGGGTAAGAGCCATGTTCATATATTGATTATAGGGTTAGGGTTATCAGTGAATTTTTCTATTTTTTGATAGTGAGGGTTTATAAGCAGTGAATTTTAGGGTTGTGATAATAGGTGGATACTTTTTTAAAACATGTCTTGATTGTATATATTTTTATTTAAAAGTTATGTGTCTTGTTTTGATTATAGGGTTGATTCATGTATTTTTATTATAGTTTGGTTTGTTAAAGGTTTTTTATGTAAGGGGCTTTTTTTTAGTTAAAATATAACATTCTGATGTAACGTAATGGATATTTTAGGAAAATATTATTTTAAAATTGTATTTTTAGTGTGGTATATATGTATTTTCTTTTGTATGTTTATTTTTAAAAAGGTTAGTATTATTAAAGATAGTAGGGTTTTAGTATGAAAAGAGAAAGACATAATATAGAAAAAGAAATGTTATTTGTTAGTGGTTTTAGTATTTATGATTTTTTTTGAAATAAGTTTTAATTTTCTTCTTTTAAAAGATATTTTTTTTGAGTTAATATATAAAAATTATATGTCACATGTGAATTTTATATATTTAATTTGTTGTTTAATAAAAGCTTTTTTGTTTATTTATATAAATAAATATAAATAATATAAATATTGTTTATTTCTTTTATTTTTATAATAGAAATATTTTAAAAATTATATATCATTTTACTATATATCGTTATATTTTTTTTAGGGTAGTATATATTTTTAGAGTATTTTTTTTAGTTAATATATTCTGTATTCGTATAAGATTTTCTGCTTTTGGAAAATAGTGGGTATTTTTTCGGGAGTTTATGAGAATGTTAATTATTATTTTCGTATTAAAGGGGTTATTTCCGGACTGTGTATTTGCTTTACCCGTTATTTGTTTTAGCGTTTGAAAAATATATTTTTCTTGATATCCGTCTCTTTTCTCAAATTTGTGCAATTATGAGGATTGCATTTTTTGCGCTTTTTGCGCAACTTAGTTATGTCTTGGGGAGTTTTTTAAGAGATAGAGATTTGCCAAATGAGGAAGATGTTTATGGTATGTTTTTTTTTAAGAGTTGCTAAATTACAAGTCATTTTTTCAATTTTTTATCTTTTTTTTGGGATAAACATTTTTTGAAAAAAGTGACTTTAGTATTATTTTTGAGTAGTTATATGTAAAACAGTGGAGTTTTTATTATTTAATATCTTGTATTCCCTGTTTTGTCTTGATTTGGAAATTTTATTTTCCTTTTTTGAATAAATACTTATCATCTTTTTAATAGGTTATGAAAATTTTGGGTTGGATCCCAATTCACCGGAACCGAGTGAATTTTTAAATATTATAGAAATGCTTCGAAATGCAAAGCGATTAGGAAGTGGGAAGATTAACCAGGGTCAATTTCTCTCGAATCGTAAGGCTAGGAGAGATTTTGATTTGTGTCGTTCTTGCAATCGTCCGGGAGTTGATTATTTCAGGAAGAGTGATTATGATGGTTTCTTTTCTGAAGATTTCTCCTCTGAAGATTATTCTCAGGACAAGCGATGGGTAGAGGAAGTCGCCCAGAAAGAGGCGGCGATGGCACAGCCGGTTAAGAGGCAAGCAGCAGGACAAGCAGCAGGAAATGATGAGATTAAGGAGGAACAGGTTTTGGGTTTAATTGTGAAAAGTGATTATAGTGATGATAATAAATGCAAGGCAAACCTCAAACAATATTGTGAGGAATTGAAGAAAATAGATGGAAAATTGGAGAGTGTGGATGTCAAAGTTAAGGGACTTTGTGAAAATATAGACAAAAAATGTGGAGATCTGAAAGATAAAGTTAAAACTGAATTGGATGCTTTTAAAACAGAACTTGAAAAAGAATTGAATAACCTAACAGATGAAAAATGTAGAAAATATGAAGAAAAATGTCTATTATTAGAAGAAGCAGATCCAAGTAATCTTGAAGAGAAGTGCGTTAAGTTGAGAGATAGATGTTATGGACGGAGACGTCAAGGAGTGACAAAAGAAATTCTTTTTAGAGCTCTTGAAGGGAAAGTTAATGATACAGATGAATGTAAAAAAAGAATGAAAGAAATTTGTCAAGGATTAAGTGAATATAGTGATGAATTAATATTTTCATGTTTTAATTCAGATAAGACGTGTAATGGGCTTAAAGGGAGTCATCAAGATAGTTGTAAGTCTTTAGAAACGGAACTTAAAGATAATGAATTAATGGAAAAATGCCAAGAATATCTTGAAAAGTGTTATTTTTATGGATCAAGTTGTAAGGATACAAAATGTGATAAAGTCAAGAATAAATGTAAGGGAAAAGGGATTGAATATGAAGGACCAAAATTAGATTTTAGTCCGGTTAAAGAAAAACCAAGATTTCCGGAAAAGATTGAAGTGGAAAATCTTTATAAAAAAGAAGAAGCTAAGGGAATTATTGTTGGAAAACCAAAATATAAGACGTTGCGAGATTTAGCATTATTGTTGATCAAAGAAAGGAATGGAAAAGATGAGGGAGAAAAATGCAAAAAAGCGTTAGAAGATTGTGAATCTTTTAAACACCTAGATTATGGATTAGAAGAATTATGTGGAGATAAAGATAAAGAGGATAGATGCAAAGAATTAGTAGAAGTAGAAGATAGATGTACGAATTTTAAATTAGAACTTTACCTGAAAGGATTGTCTACGGAATTTGAAAAAGATAAAGAATCAGATTATTTTTCATGGGGACAGGTATCAAAATTGGTTAGTAGGGAAGATTGTATAAAGTTTGAATCGGAATGTTTCCATTTAGAAGGTGTATGTACGAATAAAATTGGAAAAGCATGTGAAAATGTAAGAGTAGCATGCTATAAAAAGGGACAAGATAGGGTGTTGAATAGATACTTTCAAGAAGGATTGAAAGGGCTTATTGGTGATTTAGAATTGGTTACTGAGAATCTTGAAAAATGTCAAAAATCGGTAGTAGGTAATTATACAAAACTTAAGGAGGATAGAAGATACTTTACAAAGTGTCATCTACCAACTAAACTATGTTATGAACTTTTAGATGATGTAATTCTTCAATCGGAAGAATTAGAAGTAGTTTTAAATTTGAGAAGAGATTTTCCAAGAAAGGAAGATTGTGTAGAATTGAAGAAGAAGTGCAAAGATCTTGAAAGTGATTCATATTTGAATCATGAGAAATGTGATACACTGAATAGACGATGTGAATATTTAAAAGTTACAGAAGAATTGAGAAAAAGATTATTAAAAAGAGGAGATGATGCATTAAGAACTCAAGGAAATTGTACGGCAGTATTAAAGAAAGAATGTGAGGAATTATCTAGAAGAGGAAAAGAAGATTTTAGTGTTTCATGTGCTTTAC